TTCTACAGCCTGAACGCACGGACTTTTGTCCCCATGTTCGTCACGGGAAGCCCGAGATCTCAAGGCGGGAGACGGGAGACGATAGAGAAAGACTGTTGCATGGCTTGAAAAGACCAATATGGTATTATGGGAATGATATCAATGAGTCCAAGGCGGTTTGCACTCAGGTTTGTGCAAATAAGAGAAGGTCTGGGTGAGCGAAGTTGGCACCAGTAACTGTTGAATTGAATTAGGCTGTGGAGGCTTCAGATGCTGCAGGATTGATATGTAATGAACTATCTGCCAATATTGTGCGGTTATATTTGTTCGACTGAAAATCTCCATATCGGTGTGAATAATTCTGTAGATTGTGCTCTTCACCCTCTGCGAAGTTGGATCTCACACACGATACGCGAAGGATGAAATGTTTTGGGAAGGTTTCTATTCGTAAAGAAGAGTTTCAAGACTTCATAAAAGACTGAACTCTAGACATGCGCAACGCGAAATTATTGTGCAAGAAAACCACTTGCGATGCCCATAAAAACCACACACGCGCACTCATCAACCATAAAACAAATCCAATGTTACCATAAGCCCAACCTCGCAAGAAAAGTAACCCACCCTTGATATTGTTCCGCCACTGGTTTCGGAGTTGGTAGAACGCTTCTAACGATCAGCGTTTATAATTGCGATTGATATGAGTAAACTTACATGATGGATATCTATTGCTTAGCAATAGAAGAAGGCTTGACCTCCTCAACTTCTCGGGCTTGAACCTGACGTCTAGGTCTAATAGGAAGTTGGAAAGTGAACTGCATGCTCTCTGGAACCCCGTTGTTCAATGAAACATGCTTGTTCTTCGGGGCAGCAGTGTGCTTGGGGACACCGTTGCTCTTCGTGGTAGCATTGCTCATCGAGACACGCTTGCTCTTCGTGGCGGCAGTGTTCATCAGGACGACCTTGCTCTTCGGGACAGTAGCGGTCTCCGGCGTGACATTACTCTCGGAGGTAACGCGGATATCCAGTTCAGCGGCGTTGCTGATGATTCGATCATGAGCTTCTTGAATTTCGACGTTGATCTCCTTCTTCAATGCAATAGAGAGCTCATCGATCTTGGCAATCATCTGCTCACCAGCTTGGTTCTTTAAGTCGAGACGCTGGAGAACAATGTCCCGGGTGTCCTCCTGAGACATGAAAGAGAATTTGCCGTAGCCCAACTCGGTAGCGTAGGTCTTGTCGGTCAAGTCGTCGACCATCGCGTTGAGATCATGGCGATAGAGACGGAGAGAGAGTTCCTCGAAGGAGACGACAGTTGAGATGTTGAGGTCAATGGCTCTCTCAAGCATCTCACCGAAGGTAAGGCCTTGGGAGCGTTGAGGGATCTTAGGAGGGGATTCAGGGATGGGTTCGACGTCGTCCGTGAACCAGACCTCGTCATTGGGAATCTTGTACGAAGGCACTTCAAAGGTGACATGTCAGTAGCAGAACCCACCAGAGTGTTATAGAAGAATACATACTTGCTGCGGTATTGCTCGCAAGAAGTGATGCTGCTTTCACAGGAAGAATTGGTGATCGGGATATTAAAAGGTGGTCGCGTTGAGGAATCCTGGGGTTGACGCGGATGGAAAAAATTTGTTTTGGTAAAGAGGTCGTTGAGATCATATATGTGCGAAATCTGGAGCCGATGACGCTAGAGCAAGAAGGGATTATCGTATACACCGAGGCTGCGTCACAATAGCAGGTGAATAGGAACTGGGTTGAGCTATTGAAGTCGAACACAATGATCTAGATCTGAATCTATAGGTTGAAGTTGGACTTATTGACTTGAAGCTCCGCAAAACGTCTTCCTTCAACTGGGGGAGCATGTTCATTCCATACTGAGCGGTAAAGCCTTTTCCATAATTAAAAATGTCTCAGTAATTTTGAGGATTTTCGGGCAGAAGAAGTAGGGTAAAGCAAGGACAAGATGAGAAGCAGTCAACTCCAACGGCGGCATTTCACCAGTCAGTATTGGGATTTCTTAGAGGTTCTAGATCTTGAACAGCATCAAAGGAATCCTTGTGATATACGGAGATCTGTCATAGTCTCAAATGTTGCATCATGTTGTAGAAGTAGAACAAGTTAGACTCGTAAACACATTATCAAAGCCTCTTGTTTGCCGTCCAAAGCTGCGTCCATTCGCAACCTCAGCGTGCAGAACTCTCAACCCCCCACTGTCCAATCACTCCCGTGTATTCTTAACCACTGGTCCCACGGGTCCTTCAGGTATGGCTTCGATCGATATGCTGAGACGATAGTGGCAACCTAAAATATATGTTGTTAGTTTTAACACCTCGCCTAGATTCAGGAATGCACTTAGCTTTACGTAGACCACCCTGGATTCAAGAATGAATGAAGTGATGATGATCCTGGCAACCTCGCGCCTTCTCTTAAACCCAATCCCCCAGTCCCCAAACAAAATGAGTATACCTCAGGGCTGGACAAAACAAATGTAGTAATTGGCTTGATCATCGTAGAATGTAAGTGTAGGAAAGAAGAGTGTGTGGTGTTGTTGTTCAAGTATGAAGTTGCGGAAGAGGGTACCGCTCATTTATACATCGATCATGCTAGGCGAAGTTGGGCTTAGCGTGACAATTTCCAGCTACTGAATTCACCTTCACTCTTTGATCTCAGCCTTGTGGTCTGGTACTAGTGTCCAGTCTCGGAGTCTCCATCCTTACCTCTCTGGTCAACTTCGGCTTCGATATTTGCTCTGCCGTACCTATTGGATCATCTCACGTGATACAAGCGAAGGTAAAAAGGGGCATAGAATGGCTTCATGGCGCTGGGAAAAGGCAGCAAGTTCCGTTATGATAGTATGTAATTATTTTAAAGGGTGTACTTCTTACTCGCAAACTTTATTGTGTGATACAAATATCCCGACATTCCCTTCCTGAAAGTCATTTTGACGCTGAGGACATTCTAGGAAATTAAGAACAATGCCAAACGAAAGAAGCTGTAAGTTTCTGACGTAAAAACAAACATCCAGCTTCTGCTGATGATTTTCTGACACAGCAGAGAGACCGTGCAGAATCATAAGATCAAGATCTCAAGAGCCACACAACCACACCCCGGCTGAGAAGCCTGTCGCCAGACAAAGATCTTCCGAAAGGCTTTGAGTCTTGTAGGAGATTGAGTTCCATCAAGCCATCATCTGTTCTAGTACAGTGTTCGCAATAATATACGGTCGTATTACGGGGTCTAGTATCAGGTCAATACGCACTTACGGCGTACGGTATGAAGTGCATATATATTGACTATTATTAGTTCCGTATCAATGGAAGATATTAGTCAATATACTAAGTACTGGAATGTAGCTTAACAAGAGGCATATTATATGGAATGTAGCTTGAGACATTGAAATCCAAGCCTAAAAGAGCCTAAAGGGGCATATTTCATAGAAAAATAGTGCAATTCATTGATATTGAACCTTTGAAACAAAACATTCCAGTACTTAGTATACTTCCAGTGAGATTCAATAATACTAGTCCTGATATCATACGTACAACCATATTATTATCGTACGTATCACTCAAAGTACAGTATTTTTCGAAAAGAATACGCACTACAGTGAATAATGCTATTTTAGGCAAATACTATTGCGAACACTGTTCTAGTAGATGTCATCAGTATTTGCTCTAGAGTCTCCGAGCTCAAAATCATTATTTTCAGCTCTGACAACATATCACAATTCTCTTTTCAGTGACAAAGAGCTATTCTACCTGCTGAATTGATAAACTGGCTTTTAAAGTAGCACTTTCTCGTCCAAGTCCAGCCAATATTCCTCGTCATCCCGCACTCTGGGAAAAAGACAACCTGGAACCTCTTTTGACTCCCGGGGGTGATCTATCACGTGTCCTTAAGTTTGATCTCATTTCGAAACAAATCCATTCAGAAACGAAGATTGAACTTACAATGCTCCTCTAATCTAACTTTAATACGCTGTTGTAAGAAGCGACGACTCCTGCTCAGCATCCAAGCTGTCTCTGACGTTGGATTGGACATCACGTGAATATACTTTTTCCTTCCGAATCTTGTTCGCAGCATGCGGCACTCTCAGCATAATCGAACATCTACAAGGTGCGTAAGGTTCCTTTTCCAAGCTCATCATTAACTAAGCAATTAGATTTTCAGAACCTGCTTCTGGGTCGGAAATGCCTGTCACTCTGAGGTGGCATGTGGATCATAAGTTGATCAGGAGACTCTGCAGGTTCACGCTCTTCTGCAATTCTCTATGCATTGCTATCATCGAGATCGTGGTATTCATGCGGATAATCCTATGACGCTCGAGTCGAGACATTGCGCTCCGCAGATATTCCTGTTCGGCGTGACATTCAAAAATTGCTGGAGATCGAACCGGAACCCGACATTTTCCCAATCTTGAGATTTTAGACATCGACAATCAATTCTAACAAATCATCAGAACCGAGGACGTCGCATAATTTCCAATAAGCTGCAGTATCAAATAGGTCCATCAATGGCAGCAAGAAGATCTTCAATTTGTCTATCCTGCTAGCCAGCAAATGCTCCTCCATCTAACTCCATCCTCCTAATCCGATCAATAGATGTAATTACACTCCAACTCACTCCCACATTCCAAGACTTGGTGTATCATGATTATTTTAGTTTCCCTTGGCAGTGGCGTCTGCAATTTCCATTAGCACATCTACAACAATTGGTATTCTGAATGTGTGAGCATACCTAAGTATACAGAGGCAGTGTTGAAGCTGACGACATTTCCATCGGCATCGCTCATGGCAGGAGCTTCGGCATCGACACCCGATGAGGTGGCAGTAGTTTGACGAGCAACGATGTCTGTTGGATTAAAGTTAGTTTTGAAGTTTGGGAGTGGTGGGTCGGTGGGCTCGAGGTGGGTTTCTATGGGACTGGAGACCCCAATGGAAAATACCCATCATCGAAGAAAAAGAGGAAAAGAATATGAATGAGGGAAAAGACTACTGGAGCATACCATCGAGACGGTCTGGAAGAGCAATGGGAGATGCGAAAGCAACGGCCACGAGGGACAGAAGGGCGATGACTGAGAATTGCATGATGACGGTAGTAAATTGACCTTGAAAAAAGTTCGAAGAGTGAGTGGCAAAGGTCGTCCGGCGACAAAGATTGAAAGTAGAAAGTAGATGGAGGAAACGAAAAATGAACGTTTGATCAGATAGAAGACTTGAGATGGAGAATGGGAGAGGAAAGATAAGATGGAAGGGAGACATTGATATTTGTAGTGCCAAGGAGAGGCTTGCTATCCTGGCCATTTGCCGGACATTGTTTTCGCCGCACGGGACTGACGGGCCTGTCCAGGCCGATGTCATCCTAATTGGAGCTGGAGGCGGAGACGTTCCAAAGAGTCTGGGTGGGACTGGGGTGCGGGCAGGCTGAATTCAAGCTTGAATCGGTGATCATGGTGTCGTGCGACTGGGCCCGTTTGAAAAAAAAGTGCTTGTACGGTGGACAACTCGGATCAGTCCTGTGGGATTGGAGGGATTTATTTCTGGATGTTCTGCAAATGGCAGTGTGGATTGCTGATGGAGCATGCTAAGCAACACAGCACGGGGTTGTTGACATTCGGGACATGGGATACGGAAATGTGAGACGAAGGCTGATACGAGGATGGAGCAGTGACAGCAACAAGCGAGAGCGACCAGGCCCGCTTTGAGGCTTAAGCGCAAGATCTGAAGATGGGAAGAACAACGTCCGAAGAATCATTCATGCGTTAACAACTTTGTTTTCAGATGATTGACGTATCCGACGCCTGCATAATGCTTGGCTACATGTCAAGCTTTTGTGGCAAGTCTTGGCTGTGATTTTGACTTGGGGAAATTGGGATGGCAGGCGAAGCGAGTCATGGAGAATCCATCACGTGGAAATGATCTTTCTGCGTCATGATTGTCTTTGGAAAAGAGTCAACGAAGCAGAAGCAGCAAAAAACTGGTCTAATTGTAGTTTTCAGTTAGGGCTTCACCAATGTCGTTCAGAGTGGATATCGATCATGTGACTAAGTCCCCTGCTTCTCCGAAACCTAGTGGTGGATCTTCCCGGGGCTAATGCTTCACCTCCTGCATCAAATCCACCCAGGATCAAATACGACATTGCGGAAAGAATGACGGTTGGGTGTTGAAAATCTCATCTCAATTGGTACGGACAAACTTCCATTCAATTCCTGGTTGCCAGTCAAGGACAAAGCACCATCATCGATACGACGGGATCTTTTCCTCTTAAACATCAGCACTTCACAAAACCACGTTGATATCTTGCCCTCTGGTGTAGACTTCTCGTCTAGTGGCGTGAGATTCTACTCATAGAGAATGAAGTGACGGCCTCGAGCTGGAGACTCGTCTTGCCTTTTCATTTCCTCTCCCCGAGTAGCGAGAGCAAGTGCTGCTACGTGCCGAGATGGATGCCTGGTTTTCTCTTTGCTTTTCGTTAGTTCTGCTTTGATATGGATTGCTACAAGTCGTTCGTTCCTCATGTTCAAGTCTGAGCAAGGTGCAGATTTCGTTGCCATACTTGTCGGCCAGTCCACAGCTGGGACAACTTGTTCGAAGATAATTCAAGTCATGTATCCCTTGTTTGTTCATAATATTTGAGCGTTCTTATATCATCCAACAAACCCTGGTCGAACAAATGCGCTCAAGACCCCAATACCCGGACGAGAAGGAGACCAACAACAAAGTGCACAAGGTTCCGTGTTACCTTCTGATGGGAGTTCATGGACTTGGTGGATGAGAGTGTGTACCTGTCCGCCAGATTGAAACACACTCGAGAAGAGTTGTGGCAATTGGGCTGACTTGGCACGAGACATAAATGCGTTGGTGGTCTTTGCTAGTGGATTCGAGGATGCCATCAGACCAGCTGCAGGACCGATGGATGGTCTTGATAAGGGTTGGAAAGAAGTGCCCAGTACAAAGACTTGCTTGCGACTAGTGTATCGGTTCTCAACACATTGCATGAGAAAGCTGGGTCTTGTTTAACGAAGAAACATCTCACTTCTACACATCTTCAAGGGAGTCGTGGCTCAACATTGTTCGAGGATTGTGCCAACGGTCTGGAAGGGAAGTGCGGTTGGGATCGCGTTCAGCAGACTGTGTGCGGATCTTCAGTGTTGTGTCAAGCTGTGCAGCTTCCAGAGTCTTTGGAAGAACAGGGTACTGTCATTTTGGCCTGCAGAGACCCCATCAAAAACTGAGAACTTGGCTCAACTACAAGTTAGAACGGAAGAGCCTTCCAGGCACGATGAGACGTCATCGTTCAACGAAGGAGAATCGCTTGATTCAATCTCCACATCTCCGTCATCGATATACAACTTTTCCTATGCACAGACACTAGATTCTGGTCGGAAGTTACCTACATCTATCAATTCCGAATGAGACGATGTCGATGACACGCAAAACAAACGACAATACCGCCTCAGCCAGCCCTAAAAGAAATTACGAGACGAATTCGATGTCGGCCAAGATCACAGACAATCTCAACAGAGTCGTATCACGTGTCGGCAAAGCCAACAGATAGTACGAGAGACAGCAAGGAAGAGTGCGCGAGGAGTTACAACCGAAAGAGAGTCTTCAATTTGTGAATGAGTATCCTGGGTATGCGCTTGCGAGCATAGAGTTGAATTCGGCTTCTCCAGCTGGGATTTCTGCAATGTCTTCATCTTGAATTCGATATATTGGTAGCTCCCTGCATGGAGTTGGTATGTGAATGTACAGTCTTCATTCTTGAAAGGATACTCGAGTTGACTTGAGACTCGATACGGAGCCTTTCGCAGCCTCGTTTCTGGGCATTGAGGCTGGGGTTGATGTCTCGGATGACTCGAACTAGAGTCTTCCTTGACTTGCTCCTTCACTCCGCAGGGCCTTGGTGTGTATTGACTCTAGACAGGGTGCTGAGTAGTCGATCCGGGTTCTGGGCTCAGGAGTAGATAGTTTTGTACGAAGAAGCCTCGATGGGGAAAGCCGAAGGCTGAGGAGCTGCAGCTTGCCTTCACTAGTACGAATACACTCAGCTATACACGCATGATTCACGAGTTCAGGTGTGAATCACGAAAGTACAGGACCCACAATCAAACAGACGGGAAATGAGCGATTCTCTACAATTCCAAGCAAGGGAGCAGAGGTTATGGACCGCAAGCTTGCAAATTGTGAATCTAGCAACTAAACGTGCTGAGCACATGCATCTCTACCAAAATGTGTATCTTTCTTCCGCCAAGTCCTTTCCACTTCCAAATAAGCCCGCATCAAAGAAGGTTTTAGTCTGTCATTCGGTTGCCTACATGTCCGTTTCCCAAGTCATCCATGACCAACTCTGGGCCACGAGACTACATCCAATCTTTTCTGCCTCGCTTCCTTCTATACACGTGGCGCTCCAAACTTTCTGCTCCTCTTTTGGCACCACTTGTGGATGTAACGCTTTCCAGAGTAGCCTCGGCGCTGCTGGTAGAGGGTAGAATGTCTATCGAAACTGCCCTTGTTCCAGCCGCTGCCAGACTAGCAACTACCGCCAAGCTCGTCACCGCCACCAGGTTAGCAGCTTTCAGATTGCTGGTAGCCGAGGACGTTGTAACAGCAGAGACTGATGGAAGGGGGCTTGATACGAGGGAAACCTTGATGTTTTCGGCTGATATTGGGACTATCACCTGGATGACTAAAGTTACGGTTGACAGCATTGTTGTGTAAGCGATAGGGGTCGACAACGGTGTGCTTGGGAGAGACGCAGCGAGGGTACTCGTGGGCAAGCTGGAAGAGACTGGCAAAAGACTGCTCGATACGGGGGCTTTGGGCGTACTTGCAGGCAAGCTATTTGAGATTGGCAGGGCCGAGCTGGAGCTACCGCCTCCAGCTGCAGCGGCTCCCAGTGTGCCGATGAGATAAGTTGCCATGGTCGTATTTGCGTCTGACGAGTGTCCTGCCTCGTTGAAAGCTGTTGTTGCGTCTGTCCCAGCCACTCCTGTAATGTCGTCTGGCCCATCTGGGTGGATGTTTATGTACTTGGTGACATCGTAGACTTCGAGGATTAGTTACTTTCTTTCGAATATTTAAGCTGCTTACCATTGTTGTTGTAGATGATCCACGGATCAGTCTTTGTGTTGTGTTTGGCTACATCTGCGGTGGAGTACGTGGAGAGAGATCTTTCGGCGAATGGAACGTTGTTACGTCCATCGAGGACAGGAAAAATTGTGTTGCGTTGATTGGCATCGTTGATGAAGAGTGCTGCAGAAACGGTATGAGCAAACACGAAGTGTAGTGTTGCAAGTCTGGTAAAGATAGAGAGTTGCATCGTTACACGAGCTTGATTCGTTGTTGTCGAAAACGTAGAAAGTCTTGAAGAATTCGGAAGGCTGTTTCATGAAAAAGCAGTTCCTATATATGTCAAGCCCTCAAACCCTCGTGAATGAAACGGCATAATAAATCGTGAATGGATGAGGGCGTGATTGTGGACGGGTGTAGCGAGTGATACAAGATAGACATTCTGAATCAGAATTCTGATGCGACATAGAAAATGAAATAGCATTCCGAAAGACTCGTCCAATACGTCCACTTAAGAGGAATGGGATTTGTAGTAGAAAGTTGGTTGGGGGAGTGGTCGCTTAATTGGCAAATCAAATGATCCATGCGGACAATATGACCCACTCTTAATGGGTCTGCCTTATAAATCTAAACAAGCATCTCTTGCTAAACAGTCCCGTTGGTCTAGTGGTATGATTCTCGCTTAGGGTCTAACTCTGAGTTCAATTTGCGAGAGGCCCCGCGTTCGAATCGCGGATGGGACCTAAATAGCTCCAGCTTATCCTTTTTGTTTTTTTTGCTTTCTTTTCCGTCACACTTTCTTTGCGCGATTTGAGGCTGGAACTTAAGCGACCAGTGAGGAACACGAAACAAATCTATTTTGAGGATATCCATAAAGATCTACGAACAAAACTCTCGTTTTTATAGAATCAATCATCATTCATTTATTGGCAATTAATAGTGATTTTGCGTGAGTTGCAAATATTCTCGTATAGTTACCGTACAGAATAGTATGTCTTCAATTGTCTCAGGATTAATATAAAACTTGATTCACGCTCTCGGCGAGAGTGAAATTGTTCTTTTCTTCTAAGTCTTCTTCTTAGGTCTCAACGTCAAGTACATCTCGCAGATCTGCGTTTATTTTCACTCGATGAGTTTTCTTCGAAGTTTCTTTTATTCCTCGTCTCGAAATGAAAGCGGATCACAGAGTGAAAGTATTAGAAGCCACGTGACATATCGAAGTCCGAGAGTTTCTGGCAAGCTTGGTAAATGACATGCTTCATAACGCTTCTTCATCTATGAATGTTGTCCAAGTCTTTCTAGATCGTTGAATCAAATATTAAGTTTGTAGATTTGAGTTTCTCTGAAGAAGCCCTGCAGAGGATGGATTCGTGGAATAGTGGGCAGAAAAGCCGTACTTGCCGAGTCAACATATGACACCAGCGGTGACTGTGCTCTAGGTGTGATTGAATCCTTGCTTCAACCAGGAAGGCAAATGAAATTCTGCTCTCGCGCTCATTGCTCATCCGGCGTTGTCGTCTTTGCGATTGGGCATTCGCATCGCTTACCTGGGTAAGTGGGGCAACTCGCTTGTAAAAGGAGACATCGCTTAGCTTACAAGTAGGGAGCCATCACTGTGTCCAATTGTGTACCATATGAAACTGTGTTTGACTCAAGAGATGATTAACTGAATTGTCCTATATGATTTCAATCTGATTTATGTCCACTGATGGCTGAGCTTCGCACCGATGTTACGTTCAACACCCCGCCATACTCCACTTTCATTCAGCCCTTCCACATGGCAATTCCACACATCATAAATGTTCGCCACATACAAAGAGCCACTCGAGCAAGGCACACCAAGGTGTACATGACGAATCATAACGCAAAGTACAGTCCGCATACAAATGAAACGCAAATACTTACCTAAGTAGGCATATGCCTAACGTATATATCTTCTAGCTCAATGAGTCTTCTAGCACCACGTAGTCACACACTATATGATCGATCTGGCCGAGTTCAATATCGACACTCCACAGAACGTGCTATATGTCCTCCACTTACATCTGTCTGAGGCTGTTCCAGACACCATTGGAGTCTCTGACAAAATGGCGCTGGGAGTCCTTCGCAACCCAGCCAATGAATTGAACCTTGACGTTGTGCTCGACTGGATATATCTTGGCGTAATTGACAAGAGACATTGGTTCAAGCTTATGTCGAGCATTTCTGCCCTCGAATTGGATAGGCTTCAGATGCGGTACGAAGTTTAGCACAGGAGGTTCGGGCGTCGAGTATATGATGGCGTGGTACTCGGGAGTGATGCCTCGCTTCCCTAAGCCTTGACGGCCGTATGTGAGAATTGGTCTGTAGACGATCAGTCAATGATATGAATGAGTGGGGAATCACTGACACGCAATTGGAAAACCCATTGCCAGTAGCCACGACGACGAATCTTCGCACACTGGAGTAGACCTTTTGTCCATATTCTCCGTCTGCAGTCCAACCCTCAACTGTAACATCAGTCTGCTCTGATATTGATGCGGTATCGGATCTGGGTTCGCCTTTCGGCTCCGCCCATACGACTTTGAATATCTAGAAAGTTAGCAGATGTTAGATATTAACGGCACACGGATCTAACTAACCTGACCAGGCTTGAAGTATTTCGAGCGATGTACCTTGAAACCTGGCAAGTACGTAAGCATCATACGCAGGATAGGAGGCTGAGCACCTACTAGGGTCAAGCGATTCGTATTTTCCCGCCGTGCCCGTAATGTTGGGGCGAGTAAACTCCTGTGGGATCCTTGCCACTTCGCTTGACACCTGCAACGGTGGGGGCGGGCGTCGTGATCGTGCTCGTGCTCGGACACTCGCTTGCATGTATCAGTATAGCCTCGACTTATTCTTGATATCTAAGGGTACCTTGAGTGACCGTCGCATCCGTCTCGTAGGATCGTCCTGGAGAGGAATCTCGTCCTGCACCACTTTGACTGCTTGTAGATAACTGTTGTTCATATGGGGCTGGCTCCTCGTCGCTATAGTACAGTTCTTCTTCGTCCTCTTCTGGTGGCGGTGGTGCTCGGGGATTGTAGAAGCTGCTGCTCGGCGGAGCCGGGTTGTAGTCTGCGATGTTTAGCACATGGAACTCGGTTGTTGTAGGGGCTCATACTAATCGGAGCACTACTGAAGTTACTTCCAGTGGTAGATGTATAATTTTGCATCCTGTCTTGTGCTGAGTACCTGATGATTGAGAAGTCAGCTCCTTCAAGATTGCTTCCCAGCCCAGACGCGAAACGGCATCGCTCATTCGCAGCAAGCTTTCAGCAGTATGTTGGTTTGATTATCACTTACATAGAACGCTCATACATGCTGGAACTTTGTCCATATGCTGGTCGAGGAGCCTGGAACCGTGTTGCTTGGTATTGGGCTACTGCAACAACTTGTTAGTGGAATTCTACAGAAGGGAATAACAACGAACTTGGCACTTGATACACAGAACTTGACTGTCCACTGCTACTGTTATCGACATATTCATCTGCTGTAGAGGCTTGACCCTGCGTCAGGGAGCTTTCGGCCAATGCTTGAGTGATTCCACCCACGGGGTCGGATGCTTGAGTCGGAGCATTGTATGAATAGTCGTTGGCTTCAGAGTATTGAGGACTGTTGTCGTTCGCAGAGCTGGAAAATCTGGAGATAGCAGAACTTGTTGTAGGAATGGGTACTCGAGGTGTCGATTCCACAACTCCCTCGCGACTTTCCCATACTTGCTTGTCTGTTCGATTTGGCTATCAGTGGTGTTACAAATAAAATAATAAAGTGATCCACGAAAAAAGAATATCAAGCTGGTCTAGGTCTTATTGTTCTAGACTTACTTTTGGAATTGTATCGGTACCGGTAAAACTTCCCCTTCCTTCCGTCCCATTCCCATTTGGACCAGTTGTACCCGTCGGACCGGCTGGACGATCGGCTATCCATATGCTGAAAATTGATCGGTCGATTGCTGACTTTGCCTCGTACCACACAAGTACCGAGCCTGGCCGACTCGCCCCATTACGCTGATCGGGTGCTAAATAGACATTCTGAGTTTTGAGCCTCAATTATCCACTCGTCCACTTGATATGTTCAGAAGTGCCATGTCCTCCTTTTGATGGCGCACAAACAGTTTGATATGGCTAAAGGGATAAGATGGAGGTATGGTTTTAAATGTGATTGGTCTGCTCCAATTAGGATGGTGTTGTGTTCCGGTGCTCAATCTGCAGACTGGGGTTGCGCCAGGATTGCCTTTTCCCGGCACAGAAAAGGAAGGCAACCATTCATGCAAGATTCCGTTTGTTATCTCTCTTGTTTCAAAAATGTGGCGGTGGCACGTGAAATCTATTGGGTAGATGCAGGCGCTGAAGGCAAAGTGAGGCTGTCAAGCGAGGCTTACATGGCCATTGGATATAAGATCCTTGTGGGGCCTGGATTTCTTGTGGACCAAAATAATTTGTTATTCCATCGTACACCCCTTTCCGAATACTGCAGCATTCCAGCAACTGGGGCCACGAGCAAATACAGTAATCGACTAATGCCCTTATGGCAACAACGTCGATCTTCATGTTCAAGACAACGGCTTCCGACTTTACTTGTGTTTGCTCGCTAAATGAGTTATCTCGGACAAAAACGCCAAAATGCGCCAAGTGAAAGATTTTATTGAGCAAAAGCTCGAGAAGATAAAGCACAAGATGACCAAGGAAAGGCCGCGAGGATCCCAGAAACAGAAACGGGCCAGCACGAGCAGTATTGGTTCTTCCCAAGGTTTTCCGGAATCACCAGCTTTGAGTTCACAGAATCCCCGAACTCGTCAAAACAGCAATCAAACAACTCAATCGAATACAGATGCTCTTTCTCGGATGAATACCAAAAGCACAACATGCGGAGGGGATTACGTTGTTGTCTCTAGCAATCTAGGAAGATACCAGGTCTCGGAAATGGACCATCAGCCTCCTACGCGGAAAGATATACAGCCCGAAGAAGCTGTAAGCTCCCAACAGAGAACTCAACCAATCTCTCCAGGCAGTGGAGGGAACAAACCAACTCAAGACGACTTAACACCAGGAGTAGAAGGAATCCTACCACAGACGCTGTTACCAGAACCTTCCAGTTTTGCAGCCGAGACAGATCCTGAGGAAGTCTTGGTGCCTCGTCCAAATGAAGAGCCACAGGAAGTACATCAACCAGAACTACTCAGTGTTCGGAGTCAGTCACCAACTGAAGAGGATAAAAGTTCAAACACGATTTCTTCCCCACACGCAGATCTTCATCTTGATTCTATCAGCTTAAACGACAATCCAGAACTTCTACATCGTATCTTGCAAAAGTTGGTCCGGAAAAAGGATGACTGGGACAAACTACGCTCCCTTCGGAAGAATGAACTGGGAGTCCGTTCCTCACTACAAGCTCAACGTACAGTACTGCAGGAGAAAGAAGCAGCTAAGCAAGTTGCAGATAACGACTTCATGAAGCTTGCAAGAGAGAATCCGCCATTGGAATCCCAGCGAGATCTTCTTGAGAGCCATGCAAGACTTCAGCAAACCCGGAATGACTATGGACCTGCTCTGGTGGAATGCGTTCAAAGAGAAGAAGCTTTGGATGTTGTCGAATGGGAAATGGGAAGGTTAGAGGACCAGCTCTACGTAATTCTGTTCGGCGAGATTCAGGAAGATACGAATCTGGCTTCCAATTTCTTCCCCACAGAGACAATTGTGGGATCTGCATCGACACCAAGTCCATGGCTAGGCTTAGTCGCAGGAGTCCAAGATCGATTCCAACCTCTGCATACACAGTATTTATCACGGCAAGGGGACATGGATCTGGCGAAGGAAAGACTAGGCAATCTAGAACAAGAAGCAGAGGATCTATATGCGCGGCAAGAATATTTGCAGCGTTTAGGGCATGATCTGAGTCCGGAACTCAGCGAGGCGTTGAGAGAGATCCCTTCTCGAGAAGCTCAGATACGCAGTGAAATGGCTGACATTGAGGCAGATGTCGATAGATTAAGACAGGAGTGCCTCGATGAGGGGATCGATCTGGACGGTGAAAGTGATGATGGGAGTGGGGACTCTCTGAGCTTTTTTGAGGATGATGTACAACAGGACAATCACTGAGATTTGGAGGGAACACAGCACTTCAGATCTTAAGCGTTTCTACGGATGCATGACTATGCTACTTTTTTTGGATCCCTTTTGCAGGTAGATTGTCGCTTTGTAATAGAGATTTGTGGCCACAGTGTATGAGCAAGAGCTGGGCATGGACAGAGTTCCTGTAGTATTAGGCGTACTACTATCTTCTACGCATTCTTATGTTTATCGGAGCCAGTTTAACACCACTCGGGGTGTATTGGAATGGTCAAGAGGGAATACAAGCGGGATATCGAAGTTCCATCACAGTATCCGTGTTTCTGCCCAATATCGTAAGTTGTGCTTCTCAGAGATAGTTTCTTTCGACCTGCCTGCAGGTAACTTGCCGATGTCTCGATGCTGATAGGTAGTATTCACTTACCATGGGGAACCTTACGCCCAAATACACACCGCCTCGATGCACCTACCAGCAAGTGGTACCATCAGCCAGTCAGGCTGCATCGAAAAGCAGATACCAGTCATAATTCAGTCGTCAGGCCAGAATCGGAAAGACTTGCATGCAGACAGCCCTGGTTAGGATGTTTCTGCCACAGCGAAATGTGACAGGTTGAATCAATGCCATCCCGAGTATCGAATAGGTTGTACTAAATATCTATATGTTGTGTAACGATAAAGATCGTCCAACAATCGCTTGGGTATCGGTCACTTGAGGCTCTTATCGTCAAATTTTCGAGACCCCCGGGACTTTCTGGACTTCTGTTGTTTTCTACTTGCTCTGAGGTCTGCATGTGCTTATTTGCTTTTTCAAAGTGCGGGGTTTGAAAGCTAACACGTGATTGTGATTGAAGCATAGGTAGCCATGCAATGTCGAGTCACTTAGCAGCACTGTTATTGGAGTTTTGAAGTGAGGCTTCACCAGAAGTTGTCAAACGCTCCCGAAAAGCCAATGTTGGTGCCTAACGTTCGATCTTCTCAGCTGGTTCGCTGGACACTGTAGTCATACGACTGCCTTCTCCAAGACAGCTGTAGCCTAAGAAACCCCAGAAATCCGAACAAGCCTATCACGATGTTATTCAAGGTAGCCCCTGATCGGCTTCCTTCAGAAAGTAAGTCCAGTCCAAAAATTGCTCTTTCCTCACATTGCCCAGCTTTGAGTAATTCTTACCTTTTCTTCTCTCTATATTCTTAAGCATCCTATCATAGTACCCCTTCTGAGGTTGCCGATCGAGACAACATCCACGTAGCTGCTGGGGTAGTCCTTCTCCTCGTTGCCATCGACATGGTCTGCGCATTCACTCACACAATACATGTAACATCCGCTTCTGCGGTATGCGGACCTTTGTCATCTTTCCTTGTTAACAAGATTCTTCTTTGGCAGACTTAAAGACGAAGGGTGTGCTAAAGACGATGTAGCACAGAAAGTGACCGCAGACTAGTAGCTAGAAGAAGAATTTTATGATCACTAATTGAATCACAGCAGTACCCAGAGCTAATCAGATTCCCTCCAGACCTTTTTGTGTGATTCAAGTTGAAACGCGACTCGGAATGGGCGACATCATACCCAAATCTCTCCTGTTTCGTTCTGGCAAAGACTCAAGGTTCTCGGTGCTAGTCTACGTTTCACTCCTGCTTCGAGAAAGGTCCCCAACGAAGAACACGACGAAAAACCCATAGAAAAGAAATGTTGAAGTGGTGCCCACCCTCTCTGTCCTATGTGCCAGAACTGATACAAGTCATTGAGTCAATACTTCCACCAAACTGCACCATACGACGCTGCTTTGTCCTTATACCTACAACTCCCGGCCTTCATGGCACATCAGGTTCACGCGAAATTGCAGCCTCAAGAAGTGTTCATCTCAAGCGATGTCAGGAAGGTTTCAGCTGCAGAGCAGTGTTCATTTTGAAGTTATCTCTTCATATGCGTTCACAAGCTGTGAGGTCATGCTGTATACTTTCTTTCCGCTACAATAAACGATACACGACCAAAAACCTTCAAAGTATGCCCCTGTACCTCAGCCATCGCTGGTCGTTTGTCTTTCTAACTCGATTTGGCGCTACTTGCTTTGATGCCACCGCTGCCACCTTTGGCACTGCTTCCCTTGGCAGTGCTTGCTTTAGAACTATTCGCTTCGGCACCGCCTGATTTCCCTTTCTTTCTGGCCTTAAGAACTGCAAGAGCAAGCTCCCGATAGTATCGTACTTCTCTGCAGTTTGCGCAGTCCCTGGAACAGTATTTTCCTTTGCAGGTGACAACATGAGTGGTGCATCCGCCTGGCCATAACTTGTGGATATTCCAAGGGTAGGCTTTACATTTTGATCCGCCCATCTTTATTTGTTAAAGTCTGCCGTTGGTTGATCTGCTTAGAAGTTCGGACTTGGTCTTGGTTATTGATTGTTGTGGGTGATGAGAAAGTTTGCGTTGAAGAAGAGATCCTGTTGCTTGTTGTCTTGGGTAAGTCTTTCCAATGACAGGGAGCCTCGGCCAGGTTATTCATTAGATACCACTGCAATACATGTGGCTGTTGACGATATTTTATTCACAAGTGCCACAGCTGAATATTTCTGAGCTAATTTCACCTGAAATACTTTCAACGTATCACGTAAGCAAGATTTAGAGTTGTGTATCTCTTTTCTGGACTCTTTCACTCTATAAATTGTGGATAGTCTTTGAAAGGCTTGGAAGACGCTACCAGGATCTTAGCATACAAGTCTTATCCACAGCTCAAACTGACAGATTCTTGAACCAAGTTCGTTATGCCATTTCGAGTCGTGAATCCAGATCCGGTAAAAGCAGTACATCCTCATTCCACATGAACTGGACGACAGACCTATAGCAACTCAGTGGAGGCTCATCATTAACTCGTATTGTTATTCATGACCCTTCTGAAAATTTACAACAAAAGTGACCCGGTCAAGAAGGACTTCGTACTGATTTGCTATTTTGGTCGATATTTAGCGTTGTATTGACCCTTCTTCTGCATCGCCTTGATCGCCCTATTTGTGTACTCTTGCTGAGATGTTCTTATTTTCTTGCATCCTGCACAGTTCGAGCTGCAGCTGATGTTCTTGCACTTCTCTACATGACGTTTGCAGGAAGCTGGATTTCGTACGAGGTGGGAACATTTCTTCTCGCTCTTGCTTTGACTGGAGCCCATTTTGTGTATGAATTCCTCGTTGTGTTATGCTCTTGAAATTGTGCTTGAAGATTCTTGCACCGGTATCCCTTGGAGATTCGTGTTGTGGTGGATGTGTTATTGAGAAGTGTTTAGACCGTGTGTCTGGGAAATTTTTGATGTCATGACTTCGGTTGCAATATGATTCACTGCACGGATGACGCCGACATCGAGAAGCCTCTGGACCATTTTTGAGTCTACATGACGCTCGTGGTTTCAGGAGTAGCACGATTCAGAACCAAGTGTTGACCTTAGTCTACCAGTATCCAAATCCTCAATCAAACGCATTGGTTGTCTTTGACAAACCTTGAAAAGATGCTGCCAGCAGCCCTAAATTCCAGACTTTCATATTTCCTCAGAAAGCATTATAATTCAACTGGTTACAACGACCAAGTTTCGTTTTATTTCCATCCTCCAAGCAGCCCCACCTCAACTTCTATGCAGATGAGTACATTGACGTTCTTTAGACAATAGCGGCTACTTTAGTATTAGTCTGCGGTCCCTCAGTATCAGTCTATATATGAATGTCTTCTAGGCATAACTTATAGCAGCCACGTCTTCGAAATATGCTCACTGTTTCTCAAATCTTCTAGCGCTGCCGGCCAGATGCATCAGGATGACCTTTCGGGTTCTTATTGTCTGTCATGACGTCTTTTGTGTACTTTCGTATCGATTTACATGTCTCGCAATCGGCTTTGCACTTCTTTTTCGAGCAGCTGCGTACGTGAGAGCGACAAGCCATGTCGGCACCTAAATCATGGCCTGGGCAGTGATTTTTGCTTTGGCTTGAACCCATCTCTGCGTGATGTTTTGAGGCCTCGTTGAGCTTTTATGTTTATTGATGGGGAGCCGTGGAATGGGTTGGAGGGAAAATTTTGTGGCGTGTTGAAGTGCTCTGGAGAGTTGGGTTGAACGCATGTCAGAAAAGACATTTTCTTTGGAGGACGGACGTGAAATATGAGGCATCGCTAACGAGATGAATGAGTCAGGTCCTTGGAGACCTTTAGAGAGATGCCACATGTAGATGACGCTTCTGCTTGATGAAACTCCTGCATACTTCGTGAATCGCGGACTGCTTTCAAGTCGCACACGTGACTGTCCAGTAAACCGTCACGCGACCCATGATACACCTAACACAACATATGTCGTTGAGACACCCAAAATCGCATCTTATCCAAAAGCCTATACTCCCAGCACCATCCCTCAACCTTATACCGCTTCCAAGTCCCCTATTGCGTGACATTCCCCACACCCCTCATAATGCGGACATCTCTTCCCGAACCGACACTTCCTCAAATGCTCCAGATGACACCAATAAGGATCACTATCATGTTCATCACCAGAGCATGGTTTATGTCCCGGACATTGAAGGACCATCGTTCGCCAATCGCCTTCTCGTTGTGCCGATTTGGAGGCGTACATGCCGTGTTTGGATGGTGTTGTGCCCATTTTTGTTGTTGTGGGAAATGTGATGACGATGAAGACAGTAGTTGGGTTTGTTGGGTTCTTTGTTATTTTTATTACATGCCTTTAGAAGGACGATAACAAAGAAAGCGGTTTCGGGCATGTGATGTTGAGGAGTTGGACAAGGGTTCTTTGTTGCTGTGATTCAGGGCTAGTATTCACGCTTGGAGTTAGACACATTGTAATAATACAATATTATTGTTCAGCGGGTCATAACGGCGACTCATTTAGGGTTTCATTTGAGAAGGAAGAAGGAAGCTAGGTACGACTGAGGCTCACAGCGTGACGATTTAGCCTTGCCAAAGACGATAGATGTTGCAAACATGGAAGAAAACTAAGGTGCAAAAGAGCGGAAAGGGTTTGTGATAGTTTCATGGCAGCCGAATAAGCAGGTAAGATGGTAAAGGAAAAGTATTTAAGTAATGATCTATGTTTAGGTGCTCTGACATTATGTGGGGATTGGCGCCATCGCCTCCTGCTCCTTTTGCCCAGGCATAATTCAGTCGGATAGACTTCCCACCAACGTCTTAATCAAACATAGATACTCCCATACCCTGGTGGCGTTGCCCAAAAAGTCATCAATTTAGGCATAGGTCGCAGCATCGCACTCTCCAAATCCCTTCTATCACCAGGTTGTGGTCGAGCAGAAAAAGGCCGCTGAGGAGTCCCCGAGTCGTCTTCTTTGCTGTCTGCATCAGGGCAACCGCACTCAAATATTTGCGCCCGGGGGGTATCATATGAGGTAGAATAAGCGGGCAGAAGTGTTCTCGATGATGTTGCATAACAAGATGATACGTGAATTGGGGTGTCGATCGACATGTTTGTCTCAATTGCAGCATCGGGTCCCGATTCGTGGAGGCTTAAGACTATCTACGTCTGAATGTCAAACAGGCTGATAATTCTGCGAACATGGAGGATTACTTTTATCCAATGGGTTACGGTGATACACTCCCAGTTTGTATCGACAATGAGCCGTTTTGTTGGTCCAGACTCGCGCATGCTGTGGCATGAAGGTAGCTGCGCTTCGAGCTCAATCTTGGTTGGGCCAGATCTAGAATCAGGCGATTCGTTGCTTTCCATGGGAGTAAGAGCCACACTGTTCTTCTCTGAGTCTAATTTCTCCTCTGATCTCATTGTCTGGGTTGATAGTTTTGACTTTTCATCCGGAACATCCATTTCGGAGTCTCCAAAGTCTCCCAGGTATCGTGACTCAACAGATTCCTCGAGTAGCTTGATCTTCCGATGTGGTGCTCTTCTGTAGCTGTCGTCTTCGTACCCAAAGAATTGAATATTTTCTGTCAGATAGACCGCAACGGAGTGGCAGCGTACTTGGGACGAGGACAGTCGAAGTGTGATAGGTATCTTTGATCCGATGGGGAACGACTTGGAAGGGATGGCAAGATTGTAGTGAAGTCGGTCTTTCCACTTATTATTTATCAATATCGGTCCAGCTCGGTCCAGTAAATCCATTTCTGGCACGCGGACTAAGATGATCTCTTTCATCTTGTGGATGTTGGCTCTGAACACTCCATGCAGTTTCACAAATGCTTCGAGCTGGTAGTTAACGTATCTTTCCCCAATCTTAAGAGTCTCCGGACATGTTCGAGGTATTGGAAATTCGATCAAATATTCGTATATACCTGGCTCGAAAAATTGATGACTCGAGCTTTTCGTAGTAGAATGCCTCTGGAAGCGATTCGATTGGAAAGGTAGACTTTTCTGGCGCGCTTTATACCGATCTAGATCCAAAGGTGTATCACTTGAACTGCTATTCAACTGAATCGATGATGACTGGAGAGGTGTATAAGATCCGCACGGAGACGACGTTTCGCAACCAGGTAATGTACGGAGATCTGTGTGGGTCTCTTGTCCGAAACTGTGAGGAAGAATGGAGCGGCGTGTGAATGTCCAACTGTGCTTAATGAAATCTTTCTCTTCAAACTGACCGCAGGCTCCTATTCATAGTTTCAGGAATCACTTGCGTCCACTGGTAGGATATGTCTCGTACCTCGATGCCGTTCATTCCTCGACCTGCCCGTAAAATCCAACTTGATGGCCTTGACCTTAACAGCTTCTATGACCCTCAAAACAAGCTTCCCTCGAAGGATAGCCTGCTGCTCTTCGCCCGTGCCGTTCATACTCGACAACGCACCGAGAGTGCAGCCTTTCTGGAACAGAACTGGCTCCGCGAGCTCAATCGAGCATTGCACCAGATCGCCCGAGGACTTATGCTCCATGCTATCTGAACTATGCCGATGACTAGTCAAGGGTCTTTTGTAGTATTCTGGCAATGGATATGCGAGTAAGCGTAGCTCAACCTGCCAAGAAAATGTATAACTCTACCAGTTCTTTAAGCATCACCTGGAAGCACGATCGTAACATTACATCATCATTTCCAACATGTGCACCGTAAGCAGCGCGCAGATCTGCAAAGCCAGCGCTGTAATCTCTAAGTGAACAATGTTGGATTTCTTGTTTGAAGTACCCTGCACACAAGGGTTACTGTGCTCGAATTACCCCGAATTTCTGCAGCTGATGCTTTTCGATCACACCAGATACCTCGATCTTCAGTGCAAGTATGTCCAAATAGTATAAAGTGTGACGTCTGAGGATAGTTTGTCAGATAAACCCTCCTCGGGTGCATTTTGATGCTTCAAATGAGAGGCAAATCGATGTTGTTGTCTCTGTCTACCGGCTCCGGGTATGAAAAGCCGGGTGAGCCGGTACTTGTAAGCGAATGATGCCCCTCGTTAAGGCCTGAGGCCGCCAAAGCCTTCTATACGTACGTCACGGAGCTCTCCTCCTCTCTCTCATCGATAAAGAATGAATGCCGACGATGAATTTCCCCTCTCCGACAGTTGCAACCCAGTACATTCCACTATAGTACCACACAGTCCAGCCAGTACCGTTCCGACCCGATCCGTGCCGCCAGAAGAGCAGCGCAATGTCAGAACGTGAACAATCTACCGGCACTACCATGGGCTCTCCCAATGCAGCCCAACCAACCCAGCCGGCACTGAAGCGTCGACGAGTTGCCAAAGCCTGTGAGAGTTGCCGATCGCAGAAGTCTAAGGTGAGTAGAGCAGACGTGCATACTCAAGCGACCTCCTGTCATCTTGGCAGCGCCACACGTGATGTTGACCAACGTGACTTTTGCTGACCTGGTGGCAGTGCGATGGAGAACATCCAATCTGTGGTCGTTGCAAGGGGTATGGTCATGTGTGCTCTTGGCCCAAGGACAAGAAGGATAAGAAACACCCGAATCAGGGCTCAGACGCTTCCAGTCCCGGAGAGCCCGGCCCAAGAGACTCGCAGCAGCCATTGCTGCAATGGGTTATTCAGTCTTATGACAACTTGATAGCAAGCGTGCAATCCGACTTGCCCGAATCGACTCGCAATTCGACCACATCAGTATTATCTCAGATCCGAGGGCGCTTGCCTGCTGGCATAGTCACTTCGGCGGCCCCAGGAGCAACATCTCTTCAACGAAACCTATTCGATCAGAGCGGAAATAACTCGAGGTACTTAGGGGAAGCGAGTGACGTTCGCTTCTTTCACACCATCAAGAAAATCCTTCGAGACGATGTTCATTCAGGCAGCTCTGTCGAGGGTGAGACACAAAGCTACGACCAAGAGATCTTGCGTTTAGAGACGCATGGTGGACGACACAACCTTCCGACTAAAGAGGTGGCAGATGCGTACATTGAAATTTACTTCTTCACAATTCACATCGCGTATCCCTTTCTGAACAAACCATCATTCATGGTACGCTACGCCAGATTTTGGACAGGAGATGTAGAAGCTGATGAAGGTCCTTCGTGGCTTCCTCTATTGTGTAAGTTATTAACTAAAGGAGAAATTACCAAGGTTATACTCACATACCATCAGACACAATCTTCGCGATTGGCGCCTACTATACATCTTTCCCTCGAGGCGAAAACGCCAATGTTCAGGCACATCTTGATTACTTTGGCCAAGCTATGTCGCTCTCGAACTCTATGATGACGGATTGCACACTAGAGAATGTTCAGATGCTGATTGCCCAGTGTTTCTTCTTACTGGCTATGGGCCAAACTGACAGGTAAAGAGATAATGTCTCACGCTTTCAAAAACTAACATCTGTTTAGATGCTGGAACACTCTCGGCCTTGCAATCCGTGTGGCGCAGAGTATTGGCCTCCATGTTCAAGACTCACGCGAGAAGCCTTTGACGGGTCTCACTATCTTAGAGCAAGAGACGATACGGCGAACTTGGTATTCGCTATATGTCCTGGACCGGCTTCTCGCCCTTCAACTAGGCCGCCCTATTGCCATCCACGAAGATGAATATTATGTTAATCTACCATCAGAATCAGAAGAAAATGCATGTCTCTTTGACGGAGAATCGAATCAATTCTTCTATGATCAGAAGTCTTGTCCTATTGATTATTTCGTTTCCGTCATCGAGTTCTCCAGAATCTTGGGCCAAGTAATTAGCGACCTTTACCGGCCTTCACAGGTGGCTATTGAACCTGACAAACTGCTATCGAGCACCGCAGATTTAGACGAGAAACTTATAGAATGGAAGTTGAGCCTTCCACGTCATCTTCGGTTTGATCTTGGCCACACTTTTGAGAAATCCATGATTCTCAAACGACAGGTAAGCCTTAGTGTGTGATTTTGTCAGACCTTTGCTAAATATACCCAGCGGAACATGCTTGCAATCAAGTTTCACCATCTCCGTACGCTGATGCATCGTCCATACCTCTGCTTGGCATGGGTCCAACAGCCAAATCGACCTCTGATGGCCCTACTCAAGCGAGCCCGCTACCGCGTCGACAGCTTAGAAAGGATTTGTGTCCACGAAGCTCAGCAAACTGCTCATCTACTACACAACGTAGCCGACGAGAAGAGCTTGGTCCACGACTTTCCCTGGTGGCAGATGATCTCCTGTCTGCTATGCGCAAGCTCCGTTCTCCTCGTCGCACGGGCATGTATTGAACCCGACCGCGCCGATCTAGTGGTTCAATCACAGACGCTGGACGAGGATGCGGAAACTTGCCTCAAGGTCTTTGATGCGTTGAGCGTCAATTCGGATGCTGCTCGACGTGCAAGAGATATGATGAAGGACTTGAAGCGCATTCGCATCCTACCTTCCAGTAATTCTCAAGACACACTTTACCTTGCAGATTATCTAACGATATGTAACAGGACTCTTAGATTCGAGGAGCGACTCGTCTTCTATAATCGACGGTACGAACGACAATGTACACACAGACGGTCTGGCTGGTGGGCCTTCCTTCGTCCAAACTTTCAATTACGGAGTGAGTCATACTGGGATCGACTGGCAGACGTGGCCTGGCGAGCTATCGGATCCGATGGCGTGGTCGGCGCAGTTTCTGAATCCGTCGGAGAATGTTTTCTTCAATTCTATACCGGTGTCTGATGCTGAATTGCCTCAATATACGCAGTATGAGGGGCAGATTTAGCACCGATGGATGCAATTGAGACAAATGTAGAGTAGTTGGAATATTCTTCGCTATGCTAGATGGTGAGATGTCCGCTGAGAGAGAGAGAAAGTTGAGAGGGCCTAGACAGAGAATGGGCAGAGATCTTGTAAGGAACGACTCCAAGTTCGTTGCATCAGATAGCTTAGCTTCATTAGCGCTGGCTTTGAAGACTTGACTTCAACAATGAGCGATATTCAGTGGAAGTTGCTCGTAACCAAATGATGACAATCGCCCTTCCTGTGACAATGTGAATGTTGCCTAGAAAAAGAGAAATAAAAACGGTGCATCACAATAGATAAGAATCACCACCTCGCCGCTTCGTGCGTGATATCTCAGTAAGATCTATCCAGATTAAATAATTGGCGGTATAAAGTGAATAAGGCACGGTTATGTACATCACTGAGTAGGCAGATGATATGTCGAACAGCCTAAAGAAAGCAAATAGAGATCAAGATCTCAACACCAAACATTTTGTAGTTCAACCTGATTCTTGCAGGCATGAAATTTGTAACCCTCAAAAATAACAGCTCCATCAAGCAATCGAATCGAATGCAGATCCTCGTAATCGCCATCTTGCGAAATCGCAAGAGAAAGACAGTCCCTCAAGCCTCCCCCCGGGGAATAACCCCAAGTGGAAATCGAATAAAAGTGGTCTCTTCAGTCATCAATCCTGAGCCACCAGCATAAAACGCTATAGCCGCACAAATAATGGTAAACGCACCACCGGCCTTATTAACATTGATACTCGCCTGCGGATGTTCCGTCGCAATAAACTGCGCAATAGACAGAAACAAGAACGCTAGCACCAGAAAGAAGAACACAGCAATGATCGTCCAATTCGTCCTCAGCGCCGCAACGAGGAACATGACCGTGAGAAAACACCACAGGATCAAGTAGATGCCGAGCGCGAATGAAAATGCGCGCGCGTCACCGGCATACGCATCTTTGATGCCGAGAGATGGGATCAAGAACATGGCGAAGCTGAGCCAGAAGGCGCCGTAGCAGCAGTGGACTGTGGTGCCGAACGTGTTGCCGACGCGGAATTCCATGATGCCAGCTACGAACTGGGCGAAGCCGCCCATCAAGATGGCGAGCCCGAAGACGGCTTGGTCAGGTCCTACTGCGCCCTCAGGGTTGGAGTTTGGTAGGCTGGAGAGTAGCACTGTTAGATTGCATGGTTTGAGGGGAGAGAAAGTAAGTACCCAGCTCCACATTGGTAGAGGCCCAGAACAAAGGTCGTCAGCGCGAAGCCGATGAGTCCTAATGGACCTGGATTGGCAAGCTTTCCGAAAGGAGGAAAAGGGACTTGTGAGACGGTGCCAGTGTGACGGTGCAATTGGGCTTTCAGGTCCTCCCCTCCATCGACGTGATGGTTATCCTGAAACCCGGCAGCGGATGCCTGGGTCTCGTCTTGTGCAGCCATAGTGCAAGTTTTGCGTTTTGCTCTTACAGTTTGTGATTTTTTCGTGATCAAGTGCAAAAGAGAGAAAAAGTTAGAACGATGCTGTGCACACAGGAGAAGGGATAATTACTCTTCACATATACATACCAGCAGTCGCTCTTCATCCGGACGCCCGCGAACATGCTATTCGGCATAACATATCACGCTCTGCGGCCCGATATGTCAATATTCAAAACTGGTATAGCCTGACAGCCTATTGTCACATCCATTTTGAGGGGAAATTCCGATGTACACCCCTCAATCTGAATCCCCTCCTTTTGTACATTTCAATAAAAGATAAGGTTACCAATTTTTCGCGGTAGCCGGACATAGTGGCTTTGACGAGGCACCGAATAGATGTAGTTGTTAAGTTCGCTTATGCTGACTACAATTTCGAGTCAGCGAGGTCGTTGAAAGAGGCTACAAGGAGCGATTAGTCAGCGTAAACGGGAACCGATATCTTTTGGGTGCGGAGAGCTCTCCGTGCGGCAAAGCGGGGTGAGTGTAGAGCGGGGTAGGTAGGATCTTCAAGAAAATCATCACCGATGTGACGTTTGTAGCATTAAGCAATTTTTGTGAAGAGTATCGATCATCTTTGTTGTCGGATGCTTCGGGAAAACCGGCTATCCCGGGATCTCACATTGCGACTCGGGAAGCTCCATCTAACTCGTGATGTTCGGCCTGTGAAGTACCGGCCCAATCCTGTATTTGGAGCATTGAAAGCACTATGCAGGAGCCGGAACTCAGGTCGACTTCCTATCCTGAACAACCGCACCCAGTCATGAGCCTCTATGGTAACCTTGATGATGCTGGTGCACGAGATATGCGCATGTGCGACTTGAAGTCGACCATGATATTTACGGAGCAAGCTTTTGGCAGCAAACAAATGGAAATCTAGACAACAATCCATTCTAGCACCGGTTTTGAGCTCACCAGCATTTGAACCTTTCCCAAGCGCCAAGCTCCAATCTGAGGCCAATTGCCATAGAAACACTTCTTGAAATGCGTGAGATAGTGCATTGGCTGCAATGGAGGCAAGATACAGATACACCAAAGATAACTGGTCGATCATTTCCGCCAGCGATATGCATTCAGATTGTTCTTCCAGAGGATACACTCCCGGCGAAATCGTGCGGAGAGCCTGCGGTGCGGCATAGCGGTGATGAAATTCGAGGCCATTTAGAGGTTACCACCTGTGGTACATTCAATTTCGAAGTCACTCTTGCTTTTGAAGGTTTGTATTTCATTTTCCGTACTTGATTGAGCAGCGATTAACTCTAATTCAGGTGTCGTTCGAACATGGCTTGGGCTCCAAAACGATGGCGACCCTAGTCATCTTCCACCGTCAGCTGAGTTACAAGTAAGAGCATCTTTGCTCTACTATCAGACCTTCAAAGCTCACTCTCGAAAGTTCTTACAAGAGACCCAAAAACTGTTTTCAGACTCATCGATCAGAATCATCGAAGGCCCATTCTGCAAACATCGATTACCATTTCGATTCATCGTCCCCCACCAACTCATTTCCGCTCATTCAGACGTCCATTCCGATTTCCTGAAACTATCTCCTTCAACCAAACAAGGACACGAATTCTGGGCTCCAACAACCAAGAAGATGTTTCGGCAGCCGATGATCGTCTATATGGTCCGCATCAAGCGCATTACTACGGATAAAGTTGTAGAGAACTTCATGCGGTCGACTTATCAGCGTGAAATAGCCGTCATGCCCCATACGCCTCTAGCTCCGCCTCTTTCAATAGAGGCGTTTCCAAGAGAATACAAGCCCTGTGTAACGAGACTGGTGAGGCAGCACAGGTGGACACGACCCTTTGGATCCATAAGACTGTCAGCCGCAGAGCCTCCACCGTTAAATGTCTTAGCTTCGAGATATATTCCATCAACGACGGCAACCTTAAGTCTTGCTTTTATAGCAAACAGGCTCCATGACTCGGATATACGACCATGCGAAGAATGGAACTGTGAGGTGCGGTACTACTTACGGATCAGAACTTTTTACTCGACGCGCAAAATGCAGCAGATGCCAACCTTCTCGGCGACGAAAAGGGATCCATATCTGGAAGTCCGAGAAATTAGGACGACTCTAGAAATCCGAGAATACTCTGGACTATGTTGGAGTAAGGACGACAGGTATCAATGGAAAGCCACTCTCAAGGTTCCCATAAGGACGATCAAGAAACTGTTGCCGACATTTCTTAATCAGTTGTCAGCGCGGCAGTATGCTATAGTGGTTCAGTTGAGCATCAAGGGACTTGTTCATGGGGTGCTGGAGCTGGTACTGCCGCTGCAGGTTGTTTATTACCCGGGGGGAGAGGAGCTTGGGGACGGAGCTGAGGATGGTGATGATCTATCTCCTCCCCGGCAAGAGTTCATGGCATCTAATGTTGACTTATTGCCTCCTCCATACGAGTTATAAATAAAGGCTATAAACAAGACTTGGAATTTGCATATTAAAGTGAAGCGTGATGGTGTTGCTTCTTGGAACAGATTTACCACATTTCTTGGGCCGCCTAAACACGGCAGTGTATACTAAAGAATCATAACCACGACATCCGTTCAATTCGATTCAACAGTAGTCACTGAGCGAGACTACAGGCAACAATGAATACGCTTATGATCCAAGTTATGTTCGAAGCACGACTGGTAAGCTCCACTAAACTTCTGAAAATAACCAACATACGATCCGAGAACTCACAGGAGGGCCACCATAAACGCATCCCTAGTCCCTCTTCAATCCCATCATCTTGAAGCCTCAAAGACTGACGGAATTCAAGCCATCTTATAAGCCACTTACTTAGAATTTGACACCTCACCAACTCTGCCACCAGTGAAGACTATCCCAAACCCCAGCAAACCCCCAGAATTAACGACGATCTCAGTACAGACTTTTGACTTTCTTCATCATTTTCGGCTTGTATTTGCCTAAAGAGGTAGTTCAGTGGCGAAAATAATGTGCGCTGTGCATTGTGCACGAGCTATAGTACTGGGGTTATGATTTGTCGAGCGCCGGCCTCACTCTCACTGTCAAGGCCCATTGCTGCGAAGACGTATACGGGGTGGGCGGAGCAGCGGGGTTGCGGCCTTTTCTGGGGTAACTTCGGAATCAAAGAATGATGATTCATAAGCTTCCAAGTGAAAGTGCGGCGTAGCGGGGGTAGTTGATCGATAACCCGTTCCGGGAAAGAGAGGAGAGCAGCGACGGGTATTAGTGTTTTTACACCTCGTCTAGTGTTTCCCGCTGACAGAATCCAATACAAGCCACCTTGTTTATCTTATCAATAATTGTAGAAAACCACAGAACAAACAAATCATTACCACCCCCCAATCTAGAACGCTTCCCCGTAAACAAATCTTGTTGCATCCCCTTCCTCCTCTCCCCCTCTCCCCCTTTTCACACCCAACACTGCCGAAGTTTCAGCGAGAAAATCTTTCAACAGAGATAGTGCAGTATAATCTAACCACTCGTGTTTTTCTTTTTTAATATATTATTTCTTCACACTTATATGAGTTTTGAAAGACCCGCGGCGGAGAAAAAGAAAAGGGTATTAGGGTTTCGCTAATTCCAGGGGTTCGCTTAGATGTCTCCTTTCCTGAAAATTACTTACCTACGCATTGTTTTCTGGACATAGAGAGGTAAATAAAATTCGTGGAATTAGCAGGAATTCTAGGTCATGTTGGTGGAGGTACGGTATAAATATAATTTTTGATCACTGATCTGCTGATGTTTAGTGCTAATTATTGTATTTTAATATTCGTTTGCCGGTGCAATGAGCGTGTTTAGCGGGGTCAGCGCAATCAGCACACTCAGCGCGTCCAGCGCATTTAGCGCATTTAGCGCATTTAGCGCATTTAGCGCATTTAGCGCTATACTCAAACCTGCATTCACCGTACTTCCAGCGCATTCAGTCGCGGCGTCTCAGTCCTCTCATTACTCTCAAGACTATACTCCCTATGTATCTAACAGTATACCCTCACTGCCTTCACACCATAACTTCAGAGAAAAGTAAAAATGCATCGATCGATAGATCAACAAGACCCAGAAATTTAAATGCTACAATATTAACCCTGGCTTATATGCTACCCAAACGACCCGTGTAATTATGCAGCCAAAAGGGAAATTCTTTTTCCTTTCCCTCCGATCCAACTCTAACCAAGTCCATAAACTCCATAATTTCACAAATTCCGAACTCTATGAATAAAATACGAAAAAAAGGGGTTTCTCCTACACATACATAAACCAAACCTCTCACCACCCACCACCCGGGCCAAAATCCAACCCCAGCCCCAACCCAACATTCCCCACATCTGCCCTCCCTCTCCCATTTCCATCCACCACCTCGGGATCAGGATACTCCCCAAACTCAACCAACCGACCCCCCGTCACGATCCCACCGCTTCCCCCACTCCCACCCCGTTCCATATCCGCTGCCTGTGCTTGCGTCGAAGGCATACGCGGCGAAGCTGAAGCTGTAGTATCAGCGTACACCGATTGCGGGGAGGGGAAAGCCGCGGGGAAAGAAGCTGGTGTATTATGCGGCTGCGGTCTTGAGTAGAAAGAATCGTTCATCCGCGGAGGGGAGGGGTAAGGCAGCGGCCCCGAACCCGGACCTGGGAGCGAGGAGAGGCTGCTTAGCATTGAATTCGGCGGCGGTCCTGGGGCGGTGGGAGAGAACGACGGGGCATTTGGGTCGAATGGTGGTTTTTGCTGTAGGTGCGGAGGTTGGAATGGGTCGACACTCCCATCGATCCTCTCCCTCAACGCCAGCCTCGCGAGTTCGAGTCTCGGACTCTGCTTCACCATCATCCCTTCACGTTGTCTAGCGTCTTCGAACTCTAGATCCTCCTCCTCCTCTCCAAGTAAATCCCTCTCCCGCATCCTCTCATAAACCTGATAACTCGTCGGCGGAATCCTGGGGCTAAACCTTGGCAGCCTGGGCATCGGCTCTGTTTCCGCGACACTTGCTCTCCGCTTCCCCTTCTTGCTTTGTCCTGAGACATCCCGACTCATGGGTTGGGATGTATAGCCGCCTTCTTCCTGGTGCGAGAATTCCGGACGGCCCGGGTAGTAGGCGCTTGAGTTGTGGAGTTTGATGTTAGGCGAGGATAAAGAGAGGATGTCGGGCGGGAGGAGGGAGCTGGTGGTTGAGGAGCTGGGGCGGAGGGGTGGGGGGAGGGAGCCGGAGAAGGTTTGGGAGGTGCGCTGGATGGTGGAGGGGTGGAGTTCGATTGGAGGGAGGCCTTGCAGGGGCGGGTAGAGGGTTGTGGGGTAGGGGTTTGGACCTAGGGTGAGGTTTTCTTGGGAATATGTTGTTGTTGTTGTGGCGGGGTATTCGGGGGAAGGGGGATAAGGAGGCATTCTCGCTGCCACGGGGAATTTCTGGAGGGATTCGATGGCGGTGCTGTGTTGATCTGAGGTCGAACTATTGCTTGATTCGGGGAGCTGTTCGGTTGTGGGGAATCTGTAACTCCCAACTGTATCTGGAGTAGCGTTCGTAACAGCATGAGCGTAAGAAGGCGTCCCAGCCACCATCCCCCCTCTCGGACGAGCTCTCGACGACGAGGATCTCCGGTCCTGGATCTTCCCTCCCCCTCGAGCGGGCGGTGGACTACTCTGACTGATGTTATTCAACGCGGCTTCCGCGCTCGATTGACTCGACATCCTACCCCTCGATTGTTCCCTCGACGACGAATTCTGCAGATATCCTTGAGCGGTGTCGATCACGCTCGTGACATCCAGATATGTATCCTTCATCGCCCTCGGATCCGACGAAATCATGGCTCGGAACGCTCCTGCACTATCACGGTATCGCGTCCTCTCCAGATTCTTGATCGTGCGATGTAACGGCAACTCCTCAGCACCCGCCCTCCATCTCCTTGGTCGGACTTCTTCCCATCCACCAGCAGACTCAGCGCGCATCGTCCCCTGTGAAGGCTGAATTGTCATCGCGACCGAATCCTCGTTATCAGTATCATACCCCGGATCCTCGGGCATGGAAATCGGGAACTGATGTCTATTGTTATACGCACTGTCCAAACGGCGCAAGTAATCATGCGTCAAGCTCTCCGGCGATTCCAATTGTCCTTTATCGGGCTCCAGACCCCATGTTGAGACGCTGGAGTGGAATTTATTGTGCGAACCAGGCGTCTCGGGCCCGGTGTCAGAAGAGCTGCTTGTGCGGTCGAAGATGGAGCATTGGAACGTCTCGGGCTTGCCGCCTGCTATTACATCGGATGCGTCTAGGGTTCGACGCTCGATCTCGGTGCGGATGGATGTTAGGCGTTTGGAGAGCAGGTCTTGGGCGTCTACCATAAGGCGTTTTTGTGATGAGGTGAGGTGCTTGGATGTCCGTCTCGTGATACCAGGACGGATGTTGGCGTCTTCGATTGGGCCTCGGATTACATGTCGAGAATTGTATTTCGTGAGATGCTCTTGTAATTTCTTGCCGTGAATCTCGTACAGTCGATAATCTTCCACTCGGCCTGTGTTGTGTTTGCGAGCGATTCGTTCATTGGCAATATCATACGAGCAGCAAAATACATGGACTGCTCGATCAAGCCAAACGGGCAATGTACCTTCAGCATGTAGCGTATCGACAAAGAAAGCTTGCACGACGCTGTGAAGCCGGATGACATCAATGTTATCAGCCAACATATCCCGACTATCCTTCGAGCTCTGCGATGAATGCATCTGTGGCGCCTCATGCTCATTCCGATCCATCAACGCAAACGTATTCAAGATCTTGAACGTATTGTTCAACGAGCGCCCCGTCACCTGTTCCATCGCCTTGACCTCGACATCCGATGCCCTCAATCCCAAAGAAATCATCTCCACCGGGATATGCTGACTAAAGAAACAGATCAGATGGATAAGATTCAACGCTTCAACTGCACCAAGATCCTTCAACTGATCCACGACGGCGGTATACGTCCCCAACCCCCTCAATCGCGGCTCCGACGAATACGACTTCGCAAACTTCGACAGCGGCTCATCAGTCGCTTTCAGCCGCTGCGCTACGGCGTGGATAACCACGGGCAAGAACCCCATCGACTGAACCAGCTCCATCGAGTACTTCAAATCATCCCTCCCAAACGGCTCCTGCCTACCCAACTCCAGCAACAACAGCCTTTGCGCCTCTCTCGCCGACAATAACGGCAACTTAATAATCTGCGGATTCATAAAATGATGGTCCCCGATAACAGCCTTCTCCGTCGACGTGTAAATCAAACTCGTATTCCTGCTATCCGGGATAAACTTCCGCAGCACGCCGTGATTAAAATGCATCCCGTCCAGTACTAACAACCACTCGTGCCGCTTCTCGAACCATTTTCTCACTGCTTGGATGAACTTCTCGTGGTGCACTTCTTCCGCTTCCGAAGTGTCGATATCATGCCCCTCCATATTCTTCAACGCTGCTTTACACGCAATATCCCAGAACCCGGCCGCGAGCTCCGTCTCGCTCTTCGCGCGCAGCCAGAAGATGCCCCCGGGGAAATCGTCTTTGTGGCGATAGACGTATTCGCGCGCTAAATGCGTTTTGCCGCCCCCGGGTAAGGATTGGATGAGTACGGCGGAGGTGCCTTCGGCGCGGCGCTTGGGGTCGAAGAGCATGCGGTGCATGGCGAGGAGTTCTGAGGAGCGGCCGACGAAGAGGGAGTTTGGGCGGAAGCCGGAGGGTTTGATGAAGTAGGGGGCGTCTTGTTCGGAGAGGGTGGTGGGAGGGAGGTCGATGATGGTGGGGGTTATGGTTATTGTTGAGGGGGAATTCATTGGTGCTATGGAAAGATTGTGTATCAGCGCTTGGTCCGCCAACGCAGTGTATTTTGACATTAAAGAATTTGACAATAGATAGAAACATGTATTGTGTTTTCCCAATCTTTTCAGAGATAAAAACGGAATGCCAAAGATAATACAATACAAAAGAAATTCGTCAAAGGCAATTTGCGCGGTTCCACCATCACGCATCCTCATACTCAGGAACATTCATATTCTGTAGTCTCTGGGAAGAGCCTGATGAAGTATCAAGCATTCCCGGCTGGCTATGCGGTTGAGCACCACCTTGTTCTATCAACGTACCAGAAGTATTTCGAGCCGGCGACGTAGGCCGCGGTGTTCCTGCTGGCTTTGCAATGTCAGCAGTTGATACCAAACCTCTTTCTACACCGTTCAACTTACAAGTACCGAGATCCCCAACAACTTAGCAGCTTCACCCTCCCTTTGCCTCTGTCTCAGAATTCTCTCTTCTTCCCAATTTTGCTGTATAGATGGAGGAGCTATAACATATTAGTTTTGCTCTTGAAATGGGAAGAGAAAAAAGAGCTTACCTTCTTGGACCCACTGCTTCAACGTAACAGAAACGTTCGTATACCCCGGCGAATTCTTACTTTCAAACTTACACATCCCCGAATGCGTCGCCTCGATGCCAAAATACTGCACATCCGGCAACAGCGGCCCCGCTGAAAGCTGATCAACAATCATCATCCTCGTGCCCTTCAGATCCGTCGGGTGCGCCTCGTGCACCATGCACACTTTGAGGTGATTCGGATAGATGTCCAGGAATTTCAGATTGATGTTCTGCAGCGTCTCGTTGTTGCTTTGCAGCGTTTTGACGAGTTGCGAGTGCGAAAACATGATCTTGCGCGGGATGAGCGCGTCGACCATGCCTTGGAGGATGATACCCCATTTGGCGGGGTCGGCGCCGTTGTGTGGCGTGCCTAGGAAGATGACGCCGTAGGTCGAGACGTAGATAGAGCGGAGGGCGTCGTCGCTCTTGCCTTGGAGGTCGTGGGAGAGTTCGAGGGCGCGTTTGACGAGGATTCCTCCTAAGCTGTGGGCGACGAATATGATGGGGTGTGCTTCGACTTCTTCGTTTGTTCGTTCGGATGCGAGGTTCTTGAGCATCGTTTGCGCGTGTTGGTGAATCATGTCTGAGCTATAAGTAACGTTGTTAGCTTGCATTCTTGGTTGAAGGTTGAGAGACCGCATGCCTTGGCCCGCCTTTGCTGCTTCCAAATGTATATACGTCTGCATTGTATCCATATACCAATATCCTCGCCTGTGCAGACTTAAGTGAGACTGGCAGCAGTTGCGATGGCCAAAATGTGCCCTTTTCCTTCGAAGTCCATGTGTGTCTTGGATCACCATTCAGTCCATGTACAAAGACAATATCGACCTTGGCATCTGGAGGTGCGTAGACCTCTGTGACTTCGTAACGTTTGATTTCGTTCAGATCGATTGCATAGCGTTTGAGTTCATCGAGAGCGAGTGAAGTCCCCTTGAAGTTGTCAGCCTTGTGCCTGCCGTGCCGCTGCTCGGGACCTGCTTACCATGCTTGCGAACTCCACGATCGTCAGGTTACTGCAGATGCGGCTCGGACGACGAGCCGATTCTGGAAGTTATATATACAGAAAGAGAGCGCGCCCGATGGCCACAGTCATAATGGAGCGAGTGAGTACAAGAGCCGGTGTATTCGAGGACAGGACAGATTGTACCCAAAAAGAAGTGAAGCTTCGTCTGCCTGGTGGTGCATGGGCGTCGCGAGGTTTTCGGTGTACTCGTGTTATGGGTGGCACGCGCGAAGCACTTAGTCACACGGAGAAGCTGCACTGGAAGTACGCCACCCGTCAGTCTACATGAGAGACATTGGGGAATGGAACACTATGAATGCGCCCTGAGGGTGTGCAGAGAGAGTACAGTAAAATGTAGGTAATGGGGTATGAGGGTCGAGAGTCAGCTGCCATGGGTTGGGTATTTGGCGTGATGTGCCTAGGGGTCGATTTTCGTAGGGTAAGGTTAAGTGTCTCACTGCGGAGGATTCGCGATGATGCAGTTGCTGCTGCGCCTACAGGGGATCGACGGGATGGCGCGGAGACTAAAAGTCTAAAAGGAGATGGACGACAGGGCATGTTGCCTGTCGGAGTAGTTCCCTGATCACAGCCTTGGGGCATTGGACTCTTCGGTACGATGCGATCATGTAAGATTACGATCAAGGGGTGAGATTCGCCTCTGCTCTGCTCTGCTCTGCTCTGCTGCCTCTGATATGAGGACAGATGAGAGGGCGTCGGCAGACTCTGGGGAAAGACACTTTGCGATACTTGCATTTTCGTCGTCTGATTGGAGTATTCTTCATGAGGTACACGTGAGAGGATGGGACGAAGTGTGAGTAATTTGCTTCTACTGGTTGACTCAGGCTTTTGGTATTTAGGGCGCCGCTTCAGCTACACCTTTGAGGCTCAAAGGGCAATATGAAGATTCTTCACAATATTTGACCTCCGATTTGCCATCCTGGAGGCACACGATACAATATTCGAAAGGAACAGTCCAAGCTTTGTCACCGAAAGCGGAAAGCTGCAGTCCTATAGCAGCCTTGCAGGTAAGTCGCCTGTAGCCTACGGAATATTGCAGCTCCGAAGACTTGCCTCACCATGTGGGCGAAATAGTCGTAGTAGGACGAAAAGAAAACGGCTGTGCTGACTAAAACTCGAGGCCATGTTTTCTTTTGCTCCCTGTGACACCTGGTCTTCGGTAGTTGGAAGTATTGACATCGTGAAACCAAAGCTAAATGGAGAGGGTGACTCAGGTACCACATCCCGTGACCATCTGATCAGTCTCTGCTCCGAACTTTACAAGACTTGGTCAAGACTCCTTGCTCGCCGACTCATGTATGATCAGAAGTCCTCCTAGTATATTGGGTATCGTTACATCAACTTCGGGCAAGAGCCTGCCGAAAGACACCTTCCTAGTCCGACTAATGCTGTTCAACCCTTGGGAGAGAGCATCAACACATACTCGCGCGTGCTATGTCCGAACTGAATCATATCCTTGTCCCGTAATTCCAAATATCGACTTGGAGAAATCTCTTCCTTGTTGAGTGATGTGCCGTTTGCTGATTCAAGATCAATGAGATATGGCCTCACTCTTCCTAGCTTGTCCCCATATTCATTCGTCTTCTCAACATAGCGAAACTGGATGACAGCATGTTGCTTGCTGACACTTGGATGCTCTGCAGCCATATCCACTACAGCCACCTCTCTTCCCACCAACCAGCAACTCCTTAGACTAAGCTCAATAGTCTCCAGAATGTCTGCACCTTTGAACACAAAGAGTTTCCATTCGTCTTTCGAAGGTGGCTTTCGGGCTTCTGGTGGTTCGTGATACTTGAGAGCAATAGAGCTGCCGTCTGCTTGCGTGACCGAGTTCGAAGCTGCTGCCAGGAGTCCAGTTGATGCAAGAGACGGTTTTTGTTTCTCGGGTACATCACCTGCTGCCACAAGTGCCTTTGAGGGATCCTCGTTCGCTTGGAAGGAAGCGGCTTGGGATGGCAACGGTCCTTTAGCTTTTCGACTAACTTGAGTCGAGGAACCTTCCCTTGACGATCTGTGCTCTTTGTCTCTACTACTTCCGTATGGAGAGCGTTCTCGCGTCTTCTTGTGACTCGAATCTCGATCTTGGTGCCGTCGATGAGAGGAATCGAGTCTAGGACTTCGAGATCTTCGCCGTTGGCTTTCTCTGTCGTTGTACTTGTCCCTGTCCTTCACAACTTCGTCATCCCGTCTGCCGCGATCCCTTTCACGATGTAGTAGTAGGTCTCGTTCCTTTCTGCGACGGTGTCGACGCCGTTCCTCGTCAGAGTCGTACGAAAGAGAGCGAGAGCGACGTCGAGGCGCACGGTCGTCCCTCCTCCCCGTCTCTGCCCTGCTTGATCTCGATTCTGACTCCATCTCCACTTCTGGAATCTGCCTGGTCGGCGCAGTTAGAGGTGGTCGAGTGGGGTCGTGGTCCTGGTCGTGGACGAGGAGGCTGAGATATTGGGAATCTCGAAATACAGCTTGGTCGCCAATGGAAATTTTTAGCTCCAAAAATTAGCCGCCAAGAGGACACGACAAGGCGACCTCGTCAACTTCTCTTCACTCTCTCGTCTCCTTTCCTCCAATCCCAACTTCTATCGAACATCGCATTCACAATCCAACATCAGCATGATGACTCTATTCACAAATCCTACAGATGCAGTTGCACTGTTCGGGGAACCAGTTCCTGGTTCTGCAGCCACTACGCCATTGACTTATTAAGCCTTCGCCCGTTGACAGATGTATTGAGTGGATCTCGAATGTACGAGAGGAGGTGGACGATTCGACGGAGGTACAACTGCCGCGCATATAGAATTCTGTCTTTGTTTTGAACAAAATCTTTTCAAGACGGTTATGAGTTCATGAGGTACATGGCCGTTTCACGATTCGCAAAATTTTCCCTCGCAAACACATCCTAAGTGGGAGACCGTTATCAGCAATTTTAGATGGTGGATATCGGTAGCAATTGCGTGCATTCTGCTCAGACCTTTCCTATCGTTTCAGCCATTTCTGACACCTCTCTTCTCTGGTCAGTAATTCTCCGATGTTTCTCGATCCAACTGCATTGGTAATAATCTATCTGTGACGGTAATTCTCCTCACCTGCATCTGTGCATTGCTGCGCCGATGTGACAAGCAATGGCGGGCCGCAGGGTCGGTCCCCTGTTTGCAACCGTGGGCGGTTCAGACATATTCATGCGAGATCTTATTCGCGAACCCCACCAGACTTCGTTTAGTCCTTGGCCAAATTAGGTTTGTCGTGTCAAGCAGATATCCTATGAACTGCAGTTCATGGATCCAGCGATCAAAACGTGAAGCCTTTACCGTACGTCCCGCCTCGTTGGGACAGGTGAAGGATGCTGCAGCAGGTACCGGGGTCCTATCCTCCGTGATCTTCATACAGATCGTATAACTGATCCTTCATGCCCACTTTGAGCCAGATCTTCTTGCTCAACCTCGTGGCCCATGCACTAATGTATTTGCTTTTCATTTTGCTTTTTAAGAACAATTCTTAAGTGCTTCTACTTCGTCACTGTGGATCCAAGTCAGTTCACAGCAACTCGATGTCCATCACTCTCGGATGTCAAGCTCTATGTTTCCTAGCGACCCCTTCTGGATGGTTTGTTTCACGTGATTCCCAACTCTGCAGCTATGGAATCACCAACAAGACTTCGGCCCAGGGGCTCAATGCCTCACGTGGCTAGTCAATGGAATTCGGGCCAACATCAACGTGGCAGCTACGATGCCAGGCTATCCACAGGGAAAGCCAGGAAATCAACCGAGTATTTGAGGCCGATTGCAATTCCACCTTCTCGACCAGGTCGCCAACCGAGGCAGAGTCCTGGTATGAGCTTTCTTGCTACTCCTGAAACGGAGAGATGGGATTTCGGATCCATTCGACATATTAGACAGCACTCCTCGGAGACGAAAACACCAGTATCGGCCGTGGACTCTGTCTTTGAGCTTCCGTCAGCTACTTCATATAACTCCCCAAATTCTTCAACGCACTCCTCTTTCATCGCCGAATTAGAGGACACATCACCGATGGCACTTCGAACACAGAAACCCTCTGTACAAAGAAGTTCAACCGCGTCACCTGCTGTTTCCCACTCTAGCATGGAGTTCAAATGCGCTGAAATGACAGTGCGTCTCAACCTCGTGCACCTTTCTTCTCAGCTGACCATATATAGTCACGTGCAGTCATCAAAGTGGTCGATGAAACAATCGCGGCCATCGAAGAAACGAATCGCAAGCTGTTATCAAGAGCAGTTGCAGCCGAAGAAGCAGCAAATCAACTTCGGGAGCAGAACTTGGAGCTTGAATCAAAGATCAAACACTACAGTAATAATCATCGACCAAAGACAGCTCCATCTCAACCACCAAATGGGACTCGACCTCATCACCGACCATCACCAAGCTCTTACTCCCAGCCCAGAACATCTCAAATGTCAATAAATCATGACCCAACTCCTCTTTCCACCTTCAACGCCCAAATAGACAAACTCCTCCTCCCACAACCCCCAAAGCGAGACAGCCGACCCCGCGAACCGCCGCCTTACCCACCAGTTCATTCTCACTCCCACAGCAGCTCTACCCCTATCTCAGCCCCAACGTACATAGACCTAGCCCCCACCACCGGCACCCCAACCGGCCTCTCAGCACCACCAAAACACCATCAGCGTCCACCACCCTTACCCCTTCAACCTCGCACCCCATCTCACTCAAATTCAAATTGCCCCGCCTCTTTTCGATCATACTCACAAACCAACCTCACGATTTCAGGCCCGATCCCAGGCTCGGTCTCTAGACACGAAGTCACCTACGGCGGCACACCGCTCTCGTCTTCTCAGCGCGCGAAAAACATCTCGTTGGAAGAAGCGAGGAGGAGAGCGAAGCCGCTGCCGCCGTTAGGACCGATGAGTCCCAGTGTGCTGAAGGGAGTGGTCGAGATTGGGGGCGGGAAGGAGAGGGATGAGTGGGGGAGAGTGGTGGAGAAGGAGGAAGTGAAGAAGAGAGGATTTGGTGGCTTTTTCAAGTGGAGGAGGGAGAAAGAGAACATATTTTGATTGGGAATACTTAGCATTTTTGTAAGGCGTCTGTAGGTTTGTTGCATTGCGTGGTGGTTATATCCTACTAGTGCTTTTCGGTTGACTCGCGGACATCAAAGAAAATATATCATCATCCACCTCCAGTCCCGAATCCACAAATCAAGAGAAAATTCCTGCCTAGCTTGTCAGCCAAGCCTCGCTTTCGGACTCTCAGCATATAATGTCACGACGCTCGGATGGCAGAAACATGAGGCTGAATCCCAGCCGCTTCCGGATATACCCAAACCCCACATTTCCCCAGCTTTTCACTTCCCTGCATCTAATCAACGTTACATAATAATGCGTCGGCAGATGATGGGGAAAGGATTTCCTGTTTGGACATAAATGCTCTCTGAATAGAAAAAAGATCCACCTCCTTTCTTTCCTTGGACAAGATTTCAAAATGCTATCTCAACTCTTCTTCTCATTCCTGCTCCTACAAGCAATTCAAGCGAAAACTAAAGATGATATCGCCCCTATCGTCCTCTCACGAACAGGTGGATTTGAAATCGGGGGAAAGGTCCTCGTGAATCCAGCGAATCCGAATCAGACACTGTCTTGCGATCATGGTTACGTTGAGTACGCTTCCCCCTTCCTATTTATAAAACGAAATCAGAACGGACAAGAAAATAGTTTTAAAATGATTGCCATCAGATATTTCCTCCCCCTCACCCCCCCCCCGCCGCACCTCCCTCCTCATGTGGCACTCCTCCTCCACCCAAGTCTTCCAGAACCGCTGGGACGGCGGCCCCGGCTACAAAGACCTGTTCCTGTCGCGCAACTACCCCGTCTACCTCTGGGACGGGCCGCGCGTCGGACGCGCGAACTGGGCGCGTGTCCCGCTCTCGTATACGCCGGCGTACCGCGACCAGGGGAACTTTGTTGCGTGGAATTTTGGGCCGAGGTATGGGTAGTGGTGGAGTGATGTGCAGTTCCCGAGGGATGTTAATGGGGAGGCGTGGATGCAGGCTACGAGCGCGAGGGTATGATGAGTTTGATACGGATGAGAATGTGTGGTTGCATGGGGATGTTATGGGTTAGTTTTCTTTCCTTTTCTTTTCTTGGGTTGGGGGAGATAGATTTAGGGACTGATTGATGGGGAATAGCTGTTGCGGCTGATAGCGGGAAGTTGGGGACCGATCTTGAGTATTTGACGAATTCCGCCGGGGGGTTGAGAGCGCAGCTTGCGACTACTCGGGCGAACGGGACGAATATTAAGGGGATTGTCACCTACGAAAGCATCGGCTACGTCTTTCCTGACAATATCGGCCTCAAGCCCAACACGGTCCCGGGCTTCGGCCCGTTCGTGGTCCCAGTCGAAGAGTTTAAGAAATTAGCGAATGTGACGGCGATCCAGTTCGTGCGGGGCGACCATCGAGATGAGACGTTTGAGTATGTGAAGCAGAGTAGGCAAGTAGCGGCACTGATTAATCAATATGGGGGTAATGCGGAGGTGGTTATGTTGGGGAAGGATAAGGGACTAAAGGGAAGTACGCATATTGCGTTTGCGGTGGCGGGGGTGTTGGATGAGTTTTTGGAGAGGAATGGGTTGGATGGGTATACCGATGAGGATGAGGAGTGAGGTGTTGAGGTGGTTGAGAGTTTGTTACTAGAAATATTAATAAGATTTCCATGAGCTACTTGAGTGGTAGAAGAGAGAAAGTGACTTTGTTTTACAACGGACTGAGTAACTGTGAAGATAAGTTGAAAATACATTTGACTTTCTCTCAGGGGATTAGATTGAAGGATTGCAATCTGTATGGTTTAGCTTTACGAACTAAGGTTGTATTGGCCATTTAAAGAAGGGTATAACACCTGTGGCCGTCGAAATAAGCCTTCCTATCACACAATCACGACCCATTTTTAACGTCATGCTTCCTTCAGTAGGACTAGTTCAGGCTTGATTGAGGCTCTCTTCCTTTGATTGGCTATCTCGGTCTTCGGATTTGGAATTTAACCTGCCCAATGCTCACACGAACGTGGATGTTGATGGCGTGGGGCCAAAAAAGTCCTATATTTGTTCTGGACCAGTTGATGCTTCATATCAAATTCATAGTTTTAGAAGCGGAGGCCTACATGCAAGCTTATTCTATGCCGTCTTCTGAGCCGATAACAAAACAGTTGTGGTGACACTGTTTGATCTCCGGATCACTCATTGCCCCCGGCTATCATAGCTAAAGCTAGTCACCTAGACCAGTATTGGATAGATTTCGTTGCGGTGTGAGTAAATTGAAATGTGAAGACATGATTCACTAGCGCACCAATGTCATATATCTATGAGGCTTTTGTATAGAAATAGATTACACAGGAAATTCGGCAACGATCCCACATTCATAATAGTACAGAGAAAAGATGGCATCTCAAAAAGCACCGTCTTCAATGTTCCATGCCGTCTACAAAGAGTGCCGAGTAACTGAATCTCTCCTCCGTTCGAACTTTGGTCAAGGCACTGGCGCCTCGATAATCTTTCTACTCCCTACCATCTTCATCCATCGGACGCCTATCATCCCTGCGCTTCAGTTGATCCTCAAAATCATCATCTTGGGCAGTATCTTCCAATACACTTTCGATATCGTCAATCAAACAACTGGTGTGCTCGAAGATACGATCAATAAACCGTACCGGCCGGTTCCCAGTGGTCTCATAACATTGCGGGGAGCGAAGAAACGCTGGCTCTTGACATGGATTTTGTCGCCATTGTTAACTGCTGCAATTTCTGGGAGGTACGCAGCTTTATGGCAACTTGTATGGCAGCTGGATGTTGGATTCTGCTATGCTTGGCCGCGGCCTAACGGTCCAATTACTCGTAACTCTTTTATTGTTCTCGGAACTCTAGCCCTCGTATCACACGCCAACGCAATAGCAGCGGATCAATACCCAGATCGAAATATGGATTTTATGTTGCGATCTGCTCTATCCATTTGGGCTGGAATGGTCGCACATCTTCAAGAGTTCCATGATGTCGTAGGAGACAAGGCGTCTGGAAAGCGAACTTTGGCTGTAATTCTGGCGCCGAGCAGAATTTGGCTCGTAAGAAAAGTCACATGCTTGATATTTGTTGTGTGGCATACTCTATTCTTTCTGTGGGGGGCTTACTTGTTGCCTGTGTCCCCGTTTCCAAAAGCCACAGCCGCGATGGGAGTATTCCAGCTCCTTGTTGGAACTACAGTTGGAATCAGAGTGGTACGGTCAAAGTCGGTCGAGACGGATAGGAAGAACTACTTTTACGGATTAGGATCGCTCCTGTATATCATGTTGTTTTATGTTCAATTATTGAGCACAGCAAGATAGGAAATATCATGATAAGCGGGCAAAGTTACACGCGTTGCTTCTCCGAATCTCTTCGAGTGTCCGCTGATGTTGCAGGTTTATCTTAGAACTCTTTTTGGGACAAAACTGAGATGCTGTAAAACATATTACCACAATCTTCCCCGATCTAAGTACTTGGATTCTCGATTGATTGACATAGTTGAATGAAATTGAAGGGCGAGTTGATTCCGATTTTTCTAGAGACCCCTAAGCGAACCCCTGGAATTAGCGAGGTGCATTGCAGCACCTCACTTGGACACAATGACTACTTTTTTAAAGCTCGAACAGTGAACAGCGAGAAATTTGAGGAAGGTAAGCGAGATCTGCTAAGAATGTAACTGAAGAATCAACAACTGTTATGTGTCGGTGCTTGGGGCGGAAGAGTCTTAACAGTAGAAACATCCAGTAAACAAATTTGGAAGTTTGCAAATTCGATCAATACCGTTGATAGTCAAGATACGCCAAGCGGTACGCTGTATTTGAGTATTTGGGATGTATTGATGCTAAAATCCTTATGGCGAATGACCTGCGGTGCGCTGAAGCTCGTGAGGCTGAAGTCCTTTGACACTAGCATCAATCTACGATACTTCGGAGTTGAGGACAGCAGACCAATCTTGACTCTTGATATACTCCTCCATCGACGTCAACGGAATCTTAGTATCGAGCTGCACCTTGTCAGAGACGTCACGTTGCTCATTCTCAGGACAAAACTCACCATATCAGGCGTCAACACCTCAGGATCTCCGCCATCATACCCAAATTCTTCCATATACGCAAAAGCATCCGCCAACTCCTTTCCCATCGGCTCTGGCAGGTCTTTGAAGAACTCGTCTGAAGGTACCTCCTTAAACCCAGTCTTGACCCCATGGATCCTTCCCCAAGTCTCCATCCACTCTGGCCACGTCATCGTCTCCGAGACGCCTAGAAGATCCTTCCCAGCTGGCAGATCAATCAGCGCTTTAACGAAAGCTCCCGTATCTTTTTCCGTAACCACAAACGGCATTCTAAAACTCGCCGCAGTTGGTCTGAATGTCACAAAACTCCCATCCGCCTGTTTCTGTGGAGCCATAGGCGGAAACGCTTTCCAATTCGAAACATAGTGGCCTATCTGAACCGTACTCATCTTCGCAGCCAGTTCCGGGAATCGTTCGTTGGTGACGCGAATCATCTCCGCTTTGGAATCGAAGTGATAAACCGTGGTGTACTTTCCACCGCTCCATTTCCGGGCGTCACTCAAAGAGGAAAGTATGAAACTTTCCAAGGTTTTCAGAACAGCTGTCGAAGCAGCAGCTTCAGCAATATTGACTCCTTGAGCTACTTCAAGCTCGTACGCGTGTTGACTAGGGTTGGGGATTCCAGCTTCCAAGGCAGCTCGGAGGTGCAAAAAGAAATCTGTGTTGGAGAAAATTGCTGTTGCGCTTGTGAAGGCGGTGAGGAGAGAAGATGGGTCATCGATATCGGCCTTGAATATTTCGACGCCTTGAGCTGCGAGGGACGATGCTGTTTCACTGGAGGGGTTGCGAGTGATGCCTCGGACGCGCCATTCTGGCAATTCAAGGAAAGTTTGGGCGATTGATATTCCCTATTGGGGTTAGTAGAGCGTAAAGAATTGGAGAGGATTGAGGACCTGGGTACCGGTGATACCGACTATGGCAATGATTTTCGACATCGTAAAATTGCTTTTTTGGGAAGAATTGAGTAACGAGGCCTTTCGAAAGCAGTATGATTATTTTCCTGTGCTCAAACCATGTGTAGATATACTCCTTCTCTGATTTGTGGTTACCGGAGCGGAGTCGGGCAAAACGTCTTTCCGGATTGGTAAACGGTATATGCGACGAAGAGACTAGCTATATGTTCTAGCTCAAGTTGTTTTCTTCGGACTCTGGCTGATTGGAAACCACAAACTCTGAAATTAAGATTTCCAATTCATGCACATGGTGAAAGGAGACGAGTTACGCTTGCCAGGATAGTGTTACTGTCATAGGTAGATCAGAACTTGTCGCCATCACGTGCACTCCTTCTGGACTCCCGTCCTTCTGGACAGTCTGTGAAGTCGTCATTCGACATTGGCATGTTAACATAGACAAGAATTTGGATAGGCAGAAAGATGATTCTATTGCGTACTCAGTGTGGTCGCTTACAGAGAATATAATTCAGATGGTGGATTGTTTAGCAACAAACTATGTTTAGTTTAGAGCTGTAAATCGATTACATGGTTGAACCGTGATGCATTCGCTGCATGATTCCAAGTCTGCCACGATCAGAAAATGGTTACTGCACAAAATAAGGCACAATGGAACCTCAAATAACCTGAAGCCATAAAGAACCAAATTTTCAAAAGGGTGCCATACAGACTTCGCCATTTCGCCACTTAGCCAACTCCTTAGCGACGTGGGCCCGGACCGACCACCACAACTAATAGTAAAGTAAACTCATATCTTCGACAACATTCCCCGAGTAGATTCTATCATATCGAATCCTTCGCCATCAATATATGTCTGCATGGTGGTCTCTGCAGGTGAGATACAAGTCAAGAAACAGAATCCCATATCCTCAAACCATCTACTTCCACTTCTACCATGGAGGATCGAAGTCGAGTCGAGGAGTTGGTATGCCAGATTGATCAATTGCCTCAATCGAATAGCCTTCATCATCATCATCTTTCGTTTGCCCTTCGACGGTGCTCTCGGTATCGCCCAATGTAGCTGACTTCTGAACCGGGCTTCCGGCTTCCATGCCAGATTCAATTGAATTTGAAGGACCATTAGCATCAATGATTTCATTGCCGTATCTACCCGCATTGGGAAGGATTTTGAGAGGAGGAGCGGGAGGCTTCTTGTGGAGATCAGGTTGTTTCGGAGCTCTTGGCTGATAAGACAAAAGGTTGAGTTTTCCATCGGGCTAGCAGTCCTAGCCGAGATCCAATAGGCTCTGGTACAGAAGTCGGGACTAGCCAGAGAATGTGCGGGCTTGTAATCGGACAGAGATCGAGCTACCCTAGGTGGGAAGGGGACAGGCCTGCGAACTGCACCGATCATACAGCAACCCAGCCCAGCCCTGGGGATTCGGAACTAGTAATACAACCACAAGACCGGAGGAACAATACTTTGGAAGTAAGATTAAGGCTTGGTGAAGAGGAGCTGTACAGAAAAGAAGACTATACGCTCGATCAATACAGTAATCCGTACCACCTCTACGCCATTCAGATTTTAGATCTTCGTAAGTCTGGACAGCTCCCCAGACTCCCATACATTACCCTGGAAGAGATCAAGGACAAAAGCAAGAGCGATTCGATGATCCGCGTGATCGCAATCCTCCAAATCCTCTGGACAACAATCCAAATTATTGCAAGAGCCATCCGAAACCTTGCTATATCTCAATTAGAAATTGCAGTTCTAGCCTTTGCGGTATGCGCCATTTTCACCTACGTGCTCAACTGGAGTAAACCAAAAGCCGTACAGGTTCCTTTTACTATACTTCAGTATAATGATAGTCCTCCAGCTCAAATGCTCTTCATTCTTACCAAAGATGTCTTCTCTTTATCAAACTGGTTCTTGGGCTTCATGGACCCAGCTAAGGGTGATGGCCTAAAGCTGGGAGCGCCACCGTTCAATAGCAATAATCTCGACAAAGGGGATGATACAAGCGGTCTTGCAACGGTCATAGGGAGTGTCGTTTTCGGCGGCCTACATCTTGCAGCTTGGAACTTCGCATTTCCGACAGAAATCGAGAGGACGCTGTAAGCTTGACTTGTTTCCTACAGAACTCTATAGACTAATTCAACATTTTGAATTGAAACTGACTTCATTGACTAGGTAGCGAATTGCAAGTGCTTGGTGCACAGCTTCTTTGCTTTATTTCCTACCGCTCAGACTGCTGAGCGGTGGAACGAAGGGTGAGGGTAGAAGATTTAATTTCATCTTCGGCCCGCTCTTGGCTGCTCGTTTCCCGGCGGGATATGCTACCTATGTCTTTGCAAGGTTGTTTCTAATGGTTGAGATTTTTCGTGCACTTTTCTTTCTTCCTCCCGATGCTTACAGGAGTACGTGGGCAACTAACATTCCTCACATCGCTTGATCGATTCATGCTTTGAATGGTTTATGTATGCTGCGATCAAGTTTCATATACTTGTGCCCACACGAAACTGTCTGGTTTGGATATGGTCGGGATGTTGCGGCTGATTAAGGGTCTTTGAGGGGAGCTTGATCTTTTATTTTCATGCAACTTCCTTCTATTTTGAGAGCAGTACAAGTTCAGCATCAAGGAAGGATTCATGTCGATGAATGATACTCGCAAGTTATAATATAGTCATCAATGCCTTTTCCGTACTCCTATACGGCCCTGGACACTTCCCTATTCCATTGTCTAGATCATTTTAATGGGAAGCCTGGCTGGATATGTAGTCCCAGCATCGTTAATTTCATATCTCATAAAGCCACAACCAACCATTGTTGTGTCATTGTACCATATGGCACTAGAACATTATCACCGTCACAGTCCACCACCATCTTCTTCTCTTTTTAGCAGTATCTCCACGACATCTGCCGCGATAAAACTATTCCACACCCCTTCCTTTCGTTCAATTTTCTTGAGCAATCCGATCGCTCTATGCCCCATTCTAGTATCCCAACATTTGACAGCTACAAAACCAAATTTCCAGATAATGCCATCGTCGAGCCCTGAAAGTGGTTGTTTTTTGAGCTCCGGGAGACGTAAAATGGTCTCTGCATGCTCCATAATCTCCTCGCATTTAGCTTCCCATTGATACCATACACATTCATCTTTTAGTGCCTCGGCTAGGTCGGCTGTGACGGCCATGGAGGCAATAATGATGTACAATCTGAGTTCGTGGATGACTCGTTGTTCTCTCTTATCTAATCTGTTTCCGTTGAAACCGATGAAGTGTTCAAGAGCTTTTGTGTATTGGCGGATTTTCGTAATCGTGCGGCTGTGCGTCGATTGGGCATAAAGCTCGGGGGTAAATGCTTTCGTGGGTTGAGGAGAGTCGATGCGGATTTTCTCTAGTGCTGTTCGAGCTTCCTCCAAAGTGTGAAATGTATGTGGAACCTCTCCACTATTTGCAGTGGAACAATGTAGAAGCCCACGAGTAGGTGTTTCTTCTTGTTGAAATGTGTCGAGGGCTCTAAGTTCGATATCCAAGGCATCCAATCGTATAAAAAGGAGAGCGAGCTCTCGAAGAGAGATGTAAAGCGTATTGGACAGCGGATGTCTGCCATCTGCTATCGAGGTGAATATTTTGTGTAATTCAGCGATGATTCGTATACCACTATTGAGATGCGACACCGTGGCAGCATGGTCTCCCCGTAGGCTCTGCTGAATTGTGAGCACTTGGCGTCAAAGGAACAAACAAAAATAAGTACCTCGAAATAAACAAAAAGAATACAAGCCATTAAAGTAACGTCGCCGAAGGTTTTTTCTGGTGCGATCGCCAGGATTCTCAAGGCCTTAGTATATTGTTGCAGCGCAAAAGTGTCAGTAGCGTGGTTTGAAGATGTTGTCCCTTGAACCTCATGACTTAGACCCCTACACATGGTCTGCTCGTGAAGTGAGCCTAGAGCAACGACAGCATGTCGAATTGCAGGCTCATGGTGACACGCTTGGAGGACGATTTGCTCCCAGAACCGAGAGCGAAAATTGGGAGCGAGACGAGAGCACGTGTATCTTCGAAAGAAGGCAAATCCACGATGTTCTTGCTCATTAGAAAAAGGACTTGGAGGTAAGATAATATTCGAAGAATAGGCGGATTGCGAGGTATTAGTTTGCGAGAGAGGTCGACGTGAAGACCCCAGGGCGATGAGTTCATCCGTCTTTGGGAACGGAGGTTTCGCATTTGACCCATAAAGATATCCGTCGCATATCCGTCCAGTGCCTAAACACCGCTTACAAGAAGGTTTACCCTCGTCGCATTTGACGCGCCTGATTTTGCAGGTTCGGCATCCTGATGTGACATGAGGTTTATAAGTTCGTACTCTTGGACCACCTTTTCTTAGTGCTGGCCCTTTTGGAACATCTCTTTCTGGTATCATCCTGGCTAACTACATCGAGTATCAGCGCATGAGAAAGGTTTGGCCTGAGGATGAATTAAGAGTACCGAATTCCAATGGGTTGGATGTTTTATCCCAAGCACTTGGGTCCTCAATCACCACTTAGCCAATGATGAGTCTTGATACACGAGATGAACGGCGGAATTGCTAGAATCCAGAATGTGAGAAGTTGTTACACAGCATCTTGAGCATTGAGTGGATTACCAGTGGTCGTTCCCTTCCGCCGTTCGTCCAATGAGGGTGCCAACTACAAAGCGCAATGTCCATAGGCCAGATATCAACCACAGACCTCAAAAATCCCGACCCTTGGATACGTATTGTGTACAAAATAGAATATAAACCTCACAGATTCACTTCAGCAGAAGGAAACACAGAATGGAGAACTGCTCTGTAATGAGAAACCAGTGACTTGACTGTGCCGCTCCTGAAGGTCCATGCAGCCCCCAAAACTTTTCGGCACAAGCCTGAATCTCCCAGTTGGGAACATACAATGCAACGTGGGACGGAACCAATCATACTGTATGCGTCACGAACAGCCCTATCAGAAATTGATCCTGCGCAAAGAAAGGAACCTACCTACTCCTTCAAGGCCAAAAATTGCTCATCGTTATCACGGCTCGTCTGAAGTTGAATTGGGGGCCATTTGGCGCCCACTTCCATTTTAAGGCCGAAGGAACCATGGTTTGAACGGTAATAGTCTCTATCGTCTAGGACGAGAACAAGTTCCTAACGGGAAGTTGCAGATAAACTGCTAGACATGGGCTTACAGCAGAAATACTACGGTTTTTTCATGTTTTGAGACTACTTTTCGACGAACTGAAAGCTGCGCAGCCACTTGCCACGATGATGCAATAACGTTCCTGACAACAATTGAACCATATTGTAGTCATTATGACAATGGTTTTCCTGATTTTCAAAAATGATCAACGTTGTGTTTGGCACTTTCCTTGGTCGAGATTCTAAATTTCACGTGACTCCCTTCCCACCCCAGCGTCCCAGTGGGCAGCAGGGCAATGTAACAGCGAATCAAGTTGAATATTAGCTTGATTCTGTATGGTTCATGTTTAGGATACAATTGCTCTTCCCTTGGAAATAACTGGATATTGATACGATCCATCCGTACTCGCATTCTTAGGTGCGAAGAAGCGCACTACTCTCGTCAGTCTTAATTCTATTATTTACAAACGAATCTCACTTACAAGCCACAGAGAAAGTACCATTCGCGGGACTTGGTAGCCAACTATAATCAATTCAGTCAGTGACCAAGACAAGAAATGACATCGAGATTCATGACTCACTTGTTAGTCCAATTCCGCGGAGGAGGCATATTCTCCGCTTGAATCAGAACCTGAAACTTCCCATCTTTCCTTGTTGCACTACTCCCATAGGCTTGCGTCCCATCTGGATATGTAATGTTACTCCTATCGCCGACCGAGTATTTGTTCAACGAATTCTCAACGAGATATCCCTGAGAATTATATAAAGTCAAACTCCAAAATCCATCACTTGCCACAGGAGGCTTGCCAGAGAATGTGAAAGTATACGCTTCACCGTTATTCAACAGCAAAGCTCGATTCTGGAGCATGGGATAGAGTGCTTGGTCTGGTGTTTGCTCCAGGTATGCAGTCATGCCGGTAAGTGCCCGATCTAGATATTGGTCCCCGAACGAGCCGGCTTGAACATTGTGCAGCCAGTTGTTGTTCAATGGCTCAAAGTAGTCAGAGTATGAAGCCGAGATGTTCGAAATAGCAGTTTCGTATGCTTCGGTGAGGTTCAGTCCTGGTGGTTCACGGTACGCGTGGTCGTAGACTCCTGCGGTCATGAGATTGGAGAGCAGGCTCTCTACCGAAGCGGCAGAGATGTCGAAAGGTGGGTTAGAATTGAAGAAGTTAGCGAGTAGTTGTAATGTTGCAAGTGCTGTATTGTTCGTGGATGTATACGGTGCCAAGTTGGCTTTCGTCAGTGAAGGTGTGGAAAAAGCATTCGTATTATTGTCGCAAGTCGTAATGTTCGCAATGAGGGTATCGTTGGTAAACATTGTGCTGTTCGTAATGATCGGAGTATTCGCAAGGAGTGTATTATTCGTATTTGTACAATTAGAGCTGGTCCCGGTCAGACGAGGAACCGGTTTCATTGTCGTTGCATTCGTGAGAGATTGGACGTAAGCGAGGTCTGAAGAGTTATTCTTGACGAGAATTCTCGCAAGAATTGTGCCATCAATGGTTGGTGAGTTGATCAGACCTTTATATGGATTCGAACCACTCTCTGGGGTGTATGGATGGAAGCCCCAAGCCGCATTAGGTACGTAGCTGAGGAGATATGTTCCGCCAGTGTTGTTATTGACACTGCCAGGTGTCGCATAGTTATTCCCAAAGCTAAAGATTGTTAGTCGGAAAGTTTAAGCCCTTGAATGGGAACTTACGGATCGTAAAAAGCGACGCTCCAATATCGGTCAGGCTCAATACTTGGTACGGTGATCTGGACATTGTTCTCTGACAAGTCGTACGCTGCTGAAGAGTATAGAGTGTCGACGTTCGGTAAAACTACTGTTGTACTTGCAGCTGTTGAAAGTTGTGTGTTATGGAGAAAAGTATTTGTCGCATTCTCATTCACGACCTGAAGTGCTACTCTAGCATAAGATAGCAGCGGAAGGCCATACTGAGCCAATGTCAGGTTTGCAGTAGTATCGGGTTAGAATGAACTTACTTGCAAAGCAAATACAGTGGCATTGAACACACTCATCCTGTCGCGAAAAGCAAAATAACGACTATAACTGTTGCTTCATGGAGACTTGGTTCTTCGTACGAGAGGAAAAAGTGAGAGCAACTCGAAAGATACACATATTATCGAGCTTGACAAAATGTCACTTAATATACTGTTTTCTTTCATTGTGGGCCGCGTGCTCGAGCTCGTCGGCTCTCAGCATCCTCCGATTTCTAGGGAAGAAAACCATGTCGCGGTTTCAATCAAGGCAACGCTACCGTTTATCATCAACTTATGATTGGTAGCTAGAATACGCCGACCAGTTAGAGTTCTGCAAAGTTTCTGAGATTGTCGATCATAGGTAGAGGAATTACTGCTTTCGGCTAAGTGAACTTGTGAGGTTGTGAAGTTATCGAAAAGTCGTCGGCATGTTAGGCTATCCACTCACGTGTAAGCCTAGTATCGGCAGATGTTCCCTCACTTGCATGAGCTAGGACTCTGATGTGATAGGTGACGCGCACCTCGCATGGCTTCCTGGATGGAGGAAGCTTGACGGGAGTCGGTGTGGTCGACGCTGAGGTGAGAAAGCACGTGGTCTACCTCTGATTTCCACCTCGTTGATGTCACAGGCAGATGCTTTAAGAAACCAAAAACGGATATACAAAACTGGTATTGGCTTCAATCTACATTTCTTGTGTGAAAGTAACATAAACTCATACCTCGTGGCGAGTTGCCTCTCGATATCTCTCGGAGATAAAATTTGACGAGAAAAATGCCGAGGCGACCGAAATGTGGAGGCGACCGAAATGTGGAGGCGACGGGCACTAAAAAGCTTGAGATGATGATATCGAAGCCACTGCAAAACTTTCAATGCATAAGGAGCATTATCAAAATGTTCACACATATTACCTAAAACTTCTGTCTCCTCTTCCTCTATATTCTTCTGTTTCCCCAAGACCAGAAACACATTTCGTAAACATTCCCCAAAGACTCAATCTTTCTGGAACATGCATCAGTCGGCGATCCTCCATTCCCGCCACTCGTGTATTTTCGCTGATCCTCGAGTTCAGATGACTAGGTCCATTGCTAAACGGAGAATTTTGAGATGAGTAGCTGTAATCAAATCCTCCAAATAATATTGGGAAGTCTTACAAGCACTTCGTCTGCTTCAGTATCCCGATTCTTTTAAGTACCATATTAACACCAGTAGTGCTGGTCAAGTTAATAGTGTACATGAAGTACCAGCGGCTGGGATACAGCCATAGATTAGGTGGGACAAATGAGGAGATTACTCACCTTAAAATAAGTTGTTGCTGCTTGACTTGCTGCTCGACTTGCCTGCAATTTTCTACACAAAGTGACGACGTTCAGATATGTCGGAATCAGAGATCATCATGAGAAGACATACCAGGTAGGGTTACGCCGAGATAATAAATCTGAACGGGACGACGATATGAAGCGAGAGCAGCAAAGTTGCACTTTATCCGGGTGCAGTCACAGGAGAGCATTGTTCATGAGTACTAGTCCTTTGGAGGAAACTTAGATGGGCAGCGGGCATTCCCGGAAGGGGGGGTTGGGGGTTGACGGATCTGAGGAGGACTCCGAACATGAAGTCCGTAGGATCTTGACATCACGTGAGTCGAGCATAAAAGAGCATAAAAGGGGAATACACACCCTTCAGAGGCATTGTTTGGCAGTATGGAGCAATGGTACGTCAAAGTTCGCTCTCACCGTTTGATTATAGATTCTGGAAAGAAGGAGCGGTCATTGTGAATTGAGCAGAGCTTAGTCACGGATCTCACTTTCCTAATCGTTCAAGTGCACAAGCTCTGTTAGCCCCACCACTGTCATAGCTTTCTTGCCTCCGTTCACAATTTCTTTGTCAAATTGTCCACTAATCCTTTTGAGTTCACAATAATATGAGACATTAGCTCGAGGGTGGAACCGGTGGGTGTGGCTGTTGCTTTAGACTACTGACCACAGTCGACAATTCCATCCCAAGCGCTGTCAGCCTTTTCATTTTCGTTTATGCGTCCAACACAATGCTTGCAGTCTTCCCAAAAACATCCCACATCGAACTCATCCTACTCGTGGCTTCGAATTCCTCCCTCGCATCCCGTCTTGCGTCACCCCGCTAACCCCGCCTCTCGCTTCCTTGATGTATCCATGTGAAGATCATTCTGGCTCGAGAGCACAGGTGCCGGAAGGTTTTCTTTTTCTTGCAAAAGAATGCCGTAGTCGGTATATCTATTGTACAATGCCGGAATATAGCGTAAGTTTCTCCATGCTATTCTTGTTCTCGAGTATCTCTAAGTTTTTGGTTTCGTTGCACTAGGAATTTTCGCGTATTACTCTACTGGAGTTTTACAATAGAAACAGGACGACAAACTTCTGCTAGAAGCGATGGAAACATGAACTGTGGTGTGTTTCATTATGAGATCGATATGTCCGATCGACCTTTGTCTTACGCAAAAGAATCTTTCTATAAGTGCGGATGACCAAGAGTCAAGCTTCTTATTTGTCGCCCGTTTCATCTGTCTAGACAGGGGGACAGGGGAAACCAGGTCAAGTTGATGCAGGTGTCCACTTACAAGGAAATTCTTTTGAAGGTTTAGTTACACCGTCGGTCGACTGATCCGACAGAAGTCCTTGCTAATTTCGAGACAAATCCTCCGAATACTCTCGAGTGGATGGATGAGCTCCAAGTGTGCTCGCCCATGTTCTTCTCTTCCAACGTACGACAAAAGAGTAACACTTCCGGCATGCTTTACCTTGTAAACGCTCTCGCTCTCTCCCCTGACCGAACTTCCGCTGACTAGTCTTCCAGATGTGAAGGTAGGTGTCGCCGTCGAGCCGACGGTCCTTACGAGCCTTCCGTGGATCTCAGTCCAAAGACTAAAGTAAACATGATTTTGATACCAGGTCACGTTTAATGATGGCAGGAAAGGCATATATAAATTAAATTGCTCGAAGGCAAGGGCTTTCCGTCACAGCAGGTTTCTCTTCTGATAATCTTTCACTGAGAAGCGATCATGTATTCGAAAATTGCTCTTGTTGCATTTCTCGCCCGTACTGCCAGGGCTCAACAGATTGGCACTCTGACCGCTGAGACCCATCCTTCTCTCACCTGGGAGACCTGCACCGCAGTCGGTTCCTGCACTACCACTACTGGCTCAGTGACCCTCGATTCCAACTGGCGATGGACGCATTCCACATCCAGCTCTACTAACTGCTATACGGGCAACACATGGGACGCAACACTTTGTCCAGATGACGTTACTTGCGCTGAGAACTGTGCCCTTGACGGTGCTGACTACTCAGGCACGTATGGAGTTACTACTAGCGGAAATTCCCTAAAGATCGATTTTGTCACCACTTCTTCTCAGAAGAACGTTGGAGCACGTCTCTATCTCATGGCTGACAACACGCACTACGAAACGTTTAACTTGCTCAACAAAGAGTTTACATTTGATGTTGACGTTTCTCACCTTCCTTGTGGACTCAATGGCGCACTCTACATGTCTGCCATGCCTGCCGACGGGGGAGTATCAACTCAGACTAACAACAAGGCTGGTGCTCAATATGGGACGGGATATTGTGACTCTCAATGCCCCCGAGATCTTAAATTCATCGGAGGCGAAGTAAGTCATTTGTTCTTACCAGCATTGAATATTCCTGACGATTGCAACTCCAGGGCAATGTCGAGGGTTGGGTACCTTCCACAAACAACGCCAATACTGGTGTTGGCAATCATGGCGCTTGCTGTGCTGAGATGGATATCTGGGAAGCCAACTCAATCTCCGCTGCGTACACTCCACATTCGTGTGACACGGCGACTTTGACTGTGTAAGTACTTCCGTTTACATTGACCTCGCATCAACTAATCTTTCAAAGCTGTGACGGAGACGCTTGTGGAGGAACATACTCTACCAATAGATATGCTGGGACATGTGATCCTGATGGTTGCGACTTCAACTCTTACCGTATGGGAAACACCAGTTTCTACGGCCCAGGCATGGATGTCAATACGAATAGTGTCTTTACTGTCATCACTCAGGTTTGTCTATCTCCTCCGGAAATATCATTTCCTTGTTGAACGCAGCTTTTCTCTTGACGGCTGTGGTATTAAAGCACAAAATCATATACCTTGAGAGCATTCCTCCTTCCAAACTAGCTAGAAAGAATACATACTAACACTACAATCAGTTCCTAACCACCAGCGGAACCTCCTCAGGAACCATGAACGAAATAAAACGCTTCTACGTCCAGAACGGTAAGGTGATCCCCAACTCCTACTCCACCATCTCCGGCATCACCGGCAACTCCATCACCGAGACCTACTGCGACGCAACCAAGACCGTTTTCGACAACACCAACTCCTGGGACACGCACGGCGGCTTTACGTCCATGACCTCAGCTATGAACGATGGCATGGTGCTCGTGATGAGTCTTTGGGACGATTATTATGCCAATATGTTGTGGCTTGATAGCGATTATCCGACGACGGATAGTGCGAGTACGCCGGGTGTAGCGAGGGGCACGTGTGCGACGAGTTCGGGGGTGCCGGCCACGGTTGAGTCGAGTGATGCGAGTGCGTATGTGATATATTCTAATATTAAGGTTGGGGCAATCAATAGTACGTTCAGCGCATAGTCCCAGCCGCAAGGACACCTTGACCTTGAGCGATGGTTTCACTCTTGGTGGGGCATTGAAATTCGGTGTACATATTCTTACCTTCTTGGACGGCGAAGAATTTGGCTTGAGGGAGAGCGGCACGGCTGTTGGCGGTGGTTGTTGATCATTTGAAGTCTCTCGTTTAGTTATCTCGGGATTCTAGATCCTTCGAATCTCTTTAAAAAAGCATGAATGAAATACCGTCTTTACTTAATTGTGCTTGACTGAAGCCAATGACACCTTTCAACTTTTGTATGGTGTGGAAACTTACCTTACATATCAAATGCTCATCTAATCTTTTCCCCAATCCGATCCTATATAACTATACAAATTGACAGCTCTTGAACGCAGACAGGGGCAAGAAAATAAATTCAGTGCTAAACAAACTTTCCTTCTCATGATCTGAAGAATCTTATGGCTAGAAGACGCAATGAAATTGCTCGGTTGGTAAAAAGATTCGTCAACAAGCATATGGAAATTTAGAGAACGACAAGAAAGAGAACAAGTGCAAGAAGAAAAATGATACAGAATTAAATAAAGATTCTAAAGATTGATGCAGACGGGTCAAGCTCTCATTATACGACGAGCAAGCAGTCTAGATAAGATATAGGAACGACAATCTTGAACTCCCCCTTCCTTCCATTCTCCTCTCCATAAAATCTGGAGACCTACTGCCCACCAATCTGTTTCTTTGGAATCGGTCTAATCCAGCTAATCGCCAAGTTAACACAGATGGAAATCGTCCCGATAATCCAGATAGTCTTCGCATAGTGCACGCCATTATATCTAAAGATAATCGCAAAGATGATACCCCCAAAATTTCCAGACGCGCCTACAATGCCACTCAAGATTCCATTAGCGAAAGGGTGTACGTGAGGCACAACGGAAAAGTTCGCGCCGTTGCAAGCATCCATGAAGATGGCGAGACCAGCGACCAGGCCGAACATGTGGGCTTCCTTGTGGGGGTCGGTGAGACCGATCGCGAGTTCGAAGCATCCCATAATGATGCCGACGGTCGTGATGTTCAGTTTCTTGGCCCAGACGGAGCCGGTGAGGCGGTAGAGGGTGTCTCCGATTATGCCACCGAGAGGGCGGAAGACAATGTTCATGAGGCCAAACATGGCGGCCCAGCGGCCGGAGCCGGTTTGGCCGAGCTTGGGGAAATTCTTCAAGTAGTAGGAGCCGATTATAGAGTTGATTGCTAGTTCGCTCCCTTTGGGTTTGTTAGTCTTGGGTCAATGAGGAAGGGAAGGGGCGGTACCGAATGAGCATGCGTATGGAGCTGCGAGGGCAAGGGTTTGGAGAGAAAAGAGGACTCCGAGAGCTTCTTGGAACGTGGGTGCTACGATGACTTCTCCTTCAGCTCTATCGATGGCGCTTGGTCCCTTGTCAGCAGCTTCAGCATCCTTCTCGGATTTCTCGCCTGCGGCCTCTTTCTCAGTGGACTCGACGGAGGTGGCGGCGATGTTGTCAAGGGGTTGATGGCGGTCAGCCCATTTTCCACTTGGGCAATCTTCAGTGGTGAAGAGGATACCACAAGCCACGGCGGTGATGATGATGAAAGGGACAATGAATGCAACTCTCCATGCTTTGTGAGCCGTCATGTGTTGAGTCTTAACCAATGAGTCGAAGATAGCAGGCATAACGAAGTACTAAGACTATCAGCAATTGCAAGGTGCTACAAACGAGGAGGAGTTACAGTAATTCCACCACCAGCGTTACCCCACCCACCACCAAAGGCATTTGCAGTACCGACAACATTCTTGTCAAAAAAACCAGTAAGCCAGACCTGGCAAGGCACGAAAGAAGCACCCAAAACACCGATGAAGAATCGAAGAACGATCAACCCAGTAGGCGTAGAAACGGTTCCTGCAAGAGCAGTTGGGATGGCACCAGCAAGCAGGCAGCCAACGAAAACATAACGAGGACCGAACTTGTCGCAAAGAGGACCGGCAATCAGACGGACAACGAGGGTACCAGTGAGAGACATGATGTTCGAGTTTGCGACTTGGTTTTGACTCATCTTGAGATCCTTCTTGATCGTAAGGGTCAAAAGTGGTGGGAACTTCTTTTGTCAGAATGTGAAGATTAAATTCAAGGGATCAAAGCCAGCTTACAGCGTACCAGGAAAGGAACGCGACCATGAACCCGATCCAACTGAAGAAGAAGGTTCTACCATATTTGTTGATCGGATTGAGGATTGGAATAGAGCGAGCTTTGCCATTGAGAGGATTAATCTCTGGCGCGGACCAGAGTTGGGCGACTGAGAGAGGCATGTTTGCTATTTATCTGGACGCGGTGCGACTCGATTCCCAGAAAGAAGCCCAAAGTCCCAATGTAGAAGGAGCGGATGAACTGCGGAGTTGAACGTGAGTATATTCTCAACACACCTTCCTCTCCTATATAGAAAGCGTGCCCCTCCTTAATTTACAGCACCAAGTTGAAGATCTCCTTGGAAGGTGCCAGATTTTCTTATCTCTGGGGTCTGGGCCGTGTTTTTTTTCCTTCTCCACGGGTCATGTTAATTATCGAAGTACATGGCGCAATGGTTCAGCCTCCCGAGATGAGAGAAGCGACTACCGCTCTCGGTAGATGCCGCACGAGACGAGGAGAATTGGGGAATATAAAGATGTGCTCATGCCCTCTCCTCCACGGAGATCTGAAAGCTGGGGTTCTACCTATCAAGACGACTCATCTCGAATTCTGTGTTCTTGTTTGTGAGCATGTCGTATTGAGTACTAACCCGATGGGAAGTGACATCTGGATCAGGGACGAAAAGAAAGGGACGAAATCTCGAAACGCCATGTGCCAATGTCTCAGTCCTACGCCACCAGATAAGAGAAGTCTTGGGGGCACAAACTCATTGACTTCCACATGTCAGGTCGCGAGAGATGTTGCAGAGGGCGTTGGTTCTCAGTGTCCTGAGGAGACCCGACCACACTTGGCGGGGCCTTGGGGGTACATATATGTCTTGGTGCGGAGACCCCGGAGATGCACAACACCCTCTGCGGGAAGATAAGACATGACTGCCGCGGAAGAGGTTGGAAGCCATCAGCTTTCAGATCAGAATGCCGACTGGAGGAGAGTAGGAAGGTAAATGTTGACTCCAACAACGAATTTGTAAGGCATCGCAAGGCCGCGGAGGAACCGGGTTATGTAGGGTTTCGAGGACCGTGCTTGCTTCTGCGATATATCTGAGACTTGTAATCGATGCTTCCTTCTGAGCATTGTTGCAGAAGGAAGAGAATGGGTTGTGTAGATGTTGAAAATGGAGTGTCGAAGTCTTTAACGCCGACGGACAATTTCTTGATCGCCGGAATTGGTTCACGTGATGGGTTTTAATCCTTTGAAGCGCTTAGGAGGATAAGAAATCTCCATTAGGAGTCGATTTCGATAGGAATTCATTTGGGTTAGTGCTATCAAGAGCGAGGATCTTGATCTGGGCTTTTAGGAATATAAGAGTCACGTGTATAGCGAGAATTCAGTTCCAAGATCGTTCTCTTCTTTTGCATATCGCAATCTATACGAGCTGTAATGGATAGAGGAGTCTCGCAAATTGACTTGAATTGCTTCTATAAATGTCTTCGCTAGTTTTATTGGTATAAATACCTAGGTATAATGCAACCCCCACAATCACGTGTAGCCCCTAGGCTTCCCGTCTCAAACGCCAACGCCAACGCTATGATTTTATTTACAAGCACTCCACAACACAATCTATTCTATGCTAAGTATACAATATCATATCGTCGTAAAGATCAAAGAAATTCTCCAATACGACATCCCCGGCGAGAGCCTTGTTGAAGAGTATCCAGTATTACGACCACAGTCCCCTCTGCGTTTCCCAAGGATGTCCCTCTTATGCCTTCGCGATTGGATTGCGGTTAAGTTTTAACCTCGCCGGAATCAAGACCACCATTCCAAGAATCAACGCAAGACCTGAAAAGAGCGCGACGCCAAGGTAGCCATGAGCGGCCAAAATTTGACCGTTGATGGGAGAGCCGATCAAGCCAGCGATGGAAACAACAGCCATCATAGCACCCATCGCGACACCATATTGAGATGGCTTTGCGATGGCTGCTGCGCATGCGCCTTGAAGACCAATGACAGCCTGGTAATGTTAGCACACATCGATCACAGTTGGGAAGGAAAACTTACACCTGAAGCAAAACCGTACGCCAGTGACAGAACAACAATAGTTCCGATTGACTTCGCAGATGTCCAAGTAACGCAAATGATACCGGATAGACCTGCAGATAAGATCATGACGTTGTAGGGACCCATTTTATCGGCCAGGACGCCAGGAATGATTCTGCCAAACAGCGAGGCAGCGTTGATGATGGAAACCATATAGAAACCCATGTTGACGTTAAGTCCGAGCGATATAGTCCATCCGGTGATATAAAAGAATGGGGAGAAGAGGCCTAAGTATACGAAGAAAAGTGAGCAAGCGAGGATGATTAATACGGGATTCTTGACGATGGATAAATCCGGTTTGCCATGACCTTGAGCTTTGTTCGTCTTGGGAAGTTTGATGGTGACGCAAGCAATGAGAAGGAGAGGCAGCATGATGAAGGCAGAAATTCGGACCGCCCAGCCAAATCCTACGCTGGGGTTGTACAACAGGCGACGGAGGACGATGGGCCAGATGACACCACCGAGAGAGGAGCCAGAGACGACGATACCCATTGCGAGACCACGACCTTTGACGAACCATCGTGGGACTGTAGCAAAGGCGGGCAAAATGGTGATGGCGCACCCGAGACCAAAGAGGAATCCTTGTGTGAGGAAAAGTGTAGCATAGGACTTAGAGATGGAAGCGAGGAAGAGCGCCAGTAAGGTAATGACTGAGCCGACCTTCATCAAAACCTGCAGAATTATCAGCGGTGTTGCATGAAGTTGCCGGGGTTTCAGAACGTACCTCAGGACCGAATTTATCGTTCAAGAATCCTACAGGAAGGGTTAATCCAAACATGATGAACAGATTGAAAGATCCCAGCCATGAAATGTCGGAGGCAGATTTACTTGGCAGATACACTGTGCCATAGTATTCTTCGAAGATACCGAAAGCGTTGATGAAACCAACTGAACAGAACATGACAAAGAAAGATCCGATCAATGTCATAATGGCTGGTAGACTGTTGAAGGTGTTAGCAGAAGATATGCGCCGATTCACCAATTACCTACGTGAATTCGCCCTTTGGCGATGATGGTACTGGCTTCCTAACGAGATCTTCCGTAGACTCGTATGGATTGTACTTCTTTTCTCGCAGACGAGGACGATTATCTTCTACATCAGCGAGGGAGTCTCTCGATTCAGCGTAGAATGCTGTGTCCAGCTGATTGTGGAAGTCCTCCACGACTTGAGCATAGTATTCTCGGTCGGACTGGCCATGGTACGCTCGTGGAGGAGGTCCATATAGATCTCGATCAAAGCCAAATACTGAGCTTCGATCAGTATCTCCATAGAAAGCTCCACTGAGCTGTTTATAGAAGTCCCGTGCGGGTCGAGCAAAGAACGATGGTTCTGGTGAAGCATAGAACTTCTGCACAAGTTGCGAGTAAAAGGCAGCATCTGAAAGAGCAGTGAATGCAGTATCTGTCTGCGTATGTGAAGTTTTGTACGGCATTATGGATTTTGGGTAAAGAAAGTGGTACAGAGAATAGGGAAACACTGGCGATTCTGGAAGGATACTGTACATATAAATGACCGAAACGTGATCAATTGATGGCTACTTAGCAGATTCTATTTTTACCCGCCGACTTAAGTCGCCTGAGGAATGCGCAGTTGTGATTCACGATGTTTTGAAACCGTACGGACAATAAATACTTGGTTGGGCTCGAGCGGAGCCTCCATGGATGGGGTTGTTGAAGGAAACGTTGTGGAGCGGAGGATTTTATGTAGCAGGTAGAGAAGGAAGCCAATGGCGGTGCGAAAATAAATGCCCAGGCACGGACCAGCTTGAGAACGGCACACGTGATTCTCGGCAGCTCAAAGGGGGTGAGCGTAGCTGTGGCGTGGTCGAGCAATAAACACACCCTGAATAAGCCGCACAAGCACTCAGTTTGAGGTCAACTCAAGCCATTTATCAGTACTGTCATTTTTCTGTTCAGAACGAGACTTTGGCTCTACTTCTGAGTACCTATGGACCTAAGATTTTGAATGCTCTTACTGTACCTAGGTAGACACGAGAAGATGGGGTACCCATATCAAGAGTTCTTAGGATCACACCTATGCGGCTCAGCTGAAAAGCGGGCCAAAATTCCGTGGACTCTCCGGCAACCGGTACTAAAGTCTTTCTCTCATATACAGCCATGGCATCGCATCGAAGGGTGATGTCGATAAACACAAAATGAAGCGCTCGTCGGAAGCATTCGAGCCAGAAAGTGGCCGTGAAAAGGTCCCTCGTCGCCAAGAGCCAGTGTCGTGTGTTTTCTGCCGCAAGAAGAAGCTGAAATGTGACCGTGGGGGGCCCTGTTCAAACTGTCGGGCACGGAAACTCGAATGCTCCTCAGCATCAAGTGGAGCAGGAGGTCAGTCCTCGTCGATCGCTCTTTGAAGCGATATTGACGTTGTTTAGAGTCGAGCCAAGGCCAGAAATCCTTCGAGAGCCCGCAACCAGCTGCATCAGGGTATTGTCGGGTCCGTGACCCTTGAATGATCGCTTACTAAAGAGACGCGCAGTCAGAATATCGATGAATTGAATAATCGCATCAAGAAGTTGGAATCACTTCTTATAGCTAAAACGACTGAGAGTCCGCCTCAGACCCTCAGTGTGAACAAGCGGACTGCTTCCGGTAACAACTTCTATGCTGTGGTACAGAGCTCGACTAACTCATTTTAGCGGCGTCGAAAGATGAGCCTCGAGGCGATCTTGAACTTTCGAAAACACTCTCTTTCATAGAGACAGATGCCTATGAACATGCCCCAACAACATCTGAAGTATGTCAAAATCCTGACATTGTGTTTTCTTATTAACAAACCAGGAACAACTCTCGTCAGATGCCAAGGTTGCGGAAAGCTTCGGGTCATTTATATTCGCTCTCACGAGACCGCGAAGTCCTCCAGCATTCACCCAACATCTTCCATCAATGCTGCCAACTCGCATTCAAGGCCAAATCCTTCTGGACTACTACATCGATCACGTCAATTGGATATATCAGATTATTCATGTGCCGACTGTGCAGAAAATCTTTGACATCGTATATACCCACGCCGAGCAGAACACAGTTCCCCAATACGGATATGTGGCCCTCATCGCTACCATCTTTGCTCTTAGTGCTTACTTCTCTTCTCCTCAATCAAACTTATACTTCCACCACAGTGAAGCGAAACGATTCTCCTATCGATGGGTTTCGCTTGCACAGGATGCTCTCGCCGCATCCAATTGTCTCTCGGTGCCAACCATAGAAGCACTGCAGAGTTTGATCCTTATATCTCAGCATCTCATGCCAAACATTGGTGCTATAGCCACCCTGAGAACCCTTGCTGCTACCTCTATGTACACAGCTCGTGCGATGGGACTGCACAAGATCGATTCGCCTGCGAACAAGGCTCGTCGACAGAATACAGAAGTCGATTGGGTCGATATTGAAGTGAAAAGGAGAATATGGTGGCACCTTGCTTCAACAGACTGGTACGAATTCAGTCCAAGAGCAGTGCAAGTGCACATCTAGTACTGACATTGACTAGGTTGCTGTCATTCATGAGTGGCGCCCAGTGTGGCACCTATATGATCCACCCCAAGCAGATGAATGTCGACCACCCCTCCAATGTTGACGATACTGAGATCAACGCTCGTGGTGACTATGCTAGACCCATGGAGTTTGCAACTGACATGACATATTTCATATTCAGAGTGAAATTCGCAACAGTATTTGGCGAAATGGTAGATGCAGCATGGGAGGCAGGGTCAGACATGGACGAGCTACCTTTCGAGCTCGTTTTAGAATTCGACAAGAAGCTCAACACTCTCCTTGCAGACTTCGATAGAAAATTCGAAGTCGTGAAACATAATTATCCTCCAGGTACAAACGACAGCTCAGCTGGACAGAAGCTTGCGCGCCTCAGCAAGCAACGTACCATGGCTCGAAACATGGCGCATTTTGGAATCCACACTCGAATATCCCGCCTGCATCGTCCATACCTCGTTCGCGGTGCCCAAGATCCACGTTACGCATACAGCAGAATGGTCTGCCTACGCTCAGCACGAACCGTCATCGAGCTAGGCAAGAAAATGACAACCCAAGTCCAAGATCTTGCATCCATCAAGATCTGGTCTGTCAACCACCACGTATTCGTCTCAACTGTCATCTTAGTAATGGATTATTGCTTCAATCGCGACGAACCCCGCGCAAAAGAACGAAAGGAAGAGATCCTAGAATGTTTCCGGATCCTCGAGAGTAGTCGAGAAGATAGCACGATCGCGACCCGAGGCCTGCAAAAGCTGCGCATCATGCTCCGAGAAAAAGCCAGCGGTGACGCCTCCTCAGGCGATGAATCCACAGGCTCGAAAGCATCATTTAGCAAACAACAACGAGATAGCCCAACTTCTTTTGCACCACCAAACCAATTCCAACAAGCTCCCTCGACGATGTACCAGAGTACACCAGTCTCGGGCAGCGAGATGAATCAGCTGCCCTCACAGTGGCAGTGGGATTTGGGGTCTCTGGATTTCGATGTTGATTATAGTCAGTTTGAAGCCCTGTTTCAGAATATTGATAATAGTCGAGAGATGTTTTAGCAATCACAGCCGGCTTCGGGAGCTGGTCCGAAGCCACATAGTCGGTCTGCGACTGGGAGTCCGAGGGTGCCGCCGAGGACTATTCCTTTGCCGATTGGGTTCTGCTTCTAAGTAGACTTCTGTTGCCATGATACAACTGAAGAACCATACGGAAAATGCTCTCAGACATCGGCTGAGGATGGGGATGGGGATCAAACACGTGATACTGCTATCGTAGGTGGGTAAATGACCTCGATATGGATGCAGTAACTATACCGCTAAAGAAAACATGAAGCTTACAAACTCGCTCTAACGTGATATTCTAACGTCGTTACTCCTTCGCTCTCTCGGGTGCTCACGTGTTTTCGCTTATCATCTACGTTTGTACTAAAGCCGTTTGCTGTTGTCCTTCGACTCTTCTTCAATACTCGATCCTCAACAACGTCCAAAAATATCCGCGTTCGAGATTCTGGAATCTTCGCGTGGATCTTTTCTGCAGCGCAGCTCGTCTTCGGTACACGACTTTCTTTGAGCAAACAAAGGTTGCAGACTTGCGCCTCGAACATCAAGTTTCGGGGTAATTAACAAAAGTAACCAGCGATCTGTCCCACGTCGTTCACCAATCCTCGTTCACTAGTATTGATTTGTTTCAAGCAGCATATCTTCTTCGAATCCACAGAAACGGCTCATCGTCATGTCACGTACTCAAAAGCCGCAAGACTTGAAGGTCACCTTGGCCGAGCAGATCGATTCTTCCTTTGCGTACGAGACCATCCGCGTCCTCCAAGGACCCCATAAGGTCCTTGATATCTCCCTTCGGCGCACCATTCGGGTTCCTGATAACGATCAAGCATACCTCCTTCCACCGGACTGTGGTGCCTTCCCTATCTATTCCGTCAATCGATTTAAGCACCAGCTTCCCAATGATATGGCGGAGAAGGGTGGGCTCTTTATCCCAATGTACGGTGAGTAAGCAAATCCTCTCCTGCTGCACTGTTATCTCTTTGAAATGTTCAGAGTCTATATTCGTTGCTTGGTAGAGCCGCTAGCTAACTCCTTCAATGATGAACAGAACGTGAGGCCATGTGGATCAACTTCGAATCCATCCAACCTTTCGCAGTCAAAATATCTGTTGGCGGCATCAACGCTGTGTCTGGAGACTCCGCAACCGACGCGCTGAGTGCGTCCAGACTCCGAGAACGTCAGCAGAAGGGTACGCTGCAAGATTATGTTGTGACCGGTCGTAACATGCAACAATGGCTTGACGGCATCGCAGCAGAGGAGGGCAAAGTCAAGCAGTTTATTGCTACACCAGTTGGCTCTGGATATTCGGTCGAGGCTCAGCTCACTGGTGCCGATAATGTTGCTGGTCTTCAATTCGAAGTGATGGCACTCAAGAAAATGGACGCCATCACGATCTATGTCAAGACATTGACCGGAAGAACCATTAGTCTCACAGTTGATCTGACGATGACAGTTGATGATGTCAAGTGTTTGATTCAGGACAAGGAGGGGATCCCGCCGGATCAGCAGCGTTTGATCTTTGAAGGCAGCCAACTTCAGGATGGTAAGTTATAGATGTAGAGTACTCGGATGATTTATTTCATGCTAACAGAGAAATAGAATGCGTACTTGCCTCGCTGGGTATCGAATCTGTAGGCGATGTTCGACTCGTCCTTCATAGCTCTAGCTAACCATATACCTCAGGATTGTGTTCTTCATCTAGTCCTCAGACTCAGAGGTGGCTTCATCTACGAACAGCTTTCCCTCGTAGAAAAGGCAAAATACGACCGGGATCAGCATGAGAAGCGCTCCGCAGCCGCCGAAGAAGAACGTAGGGTTTCTGAAATGACCATAGCCGCTGGCGGAACCATTCATCAAGCCATCGTGAAGGACAAAATCAGCGACAGTCATTGGGACAAACATAGTACCATTTCGTTCAACCTCCAAATCCTCAATGCTGCGAACTTCCACTCTCTCCTTGGAATCTCAGCTCCGAACACCCCAATTAGTGCTGCTACCTACGCCGAGTATGGCTATCCATTCTTCAAGCTGTATGAGGACAAGAGCGGCATCAAGGGAAACTTCGAGGGCGTCAAGAGTGTTGGACAGCTGCGCAAGGATGCTGGCACACACAATCCTGATGAAGACTTTTATTATGGATTTCCGATCGTGAGCCTCAATGCTCCTACATCCAAGAAGCCGTTCGTGATTCTCTCGGATCTGGAAGCTCGGCTGAGAGACATCATGAACGATGCGGTAATTTGGTTTTCGCATTGACTCAACTTCACTGTCCTCATCATGAGCAAATATTTTGGTTGGCGAGGGAAAAGTTACGGTGCATAAGTAATAACTTTTCGGAATTCATTGAGCGTGGCAGTGGCTTATGCTGAGCTTGACGCGCTTTGCAAAGAAGATAGTACCTAGGTATAGAAGAAAATCAAAGGATAGCATAACATCTACTGTTCATCCTTTATTGGAGGTTGAGAAAGCGTTTGATGCGATAAAAATACCCGGAAGATGATTTCTCCCAGTCATCACGTGCAATACCCCTCTCCTCGTGCTACTCCACAGCCTGACAGTTGGGCTCGAATTGGATCAGCCTTGCCAGAAAATTGCAAACACCTTCCAGCGGAGCTGTTTGCAATTAATTCTTATATGATTCCTATCTCCGACTGTTTAAATTGTACCACTGCCACATCATTCGTGCGACACTCTAGAGACAAACCTAGCAAGTTGGCAAAGTCTTCATAAGGCTGGCAAGTGCTCAGACAAATCTCCTACTTTCCCACTCAATGACTCTCACCCACCCTCCCCAACATGATAACCCAACTCTTCCAAAACATCATTACCTTCCTAACTTCCCTCTACAACCTCCTCTTCCCCCAAACCCCCACCTTCTACCACGAAACCGCTCCCTGCACCGCCCTCTTGCAAGAAACAACACTCACTAAACGCGCCCTCCCCAACCGCCGCCTCATAACCGCCTTCGGCATCGAAAACGCATTCACCACCATCTCGCCCCAAATCCACCAAAACTTCCTCAACAAAGTCTCCGCCCTTCTTGAAAAATCCAACAACGATATCAGCCGACGCTTCCTCGCCGCTGACGCTCTGAGAATTGGACAGGAATACATCGAGCGCTCGCCATCTCCTATTGTTAGTCTCTCAAAGCTAGTTCAGGTGGTAGTGTTCCGCACAGTCCTAACAATCTTCTTCCCGCACGTCGCGAAAGGGTTTACAGAAGATGGATTACTAAAAGATATCGACGTCAAAATCATATCAGCGCAGATCAATAAACTATGGTACGACTCCAAGGATCCGTGGAAGGTTTTCGCAGCGCAGTATGGGCCCAGGAGATGGAGTAGTATTATGCGGGAACGAGAGATTCTTTTGGAGAGGTTGGAATTGCAGTTCCCGTGGTATAGGACGTATTTACCGCAAAGGAACCCTTTGAATATTCTGGTGCCGGCACATCAGGGGTTGTGGGGCGTGGTGTTGAGGTGTCTGATTGAGGTGCGGTTTAGAAGTCAAGGGGAGAGGAGAAGGGAGTGGATGGAGTTGTTTAGATGGTTCCTGGGGGAGCCGACGGAGGCGTGGCATAGGGGGAATGAGAAGGGGTTGGAGGTACAGATGATTGTTGCAGAAACGTTGAGGTTGTATCCGCCGACCAAGAGGATGTATATCCAGCAGGAGGACGGGAGGTTAGATGCGGTTGATATTGAGAAGATGCATCGGGTTGGCGAGAGGTGGGGGGATGATCCGTTGGTGTTTAGGCCAGAGAGGTGGGTTGAGATAGGGTTGGATGTTGTGGGTACGGATTGTTACATGCCGTTTGGGAGGAAGGTGGGGGTCGAGGGAGATGGGAAAGCCGATACGGTTTCTCAGTGTCCATCGAGGTTGAGAGGTGGTCCGAAATTGATTGCGGTTATCGTTGGGGCGTTATTGGAGCTACTAGATGAGGAATGGGAATTAGAGGATGGATGGGATATGAAAGACGATATATTTGATGGGGAGCCACTTAGGAGTGGGAAAGATGCTTACGAGAGCTTAGGGTTGTGGAGGAGACATATTCAGCCATTTGAGATATTAGATTGAGACATTGTGTACGCTCAGTGCTTAGATGCCCCATTAAATTCTTTGTCAGATTCTGCATTCCAGATTTCCAACGGCTCTGTTATCTTTGTGTTGGAAGCTCGCGAGAGTAATAACAAAAGGCTCGCTTAAAAGTTTAGGGGCAAGTTTCCGTGCTGTACATAATTCCCTCATATTTGAGTTTTGATATATCTAGCACTCTACTAAATGGATTACAGTGATACACCGAGAATTCATGTCAAATGCCTATGCGCTGTGCCATGTTGGAACTGAACTTTAGCCGGCGACGTAATGTTGGCTTCCGGTGATAGCACAAGCAAGCTACAGTACAGGGATGTGGATTCATTGGTAGACAATAGAATGCAGGCGGGATATGGTGGATGTACCTCCAACAATCACGGACAAGGTATCAGATTGTCATCACAAACAAAGCCTTTCAACACAAGCCGCTCCCTGTTCTATCCAGAGAGCTAGTTTTGGTCCTTTCAACTTCAATCTGCTGCAAACTGTTCTCAAAATGGCAGCTGATGATCCTAGCACGCTGACCGAAGCCGACAACACAAGTCCAACATCAGGGTTTCCGAGCAAGTCCTCGTCAACAATTCCCGAGACATCACAGCAGGAGAAAGTAAATACTGATATTGAAGGTAGCGCCAATGTTGACATCGACACCCAAGTTGCTACCCCAGAACATGACTATCTGACCGGAATCAAGCTTTATGGAGTGGCTGCTGCGTGCGTCTGCCTTTTTCCATTTAAGTCTGTGTCAAGGAGAGATCTAACATTGGCTTGAAGATTGTTCACGGGGTCTTTTCTGTCAATACTTGAAATTTCAATCGTCAGCACTGCCTTAATAAACATTACGGACGATTTGAAGAGCTTCGACGAAAGCAGCTGGATCATTACGGCGTATCTTCTTACATACACAGTTTTAAGAGGCTGGGTGCTACCATCGCAGATGCTGAGCTGATACTTGCGCAGGCTTTCTGATAATATGGGCGAAGTTCAGCGATACCCTTGGACGAAGAACATGTCTAGGTACAGCTCTGCTTATCTTCATCATAGGCTCTGGAGCTTGCGGGGCAGCGCAAACTATTGATCAGTTGCAAGTCTTTATCGTCTTTGTTAAAGATAAGTTATCTGACAGAAGGGCAACAGGATTATCTTCCGTGCCTTGCAAGGCATAGGCGCTTCTGGCATAGTCGCTTTGACTTTCGTGATCATTGCTGAGCTAGTTCCTGTCGACAAATACGCCTTGTACTCTGGAATTACGGCTATCATCTATGGGGTAGCATACTTGATGGGGCCGTTGGTTGGCGGTGCTATTTGTGAAAATACCACCTAGAGATGGTTATTCATCATCAAGTAAGGAGAATATCGCATATTTTGGAACAATGCTGACGTTCCGTCTCTACTAGTGTGCCGATTGGGATAATGCCTCTTGCCCTCCTATACATCTTCATGCCCGCGAATTTCCCTAACTGGCGCTCGACAAACACGAAGACTTCTCCAACAATACAAACAATTTTAAACATCGACTATGTGGGAGCTACATCCCTCTTTGGTTTTTGCGTGCTTTTGGTGGCTGCTTTCCAGGAAGCCAATACGCGATATCCATGGGACTCTGCTGTTGTCATTGTCTTATTCATATTCTCTGGGATCTTCCTTATAAGCTTTATTGGCTGGCAAAAATATCTGAGCATCATCACGACCTCGATCAAAGCCATATTCCCCTGGAGAATCATGGAACATCGTTTGTTCATGTGTACGGTACTGTAAGCTTCAAGCTGCGTCCTTTTTGTGATCACCTGTAACTTATTTCGCTTTAGTCTCACAATCCTTTAAGGTGCTCCGTTCACAGTCGCCGTGATTCAGATCCCACAGAGGGATCAAGCAGTTGGAGCTACTTCTCCAATCCGTGCCGGAGTTAACCTCTTGCCCTTCACCCTGATGTTGTCAGTTGGATCCATATTCGCAAGCATATCAACATCACGATCTCGTGCTCCGCCCATGTTCGTTTTCCTCGTGGGAGCTATCCTTCAGACCGTCGGTTGTGCTTTGATGTCGACTTTAGGGGTTCACGTAGGCTCTAAAGCCTATGGTTATGAAGTCATTCTTGCCCTCGGCCTAGGTCTGAATCTCGGGATGGGCATCATCCTCACGCCTCAATTGATTAGAGGCGAAGATCAATGTAGGATCAATCTATCTCTTTCGTAGTCCTGTAACTCACTTCAACTTCCAAGCTGTTGGCATGGGAGCAGTAATACAAGCTCGTCCGTTAGGAGGAGCCATAGGCTTAGCAGTCACAACTACTGCTCTGAACTCATACGTGAAATCCAAACTGTCGAGTATCCTCAACCCAGACGATCTGTCAGCTTTACTGCAATCAGTACAGGTCATTGAGGTACTACCAGCTGAGCTGCAGGCCATGACAAGGCCAATATTTTCCGAGGCGTATGATTTGCAGATGCATATCATGATTGGATTCAGTGCGGCTCAGGTATTGGTAGCTGCAGCTATGTGGGAAAGAAAGCTGACACGAGTGGCATAATCGTCAAACCATAAACTTGGCCTGGACAGATCGCCAACGCACTCCTCCTAAATGGCATTGCCAGTTGGGTCTGACGTTGGTACAGGGATTTATGCCATCCAACATAAGAGGCATTAGTATGATGATCCTTTCTTAATTAGCTCCGAGCGTTGGATCGTTAGCAACTATGAGAGACTTTTCAGCAAAGAAGGAATATTGCTCAAACAACGTTCATGACATTTGGAAAGGGATCCCGAGCATGCATCAGACGCTTACTCTCTTTCTAGCAATCCATGACTTTTATAGCTATTCTGCTATATCTGAGCTCCGTGTAACTGAAGGTGATGTTGGGAAACTGGATAAGCGTTAATTAGTGGCCGAATATGGTTGGATTGACAACTTGGGTAGCCACTGTATGACCAGATAATTGCCGTGCAGGAAGGAGCCATGCTTCAGTTCGGCAAGCGAGCTCACATCGAAGGGATGTAACGACCAATAGATACGCGTAATATCGCATGGTCTGTGAAACTCGGTTTGTCACGCCGCAATGTTCCCCAAAAGATTACTGAGCCTTTGAGCCCTGCCGAGTCATTTGGAATCATTTGTTGGACACTAAATGTTGGATGTCAAAGCCCCAACAAATGAGTGCAGAACACTCAATCAAGAGATAGAGATTAGAGTATGAGCGCCAAGCTGTAGCGAATCATCTATTATGCAGCTTACCTGCATGAACGCTACCTTGAAACCGTCAAGTGTGTGCGGTGCTGCAAATGCCAATGGTGATGTATGCATATTCCATATTGGACCCAACTGGACCCAACTGCTGAAATGTACAGTATTCGGACTTTCAGGGAAAACAGACAAAGTAGGCTTCTCCACGTTGCATCGTTACCCCAGAGGAAGAGTTGCAGTGCTCAAGTCCACGTTTGAGTTCTGAGTGTTGATCCCAAATCCACTCATAATAGATATATTGTATGAGATCTCGATTGCTTCCCACGCTCCTCTGATTTCCACGCGCAAAATCTTAAGCCAAGAGTTCTGTAAATCACGATGGATGAAGCTCTCTTACCCGCCCTTATCGACGAACGGGCTCGATTAGAGCCGGATAGGCTCTATTGTGCCTTCTTGAGAACGGTGAACATCAATGATGGAGTTGTCAAGCTCTCGTACAGCGATTTCGCCAACGCAGTTAACAGACTTGCCTGGTTTATAGAGGAAACCTTCGGCAAGAGTGATGATTTTACCACTCTGGCATATGTCGGCCTTACGGATATCAGATATGCATTGATCACTTTAGCAGCCGCCAAAACAGGCCACAAGGTAAGGACAGCTTCAAAATTCGAGACTTCTTCCGTGAGATACACGCGTTAACAAGAAACAACAAGGCATTCCTCATGTCCATGGTCAATCCTGTCCCAGCACAACTTCGACTTCTTGAAGCTGCCAAGTGCGATCACCTTCTTGTAGCAGCTGACTTTCCGGCATTCAAACCCGCTATTACTGCGATGGCCTCAAGACGGCCATTAAAAGTCGTTGAAATTGCCAGCGTTGATCACTGGATCGCCAAAGACAAGGCTAAAGAATATCCATTTAGAGCCACTTTGAGTGATAATCCTCGTCAACCATTTGTTTCAATCCACACATCTGGATCAACAGGCAAGTAGTTTCCAGACAGTCTATGCTGGTCAAAGCGAGCTAACGAATTTTAAGGTTTTCCTGACCTGGTTACCTATAATTTTACTGCTCTTACAGCCTACAGGTATTGGAACCATCCTAGGGATTTGGTGCCAGATGCTAAATTCGCCCGAGATTACAGAGTGGCGTTCAAAAGATTTGTTCTCCAAGCATCCCACAAAGGATCTGTGGAAGTACCAGGGTCGGGCGGATGACACATTCGTCATGGCTACTAGCCCTACGTGCAATCCGCTCGGAATGGAAGCTGTCATGGTAACTCATCCACGCATCATCACAGCTCTCTTAGCTGGTCATGGTTGCGAAAAGACAGCATGGCTGCTCGAAGTGCATGATCCTCCAGTTCATGAAGGAGAGAAGACGAAGTTGGTGGACGAGCTCTGGCCGTATGTGGAGAAAGCAAACGAGGTGGCTCAGTCACATATGAGAGTGGAGGATAAACAAGCGATTGTCTTCAATCAGAAGGGAAAATCATTTCCACGTGCTGGAAAAGGTTCTGTTCAAAGAAAACTTGCACTTGCTGCATACGAGAAGGAGCTTGATAGTGTCCACAGCTAGCAAAAAGCTGCTTTTGTGTGAAGGGAAAATACAGCTACAACTGAAACTGTTGTCGGAAAGTGAAACTTTGTGTTTTTCAGTGTTTCGAGGCAGCTCGAGGAAGATACGATCCAATAGAGCACGAAGTTGTTAACAAAGTCAATCTTGGCACCAAGTCTGGGATTCAGACTAACGTTGTGATCTCAAGCCTTTGTCCTGTATTATATTTCTCACTTCTTCCTCATCCACAAACATCCATCCAACCCGTCTCAACCTGGAATCTTTGCCTTCTGTTGAGACTACGCTCCTGAGTATCTCTCTTGAGCGCTTCAAATATGCAGTCAAACAGACTTAAAACATTCCTTTCAAAAGCGCAACGGAAAGCTGCGCTAAAAAGAGTCGTCCTGGAGGCTCCAGCGCTCTACAGCCCACTGGATCGCGAAACACGAGAGTTCCGGCTTCTTGGCCTCTCACCATCCGAGGACTTCACAGCTCCGATACGATGTAAAACATTTCATTCCTCGTTAGACAAATGTCCGCCATACGAAACGTTGTCATACGTTTGGGGAGATCCAAATGACACTCGCGATATCCTGATCCGCGACTAGCCTCGCGCTATCACCAAGAACCTGGAGCTTGCTCTGCGCCACATCAAGCTGTCAAGGAAGAAAAGAATACTTTGGGTTGATGCACTTTGTTTATATTTCGATCGATTCCGAACGAAATACCGCGGAATCTTGAGGTTTGGACCTCTGTTTTCTGAGGGGTTTCGTCTAACGCATTTGGGCCAGTGGTATCGGGAAAAATATGTGTTAAATTCTTAAAGACAGAGACATTATACTTAAGATTGCCAAGTTACTCCATTATTTAAGTACAGTTGATACTAAAAAAGTCTTTTTAAGCTTAAGAATATGACCACGGGCGCGGTGTTAGCAGCCACTACTTAGATTACCTAGGCAAAGCGAGTTAGTACGTTTCTTAGAATGGTTACCGTCATCCTCGCTTCGTGATAGCTTGTCCATAAATTGTGATTTATTTTTCCACTTCTTTGCTTCATCACAAGAACACCTTAAGCAAACAACATTCGCCATGTTCGCGCAACGCTTTCGCCAAATACTGCCGGGAGCCTCAGCAAATTCTTCTTCTCGTGTCAACCTACAAACTGTACGGTGCTATGCTAACAAGTCACGTGTCGACTTACTCAACTCAATCTACCGTCCAGCATTCGCAAATCTCAAGAAAGGATCACCAGAATATGTGGATTTAGCAGAATCTGGTAGAGTTTGGGAAAATTTCTTTCGGCCTGGAAACATCGAACCTTACCTGCAAACTCAATCAGACTTGAAGCAGACTCTCACTTCGATCGATGAGCTAAAAGAATGGTATCGAAAGAATGATAAGGCCAAGACAACTATTCTTCGAGATTTGGTTCCTGAATATGCTCAGCAAAGCACATCTCTTGAGCAGAACCCTCTTCATATCGGCGACGCAGCAGTCATCTTCGACGAACTCGAGAAACAACTGTTCGGCAATATCGATTCTCTGGATGTTATGTCAACTTCTGAAGTCTCAAAACTTGCTTTACCTACTCCAGAAAAACTTCTACCGGGAAAGAACGCGAACCAAGTCGCCGAGCTCCGAAATCACATTTTTGTTAGCCGTTACACTACCGAAGCTGCTCTCAACAATCCCGGCACAACTAGCATCTCTGTTGCCGATATACAACAACTTTCCATGATGATTCTTCGAGGAACTGATGCGAAGACTTTATATGCTTCCAATTGGGGCAAGCGTACACACATCGGAGAATACCGCTCAGCTCCTATTTCCGTTAAATCCAACCCAATGCGCATCTTCCCATATCATCAAGAAATTTCTGCCTGTATGCATCGCTATATTGAGTGGCGCGACCTTAACCATACCGACAAGATTCTTCATCCAATCATCTTAGCGACTCACTTGTCTACCTACTTTTTACATATCTATCCCTTCTTAGATGGAAACGGCAGACTTGGTAGAGTCTTGATGGCTGATTACCTGATTCGTCAAGGATATCTCCTAGTAGTGTTCGTCAACCTAGCCCGGGAAGATTATCTTAAGATGATTTCAGACGCGCAAGATGGAAAGCCAGACGATCTTTGTACTACAGTCACTCAGACGCAACTTGAGATGTTGTGGGAAATGACTATGCGACAATATATTGCCTAGGCGGGTGTGGTTTGTTGATTCCGTTCGTCGGGGTCGATAAAGTCTGTATCAACCAGAGCCATGTGCCTAAAAAGAATGACCAAGTAGCTCAGATGCGAGATATATATCTGAGTTCGGAACGTGTTTTAGTCTGGTTGGGAGAAGAAGGGACTGCGCAATCTGCGGTTGAATTTCGCAGGAAGCTAAAGCACAATGGTGGCTCGAGCTCCGGAATGTCGAAACATCAATTCCAGAAGAATCTCGATGCTTGTTATGACCTCTTTATCGAATGATCTTGGTGGAACAGGACATGGATTCTACAAGAGGTTCTACACGATACACCTGTCCAGGTCCATGTCGGGAAAATCGAAATTGCGCTCGACTCAATCTGTCGAACTTGTTGGCTTATTGATTCGGAGCTTCAAGGAACAGGGATGCCGGGGCAAGATGATCCTGGGTTCTCGGATATCATGCGTGGAGCTTTGTGGGATGAGATTGGGAAGACCTGCGAGTTAGAGAGGTTTTGGTTGAAATAAAAATGTGGCAGGATTAGAGAGCCATAGTATTCAAAACATCTTCGAACGCCATTCTGTTTGCTACGTCTTTTTTCTGATCCATTCTTTCTCGCTCTGTGGCTGCTTTCGCTCGGGTCTGAGAGAGACATGTCTTACCTAATGCCATCAAATCTGGTATCTTTCCCAGTTATAACAAATCCCTGAACGATGCTCATAACTGTGCGCTATCCTAAAAGCTTTGACTCCTATGCTGCAGCTGGCTTCTCCCTTGTGACGATCACCCGCCGGCAATAGTCCGTGCCAAATAAGCTGACAGCTGTCGTGAGACAGCTCTAGACCAACGCTTGAATGGTCAAAGTAGAGCGCACTTCCCGCATTGCGCGTACACGCGGCGTGCGCCGTGTCCGAGCGTGCAGACTTAGTAGCCTCACCAACTTCCAGTTCTCATGAACACCTGCAGAATTTACGAAGCTGGGTTCAGAATAGGATGAAGGATTGTCAAAGCGTCGGTTGTCACCGGGAACTGTCGGGGTGGTACACGGTACATTTACATGATCGAGGTACCTTTCTATGCTTGATTCCTTTGATGTCAAACAATGTTACTATACATGTACCTGAAGTACTTGCTAGCTCTGATACCCTTCATTGTTGCAATTCTCGCTCATGATGACTCGAACCTCATCGCCAAGACTCCGCCGTGCGCTGTAAGTATTATCCACTGATGTTTCTCGAAGGCACTTCTGACATCTAGCCAGCTCACATGTTCGATAAACCTCTTATCCTCGATCTGCGACCTTTCTCAGATCAGCAGCTGTCTCTGCGTTAACGAAACACTACAAGCAGAACTCTCAATATGTGTCCAGAAATCGTGTATCTGGTCTGATCAACTTGGTATTCATCCTCGCCCTCACACATTCTCCAAGTATTAACGTATTGGGAATCAGTTGCAGCGACAGTCGAAAATGAGCTTTGTGCGGGGTATCCGGAACAAGATAAAAGCGCACATGTCAGAGCTATATCGATCGCGTTCTTCTGTACCACGATACCATTTTTGGGGCTGAGGTTGTTTGCTAGGTGGAAGGTGGCGGGGGAGTTGTTTACTGATGATTGGGCGGTTATGGTTGCTTGTGTGAGTATCAATGTAATTGTTTTGGGGATGATTGAGGGGGCTGATGATTTTTTAGTTCTGGGTTGTTGTTGGAGCTGGGCTTGAGATTACAGGTTTGTGGTACTTCTCGTTGAGAAAGAGTGGATTGACTGACAGAAGCAGCTTCTGAGAAAGGGTTTGGTAAACATTATTGGAATGTGCCTGTTGAAAATGCTGAGCTCCTGCTAAAGGTAAACGATACACTAACTATACACTCATGTTTCGTTGATTTAATTGACACAAGCAGTTGTTCTACGCCTTGCAAATAGTATACATCATCATACAAGTCTCCGCGAAAGCCTCTCTTCTCTTACTCTACCACCGCATCTTTCCAGATGAACGCTTTAAGAGGATCGTCCAAGCTTGTATGGCCTTTGTTGGTCTGCATGGAGTTATTTTTATCATCGTCATACTATTTCAATGCTTGCCCCTAGCATCTATTTGGAATCATGCAATCGAAGGACATTGTGCGAATCTCCAAGCTATCGCCTATGCAGGTGCTGCGTTCAGCATCCTTGAGGACCTGGTCATATTGGTCCTTCCTTTGCCTCAACTGAATACTCTGAGTCTGCCATTAAATAAGAAGCTGGGGCTTATGTTGATGTTTAGTGTTGGTTCTTTGTAAGTTCATGCTATACCTCAAATGTCATTTGTCAAACTGACTTTCTCCCAAAGCGCCTGTGTAACCAGCATGGTGCGACTGAAATTCATCGCCCAAGTCAGCACAACTTATGATATATCATGCATGTACACCTTTCCCTCTCAACACACCACTTGTTAACATTTTACCCAGGGACAAATGTCAATATCTTAATATGGTCCGTAATGGAAGTCGACGTAACACTCATCTGTGCATGCCTGCCCGCTCTGCGACCCCTCATCCTCCAATACATACCGGGCCTCTACAAATCAGCGATATCGACTACGAAATCGACATGGAATGGGTCGTATAGGATGCGGAAATGGAGGTCGATGAATGAACTGAGGCCCAATCCGCAGCTTCCGAAGTCAAGTAGCGCAATCGGGGTCCAGGCAGAATATGTGTAACAGATATTGCAGGGCTTTATTGGGCGCTATGGCGCACCAGTAGCGTTAGAAACTTTAGATAATGAAATCAAGGTTGAAGAAGTGGTTGTGTCAAGTAATCGTTGAGCACGTTTTAGTGTAACTTACAACCTGGCATTGACACGTTCGGGAGCATATGCATGCAAAAGTGCGCAGGGTCCAATGGCATTTATCTTGGGTAGAAGAATTCTCTATCCATGCTTCTCGGTATCAAGATGGTGGAGAATCCGATCTACTTTATTTTTGATCTATCGTTTTGCTTTCGTCCCCGGATTTGCAACTTCGCTGTCGCTTGTTGCGCCTTTGGGTGGATCTTTCTACCTATACCAACTTTTATTCTCTTACTGACAAAACAGTCTTAGGGACTGCAAACTGCACGTTATTTCGGATTTTCCACGACCTTCTCGAGAAGATGGTGTTTCACAAGATGCGTGGCCATTTACCGGTATCGAGGGGAGCACAATGCAGGCGCTGTGTTCAGCAGACGCGCAGGGAGGTCAAGATCGACGTGAAATTTCAGTGGTACCATCACATACTGGTTTCAATTTTTCTTCAAGAAAACTTGCGCCAAAAGCCAGGGAAGTCGCCGTTAGTGAATGCATTGGCACATCGAAGTGAGTCAATCATCTCATATCGGGTATGCGGAGTATAAAAACCACACTTTCTTCCAAGAACTTCTTCTCCAAGCCTTCTACAAATTCTTAGACAGAATCGACTGCTAATCCGAACTTGAGACTGATTCCAAACATGTCTCTCATACTCTTGATCTCCATCGTCCTCCTAATCTGCTATTTCATCTCCCATCGTCTATCCCCTGAACCGGACCCTCGTGAGCCACCAGTCATCTCTCCACAGCCTCCTATTATAGGCCATCTTCTAGGTCTCCTCAAACACCAAGTTTTCTATTTCGAGAAACTCGCCGCTCGCTCGTCAACCCCGGTATTCAGCATTTGGATATTCAAATACAAAATTCACATCATCGCCGACCCAAACATGATCTCAGCAATGCATCGACACAGTAGTCCATCATTTGATCCTATAATTATAGCCATTGCCGAATCTATCGTTGGCGACAGTCCAAATGTCCTAAGGCTTATGCATGATCCGCCTCCTGGGGCCAAAGAGACAAACCACTATATGGTCGACACACATGCGAGCCTACATGAGAGTGTGGTACCTGGACCTGGACTATGGGAGATGAATAGGAGAGTCTTAAGGAAAGTGACCGACATTGTAAACGTTATTGGTAGCGAATTCGAGGAGAAAACACTCTGGTATTGGCTCTGGGACTCATTTACGAAAGCTACTTCCGAAGCTCTGTTTGGTTTTCATCACCCACTGGTAAAGGATTCGAGCTTGGTGCAAGCAGTCTGGTAAGTTTCATGCACATATGTACTCAAGACATTGCTAAAGCCGTGGCAGGGAGTTTGACGAATCCCAGACTACGACAATGCTCGTGTCGAGAGCCGTTCAATATTTTCTGCCCTCAGCTGGTCGCATGTTTGTAGCTCAGTCACGACTTCGAACTGCTTTCAAAGAGTTCTACTCCGATCCAGAAAAGTACAATCATCCCTCGGTCTCCGCGCTTGCTAAGAAAAGGATGGAAGCCAACCTCAAGCATGATGTTCCAATGAACGAGACCGGCAACGCAGCACACTCTCTCCTCTTTGTTGCCACAACCAACGCAGTTCCAACAATATTCTGGTTTCTGCTCCTTCTCTTCTCAAAGCCCGCTGTAGTCACTGAACTGCAAATTAATCTCGAAGAATCAGGAATCGTCTCGTTCATCGGCACTAAAGAAGGCAAAAGAAAAATGCGAATCGACCACACCAAATTCTACGAGAAATGCCCGCTCCTGATTTCGGCATACAATGAAGCGATGCGGCTCACCAATATCCAAAGCGGCACAAGAGTCATCCTCGAAGACTTCATGCTCGGCGCCGGGGCCGGAGAAGACCAAGATCAGAAACGACAAGGCTATCTTCTCAAGAAAGGAAGCCTTCTGACGACACCAGCAAGGATCACGCATCTGTCTCAGGAAGTGTGGGGCGATGATGTAGCGGAGTTTAAGCCTGAACGATGGCAAAATTTGACTAAGATGCAGAAGCGAGCGTTTATCCCATTTGGTGGTGGCAAGCATCTTTGTCCTGGGCGAGACTTTGCCTTTGCGGAGATAGTGGGGACAATGGCTGTCATGTTGTTAGGGTTTGATGTTGTGGGGATGGATGGGGAGGCTATCAAATTGCCGGAGGGGAATGAGATGAAGTTTGGGGTTGCGGGTCCGGATGAGGAGGGTAAGACGATGAAAGTGAAAATTAGAAGACGTGTCGGTTGGGAAGATGTGATTTGGGAGTTTGGTGCGATGGATTAAGCGGGTGTAGAAGTCACGAAGAAACTCCTAGGTCTAGGGCAGGGCATGGAAGTGGGTCGGGTCTGGACTAGGAACGCAGGCTGGGTATCTGAAGTGATGCGTCGTAGTTTTCATGCGGAAGCATTGACGTTTATAGACATGCAAGTGTTTTCCCAATGATATATGAGTAGTTACTCTTACACATGCATCATGCTCTTGGCGACCACACACCTTCACCACCGCACATTTCGAAGGAGAAATTCTCGGAAACAATCTCCATCAGGCACATGTGTGTGAAGTATACCTAGAACCGAACCAGTTTTCCTTAGGGATAAGCATCATATGACCTATAGCATGCCATTAGTTGAGCGACTGGTTTCCCCGATTCGCTAAGGTCACGTGTACACGGTTCTTGAAAGGGGGGGTATCGACCGGTCAGAAGAGAAAATATCAGCCAACCAGAAGCTCCAATTGAGAGATCCCTCCAATGAGCATTCTCGTAATCGTATGACAGCTCGTGGCCATGATGACGGTGCTGCTTCATAACCCAATAGTCCGGCACGCTAATCGGATACGCTTATGGAGACGGACACTATTCATCTGACGTTTTATATCCCCACAATAGATTTTGAGATGTGGAAAAGTTTCAAGACACTGATATCAACAATGCTGCTGATTAAGCCGGTTTTTCTTCATTTCAACTTCGGCGCAATAATTTAAAGATGAATTCTGAGCCGAATTACTCTGAAGCGAGGCTTTGGTCTTGAAATCGACCTCGATTTTGCTACGCAGCAAGCAGCACAATTGACTTTTTCGTGCCGGAGCTAACTTTAAGGCTTCTCGATCTATCCCATTTCGAACCCACCTTGACTAAATGCAGCCGGTCAAGAAGAGTATCACCGGACGCATGACCAGACTGATTTGGGACGAAATCAAGTGGTCATCTTCCGCATAAAATCTCACACATTCACTTTTCTTGCTTCCCTGAAAACTTTCATCAAAAAGACAGGTTCTCCTGCATCAAAAGCAAGGAAACATTCATTGCAACTGAAATTGAATCTTCGGCGACGAAGTCAACCGGATATTCCAAACAACGAGTCGAGACAAGACGATGGCGGATCCCAATTTGAACCCGAGTGTGCTCCCATTCCAAGATACAGCAATATTGTCCATGAAGAAGAGAGAGAAGGAAGGAGATACCCCCTCCACTCTCACTGCCAACGGTTCCGACGTCCAGACCACCGAAGCCATGGGAGAGATAGTCTCTGCTCCATCTGGAGAATTGGCAGTTCCAACAACCAAGATCGATCAGTTGGATGCTGAGGTCTTCTCCAACCTCAGTATTGAGGAGAAGACTGCAATCCAGTGTTCCGAAGAGTGGATGAGGAAGACTCCCAAAGAGCGACTTTCCATTGATGGCAGCGCCTACTTCTCAACTCTCCAAGACATGTACAATCACCAGCCATCAAGATGCTCTCCTGATTGCTGCGACTTTGTCGGTATGATTGAGAACATGGTGCGAATGCTCGACACCACTATCAAGCGGGCAGTAGAAGAAAACTGCATGCTACGAAATCAGCTGGCGCTGAACGACCCTGTTGCCGTCGCAAGCCTCCGTCAGATGATGGATGCCAAGTACAACGAATTGTACGCTCACATGGTTCAAGGGTGCCGCATGAACCAGGCATATGCAGATAAGATCGGAGAGCTTGAAGGAAGACTTGCAGTTGTGAAATTCCAACGCGATGACGCTATTCAACGACTACCGGAACTCTTTCAAAGCTCGAAGGAGCAGGACGCCACCATTACGCGCTTGATGGGAGAGAACAGAGACTTGACAGGAGACAGCCTATCCTGGAAGGAGAAGTTCATGCAGAAAGAGGAAGCCATGAAGAACTCTCAAAGAGATCTCAAGACGCAAAACAAATTGCTGCAAAAGGAGAGCCGCATGGTCAAAGAAGAAGCTGCTGCTAAGCTCGAGGCAAAGGACTCGGTCATCTGGGACCTCCAGGACACTCTCAATCAGAACGAGAAGCAAAACAAATCAAAGCAATTGATCAAGGACCTCGAGGCAAAGTGTGAGCGTCTTGAGCGAGAGCTGGATATGGCTCAGAGTCAAGTGCGCAAACTCAAAATCATGCATACTGTGCCACCCACGGCCCTGCCCAAGCCAAACGCCAAGAAGAACAAGAATTCGAAGGTCATGCAGCCCACCGTCGCCATCGCACCTGTCGAAAATACGGCCAGCGAGGAATCACAATCTTCTTCAGGAGAAGAGCCAGTCACTAGCCCCGTGGATGATGATCGAGAAGATGTAGAGCCCGAAGAACGTGCATCCACTGGGATATTTGCACAGTTCAAGAAAGCACTCAAGTCTACAGCGATTTTGCTCTCTGGTGTCTGGTAATCCGTTGATGAGGGAGAGTTTTTTTTTGTATACGTGAGAATGGAGTTATGCTGTCATAGTTAAAGGTTCGGCATATGCATAGCCTGTTCACAATCATAGAGAGATAAGTACATCATCTTGTTTGGAAGTAGCATTGCTTTTTACGGCGAACCGTGGTACAATGCACTTACTCGCTCCATACCTAGCTAGAGAGCATTTGAAAGAACAATTTTGCCTGCATCAAATCGTCTTGTCTCATCAAATTACCAGAGCCTGTGATCATCTGTGGTTCTCCCAAAACTCCAAGATTTCGATTCTCATCCAAGGTCTCTGCTCGAGGCAAGCCTAAAAAGTATAGTAAGATGAACGACCCACAAGTTCCGGCATATCATCATCTGAATCATCATCTTCATCCTCTAGAGCAGATGAGCTATCCTCATCATCAACTTCCCCGGTGTCAACCTGCTCGTCCTCGAGATCAGATGATACGCTCTCATCATCAGCTTCATCATTGCTGGAGGCGCTTCCGAGGTCATAAAGCACCAATTTGGGCCGCGGAGGCAAGAGTTCAGACAAAGGAGTCTCGAGCTCCGCCATGACCTTGAAATCTTCAATTTTATGAATATCGATAGCCTTGAAAACCTTAGGATCAATGCCATCCAAGCTCTTTGACACGCTCGCAAACTGCTGGTGACGAGGCATGGCCTTCAAGGCGTCAAGATCAATTGACTTCAAACGCTCCAGGGCATTCAAAGTTTGGTTGTGAAGAGATACAGTTACTTCGTACTCAGCGATATGCTCAACCTTCTTCGGACATGGATATGAAGCCTCGTCCGCAGTCGATGAGGATGCATGAGCGTTCACGATGGTCTTCTCGTTGTATTCATCGTAGAATGGGTACTTGTACTTGGCATACAAGGCGGCGTCGACCGGAGTGCGGGGAGCAGGAATGCCAAGAAGGCTTTCGAAGAGCGTAGCGTTCATGAGATGGAGGTGGAATGAAACACTGTTGCCAACGTCCCAATCTGAAGCAGCGACAGGATCCTTCACGACGGTATTATCGAAACAACAGTGTGGTCGAACTTGTACTCAGTAAGTTCGTAACCATGCCGACAAATATAGCAATCTAAATTGCTCCAAATCTTCTGGATCTCCGTACCAGTTTGAAGAACGATGAACAAGAGAGATCCCTTTGTCGAAGTTAGCTTGCAATTGAAAGACTGCGATGAAGGCAATTTACCTGGTGAATTCCCAACTCGCCGAGATTCTCGTCTGAGATGATGTTAGCATACTATTTCTCCGCGGATCTAGATCACATACTATTGATCAGTTCGCGGCCATCATAAACCAACTCTTGCCAGTCAATCGGATATGAGGTCATTCTCTTGAAAATTCCCTTCACTTGGTGAACAGACATACAAGCCTCGACCTCAAAGAAATAATCGCTTCTAGAAGCAACATCCTTGATGCGGATCTGGAATGGCTTTCGGACCGTGGACATGGTCTCGAAACGCAAATCGGCGACCTTGATATTGCCGGCGAGCTGAGCGGAAACTGAATAGTCAACACCATTGGCATTTGCGATAAACTGCTTCGAGTATCCTTCCGAAGCAGGCGTGGGTCTCAGGCGGAACTGAACCGCAGATGACACATAATCTTGGATAGGGACATCGCGCTCAAGGCGTGCAGCTCGTCGAATGCTGGCGGTTATGTCGTCTGTGTTAGAGCCACCAGAGACAGTGTTGACTTGGCCAGTATGGATCTTGATGGCGAATGGACGTTGAGATTCAAAGTCGATGGATAACGACTCGCATTCTAATTTTTTAAGATTTCCTGTCAGCTTCCAATTGCTATTGTACCACACCAAGAGGATAATTTTGCACTTTTGGGTGCCACGTTTGGAACATTCGCGCAAATGGCTCCAGCCTCTAAGCGCAAAACCTTAAGAACGTGAACTTACCATAGATAGGAACCACTCCGCCACTCTTGGCTACCACGTCCTTTGGAAGCTTGTCCTTGTAGAGGTCGACAGGGTAGATAGGGAACGGACCACAATCCAGAGGAGTGTATGGCTTCTTGTCACCATCCTTGATCCGAAGATTGCGTCGGAGGCAGATGTCGAGAGCATCAGTCGTGCCGTAGTGGACGCGAATGATGCTCTTGCCAGTATTAGAGGTAGGGATGTGGTTGCGAAATACTCGATTCTCAAAGGTGACCTTTAGGTCCTTTGAAAGTGGAACGGCAGCCATGTTGATCGTGTTTGCGTTGGGTGTGTTGGTATGTTGGTATCTTGTGAAGTGGTTAAAGAAGGATAAAGTATCTGAAGAAGTCTCAAAAGAAAGCGTTTGGGGGAATGTTGTAAAAAGAAAGTGTCTACGGGTTGCAGAAGCGTATTATTTATATTTCACGAAGTAGGCTAGTAGAGCAGAGCAAACAGGACAATTCTTTTTTCCCCGTGACTTCCATACATAGATGGCAGCTAGCGCACAAAATGAACGCAAGATATACCAATTTTGGTGAATGAGGTTAGTAATAATTACCTTGGGGCTCAAAGCATGCCTGTACGGAGGCTTTATAGGGATTCTGAAGTGGCGCAAGTAGTAAATATTCAATCATGTTCGACGATTGTTTGGGTTTGATATTTTAGCAACGGAAGTATAACCCTTGAGCACAAACTTCAAAAAACTACAAGCTGCTTTCTTCACTCAGGGGATGTTGGGCAATTAAATATTTCTTACAGAATGGTGGCTTTATCACAACTTTCGGTCGTTGGGAATAGCTGCTGTGACGAACGTACACTCTATTTACTTTCTTAATTATTGAAATTGATTTGTGATATCACACCAATACTTGCATTTACATAATTATTCACAATCACGGAGTGAGGCAGTAGTATTGGTTTTGAAGTAGCATTTCTTTCTATCAGCGGACCATGGTGAAAGGTAGCTGGAACTGCAGCATATGCACATATCCTCCTCCCCAACATCGTCTAGAAGTGTATTCCAGAGTCTCAAACCAGGAACCACCAGTCAACACTGCAGTCCACGACATGAGCTTCCATAAGCAGAAAAAAGCATTCACCTCTATGCCAGGCCATTATGAGAACCAGGCAGTTCAGAGACCAGCCTCAGTATTACAGCTAGCAATCTGCTCTAACATCATTCAAACAGGCACAAAGCTTGTCCCCTTTCTCTCGATCATAATAGTTCAGACTTAAGGTCCACTCAGCTTAGCCATTCTTCAGTATGAAGGAGTAAGCTGATATGAGGCACGCGAGAATCGAAGATTGAAGAATTGTTATTATGGTAGGATACTAGAGCAAACCACGAGTCTCGAGTTACAAAGCCGTAACCAATAATCTCAACTCCTTTCCCCTCCTTAGCCTTGCTACCTCTAGCCACACTTCTGTAGAACTGCATCCTCGACCAAGAAACACACAATCTCATTACTCATTCATTGCACCCACATCTCACTACATCTCAAACCTCCTCGTCACCTAGCAGTTCTGCGGATAAACCCCAAAACACCAATTCCAATTCGGATCCCAGTCCGTGCCGAAGCTCTATTCACACATCAGCTATCTCCCCACCTCCAAACAAACAACAATGAACTCACCCCAACCTCCCCCTCCATAGCCCACTGTCCATTATCCCCCTTTCCAGTCTGACTATCGTGTACGAACGTCAAAAACGAATGCCCCAACCACCCCGCCGTCTGCGCCTGGTCCAGCACCACATCGTACGGGGTCTGATTACCCGCTTCGGTAGGCGTGTTCATCCAGTTCCAGACATCGGTCCATTGTGAGACGGGGTCGGACATAGTTTGCAGTTTGAGCCCGCCGGTGCCGACGTAGTCTGGCAGGGAGTTAGTGTGTTTTATTAAAGGGTGTAGGTGTTGCGAGGAGTGGCACGAGGGCTTGGTTTCTGAGAGACAAGGTAAACAGGAGGTAGAGGTCAACGTACTGAAGCCGTCAAAGCCAGATCTTTTAGCCAAAGAAGAGGCTGCGGGAGTGCTGTTGAAAGGCGTGATGTGGGTTAGGTACATATTCTGACCATCAGTAGCAGCGAAGAGGGGGATTTCTTTCGGAGCAGATGAGCGACGGGTAGAGTTTAGTTGATGGTGGATGATAAATGTTAATGGTAAGGAACCGTTGTAAAATACATTGAACTCTTCTGCGTTACGTTTTGCCCGACGTACTGGCATGGGCGACTTGTTGAGTTTGACATTGGAGATCGGGATATGGGCCGGGATGCGAGAGAGGATGGCGTCCGTGGATGTGGAGGTTGAGCGACGATTAGCACCATTGACGCCGCCCCAGTATGAGGCTTGTTGCCAGTACAGCTTTCCGTGTCATTAATCCTACGCCAAAAACAATGAGGAGAAGGAAGGACGTACAACAGAAAGTCCAAAAGCGGCGGCAGTATTCAAGATTGAGAAATGGCAATCATCCGGATTCACCAAGCCACCATTCGTAGTTTCGCACAGAGAAGTGATTTGCCAGATAGTATTGCTGGGCACTGGGGAGGCTACTATCTGGGAGGTGGCGCGGTCGCTGGCGCGGGCGCAGTAGAGTTTGCCGTTGAGGTTCGCGCTTGATACCCAACCTGGGGGAGAGAAGGTTTGGCCAAGGAGAAGAGGGGCGAAAAGTGATAATAGGAGAAGGTTGTACATCTTGAGGATAATTGTATTGGTTTGAGGATGGGAAGGGATCTGGGTGAGGACTTTATGAGATTTTAAGTTCGAGAATGAGGTTGGGCAAAGAAGGTGCTACGCAACGTCGTCGTGATAGCTACAGCAACACAAGGTTCAACGACATGTAACGTTGTCCTCGGATTTGAGGTCATTTGCGCCATCGAGATTTCAGATAGCAAACTTCGAGATGTCGGTCAGTATACAGATGAATGAAAGCACAGCAGAAATGCAGTGTATACATCGAGTCATAAATCTCGGTGAAGAAGGGATACAACCGGGACGACAACCTGCCGGCGAGAAGGGCCGAGATATATATGCAGAGACCTGAGAGAAATTCACGTTACTCCTCTTGAGAGAGAAAGACTGTTGCGGTGGGTACCTGGACTTCCAACGCTAGAAGCCGTATGGAAGTCATCAGAAAAGAGAGCGCAAGGGAATTCTCGAGGTGTGACGGTGTACAAAGAAAAACTCGATGTCGGGACTCAATGGGAATGGATAATGTCACAGTGCTGGAAACAAAGTGATTCTCTTCCAAAGCTCCACTCGGAACTCTAAATCCCGCTGGACAATGATGAGCACTATATTCCATCCCGCTCCGCTCCGCCTGCGATATGCAACACAAGACAGACCTAGCTTGAAAGTCTGATATTCCGCCAATAATTGGGAAGAAGCGGAGGTCATATACCCATGCCATGCTATGCATTGTACAATAAAGTGTACATGCCCTCTAATATCTGTACACATTCCTTCCGGCCATATCCTACAAATCATCATCCTCGTCATCCTCCTCCTTCTTTCTCCCCCTTGGAGTCCTCTTATCCACACTATCCTGTGCCAAGCCAAGATTCCTCTTATTCTTCCTCAACTCCGCTTCTCTCTTCCGATCCTCTTCCGTCTTTGGGTTTCCCAGTCGTGGAGGCGGCAACCAAGTCACCTTTCCAGTTTCGGCTGCTTTCAGACGTTTCTTCTGACCAGACTCGCCCGCGCGACCTAGGACGCCGGCTATGACTTGTATGCAGCGCAAACTATTTTCATTCCAATCAGCAAGATGTTCTTCATAGCACATAGGGAAACAAACCTGTCATCATTAGCAGGAATGGGATACGTAACCCAAGTCGGATCCGCATCCGTGTCAATAACTCCAATCGTCGGAATATTGTTCAGTCCACACTCATGCAGTAGGATATAGTTCTCCAGCGGATTCAAACACACAACCAAATCCGGCTTCAACGCGCTCCAGTCCGCAATCTTCTCTTCGTAGCCCTCTACTTCCTTATCATGCATATCTATCGCTTTGATGCCGCATTTAGCCAGGATTTGATCCCCGTTCGTGATTGAGCCCGGTATCCATTTCTCAAAGAGGTGGCAGCCCTGTGCGAGTTCAGCAGCCTTGACTACGCAAGATCCTTGGCCAGCGCGAGTGCCGACAAAGAGGATCAAGCCGCCATGGTATGCAACGCCCTCAACTACTTTTGCAGCTCGTCGTAGATGTGCGGCTGTCGTTTCGAGAGATATGATGTGTATGCCCTGTCTAACGCCAAAGATATATCGTTGGTTCATTGGGTTCCACAGACTGGTCGAATGGCCGAGATGGCTTTGGCTGGCCATTAATAGCTCTAATGTGACATCTTCGGGTTTCGGGGGGTCGATGATGAGTTGATGGGGTTGGTAGTAGGGGTCGATTTGGGAACCAAGCCTGTCTGTTGTTGCTTTGATTTGGTATTTTGAGTGAAAAGCTTCTTTGACTTCTTGAGAGGATGGCCCGTTCGTTCGTGGAGGGATGAAGGAGCTGGTGTGTGGTAGTTGATTGAAGTTGGCTTCGATGGAATGTGTTTCCTTGCTATGATTCATTAAGCTGTGTTCGATTGCTTCGGTTTCTTGCTGCAGAGTCTCGGTGGTGATGGTTCGGAGAAGGGACTTTTTGATGGGAGCAGCAAGCGCCTTACGGCCTAGACAAAGTCAATCAGTAATGGAGAGATTGATAGATACTTACGAATACATACCATGCCGTATGGCTACATTTCTGAGGATCATGGTTGAGTTGAGAGCTTGTTGTCGTCTGATCTCAATCGTAACTTTTTCGAAGGTTGGACTGATATGGCTAGCGCCAGTAGATATACGCTAATCCTCATTGAGCTGATCTGCTTAATTGATCTCATCACACTTCACTGGTTACGGCATTTAGGAACAACCTGAGTTCTTCAAGAGGAGTCTCATTAATGAATCTTACTCATCATGATGCTCGCATCATGGGTATACATATATGTACATATACAGAAACAAACGCTTAATGCAGTCTATCAAGTCCCACCTAACATTCCATTAACGACTCGTAGCTCTTGTCAATGCGAAAACTCCAACAATGACCACCGCCAGTGTGACGATTGCTCCCGGCAATAATAATTCATTTGGTACCCCCGCGATGACCTGTTCTTGCATCTGTGGTTGCGCAGCTTTTCGTGCTCGTCTCACCGGCATATCCTCCTCACTCTCTTCTTCGTCAGAGACTGGTTTCCGTCGCTCCCGAATAGTGGATGGCGGTGGAGTTGGTTGCTGAGCGGGAATAACTGGGTGAGGATCCAAGGTAGCGCTGATAGGAGGCTTTTCAGGATCGTGAACAAACAAGTCAACCTTATCGCGACGTCCTTGTCGAGCAATAACAATTGCCTCCAACAAATCGTGATCTGTGGTCAATGAGACAGTGTCTCCATCATCATCCAGGTAGCTAAGCGCGAATCCCGATGCACCAAGCTTCCCATCTTCGAAAGTAGCAACACCTCCAACATCATCAACCTCTGCTCCTAGTTTCGAAATAACAGCAGCAATCAGGTCCGTCATTCCATGTGCTCCAATAGCTTGTAAGCGATGAACGCGACCACTAGGAGCCTTGAATTTGAATGGGAATGGAATCTCCTCGGCCGGAGTCTCAGCAGGACCAGTAACAACCGAGTGAGCAGGCGAGTCAGCTCCAGTATGTGATGCCGAATCTCCTGGGGCAACGCTGTCGAGTATACGCTCGTTTCCGCGGGTCATATCCGGCGACATCAACGAACGAGTTCCATGAGTGTGGTGATGGCTCCCTTCACCGGACATGACTGATTCAGTATCATTCTCAAGTGACATCCAGAATTTATTCCAGGCTGGCCCTTCACTGTCACCAGTGGACATTGTATTAATTTGCTCCAAGGTAGCATAGGTAAGCTTGAGGACGTCCACCATACCGACAATCTCTCCTCCCTCATTCATAACGGGGAGATTCAGGTAATGGCCATCTTTGGTCAATCAGCAAACGTCCTCAACTTATAACAACAGACCACTCACCGTGCATTTTTCTCAAAGCAGCTTGTATGCTCATATCCATTGGGGCAAAATCTGGATGTGGGGTCATGACACGAACGACACTGCAATTTGCAGGGTCCAACCCTGGAGCGATGACACGCAGAACAACATCTTTGCTGGTGAAGATGCCAGTGATGGAACCTTGGTCTTGCACAAGAACAGCTGTCGTATGATTCTCTTTCATTAATGCTGCGGCTTCCTTAACTGATGTGCGTACTGAAACGGTGGTAGGGGGTCGGCCGTCGAGAACCGATTCCAAAGTGGGCCCAGACATTTTCGATCGCAGAGCCTCAACGTATTGGATGATTTGCTGAGGTTGACTTGAACCCAATTCTGATTGTACACCCTCTAAGGCATCGTAAAGCTTCCTTGAGGAGCTATATGCGCGCTCCAGCTTCTCCATAGCGTCGTAGAAACATTTCGTGATGTCAAGAATACCAGAAATGTCTTGGTTCTCGTCCATTACTGGCAGATGGCGGAAGCCCTTTTGTACCATAAGGTTCAACGCATCTGTAGCATTAGTATCCGTTCGTGCGCAGAGAGGGTTCTTGGTCATGATCTCGGCAATTGTGACACTGCTGGCCTTTATACCAGCTCCTACAACTCTGAAGGCAAGATCCTTCGCTGTGAATATGCCAGCAATCCTATCGTCGTCATCGGTAACCAAGACACAGTCTTCCCTCTTTGCGGCCATCAACTGAGCAGCTTCGGCGACAGTAGTATTCGGCTTGATCTGAAGAGCTTGACTTGGGCGGAGTGCGAGGACACTTCCTGGAGGAGCTTTTCGAGTTTGGCGGGCACGACTTGTTGTGTGCTTCTTCTTGCTGAGGTCCGTCTCAATTTTCCGTCGGATAGCCTGAGACATTTTTATCAGTTTTGTACAGCTTCAACGTGGAGCCTCTTTCCAACGCACCTCATCTCTGTTCGACTGTCTCTGTCTGCTAGCACTCATAGTTGATCCGCCAGCTTCACTCGATGATGCATGTGATTCAAAAGCTGGTCGAGGGATGTTTGAAGCAGGGCTATTGGTGAAGGCCGGTACGGTCCCTCTTCCTTGGCCACTCTGGCCACGATTGGGCGTACCTCTCATGGTACCGCTGGAGGCCATATTGTGGGTAAAGTTGTAATATGTCGGGCGTAAGGGTTGCCGCTGATGGAGGGTCGGATTGAAGGTTTACAAAGTATTGGCAGAGGAACAATCGAAAAATCGAAAGTTGTTGCTGGGCAAATGCGCGTGTTGATAGGGAAACAAATGTCCAGCTGAGAGCAAGAAAGCCGAGTGGAGCGAGAATGCACGGACCAGCGATTGAAGTCCGATAATCAGGTGACTGTGGCTTTGCAGTTGGTCCTCCTTTCGACAGACAATGGAAGTGTTAAAAACAATAGACTTTGAGCTCGAAGAATACCTCTGAAGGGATCCAACGGTCAAAAGCAAAACTCTATCCCGTCGATTGTTATCGCAACTGCATATGCAGTCTTCCTTCACATGTTATGCAGAACACACGGGCGGGACAAGGGCGGTTGCACGTTTGGGTGGTTGCTGGTAGCAACAGCTTGTGTCAGCCAGTGATCCGTGCTTTTGTTTTCTTACATCCCCATTTCACCCTCCTCACTCTTGACATCAGAACATCCACCTTGAATCTCAAACCCATAGCCCTCCAAAAAAGAACTCTACACACCCACAAAACCATCCAACTCCTCTGATCGCACACAACAAAACCACATAAGAACGTTTCTTCGAATCCAATTGGCCTACTGAAAGGCCAAACTATATCAACAAAGACTCCTACGAGTCCACCTCTGCTGAGCGGTTCTACGAATTCAATCTGCCCGGCCTAACGGCTTGCGCTGCGCGAGGTAAGAAGATTGGGATCTTTTTCAGATCTACAGGATTTTATTATACCAGAAATTTGGGCCATTGGAGTTAGCTAGCAGAGTTCCATGTTCAAACATGAACTCGAGAGAACATGCCAATGGTCTCGACATCATTTTCTCCTTCGGTTCTACATATACAGCCAAATCTAACAGTCCACAGTCTCGGAACCTATAGGTGTGCTTAGTTGCATTACTTTCAACAACGACTTTTCCGAACTCATCAAGCATTCATAATGCTGTCAAATCCAACAAACAACCTTCACAACCGACAACGACAACACCGACGACAAAATTCGACACCCAATGCATTCGAACCAGTGAAGGTCTCCAACCTGCCAAATATCCAGAGACATGGCGGACATCGCCGTGGAATGAGTCTGGATACTCGACGACGACAAACACCACCGCAGGAACATATGGTAAGTAATACTAACCCAGGATTTCAAACGACACAACAGCATATTTTGCGAGAAACGCAGCAGCAGAGACTGGTACGCCCGGGCCAGCAATTTCTCTCTTTCGACAATGACGAGAATTATCTCAATTCCCCAACCGTCACCCCCCACAGACAATCATTTGATGCCGGATGCATGAATCAATATGGGGATCGTGGTGGAGGCCAATCTCAATACTATTCCGGACCTATCAACACAATAATCCCCGTCAATTCCAACAGCTTCGATGGAAATGACTACAACCTCTTCCCTTCAGACGCTGCCTTGACTCCATCTGCATTCCTCGATTTTTCTGCCGGCTTTGATGACAGTCAGAACTCAAACAGTGGACAACATAGCAGACGGAGCTCTTCGGGGAGGAGAATAAGTGGTGGAATACTGGACCGAGTTGCACAGTTCGAGAACTTGGCTCTCCAGTCACCACAGAGACCCATGACTCCTCCAAATCAGAATGCTTCGTGTAAGAGACAAACTCCGAGGTTGAGGGCTTTCACTGACAAATACAGGTTATTTTCCACCCACGCCTGTGGACACTCCACACGATCGTATGATAAAACATGAGCAAATGAACCCTCGCTTTCTGGATACGTACGACACTTCCATGGAGGAGACAATCAAACCCAAGAGTAACCAACGAGCTCGAGGCGTCTTCGATGACATGAGAAAAGAAGCCGAGATGACTTATATGCCTAGTCCTCCTCGAAGTGGTCAAATGCCTACTACCAGCACTTTTGATTCTGCGCCTATGCCAACTGGAAACTATCTGAACTTGTCAAATGCCAATCTGGATTTCTTGAAGAACGAGCAACAAAACGATGGACTCCAATATTCTCCAGCTTCATCTAATATGTCCTCGAATCTGTCATATCACTCCTCACCCGATGTTCCCCAGTCAGCCATGTTTGATCCTTTCGTCAATCAACCCAAATTGGATACTGCACCAATGTCTTTTCCAGAACCTTCCGCTCACGGTCTTCCAATGTCTTTTTCTGAACCTTCTCCAATGCCTGAGTCGCCAGCTAGATCTCTTCATCGAAGATCGGAGTCTATTTGCAGCATCAATCTTGAAGAATCCATCACTGATACAGGAATAACCATTGACGATATTGCAACGTTTATCCAGGGTCCCGATCCAATCGATAACAAATGGTTATGCTTGTATCCAGAATGTAAGAAGCGATTCGGCCGGAAAGAAAACATCAAATCACATGTACAGACTCATTTGGGCGATCGACAATTTCAATGTCCTCACTGCAAGAAGTGCTTCGTCCGACAACATGATCTCAAACGCCATGCCAAGATTCACAGCGGAGTGAAGCCATACCCATGCCAATGTGGGAACAGTTTTGCTCGGCACGATGCTCTTACGAGACATAGACAACGAGGAATGTGCATTGGAGCATTTGAAGGGGTTGTAAAGAAGACTGTCAAACGTGGTCGACCTCGCAAGAACCGACCAGACAACGAAGATCGTCTTGCAAAGTCATCCCGCACGAGAAGCAAGAACAAGACGATGTCATCCTCTCCGTCAACAAGGAGCTGTTCCGAGAGTGGAGGTCAGTCACCTCGAAGCGAGGCTGATATTCTCGACGACAAACCTTTCGGCGACTACGACTTCACTCAATCATCTGCCAGTATGGATGGTGGAAGCTTTGAGTACTCCCAACCTCAACCTCAATCACCTGGGCCCACTCAAAGCGTCTCACCCCAAGCTATTCAGGCCCACTCACCATCCGCTTTCAGCACACACTCCCACGTTTCTTCGCACCATTCTCAACACCGCGGCTCAATTTCCGAAAGCATTCATCTCCCATCCCACCCAGCCTCTCCAGCAAAAAGCGTTCACAGCTATCACTCTCCGCCAGGCCTCTGCGAATCATCGTCCAGTCCCGCCGCTAGTCAGAACTACTACGACATCGAGACCTCATCGACGCACGGTGACCAAATGGCACTCAACTTGAGCAGCCTAGCCAACATCTCAGAGCACGACGATGAGATGTTCCTCGAAGCATTCGCTGCTGCAAATAATGGCGAGATGACGAGTCTGGAACGGGATCCTGACCTTTTGATGGGGAAATTCGATGATGCTTTTGTGAATACGAGCGGAGATGACTTGTTCAGAAATAACGAGGATATGTTTTTTGGGAGTCCGTGATGGTGCCTTTACTAGAAGGCTAGCCGGGAAGAAAATCTTGTACCTGTTTGGAGTCAGTCTTTTCGTGCCAAATTTTATGACAATGGGGATGAGGATGTAAGATATATGGTTTCCGTTTTGATGAAGGGATTGAGGGCAAGAATGGATGGATGATGGACGGCCTTCAATTTTCTGGCGTATATGACTTGATTTTATGATGATTTTTTGGGATATGGCTGCGAGCGAGGAAGGTTGGATAGGCTGGCAATAAGGCAATATAGGTAGCTAGAAGCTATATGGTTGTGTCAATGCAATATGATCGATTACGGTCCTTACCTAGGTATTTAGGTTCAATTTTGTGAGAGTTTGACTATTACAGACGACTGAGTTCCTGGTATTGAGGAATCCCCTTGTTATTGACATGTTGTTCTTCCTTTATTCTTCGTTCATGCATGTGGGGAAGACACATGATCGTCTGTTCTGATACACTTACCTATAAACATGAGATAGGTATTCAGTAGACCTGTGGTCTTGTTGGGCTCTCAGTGCTCTCAGCGCGAATTGCGCGAATTGCGCTGTGTGCGTCCCACACGCTTCCCTATTGTCTATCCCGTAGTAATTTGTTGCATGTCGAGGCGCTTGTTGCATATCGAGGGGGTCATTACATATAAATACTAGTTGCAAGTGTCTATGTCATTCGAGGTGCTACGTCAATGGGGGTTTTTTGTTGCATGTCTACAGTTGAATTTGTTTATGTCATTGCCAATCATTAATATAATAACGTCATGGGGGAGATTTTGCTGCATGTCTATGGTTGAATTTGTTTATGTCATTGCTGGATTCTTAGTGTGATGGGAGGGTTTTGTTGCACATCGATGCGCGTTTAACATCGGGCCGTAGCCGTACACGCGAGACTAGATCTTAAGATGGCGTATTTTTGTTGCTCTTCGACACGGGCATATTCTACTTTTCGAGACTATAGATCTGATGGGAATGTTTTGTTGCACGTCGATGCGCGTGTATCTCCGGGCCGTAGCCGTATCGCGCCACCAGATCGTAGATATGATTGAATACTTTTGTTGCTCTTCGATAGTGCGTGTGTAACAGTGCTAAGTCAACGGACTTTTAAGTTCGTGGGCAGTGTTGTTGATTAGGTAGTATGTGGGCTCGCTTAAATAGGGGCCCAGAAAATGGTAGGATGTTGTGCCGTAATGTTTCTCAATGAGTTTGCTGGTGAACGTTACATGTGTAGTGTATATATGCAGTTAGAGAAGTTCGCTAATACACGCATCACAATTCCTGAGAAGATTGAGGAGAATGGGGAAGGGAATATTTAGTCATGTAATTACAATTCGAAGTTAGTTGAGTATAACAAATTCATGTCGAAACAATAAATCGTAATTTGACTATAGGAACCTAAATCACGGTTGTATTATTTTTGCTTTCAACCAAAGACTCACGAAGAGACCCCACACTGATCACTTTGCTGAACTTTCACCACTACTCATGCCCCTAAAGCTTCCATCCCCATCATCTCTTCTCACACTTTCTCCACCACACCCACCCTCTATCGCCACATCATGCGTCGCATCATTTTGCAACTCACTGCCGTCACCATCTACTCTTACTTCCTCGTCCTGCTCCTCCCTGGGCATCTTCGGAAATCCATGCCGCCATTCAAAGAAAGCCCAAAAAAGAACCAGAACCACAATTATGGCAATGATCATAGGACCGGCCCATCTCGTGGTACTTGTATCTTTGTCTTCCACTAATTAACTCTATGCTACTATCCACATATTTTTTTTCAACTCGAGGTTAGGGAAGGAATTGCGAGTGAGGAGAGGAATTGTATTGGTGAGTTTTTTGGGAAAGAAAAGGATGAATGGTTGAACTGCTGGTTGGAGACCTGCGGAGGAGTGCTATACTCGGCTGGGCGCTGGGAAATTGTCAATGGGGCTTTATATGGAGACAGTAGAGATGACCTACAGAGAAGAGAGAGACGCGGATTGTGGCGAGTATTGGTGCCAGCGGGAGATTTTCAACTTTGAATATTTGTAAATAGACTTCAATCGAATGAGTGAGACGAACCTCGGGGATAGTGCAAAAAAGTCTGATTGTGAGCTCGCGAATTCGTGTATCTTGCGATCTAGAAGCTCTGGGGCCGGTTGTACATGTTATTCCACTTTGAGCCGAAATGTGAGTCTTAGTCTGCACCTAGACTACCGACCCCCACTGCGTCAGCGCACGAATATACACAGAACTTCAGTTCGAAGACCTCAGAATTTCGAAAAACCAGACTATAGTATCAGTTTGGTATCAATCTATATCAGAAAAAAGACTCAAAAAACTATACATTTCAAAAGCACCACCTCGGCATCTCCAGAAAGTTTACTTTCCCATCATTCTTTGAACCCAAGAACCCCTCCTAACCATAGTACTGTACCCCTTCGCTTGATTCTGACTCTCCAACTGCGCAAACACACGATCCTTCTTCCTCTTCGCCAAATAAATCTGCACCTTCTCAAACAGGATATATGACCCCACTAATGCCAAAATAACAGCAAGAACAACCAAGAACGGAGCTGCTCTCTTGAGATTCGCCGCCTCCCTATGTTCTTCCTCGAGCAATCCCCGACGCGGCAAATCGGTGACATTCTGGATAGGGCGAATAGTTCCTATCACCCGTCTAAATCCATCAGACAATGCCCGACGCGGAAGATCAGTGACGTTCTCCAAAGGCCGAATAGTCCCCGTGACTCGTCTCCAGCCATCCAGAGCTCTGCTGTGGATTACGATGTTCTGAACCAAAGTTCTGTTCTTCGAGTGATCAGAATCAAGAGTCCAGGTCGCCTCGCCGTTCTTGATGGTTTCGACGATGGCGTCCATGATGAGGGGCATCTTTTCTTGGAGATAGGCTTCGGCGGAGGGTTTGTCGGCTATCTTGATGTGGGGTGCCATTGTGAGGTTTGAGATTTGAGTTGGGTTGGTGTTTGTGGTTGTGGTTGTGGGCTTTGTGTGTGGCTGAAGTGAGGTTTGGAGTCGAAGCTTTGTTATATACGAGGTTTTATGAGTGTGAGGCATGAGGTCGAAATGAGAGTCGGTGAGGCGGGTATATATAGATCTTACAATTGTGATATAGACTGCTCTGGCTTTGAGTCAGAGGCTCAGGACAATGGGTCACCCAAAGCAGAATATTCTGATATAGACTGGACAAGAGAATTGGAATCTGGACTACACGAGCTCACACAAAATGGAAAGCAGAAGACCATGGCACTTCAATCTCACTACATCAAAAGACTGCCATATCTCTTTTCATTGATTGCACGCGCATTCTTCTCAAAAGTGTATTCAAGGATAAACCGACCAAAACGAACAACATGGAAAACAACCTGAGCATCCTCCTGGCTGGCAGATCCAAGCCCACCATAAACGCTCCAACCACCAATTCATGGTCCATCCCCCTCGACCACGTCCAAATACACCACATTCTTTCCATGATCTGCACAGCCATCATCATCCTCATCCTACTCATTCTCATCTATTTCAAGCTCCACAGCCCCATTCATCAACCACTAGCAACCGAATCCGAGTGGGCCTTACTCAAAGAACCCTACCCCACACCAAGGGACGAATGTTTCGTCTTGAGCAAAGAAAACTCTTTCCTGATGACGGAAAACGAAATCTTGCGCAGGGAAAATGATCGTCTGAGAAATAGGTTGAATAACCTGGAAGAAAAGTATGAGGATAATTTCAGGAAGTTGGAGAGCGCTATTGCGATTTTGCAGACGGTTGTGCAGGGAGAAATTTATGGTGGTGGGGAGAGAGGGAGGAGAGTACAGGAGGGTTCTGGGTCGGTTTGGTGTGTGGATTGATGGTGGGATGAGGTTTTGGAGTTGAGGATATTGGTGATTTGCTGCAGTTTTTGGAATTGTATGTAGAATTTTGAATACTTGCTCAACAATAGAGGATATCTGTTTGAATACTTTCCGTCCTCATTCTAGTTCAAATATATTGTCCAACTGAGCCTCCACTCCAGGATCTGTGAAGCTTCGCTTCATGCTCTGTCCTTGCTTTGTGAGGGGAAACTCGCGCTTTGATGGGAACAATCGGTCTCCTTGAGTGGGTTGCGCATCCGAGTCTTCGACTGCTACTTCGTTCTCGAGATCACCTAAAATGTCGCCATCCCGTTCTGGGTCACTTGTACCATCAGACTCTCCGACGGCCTGATCCGTATTCTGCTCGTACTCAGGTTCGCCGCTGCCTCTCCTGCGACTTTGGTCGGATCGTTCCCATCGTTCCCAAGCATCTTCCGCGTTGATCCTCAATCTGAGAGTCTCTTTGTCGGCCTCACTCTCAATCGTCTCGCTCACGTCTGAATCCCCGTTAAGACCGCCAAAATCAATGCCCAACCCCTCCAACATCTGGTCCGATCCGCCATCATACACCTCAGACTCTCTCACTCCAGCAAGGTCTTTCATCCCCCGAATCAGACAAAGCTTCTCTTCCATATCCACGCTCCTCTCCAGTTCTATCTCTTCATGTAACATGTCCACGTACTCCCTAAACTCTCGCTTCAACCCTCGAACCTCCTCTCTCGACGTCCCAATCGCCTTCATCAGTGCCACCTCCCTTCTCAGTCTTTCGCTCTTCAGCTCCGTGATTTCCTTGTCCATCGCTGATAACGCCTCTGTCAGCGCATGGTTCCGCGATTCGAGAGACTGGAGATGGCGCCGCGTATGTGAGTCTAGCTGAAGGACAAGAACGACGAAGAACAGGATTAGCCCCAGTGAGGTGAACATGCATCTCCCGTCCATCAAGCTCGCAAAATGTTGCATGACCCCAGCTTTAGATAGAGTGCTCGTCTTGGATAAAGATATAATGGTACTATTGAGCGAGCGAATCATTTGCGTGAACGAGTGCTTGCGCTTGAAGTGAATGTAGTTGCGCTTGGTGGGAAGAAGTGGGTATATTGCTTTGCTATGCGTGAAGCCAAAAAGAAGAAAAAACGAGAGTTCAGAATCAGAATTTGCGCGTGAATGATGTATGAAAAGGAAATGGTTCCCGCGACCCGGTCCCAGAGTTGAATGTGTCCAGATGAGGAAAGCGCCCCCAATACCCAAAACCTAGCACGTGATGCTCCCTTTTCTCCCCCGCCTACCCAAGTTCATGCATTGTTATTTCCTGTCCCAAATAAGGAAACCCGAATGAGAAATATAAAAGCGAGAGGTGACGTCTTGGTAAGAAAAAGAAATCGTTGAAATGTTCCTAAGCCCAGCATTTATCAAGTGTGGCTGCGATCTCTGCGCAGAACTTGGACAGTTCTCGCATTTCTGGTTCTGTGCGGTCGCGCGTACTGATTGAAAGACATTTTCGTACGACGTCGCCGTAGACAGATCCTGCAGTTCTATTCTATATCAGCTTCACGTCTTGTCATACTAGGAGGAAAGACACACCCATCAAGATCCATGGTCAAACTTTGAAACCCCCGCTTCACTCTCTCAAAATCCTCGTCTTCAACCTCGACTAGTTTATGTAAAGGTTGCCATAATCCGATCTCAAGAAGAACGCAACCTAAGCTGTAAATATCATGACTTCTTGAGTAGCGGATAGTGGGGTTCCACCTCTTGTCCGGGTGTTGGTAGTAATCGAGGTTGATGTCATTTTGACGTTTTGTCACTTGGAGATGTTTGATACGTTGCCCCCGTTCATCGACATATACCAAATCATCTTCTTCTTCATAGTATGATTTGTGGTCGTTGACAACATCGTCCACACGAGCATTACCGAGACCCACGAAGACAGGCTCGGAGTAGCCTAGTGGTTGCGGGAAGCCTGATGCTGGACCAGCTGGACCGCGAGATGGCATGTTTGCGGCTGGGAAGAAGAGAATGGAGTTCGAGCGGATGTTTCTGGGTGCAGTTGTTAGTCGTGGACAGCCGACGAAGAGTTTACATACTTGTGAACCCAACCAACACAGTGCATCATGTACACAGCTTGTATCAACTTCTTAGCGAGTCTGAAGCGAATCCCGAGGTCGAGGACTCCGGGACAGGAAGGATGCTTTCTTTCGATCAGTTCGCGAAGAGATACTGGCATGCGCTTTTGCGAGATTGCTCCAGCTGGCAGAATTGGAGGCAAGTTTGACCGAATATGATCTGGTGGGGCAAGGACGAGACCAAATCTTCTACCAACGGGATCTTCTACCATGCCGTAGCATTTTGGGAGAAGAAGTTGTTCTGGTTTTGGAGTCGCGAGCATCAGTACCTTTGTCCTGGTGTCTCTTTCTTGCTCACGATCAAGATCTTCAATCCACTCAATCAAGACGACTCGATTTTCTTTGCGTACAGGGTAGTCAAAGAGCAGTGCCATCGTCGAGGCACCAGCAGAAGATGAAACGGCGTATGAAGGATCAAGTCTGAAGTCTCGCATCGTGAACTTGTATGCAGTGTGTTGTCTCTCAAACTTGACTACAGCACTGAATTGTGCTGCCAAGGAGTAAGTGAGAAAGTGTGCCTTTTCTTCACTGTCCAGTGGAGAATGCTGTGCTTCGTATGTAGCTGCTTCCGCTCGACGCCGTAATTGCTCCAGCTGCAAGTTCCGCAGAACTTCAAATTCTGCTTTGAACATCTTCTCCAATTCAAACCTCGGTCCGTAGGTAGCGAGGTTCTCGTTGTACTCTTTGATGAGATCGATGAGATTGTTCCAGATGGCTTCTTTTCGACGAAAGACGAACTTGCATCGCTTGATGAAAGACATGTTCTGCTTGCAAAGTTTGAGGAACGTGCCTTGTGTTTCTAAGGTGAGGTTATCTCCCTCTCGCAGTCTGAATCTCGATAAGTCTTGTGATTCCTGTAGAATATTAGTAGATACACCGAGGGACTTCGCGGCATACCCACGATCCGGTCTGGCCATCGATCAGGCTTGATGCCGTACTGATCTTCCAAGGCATGAACGTCAAACATCGCCTGTGTCATCAAAGCGAGTTGTCGCTGTACTCTCTTCGCCGCGGCTGGATCTGCCTTAGCATACGCTTCAAACTTGATATCATATTCTCCATCATCACTTCTCCAGATGTCTCTCCATTCATCAAAACGCTAATCACGTGAAAGTCAGCCGACCCTGCCTTGCAGGTTTGTATTACAACTTACATCTCGTTGCAATTCAAGTCTTCCAACAGCTAAACCCAGTGTTCCAGCTGCGTCAAAAACATCCTGAATCATTCCGAGACCATCTGCCATTGTTGGTTAGCAAGGCACACGATCATGACTCAGAGCGAGCGGAGGGAAGGCCGAAGACGTTGAACATTTAAAACTTACCACGACACAATGGGAGCAGCCCGAGCACACCAGTGACAATCCCGAAGACCTCCGCCATGTCAGCATATCCGAGTCGCAGAACTTATCTCTTCTCCTCCGAGAACGATTTCTGAAATGCTCGCGGCAATTTTTTTCCAAGGTAAGACCACGGCTGAGGGCACAGGCAGCAGGGTCATCCATCACGTGCACCAATCATCTGCATTGTGATTCTGCACGACATTGCAGACCTATAGCGAGATGGTTGCAGACTTGCGACTGTCTATTAGCATCTTCATGTGAGAAGGACATATATGCTGAAGTCGCATCCAATGCAACCTTGTATATCTATCAGTGCATTCAGATAAGTATGCATATAGAGTAGCATACGCATGAACTGCAGTGGGTCGTTGCCGTGTTCGTGTTGAGTTGAGATTGGTGGATTGCTACGAATTGAAGTGCATAAGCAGCTTGCTCGGGAAATACTCCCAGTGGATCAACAATAACCCTATCGACCCAGAAAAGAACCTGATTGTAGAATAGCACGAGGCTGGTTTGTCCTTGATTCGAGGGCTGGGGAATATATTCTGGGACAAACGAGGCTCTCGATGCAGGAGAGTCAACGCAGCATAGTTACCTACCGACGTATCGAGCCTCACTTTGCTTCCATTGTCTACTAAATACTTCCAACAAAAGCTCATTGAGCTTTGTACTCCAATGAAGTGCACACGTGTGCGGTATTCCATGGGAGAACGAATGACGTGATAGTAGTATTTATGTTCCAAGTTCCAAAGGAGTTTGCCAATCCACTCTGGTTTGAACACGGCGTGACGAGTCATCCTCATCGCTCATATCTCCTTCTAAAGTCGTCAAGGGGACAACGGTGCCTGCAGTCATCAAGGAGCTCCGAGATCGGCACACCTGTATATGCCGTGTTTAAGTGTTCCCAAGCGCCACAGCTGAGGAAGAAAAGACAAGCAAAAGATTGGACGAAATAAGAAGATAATGGCAACGTGGATGTCTAGGCCAGGACAAGCATATGTCTTGACTCGTCGACTTTCTTGCTTGGAGATGGAATCGATATCCAGAAGCTCGACACGAGGGAGCAAACCAAATATGGCTTATCTCGAACAGATGTCGAAAGGTAGCAGGCTTTGCACGATATAGTGATGTCTCTGGCAGCGTTCTGGAGAGACAGAGCCGATCTCTCGATCACGTCAGCTAGCCCGGACTAGCACACTTCTTCGAGACAATCAGCACTGGACGGGGCATTGAAGAAGTCTTGCCACTTGACCCATTCTTTCAGAGAACGCCGATCTCTAGGTACTTCAATATGGCTCCTTAGACCCGTCCCCCATCGCCATGGGACTTTGACTGGTAGAAAATCATTACTAAACAAACTTTAAAAGCTCCAGCGTTCGATAAGATAGGAACAATGATGAGATCAACGTAGCATCGCACCCTCAATGTGGGTCTTCGTTTTGCACGCCGCCAGCACGACCACTTGCACTCGTAACCAGTATCATCGACGCGAAACTTTTCGCCCAATAATTGCACGTAACTGCAACATCTCAGCAGATATGATAAGTTCGGAGATAATGGCGCATAAAGCACAGTTTGATGAACTTGATCGAAAAGTGTTGTTGAAGATAAGAAGAGATGAGGCAGAATCTGATACAAAATTTGGTGAGAGCGTCTAACCGCTTTGGGACGTGACTTCGGCGTGACTCAATGTCAGACCTCGACACTTGATATTTGAAATAATCCTTTGTAGGGAATAATACAATTACACAATTCCAGGCTCAGACGGCTCCGTTGTAAAGATGGAAATCGATGATCTTGTGAAATATCATGTGACTACCGCCAAGCTCAAATGCTTTCAGCTCGTCAGATTCGGACGAATGCTTTCCCATTGATCAGCCATTAGGAGTCGAGAGCGTCAGCCAGGCACTTCGCGATGATGGGCTTGCTATTTCTCGGACTTAGGGAGACTCCTGTCGATATGGAAGTAGGCAAACCTGGCCACCTGCGATGGAACAACAACTCCGCTTGGAGCCAGGCTCGCTCCACGACGTTGTGTCTACGCCATCTCAATACACCCCAGACTCCTGTTATCACGTGGAACAGACAGATACAGCAAAAGTAAGTTCAGCCTCAATGATACCAGCAATCAGGCCTCGAAAGGGACACAAGAAATCCCGTGCGGGGTGCTTCAATTGCAAGACTCGGAAGATTAAGGTAAATCTTTTTCTGCAAATAGCCACTTGATACTGAATCTGTCAGTGTCAGGAAAATCGCCCATCTTGTCATAATTGCATCCGAAGAATTGAAAAATGTGTCTATCCAAATGCAAAGACATCCTCAGCTTTGGCTGCTGCTAGAACGCATTCTCCGGACCTGGTTCCGCGAATGAGCATGCAATCTACACCAACGCTGTTCACCATGACTGACCTGCGACTGTTCCAGCACTATCTGCAAGAGGCATATCCCCATTTGCCAGTGAGTAACGATAAAACCTGGCTATCACAAGTGCCTTTAATCGCTCATCAAGTTCGACTCCAGTTCTCTAGGGTAATTCTATACTTACATATCTTAGCATGAGTATCTTATGCATGCCATCCTCGGAATGGCAGCGTCTCACCTTGGGATCTTGACTGGGGAAAATCTCCAGTCAGCTGCGATTCACCACCGCTTGCTAGCTATACAAGGATTCAACAACGCAATATCAAAGAAAATTCAAACTGCCAGTGCAGGTGATGCAGCTCTCGGATGCGCTTATCTTCTAACATTCCAGTCGACATATATGAACGATGGCGTCTCGGAGTTCTTTCAATTTGTTCGGGGTTGTCATCTGCTGAGTGACCAGATCCTAGCGGAAAAGCTCTCTACTGCATTTTTGGTTGGAGGGAGAGATCATTTTGTGGAGATGGAATCAAGATTGATGGACCTTCCTGGCATTAATATCGACATTCTTGCAGGAGCGGCAATGTCCTTGGAAGAAATTCGTCAAGTTCTCGACCAGCCATGTCACTTTGCTTTTCACGGGTTGCTTGTACACTGTATCGATGAAGCTAAAGTTTCTTCGTTGAAGGGTATGTAATTCTTAACACGTTCAGATGAAAAGTTCTGACGTGTCAGGCTATTTTGCCTTTATCGCCATTTATCAGAAAGCTCCCAAAATGGACGCCAACCAATTCAGAGACCTCCTCGATACCTCAAATCATATCTGCAGAGTCTTGATTGCCCATTTCTTTACAATCCAGACTATATTACTGCCTATATTGACTCGAGAGTGGTCTAATCGCAAAAGAAGCACACCGGCACAGATAAATCTCAACTGGATTTTCTCTATATCCGATTCTCTCCCAAAAGATCTCCAGAAATATTGTGTCTGGCCAAGAGCGATTGCAGAAGCTGTGCAGGAAGAACTTTCCCATACGCAGCCACCAGTACCAAAGGTCTCTATCTTACGGAAACGAGAAGGTCATAGCCAAGATATCATACTTGGTAGATTGGACCAACCCCACGGCAATTCTCGAATTGTTATACCATGAGAATCGAACCAGATAAAAGAAAAGCACCCAAACAACGATCAAAAGTGTTCCCTTCCTCCACGCAAAGGTATCCAATCTTATAAGACCCCCGAAGCAATGCACCATCATCCGTCCAAAACCGCTGTTTTGTTTCCTCACACCACCGGCGAAGTCCTGCCATCCATCTGTATCTCCCCTCCGTCTCTGAAACCACGCTTCTTACCAGGCCCAAAATACGCGCCAGGATGCCAAACACAAAAAACCCCCACCGCGCCCAACATCGGCACTGACTCAAACACACAAAACGTCCAATCATGCGTAAACGGGTACCCACGAATACCCAAAGCGAACTCGATCAATCGATAAGTTGAGCGTATCTATCTCCGTCAACCCCCACCACCCCTTCTTGTGCACTACTTGGGTATACTCACAATAATCAACCCCGACGACCCATAAACCGCCCACAACACCCTCTTCCACCCCATCCCCCCCTCCCCCTCCTTCCCCTTTGCCAGAGAGTGAACCCTCACCACAATCCCCACAAAAAACACAAAAGTCACCAACTGACTCGCCAACCCCACAATCAAAACATCCTTCCCCACCATCGTGATCCTGCCCTCCCAATTCCCGCTCGCGGCAATCCCGGAACCGGAAGCTTGAATTAGGAACAAGACTACGTCGCAGGATACGAATATCCTCGTCAGGTTCCGGATCGGGATGCGGAAAATGCGCGGTAGGGATGGGGGACAGAGACGGGTTATTAAGAGGTAGTTGCCTGCGGCGAAGAAGATGGGTGCTATTATTATGAGGGAAGATTGTGTTGCGTAGGGTGGCTATTGTTCTTTTATCAGCAATGATTGGTGGTGAGGGAGGGGATGGAGTACGATTTCAGAGGGGTGATGGATGGAAACACAGCGTGCGACGTAGCCGCCGAGCTCGAGACAGCAGCCGATGGAAACGACGAGGAAGTAGTGGGCTTTGTATTTGACAGTCGTCTGGTAGAGTTGGATGGTTGTTGGGATGGTGTAGAGGACGGTGAAGAGGATGGAGAGGGCGAGGGAGGGGTTGTAGAGCCAGATTGAATCTGCCATTCTGTTCATGTTGTTGTTGTTTGAAGCTTTGCTTCTCTGAGTCTTGAGGCTATGGAGGTATATATATTCTTTTTCTTGCTAATTTTCACGCCTAGCAATAACACATTCGCATCGAGTTCTCGCTGCCTACTAGCTTCGTCAACAGACTGCTTTCTTCATTTGAGAATTTCGCATTATATCCCGCATCAGACCTTCAAATTCCGAATCACATCCAGGAACGTCGGTATGAATGCGAACCTCCATTCACATCTCGAGCTACAGACAGGGATCCTCGGATCCGGATTCGAGGTAGCGTTCATTGGTCGAAGGATGGGCTGAGTTCTTGGCACACAGTATGTAAGCCGGAGAAACTTCTTGATGACCTTCGGGATTGGGTTTCTGAGAGTGGTTAAGTAAGGTGTAGACGAAAAGGAGTCAAGAAACGAATAGGAATGGGAGGGCAAGATTACCTGAGACGCAGTAAGGAGCCTCGGAGCGTTATGATACCCTTATAGTGATTATTTCACATATCTGAAGTGATTTGCCCCTCTCTCCCATCTCACAAAGTCCACCCGTCATATTCCCCCAGAAGAGCCTGAACCACCTCGCTCTCTACCACAAATAGGAATACCCTTCATCATGAATCAGCACATTAATAGTCCGGAATTTGTTGTTTCGCTTTTTGGTTGGATGAGGTGAAGTCGTGTATAATACTTTGGAGGTTAGGAGAGGAAGCTGTATTCTGAAGTTACTTGTTAGGTAAGGTTAGCCTGCTGAGATTTCGGGCTGTTATTTCAAGCTTGAGAGATGTAGACATAGAGTTAATGATTTTTAGTCTCGGGCCGCCAGCATTTACAATGTCAAGTACTCATATGTGTCAGTTGCATGCGTTGTTTGACTAATACCTACACTTATTTTACCATTCCCCTTACGCCCGTCTCCTGCCGGTTGATTATGAGAGCATCTAGCTTTGCTTAAGCTCCCTCACTGGAAACATCTAACTTACTTCCGCTCCGCTCCGCAGCGGAGTTACCAGATAGTTACACGTGATGAGTTTAAGCGTCTTACTCCTCTCTTTGTCAGCATCCTACATATCGCAAATTCTTCACAATGGTTACAACAATATCCTTTTCGAGACCCTTCCTATGGTCCCCTCAATTCAGTTTTGACTCCACGTGACAAGCCCACAGGCATTCCCCACCAAAATGCCGAGGATGATGTCATGTTTCCATCAACATCGTGGGACACGAGACAACGAACATCAAACAGAGACACCTTGATGGCTACAGAACAACAACGAAATGTCCATCAAAATGTATATACAAATGTATATACACACCAAGTTGTACGTATGTATCTCCCCAACAAGGTAACTCATATCTCCGTTTCACAGCGGATCGGAACGGGGATTTATGTCGATTCAGTCTCGATCATCAACCCGTTTGCCCCTCTCCATCCCCACCACGCTATGCACCTCTTGCGCTGCAGCAAGGTTACTTAATCATACACACACTTCTCCTCCCAACTCACCACCACCACCACCACCAAACAGACTTCAACGGTTGTCCCTAGATCCCAAATCTCGCCGGGGCAGGTCCGTTTGCATCTGCATGATTGATTGGATGTTGGCTGCAAAGAAATTCGGGGCTCGCAGCAACGTCATACCACTCAAAACTCTGCTGCCCCTCCACCCCACCATGAGCTCACCAGATACTTAATAAGTGCTTCTTCTCTCTCTCTCCTCTCGTTCTCCATCTTTGATCTTTTCTTCTTCACACAAACCACACCACATCCCACCTCAATCCCACACATCCCACCAACAACCACAATGCCCATCCCCGTCCCCAAAGCCGACTCCCTCAAGGAACTCCTCTCCTTGAAGGGCAAAGTCGTCATCGTAACCGGCGCCTCCGGCCCCAAAGGCATGGGCATCGAAGCCGCACGCGGCTGCGCCGAAATGGGCGCCGACGTAGCAATCACCTACTCCTCTCGCCCAGACGGCGGTGAGAAGAACGCCAAAGAGCTCTCCTCGGCCTACGGCATCAAATGCAAAGCCTACAAATGCGACGTGGGCAACTACGACAGTGTCGCCGGCCTCGTCGCCGAGGTCATCAAGGAGTTCGGCAAGATCGACGCCTTTGTCGCGAACGCGGGCCGCACGGCTGACTCGGGGATCTTGGATGGATCCGTCGAGAAGTGGAATGAAGTCATTCAGACGGATCTCAATGGCACGTTTCACTGCGCCAAAGCCGTGGGTCATCACTTCAAGGAGAGAGGTACCGGGAGTTTTGTCATCACGGCGTCGATGTCGGGCCATATTGCGAATTTTCCCCAGGAGCAGACGTCGTATAATGTGGCCAAGGCCGGGTGCATCCATATGGCGCGCTCGCTGGCGAATGAGTGGCGGGACTTTGCGCGCGTGAATAGCATCTCGCCGGGGTATATCGATACGGGGTTGTCGGACTTTGTGGATAAGAAGACGCAGGATTTGTGGAAGAGTATGATTCCCATGGGTAGAGATGGCGAGGCGAAGGAGTTGAAGGGCGCGTATGTGTATTTGGTTTCGGATGCTAGTACCTATACGACTGGTACAGATATCATCATTGATGGAGGTTATTGTGTGCGATAAATGCACTGGTTTGTTTTGATGGTCGAAAGACTTAGGAATCAAAAGCATCAGTTTGATCAATTGTTCATCTCCGTCTTGAATTTCATTTCTGTGGAAACCCCGTTCCATAAACATACCTACTAGTTAAACCAAGTAAGATAAAAAGCACTCCACCACAGCATCCTCACTTTAAACTTTCGCTCCGCTCTTCGGTTTTCGCCCCTTGTAATATCCCCATAATCACACTTCCCATCTTCAATCTTGGCAATTGATATCTACATAAACTAAGAGAAAGAATAAGCAATAGCCCACCTCCGCCCCATTTCGCCGTCCCTTTATGTTCATTTCCCACAAGTTTGGTACCCACGTTCTTATGTTGAGTTCGAGGTTAGCCTAGGCATGGAGCTAGTTACGAGTGAGGAGAAGACTACTTTTTGTGAGAGTTTTGGGTTAGGGAAAGAGACGGGGGGATGAATACGTGAATTGTATGCTCGGACTAGTGTCATACTTGGCTGTGCAGTTTCCGGGGACATGGTAAGTGAGGCCGTGTGTGGAGGGGATACGGGGAAACGAGACAGAGGGAATTCGGTCGCATTGGTATGTGTATTTTCCGGCTGAACATAGGTATTCTACGGTACTACCAGGTTATTAGATGGGAAGATGATTGGAAGGAATTTCGCAAAAGTGCAGTACTTACTAGCTAAAATTGAGAGAGGCGAGAAGAATATGATGTCGAAACTTGGTGCAACAGGTGATATTGAAACTTTGCGGCAGGTGGTCTACTTATCTTGAGATGAAGTGTAGGGTTAGGTGGGCTCGCTTAAATAGAGGCCTGGAGAATAATATCTCTCATATGTAAGTTTGCTGGTGAAAATTATGTGTGGTGATTACCAATGGTGTGTATTTACAATCCTAGACGTTCGCCGATAGTTGTATGACTAGTTTTAATAGAAGTGATTGAAGGAAATATGTAGTTAGAGTTTTAGGGGCCGGTAGAGTGATGGGATGTTATGGCGTAATGGTTCTCGATAAGTATGTTGGTGTAGATTTTGGTAATAACAAATAGTGCATATCTACAATTAAAGATGTTCACTGATATTTGTGTCGCTATATTTATCGCTAATAGGAGTAGCTAGAATGAGATAGGAAGTATTTGGTTCGAAGAAGTTAACGAGACCAGATTAACATCGAAGAAATCCATATCGAAACAACAACGTGTGTGTCGAGAGTCCAACCTATATCACGGTTTCATTACTGCTTTTATTTGCAACCAAAACTAAGCCCGAGTCACCAAGTGCTTTCAAGTTTCAAAAGCAATTTGACGAACAAAGCTTGGAATTCACAAATATTCCATATCCTAAGCAACTAGTTGTTGAAACCGATCCTCAATATCACCTCCCATCCTATTCTCCGCCCTCTTTTCTCTTCACACTTACAGCCTCCCGATCCCCAACCTATACAAACCTCCCCCCTCCTCAATCTCCCTTGTCCTCTCCAACAACTCCCCCAAATCCTCCTCCACGTTCCAATACCTCCCACTCAAAACCCCCACCCTCTCATCCCCATCCTTCCCCGCCAACACAGCCAACGCAACCATACTCCACGCCGCTAATTCCGGCTCATCATTCAACAGTGGCTCAAATCCTTTCGTCACCTCCCTCATCTCGCTTCCCACGACCCCTTTCTCCCCCGCCCCTCTGCCGAGTGACATATCAGTCTTCACCTGTCCCGGATGGATATAAAAGCTCTTCACCCCCTTCTCCCTCAATTCGAGGTCCAACAGTTCCGTAACTCTCAACAACGCCGCTTTGGACGCCGCATACGACGCAACATTCGGGAACGAAGTTTCGGCTGCTACTAAACTGCCAACATTTATCACAATCCCGTGCTTCTTCTCGACAAAAGAGGGCAGACAGGCGTGCATTAGCGCAATCGGCGCTTTGACGTTGACTTCGAATATGTGCCACCATTGATCGATGTCGGAAGCTGTCTGTTCTTCGAGGAATGGTCGCATGCGGTATGTTCCTGCGTTGTTGATCAGGATATCTACTTTGCCCAGCTTTGCCTCGATTTCGGCGATGATGGTAAAGGGTGAGGATGACAGCACATCGGCTGTTATTGAGAGGGTTGGTGTTTGCGGGTACAGCGAGGTGATTTCTTGGACGAGGGAAGAGAGGGTGGAGGCGGTGCGGGAGAGGAGGGCGAGGGAGGCGCCGGTGGAGGCGAATGCTAGGGCTGCTGGTGGGGTGTTAGTGGATAGAGAGGGGGAAGGAAAGGGGTAGGGGAAGGGGATATGGAGGTAGTACTGGCGCGACCGATGCCGCGGGAGGCACCGGTGATGAGGATTACTTTTCCGGTGAGCTTGTTGGTGAATTTTGATGGGGAGATGAAGGGGTAGGGGGTATGATGGATGGCTATCCCTGTCGAGGAAGGGAAGGTGAAGGACATCGTTGGTTGTGTCTTGATGTTGTTGTTGTTCTTCTTTCTCTATGAATGCGAATGGAAGGAAGTTGATGCTCTTTCCATAGAGGAGTCGAGTAGCTTTATATTCGTATCGCTTTCTCTATCTCCCTCATGATGTTCATGTCTTCTGACAAATATCGCGGCCGACTTTGCATCATTTCGCCTCAATATGAGTATTCAGAGAAACATTATATCGTACCTCCGCCGCTTCGTCGCTTCAACATCTTTATAAATATGGTGTGCTTATGAAAGATCAATCTCACTATGTATTTCTGTTTATGAGAGAAATATAGGACATCAGTACAGCAAATGCAGTGCTTATGAAAGCTCATGCCCATTTCGTCTTTCGAGCCGTGAGGAACACGGTACTCCGGTACAGCGATTGATGATGGAACAACGAGAATTTGAAGTAGCGGCCGCACAGGAGAAAGAGTGTTTGGTGTCTGGGACATGAAAATTGGTGGGCCGTAGAATGATTTGTGATAGTGTTGATTTGGTTGATATATATGAGCTCAATGCTAGGTAGGGTCATTAGTTGTTGTTTGCAAAATATCATTGTGTGAGATTGAGGAAGAGCCTTGTTGGCTTCAACTCAGATTTTGATCAATTGCGATGGATGGAGTAATGCATCGATAAACATAATCAAAGCAATATGAGAAGAAAGAAAGATACAGTAAAAAACACTCAGAGAACATAGATCTACTCCATAAGACCCGGTCTTTAAAGTAGAAGAAAGGCGCGAAGTATGTGACCGTCCCCTCTTCTCCAAACTCCATCGTGTGTTGGCGTTTGTGATACATAGCGAGGAGGTTAAGGCTAGTTTGGAGGAGCGGCGGGCTTTGTGAGATAGAGGGTGAGGCTACGAGAACTGCTTTAGATATGTGAAATAGTCATTATGAGGAGAAAGGGAATGATAATACTTTGAGACTCGTTGTTGCGTCTCCAGCGACTGGAAGCTATCGTTGTATTCCCATTCGCCTGCAATGCTCCTTTTCGTCTACATTTGGCTTTACGCTTCTTATCTTCATGATCGATCGAAATATAAGTTCATTTATATTTACCTCAATCTAACCCTCACCATCCCAAACCAGCGGTCCAGGGAATTGATAATCCTAGACTCATTAGCAAGTCCTCACTCTCAAATCATCCCTCAACTCACCGTAGTATTATACTCCTCTAACAACTCCCCATCCGAAATCTCATTCCCCGCAATCCGGAGCCCAGGATCTATTCCAAACAAGCGTCAGCGCACCATTCAATTCCTCACTCACTCACCCACCCACAGCACCAAACTCACCACTCGACTTATACGCCCCCGGAAAAGCAACCGAAAACCTCTCTCCCGGAACTTTCCCCCCTTCCCCTCCTTCCACAAAAACTTGCGCACACGACACATAAAACTGCGCCCCATCCGCCCGATTACTCTGTAAATTCACCACCTCATGCCGCACCAAATACGCTCCCGTCTTCAATGCCCCCGGGACCCGAACCTCCACCCCTGGACTGCTCGTCCCCATCAACAAAACCCCCTGCATCCACGGCCCTCTCAAATTCTTCGCTCCGGGCACGAGTCCAAATTCCGCGATCTTAAACCAGACCTCCCCCTCACCGTTCCAGCCCGCGCACGACAGCCCCGGACAGCGCGCCATGTAGATGAGCAGGGGGCCGTATTGGTGGTACCATTGATCCCTCTCCACCGCTGTTAAGTTAAAATTAGCAACGTTGTAAGAAGCAGTGATTGTCTCGCCGGCGCGGACGGGCGCGTGCAGCGAGGGCGTGGTGGGGGAGAAGGAGCCGTCGAAGTTGCAGGTCATGTTGGGGGAAGAGAGGTTGTAGAGCGGCCAGAAGTACCAGCGCCGTTGGATGGAGGGGGTGCCGGCGGGGATACCGGAGGCGTTGCCTGAACCGTAGAAGGGGCCGTAGTCGTGGATGTGCCAGGGGTTGCTGTGTGGGGTGGGTTTGTTAGGTGGGAGAGGGAATGGGGGAGGGGAGGGGAGAGGGGATGATGTACCCTTGGTAGATGACGGAGGAGATGTTGTAGGTGTAGATTCCGCCGTGGGCGGCTGCATTTAGAGCCCAAGTCAGGAGGAAGGTGAGAATCAGGAGCTTCATGATGGTGGAGAGATGCGGGACCGAGTGGTTTGAGCATAGTTGAGATGCGTTTATAAGTAGCGATGAGGTAAAGTTTCGATTTGCCGGACCTAGTTAGGATGTTTAGCCGTTGTGTAGATTGGAATTGGCACAGGCTGTCTGCGTAGCGAGTCTCCTATATAGGCGAGAGGTTGAGGGTTGCGCACGTGATAGTATAGGGTTTTGATGCGGGAAGTTTAGCTTGCATAGGAAACTACCAATTATCCTCTCTGATCTGAAATGGTGAGTATATTTTGAAGGGAAAAGTCTAGATTAATTTTGGTTTCTCGGACCGTTGTAAAGTTTTGTGTACTTGATTGCAATCACGTGCTGCTACCATTTTGTCACAACCCTTTCGTCCGTCTTGAAACTTCTTGGAGTTTACTCCTACATCCAACAGGAAGAATAAAACACTGACTGCTATTTTAATAAGACAAAAAATACCAGATCTCACACTAATGCCCCTCTTCTGACGGCTGCACTAGCAGCAGCTTGAGCGTAAAACACACCACAAAAAAACAGCAAGAACAGATTCGCAGCTTCAGGTTGCAAAGCAGAAAACTTGACTCAAGGTCGGTCCGACTGGGCGGTGCCTAGCTACCGCAGCGGGAGATTCCTTGTCCAACTTGGAAGAATGCTTGAGCACGAGTCGTGCAGGTAAATGAATGTCCATAGCTAAGAGCACGATGCAGAGCTTTGTTATGTTGCAGGTATTCGTTTTTACCCAAGTTCGAAGCTTGATTACTTCATGCTTTTTTTGGTCGGTGCAGTTAGATGACTTGCCGCATGCAAGAAAAGCTCTTCTCATAATATGATGGGCCCTGCTTAAGCCTGGTGCCGCAATATCAAACGTCAATTGCTTCTTTCCTCAAAGTTGAAATTGGTCTTTGAGAAATAAGTTTTTAGAGCCAAGGACTAGCTTACTTGCATATGCAACGAAATCGTTCTTAGTGATATGATTGGCTTGGTTCTTAACTTGAACTTGAAGGTCAACTTTTCAAAATAAGTTTCAACAGAGAATTAAGAGTGCACGACTAGTTTACTTGCGACATGCAACAAAACCCCTTCGCAATACGATCAACTTCAAACTTCAAATTGAACGTTGGGAGGACACACATTGGGGGACATAGAAGTCCACTCCCACTTGGGATATTCCCATACCAAACAAATCGCACTCAATATCGGAAAGTATCAATCCACTCATCAAAGGCCGTAGCCAGCATTTCTTCATTTCGCATCCCTAATCTACCAACTGTCATCTCGTCATGCAATCCCCAGAGAGGAAATCTCCCCTTGCTCGTTCACCGGTTGCGCGTTCACCTTATACGACACCTTCCATCGTAATTTCACTGCGCCTGCATTTCCTTCCTCCGCTCCGTGTAAATGTATCACTTGCTTTACTCCAGCTTGTTCGTGAGGCTGGAGTCTTCTTCCTGTTTGTGGCTGAAGCTTCAGAGTATAGCCCTGTGGTTGTTAGTGCGGCTGCTTTGAATTTGGAGAAGAGAACAAGATCTACCTTTGTCACAGCTGCTTTGAATTCGAGTTCTGATATAGGTTGGTCGGTTTGGTTCGAGAAACTTAATGACATCGTGATGACAGACGTGTTGGCAGCGTCACGAGTCACGTGTATTGAAATGTTCAGGCTGGTGTCACTGACTGTGATATTATTCGAAGGAGGACCTTCAGGCAGTGCAGATGAGAATGCCCAGTCATCATCATCAGCAGCTGGTACTGTTGCTGCTGGAGCTGGTGCTGGGGGTTGATGGTTACCAAAGTCGAAGATGGACTTTTGAGGAGTTGCGGCTCGAACAGGAGATGCTAATGCTGCAAAAGGATCCATGGCCGGTTGTGGTGGGGGAGCCGCTGCCTGCCGTGATTGTTGTTGCTGAAATAAAGTAGGTTGCGGGGCAGCTTGGGGAATAGAAGGTGATGCACCATATGTTGAGAAAGCAGAGTAATTAGGCTGACCAGAAGTGCTCGGTGGGGCAGGAGATCGTGTTGGAGTTGGCCCTCTGGCTGTGCTGTGCTCGCTTGTTGATGACAATAGGGCAGGTCCAGGAAGATCTACTGAATCAGTAGTTGGCTGGTTTTGGTGAATGGTAACTTACTTGTATTGTTGCCAAAACCCAAAGAAATGCCACCTCCTTGACCATAACTGTCTCCCATTGAAAGTCCAAGTAAATCATCTTCTAACCCACCACCCTGACTGCCACTAGGTGCAGCAGCGGAGCCGCTCCCATTGGTATTCGTCTCTGTTTCCGGCTCGAAATCGATCAGAGAGAGCTCATTATCGGCATTCTTCCCGACTCCAGTACTTGTACCAAGAGTGCCTTTCGCAATCTTGGCTGCAGCATCGACATCACCCTTCTTCATGAGTTTATATCTTTCCACCGTCCTGTGTATACTGTCGTTAATCTCCAGCAATTTCGCAACAGCTTCGTGATCATCCGACTCCTCCTCGCACATCCTTTGAATCTTTGGATGTGCACTTTGCAAGGCAGAAGCCAACTCCTCGTATACATCGCCCTCGACCATAACATCTCCCGGCTTGAATTCTTCGAGTCGTTCCTCGAGCAAGCGTGCTTTTTGTTGTACCTTTCCTACCTCCTCTGCTGCCTTGGCGCGGTAATCTGTCTTTTGTCTTGTGTCGTATCCTGCCATAACCTTCATCAATCGATTTGCTTCTTGTAAGTCTTCTGGTCCGCCACGTCTAATGAGTTCTTGCAGCTTGGCAGATTGGGCTGCTTTCTCTTCTTCCTCCATTTCCTCGGCCGATTTAAGGTTCTAAGTCGATGTCAGTATATCATATTTCTCCACAAGAAGTCCCCACTCACATCGCTAGGATTCAATACCGCAGCATCTTCTCTTCTGACCTCTGGGAACACATAGCCCTTGTAACTCAACAACCTGTGCATATCTCGGATGAAGCCTAAATCCTCCTTGTACCGAGAAGTCTGGCAGATAGTACCCCGCCATTCTTCAATTGCTTCCAATATCTTTTGTTGCACTCTAGTCGGTCTGATCGGCGGTCGTTCAGGGAACCTTCTAACAAGCTCATTGAGAAATTCTTTGGTACTGATCTGTAGATGAAAAGGGTATCCGCAGTTCTTGACGCAGATGTCAAGCAAGACAAGAGCTAACAAAGACACGTTCGGGTTCCGGTGATTGATGTAATTGACGATAGCTACCGCAGCTTCTCTTGGCGCATTCCCCTTCTTCGAATTTATAAGATCTGAAATCTCCAGATTCATGGCAAGATTTGGCTCGAAGTTCTCGGGACTGCAAGCTTGTTGGATGAAGCGTTGGAGCTGTGAAGGTCCCGGATCTCCCATGGCGCCAAAGCGGTCTCTGGCCGCCATCCTCGCAGACGCTGCCTCCATTTGGAGGGCTGTAAGAAGGTATCACCACCGTCGAGGGAGAGCGAGACTTGACAGGTTGCGTGTTGCGCAAGGCAAGCAGTTGAGCCTGTTGCGGCACAGGTGGTGGGGGGTTTCGATACGATTTCCTTTGCTTAGCGGAATGATGCACATCTCCGCCAAGCGAGGAACTTTGTGGCCTTAAAGTTTCTCGAAATATATTTCTTCTTTCCGCACCCTTCTTCACTTTCACCACTACAACAACAATAACTGCAAGCTGCCAACATGGTCCGACACAAGAAGGATGGATTCTCTTCACGAGGAGGCAAGAAATACAGCAATGCGCCTCGACCTCGAGGTCCACGAAACGGCGACGAAGACCGCGAACACCCCGCATCTCGCCCCTCCTTCAAAGCAGCATGCTGGGATTTGGGACATTGCGATCCAAAACGATGCTCTGGGAAGAAGCTGATGAAGAATGGACTTATGCGCGAGCTTCATATTGGACAGAAACACTCCGGGGTCATCATCAGCCCGAATGCGAAGCAAACGATATCGCCTGCCGATCGAGAGCTTATGGAACAATACGGAGCTGCGGTAGTAGAGTGTTCTTGGGCGAGAGTCAAGGAAGTACCGTGGCCGAAGATTGGGGGCAAATGCGAGAGATTGCTACCATACCTGGTGGCTGCCAATAGTGTCAACTATGGCAAGCCGTGGAGGCTCAATTGTGTCGAGGCACTGGGAGCGGCTTTCTACATCTGCGGACATCCTGAATGGGCTGAGGAGGTTCTGTCACATTTCTCATACGGAGAAACTTTCTTGGAAATCAATTCCTCCATTTTGAAGAGGTATGCTGCTTGCAAGGACGAGGCAGGTATCAAGCAGACCGAAGAAGCTTGGATGGCACGACTGGAGAAGGAATACGCAGACAGCAGAGCAGAAGGAGATAATGGACCTGAAGATATGTGGAAGGGTGGAAATTCGAATCATCGTATGCCTGTGAGCTCTGAAGACGAGGACGAGGACGATGAGGCCGAAGAAGGAAGTGGTGACGAGGTGGAAGGAATATATCTTGGCAAGAATCCACCAAAGCCAGTCGAAGAGGAGCCAGAAGAGGAGAAAGATCCATTCGATATCTCAGAAGATGAAGACGACGAAGAAGAAATGGCAGAACTTCGACGACGTGTCCTTGCATCGAAACCTTTCTCGAATCCATCAGATACCGGGCAAAAGAAACAACCAGACAAGATTTCGCGACCTGTTCCACTGAAAGAGGATTCTGATGTCGAGCCTGATTCGGACAATGGGGATGATGATGAATTTGACAACATCATCAATGCTACGCCATTGACAGACAGAACCGGTATACAGGCAAAGCAGAGAGAGAAGACTGGAGAACCTCTTGCGAGTGCAGTCTTTTCGAGGACGATTGTTGGCGCACCAAAGAAATGGTAACAAATAAAACAAAAGCAACCAACAGAGCATTGGATAAGCAATCATCTAACATATTTGCCTCTGATCACCAGCTATTCGCAGCCAATACTCGAGTCTGAGCATACGCGAGTGCGAGATCAAAGCTTATTGGAGTCACATAACATATTCAACGAGCAAAGCTTTTTCCAATTTACCCACACCTTCTTGCAAGTATCAGGCGCTTCGATGTCGCTAATGTGCACGAACATAAATAGATCTATCATCTTTCTTGCAGGATGTTAGCTGCAGGTCGCTGCTGTGGTCGGTTATCCCTGACATGGGCGCTTACAGTTAAAGCGTGATGATACACCTGTCTATCACATACAGCAATCTCGCAGTCGCTCTTTTAATCTATAGACGTTGAGCGAAATGGCTTTCTCGGTATTCTCTGATGAGATCGTCCTTCTTGTACTATCATATCCCGATGTTCTTACCACTGAAGATATATACAATGTAATGTTGACTTGCAAACGATTGTATCGAGTCGGAATCCCTTTATTGTATCGCACCACCCAATTCAATTCGCCAAATATAGCACGTCCACCACATCTGAGTAATCTATTGAGAATGATCGATCTCGAGCCGAGACGAGGGTCATGGGTTCAGCTTGCGAGCGTCGGATGGCCGGGTAATCACGAAAAGATGTGGTCTAAGACTTTTGAGCTTGTCTCTATATTCCACTCCCCGCAGTCTATAGAATTCCATGTTATGTCCTGGCGAGAAGATAAAGATCTCAACTTTGCGCGGTTTCTTGGAGAATGCACGAATACTTCCTTGCGAACCGTCACTGTTGAAGACCACAACCTCAGAATCAAGGATATAGTTGCATTCTATGCTCTACCCAACCTCATACATTTTAGGGTCATCAATTTCTGTGCGGATGAGTCTGACTCAATCGTCTACAATTCGCAATCGACGTTCGTCTTGACGAAACTCCAGAAGCTCGAATTCTTGAATTCTTCGTTTCCGATCACACCTCAAGCATCCCTTTTGTCACAACATCCAGTTCTCACTGAATTCGCGTGGATAATCAACCCAAACGGGTGGTGGTCCAACGCATGGGATGAAGACATACTCTCGGCTCTGACAACTCCATTCGCTTCGTTGTATAAGTCCGCCTTCAAGCACCATATTTTGGGCGTGCCCAAACGCTGCCACCAGCGAGAACCATGAATTATACTCAATTTTCGAGACTGCAATGACTCGAGCTAGATGATCGAGCCGCTTTTGCACATGATCGATTTCAGCGAGAAAATTTGGCGTCTAGACTACCTCCTACATTGAGAACCTTGAAGGCAAGTGAATCGTTGACTTTGAAGATCCTCAGACCCGGTCAGAAGGTAAGGCAACATTTGACTAATTAGCCATAGATCTTGTTTGCTGCCCCTGCCTTGATATTGCGGACCTTAGACGCTGCTCAAGACGATTATGGATGGATTCTTGAGCTCGCACAAGCGAAGCGGAATCATCTTTTCCAGCTTTCTAAAGTTATTCTCTACGAGGCAGATCAAGTAGACGAACGAGCTCGACCAGGTATTAGAGTAGACTGCTTCTTCTTGAATGATCATTGTTCAGGTTCGGAGTGGGAATACCCACCAGAGGTCAAAGACACGTTCGAAGAAGCTCGCATTTATCTACATGTGCTGCTTCGAGGAAAGCAGGATTTGCGCCATTTGGCTCTTAATCCGCATTTGGAATCACATTTGATGAATCTGAGATACTCTCCGTTTCGACGGAGATAATGTCATGAAGCACAATTCGTTAGAGGTTATGCAAATCCTTCCTGGTCAAACGTAATACATTTGTTCTACGTCCTCCAGTTGCAGTCTTTCAGCTAGCCCTCGCGGAAAAGCTGCAAACAATTACCTTGCCATTGTAAGGACAACTGCTACATTTACACAGACCATGTTCACAATATATGTGCATCTGTCCAAACGTACGCAATTAAGGGTAGTTCAATCAACGCCGGTGGCGGAGTGTCGTGCACGCTGGGCGCATTCCCAAGCAATTTCTGGACCGCAATGTGCTGGAACTTGAATTCCTGCAGAGCGAATGATTGGTTTGCCAGAGTGCAGGGAGGAACATCAGCTGCGGATGATTATCTTAATGGTCCTGATGTGGAGAAAGATTGCCAGGACGGACTCAATGCTGCTCTTTCTGGACGCGAGTTCATCGTTAGCAACCGTGTCTACCAAATTGCTACTTGTTGTTCTCAGGTGAAGGAAGTTCGGACAATAGTCATGGCTCTCGCATCTCTTACAAGTGTATGGAGTTTTTGATGTTTGATTCTTCAGCTGCAAATCTTGTATTGCCATGCGCCAATACAGCGTGGTGAATGGTACTCTCATTGATTAAAAGGTCTGATATGCTTCGTTTTCGAACTGTCATTACCTTCATAATACATTCTGTACTCTAGGATTACAGATATGAATTAAGTTGCGTTCGTTGTTGATCGGGTGTGGCTGATGAAAATGAGTCTATCCAAATTGCGTCCTTGCAAGTTTCTCTGAAAGTCTTAGCGATTCAGATGTGGGGTGGCATAAGCATAAACTATTCAGCCGATGAGTCAGTCGGTATACAGAGTGAGGTTCTCATCGCTTGTGGCTGACGGCACGGCTTTAGTGCTGACAGATGCCGCACTCGCTCCGTGTACTCGAGATATATGACAGAGTAATGCAGCTCTTCATGAGAGAGGAAAGACAACTTTCCAGCTTTCCAACTTCCATCACAATGACGACTATAACAACAACTAGCAAGCCTAATGATCTGGTCGCAACTTCGAGACCGACAGACTTGCATTGCTCCTTCAATTACTACTCGGCTCCTACCCGACCGAAACTTGATGACTTGACCATCATAGCTGGTGCTTCAGCAGATCTATCTTCCTATACTCTCCCAGTGACCGATTTACGCAGTCTATCCGCACCCATTTCAGGTTATAACCATGAAGCAAATGGGTTCCAGGTCCTCCACCAGGAGCTCCCGATCGACAGCTCACATGAATCGGTTCACGACAACAAAGTCATGACCACGCAATACTACCCAGCAATTAAATCTTTGCTGAAGAAAGAACTCGGCCTTCGATCAGTAGCCGTGATCAACAAGACACTACGGGACGTCGCATCTATTGACATGTCTACTCTAGACCTGAAGAATCCACGTCAACTGACGAGCACCCCGCCGTTCTTCATTTCCCACTCAGATTACACTGCTGCTGGCGCGAGAGCCCATTTCCGTGCAATCACTTCTGACTGGTCAGAAGAAAACCAGACCGAGGAAGAAAGAGCAGAGTTTTTGCGCCTTCGAGACGAAATCATTGCCGCCGAGGACGTCGCTATAGCAAAAGCAGGTCTCGGCGCCGGAAATGGTGACATGGTGGCTGGTAAAGGAGGACACTGGGACTGGGATGGAACGGGATACGATGGTCCTCGCTATGGGATCTTTAGTGTCTGGAGGCCGTGGGAGACTGTAAAGCGTGATCCGCTGGCTCTCATGGGTGCAGCAGAATCTGATCTTGACTACGCTGTTCTGCCGCGGAGTTATAAGAATCGACCCGGGCATGTCAAAAGCTATTACAGCGAAAACCCGATCGTGCGCCATCCAGGTGCACGGGAAGAGGCAAAGCACAAGTGGTGCTATCTGAGTGAGCAGAAGCCTGAGGAGGTGTATGCCATCAAGCTCTATGATAGTGAGGCTTTGAGAAGGAAGGATGAGAGTGTGCGGCTCATGTGTCCCCACAGTGCCTTCCGTATAGATGGTACAGAGGATGCTCCGCCACGTAGAAGTTGTGAATTGCGTGTGTGGTGCATTTGGTGATTGGAGGGGCATGTTCTGTCTGTTGCTCTCACAATCTGTGTCCTGTCATTTTCGCGAGTTACATTCTTTGAAATAAAAGGACAAATTAAGAATTGCACGCAACTTCCCTTACTGGCGTGGAGCACTGCTTGCTCTGATTCCTTCTCCTTGCGTCTGCTCAGCTTTCACTTCGGATCCTGCGCATTCGAGTACAATCCCCACTCTTTGAATGACATTGTCTCGGCAGAGGCTGTCAGCCTACCCCTCTTCTGTCAAACTGGCCTTAAAGAATCTTGAGAAGATTGACCTTTAGGAATTCCCCTAGACTGAGGACTAGTTTCCCCTTCCGCTGGTTCTGTTTTAATCTCCAGACGTGAGCAACTGCTGCTTTAACCTGAGCCGAGGTGAGCATGGTGGAGCAGAGCATGAGCAGCGCCTGGGCATCCTGGGCATCCTGAGCACCATAACCTTACGGATGCTTGTCGTATATGCGATTAATCCGTTTGTAACACTTTTATGCAAAACTTCTTGAATCGATGCGCGAGGCGAGAGCAACAATGGGTTTGTCTTGACGTAAAGAAAATAAAACTCGCCGAACTCGCTATGACTTCAAAAGAGATATGGCAAATGGGCCTCGTCGATTTTGACGGCGGCGGGGTGTTGATTGATGAATATCTCAAGCGCTCCTGTCTCTTAGGATGTCATTGTGAAAGAATGTTGCAGCGATCTAAAGCAATTGGAAAACTGTTCAAAAGAAAGGGAATTTCGTTGTCCAATTGCTGGAAAGAACTCGTCATCGAGGAGCAAAGTTGAAGGGAGTTGCCAGACTTGCTTTAGACAATGTAATTTTTCAGATTTTCAATTCAACATCCACAGAGCAATTGTGCTAATCCAAAATCCTGTTGCTGGAAATTGAGTTGACTCTTTTAGGCTATGAAAATGGTTTTGCGGTCGAGAAGATGACATTCGCATCAGTTTTGAGGAAACTGGCCCATCAAAGGTTTCAGTACAATTGCTGCTGCTTGCACATTGCATATATGAACTTGAAAGCCAGGCAAGCGAAATTGTATCCCCCTTCTAAGCCACATCAGATACCTGGGTGGTTTACACTCCTCCGAGACGGCGCAATCCAAGCTTTTGGCCTTTGTGTAACATCAATCTCACATAATCAAAGTCCGGGCACATTCTTCTCAGTGACCATTCGTTTTGGCAATCATTCATGTGTCGAGTTGCCTTTTTCAGGAGAAAGATCTTCATGTTCAAGCCCCATGAGCACCGGATATGGAAATGGCCCGAATTACAAGAGGCACAGCGAAAGCAATGTCCAACCGCGAAACAAATTTCCAACGCGAACAGGGATGCAAGACAAGGTTTCTTCAGCCTCTCTTCTCTGTGACTGGTGGAACCGTATCGCATACAAGCATACCATGGAGGGTAACATCAGAGCTCTGGAAGTCAGAGGCTCAGTAGGTACATAATGGGGTTGTTTTGTGGTACGGAATTTGACAGCTTGTCAGTTCTGGAACCCTTTTGTTCTTGACATTAATTTCGACAGCCATAAAGTTACGTGGATGGCTCATGATATTTTACTTGTACAAAATTATCTCTGCAAAACATCATAAACAAGATCGACTGAATCTGAAATAGGTCTTACCAAATTCTTCAATCCATCTGCACGCGATGGCTAGCCACGCAACTCGAACCAATTCCCTTGTCCTCTCATCCAAACTTCACGCCTGACACAGATGTCTCCATCATCATTCCTCTCGTTGGACTTCCCTCCGCCACCTTCCTCGAAGCAATCGAAACCTGGATCACCAACAGTCCACTAGAAATAATAGTTGTGACCCCAGAATCCAATTATCACTCTCTCCAGTCAGCAGTCAAACACATTCCTCACCAGAACACACATCTAGCAATCACCACTGTCCCCAAAGCCAGCAAAAGACAACAACTATCTCGCGGCATCACTAAAGCTCGAGGAAGCATCCTAGTCTTAGCCGACAGCGACGTCCTCTGGCAACCCACCCTCCTCGTCCACCTCCTCGCCGCTTTCGAAGACCCCACCATCGGCGGCGTGGGTCCCTTCACAAAAATCGTCCGCAAACACAACTCGATCCCCGAGTTCATCATGCACCGCCGTTTCGTGCAACGCTACCGCCACATCGCGGCCACATTCATCGTAGATGGACACCTGATCTGTCTCTCTGGCCGGACTGCTGCGTACCGAGCGCAGATACTGAAAGACGAGACGTTTTTGAGGGAGTTTACGAATGATTATTGGAAGGGGAATTTGTTGGATTCAGGGGATGATGCGTTTATCACGAGGTGGATACAGGAGAGGGGGTGGAGGGCTGTGTTGCAGGTTGCGAGCCAGGCGGAGGTTTTTACCTGGGCGAGTGACGGTTGGAGGATTGTTGGGCAGTGGATAAGGTGGACGAGGAATTCGAAGAGGAGTTTTTGGAGGTATTTGAGTTGTTGGGATGTGTTTTCGAGGTATTGATGTCGAGGATCTTGGCTAGGACTTGCTGACAGAGATGAGTAGACAGTCGTATTTTGCGCTGAATATGGTTGAGTCGTTGTTGCGGCCGTTTCTTTCGATTTGGTTCGTGATGGGATTCTGCTCTAGAACTTTGAGCGAAAAGACACGGTATTGCTCTTTATTAACATCCCCTCTGGATATATAACTCGAAGAGTTGTACTGACATTGACCAGTTTCAGAATATGTTCTATCTGGATCTGTTTTGGACTTCTTCAGTGCCTCGCAGACTTCGAAGACTGGCCACTATCCGTCTCTGGAATTGCTATCTCGCTGCTAATGGATATTTACATTGTAGTGTTCGATGTTTGGGGAATTTTGAGTCTTTCTAACGTAACCAATTCCGATTCTGTAGAGTGAACGAACTTGCTGACGCCTAACATAGACAGCTCGGTAGACATATGGGAGATAAACAAGCTCAAGTAGATAGAAAGCTGGTACGAATAATAGAACTGCAGGATACAACAAGATCGAATTCGGATTCATCTAAAGCATTAACAAGAAAGGAGAAAATATAGCCACTGGATTTGTCAACTAATCACTAAGTCAGTCACTTCTCTTTTTCTTCTAACCCTTCGACACAATTTTAGTACCGATCCTGCCTGTCGCGAAAATAGCTCATGGCTTATGTTAATGGGAAGGATTGCAACTGCTCCCTTCGACGAGTCGATGAGAGCTTCGGGAAGGTTTCCCTCACGTGAACAGACACGTGATAGTCAATGATTCGACTCGAATGCTCCCCGAACCGTAGGTAGAAGTGTTACATAAAAGTTGACACACATGTAAACATATTCAGTGTCATCTTGGACCGATTGCTTTGTGCCATCATTGCAAGTACCGAGCCAAAACCGTTTACGTATCACGTGAACTGAGACTAAATGAGACAATTTCGCTTATGGATGCCAGTTTTCTCTCCAACGCGCAAAGATAACAATGTTCTCAATCTCAAGATTTATTGTATATACATATCTTCAGTAAGCTTCGCCACTTGGCTGTTCCACGAGACCTTGCTTTGCAAATGCCGACAGGAGTCTAGGATTGCGGTCCATGTTTGAGTTTAGCCATGGCGGCTGTCAAGCAATGCTTTGACCTTCCTCATCCACGGTCCGTCCCATCTCTGCATGTTGTCACATCAAATGCAGCTTGCCGAGATGTGATGCGTTTGCGAGATCCATAAATACCACGACATCCATCAATTCCTGTCTACTGTTCTTTTGACATTCCTTCTTCACTCCATCACGACGAGTGCCGTGAGAAAAATATGGTATATTTTGGAACTTCGCGGTGCGAAAGGTTCTAAGCGAATGCAGGTCAGAATGTCCGATATCGTTCTCTTTCTTTGGTGGTACATTTGTGGTGGGAATGATTGGGATGCAAAGGTCGTCGTTGCGCATGCATTTTTGAAGTGGAAAGCCTTGCGGAAGCAGTCTTCCTTTATGAAGTCATGAGAACAGAGATATTTCTCTTGAAGAAGACGGCAAGAATGCGACCCGCGTATTTAGAGCTCACCACAATACCTATGACAGTGCCTTTGGTCTTGAAATAGTTTCCTTTTGAGAACGAAGGATTGCATTTTGCAACCCAAGAATATCCCATCACCTCACCGCTGTCCCAAAAAGCAATCCTTTCCGTGTTATCCACCCCGCGCTTAACCCCTCCAAGCCAAGACCGAGAAAAGGTTCCTCCGATTCGTCAGCCTCGACCAGTATCCCACTTTGCCCACCACTTGCTCTCCGATATCGAGTTTCGCACGCGACAATGCCGCTCAAGAAGAGGGGCATCGCAAATCCTGCGAACTGGGTCAAAGCCGATGAATATCCAAGACAGCAGCAAAGCAGAAGGACCAAGGCGGCAGCAGCAGCAACTCAGGCTGCAGATTGAGCAAGGCGAATCCGATGGAGACCGACTTGCGGTGCTTGATCAGGATGAAGTGGCGGCGGAGGGAGGCGCTGAGAGAGAACCGCATGAGGTAGAGAACGAGAAAGAGGAGAAAGTTACTTGGATGTCGTTACCGCATAAGAAGCAACTGATCGTATTGACGCTGGCTCGCCTTTCTGAGCCCTTAGTGCAGACATCTTTGCAGGTAAGGTACCTTCAGTTGGCAGATTGTGTTGTTGCTAAAAGATTTACTTTGCAGTCTTATATGTTCTACCAACTCAAGTCTTTCGATGAATCTCTTCCGGACTCTACAATTGCTACCCAAGCAGGAATGATGGCAAGTAGCTTTACTGGTGCACAATTCTTGACGGCTATGATGTGGGGACGAATATCTGATTCCGAGCGAGGAGGGAGAAAGATGGTTTTGTTGATCGGACTTTTTGGGACTTGTGAGCGCTACGTCTAGTCTGCGAAGTTCGTTCTAGGAGCTGACATTAAGTTACAGGCCTTTCCTGCCTCGGATTTGGGTTCTCGAAAACTTTCTGGCAGGCGCTATTTTTTCGAACACTTGGTGGAGCACTCAATGGAAATATCGGGGTCATGAGAACTATGGTCAGCGAGATTGTGCAAGAGAAGAAGTAGGGTCTTTGTTCTAGACACGAACATTGATGCTAACAGCAGGACAGATATCAATCGAGAGCGTTTTTGTTATTTCCTATGTGTTTCAATATCGGAGTTATCATTGGACCCATATTAGGCGGGCTACTTGCCGATCCAGCTCACAGCTATCCTAGCTTGTTCGGAAACGTTGCCTTCTTTAAGAGGTTTCCATATGCGCCACCGAACATTCTGAGCGCTGTGTTCTTACTTTCAGCTACGCTTGGCATATTCTTCGGGCTATCTGAGGTATGTTCTTGGCATCTTGATTGGTTCTGGCCTTTCGCTGACCCTGTTAGACACTCGAATCACTTCGACACAAGGAAGATTTTGGCACGAAGTGTGGTCGAAAGATAGCTGAGATCTTTCGAGGAGGCAATTCCCAAGATCCTACTCATGCATACACGGCCCTGTCGGGCGACGAATCATTCCCAGAGCCAGATGTGGAAATGACCCTAGTTACACCAACAACTCCACGCAAGAAGGCGGTCCCGAGGTGGAAGCAAAAGTTGCCTTTCCGCAGAATGTTCACTTACAATGTTGTCTGCACACTAATCGCCCACTCTCTAATGGCGACTCACCTCGGCACTTTCAACAGTCTCTGGTTCGTCTTCCTCTCCACACCCGTCGCAGCCAAAGACTTCCATCGTCGTCTCCCATTCCACTTCACCGGCGGCCTAGGCATGCCACCTCGCGACGTAGGTTTCGCCATGGCTGTGCTGGGTTTCCTCGGAATCTCCATGCAACTATTCATCTACCCTTACATCAATGCCAAGCTCGGCACCGTCAAAAGCTGGCGCATCTTCCTTTACTTCTTCCCCATCGCTTACATCCTCGTCCCGTTCCTGGCCATCGTACCATCCAAGACGCCACCCCCCGCAGAAAAAGACGGGATACTGGTCTGGACCGCGTTGTGCCTTGTTCTGTTCCTCCAAGTCACGGGGAGAACGTTCGCTTTACCTGCTACTACGATACTGGTCAATAATGCGTCGCCACATCCGAGTATCTTGGGCACCATGCACGGTGTAGCGCAGAGCTTGTCGAGTGCGGGTAGGACGGTTGGTCCTGCGCTTGGTGGGACTATGTATGGACTTGGCTTAAGACGTGGGGTTGTGGGAGGTATCTTCTGGGGCTTGAGTGCGTTGGCTCTTATTAATTGTTTGGCTAGTAATTGGGTTAAAGAGGGAAATGGGCATGAACTCATCTTGGAGGGCGATGAAGAAGCGGAAGCGGAATTTCAGGCGGAGTTTAGGAGGAGTGAGGGGTGATGTCTTTCGGGCGTTTTGCATTCATGATCAGGGTGATGGGATGATTTTACGGCGATTCAGATGGTATGATTTACGAAGTGGACGATCTGGATATCAATTGGAGAAATGGCAAACGGAACGTGGAGTTTGAAAGGCACTGAATACACGAAGTAACCAGACAGATGGAGTTTGGTAGAACCACCACCTTTGGAATATGCCGATGTTAAATACGCACATCGATGAACAAGATATAGAACAAGAAGGGTACTACCTCCCTGTTGCCCGAAACCTTGTCAAGAATTACTTTGATACTTTTGATTGCTTTCTAGATTGAGAGTTTAAACAATGACTTTGTGTCTGTCACGTGCCGTTGATTTGGTTGGGAAAAAAAGAACTGTGCTGAAGTAGCGGTCCCTTCGTAGGGGACACTTCGGGCACATGGACAACGATTGGTCCCAGAATCTGAAAGGCTGATATCTCGTTTCTGGCTTTCCTCTTAAGGTCTATTGCTCACCAAGTTGTCTAAGTAGCTCAAAGCAAAGTCTTGTAGTACGAATATTTAGAAAAGCCCAGAATAGGATAGACTTTAAGTTCTCAAGCGGCACAGCGTTCGAAAACAAAGCACCTCGATCATGTTCCCAGCAATCTTTTTTTACATAACGCAAATCATATTTTTGGGATGTGGAGAAGGAGGAAAGCTCGAAATAGGGCAACTTTCATGGAGCTAAGACGCGCCCCTGGTGAGTACATCTAGATGTACAAGGTCACATATCCTGGGGTATCTAGAAGTACCTGGGTAAGTCCAGGCTCAATGAACTCCCAAGAATAGAAACCGCAGCACGTGATAGTGCAGGGGCAAGAGTCACGTGTGAGACTAGCTCCAAAATCCCAAACATTTTTGACCATCAGCATCGTCACTGGAACAGCATCTGCATCATCTCCATCTCAACTCTCGACTGTCAATGTGTTACTCAACCATCTTTCTCTCTCATGGATCAACAGTGATAGCAGTTGATCCGTCGCAATGTACCAAGATCCAGCGTCGGGCAGGCAGGGTTGTTGTGCAGTAGCACTGCACTGTCTGCACGCGAATATGAAGACACCAATTGAAACGAATCACGGGCGCGCCGACTTCGCGGAGACGATATTCTTACGAACCTCTCGAGAGAAAGCCCGCACCTCCACCATCACATCATCACCAATCGACGTCTATTTCGAGTTTGTAGGTCGTAGCACCGGTTGAGATCTCACTCTGGTCAACTCCACTCCCGGCGTCTTGCATCATGTTTACAGCGTGGCAAGTGGTAACGGCCTTTGCACAACCCAATCATGCCGTCCGATTCGAATATGCAACCCTGCGGCAGTGTTTTCGCAGACAGATGTCAACCTCGGGTGCGGGTCTGAATCTCTTCCAAGTATCGTCTCGAGTGTTGCAGTGCAGCAGGATTTTCAGCGCCATCACCACCCAGCAGCACCTGTTGCAGCGGCTGAGCCGTCTCTTGCCAGGCTTTCGGGGCGTCTTTGCGGGTGAACTTTCATGTATTAATGTACATGTACATGTACTAAAGCGGGTCATTTCTGTTCTGAGGAGCGGGCCGTTCCAAAGTTTGCCAACAGATACCTGGCCCATGGACCGACTTGTTCCCACGTCGAGCGAACGACTAGGGGTCATTACACAAACGGAAATCCAAACACCGCAAGCGGACATCTGCACATGCTGCAGAACCTCGATGCCTCGACCAGTGTCCGACGACCACGTTACATGTCTCTCTCTATCTTGACGTAGCCGCCATATAATAAGTATTGGTGACGAGCTACTAAACCATGTACAGTACAGTACAGAATGCTTCCGAGCTAATCTTGGCTCCAAAATTCACCTGCACAGTATCGACCGTACTGAAGGACCCAGAAATCGAACGTCTACAGCGGGTATTTCTATTCTTTGTGCTATCTCTGCTCCGCCTTGTGGAAGTCCCACTGCTCATGACCGTCTATCTTCGTCCGAAGAAGTGGGGCAAGAGCTTCTTGAACAGCTCATGGAACCACCGAGGCTTTTGTACTGATCTTTCTTTGCACCTTCTTCTCGTTTCATGATTTGCTCCTTGTCGTCTCCAGGGGATCTACTTCACTCGATGGCATCTGCCGTTTCTTGCTCTCTCAGCCATGAATCCTGCACAAGCTAAAGCTTGTCCGTCTCAGCGGACGTTCTCCTTCATCGGCTAAACCTTATGGCCAAGCTCGACGAATAGCTAGAACTGGTCTACGGTGGAGTATACGTGGACATAAGCCCATTCCCTGATGTCGTCGGTTGGGGGATGTTGACCCTGTGCCCCGCGCTCCAGCTGGAGGGGGCAGATGTTTTTGAGTTTCTGGTGATAAGGGCCTTTTCCTCTCGTTGTTTCCAAGAACATCTTATATTTGCGCTTCAGACGTCATTTTGATATATAAGGAGCCAGAGTGAATGCGAGTTCTCACGCCATATGCTTGACTACTGGACCTCCCGGCTTTGAATTAGACTATTTTTCTTCTCCATCTATTCAGCTAGCTATACTACAAGCACTTCCTAGTTCTATAACCGGCTTCAACCTTATCCTATCAAATGAGTCCGCGAAACGAACCTATTGCTATCGTTGGTACAGGCTGCAGATTCCCCGGCAAGTCGAACACACCAACAAAGCTATGGGAACTCTTACAGAAACCACGTGACCTGTCAACAGAGATTCCGCAGAGCAGATTTAACTCCAGCGGCTTCTACCATCCAGATAGCGCTCATCATGGCACCTCAAACGTCCAAAAGTCATATTTCCTGGATGAAGATGTCCGGCAATTTGACTCAAAGTTTTTCAATATTTCGACAGCTGAAGCCGAGTCTATGGATCCTCAACAACGCATGTTACTCGAAGTTGTCTATGAAGCCATCGAATCCGCAAATCTCTCAATGGATGAGCTGAAAGGCACGCCAACAGCCGTCTACGTTGGACTCATGTGTGATGACTATTCGGGCCTCATTTTTTCAGATATGGAGTCTGTACCCACCTACGGCGCAACAGGAGCAGCGCGAAGTATTCTCTCGAATCGGATATCTTATTTCTTCGACTGGACTGGCCCGTCTTATACGATTGATAGTGCGTGTTCGTCTAGTCTTGTTGCTGTACACCAAGGTGTTCAGGCTTTGAGGAATGGAGATTGCTCGGTTGCGCTGGCTGCTGGCGCTAATCTTATTTTGAGTCCGAGGATGTTCATTGCCGAGAGTAAGCTCAAGATGCTTTCTCCAAATGGGAAATGTCGGATGTGGGTGAGTCGGGCTCTTTCTTTCTGTGCTAGATGGAATCACGAGCTTCATTGTTACTTCACATTTTCCCCATCTCCCAAGTTTCATATAAATGCTCACTCTTCTCCCCACCACTTGTAAGATATTGACTAACCTCAATCTCAAATCTAGGATGCAGATGGAGATGGTTATGCTAGGGGCGAAGGTCTGGCGGCGGTCGTTCTCAAACGTCTAAGCGATGCAATAGCAGATGGCGATCCCATCTCCTGCGTCATCCGAGAAACTCACGTCAACCAAGGCGGTCGCTCTACCGGTCTTACGGTCCCCAATCCAGTCGCTCAAGTAAATCTTATTCGACAGACATACGCAAAAGCAGGCCTCGACTTATCTCGGGCTGAAGATCGTCCACAGTATTTTCAAGCTCATGGTACCGGAACCAAGGTCGGAGATCTGAATGAAGCCACTGCCATTCATAACACGTTTTTTAATCACCCAGAAGAGAGTCAAGATCAAGAGAAATTATATATAGGCAGTATCAAGACTGTCATAGGGCATTCTGAAGGCGCAGCAGGTATTGCCGGGTTGCTTGAAGCGAGTCTTGCTGTTCAGCATAGCGTTATTCCCCCAAATCTCCATTTCGAGAAACTTAATCCAAAATTAAAACCGTTCTACGATGGGTTGGAAGTCCCAACGGTGGGAAGAGAATGGCCAAAAACTAAGAACGGCGTAAGGAGAGCGAGTTGTAATAGTTTTGGTTTTGGTGGGACGAATGCGCATGTGATTCTGGGTGCGTTCACTTGCAAGTTTTGGAACGCGACTGCTAATGAGTTGGATAGAGAGTTATACTGCTGTAAATTTGCCTATTCTTGTTGGTGAGTCATTCTTCCAGACAATCTATCCACATCCAACCGTCTTTCAAGTCACGGATGTCAATCCCCTCCACAAAACATAGAAAAAGGTACACTGACTAAGAGAATGCACGATACAGAAGGCGGCTCAGATGCCGTCCATCTTCCATTCGCATTCTCTGCCGCTTCAGAGCGGTCACTAGCTTCGCTCCTTTCGAATTATTCTCAATACCTTGACGTCAATCCTGACACAGATCTGCATGCTCTGGCATTAATCTTGTTGACTCGACGATCAGCATTCACCCACAAGATAGCTTTCACTGCTCAGACAGCCTCTGGGCTTCGTTCCAAACTCATTACCGAGCTGGAGCGCAAGTCAGCTGGCGCATTCGGAACTGTTGCTTCAAGACCAAGTACAAAGGCGAAACGAATGCTTCTGGTCTTTACAGGTCAAGGTGCTCAGTGGGCAACTATGGGCTCCGAACTCATTTCCACCTCGTCGCTCGCAAGAGAAATATTGAGCCAGCTAGACAGATGCTTAGCTCAACTTCCTGAGGCGTACAGACCGAACTGGTCCCTTGCCTCCGAGCTGGCTGCACCAGCAGCAACTTCTCGGATTAGCGAAGCTGCTATCTCGCAACCGCTCTGTACAGCTATTCAGATCATTCTCGTTGATCACCTGAGAGCGGCAAACATCAATTTCTCAGCTGTAGTAGGTCACTCATCCGGCGAGATCGCCGCAGCGTTCGCAGCTGGTTTCATCTCTGCCCAGTCAGCCATCAAGGTCGCGTACCTCAGAGGCCTATTTGCCAAACTCGCAGGTGCTGGTAAAGCAGGAGCTATGATGGCTGTTGGTATATCGATGTGCGAAGCTCAAGAATTCTGCCAGCTTGAAGCTTCCAAAGGCAGAATTGTTGTTGCTGCTAGCAATTCTTCAAACAGTGTCACATTATCGGGAGACTCGGATGCTATTGATGAAGCGATTGGCTATTTTCATGCGAAGGAGGTGTTTGCTAGGAAGTTGAAGGTTAATACGGCGTATCATTCTCACCATATGATTCCATGCTCGGAACCTTATTCAAAGGCTTTGAAAGACTGCAATATCCAGCTTGAGGCAACAAGAGAAGATACTTGCACGTGGTACTCGAGCGTTCTCCATGGCCAGGTCGTGCAAACCTGCGATGCTTTGACGGGCCAGTACTGGGTAGACAACATGCTACATCCAGTCTTGTTCTCACAAGCTTTGACGACTGCCATGGAAGCTGGCTTCTATGACTTCGTCATCGAAGTTGGTCCCCATCCCGCGCTCAAAGGTCCAGCTTCACAAACTTTGCAAGAAGTCTCGGGGTCAAAGAAAAGCATTCCCTACACAGGCCTTCTCGCTAGAGGAAGCAACGCCATTCAGACTTTCTCCGCCGCTCTCGGTCTCCTCTGGATGCACTTCGGAATCAAGTCTTTCTCTGCAACTTCTTATTCCCAACTTTTCAACCCAGCCACAAATCACAAACCATTAACAAACCTCCCAACCTACCCATGGGATCACGACCGTCCTCTTTGGTACGAATCTCGCATTTCCAGATTGACACGTTCTCGCTCCTCATCCCCGCACCCCCTGCTGGGAATACCAAGCACAGACCAAGCAGAAGGCGAACATAAATGGCGGAATTACTTACGTCTGAACGAACTTCCTTGGCTTAGCGGGCATAAAATTCAAGGCCAGATTATTTTCCCTGCTGCAGGGTATGTGGTCATGGCTCTCGAGGCTGCGAACATTATTGCTTCTGAGGCGGGAGAGAGTTCCGGTCTGGAGATGGTTGAGATTAAGGATCTCACCATCGGGAAGGCGGTTGCGGTTGAAGATGACGGGAGTGGAGTGGAGATCATGTTTTCTGTGAAGACGACGATTGCTGGGAACCTAGAGTTTAGCTGTCATGCTTGCTTGAGCAGGGACACTGGTTCTTTGGTCCTTGCTGCTTCTGGAAGACTGGTCCTTCGCTACGGAGAGGCTTCAGCGACTAGCTTGCCAAGGAGAGAGGAGAGGGTCATCAATGATCTAAGGAGCGTGGATATTGATGCGTTTTACGAATCTCTTGCCGAGATGGGATATGGATACACTGGCCCATTCCGAAGTATCACTTCTTTGCAACAAAAGTTGGAATTTTCTACTGGGATTATCAGCAACGAAAACCTTGAGCAACAAGAAGATCAAATGATGATGCATCCGGGTACGATTGATACTGCGATCCAGACGCTGTTTGCTTGTATGGGAACTCCTGGTGACGGAAGTCTCTGGTCCATGCACGTTCCTGTTCTCATCAGGAACATTCGAATCAATCCTCCACTCTGCGAAAGCAAGGATCTACTGTTCGACGCTGCGCTGGCCGATAGCCAGAACAGTAATCTCTGCGGAGACGTCACGCTTTATGACCGTGAGAGCAAGAACACTCTGATGCAAATCGAAGGAGTTGAAGTCAAGCCTTTGATGGCTGCTACTCCAGCTGATGACCGACATCTATTCCATGAGCTCGTTTGGGGAACCGCTGAACCTGATGCGTCGTTGGTTTATAGAAAGACTCCATTCTCACCTGCTGAGATTAGGAAAACGGAAGTGTTGGAGATGATGTGTCTTTTCTATCTGAAGCAACTGGACGAGGCCATCGGAGGTGAAGAGCGGGAAAACTGCAGTTGGCATGCAAAGAGAATCCTGGATTTTGCATCACATGTCCTGAGCGAAACAAAAGAAGGGAGACACAAGTCCTGTATGGTCGAATGGCTGGAACATACATGGAACGACATCGCCGCTGTTGGTGATAAATACGCAGCCGATGTTGATTGCAGACTGATTCACGTCGTCGGCACGAAACTCATCCCTTTCGTCAGGGGCGAAACCTCAATATTGGACCACATGATGGAAGATGGCCTCCTCAATAGCTACTATCAAAATTCCGAGCTTCTGGAGTACAACGAATACGCAGGACTAATCGCAGCTCAAATTGCGTTCCGCTATCCTCTCGTCAAAGTTTTGGAAATTGGCGGCGGCACTGGAGGCGCGACAAGAGCGATTTTGAAGCATCTGGACAATAAATACTCGTCGTATACGTTCACAGATATCTCCATTTCGTTCTTTGAGCAAGCTCAGGAGACATTTAGAGACAATGGTCGAATTTTGTATGAGTCGCTAGATATCGAGCAGGATCCTACTACGCAGGGCTTCAGGGAGCATTCCTATGATCTCGTCATTGCATCCAACGTCTTACATGCAACCAAAGTCCTCGACCAGACAATGACCAATGTCCGTAAGCTGCTAAAACTAGGAGGAAAGCTACTTGTTCTTGAAGCTATTGACAATGGAGCAATACGAGTTGGGTTCAGCTTCTGCGGAGTCCCAGGATGGTGGGCAGGTACTGATGATGGAAGGAGTCTCTCTCCTTTGATCACACCTACTCAATGGAACGAGCTGCTTCTTCGAAACGGGTTTTCGGGATTGGATACCATTACTCCCGGAACAGACTCTCAGCATCAGCCTGTTGCTGTATTTGTCTCGTCTGCCGTCGATGAGCATATCTCTCTGCTTCAGAAACCACTCGCTCTTTCATTGCCAATCCCAAAACCACAGCTCGAAATTGTATTCTTGATCGGTGGCAAGACGGAATTCACCAAGAAACTAATTCAGGCACTGAAGACTATCCTCGAAGAATGGAGCACTGATATCCAGATCTTCTCTTGCATCGAAGATCTCCTGGCCCTTGAACCAACTTCACTAGTCCACGTCCTGAATCTCTCCGAACTCGACAATCCAATCTTCCAAAATCTCACCTCTCCTCGTCTTGAAGCCTTCAAATCCCTCCTCAACACCTCCAAATCCTTCCTTTGGATTACAAGCGGTGCTCGATCCTCATCTCCTTACTCAAGCATGGCACTTGGTATTGGACGAACCCTCGTGCACGAAATGCCACATCTTCGCTTACAAGTCCTCGATGCTTCCGAACCAGAAAAATTGAGCGCAAAGTTGGTAGCTGAGGCATTCTTGAGGATTGTGCTTGTGGATAGTTGGGAGAATGATATTTATGCGCCGAAGAGGTTGTGGTCGAATGAGCCAGAGCTTTGGATTGAGGGAGGCAAGACGCTGGTTACGAGGGTCGTGGCAGAGAAGGGCGCAAACAGGAGACTTATGGCCGAACGAAGAGTTGTTGAGGAGGAAGTCGATCTTGATCAGGTGGCCGTGGATGTTGTTGCTGGCGGTGAGGGGTATGAGTTGGTGAAGAGAGTGGATAATGATATGCCAGAGTTGAGCCCGGACTTGGTTGAGATCAAAGTCACGCATTCTACATCACTGGCTGTCAAGGTTGCAGGTGCAGGATATCTCTATTTGATCATTGGTGAGGCCAGCACATTTGGTGGGAGAGTCGTCGCTGTGTCAAAGGCTCTGGGGTCCACGGTCGTGACTCCCATTTCCTGGACGATACCTTGGAATATTCAGCTTGGAGAAGAAGCAACTTTGCTTTCAGCCATTGCTTCAGATATTCTTGCTCAAAGCCTAATGGAAACTCTTCCAGCCAAAGGCACCTTGCTACTTCTTGAGCCGGAGGACTTCCTCGCTACTGCGATCTCAAAACGAGCAAGATTCATGGAAGTGAAATCTTGCTTCATCACCGCAAAGGAGCAGCCCTGCTCCAAGAATTGGATTTATGCGCATCCTTTCTCTACTGACAGAGAGCTTGCATCCAAGTTGCCAAAAGATACATCTGCTTTCTTTGACTTCTCGATGAAGGATCATGAGTTTGCTCATCGCATCAAGTCAATGCTCCCAAATCATTGCGTTAAGGCAGATTCCACGATGCTGTTCAGTAAAGTCCCTTACTTTGCTCAAAATGCAACCTCTAGACAAGTCGCAGATACCTTGAGTATTGCTCTTACTAGCTCACTCTCTGAACTTCATTGCTCGAGGGGTCAAATCTTGTCAAAGGTTCTATCTGCTCGAGAGATCTCCCGTCTGTCGACTCAAGATGAAGGTATCAGAACCATCGACTGGACTGCTTGTCCAATGCTTCCAGTTCGTATCCAATCTGCACGATCATCGATGACATTCAGATCCGATAGGACTTACCTCCTTGTCGGTCTGTCTGGCAATCTCGGCAGATCATTGTGCGAATGGATGATTATTCATGGAGCAAAGCATATCGTCTTGACTAGTCGCAAACCACAGATCGAGCAGAACTGGCTCGACGAGATGCAAGAACTTGGCGGGAACGTCAAGATAATGGCTATGGATGTTTCTGACCGCGACTCTCTCCTCGCTACCTACAAAGAGATCGGCAGCACACTCCCACCCATAGCCGGAGTTGCCAACGCTGCCATGGTCCTGAACGACACCCTTCTTACCAACATGACGTTCTCTGACATGGAATATGTTCTCAAGCCCAAAGTCGACGGGTCACGTTTCCTAGATGAGCTCTTCCCAAACAACGATCTTGATTTCTTCATCCTGTTCGGCTCGTCGGTCGATGTGATGGGTAATTCGGGACAAGCGGCATACTGCGCAGCCAATATGTTCATGAACAGTCTCGTTGCCTCTCGTCGCAAGCGCGGCCTTGCAGGCTCTCTCATTGGTCTAGGAGAAGTGAAGGGAGTCGGATACGCGGCTAGATTAAATCGCAAACTGAACGACATTATCGGAGCTACGTTACCTCTTTCTGAGAAAGAGGTCCATCATATCTTCGCTGAAGGAGTGTTGAGTGGTCGACCTGATAGTGGGAGGAACACGGCTTTGTACGCAGGCATGAATTCCAAGGATCCGAAGCAGGATCCTGATATTCTTTGGTATCCGCATCCGAAGTTTTGGCATTATATTGAGAGTGGAGATGGAGCTGCGGTTTTGGATACCGATGATGCGGTTGTGAATTTGAAGACGAGACTCGCAGAGGCGAAGAAGGTGGAGGATGTCTTAAGCATTGTTACTGGTATGTTCCTCTTTCCACTCCCCGGAATATCTACTTACTGACTTGACAACAGATGGCTTCACAATGAAGCTCAAGCACAAACTACAGATGTCATCTGAGACAACTGTGTCCCCTGACACCGTACTCCAGGAACTAGGCATCGATTCCTTAGTCGCGGTTGACCTGCGAGCTTGGTTTGTTACGGAATTGGGCATCGATATGCCGATTCTCAAGCTCCTCGGAGGATCAACGATCATTGATCTGGTTACCAATGCCGTTGGTCGTCTTCCTGCAGCTTTGCTCCCGTCGGTTCCCGCAGAGGTAGCAAGCGACCTTGCGTCCAAGGAGAACGTTTTAGTTCCGAATGGACTCGGCGGTCTTGATCTCATTGCTTCTGCTCCAGTTCCCGCTCCTGCACCTGCGCCTGCCACTTCTCCCGCTCCCATCGTAGAATCGCCACCGGAGCCCATAGTCGAAGAAAAACCATTCACGAGGAGCCATTCCAGGAACATATCAGATGCGTCCTCGACTGCCGAATCACAAAACCCCGGACTACACTTCTCATCAATTTACTCTCGCGACTCATCATACGCCTCTCTCGTAGATCACAACGATATGGCCGAGAAACTCAAACACCGTCTTGAGACCACAAATTCAGACTTTGAAAACTCGAGCAGTGAAGGCGATGGCAGTCCTGTTTCCCCATCCGGTGACAGCTCGGATGAGATGGAGAAGGTTGGTACGCCTGAATCCGATGAATTTCTGGACATCTGTCAAGATGGAGCAGAGGAGGAGATCGATTTGAAGATGCTGAACCAAGGATGCGGTTTTCTTTGAGCCTTCTACAAACTTGTTCGAAATTGAGTTGTTACTAGTGTACTGGGAAATCAGCATAGCTTTCTCTATTTCTGATCTCGTATGTTCGTCATGGATTGTACTTGGTCATAGAGCCGGATGCTTCAGTGCTTTTATGGGTGGTATGCCTGGCGTTTTGCTTTTGTGATGCTGGTTATTCTAGGTTTTGCATTTTCGGGATAGGGTCTGCGTTTACAATTGGATCTTAATGAATAATGAACTATGCCAATGAATAAAAGGATGACTCGCTCTCGCATACAGAAATGTTAGACGTGCCGCTGTCGAACTAGATGCTGACACCCCGTCAGCTTGCTATTAGCCTATAATAGCTGTCTGCAAGAAAGATGGCTGCCCATCATCTTGGGTCGGTCTGATTAGTGGCACAGACCTTGTTGATTAATCACATTATTCTTCCCAGTCAAAGTATTTAAATATCTTCCATCCTTCCATCCCCGCTCTTCAATAAAATGGCAGCCAAAAGCACGCATGTTTTCAAAACAATCGGAACTCTCTCCCTACACCTTGACATCTATACCCGCACATTACCTCCAGCAAACGACGTATTCACACCAGAAACACCAGTGATCCTCTTCTTCCACGGAGGAGGCGTCGTATCACATGATCGTCGACTCCTACTCCCACATATCGTTCAATCCTCTCTCCTTCGAGGCTGGCCACTAGTGAGCGCAGATTACAGACTTCTGCCTCAGACCAAAGGTATCGATATCCTGGAAGATATCAAAGATGCGTATACTTTCGTTAGAACGAAACTCTTCAGCATTCTCCATGGGTCTTCAGACAGCAACGAAAATGTAATCAAGAACGTGATTGTCGCTGGATGTAGTGCCGGTAATTGCTTGGCCTCTTTAATCATAAAAACATAGATCTAATGATGGAGAATAGGAGCATATGCGACTTACCAAGCAGGCCACCATTTCCAACCACGTCCCATTGCACTGCTCGCCTATTATGGCAACGCTACAGTCGATGATCCTTGGTTTCGTAGCAATAAAGTGCTCACAGAGAAACCTCTACTACAATCACAAATCCAACATTTCCTCGATGAGCCAGAGAATTGCGGCTACACGACGCCAGCTCACCAATTCGATCGTTCTTGCCTCTTGCAGGATTTAAATCCCAGTCCTGATTGGAAGAAACCAGAAGAGGCCGTGGAAGATAAAGAGAGGCTGCCAAGAGATACGCTTTATTTCTGGCTCTTGCAGAATAATCTTTATCCGGAATTGATGAAAGGATTTGATAAAAGCTTGAGTGATGAGGAAGCGTGGAAGGGGTATACGAGGACGGTTATTGTGCATGGTGATGAGGATGATATGGTGCCTTATCAGGCCAGTGTTGATGTCGCGAGTGTTATTGGTGAGCTGAAATTTGAATTTGAAGAAATTGAGAGCTGATGAAAGTAGGTCCTGTGACTGTGAAGCTGTTTACGGTGAAGGGGAAGAAACATGCTTTTGATAGTGGGTTGTATTTGGGGGATCCTGACCTTGAGCTTGTGGAGGAGGCTTGGAGAGCTTTAGATGAGATCGTTCGCGAGTTGAGGTAGGTGGTTGTTTCAAGAATACCGAGTGGTATGATGTGCGACTCATGCATAGCGTCTACACTGAAGGTTAGGAAATATTGAAAGCAGACAGCTGCGCAGTACTTCTGATTTGACCACTTGATCACACCTAAGGAGCTACCGCGTGAACCGTATCGCTCTGAAGCTAAACCAAATTTACCTAGCATGGACTATATTCTGAATATTTCTCAAAGTACTCGCCCGTCACTTCAACCCAACCGCACCACAAACAAAACTAGGCAATCAACAGGCTAGCGATTATTTCATGTATAAGCGCATGTATTTCAGTCCTTGTCTGCAAGATCTTCATCCGCGCCATAACTGATTAGCAGAGTGGCCAGCTTAGGCCATTTTCCCCGTAATGCCCCGTGCAAGGCTGTACGACCTGTACTATCTGCTTTGTTGATAGAGGCTTTGTGTTCCATAAGGATTGGAATAATTCCCAGGCACGTGGCATGATGAAGCGGCGTCTGGCCAAGGCTATCTCTGCTATCAACCTCGCCGCCGTGCTTTAGGAGTAAGCTACATATAGCTAGATAGCCTTCTTCCGCTGCTTCATGTATGGGTAGTCGATTCAAAAAGCCAGACCTCACGTTCTGAGACGCGCCTCTCACTAGCAGTGTTGCCAAAGCCTGGGGCTGGTTTTCGGATACTGCCTTTAATAACGGCGTTTTACCGGATTTCCCTTCTTGTATTTCGATGTCCGCACCAGCATCTAGTAATGCCTCGATCAGTTCCACATTCCCTTCTGCAACAGCGTAATGTAGTGGAGCCCAGCCGTATTCATTGATGTCATCGATTCCATCTGTTGCGCCAGACTTCAGCAACTTGAGGAGAATTGGCGTATGCTTCTGGTTGAGAGCATGTTGTAGAGGAGTGCGGCCAGCTTTACTGTCTGCTTTTAAGTTTGCGCCACGTTGGATTAAGATAAGAACACATGGTAAATGTCCTCCTGAACAAGCAAGCGAAAGTGGTGTGCTGGACACGTAAATTGGGCTATCTACGGGAGCTCCTCCCTCGAGTAAAGCATGAAGAACATCTTTGCTTCCATGCCGGGCTGCTGTTTGGATCGGTGTCTCCTCAAGAGACGTGGTCCTATAGTTTGGGTCCGCGCCTAACCTCAAGAGGGTCTCGGCACTGGACAGAGAATTGGACATTGCAGTATACTGTAATGCTGTCCAGCCACGGTCCCCAAATGATGGTAGGCGATCCAGAGACGAAGCATTCAAATCGGCTCCGTTCTCGGCAAGAAGTTCAATCAGGTCAGGTTGGTCAATACGGGCTGCGATTAGGACTAGAGGATCTTCTGAAGAATCTAGGATACGAATATTAGCACCGTGCTTGAGGAGTACTTTTACTACCAAGACATGACTAGCATACATTGCTTCGTGTAGAGGTGTTCGTTGGTTGGAAGTATTCTGCAGATTGACAATTGCGCCCTGCTTGATGATCTCATCGACCGCGGCATGGTCTCCATTCCTGGCAGCCCAATGCAATGCAGAGTTTCCTTCGTCATCAGTAAGCTTGATGTCGGTTCCATGATTGATCAACCGTAGCATAATGGCTATATGGCCATTCGCCGCTGCATACATGAAGGGTGATCGACCCCTTTTATCTGCATGGTTTGCCATAGCACCGTGAGCTAGTAGCAGCCTCGCCATGAGGTCGTGACCTGCTATCGAGGCATGAATCAAGGCAGTCATCCCGTTGTATTGATGATTAACGTCTTGTGAACTGGCAGCCCAATTCGCACCCGATTTAAGGAGGATTGCTGCAATATCCTGGTCGCCTGTCGCTGCTGCGTATGCAAGAGGCGTCAGATACCCGGAATTGGCCCAGAACCCATTGTAAACACAATTGAGATCAATTCCGAAGGAGTTGAATCCAGGTAGAGCATCACACACGGCTTTGACATCTCTCTTGATAATCGCGTGATATAGCATCTTGGAGAGAGCTCCTTGCAGTTTTTCTTTTACCCTGTTGACATCTTCCTTTTCTCTGTTAGCAACTCGAAGGGCCTCGCGTAGCTTTTCATCATTAGCGTTGCTATTCTGTGTTGTTTCTGCTAACGGGCTAATCCTTCGACGTCGCGCACTGCCTCGCAGCTCGGAAGGCAAAGCAAGTTGACTTGAAGATGCTATAGATTCATGTCCACCGGCATTATTGGCCCTCTTGTCAGTCAAAACAGTGACTATGGACTGTGAGGATGAAATAATATGCGAGCCATCACTAGCAATTGCTAACGGCGTCTTCCGTACGGAGGGGTCTCTTTCGTCGGGCTGCGTCGATGCGTGTTCAGATATGCCATCAAACCGAATACTCGCTGACACGTGTGTGACATTTTCTTCAATCAGGAGCGACGCTTTGATCTTCTGATACGGCCTCGAAGACGAGAGTTCAATCTGAAATGGCGCGTCTGGTGTTGCCAAGCTGAAGATTGATTCAAGATCATCGCCCCGGCTTTTATCTTGAAGTTGACCTCGCAAAGCTCTCGCACCTGATGCGTGGCGTCGAAGCTCGGAGAGATCCTGTGCGCGTTCTTGCATTTGTAGCTCTAGATTATCAACGTTCTCCCTGTCAAATGTCAGCGCTGTACTACAAGTTTGGAAATTAGCTATGTAAGGAGACAGCCAAGCTTACGATTGTAGGATGTCAATAAGATGATGAATTGAGGAACACTGATCGCGAATCTGTTGTCCTAGTTGACTTGACAGCGCCTCATCCCACAGGTACTTTGCCTCGTTGAGAAGGCCATTGACACTCTCACGAGCACTCAACTCCCCATCCAGAATTGAAAGCGTAGAGGCAACACCGAGTATAGCCGTTTCAAACGAAGCCGTAAGCTCCTCGCTTGAACTTGCAACTGATGACAAAAGGTCTAGGCGGCTGGGCAGTATATTTTGTAGAGAGGACAGGGCTAATGACGTGGTGATACATTCTGTAGACAAGGCTATGATAGAGCGATTGGCTATTTCGTCGCGAGCATGTAAATTATTGAGTCCTTGGGCAAGTCTTAAACAAGTTGAGAGTAGAGACCCGACGCGCGTTAGGATCGATTGTGGTTCACTCATTCTGAACTTGGATGCAGGTGGCTATCGAGGTTGAGGAGGTTACAACAGTGGTTTTATGCTGGTGAGACATGTGAGGCTAATGTCGGCCCATCCAATAAGCCCTCTTTACGCCACGCGGTGGCGCGCACGTCAACTTTAGCGAGCAGCAACCATGTGAAAGTTTTATAGAAGTTGCGTATCCTCTTGTCTTACTCATCTTTGCTATTCGATCAGCTTCTGCATATTTAAAAGCTTTATCGCAATTAAAAAGCTAAATTTCCAAACAGAATTCTACGAACCATGAACGGTATCTGAAGTGAAGGTCAGAAGAGCTTGAACGGATATCAAACGCTCGGTATATTCGACTTCACCGTTTGCTTGGAATTTAACCAAACAATCCCGGCATACAATGTTACATTAAGAGCAGAAAAGTCGCTCTGCGTCATTATACCATACACAGTATCGAATGCCTTGTCCGACCTCTCAGGATTGGGGCAGTAGAAGACGCTGATCATGCAAGGCTAGGTAATCAACAAGCTTGCGGTTACCTCGTATAGCAGCGATTTCCAATGGCGTATTTCCATTCTTGTCTACACACTTTACATCCACCCCATGACCAATTAGTAAAGTAGCCAGCTCTGATCTGTCTTCCCATAATGCCCATTGCAAAGCCGTGCGACGCGTCAGGCCATAATTGCCATAATTTCTGTAGTAATTGAGATCCCCTCTGCAAGCTGTACCATAACGTAACAACGCGAGAACAATATGTTCGTGTTTTTCATTTGACGCCAGATGCAAGGGCTTGAAGCCAGATTTGTTTTCTGCATTCATGTCTGCCCCTCGCCCGATCAGCGTCGTCGCACAGCTCAGATGGCCTCTGGAGCAAGCAATGGATAATGGGGTATTGCCGTCTTTGTCTCTGACGTCGACGGATATCCCATGTTCAAGTAGGAGTTCGAGGACACCTCTATTTCCATACCAGGCAGCTGTGTGCAGTGGGCTTATTTCGAGGGCTGTGGGACTAACTCTTGCCCCCAATTTCAAGAGCGTCTGAGCACTCCTCTTGCAATCACACATTGCTGCATAATTCAGAGGCCTCCACAACGGCGGATCGTTTGTATAATTATTCAAGTCGGCTCCATTTTTATCAAGAAGCTCGATGAGCTCCCACTGATCTGTTTGAGCAGCGATGGCCATAGGATCTTTCTTCGATGAGTCCAAGAGATTAATTCTCGCATCACGATCTAACAGTGTTTTAGCCACTGGGAGGTTACGTGCATATACTGCTTCGTGCAAAGGCGTACGGTGCGATGTGTTCTGTAGGTCAATATCTGCACCGGCATCAAGAATCACATCTACGATCGCACTCTCACAACCATTGATTATGACACAATGTAGTGCAGAGTCACCTTGAGCATATGTGGCGTTAACATCAGCTCCATGGCTGACCAACATCTCAACGACGTCAAGATGACTGGAGCCCACGCTGATACGATCCCACTCATGCTTCGACTTGGAGTAATTCACGAGGGCATCCCGAACGGATGCTAAATCGCCTCTCACAATAGCCCTATGTAACACAATCGCCCTTCTTTCTGCGACTTGCTTTTCCTTCGGAGCGACGGCATCATGCTCAGTTTCGGTCGAGGCTGCGACCTTCCCAGTAGCAATGACATGTCTTAACGCCACGTTGCGACTTTTGTTTGCGGCGCTAGGCATTTGTGGCAAGCTAGAACTTCCATTCGAAGGGGTGTAGGCATCTCGATTGTAGTCGTCGTAGTTGTTAGAAGGAGCACCGGGAGTTCCATATTCCTTGCCCATGCCAATAGTCTTCAACGAGAATGAGGCTGGAAGTAAAGAAAATCTTCTTGGTTTATCTTGAAAGGATCCAGCCAGCCTATCCTTTCGTTCTGACGGTGCAGCCTGAGAGCTTGAGGCTATGGAGTGTGACATTATGTCGTTGGGGTTTGACTTGAGTCTTAACTCTGAAGATGCTTTTGAAGCATGTTGCGCTTCGGCATTTGTGCTGTTCAAGGACGGAGATACCGGAGGCATGCTTCGCTGAATACCTTCTTCTTCTTTAACCACTGCAAGATCTTTGATCCTTTGGTAAGGCCCGGCAGTCATAAGTTCAACTTGGAACGGGACTTCAGCGGACTCAAGACTGAAGATTGATTCTAAGTCGTCATCTCTGCTCTCGGCTTGTAATTTCTGTTGAATCCTCCATTTTCGCAATCGCTGAGCCTCAGATGCGTGCCGACGGAGACTGGATAAAACGGCGGACTGTTCTTGTATTTGAAGCTGCAAATTAGAAGTTTTTTCCCTACTAAAGTAAGTTACAGAATTTGGACAGTATATCTCTTCAAAATCCTTCAGCAGACTAAATCAGATCGCTTGAGATATCTTGAGCAGTGATGAAACAGTGGTATATCAAGCGAAAAAGAACTCATAGCTGCAAAAGCTCAACAAGAGCACTGATCGACGACCTCTGGTCGCGAATTTGCTGGGCAAGTTCTTTGACCAAAGCTTCGTCCCACACGTACTTAGCTCTGTTCAAGAACGTGAATCTAGTACTTGTACCAACGGCTCCGCACTTTTCTAATTCGCTCTCAAGTATGGACAATGTTGAAGCAATTCCCACGACGGCCGTCCCAAAGCAAGTCACAAGCTCGCGTCTTGAATTTGCAGCCGAGGAGAACACGTCTATTCGATTGTGCAGCATTGCTTGCAATGACGATAGCATAGTATAGGTAGCGATGCATTCTGTAGACAAGGCTGTAATTTTAAGGCTAGCGATCTTGTAGCGCCCATGCAAGTCATTCAGATCTCGAGAGAGCCTTAAGCAGACTGAGAGTAGCTTGGCGACGCCGGTTATTATGGTCAATGGCTCACACATGGTGAAAATTGCAAGATTCGGGTAGTTATTGAGTTTGAGGAGTTTGCGCGTCGTCGAGATGACGAGACATTCATCCGAGACGTTGCCATCCCGATATGAAGCGAGGCCAATATTGGCACGTTCAGCAAGCCTCATTGACGCCACTCGATGACGAGGCGCATATCAACTTTAGCGAGCAGCAACGATGTACAAAGTTGAACTGATTTTTAAAAGAGAATTGGCAATCCCCCTAGACTAACCCCTAGCCGTCTAACCCTACTAAAGTACTTTAAAATTACTTTAAGAATACTTATAAGTCGGGTAAATAATTTAGCGACACTGACCCACGTAAGATCTTACCACTGAGCTCGGGGGGATGTCCGCCCGAGCTGCCTCCCGATTGGCAATTGAGGGACTTGACAAGACCCCTTCTTTGTTTTATAATGTGTAACCATGTTCATTTGCATTGAAACAATACCTTCACCTTGCAGCACTTCTTTATCATTGCCAGCCTTGTGTAAAAACTCACCTATCGATCGAGCGTCAACTTAGATAGACTTCGTATAGTGGCCACTAAGCAAACAATATAAACTTAAAAATCTCAACCAATCCAAAATGATAGGTAGAGCTTATGAAAGAGTGAAAAGTAACACAGTGCTACTTGGCTATGATCATATCTAAAAAGATGCACGGAAAGGTATTAACGAACTTGTAAGACTTGCGCTATGTCCACTGTGCAATACGCCAAACCTCAAACATGCTATCCACAAGCCCATTCAAACGCCGAAAATGCCTAACCCAAACACCTAACTCCTCTTTGCTTCCCATAAATCAAACCCCACCCAGCACCTCCTCAACAACAACCCCCAGCATCCTCAACCCATACGCCCTCGCAACCCTGTCAAAGACCCTCAATCGTCTCATCATCTCCTCTCTCCTCACAACCTCCACCCACGCCCCACTACAAGCACAATGCTCCATAAAATCATTAACCCGCAATGTCCCACACTTCCCACACTTAAGATCCTGTCCCGTCCACTCCGCCACCAATCCATACACCATCCCAATCATCCTCTCCTCGATCTGCATCCTATTATACTCGCCGTCGCAGAATGAGCACTTCCACGGGCGGGTTTCAGAAGGATTCGTCGGGTCCGGAATCAAGTCTTCGTCGCGGCAGAAATCAAGATCGCGAGCCATGGTGCAGTTATCGCAAATCACTTGCTGGAGCTTGAGACTTTCAGAGGGATTCTCGAAGCGGGCTTCGTTGGAGAATTCGCGGACTTCGAAGAGGGCCAGGAGTTCTTTGCGGAGGAGGCGGGCTTCCATTGTGATATTTTTGTCGAGACTGAGGACTTGCATGAGGCTCTTGACTAGCTGCATGGCGGGGTTTGAGAGCTTGAGATGCGAGCCGGGGAGGATGGGGAAGGAGTAGTCGGATGCTAGTTCGGGGTGGAGCATCTCGTCTTTCTGGCGGCGGATGAGTCCTGCGATCTGGCGTTTCAGAGGTTTCTCGAATTCTTTTCCAAGAATGATCTTGTCCTCTTTTTCATCTTGGGTCGAGGCAAGAGCGGAAACAGGAAGTTGAGTTGGGCGTGGAGTGGAGTCTGGAAGAGTGCGTGGTCGTTTAAGTTTATGCATGATTTCGACGAACTCGACTACCCAGTCATGGAAGATTGGTTGTAGTGGTGAAGGGAGGAATTTGCTGAGCTGCCAGTGCATGATGCAGTCCAACGTTTGGTTTTCAGCCTCGACGACTTCTGAGCAGGCCTTCCCACCATAGTTGAATTCATCATACCAGACGAGGTAGTCCCAGTATTCCTTGATCTCCAAGTCCAGGAAGTGGAACAATGGCTTGGCTTTGATTGACTTCAGAATATACTGACTGTATGCAAACGCATTCCCAACCTCAGACTTCGTAGTCTGAAGCAAAAGTCGATTTGCATTGGCAAACACGACATGAGAGCCAACACGTCTGAAATCTGTCATCAGCTGCTGGAATGCTTTTCTCGACATCATCTGCACGTAGTAATGCAGGGAACGGTCATAAAGGAAAGAATCGGGATTCTCAACCCATCGGACAAGATGCTGGACCATGATGTCAGCCATATTGCTTCCTTTGCACGCTTCAGTCCACCATGCTTTGACCATTTCTCGCATGACAGTGATGCCAGCATTGGCGAATGCATTGTCCGAATACAAGACATTTGTCCCGTCGCTGGGAGCGTCGTCTTGCGGTGCAGCTGGGTTGAAGGCAATCGAGTCACTCCCTTCAAGCTCGTTGATCAGCGACGAAGTCAGTATCGTATTGATGGCCAGATTCCGAACATCAATCTCAATGCAAACTGATGGGTAAGTTCCTGGATTGTTGACTGACGGCATCTGCACAGTTTCGAGAGGTCCCAGAACGTCATCTTGCTCATAGCCGGCATGATCAGGTCGAGGGCTTCCAGACCACCAAAGTACAACATTGTTCTTCTGTAGCCGCCTGGCATATGCAATGTCAATCAAATATCGCGGATCGTCTCGCTCGAGATTGCAGAGAGGAACATCACCATATCTCGCCAGCTCTGTCAGATGCAAAATCCAAGACCCAAGACTGAGATAATGGTTCACAAGTCTCTTGGCGATAAAAGATTGCCAGCCAAGAGGAGGAAGATGGGTATCTGTGGTTTCGAATTTCAGTGGCATGACTGGGAATTCGCTCAGGATGGGAACATCATGAACAAGCACTCGTCGTTGTGGAGATTGGATGACCAGCATCAATGGCTTCGATTCGTCGTTTCGCATCTTCTTGACAAGATCTCCGATTTCAAGAAGAGCTTTCCGTCTGGTGGTCACTTGATTGACCTTGAATTGCATCTTTTCTTGGTATTGAAAGCAATTTTGCCATTCTTCACCATTGGCCTCCTGTTCTCGTCGAGAAATCGCCTCAGTGTATATCTTGCCAATATTAGGTAGGTCCTGAGCTGAATCTTTATTCTTCTGCAAGATCACCACATGCGCTAGTTCCTTCGCTGTAGAAAAAAGAGCGAAGACTTGTCTGTCACCAGCCACAACATGGTACAAGTACAAATATGCCATGGGTGATTGCGCAAGGTACGGATTCTTCGCTGTCGCTCGACGGAGGCCAGAAAGATCAAAGCCAGACTCCAAACCCTTGCCAAGCACACCAGGTTGAGTCTCGTCGAAGGTGCAAAGACTACCTAGTTGAAGTACTGCCCGAACATTCAGTGGTACTTGCTTCTCGTATACACCTTCCACACTAGGATGGTTGAACAGCAATGACAATTTCTGAGCATCATTGACATAGACACTCTCCGGCATCGTAAGCTTGAATAGGTGTACAGATGGATGTCCGTTGGGTAGGGTATGGGTGACTTTCTGGGCATCGCAGCCTTCCACTTCAATATCGGGTAGCTCTTTGCCCTTCAGATTCAGGAAAACTTGGCGCGGAACATTGACCTTCAGTTGATGGATCTTGGAGTCAATCAAGACAAACGCAAGCACCACACCTGGACTTGTTGTTCCTCTGAGCTGCAAAACTTGCCAGGTGCTTTTGTAGGTGATTTCTACTTGATTTCGGAAAGTCGCTCCAATGTTACTCTGAGCACCAGGTCGTGTCTCACCGAAGAGATGCTTTCGTCGGACGCGAGCTGCCTTTTGGATTTTCCATTTCTGTTTTTGATACTCAAGAAAGGCTCTGTAGTCCTTGGTAGGATCTGGCATCTTCTCTGGCAGGGCAGCGAATGGATTGGTGTTGACTGCAACGGCTGGTTCGGGAGACTTTCTCTTCTGGGCTTTTTGTGATGCCTGAGAAAGAGCAGTACCGATAGCCTTGGGCTTCAAGAGCTTGACACCAAAGTCCTCCATATCCTGGGAGCGCGGGTCTTGAAGATTGGTGATCTCTTCCAACGGGGCAGTTTTGAACAAGTCCGTCATCTTCTTCTGCTTCATTTTGTCGTCCTTGACATTGATTCTCCGCTGAAGCCAATCTGGATGCGGCACTCTTGGGACGGGATTTCTGACCTTCTGCAGTGCAGCAGGGATCGTAATCAACTTCTGAATGACCGAACCCAAACGCTCTCGGTAGTAATCCCAGTCCAGCAAAGCTCTTGGATCCATGTTCGTGGGATCCTCCTTCAGCCATTTCCGCAAGAAGTGTCTCTTCACTGATGTCTCAGCAGAGAAAATAGCAACTGGAATGGCTCGTTCCGTGACAGGAGCATTCTTGGGCCTCGAGCAAATGATATACTTGCAATTCAAACCTTTGTCCTTCACCATCTGCTCGCCTAAGAAATCAGCCAGTCGCTTGGCTGTTGTGATCGAAGTCGATTTCTGTGCTCCATATTCCTCGAGAGTTTTGGACATGCTCCTATTTTCGCAAATGAGATCAATAAGCTCTTCATCGGCAAGGGTCTCTCCCTTCGAGTCAAGGACATCCAGCCACTGGTTTGCGACTTTCGCTACAGCGCCGTAGGTTTCTGCGAGTGTTGTACCTTCCAAGAAGAATTTGAAAATCTGCTGTTGGAAGATTTTGATGAGTTTCAGCTCTCCTCTTCGCTTGACCTCGAACCCTTTCAATTCCGCAAGGCTGCCATCATCGTTGAAGACAGCATAACGCTTCTTCAAATTCTTGTCTTCTTCTTTCGAGGTAGGTAGAATCATAGCTCGATACGGTCCATCGACTTCGAAAAAGATTGAATTGTCACTGTGAGTCTCGTACCTGAATGTCTTTGGATCCTTGAGGGTTTGGTATTGGTCGTTGGTGAACTTTGCGTGAACCAAATGGTTCAACATGACGCAGGGATACGAGATGGCCAGCTTTTTCCCATTCTTGAGTTTGAAACCATAGTTCTCTGGAAATGTCGCGGGAAGCATACACCAGATACCGTCGGTATCTAGCTCCAGTGGACGGCCAATTCGTTCAACCAATTGCCGAGCCATTTGAATGATGTGGGCACCAGTCAGACAAGTTACACCAGCCATTTCCATAGAGTACCATCTTGATCCTTTTCGCATGACGTATCCGTAAAAAGAGTTGAGAATAACCTTGTGGGCTAATTGCAGAGAGTCGAAAAGTACAATCATCTTTTTCGCAGCATCAACCTCAGAGGCTGGCGCTCCCGCAGATTTCAAGGCTTCAGTCTTGCCTTTCCAGACTTTCTGTTTCCCCTTGTAATCGTACCGACGATCTCGAAAATCTCGGACAGTGTCGATATAGAAAGGATTTTCACGTTGACAAATGATTGCTTCTCGCTCGATGGTTTTCGACTCGTGGATCTTGTGGTAGATCTTTTGACTGTAAATCTGCAACCGCTTTCGGACCAAGGCGGCTTGCTCATCGTATGTCAAATCATGGAACGTCCTCGCTGGACTGTTAGGCCATTTTCCGGGAAATTTCTCGTTTTCCAAGGAATTTCTGATCATGTTGTACTCGTCGCGTTTCGCTGGAAGATACTCTCCCCTCCATGCCCAAGGTAATCTTCGATCACAAGTCTTTCCAGGTCGGTTGAAATCACAAGCTGCACAGTCCGACTCCTGGATCATGGAATCGGGTTGCAGTCGATTAGTCGTCATGATATTGGGGTACATGGAAGCGACATCCAAATGATAAATCAGGGGTCGCTCGCTTCGATTCGCCGTCTCTTTCAGACTATTTAGTCGGTCTGTAATTTGTTGCTTCACTTCCTCGTAATTCTCAACATCGTCAAGAGACTTCTTCTCCTCGACTGTGATGCTGAATTTCAGAGCAGCATCGAGATCTTCTAACAGTTCGTCAATCGCAGTCGTATCAACTGCAAAGTTGACAGGTATGTCCGCGCGGAAAACTCCAGCTTCGATACTTTCGACGTGACCGCCAACGTATGTTTCCGACTCGAGCAAATGACCTTCCCAGAATGCCTCTTTTGGCGATACATGCTTGTTGGGCAACACAATCTCCTTCTGGTAGGCTTGCACCATGAGCAACATCTCACAGAGAGTTCCAGTACCTTTCCTCAGGACAGCATCCGGACCCAGCGGAATAATCGTACATAACGAGAAAATGAATGGATGCACATATTTCATGTACAAGTAGTATGTTGCCACAGCATCTGAGACCGAATATTCGGAAAGAACTTGAGGTTTCTCGCTCGCATACCGAAGCATCAATTCCGGGTCCAGTTCATCTGGGTCATATCCAAGCTTGGCAGTTGTTACGGCTTTCAGACCTCGACTGCCTTGTGGTAAGTAACTGTCTCGATTCACCCAGTGGAAACAATCCATGTGAGCACTGTAATCGCAGCAGTACTGGTCTTCTGCCCCTTTCCGCCAACCAATTTCTAGATACATGTCAATTCCGTTGACGCTCGCTCGCGCATCCACGAATGGCCAATCGAAAAAGTCTCCGTTATAAGTCGCAATAACTGTGGGTCTAGCTTCTTTGATATGCAGGAAGAATCGCTCAATGACTGCTTTCTCGTCCGGCTCGTTGAAAATCATGAAAGGGCCTTCATATTCTGGTTTTGGTGTATACTCAAAATCCTCGATGTCCTCTGATACAATCTCTCGATTCGTGATCAGAAATCCCTGTCCATCGATCATGTACGAAATCATCATAATCTGATCAATAGCCGCATCCGGGAATTTGAGCGGTAATTTCGTCGTTTCGATATCGTATGCCATAACCACAGGCTCTGCTCGCTCCAAACGGTCTTCTAAACATTTCATTGTCGTAACGCCGTGTTTGGCCTCAACCGAGTACCATTTTCCCGTCCGTATATCTATTCTGTCAGCAAGGTCTTTCACAAGGACTCGTTACACATACCCATATCTATCATTACTCGTACATGGTATGGGACATCCCATTCCCTAATATCCACAATAAAATCGCTTGCATCAGCAACAGAAACATTAAGTCGTCTATCATCATCTCGGTCGTCATCAAAAAGGTCGAATCCAGGATTTGCACTGTTGTTCTCTTAGCATTCCCCTCACTGGGCCCCCACAACGCAACATACCTAGCAACCTCAGCATAAGTATCCATTGCATTCATATTTTTCTTGTTCTTCTCCGCAATCGGCATAATATCCCTCCTCGCCGCCAACAGCTCGAAAACATTATTAAACCTTAACTCGAAGAACGTCCTCCTATATCCAAGAAGGTGATTCGGCATCTGCAAATCCTCCTTCTCGACTTTCCGCAGACTCTTCACCACACCTCCACCAGGAGCTCTCTTCAACCACTCCTCCGCCTCTGCTTCATGGCCCCTCTTCACCGCTACCAGGAAGTAAGGATCATATTCCAGCGTCGCTTTAAACGTCCTGCCATCATCCTCAATAAAATAGCAATCCAATCCCGCTCTGCCCTCGGGAATCTTCTCGTCCTCGATACTGGTGCTATGGATGTTGACGAGCCAGCCGGTCTTCTTCTTGCCGCTGTCGTAGCGGGCGAAGCCTTGCGCTTCGTCAATCGAGTTCGCGAGTCGGGTTGCTTCGCGCTTCTCGTCCGCGGATGTAGCTTCGTTGCCTCCTTTGGTTGCGGTGAAGGTTTTGGTCTTGCGGGGACCGTGGTAGGCTTGTTTTCCTCCGCGGCGGTAGCCGTTCTTTGGCATTCGTGGGCCGGGCATTGTGAAATAGGAGCAGGATTGACCTGCGGTTGGGAGGGTTGTGTTCAGGAGGTGGTGGGATGCAAGTCTAATTAAAGAATTGCTTCGTTGTGTTTTGAGGTTCGAATGTTTGACGATTCGACGTCGAAGTGGGAGCTAATTGACCTGTGTTGAGTTGGAAGTTCGAATGTGTATATCGAAATCAAATATCCATGCATCGCGTCGCGTCTCAAAAACGCGTTCGCGTTTAGTGCCTCGCTTCACCCCTGAATCTTTCTCAGCCTTGCACATCAGGCTCGAACAGCAACGGCGACCGACAAATACACTCTACGCACATCATCATTCCATTATTTCTCAGCCTCGAGCTCTTCTATACTCCACCCAACACAATGGCAGGCGACACAAGAGACTCAACAACATCAACCCCACGCGGACCTCCACCCGGAGTAACCGAACCTCCAGAACACGTCAAGACACCGAACAAAGTCTACGAAGTCTTCAATGGGCCGCTGCCGTCTGCGAATGCGTTACCCGAGGGCTCGGGGTTAAATACTGCGGGGGCGAGAGAAAAGCAACCTACGCTCTCGGAAGGCATTAAGACGGTTAGGCTGGAGGATTTCAAGCAGGTGCATATGTATCCATGTGTCAGAGAAAGTCTGCTTATGGGAATTGGTGGCGGGTTTGGGATGGGTGGAATTAGGGCGCTTTGGGGAGGTGAGGATTCTCTTCGTTGGGAGAGGGAATTTGGCTAAGAGTAATACAGCGCCGATACCAAAAGCTGCCAATTGGGCTGTGGGCACGTTCATCTTTGCTGGAATTGCGAATTATGAGTTTTGTTTGTATAAGAGGAGGATGGAGAAGGCATATATGAAGAGAGCTGTGGAGATTATTGACAGGAAGAAAGTAGAGAAGGAAGCTGCTGCGAAAGCCAAGAGGGAAGAGAGGAGAAGGTTTAAAGAGGAGGAAGATAAGAAAGCGGAGGAAGCTGCTAAGAACAAAGGTTGGAGACTGTGGTGATTGCCAGAAAATCAACGGGACTTGTATATGTATGATGATCTGTATTTTGAACTGACTATGGAAGAAGCTCCCTATTGGAGCGAAATGGGAATATTGCCCTGCGCCGGATCCAATCCACCCTATCAACTCCCTGCTATGCCAAGTACTCAATTCGCTCGAAGACATGTGTAACTCTCACGGTTATGAAGTAGAGATAGTTCTGACGCTCTTAACTTCAGCCTCCATGAATCGCACTCTCCTAGCAGTCTCGGCTTCTTCTCGAGTAGCCTTATTCTCCATTCCACTACCACGCCTCCTCTCACTTCTAGCCTTTCTTGCTTCTCTCGCCTCCCGGTTCTTGTATTCTGCCATCTGCTGTCGACGTTTTTGTGCTCTAGCATATGCTTCTGCAGCTGTAGGCCTAAAGCCAATGCCATTGATCCCCTCTCCATCATCATCTGGGTCATTGGGATCATGACCAGTAATTTCGTCGTCGTGCCAGGTCAAGGCCGCTCTGTCGGGATCCACAATTCTACCAGGCTCGACACCTTCCATGATTGCATCTGCGCTTCCAGAAAGCGGCGGCGTACCTGTTCTCTTCTTTGGAGCCCTTGATTTTGAGTCGGCGAGACGATTGATGCTTGGATACGCATTTCCCAACCCAGAGGTTTTCGATTTAGCAACCGGGCTACCTCTAAAGATCATAGGATCAACCTCGTTGCTGAGTACAACAGCCCTAGCCTTCTCCCCGATAATAGGATCAACCGTTCGCTCCGGACCAATGAATATGGAGAATTTATTCTCCCTCTCCGTGTTCACTTGTGGTGTCTCGGGTATCTCCATCGTTGTGATCTTCCTCTGCTTGAGAACCTTAACTCGCTTTCTCAAAACCTCTTCCTCCCGGTGCGGGTCCTCCTCGTCGTATTCATCTCGTGGTAAAAGTGAACTCTTCCTTGGTCCATCCAGCTCGAACCTTCCCACAGCACCGCCGTCTTCCAAATGCAGACCTTGGAAATTGTAGGCGACCTTGGTGCGAGGGCTGCCTTGTCCACTATCCTCCTCCGTCCTAACTACGCCCGGAATATTGGTGTTGAGTCGCATCTCTGGTGGAGGAGAAGAGGTCGGCGGTGTAGGAGGAATCGTAGAGATAGAAGGAATTCCACGTTTCCGTTTGGGGGAAGTGAAGTGGGAAGCATTGATCGAGTCCATGGTCGGCGACTTTTTATATCGAATGTTGGTTGAACAAGGCGGCACAGAAGTCTAAACGGTGATGTCAACCACGGGAAGTTGGCAGGGGAGGAAATCAAGACGAGCAGCAAGGGCCCGACCGGCTTGTTGACTGACGAAACCGCTCGGGTTTGCCGGAGGAGTTGTGAAATTTTCTATCGGGGTAGAAGGCTGTCGCAGGATGATCGAGACTCGAGATTCGAGAGCTTCGAGGTTGGCGGGGTCGAGATAATGCAAGGCAGCTGGACCCAGCCAATCGCGTTCGTGATGCCTTCAGCCCTGCAGTGAGAACTAGTCTCGCACGTGACTGGATACTTAACCTCGAAAAACGCTTCTGATCTTCCAGGTTCCCTTCTCCTTTCTACTCTTTCCAACACCATTCTCTTTGAAGCTTCGTATCTCATCCTTATATCTATCTCGGACACTTGTATACGAGTTATATGTCTTCCACATCACAGTCATGCCTTAAGGCAACGGAGCAGCTAAGAGCTCGTAGAGCAGGCAGATGCAGTAGCATCTTACTTCTGTCCTGAGCCTCTGCGCTGTCAATTGTCATCAATAATCCAATTCCAGATCAAACTTTGCCGTTTGTACTTTGTTATCTGGTCGTTGTTCCCCACATTTTCGACGAATTCATAGTATGACCAAATCCGAGCTTCATGGAAACATCCTCATGACACACATCCATGCAGTCATGATGTGAGCTTCTTCGTTTAGAAGCCTTTTGGGTGTCATTCCACCTTTGTTCTATCGTTTTCCATGTCCTCAATTGTCCGGAATTCCAGCAAACGGAGCTTTCATTTACAAACAACACCCAGGCTTGCCTCCCCGCTTCATGCACGGCAACAAAGAATATGTGTTATACAATGTTTCAAGACACAGTTGATAGTATGGATATGCATAGCAATCAAATCTGCGTTGCTCTGTTCCAATCGCACATATATCATCTTGAGAGTACAAAAATATCTGTAACGTTGAGCAGATCATCTGCTTTTGCTCATTATCACGATGTTTTCAACGCGTATTCATACCTTCGAAGTAACTGGCGACAATCCCATCACCTACGTTATCGAACCTCACTTTGCAGGCAATGCTGTCACGCAATGCATTGCAGCTTTCTTTACATTCTTGTACAACCAGGTCGTCATTTTCTGTCATCATCCCCTCAATTGGATTTCGGATACGCTCAAATGGTTGTTGTACCAGTTTTGGAACTGTCCTATAGTTATCCAGATCTCTATCGCTTTAATCTCTGCTTACATCATCTACCGGGCTGTTCGTGCTCTCAATGCTGCTATTCAAACCCACTTGGATGCCGGTAAAGGTGGAACTCCGGCAGATGGATGGGGGTAAGTTAACCCTGGATCTTCCGAGAGCTTAAAAGCTCCTCGCTTTATACCAGCATCCTCCTCTAAACTGTTCTGGGCGATTGTGCTAATGTTGTCGTGCTTGTGATTAGATGGTGGCGCCTCTGCAGACTTTGCTTGATGGGTGAAATCCCCAACATCCGCGAGATCCACGTTAGTCCATTCCTCAAACCATACCGTGGTATTCTTCATGCAGAGGATATTCCTGCACGAGAAGGTCCCAGCCCTACCATCATCGGAATTGCTCCTCAACGTCAAGAGAACCAGAAGACCACAGTCAACCAATTTGAGACTGTTCAGGAACGTCTCCGGCAAAAGGCACTTGCATATCCTCGTGATCTCGTATTCGAAAGCTCATTCCTTGAGCGGCTTGGAGGTACCTTCGCTTTGAAGCTGAAAAAGTGAGACCACCCCGCTGTGCGAGGCAAGCCTGCATGGTCCACTGCGACACCTTACACCAACCGTACTGAACGTTCTTGGATCAAGAGATTTGGCTACGAAATTGCTCATGCTCACCAGGCAGATGGTAGTTTGCATGTGATTCTTCACCCTTACGATGTGCGAACAGTCATCGAGCAAGGCTGGGGTCAACGCCATCCTCTTGCTTCTACTTCGGCGCACTGGATGTTTTACTGGGATAACATTCAGTCATTGTGGAACCCTGATTCACGACCTCCTATTCCAGAGACGCTCGTAATTTTTGTATGCTCCTAGAGACGCCGACGAAATTGACATGGCCATAAAGATAGTTGATGCTGCGATCTGGTTCTTTACTGGTGAAGAAGTTGATTCAAACATGGGCAAGGGAAGTAAACTCAAGGACCGGTATGTTGACGAGTTCAACGGAGATGGGTCCCTCAAGGTTCAAGGAGAGCTTGACGCAGGCTGGCCGACGACACATTTAAAGCCCAGCACAGCTGCAGACGCCCGAGCAGATGATGTCCAAGCGTACGACAGAGCCGTAAGTCAAGCAGCAACACCAAGGGAAAGAGACGCTCCATTTTTTCGACCAGGCAATACCGATGAGGAGAGGATCGTTTATGCAGCACTTGAAAACGTTGTTGAGAAACGCACGGCTGCTAAGGTCAAGCCACCTAACATAGTTGTCATCGCGGACCTTGCCAAAGATTACGACGATTTGACGGCAATGATTGTCTTGAAAGAGCTTCACCGACTCGGTCTGATCGAACTCAAAGGTTTTGTTGCAAACTTGATGCCAGCGGAAGAACGGGCTCGATATGGCAGAGGAGCACTTGACCTACTCGGTCTCGAGAAGATCCAAATTGCCATCGGCACTGACGGATCTCCTATCAACCATGAGGTACACTCCTACTAGTTCGGGGGCGGATTCTCAGCCGCAGTCGAACTTCCATCGGGAACTGAGCTTCTCGAACGAATCTGCGATAACGCAAAAACAAATAACGAGAAACTCACCTTCCTCATCATCTCCTCCCTCAAAGACGTCTCCGAATTGATAGACTCCTACCCTGACCTCGAATCCGTGATATCCAACGTCGTCATGCAAGGTGGCTACTTTACGAATCCCCTCGAGCCCGACATGTCTGCGGCAAACAACAGATTCGACCCGATTGCCGCAGCACAGTTCCACATCTGGCTCGAAGAGAAGCACATCAAGTCCACCGTCTACACCAAAGTCGCCGCGTTCGCCACTCCTCTTACGACCGAACTTTTCCATGCTTTATCAGCAACTAGCCATGTACTCGGTACCCATCTCCTTGATACACAACAAGCGCAAGATATTCAATTCTACCGCGACGCTGTAACTGGAACTGGAGGGTTCATGACCCCCGAATTCTTCTTGAGGAATAAAACATCGTGGTTCGATACCCACGATGCAGGGGATACCTACCCAGACGCAGCAGGAAATGAGATCGTCCTGTATCTGACGAAAGTAGTTGCTTATGATGCATTGGCTGCGTTAGGAGCTGCGGGACAAGATGTTCTCGTGGAGTGGGGGGTCAAGAAGAGTAGTCGGGAATTGCATGAGGTTGTTGGGACCGCTGGACCACTGGGAAGTGCAGGTATTGATGGAAAGAAGATGGCTAGGGCATTAAGGGCGCTTTTGAGGGTGGGCTTGTTGACCTCTTTGCCGTAGACGGCTTTTGGAGAGCAGCTTTGAGTGTTTCTTTATCTTTTGGCTGAGTTTGATGCCTGGATAAAATGCTTGGCGTTGGTAAGTCTTTGACACTTGTGAAGTAAAATTGCCTGATTTTCACAAAATATGCATACTCCTGCGTTTTACGTGGATTTTACGTTCCAAATCAACAAAGAGTTCTCCATAATGAAATACAACTCCTTGTTCTGAGCATTCCGTTTGATCGCCAGTAAGCATTAAACACGAGAAGTACACGCTAGACCTCGCTTAAGCTCCACTCCCCACATTAAAATTCACATATATCTGCACGCATGTTACGTCTCGGCCTTCCTTGTGGGAAGGTCTCGTGGGTTGGTATGGTGAATAAAGTGAGGATAAGGCAATTCGTATTTGAAGTCAAGAATGATAACTAAGTTGAGCACGAAGCCCCTAAACTACGAGGTGTGGCAGGCCGTTATATAGAACTCTCACGTAGGGAGTCAAACTCCTGCCAGGAGTCTTATCCCTTAGTGGAGTTTTACTCTAGAGTAAAACTCCATCACGTGACACCCAGCCGAGAGATCCCGTGATCGTGACAACGCATTCCCCGCGTTTGATTCTTCACTTCCAACATCACTCTTGACTTTCAAATTCTCAAGAATCCTCAACACTTAACCAACAACAACCATGGCGCCCTCCAACTTCCCCGGCCCAGTGACCCTCTACACCATCGGCTACGCCGCGCTCAAATACCCCTCTCTTCCCCCAGCACCCGTCAACGTCCCCTTGGGAGACCAAGTCGGCCTCCTCCAACACCAACTTCCCCACGCCCAAAACCACCAAATCGCCCAACTCGCATCCCAATACCTAAACGCCCTCCTCACCTACCAAACCAGCTCCGACCCCGCGCTCCACGACCCCTCTACCCCTCAATACTACTTCTCGACCGCCATCTGCCTCCTCAATTTCCTGAACACTAGCCCAGATGTCTGTAAACGCATCGCGAGCCATCCAACCCTCCTGCATGACGTTGTCGAGAAATTACTCGCAAACGATGTGGTGGAGAAAATGAAAGCGGTGCCAAGACCAGGAGGTGCCAATTTCCCCGCTGCAACATTCGATGATGATTTCGGGAGCCTCTTGCAATTCCTCTCTACCGTCCTGCTTTACATCGACGATCCGTCGTCCGTGCATGAGCGATTCCAAGACCTGATCCCGAAACTGAGGGCGTGGAAGAGGGAGTTTAGGGGTAGTAGGGTGAGGACGATTAGTAATGCGGCGGATCGGCTGGTGGGGCAGATTCAGGGGACGGATGCGACTATGTTGAAGTTGATAAGGGGGATGCAGGATAGTAGCTTGGTGTGTGGGGTGCAGAGTTGTGGAGTGAGGGGCGCGGCTGGGTTGACGGTTTGTGGGACGTGTAAGATACAGAGGTATTGTGGGAGGGAGCATCAGAAGGCGGATTGGAAGTTTCATAAGCATATTTGTGATAAGGGGTTGGTGGAGCCTGAGGATTGAACGACTGGTCTTGGCTCGTCGAGTGGTGTAGATGTGAGTGCAATAGAAAGCGATGCTCTTTGGCTGTGGTTATGGTTACTTCATAGATTGCTGTACAGAAAAGGAGTAAGGGGTCGATTTGGTTGCAGGTGTTTTTTCGTGGCTTCTTTTCTCTTCTGCGGGCACATGTTCATAGCGTCTGACGCTTATCTATTCCATTGCTGACCTCATTTACGGAATCTGCTTTTGTGATGCAATGCATTGATGAATTGGTTTGTTTGGCTTTCTGCTCGGTACTGTTTTAGCTTGGTTGTCAAGGTCTGGTGCATGCCACCATCTTTTCTGTTTCGAATGCCACGAGTTGCACTTCGAAGGCGGCTTCTCTATTCTATATGTGGCATCATTCAGTCTACGATGATACACGGGACAGGGCCAAGATGCTCTCTCTAATTTTTAATCCCAACCTGCCACAATCCCTTCATGTTTATCAGATCCCAAATATTACTTTACTCTTCAGTCTCCCGCTGACAGAGTATGACTCTATTTCAATCTTCAAACTCTTTACCTTGCCCTCCTCAACGGATGCGCCTCCGTGTTCAGCACGTACTCATCCAAGCTAATCACGTCCGGTTCTGCAAAGATGAGATAAAAATACTTCAACGTTTTCGCCATCCAAAAACTCTCCATGCGATCCAACTTACGAGGAGTAGACGACGTGACGTCCTCGATGCCTGCATGGCCGATATCTGTGATGGTGTGCGTAATGATACTGCTGAATATATTCCAAGCCCGTTCTCGCAGTTTCTCGTCACCTGTTATACGATAGAGGATAAATACAGACTCGATAGCTTCTAGTCTGCATTTATCAGTTCGCGCCAGAGAAGTAGCTTGGATGCGTTTCTGCTTACCGCAAGATATATCTCCCATCATCCACCTTTGTCACACCGGGAACAAGACGATTGTTAACAATCTTAGTCTTCACATCCTCTGCCCCGGAAATCATCTCATCAACTTTCTCATGCCACTTCTCCTCGACCCACGGACAATTCTCCGTGTCATCGCACGCCACCGTATGCATAATCTCCGGCATGATCCCATTTGGCATAAATTCGTATCCCCAAAGACATCCTTCAACCAGCTTCCTAGCCAACACCAGATCTTCGTCGTTTTCAAAAATCTTTGCTCCGATGGAGACCATACCTCCGGCAAAACAGCCAAGATGCTGAGCTTGCGAGTCTGTTTTCAGCTCCGAGACGTGCATTGTCCCATCGCTGTCCACATTCCCCGCAAGCCGGACATCCTCGCCGCTCATTGTCATGGGTCGGTAGAAGATATTGCGCTTCATGGCAATAAGTGCATACTCGTACATGCGTCGATATTGCTGCGTAGCACCGCCTAGCAGCAAGTGCTGCTTGGGCAGATACTCATAGAGCGAGTCCGCCATGCCGCCTATCGTGAAGCCATGGTAGCTTTTAAAATCCGCATGCTTCTCGTCGATGAGAACGGGCCACATGCCTAGGAGCTTGGTCTGGTCTTGCTGTTGAGAAAAGGTGTCCATGATCCGCTGCACAGCGTCGAAGTACTTGGGATCGTCCGTGATCTGACTCAGTCGTGTGAATTCCAGTGTGAGGGAGCCGGGCTCCGAGACGAGCACGTTGTCGTTTGCTTCTTGAGGTAGCCCTGCGGCGGCATTTTTGAAGTTCCATCGCACGATGGGAAGGCGATTGGGGGTGTCGAAGGCTTTATAGAGCATATCACCTAGCTCGGTTGCCTTTTGGAGCAGGATGGGATACTTGCCTTTACTTAGGTCGTGGGCTGCGAGGAAGCCTCCCAGGTAGCGGATCGTGGTTTCGAACACGTTTAGTTCTTCGAGGGCGCAGGTGCTGAAGTCTATCGAGTTGATAGCGGCAACGGCTTTTTGGAAGTCTTCGTGCATTCCCATGATCCATAAGGTGTCTGGAGAGGGTGTCAGTAAGTTGTAGACTTGAGAAGAGAAGGGAGGGTAGTGCGGACCAAGTAAGTCGACCATCGTTGCTGCCCAGCCACCAAATGGATCTCCAGAACCACCAGATATGGGTTTGACCTCATCTCGTAACCATGCATGCTCCTTATATCCTTGCCACGCATGCGTAAAATTTCCTTTCACAAGCTGTAGCCTCTCCATCCTTATTCTTTTTGCTTCTGGAGTCTCTCGTTTGAATTCGTGTTTGATCCTGGGAATAGGACTTGTGATGATGGTTGGTACTGCTTTCATCGAGTCTACAGGAAACCATTGGGGAATATCCTTCCAACTAAATTTGGCCTTCGTCTTATCTGATGGTAGGTGAGGGGCTTGGGGTTCCTGCTGGTATGCATTCCGAATACTGAAAATGTAAAGGAGGAAGGTGAGGATCAGTGCAGCCGATAGGATTGAGCCTCTCCATCTCGAAAACATTGTTGCGAATACAAGAGAGAAATCTTTCTGGTGTACGTTTTCAATGCACACATCAATTGTTCAGCGACACCAATGTTTGGGGGTAAGCGCCGTTGTGGCTGCGCATCAACGCCCCCAACATCTCCTGAACCAGACTGTCGGTAACCTATCGGCACTCCAACACAAGGTGAACCGATGTTGGTTGTCTATCTTTAACTGTTATCTATATGTTCAAGCAGTAAGTGGCCCAGCGAATCATCTAAGCCGACTTGCTGACATTCATTTGTTACATCGGAACTAATCTCTTGATTTGTGCTAATCATTCTCCGCAACGTACCTAAGTAACCACGGAACATATTTAAACTAGTAGTAAGTGTTTAAATCGGCACGATCGACGAAACTATTCTCGTGAAAAGACAAGTATCCCCACTCAACGAAACGAATGGTTAACACATGAAGTTGTCCAAAGAATCTAAGACTTACCTGTCAGGGAATAACTCTAATAAGTTTACAGTTTCCGACGTGAAGGGTGACCGAACCAAACAGAACCAACATCTGCTTGGAAGCTTTGTTCCAAGTTCAGGAACCCAGTAGTTACATATCTCGCACCACCTTGCCAATTAGAGCCCTGTCACTTGATCACGTTGGTGGAGATTATTCGTTGTCTGCTTCATCTCGATGTTGGAGTTTTGCAACTAACAACCGCGTCTCAAGTCTCCGTGACTTTCACGAACTTTCTCGGAATTCAAATGCCGTTTCCTTCTGCTATCAACAGTAAAGGGCACGACTACACAGCCAGAGGATGTTCTGCCACAACTTCTTAAATCGAACTACAGCCTTCCTCATCTTCCTTACCTCTACCTCCGCCTTAACAATCCAAAACATTCTCTGGAACATCCCAAACGGCAACCTCTCCTCACTCTCGCAAACCTTTACCTCCAGCCAAACCCTCCCTTTATCCTGGAACGCATGGGACTCCACTCAATACGTCGACACAACCAAGAACCTCGTTGATCTATGGGCTACAGCTTTTGACTATAACTTGAATCCGTTTAGTCAACGCTTGACCGGTAAGTCCTCCTACATCCCCAACAAAGTACATGCCCATACATGTAGATGTTAACAGCCGATAAGTGGGAATCAACCTCACATCCGCAGGGAATTTCGCATGGACGATCGCCATTCCAACGAGCAACTTAACCTTTGACGCCAAATACGTCCTGAGGTTCAAAGTCACGTCTCCGATCTACGATGCCAGTTCGGGGGAGCTGTCTAGTCCGGGGTTTCTTGTTTTGGCTGCTTCTTCAACTTCAACTTCTGCTAGTACCAGTAGTTTCGTGCCGAGTACGATCAATACGTCGACGTTGATGCCAACAGATACCACATCCACGACTCCGGCAGCGTTGGGTTTAAGTGTTGGGGCAAAGGGCGGAATAGGTGCTGGTGTGGTGGTTGCTGTTTTGGTGGTGGGAGGAGTGTTGTGGTTCTTTCCTTTGGTTAGGAGGAGAGGGAAAGCGAGGGTGGTGCCGACTCAACCTCTTTTTGATGAGAGGAATAATGATGATGGGCCAGCGGAAATGCCGGTGAAGTCGACGCATGTGGTGGAACTACCTGCCGGATAATCGCTGTTGGTGAGATGGACATGTGTGCGTTGGAGGAAGTGAGAAGGGGAACCGGGGTGAGGAAGTGAGCTCAAAATCAAACAGGAGATGATTCTTAAACCCGTAATATATGATCTCTCAATATTTAAAGCCCAAGGAGACGAGTTCCTCGCCGCTTCTATGATATAAAATATGATTTCTAGACCGCGATCTAGACTACTAACTACCCCGCGTCCGTCGTCGTCCGCCCAAGTCTGGGTCACAAACGCACGTATCATATTCAAAGCATTCGGCAGAACCCCGCTAGTTCATCGCGTGAGTACTTGTTCTCGACCTAGCGCGTTGTCTTAGGAGCTTGTGCTAGACAGGATGAGGTGAGGTAAGGCGTTCCCTTTGAGCATGCCGGAGATGAGCGCGGGCTGCCGCCGCCGTAAACGAAGGGGAAGAGATACGGCGCTGTAAATCTTGCGCACGAATCATGTTGCGCTCTGTTTACCTCACTGGGGTTATAAACACTCTCTGCTGTATTGGCGCCTGTGAGCGTGATATTTAGAGGTGGGTACTGTACTTAGTAAACAGTCATCAGTCGTCCTAGAGTCTTGACTAAAGCTGGGAATTTTGACGACTCTACAAATAGTTTGATACTCAAACCACTTGCAATTGTCAGCGATGCCATGCTGCCATATCCGGCCTCTCTCGTTGACCCACCTACCAAATAGAACCTGATATATATCAAAAGCCTGGGCATTCTTTCATTTCCTAGGAAAACACTTCAAGTCTAGAGGAAGTCTTTTAGGAAGTTCTGGGTCATTCATTCCGTTCAATGGATAAGTCGATGAAAGAGAGGTCTAGAATCTCAGTCCGGCTCGCTGGATGAAGAACAAAACAAATCAGTTTGTGCCAGCTGCAGTTGAGAGGTAAGTAGGACGACGAATGAACGGGTTCATCGGGATTACCCTCGCATGATAGGATAGGAAGGTGAAGGGTCGTGAGATCAGATCGATCGAGTTTGATGTTGTGTCTTTGAAGTGAGTGAGGCTTGAGAAGGGATATGCTCAGGGAACTATTTAGCTACTCCATAACATAACATTTGCTTCACAGGAGGGAGAGTTGGAAAGGAAACCTGCCTGCAAGTGTCCTTTGGGTCTTAAATATAATAGTTCATCCGAAGAGTTCAAATCGTTACGGAAAGTGAGCCGGACGTAGTTGCGCGTCGGGTTTAAGGGTTTTGATTTCGTGTTGACCGAATTTTGGTATCCGCGTTAATTTTGCTACGAGCGAATTAAAAACGTGACGAGTTTTTATTTATTAAAGCGGAGTTTTTAAGGATAAATTTATTCGCTATCGAATCGGGGTAAATTTTTTATATTAATTATTATAATATATAAATGAAATAATCGCGTTTTATTGTATTAAAAAATTCTTTAAAAAATAATACGTCCGCGTTATTTAAAAAAAACGTTCGATTTTTTTATTTCGAAAATTAAAAAATCATAGAAAGCTTTATTATTTTTATTATTAAAGCTATAATACGATAATATGGCATGCGGATTATTATTTCTCCAGCACTGTCATCTCTCCAGCATTGTCTGTGTATCGATCTCATAGAATATCTTGTGAGGTAGGCTCAGCACTACCCGCTTCCAAACGTCTCAGGTCATAAAGAAACAAAATGGCATTTCTCAATGTAATTTTAACAACATGACTTTTGGGAAAGTCATCAAGTTTTTGACCTATCCGGCTACGAGAATATAATCTACACTCTCAGAGTGTCCGTCCCGCACACTCCCGATCAAACCCTGCATCACGTTGATCCCGTACTTTTCGCGCCAAGGCTGACCGAACAATTCTTCATCACGTGCAACCTCGAGAAGCGATAGTTATCGGAGCATGTGACCGTAGGTCACGAGTAGATTAGTCAGCTCCTTCGGAGACAAGCCCTTTTCAACCTCTGAATTATATCACACGATAGAATATTTTGTTGCACATCGCAAGAGGAGTTCTGATCAAGACTTCTAGAAATTCAGAGCCTCATAACCATTTCTAGTATATACACTTCCCTCTCATTTTCGGCCTACAACCATCACAACACCTCCCTAATCCCAGATCCAAAAATGGCCAATCCCCGTCCCAGCCTCACACTTCGCTCCGCAATGCCTCACGACGTACCCGTCATAACAGCCATCTGCCTCACCACTATGCCAACCACAGATCTCTGGTCCTATCGCTACAACCTCGCCTCCCAATATCCGCATGATTACCATTTCTTTACGTCCAAACGCTTTGCACTTCGAACAGATCCCGCAACCCGAGAGGGTTTCTTAGTTCTTGTCATCGAGACGCTGGAAGATGATGTGCCAGTTGTGATTGGATATGTAGTTTGGCAGGGCCCGGATGAGAACTGGGCTAAAGACTTGCCAGGGTTGGGGCAAAGATCAGATTATCCTCCAGCTTCCCTGATACAAGACGGGCTTCAAGAACGTTATGGGTTGAAATTGCAAAGCTCCAGTCTCAATGATACAACGCGAAGAGATGCTGATCCAGCCCGACTACAATTGTGGCGCGAGGCAACCGCTCGCGTCAAGAAAGAGATCTTTGACACTGAATATGGTGTACGCCAGTTGGACTTGATCCAACGAGCTGTCTTGCCCAAATATCAAAAGCAAGGTGTCGGTACATTCATGCTATATTGGGGCATGCGTATAGCGACTGAGCACTCTTGGGCTCTGACATCGATTGTACCTCCAAAAGCATGTAAATGGTACGAGGCGCGAGGTTTCAAGCTGTTAGCCACAGAGCGGCTTCAAGTCGAGGGACAAGAGCAGTCGGTGGAGTTTCTCGTAATGGGCGCGAAGCCAGTTTAGGATTTATATCAAGCATTGAGTATAATAACTTGTTCTTGGCATTGAGAAAGGTACTACTTTGGTGGTCTTCCGCATGGCCGTCTTATAACCTTTCCATCTCAAGCTCGATCTCCTCCAATTTAATCATATCAAGCAACTCACCCAACGAAGGCCTAGCCTTCATAAACGCCAAGAACCCCACATCCCCCGCTAATCTCGTACTCATAACCCCCATCCTCTTCCTTACCACAATAAACCTCTCCGCCTCCCTCAACTCTCTCACCCACCACTCTTTCGCCACCTCCAGCACCTCTCTCTCTGTCCCCTCCTCCTCACCATTCTCCCCGGACCTCCCTCGCGGCCACAGCTTCCCTCTTGCTTTCACCACACTGGGGTATCTTCCGGACCATTCCGCAGCACCAGCCGTACAACGCCGGATATAATCCTGGATCCTCTGGGGCGTCTGCCTGAATTCTGGGAACGCAATGTCGCAGTCTTCTTCTCTGAATATTTCGAGATTAAGCCCGTTGTTGATCGCACCTACTGTCTCGAAGATATACCACATTAGCTTGCCCAGCATGAAAACCTGCGCGCTTTCCTTCTCTTCCCTCGATAACGCCTTCCAGGCTGTCGAATACCCCTCTTTACAAAATTTGTACAGTTTTTGTTTCTGCTTGTCTGGTTTCCAGTCTGGGATGTAGCTTTGAAGAAGCGCAGTGGCTCGGGTACGCATCTCGGGTGGAGTGAAGCTGGAGTTTGAGATGTACTCTAGGTAGTTGATGTAGTAGATCTCAGGTGGTACCCATGGGTATCGGCCTGTTCGTTGTTCGAAATCGATAATTACAGGGTGGAGACCGCTGCCTTTATTGGACTCTAACATGACGATATTGACATGTTTGATGCCGGAGAAATAGTTATTGCAGTCATGATTGATGTGAATGATGCCTTCCACAATTCCTCGTGTCCAACGCAGCTTTTCTTTCAAAGAAGGTGGAGGCCGCAGGCCAAGACTCGCTGATGAAAGTGCGTCGCGAAGTGTTCCGAACTTGTAATACTCGATGATAAAACCGCAAACCCCCTTCTTTCCACCAAAACGACTTTGTTTGGTTACAATATATGCCGGCCTCTGAACGATGTTGGGATGAGGTGCTATCTTACACAGCATCCAGAGTTCATGATACATGTACTTGACTTCATCCAAAATTGACTTGAAGACCCATCTCTTCTCCCCAGTGAGGCTTGGAATCGTAACAATACTTATAGCCTCATGTGGCTGCTCCCACAGACAAAGTCCAGAAATATCAACCACCTCGGGAAGTTCAACAGCTTCCCCATGAGCCGCCCATTCCGCCTGAAGATCCCGCTCTGATAGCCACATCTCTTCAGTCTTATAACTCGGTATCAAATGAAACTCCATTTCCCTCACATCCGCACAGATCGACCCGACTGCAAGGTAGGACCCAAAAGGCATGCTCCAATACAATTCCTCAAAATCCACCATCTGGCCCGCCCAATATTGTAGAGCGTTCAAGATATGTTGAGACATAGGGAGATGTCTAACCTGTCTGCTCTTGACACACATCGCCAGTTCAGGTCTTAGCACTTTGCGAAGCGCAGTGGGTAGGTCGTATTCGTCTTGATCAGAAAGATAGGCGTCGATCCTCATGGGGGCATTGCCGATAGCAAAGTCGGGAAGTATGAATAGTCGATGGCCATCTGCTTGAGCTCCATCTATGTGCCATGGAGAGGGTGTCATAGGAGTAAAACTATCCACTCGATTCTTGGGGTTTAATTGCGATGTCTCCCAAGAAGTGACTCCTGAGGGTTCCGCATTCGGCCGAGAATGTAGAGCCTCCTGGGGTGGCATAGAAGTGAAAAATGCAGAGATTGGGTACATGACCCTCTCAATCATCTTCACTGTAGGCTCCATAACATCGAGGATTCCGTGTAAACTCGCTCAGAGGCAGCATTTACTCAACTGCTGATACCCGCCAGCGCTCTTGATGGGTGGGCCGTTTTAGCGTGCCCGACAAGCCCCACCCGTCTAGGCCTGTACGGGTTACAGATTTTAAGAACCGTTAGTTTATTGGTTGGTTACGGTTCCGGCTTCCCCGAAGACGTCAAGAACCGTCTGCCCGTCTACATTAAGGAAGCTTAAAAATAGTGGAAATTAAACGAGATTAAAGTAAAATTAGTTTAAAGCTTGAAAACTTCAAATATTTGAAGCTTGAAGCTAAAATTATACAATTAATAAGTTTTGTTTGTTTTACCAATTTCATTCGTTTAAAATCGTCTAGGAATAAGTTGGTAGGTTTTCCTAACCCGTACTAGTACGGGTCGGTAACGGTTCGGGGCCAAAAACGGCCCAACCCGCCCATCAAGAGCGCTAATACCCGCGAATGAAGAACACACTTCAACGTCTTCGGCCTACCTCAAAATCGTCAGTCACTAGACTCGCTCGAAAATACCTATATCGTTCAAAGCCATCCCAAGTATTGAACAAGCGGTTGACATCGGCTTTCGACGCGATCTTAAGAGCGAGTTGAGCCTCACTCGACAGGCATGCCTGTCGTACGAAGGAAGCAACCATCTTTTCCTGCGTGCGGGTAACAGCTGACACCACCACATAATCCAATCAGACTCCATTCATTTCGACCAAAGTGACGACGTGCTTAAAGGTGTGGCCCATGCACAATTCCCACAACCAATGATGGGAAGAGATAATTGTGCCCAGCTTCAGAGAAAGCAATACCTTCGTGCAGATGGAATAAGAACATGGTGGGGAATACAAGCACTCAGCCCAATCAAAAACTAATCGTGTCGACTGATTAAGTATGATGCTTTAGAATGAGCGGGGTCACAGCGAATAATGAGTGGGGAAAGCTCGAGCCCGTGCATGATATCAAGTTTACACTGCATATTGGCTCACCGGCTCGTTATCATCTGGACAACGGAATGCGCGAGGCTCTGCTCTCTAGGTGTGGGATGATTCCAGTATGATTGAGGCTCCCACACTTATCGCCCAGTTTGAGAGCATATTAAGTGACAGCCTTATTCTGACATTTGAGACCCAATCTCCCAGCCCATACTCAACCCACTCGAGGATTTTGATAGCTTCTCATTCGTAACCATATACTCAAGCCATAGACTCACAAGATCAATAACAAGAAAGATTCAGCTCGACAACATGGCTCTCGTCATCGAAAATATCAGACTTCCAGGAGGCTTCCGCTTGGATATCCCAACTGAGAGCTTCCATCAAAGCAAGCTCGGAAACGAATCCTTGAATATATTCGACGGAGAGCCTGAAGAGACATATGGATCGGAGAATCTCCAGACATTCAAGACAACAGAAATCCCGCTCCTCCCTCAGCTCGAAGCTCCTCTCGTCTGGACTGGAGATGATTTCAAGTCGGCGTCCGATTACACCTACACGTTGACCAACGACGAAGTAAACGAGATCGAGAATGCTCTTGCACACTTTAAAGGTAAGCCTCACATATCAACCATCCTCATTCTTGCAGCATAAAGCTTGAGACTCGCAACCCACAGCTCTCGGCCTACGAGGAAATGAAGTCGCTCCCACAACCTTCCCGCTCCCAACCCTCGGCTCCAAGCTCAAGTCTCTTTGCCACGAGCTCTTCTCAGGCCGTGGGTTCTTCAATATTCGGGGACTGGAACCCAAGAAATATACCCCGGAGGACAACGTCCTCATCTTCCTGGCTGTTAGCAGCTATCTCGCCAATCGTGTCGGGAAGCAGGACGATGAAGGTTTCATGCTTGGTATGCCCTTTCATCCCATACAAGTATTCTCAGTGACTTCGTGCTAACATTTTTCAGGACACATCCGTGACTCGACCGAGTCTAGCACCAAGCCCGAGATGCGGCCTTTCCGCGACTCGACTCTCCAGCTCGTAAGCTCAAGCCTGTCCCCAGCATATAGAAATCAGGTTGCTGACCCGATACGAGACATTTCACACAGACAGCTTCACAGATCTCCTCGCCATGCAGACCCGTGGGCTCGCAGCCAGAGGAGGTGGTCAGGTCTTTACTTCGTCATGGAAGGTATACAATGAGCTCTTGAAAGAGCGACCCGATGTCCTGCGAACCCTCGTCGAGCCTAACTGGTATTTTGAGAAGTAAGTCTCTTACCACCCCACACTCCACACCCCTCTCAAATCACACAGACTAACTACTTCACAGCCGCGGAACGCTCGAAGACGGCAAACCTCGCGCCATCATCTTCCTCCAAGATGGCAAAGTCGCCATCAATTTTGTCCGCTACATGCTCCTCGGACGCGCCGGGCTCGCTCGATCCCTCGATCTCCCCGCCTGTACCCCAGCACAAGTCGAAGCTCTCGATGTCCTCGAAGCTGTCGCAAAGAAGCATCAGCTCCTGATCCGCACACAGCCAGGTGACCTCACGTACTTTAACAATCTTGCGCTCATTCACTCGCGCGAGGCGTTTGAGAACGACGAGACCCATGTCAGGCATATGGTACGCCTTTGGCTAAGGAACGAGGAACTTGCTTGGAAGACCCCGCTGGCTCTGCAAAGGGGATTCAATAAGGTTTTCTATGATGAAACTGTGGAGGAGCAATGGAACATTGCTCCACAGCCAAGATTGAGCTTCAAGGTGCATCAGACTTTGGGCCCATGAGCAACTCGACGCTCGAGTGGAGAAGCAGATATTGCACAACCGTTTCTTTTCTCTGATTTTGTTGTAACGATGGCCTGTTGGAAATGGGTTATAGTCAATTGTCAGATGTCAGTCATGAATGGCGGAAAACACTCCTTTGATGTTGAATAACATTTATCTCGCAATTATAATACTCATCGCAACGGCGAAAGAGAACCTCTCCCATGTCGTGAGAACCGTAGTCCACCACACTGCTGTTTTTCAGCCGGCTCCTGTGACACTTATTGAACAGATGCGACAGTATGTTCTGGCAAAACCCAATTCAAATCATACAGTTGAGAAATGAAGTAGTATTCATGATGAAAGAGACTCTCCTCCCGTGCTTTCTTCATTGATGGTTCTGGATAAGTCAGTGATGTACAATCGTCCAGCGGTGCCCAAGAATTCAAACCTAATCTCTTGACTTCCTTTGCTGAGAAAATCAAGAAGCTCAATTGGTCGTCATCAAGCTTCAACCTCTGGATGTCGCGAGACGATGCGTGCCCAGTCGCGAAGCACAAGGCACCTTTGTTGACGTAGTGGTAGTATGTGAGGAGGATGCTGACGCTGAAGTGCAGCTCCTCTAGAATCGCAATCGCATGGTACTTGTCCTATGATCGATCAGAATGTTCGGCATGGCGAAAGAGGCGACATTGCAACTCACATGTAACCGCAGATTTTTAGCCTTCTTCATAAAGTATGCTGTAAGCAAAGAACAATTATGCAGCAGAATGAACATAACCAGGTAGACTGTCAACCACGATTCAGGTTTCTTCTTAGCGACCAGTGCCTCCAGCTGCGATCTGACTTCCTGGGTCCATGGTCGTATAATCAGCGCTTCTCTCAAAAGAGAAAGCTGTGCACTGATGACCGGTGGAACTGGAACCTCTCCATAGTCATAGCGATTTCGGTCAAGTGTCTGCGGAAGCATGCCCAGCTTCTCTTCGCCGATGACCCTCTGAGGCTTGGTACCACGGCGGGCTGCAACCCATAGACGCAGAACATTACGAAGGAGAACCCTCTCTTCTTCAACCTGATGTATGTTAGAACTTTTCTACCTCTTGTCAAAACCATGATTCATACCTTGCTTGAAGTGGACAGGCGAAATGCCATCAGGTACGTATCGACCAAGAGTTTATCATTTGGATTAACGAAATGATTAATGAAATCCTCGATATAGTTATCTATATTGACACTGGGCTCATGTGCTGTCCGAGTCATATTCATGATCGCCCATGGGGCTGTTTGATGATGGAATCGTTCCCCGGTCGACTTTGACATCCAAGTTCGGGTCAATGAGTCTCCCGGAAGAGGGACAATCATTCGAACTGTAAGAACATCTTTCGCAGAACCGATATCTTGCGTGAGAACAAGAGTTCTAACTTCTGACGACGCCCAGACATCAATTTCCTTAACGTCCATCGTTGCCCACCGGGTCGTCCAGTACGGCTCAGGACAGTCTTTTGCAGGCGTGAACCTCGCATCCGGAATTTTCTTCCGCAAACATGGAATATTGATGATCGCAGAATCCGAAAGACATCTCATGCAAGGCCCGTCCGGATTGAGGGGATTTCGAACACACTGGGCGAGTATTAGAACCTATGCTTCTTAATTCCTTTTGTTGAACTTACTCTACTTTTCTGCATTTTGCAGCGTGCACATGACCCAAGTTCCCGGGTACAAGCAGTTGCAGCTCTCTCATCTAAGTCAAAAGATCGTCGTGGCTTCTTACCTCGATCGATCTGCTTTTCCACCCTGGCCGGAGCGGCAGCTCGGCTGGCCGTCACTTTTGTACGACGGGCAATCTTCTTTGTTTTGGGAGGATTTGGCTCTGTATTCGAAGGTATTGGATCACTTTCAACTGTGGTGTGATTTTGTTGGGAAGGTGCGGCTGGTGGAATATGCTGTTGATTTCCAAACTGGATTCGATCTAAACGTGCGTCATCGTTCGGCGGTTGGAAGGAACTCTGCGTATCCTGTAAAAGCTCAGTGTTATAGCTATTAGTTGGAACAAGTTGGTATGGCGCAGAACTATCGTTTGCCATAGCTTGTTCGTTTCCGGACGTCATATAATCGTTCATGGGAAAGTCCCCCTCGACTGTCTCATGTAGAAAGTCTGACTGCAGATCAAAATTGAGCATATTGGAGTAATCTTCTGGTTGCTGTATTTGGGATGGGTCCGACAAACCGACTCCGAGCCAAGGCTCTGCTTGTGATGAAGCATTCTGCAAAACATCACCGAAGGTTGACCAGTCCCAATCAGGTGGTATGTCGCTGCTGCTAGGGATTTGAGCATTGCCACCTAGAGTTGGGTACTCATCTGGCATGGGAAAGAAAGACTCTACTGGGTGTTCAGCGATCTGATCGAGGTGCGGAGATGATTCCAGAGCTGAGCTCTGGTTTTCGGTCGATCGTGGCGTGAGTATCACGTTAGAGCTCGTAGTCTCGCTTGATATTGTCCTCTCGGCTGCATAAAGTTAGATCAATGCTTGTGACGAGTGAGTACCCTTCCCCGTCCAATCTCTAAACCCAACTTAGCACACGACCGCAGTTTCCCACTTCCACAAAAAGACCTCCAAGCCTATATCGAGAAAGTAAACAGCTACTACCACTTCAAAGTAGCCTCGCACCACTCAACCCTCGGCTTCGTACTCCCCTTCGTCGCCGAAGTCTTCGCCCGCTACCCAGGCTGGGAACTAAACTCCAACTCTACTCCTCGAACTCTCACACTCAACGCTGGCAACACCGAGCTCTCGCGCTCTGCCCTCGTTGCTTCAACCTTAGCAGATATCTGCGCTCAAAAACACTTCGCCGTCATCTCCAAATGGCGCAACGAGCTGAAACCCGCCTACGGTCCTACAGGAGAAGTGCTGTTCTCCATGGAGCGCGCAGCCGTCACGCTGCTTGGAATCGTGTCGTATGGTATCCATATGATTGCTTACACGCGCTGCGCCGAGACCGACGAGCCCAAGCTCTGGATCTCCAAGCGCTCGAAGACCGTGGCTGTTTATCCTGGTTTGCTAGACAACTGCGTCGCAGGCGGCATCTCCACGGGCGAGATCCCCTCGAGTCCCTCGTCCGCGAAGCGCACGAAGAGGCTTCCCTCCCCGCCGACCTGGTTCGCGCAAATGCCAAAGCATGCGGCACGCTCTCGTACCTCCATAGCCGCAACGCCCGCGCAGGCGGTGAGATCGGATTGCTCCAACCCGACGTGCATTTTCTTTTTGAGTGTGAGCTGCCAGCAGACGTGGAGCCGAAGCCATTTGATGACGAGGTGGAGTGGTACCAGTTGTGGGATATTGAGCAGATCAAGGAGGGGCTGAGGATGGCGAAGTTTAAGCCGAGTTTTGCGCTGGTGATGCTTGATTTTTTTGTGAGGCATGGGGTGTTGAATGAGGGCAATGAGAAAGATTTTGTGGAGATTTGTGCGAGATTACATAGGACTTTGGAGTTTAGCGTGGGAGGTGTTACGTTCGCGCAGAGGGATAGCGAGGCGAAGATCTGATCGAGAAGGTTGCAAGTTGAAGTTATCTTGACGATGGAAGGTTGCGTAGGTATATGAATATTCGTTTCCTCAGAAAATTGTACGAACATACGTTTGCTATTTTTTTCAATTTTTTTTTTCTTGCAGTATCATATTTGAGTTGAGTACCTAGGTAGTATTTCATACGCCGCAGCTCTCGTACAGTTTCGGACGAGTTCGGACGAATTCGCTCGACATCGGAAGCGAATCATGCTAGCATTTCGTAAACTCCGCAATGCGGCTGGGAACATCTTTAACGCCATGTGTAGATCCGTGGGTCAATTCATAGTGATAATCATATAAATAAAGGCTGGAGGAAGATGTATTTCATTCAAATCAATTCGAATCTCAAGCATCACTTGAACACTTCACCTACACTCAATACTACACAAGAATCGATCCTCTCAATCAGTCAACTCGAACAATCAAAATGTCTTCAATCAAAAACGTTATTGTCGTCGGAGTAAGCGATCTCAGCCTCATCCCCCCTTTCCTCAGCCCCACTGACCAAATTAGGCGAATGGAAACATCGGCAGCATCGTAACCCAACACCTCCTCTCAGCAAACTTCAACGTCAGCATCCTCACCCGCGAAAACTCAACCTCCACCACCCCACCAAACGCCCAAGTCTTCCAAACAGATTACTCGGAAGCCTCTCTAGCTTCAGCATTCAAGGGCCAAGATGCCGTCGTCTCCACCGTCGGCGTCCTCGGCAAACCCACTCAGACGAAACTCATCGATGCCGCCATCGCCAGCGGCGTCAAACGCTTCATCCCCAGCGACTTCGCTTACAAATCAAACGACATGTCGGATATCGAGCGGGTCATCCCACTCGTGTACCAACGTCTCACGCCCAATAAAACGATCCTCGACTACCTAGAAGCAAAAGCTGCTCAGCACCCAAACTTCACCTGGACAGCCATCGGCGGCGGTCCGCTCTTTGATTGGGTATTTCCCGTCCCCTTTCCCATTCACGTGTGAGGATAATAACTAACAAAGCAAACAGACCCTCAAAACAGGCTTCCTCGGGACGTCGATCCCGAACCACACATCCACGATCCTCGACTCGGGCAACGAATCCTACGCCACAGTCACGATCCCGCAACTCGCGCGCGCGGTCGTCAGCACATTATCTGCGCCGGAGAAGACGGCGAACAAGTACCTAACCGTGACGTCCTTCTCGACGACGCAGAATGAGATCCTGGCTGCGGCGGAGAAGGTCACGGGGCAGAAGTTCGCGGTGAAGAGGGTCGGGGCTCAGGAGTGGCATCGAGAGGGCTTGGAGCAGTTCGGCAAGGGCGATTTTAGGGGGTTGGGGAAGTTGTGGGGGTATTTCTTTTGGAGGGATGGGGAGGGGTTGGTTAAGGATGTGGGGGATGATAATGGGATGTTGGGGTTGCCGAGGGAGGATCTGGAGAGTGTGATTAGGGAGGTTGCTGGGTTGTGATGTGTCCAAGTTTGAAAGATGTCTGACTGTCAGGCAATAACAGCGATCGTTATGAAGTTAAAATGATTTGTTCCGAAATGTGACATGGTGTCATGTATCGGGCTTTCAACACCTGTGTTCCGCGGGAGGAAAGTTAATGAACCCATTAATCAATACACTGTCTTCGACATAAAATTCTCCCATCCCGAGTGCAACTACCGAGCTCCAGTCCAAAACAAAGAATATTTCAACAAATGAAAATTCAACATAAACAAAAAATCAATACCCATCATCAGACGAACTATAGTACTGCCCACTCCCAGTCATCTCATCCATCTCCGGTATAATATGCGTGAGAACAGAATCAATGTGGTAACCAGGGATGGTATGTCTGTAGCTTCACAGAGATGCCTCGTCTCGTCGTTTGGAAAAGAAGCGTTGGTTGCAAAGCACTGTACAGTTCCGACGACGAAGATACGACGACTTACCGGATTTGGTGTCCAAAGACCGAGAATCTCGCGGAAGAAAAGCCAGTCTCCCGATGTAATGGACTGTATGTAGTCGATTGAGATTCGGAGGTTGGATTAAACTCTGGCGGGGTGAGATTTCTAGACCTGAGGTCAAAGCGCAAAGATCGTTACAAGTCGCAAGAACTCTAAATGTTCGCGGCGAGTGTTCTAAGCAGAATCTCGTCGACTCTCGAATTTTCATGCGGATAGATATCCTGTTCCCTTTGTGGAGTGTGCTAGTGATCCGTCAATAATGAATTCTGGGTGCTAGAATCGAAGTCAGAAAAAGGTGCGCGAAACCTCACGAGTTGTGGCGGCGGAGGGCGGAGTTCTGTATTCCATCTTCTTTTCTGTTCAGCGGAAAGCTGTGGAAAGCAATCGATCTGCGTCTGAAAGGAGAAAAACAAACGGAGACGCGAAGTGATGAGTCCTTTATTTCTAAGTTGCTTGGGTGTGCGGGAAGAGACAGCGCCGTATCTTTTCCCCTTCGTTTGTGGTGATGGCAATACCCGCGGCGTGCTTCAACGCTTCGCTTCGCTTCGGCTCATGCTACGTATCCCCTATCCCCTATCCCCTAATCCCCAGAGTACAAGCTCCCGAGACGCAGCACGAGGTCGAGAAAAGCTTAAAAGGCACACAAAACGCACGTCCGAGCGGGATGAACAGATGCGGAGTAGCGGGGCTTTGCTGAATGAATGAATGAATGGATGAATGAATGGAATGCTTTGGATATGATATGATACGTGCGTCTGTATGGTACATGTGACACAGACTTGAGGGTGGTACGACGAGCGGCCGCGTGGTTGGTAGTTAGTTAAGACTGCGCGCGGGCGGGTTGGAAATTGTGGTTTATGTTGGAGGGTTGGATTGTTGGCCAGGGAAAGGGGCCTGGATTGGAGCTCTGGAGTTTGGGGGGGAGGGGAGGGGAGGGAAGGGAGGGGATTGGAGGGGATTGGGGTGGATTGAGGTGATGGTTTTGAGATGGCGGTGTAACCGTGTCCCACTGCCCTTTGGTCGTGGTTTGGTGAATTGTTTGATGCATAGACTACTTCCTCCGGGAGTGTCACTGATTGATATGCAACACGTAGTGACTTGGAACAACGTTATAAAAGCTTGCGAATATTTATTAAAATGTGGTAGTAGCTTGTACCTCTCGTTATTTTTAGCGTTGTTACATATTAATCAGTGATACTTTGGGAGGGAGTGGCTTGTGCGCAGTGTAAAAGCCATTCTTAAAGGTCACTACGTATTACAAATTAGTCAGTGACACTCCGGGAGTGGCTTGTGTGTAACGGAATAAGGCCACGACCAGAGGTCAGGGAGACATTGTTAGATTATGATTTAAATATGGAAAGTTTATAAATCATAACCCAGAGAGCTAGATTAGAACTCCTTTGGCGTGATTGGACCGCTTAGATTGTTGTCTAGACTGCGGATCGGGCTTGGTGTGCTCTTCCTCATTTTTTGCTCTAGCTTAGGCATTTTCCGGGGGAGAGATGTAGATTATGGGGATGGGCTACGTCCACGTGTGGTAGACCTAGAAAGAAGTTGCTCTTGACTGACTTTGTCTTGTTATTATGTCTGGACCTAATAATCTGGATACAATTAGCTAGCTGTGCCACTCAAAAATGGGCCTGTATTCAAACAATCCAAGTCGCTTTTCTCACATAGTATATGCCTGCAATTACGGACGAACATGCAGTTCGAGCTTCTCGAAAGATTTAAGCTTTTCGATATCTTTTTGGGCGGTGATGGAATGGTTTGGTAACCTCATCATTTGTATTTAGACGTTGAAGATTGGAAAGACTGTAGACGACTCACGAAAGCACTTTTCAAGGTAAGGGCCAAGAGAGAGAAAAGCGGAGGCGGCTCAGAGGTGTGGTCTTGTCCAAGTAGGTACCAGTAACTAGGTAAGCTATCCGGTATCCGTCTGACTAAGCCTAATCACGTTGCCAACAGTTGTTTCTTGGAGCCGGGGTTGCAGATCAAGCATCGAGAGCTGTTTGTCTATCTCCTTGGGCGCGCTAATGCAAGGGTGTACACAGGGGGTTTTGACGCTGCCAGACAACCAAGCTGTTCCCTATAAGCACTTGTGCGTGACTGTCACATGCTCTACTCAAACTCGTCGACTACGAGGAGATAAGTTTGTGAGACAAAGGTTTGAAAGTGCAACTGCCAGTCCCATGAATCGGACGTTTGTGGTGCGTGGCTTAGGTAGTACAGTACATGTTCAACCTCAGTGATTTAACCCCAGACAGAGATTGAACCCCAGAGATTGAATCTCAGCAGATGTTCAACCTCACACAGAAATTCAACCCCAGCAGATGTTTAGCCTTAGGTAACATGGTACAAAAACGGTTCTGCATTCCGACCCGAGGATGCAAGTCACCCGGAACAGCAGTGACGCCCTAGTCCATATCGGGGCTAGCACAACTTGACGCTCGTCTTCCATTCTCCCAGCTGCTTTTCCAGCTTTCCCAGCTCATTATCCTCGTCCACGTCTTTTTCTCAAATCAATCAAACATTGTCAAGCGCCACCCAACCAGACGGGTCGACGACAGAACCGTTTGTTTCATTCGCACGTTCACGCGATACCAATCTCGGGACCCCAATTAATGACAAGTCGTTGATTGATTGATTGATTGCGTGCAGAGATTAATCCACGTATCACGCGCATACGCTTGAATGCGCCCCTAGTCCGGGGCTGCAGTTGGTGGCACCAGGATCAAATCAAGACTCATCACGCCTCCCAGTACTGTAGAAGCGCACGACTCACAAAAATGACCGGGTGCCATGCGGGGAAGCTTCGACGCCTCAAGACGAGTGGCTTTTTGGCGGGTGGGGATCGATGCACCCTGGCATAACCCTAGAACCCCTCCCCTCGTCAACCCCGTTTACTCCACCATTCCTTTCCCTAGAGTGGCAAAGGGCCGAATGACAACCTCACCAACGCTAAGAGTATGGAGCAGGTGCCACAAGCCTACCTTTGTAACATCAAGTGGAGGATTCGACTTGTTCCCCAGCATCCCCGGCGTCCCCAGCGTCCTCCACACTCGCTCCCTGCTACGAAAAAAACGAGATGCGGAGGAGATCCAGAATCAGGTGTCCTCCGCTCCCCTGTTGACGAGGGACAATAATTAGAAACTGAGCAGCGACGCGGCTCGGTGCCATCTCACCCGCTGCGAGGGCGCTCGGCCAGTCCACCGGTCGTTCTGCTGTACGTTACATTCTATACCCGCCATGCGGATCTCCCCCAGATTGGGGTTGGGATAGTGGACAGAAAGGATAAAAGGTAGTCCCCTTCCCCGTTTCCACGTTTTTCTTTCCTTGTCCGCTCTTTCTATACCTACCCAAGGTACCTCCTACCTACCGATCTCTTCTACTTGACGTTTCTTTTCTTCCAGGCAGGAAAACCCCCCCGCCAACATGAGTAACCCCACCGAGAAAGAATATGGCGGTGGCGCTCCAGAGGTGGGCGAGGTTGAGGGGGCCTTCAACCAGGTGGAACATACACACGCCTACGATCTGGACTTGAAGGCAGATGTCGCCGATTACAAGGCGGATGCCGTCGAGGCAGAGAACGCGGAGCACAAGATGGGTGTGATCGATGCTGTGAAGGCGTATCCCATGGCTTCCTTCTGGGCGTTTATCATGTCCTTCACAATCGTAAGTTGCTTGAACTCTCTCTCCACTTGGCCATTCTTCCAACGAGGATTAACATTTCCTTCAGATCATGGAGTCCTACGATGTCTTCCTTATCGGCAATTTCGTCGCTCTCCCTGCGTTCAAACAGCAGTTCGGTGTTTGGGACGCCAACGGTAGCCCGCCACAATGGGTCATCGAGACCAAGTGGCAGTCTGCGCTGCAAGTGTCAGGACAACTCGGTGCGCTCATTGGCGTCTTCCTCGCGGGTCCCCTCACCAGTCGCATCGGATACCGTTACGCGACCTTGACCGGCCTCATGCTCTTGAATGCCTTCATCTTCATCTTTTACTTTGCCAAGTCGCTTCCCTTGATTTTCGTGGCCCAGCTTCTCGAAGGCTTGCCATGGGGTATCTTTATTGCCAATGCGCCAGCATACTGCAGTGAGATCGTTCCGATCAAGCTGAGAGCGCCAGCAACCCAGATGCTGCAGATGTTCTGGGCTATTGGGAGTATCATCGTTGGTGCCGTCACCTACCGTTATAACGGGAGATTGGATTCAAGTGCCTACAAGTACGTGTCACCATTTGAATTATATAGGAGCTCTTTCGCTGACAAAAGGAAATTAGGATTCCTATTGCGCTCCAATGGATGTTCCCTACCCCACTCGCGATCCTCATCTTTTGTGCACCCGAGTCACCCTGGTGGCTGGTGCGAAAAGGGCGTCTGGAAGAAGCCAAACATTCGATCGAACGTCTTGGACGCAGATCGAGGCTGAATTCGAGTGAGGCGGTTGCCATGATGCGTCGTGTCGTTGAGCTCGAGACATCTGAAAAGCCACCCAGCCACATCGAACTTTTCAAAGGCACTGACCTCTACCGAACTCTCATCGTGTGTGGTGTGTACTTGGCACAGAACCTCACGGGTAACTTGATCGCCAATCAAGCCGTCTACTTCTTCGAGCGTAAGTTATCATCTTGCTGTTTCAGCTGAATATATATGCTAATACAAGCGCAGAGGCCGGTATGGGCACGAACACTGCCTTCGCCCTGGGTCTGACCACCTCAGCTCTTCAGATGGTCTTCGTCATGCTCTCCTGGATCCTCACGACCTACTTAGGCAGACGTACCATCTACCTCTGGGGCTCGGCATTCAACGTCGTCCTATTGGTAGCCCTCGGTGTCGCTGGTTCCGTCGACAGGACACACGCATCCAACCTGGCGCAAGCCTCCCTGGGCCTCATCATCTCCGTTCTCTTCACCCTAGGCCCCGCGCCCGCCTCGTGGGTCATTATCGGAGAAACCTCTGCCATTCGCTTGAGGCCTTTGACCACTGGAATGGGTCGCGCTGCCTACTATATCATCGAGATCCCTTGCATCTTCCTCGGAAGTTACATGCTCAACCCTACTGTAAGACTCCTCTCTCTCACTCCCGCGCTGAATAATCACTAACGAACGCAGGGTGGAAATCTTGCCGGCAAATGCGGATACGTCTGGGGCGCAACCGGCTTCCTTTGCTTGGTCACCGCGTACTTCTACTTGCCCGAGATGAAGGGTCTCTCCTACCGTGAGATCGACATCTTGTTCAAGCGTCGCGTCCCGGCTCGCAAATGGAAGGAGACCGTCATCGATGTTCAGGATGATGAGTAGATGGAGATGTGGGGAGGAAATACAGGAGCGACGTGGGTGAGGAATGGAAGCACGGGATGTTGTAGTATAGTGCTCGAATGAATGTAGCAATGCGAACACCATACATTCGCTGATATTTCATTATCAACCTGTTGTTAGACTCTAAGTCATGATACCGCGTCTATGCTAGAGGAGGTTGGTATTCAGCCAAAACGTGCATGTTGAGATCTTTCATCACGGAGACGACGATATTCACAGTGACCATATACATCCAAAAAGAAAAGTTCCTCCACCACCTCTAAATTCAAGGAACGCCAAGAACTGTATTCAAAAAAAAAACATTGCTGGACATTTCCATCGATACCAACGCACAGAGCGCAAAATGCGAGGACAGTGATTTCTCCGCAATGATGTTTACTATACTAAATCAGGGATCGACGAATTTGTCCGTGTTAGAGTTCATTCTTTGGATGACAGTGCTTGAGGCTGAATGCACCTATTATCTAGGTAGATAGTGGTGTTTCCTTCCGGCTGTGCTTGTGGATGTTAGAGTAAGAGGGCAGTTGCGGTTTGGTACGTGACGAGGAAGATGTTGGATGTTGGCTGGTAGGATTTTGTTGGAGGGTGGGAGATAGGGTTTATATGGGTAGGTGTATTTAGTGAAAGAGATGGAGGGTCGGATGATTTGGTTGATGTGCGGGGCTTGTGGGGTTTTGGATGCTTGGAATGGCTCAGCTTATAGCTATTTCGAGGCGTTGGGAGCTGGAATTTTTCTGGGGATACAGACTTTGTTTTAGGATTCCTCGTAGTATCAAATGGAATGAGAAGAAAATAGAGGAACTGGATAACAATGCTATCATCTTTAAGTAATTTCTGTCTTTTACTGAAAATTCGAAGACCTTCTTCTGTCACGTGCTGCAGCATAATCTTAGCGTGAACGCGACGCGAAATATTTTTGAAGCTCATAACGACGAGAGCCTAGCACCCAACAGCTCTCTAACCACCTACCACCAACCTTCCCCCAAACCCAAATCCACACTCTCTCGGAGCCACACATATCAGCGACTCGACTGCAAGCTTCACACCATCCGCAATCATGTCTTTCGGTGGCCAGACCCCGACTATTATTGTGCTAAAAGAGGGTCAGTCAACAGCAGACTTCCCCTGCAGAAAAAGCTCTTGCTGACCAACTTCCCATAGGTACCGACTCCTCACAAGGAAAAGGCCAAATAATCTCGAATATAAACGCCTGTCTCGCCGTCCAAGCCACCATTCGAAGTACCCTCGGCCCCTACGGCGGCGACCTCCTACTCGTCGACGCCAACGGCCGGCAAACGATCACCAACGACGGCGCGACCGTCATGAAGCTGCTCGACATCGTGCACCCCGCTGCGCGGATCCTGACCGACATCGCGCGATCGCAGGACGCGGAGGTGGGCGACGGGACGACGTCGGTGGTGGTGCTCGCGGGCGAGATCTTGAAGGAGATCAAGGATCATGTGGAGCAGGGGGTCAGCTCGCAGACGATTATTAAGGGGTTGAGGAGGGCGTCCGCCATGGCGGTTAATAAGGTGCGGGAGATTGCTGTTAATACGAGTGAGGGGAATCAGAGGGAGACGTTGGTTAAGTTGGCGGGGACGGCGATGAGTAGCAAGTTGATCAAGAGGAATACGGGGTTCTTTACCAAGAGTATGTTTCTATTTCGGAACTTTGGAGGGGCATTTGCTAACGGATAGTAGTGGTGGTTGATGCTGTTCTTTCTCTTGATCAAGATGATCTCAATGAGAAGCTTATTGGTGTCAAGAAGATTCCTGGAGGCTCACTTACCGATTCTCTGTTCGTTAATGGTGTTGCGTTCAAGAAGACCTTTTCTTATGCTGGTTTCGAGCAACAACCTAAATCCTTCAAGAACCCTAAGATCGTCTGCCTGAACGTCGAGCTCGAGCTCAAATCCGAGAAAGACAACGCTGAAGTACGAGTGGAGCAAGTTTCGGAATACCAAGCTATTGTCGATGCGGAATGGCAGATTATCTACAACAAGATGGAAGCTCTGTACAAGACTGGTGCGAAGGTTGTCCTTTCGAAACTCCCCATTGGTGATTTAGCGACACAATACTTTGCAGACAGAGACATCTTCTGTGCTGGTCGTGTTGCATCTGATGATCTCGACCGAGTCATCCAAGCTACAGGTGGTTCTATCCAATCTACTTGCTCGGACATTCACCCTGAACATCTTGGAACCTGTGGTAGATTCGAAGAGAAGCAAATTGGTGGTGAACGCTTCAACTTCTTCGAGGACTGCCCTCAAGCCAAGACTTGCACGTTAGTGCTTCGCGGTGGTGCAGAGCAGTTTATTGCGGAAGTCGAACGATCCCTCCACGATGCCATCATGATTGTCAAGCGAGCTATCAAGAACAACACTATTGTCGCTGGTGGCGGAGCATGCGAGATGGAAGTCTCAGCCTACCTTCACCGATACGCAGACAAGAACGTCCCACACAAGCAGCAAGCGATCATCAAATCGTTCGCCAAAGCTCTCGAAGTTATTCCCCGTCAACTCTGCGACAACGCCGGTTTCGACGCGACTGATATTCTGAACAAGCTACGAGTGGAACATAGAAAGGGAAATACATGGGCAGGAGTTGATTTTGACAACGAGGGCGTGCGGGATAATCTCGAGGCTTTCGTTTGGGAGCCTGCGTTGGTAAAGATCAATGCTATCCAAGCCGCAACTGAGGCGAGTTGTTTGATCCTGAGCGTTGATGAGACGATCAAGAATGAGGAGAGTGCGGCTCCCCAGGCCCCGCAACGAGGTCTTCCACCGGGAGCGGCGCAGAGAGCATTGAGGGGTAGAGGAAGGGGGATGCCGAGACGGTAGAGAGTGGTGGGTGGAGTGTCAGATGATGTATGATATTATACATGAGTAAAATGACGAATATTAGAGTTTTGAGAGCGAGCAGGCTGCTTGAGTGCCGTGAATAGTAATCGTAAGGGGATGACTTATTCAGCATGAGGCATATATGTTGACTTCGTCCCCGCTTCGATTCTTTCTCTTTTTCGAATATTTAACGCAAAACATCCTCCTAAAGACTTCATCTTGTTATTGTGCAACTCGTCTTGGATATGATGACGCTCGAGAGAGGGCTGAATTGAGATGAATGTCTTCCAGATCAGCTGATCATTTTCTTGTGTTCCACGTCTCTCTTGAATGGCGTCTCTGTGATTTTTATGACGAATTCCCTGTCTGCCTTCTTCGTTCTTACATTTCACTTTCCATGAATTCTGAGACAAGTGTCTCTCACATCAAGCTTTAAACTTCCAGGTCAGCTGATCCTTTTCTCATTTTCTATGTTTACTTTAAATAATGAGTTTGTGATTATAGTGGAGGATTTTTTTATTTTCTTTTTCGTTCTTGCATATCATTTTTTTTAATACGTGAATTGTGGATTGTAGGACGAGTGTCTCACATCATGTTTAACAAGCTCCGTCGGAGATGACAAAAAAAAGTGATCTCCGACCCCGCTCACCCCGCTCTCGCGGGCGGTGGACAAAATACCCGGACGAAATAAACACCTCAAGAAAAACTAATATTGAATTGTTAATATTTAATACAGATTCATGGAATTATGCTTTACAAAAGACTTAGATCTTAGCTATCTAATAAATTTATTTTTTCATCTTTCCGACTTTTCTAAGAGGTTGGAATCGAGAGTTGAAAAGAGTGTGGTACTCGAACCATCGCTTAATTAGTCCGGATTTTTCTGTCCGCTATTCGAACATACAACATCATGTCAGCTCAGCTTAACGACAATCCAACAAACATCACAGCTAGCTCTCTACACAAAAGCCTCATCACCTCACCCGCTCACAATTAAACCTCAACCCAAACAGACTCTTAAACCTCATCCAGCAACACATCCCGCTCATCAACCAACAATGACCACGCAACCCAACCCCCCCAAGCGCCAAAAAACCCCCAAAGACGCCCCCTACCACCTCATCTACTGGCCCGGCATCCCCGGCCGCGGCGAACACATCCGCCTCCTCCTCGAAGAAGTCGGCGCCCCGTACACAGACTCCGCGCACACGAAAGACGGCATGAAGCTCGTCACCACCGCCATCTCGACCGCCAACCTAGGCGACGCACATAACCCGCCTCCCCTCGCGCCCCCGATACTGAAACACGGAGATTTAACCATAAATCAGACGTCTAACATCCTGTTTTATCTGGGCAAGAGACACGGATTGATGGGCGCTGACGATGACGAAGATGCACCGTACAAAGTCAATGAATTGGTCCTGACGGCACTAGATGGACTGAGCAACGAGCCGCATGACGTGCACCATCCCGTTTCGACGAGCTTGTACTACGAAGACCAGAAGGTGGAAGCGAAGCGCAAAGCGAACGACTACATCACGAACCGGCTGCCGAAATTCCTGGGCTATTTCGAGAGAGTCCTAACTGGGGAAGCGAGCAAGGGCGGGGAGTGGCTGTATGGGGGTCGCTTGACGGTCGCGGATTTGGTGCTGTGGCAGTGTATTGATGGAGTCAAGTTTGCGTTTCCGAATGCGATGAGGAGGTTGGAAAAGGGGGGAGGGTATAGGAGGGTTTTTGGGCTGTATGGGAGGGTGAGGGGGAGGGAGAGGATTGGGAAGTATTTGGGGGATGTGAAGAGGCAGAGGTATAGTATGGGGGTTTATAGACATTATCCTGAGTTGGATGAGGATGGGGAGGGGAAGGGGGAGGTGGGGGGTGTGGAGAAAGCGGATGAGGTGGAGGGGGGGGCGAAGTAGAGGGTTGTGCGTACGTAGAGGATAAAACCTTGGGTTGCTCTTTGCACGCATGTTTTTGTGCTGGGTGTGCTGTGATGTGTGAGTAACGTTATTCTTTCTGCATGATTTTAAATGTGGAGTGGTCGTTTCTCTCTCACGATCTAAATTTAACAGTTTCTTCCTTTCTTACTACTAAGAGTATCGTATATACCGATTTCCATCATCGTTCTCTAGAGTTTTCACCTCTCAGCAGCTATGCTCACAAGAATCAGCATTCGATCAGGTCGCAAGTGATCCTGCGAGTGATACAATGTGTACTTCACACTCAGACGAACAATTCGTTCGCTTAAATACACAGCGCAAGATTCTCAACTCAATGTGAACTTCTCGAAAAGCTTGAAAGGATTCTGTTAGTATAGACTACGTTCAAGGGCTGTGTCAGTTATATATGTGAGTATCATGAGATTTGCTCAACTGCGTTTCAATTTCTTTTTCTTGCGGGTTAATAAAAGTGTATCTACTCTTCACCCTCTTGGGTGCGAAAAGTCCGGAAATCCTCTTCACAAGCTCGAAGCTTGCTTTCTTACTTGATACACACTAGATAGAGGGGTTCCCAAATACGAATGAATATAAACACTATTCTGAGCTGGAGTCGAGAACGGCTATTGTTGTTTAGTACGCTGTTGATGGAATCATGGACATGGTGCCTTCCTGGGCTAGTGACAGGATTGTTACTTTAGTGAAAGATGTTATTGATTCGATTGAGCATGGAAAGGTTGAATATGCCGAGTTCAAGGGTGGGTCTTCAGTAGTCAGCATGCGTACTAATGTGTCTTTTGCTGGGGAAGCTCGCGTGAGGTATCTTTGCCACAAAAGGCATGCGAAGGAGGAAATTCAAAGCGTTTCCAGTAAATTTGCTGTTCTTCTTTTGTACTGTGTAAGTGGAACAGCATATTCTCAGCCAAGAAGAAAAATTGCGGCGCAGGCCCACATTGAACAAATCACTGAACATCCTTGCCTTTTTCAGCACGGGCGAGAGGTGAACATGCCTTGCCATATTTGGAACTGTATTGCCAGGAACTCTCGTTCGTCCTTTTCAGCTACATTTAAAAGCTCGTACGGGCAAGGAATAACAACAAGTCTTTCAATTTTCTGTGATCAAGCAAAATCTCCAAGAAACATCCCTCACTACAACCTACATCCGATCTCACGTACACGCTCAGTCGTTGAACATGATCATAGTAGTAACAAACTGAAACCGTGGACTAGGCCATCAATACGCCATATCCTCGCCCAAGCTCCCCACAACCTACCCTTTGCAATCAACGCCACATCTCGAGAATCCGCATCCCCAGACGTCAAACCACAGCACAGCAACATCATCTACTTCAAGACCCTTGACACTATATCACCGTCAACCCTCCAAAACCTCATCTCGAAGATCAATTCCTTGGTAGATGTTCTGAACAACGACGCCGACCAGGAATACTGCTACGAGAACACTGTCAAAACTTTCGACGTGAGTTAGAAGGGTACGAGGAATATATGCGAGCTCTTCTGAAATACAGGAGGAAGAATCAGGGATCGAGAATAGTCAATGTAACAGCACCGGGTCTTCGAAACTCAGATCGTACTCAGAGACCATTCGAGCAAAATTCATCCCGTGCTCATTGACACTCCCCGCTCGCAGACTCCTACCTCTAGCCTGTTCAAACTAGTATAGGGGAGGAATCTGGCTGGAATCACGTGAAGGGGGTTTGTACGTAACTTGAGCAAATCCTTTGTTCACGCGCTGTTCTTACGAGAGAGAATCCGGGGATGTTGGTTAATTGCTGTTGTGCGGGGTGGAATAGGACGGATATTGGGAGGTTGGGGGTAAGGGCAGGTTCGGGAAGGATATGTTGGATGGCGCGAGGATACCGGTGAGGTTGGCGGTTGGTGATGTTGGTGGCGTGAGGGGAAGTTGAGGGGAAGTTGAGGGAATAGTGGATGTTGGAGCTTTTAGTGTATGGAAAGTTAGGACGTGGCTTGCTTCTCTCACTTCAAGCCTACAGGAAAGGCTTCGTCCTTGAAAAATAAAGTTAGTGTGATGAGGACGAAGTTTGTAGTAATGTTGCTGTATTCTGGAGACAAATCCACGAAATTCCCTACCGCAATTACTGGCTTGGCTGACTTTTAGAGCATCTCCGAGTTCCGCTTGAAATCTTTCTGATTTTGGCCAACCCGGCCGCCATGGAGTTGTGCTGCAAGTGGTGCGCTACGGGAACTACTCACTGCTATCTCTTGTAAATTATAGCCAGGATGAATATCTGTTAAATATATAAAATCATGCGAGAGGACATGAAGAAGAACGTTTCTCAGGGGCCAGCGGGGCAAGGGCAAGATCAAAGCTCGCCTCGCTTATCAGAAACCGTTGGTAATGCAGCAACTTTAGACACCAAAAGTGAACTTTTATTATACACATTATACAATTAAATAAGCAAATCCCTGCCAATTATCAGGCGCTTTGGCGGAGTGGTTAACGCGATGCCCTGCTATGGTTTTCAACCAAGTGGATCAGGCATTTCCTTCGGGAGCGAGTGTTCGAATCACTCAGGCGTCGTTTTTGCTTTTCAATACATTTTGCATGAAAAAGCTTTCTCAACTTACTGATGTCGAGAAAGCGGTTTTGCTTTTTTTTGCGCATTACCTTTTGGAGCAAGCGACCATCTACTCAGGGGTCTCTTTTTGTTATTTTAGCGAAACGATACTCTTGTCTACTCTTGCGCGCAAGTCAACGAAGTAAATCCAACTTGAAAAAGCATGTTTTTTTTGTACTGCTGGCTCATCAAGCTCGCTTAACCAGCACTGCCGGTGCGGCTGAGCGTATGAGACATAACTTATTGACGCCTTTTCACTGTGTGGCTGAGTATATGAGACATGAACTACTGGCGTCTTTCACGAGATAGACTTGGGTCCCTCTTGCTGCTCTTGTCTTCCGGACTAACATCGTCAGCCATAAATACCAACTCGTGCCAGCACCAGCAACTCAAAAGTTTCGAAGCATCCTTGTGAAATGGTATATTCTACCAGCCGTCAATCCACGGCCGAAGACCATGAGCTGCAACCTTTTTATGGCAGGGACAACTCTTCTCAGCCTGATGCCGCGCAGTCGCTCTCCTCTAACGAGGATCATCATACACCGATGCTTGGTCATCCGAAGCAACTTGACGATCGTTCCCCTAAGATGGAGTCGGAAAATCCTGAGCATAAGCCGTATCTCAAGCGTGTGTACGACAAGCTTGTAAGAGGACACAAGTACGCTGAAATTGGTCCGTTGCAGCCGGATCTCCACCAACGCGCATGGCGTACTGGTGTAAAGTCGGCTACCTTGGGTGCAACAGTAATCTTCATTTTGAACGCGGGCATAACTTTATTCATTGCCACTCGGTATCCCAGATCACACGGCGTTGCTACTCTACACCGGCAGCTGCAGCAAAATATCCTTCCTGGATTCTGGACTTCATGTCGGTATCAATATCCTTAGCACCGCCTTTCTCAGCGCTATCAACTTTGTCATGCAGATCCTGAACGCTCCTTCCAGAAGTCAGCTCGACGATCGTCACCAACTGGGCATGTCACTTGACATTGGCATCCCATCGTTCAAGAACGTTCTTCGAGTTGGATGGCTTCAGGGATTTCTCTGGTTTTTTATTGGGAGTTTCGGCTATCACACTACATCTCTTGCAGGTATTCCCGACCTTCGTGTTTCTTATCTCTCAATAACATAAATTTAGTTGGAATTCTACGGTCTTTACAACTCTTCAAGCAAACTAATTGTGACGGGTTGAACCCGATATTTGGCTGCACTACTACGTAGTGCAGCCTACACGTGACTACGCGAGACCGCATGTGACCGTGCGACGCCAAAGCGCGCGGGCCATTCTACGAACCTACGAAAGCCCCTTTTTCTAAGGAGCTTTCGTACGAGAAGGAACTCTTCTCTCTTTAGTTAATTCTTCTTGTAATACAATCAGGTTCTTGCTTTGACTCATTGCATCCAACCCGTGACAGGGTAGACGCAATACCACGATTAGTACAGCACCTGCTGCTTGTTGTGGCCGCGTCTCACAGCACATGCAAATATCACGTGATTTACAGCTGAATACTGTGCTTCCAACAAAAATACGTAGAATTTAATAAAATTTATAAAAATTTTATTACGTAATTTAACGTTTATTTGTGACAGCACGGTGGGAAGCTTAGTACGTAGACGAAGTATCGATTCGGCTATCTCTTAGAATCTAAAGGTAAAGAGGAAAGAAAGGAAGGAAGCGCCGGAAGGCAGGGCATATATACAGGCGAGCGGTCACGTGAGTATTTCGTAGCGGGCACGTGACTCCATAACCGTGACATTATTTAATTTCGTAATTTTTTATTTTATAATTCGTAATTGTCACGATCACGGGACTAGTGGGCCTTAGGCCGCACGGTGGGTCACGTGATGGAGTTTTACTCTCCCGTAAAACTCTAAGGAACGGTAAAACTCTAGGAGGGGGTTTTACTCCACGACACTCAGGTTCTATATAACCCTAGGTTGTCACCCGTTAGATAGGAGCTTCGTGCTCAACTTGATTAAGTTTTCCTAACTACAATATCATTGCCTTATCTTACTTCATTCACCATACCAACCCACGTGACCTTACCAGGGTAAGGATGTCACGGTTATAGAGTCACGTGCCCGCTACGAAATACTCACGTGACCGCTCGCCTGTATATATGCCCTGCCTTCCGGCGCTTCCTTCCTTTCTTTCCTCTTTACTTTTAGATTCTAAGAGATAGCCGAATCGATACTTCATCTACGTACTAAGCTTCCCACTGTGCTGTCACATTATCTAAAGGTCAAACAACCCCCTACTAGCCTGGGAAGGCATAATAAAGAATATCCGACTAGAGACTGTACGCGTTGGACGTGTACCGCGAAGAGTATATCCTTAGTTATATCTTCAGCACCACCAGACCCCCGATGTCGAATGTCGACACTTAGACTGCAGAGCCATTCGATATAGTCGACAATAACGAAGCTTCCTCCCCCAGAGTACGCACCTCTACTTCTACTCAAAGGGCCAGCCCTCGAAAGCTTCCTCGAATCATCTACTATCCTCCGCCTGCAAGAATGAGTGCACGACACTCCCCCATCGAAGACGCCGTCTCTTCGGACGACGTACCCTCCCTAAGACCCTCTATTGAAGGGCACACACTCACCCCTACGCCGGGTGCCCCCTCTCGGACTTCTCAAACCAGCCCCTTACGTCAAACCGACTTTGCCGAAATTGCAGACGACGATCCTGAGCTCCTTGCCTTGATCCAAGCGGCTCGGCAACAGCTTATTCGAGATAGAGCTACTCGCGCCAGTACTATTGCGGATAGTGCTCCCGCTATGGGCCCCGATCTGAGACCGGCCCAGTTCGCCTCAAACGCTGCTCCGGACGACCCTTCAGGAGACTCCTCGTCAGATAGCAACAGACGGACCCATCCTCATTTTCGAGGACCATCTGCAAGACGCCACAGAGGCGAGATCCCTACCCAATTAACGCCTGCCCCTCAAACTAAGTCTATTGCGCCAGCACTCCGGACCAACTATCGTTTCCCTGACCCACCTCTCTTTGACAATGGAGAAGACCCTACGTTTGATTCGTGGATAATCGACCTGGACTCCAAGCTCGAGGCCTCAGGTTATATGGACCCTAGCGTATCAGAGAAACAACGGATGAACTACGCCCTTAGTCGTACTACTAGTGAGGCTAGAGCTCAACTGCTAACTCGCTTCCCTACCACTCTACGAAGAGTCCACCATGCGTTCCGTACGTTGGAAGAGATGGTCTAGTCCTTGGCTATAGCTTATGTAGACCCTTTTGAATCCTTGAAGAAGCAAGATGAGTATCGCTCTTTAGCTATAATAGACACTGAGACTGTGCGATAGTTCAAGATCCGCTTTCTCACTTTGTTAGCTCAAGCAGGGATATTACGAGACTAGCTCTTCTCGGATTTCCGCTCTAAGCTTACGCCCCGCATCCGTATCGCTATTGCAGGCCAAGTGTATAGTATGCGCCAAAGCTTTACCAACCTCTGCGCTGTAGTAGAGCAGACCGACCTCGAACTCTCACACGTAGCTCAGACGAAGCTAGTGCCGACCCTAAGGAAGTCTCGTGCGGAAGCTCGCTCTACTACCGTCTAAGGACCCCAGGTACTAGTCAGGACAACACAACACTATCTGCCCGGACCACCTCGATCGTCTCCCAAGCTTACTGCCCCTACGTTTCATCGGCAAGGCACTCCTAGCCGCCAGTAGTCAGTAGCTCCCCCTGACCCAAAGACTAGCTAGTGTTTCAACTACAAGAGGATTGGTCACTTTGCGAAGGACTGCCCTTCGGTTACACACTTGGATATTACTAATATAGAGAGTGTATTAGAGATAGAAGAGATTGCAACCTACCCTCAAGGCCACGTGGAAGAGGAAGAGGTAGAAGACGATAAAGACAACGCAAGTCAGCTTATGCCGGGAAATAGCGCAGCCTAAGGGAAGTCTCCTTCTTAGGCCGCTTTGTCGATTGCTTAAAGCTAGACTTACGAGCAGTGATAGGTGGAACACACTTTTCGTACCCATATACTATCAGTTTTAATGCAATTAGTACTACCGTTCACCCTCTCATCGACACTAGAGCAAATGGCTTTGCCTTCATTACTTCTGCCCTTGCCCGCGACTTTGCGAACTTTACTGGTGCCAAGTTTCAGCGCTTACGCTCTCCTATCCCTGTTTTAGGCTTTAATAGCAGACCTAAACAAGCTATCTCTCATTACCTACGCCTCCACCTCACGGTAGACGGAAGGAAGCAGCTCTTAGTCCCTTTTTTGGTTACAAAGCTCGGCTCCCATAACATTATTCTAGGCCGCACCTGGCTAAAGATGTGTCAAGTCAAGCTAAACGTAGCTAAGCGCCAACTCCTTTGGCCAAAGGACTACACGCCTTCAGACGTACGATCTACTTTGCCCGACAAGCACGTGCCTCGCTACTATATGAGAAAGCTCCCGGTTGGACTTAGAAGCCAGGACCAGTTGGATACCAACCGTCGTGACTTAGTAGTAGAGATCCAGGATCAACAACAAAGAAGTAGTGCTCAACATAGCTATACCCAGCTAAATATCAACAGTTTAAGCCCACCTTCACCGTCCCCGCCGCCACAAGAGCCTAGTACTACGCCACCAAAAGTACCAAGCCTCCTACCTATACCAAAAGAAGAGCTTATGTTAAAAAAGCCACTACTAGCTCGTCCGCCCCCACCTATATCGGCAAAACCGCAAAGTTATGTGCCCCGACTACTTGGGAAGCGTACCTAGTCCCTAGATAACTGAGACAATATGCATAAGATGGATAATGCCTTGTCTAGAAAGCTGAGTTAAAAGCCAACTCCACCGCAGCCTCCTCCAAAGCTATCAGACTACATACTAATACCAAAAGCTGTAGACCTCTGTTTAATTACGCTAGAAGCGTTCTACCTCAACTTTCGCTAGCCAGATACTAAGCTCTTTACTACTAGCTTGTACGAGCTAGATCGGTTGATTGAGGATAAGCGTCATTAAGAAGCACGGCTAGGAGTAGAGATCAAGGAAGTCGAGCCGTCTATCCTAGCAACATACTAAGCATTCGCTCGAGCTTTCTCTAAAAACGATTCCAATATACTGCCTCCTTCTCGCTCGTACGACTATAAGATCGCCCTTAAGAAGGACGAAGCGGAGCTTTAGTTCACGCCTCTTTATAAGATGAGCGCTAAAGAGCTAGCAGTCACTAAGCAGTACTTGATAGACAACTTGTCTAAAGGCTTCATTGAACCTAGTTAGGCCCCATTTGCGGCACCCGTCCTCTTTGTAAAGAAATCTAGCGGAGCCTTACGATTTTGCATCGATTTCCGAAAGCTAAATGCTATTACGCGCAAAGACCGGTATCTATTGCCATTAATCGACAAGACTTTCGCTCGAATCGCCTCTGCGAAGATCTACACGAAGCTAGACATACGCTAAGCCTTCTACCGAATCCGAATGCACCCTAATTCGAAAGAACTAACTACCTTTCGTACTCGCTATGGAGCGTATAAGTGCAAAGTCCTGCCTTTCGGACTTACTAATGGGCCTGCTACGTATTAACGATATATGAACGATATATTGTTTGATTACTTAGACGATTTTTGTACTGCTTACCTCGATGATATCCTTATTTACTCCGATAATCCCCTCGAGTACGAAGAGTATATGAGAAAAGTGCTGTAACGACTTTAAGACGCCGGCTTGTAAGCTAACCTCAAGAAGTGCGAATTCAACGTGACTCATACGAAGTATTTGGGTTTTATTATTAGTATAGAAGGCATATCTGTAGACCTAGAGAAGACGAGAGTAATAGAGGAATGGAAGCGCCCTAGTACGGTTAAAGGCGTACAGTTATTCTTAGGCTTCTACAACTTCTACCGCCGATTTATTAGGGAATATGGAAGGATTGCAGCTCCCTTGACTTAGCTTACGAAAGCGAACGTCCCCTTCTACTTTAATAGCGATTGCGAGACTACTTTTGAGAAGCTTAAGCTACAGCTTATTACAGTACTAATTCTACAACACTACGACCCCGCGCTCGAGTGTATGATAGAAACGGACGCCTCCGATGGTGTAGTGGTAGGAATCCTCAACCAGAAGCATGGAGAGCAGTGGCTACTTGTGGCCTATTTCTCTAAGACTATAGCCCCTACTAAGTTGAATTACGAGATCTATAACAAGGAGATGCTGGCTATTGTGAAGATTATAAAGGAATAGAGAGCTGAACTAGCCTCTACCCCTACACTTATCAAGGTTTACACCGATCACAAAGCCCTAGAGTACTTTATGTTATCCAAGAAGCTAACAGCCAGGCAGGCCCGTTGGGCAGAGCTGCTAGCAGACTTCCATTTCATTATCTTGTACCGCTCTGGTAAAGACAACCTTAAAGCTAACGCTTTAACTCGCCGAAGTAATGAGACAAGCTCGCAAGACGCTGTTAAGGAAGCCTCTCGTATCCAAACACTCCTTATAGCTAATAAGCTAGATCCTCAGATCTATAGCGAGTTACGGATATCCTCCTTAGCCTTAGCCCCTGTGGATAGAGCTACTATAGAGCACTCTTTCGACTTGATCGACCGCATCTTGCAAGCCAACCGGGAAGCAGGAACGCTAGCTGCCCTCAGGCTACAAGCTAAACGTCCGGATAATGAGGACTTTTCGCTAAAGCATGGATTGCTCTTGTACCAAGATAGGCTAGTTGTACCTAATCAAGACTATCTACGAGTGCACCTGATTCGAGAAGCTCACAACCAGATGCTTACAGCCCACCCTGGAAGAGACAAGACGTACCAGATCCTCCGTTAAAGGTACTACTAGCCTCACATGCTCCGTAATGTGGCTCAGTACGTACGGAACTGCCATGCTTGTGCTAGAGCCTCCTCCCCTCGAGACAAGACTCCTGGCTTACTGCAACCTCTGCCGATTCCAGAACGCCCCTAGCAACAACTCTCTATAGACTTCTGCTCTTTCCCTCCTAACAAGCACGGCTATGATAGTATCTGCGTAATCATCGACCGTCTCAGCAAGCAAGCTGTCTCCATACCCTGCCACAAGACAATTAATGCAGAGCAACTAGCCCGCTTATTTCTCACAAATATCTTCCGATACTACGGACGCCCTTTGCAGATCGTTAGCGATCGTAGTCCTCAATTCATCTCTAAGTTCTGGCAAGAACTTTGCCGCATTATAGGCACTAAGATCACGCTTTCGACTGGCTACCACCTACAAACAGATGGCTAAACAGAGAATTATAACCAAGTTCTCTAGGCTAGATTAACACCATTTGTATCGTACTACTAGGACGATTGGTTAGATATGCTCCCTATAATGGACTACGCTCAGCTGTGCCTCCCTCAAGCTAGTATAGGAATGTCACCCTACGAAGTGCTGTACGGCACCGCTCCCGTACTTTATTTCGACTAGAATACTCGTCCGGATAGCGACAACACCCCTAGCGCCAAGCTGAATCGAGAGAAAGCGCTAGTGCTAGCTAGAAGGATGGACGAGGCAATTGCTATTGCCAGAAAGAATATGGAACAAGCCTAAGACCGCATGAAGCGCTCGCAAGATACTAGGCGAAGAGTAGTTGACTAGAAAGTAGGCGACAAGGCCTACGTTACGATTACCCAGTATAATACTCAGCGTCCTAGTCGCAAGCTCGACAATGTACGAGCTGGCCCCTTCTTGATCCTAGAGAAGAGAGGACACTCGTACAAGCTCGACTTGCCCGCTTCTATAAGAGTGCACCCTATATTCTCATCCGATAAGCTAAGGAGAGACCCCGCAGACCCGCTGCCTGGTCAAGAAGAAGAGCCTCCGCCAGAAGTCAACATAACTAGTGATATCGAATGGGAAGTAGACGAGATCTTGGCCTCCAGACTAAGACGAAAGCAGCTGCAGTACCGAGTGAAGTGGCTGAACATGGACGAAGACCTAGAATGGTACCCGGCGTCCGACTTCAAATACGCTCCTAACAAGCTGATAGCGTATCACATGACTAATCCAAGCAAGCCTGGTCCCCCAGAGGCCCTTCTAGCTTGGAAGAAACAATTCGACGATGGAATTGACAATTATAATCACTTGGATAATAATAATTGGATGGATGCAACGACGAGGACGTCGTTCTTCGGAAGGGGGGGGTAATGTCACGGTTATGGAGTCACGTGCCCGCTACGAAATACTCACGTGACCGCTCGCCTGTATATATGCCCTGCCTTCCGGCGCTTCCTTCCTTTCTTTCCTCTTTACCTTTAGATTCTAAGAGATAGCCGAATCGATACTTCGTCTACGTACTAAGCTTCCCACCGTGCTGTCACATGAATTCGATGAAGAACTGAAAGGTAGCTAACTAAGGCTTTATATACATAGGATCAGAGGCTTCGTAGAAGCCTCGGCATAAGCTAATTACCATAAGATTAAAGTCTTAGATCGGAGATTGCAACTCGTAAAGAAAATAAGGAGGCTGGTGCTTAAGCGAGGCGTAGCCGAAGCATTATGGGGTTCAACCCCTGACACCGCTGGCCATTTTGCGCAGCTTATAATGAAGTGTCGAATCGAAAAAGCCTCGTGGAGAATGCTGGATCCCGTTCTCCAATAGCCGTCTAAGCTTCTCTATATCTGTGATGGGTTGAACCCATTCTGTGGCTATGCCCCTAAATGGGCATAGCCGTCACGTGAGCAGACGCTCGGGCCTTGGCGCCCTCACAAAAGGACTTCTCCGGGGAGAATCCTTCTTTCCTTAACTAGTTCTTTTTGTAATACACATAGCTTGTTACTTTGACTCATTGTATCAGCCCGTGACAATATCTCTATCCGCCGCGACCTAGCCAAGGACAATCAATAAAATTGACTGCCTGCACCTAGGGCAGCCGCCCGTCTCGAAAACGGACTTTGCCAAACCAAACAAGCCTCGTGTGCCCAGGATAGGGACTGAAAGCGGAGTGTCGTCACCTACCCCCCAATCTCCCAGCCTCGCAGGCAGACGTAGCATAATTCGGCGAGCATACCGTTGTCGACACTTTTGCGGTGGACGGTGCTGTTGGGTAACTGGGTAATGCTATCGCGATGGACCTTGCGCAATGCGCTGACGTTAAAGATGATCCCTTCCATCGTATAAATTCGATGTCGAAGCGGAATTGCCTCCATTGAGTCGTGCACAGGCCACCGTAGGAAGTGGTCCTGCGGTGGACCGTGCACACTCCAAACGTTTTCGTGAAGTCGAATACCTAGCTATTATATTCGTTTTAGACTTTTAGGACCAGACCCGGCATTCGGAGAAGCGTGTATATAGTTTACACCCTTTAAAAATGCTATTTATTTATTAAATCTCCTTGTGCTTTATTTGGAATATAATGTAGCAGCAACGAAAGCGAAAGACCAAATCAAACTACAGAGTAGAATTTGAAATCGGCTTCAGTTCGGAAAACTCAATGAATTTTATCTTTCAACCCACATTGAGGAGTTCTTCGCGGAACTAGAGCATTTATTAAGCGCAATTGACAGGTCTGTGAGGTAAATCCAGACCGAGGATCTGATTATTTTCTGCAATAGTGCATTGACGTAGTTAGAGACAAGGAGCGGAGTGCCCAGGGTCACTTCAGACATGCAGGATTGGCAGTGGAATATATATAGTATAGTATAAGCTTGGTAATATGTAATTTAAAGCGGCTACTTGCGATTTACCAGCAGAGCTACTCCCATTTCATTCTTGGTAATCTTCTGTTCTAGCTCTCCTGCACTCATGAACCCATTCATCAACATCGTTCACTATATATTCGGCAACCCCTCTCTTTACGCCCTGATCTATTAGATACTTTGGGTCCGGATCTCAATAAATCATTTGTAGAGTCATACAATCGCTTGTCATTATATCACAAGCCTTTTAACACTCGAGTTTCTGCACGGATTTAATGATTTTTAATTGCTCCCAGGCACAGTATTCCTCTATCACTTTGTCTCGAAAGCCAGGGATAATGAGACGAGGAGTTGAAGTGAGCAGATCTGGAACTGGAGTTCGAGCTGGTGAGGACCCTGGGTGGGAGGTTTGGTAAAACGATGGGGGGAGCGTATTTGTGATATAGATAGCGTCTAGCGCCGTCCGAAGAGCTGTGCAATATTGACTGCTATCTGTAGTTTCTCGAAGAAATCCGGGCGAATAGGCGAAATTACTGTCACTGTAACCTCGCCAGTCCTTCCATTTGGTAGTTTAGCTCTATGCGTTGCCTGCTCTGAGTATTCTGGAGCTTATGTCGCTTACTTCCGCCCCGTCGTCACACCCATTATCCTCACAACAAGTGGTACCCAAACCTCCTGAACCTTGGAAAGCTCTCGTACTTCAGTAGCTTTCCGCGACATTTCTATCCTACCGTTCAAATTCAAGATTACATCCCTAACCTTTTTCAACTCCGGAACCTTAAAACCTACACCCCGCTCAATGTCAACTTCGCTGATGCCAATAAGCTCGAGTGGTGTGCCATGCATGCGATAATTATCGGGCAGAGGGTACAGAATTATTTCCTCGAGTTTTGGACAACCCATTAACAAATGGGCCCAGGACAGTTCGGTTTCTTCGTCAGAAAAGTCCATGGTATCCATCAGATTCGTACCGATAGGAACCTCGATAGTAAGTGGATCGATCGCAAGATAACGGAGCACTTTCCCGCTCGAGACTTTAGTCTCCAGAAGCTGTACTTCCATATCCTTCCTATCTCTGCTTTCGGTACCCATTGGACACACTACATCGCATTCCCAGTTAATGTAGATATGAGCTGGCATATTGATCTGACAGGAGAAGCTAATATTTGGCGATGTTTTGGGTGTGGCTGAGAATGGCCCCTTTCCAAACGCTAGCGTGTAGAACTGGAGTCCTACCCTCCTAGATTCTTGACATACATGGAGAATAGTTGGCGGGTGACAGTGTGTAGCGTTAAAGTCTACCCGCAGGTCGCCGCCGAACAGATCATGGAAATTGTCGTCCAGATTGTGCAATGCTTCGCAGCCAGTTCCACTAGAGAATACGTCTACGACTCGTGGAATAAAACAGATGCATTCCCATATTTTGAGTTGAATTTCGAGAGGAAGCTTTACAAAGAAGTGAAATTGGCCCGCCGTTAAGTTGGTAACAACTGAATCGACTCCCACCTCGTCTGGCTGGCCCTCAGGCAGGCTTGAGCTTTCAGAAGGCAGATCGCTCTGATTCATGTCGTTTGATGAATTGGCGAGATTCATAGACACTCACCAGCGAGCCTAGATTAAATATAGATCGATGGTCCGTTGGGGACTGGTAGAGTATCTGTAAATGAGGGATGACGTAAGGTGTTATTGCAAACCTGTTACTTGGTCTCGTGAATCTGATGCCGTCAAGTCTTCTCGCACCTTCTACTGTGCAAGGGTCATCTCTTCAATGAATAAGTGGTGCTTCCCCGCTGCTTATGCCTACTTGAAAGTAGTAGGGTACGATTAAAATGGCCGTAACTCGCATGACTCCAACGGTGCATAACCTCAGCCACGGTGCACACGCTAAACCCCAGGGCTGGCCAAAATCATGATTAGTAAGATTACGATTACGTAATCAAATGATCGAAATAATCGATCGGAGCAGCGCTAGATGTACATAACTTCACTCGTAACAGCCCTACGCTCCAATCCAACCATCCGGTGATGCGATTCCAGCTTTAAATTACCATTCTCCCATGTCCTACAGCGAACTTTAGGAAATCCTTTGGGTGTCATGGTACCGACCAGGGCTGTCGAACCCCTGCAGTGGCTTTTGAGGCTTTTGAGCCTCCTTTTGTATATAAACTCCGATGCCCCATGCATCCTCTTGAGCCCTTTGTGTTTGTCTTATTAATACAACCGATACGTTCCATTGGTTTCCCCGACATTGGGACCTGTTGCGAAGCCTGAGAGACTCGCAATTCATCGGCGATTGGAAAGATTACGTTGCTTGTGAAACAGGTATTGGTATGGCATGATCTCGAGCATGCCTAGGTATGCATTGAAAAGAATCGGGGGAACGTGCAGTTTTAGTGTCAGGTTCGAGCAATCTTTGTGGAGTATGTAAAGAAGGTAGGAGTCAGACTAGTTTCGCACAATTCGGAGATTACTCATCAGGTCATTGAGGGTCTTCGGAAGGAGATGGTTTTGGTCCGGCAAAGTGGGGTTGAGCCACAGTTGCAGTGGCTGCGTCTGTCTGTTTCGGTATGAAGTGGGATCCGAGATATGGATACGAGCAGCGACTCTGGATCCAACATGGCATTGTGTCACATCTCAAGGACCAGGGATCATAATGTCCAGATTCAAGACCCATACATTTTATCCTATCTTCTACACAAGAACTCGTACTAGTACTCATGCTCCGTCTGCCCCTTCGTCTTTTCCCGCAAAGCGACGTTCCTCCAGTTCCGTCGGCTTCCACCCACCCGCTGCTCGTGCCGTGCGCTTGTAAATGGCCTCCCGAACAGACTTTGCCACGTATGTGGATACCGAGTATTCCGTCGCAGAATGAAACCGAACATAGGGAACGTTGTACATCTAGGACAAAGGAAACATCCCAGGCCTCCCTTCTTGTTGAAACAACGCCATCTACCTCTTCCAAAGTTATTGACTAGCCTTCGCCCTCTTAGAAGCTTCCTTCGAACGTAGCTGCGAAATATAGGAATTGATTGCCGCGATCCTCCGTTGGCATCCCATTTCCAGCGTCATCTCAGGGAGCGTTAAGATCGCATTGATCAGGAGGAGCTGTTCTTGCTCTCTCGATGGAGAAATGGAATGGAGGTGTTGATTGAATCTTTGGTAAACGGGCAGGCAGATATGATGATGTGGATGATTCAAACAAGGTGGTGATGATGGTCTTCGGATACCAACGAGACAACCTAACAACTAACACAATTGTTGCCTTCCAAATAACCTTGGCAAATAACAATAGAATGCTGAGTTAAATGCATGTTCTTCATGAACTGTGGACGACCTTTTGGTTTTGTCGTGCCATGGGTCGCGTTGTGCCTCAGCTCCATCCAGCGAGGACAAGTGTGCCAAGAGAGATGCCGTGCTGAGACGTAAACCAGGCTAACCCAACATCTATCCTAGCACAAACGAGCCAGCACAGAACAAAAAAAAAGAAGCGGTTTCCCGATCTTATGTGATACATAAAAGATCCCGAAAAAGAAGCGGGATAAGGACGTGATTCCTGTCAGCTCTCCTTGACTTCGTTTAATCGAAATGCAAATAACTCCCAGCAAATTCCTAACACAGAAGAGCCATCCTCGTCATATAGTTAATGAATAACATGTGTGGCTGGACGATAGGGGTGTGGATCGACATAGGTCACATGTGTCGCTTGGAGCCATTCGACAATCTGTTGTAAAACTCTATAATGTCTTTGAGCTTGCTCATTCCTTGTAGCGCAGGGTCCAAGGATGACCAAAGCATCATGAATGCTGCTATAGCTCCGGTTAAGCCATTCTTGCGAGGCAGAGGCATCACGATCCAGCACTTGACGCTGCCAGATGATGCCAAGCGTACAAGCCAGAGAGGATGTGAAGAGCACACACTGAGGAAGCCACGCATAGGTTGGGAAGAGAGAGACACAAGAGAAGGCTGTGCAAAGATCAATTAATCGAAGGGCAGAGTTTAGGCTGGGCACTGTTAGTATATAATTACCTGATACTGTTCTCAACTAATACTTACCATTCGTAAGCATTACTTTCGGCTTCTAACATGGCGGACAGAGGCTGCTTTGTATCCGCTGCTGCAATCTGCTGAAGCGACGGCCCTGTCAGCAGGCCTATGACCCCGAAGTAGAGCGAATAGATGTGTAACTAGAATAATAAGGTCGTTGACTAAAGCGAGTTTTGGATTTGTGTTCTCACTAGTTCGACCTTCCGTGTATCAGAAGCCTTTGAAAAGACGTGCTTTATCAAACCCAGGTCCCAGCGTTCTAGTCCATGGACTATCGGGAGTGCTAGCTCGTCTGGTAGGTTGTACAACCACGATTTCAGCTTTTGTATGAATAGAATTCCTCTCCAGAGCGGCAAAGTATTACTCTGGCCGAATTGCTGCTGAACACATCCCAGAGTATCAGAAAGCTCGCCGAACGCAATAGTCGCTACTGTAGACTGGGCTCTGGTGTCATGCCGGGGGGTGGCCTGGTTAGTGTCAGCCGCTTTCATGCGACAATGACCATTGGAATCTAACTTACGGGGCTTTGTGGTGAAGTCTGCGAGATGCGCAATATCGAACCATCTGTGCCACAGCCAAGGAGTAAGATGCTGAGCCGCGGTTAGATCCCGATAAAAAGAGCCCAGTAATAGGTGGGTAATACCGATGCATGGTCTGCATTGTATTCCATATATCCAGCCACTTACTAATCCGACTATCACCTGTATGCTTTGTCGTTTAATGGAGGTTATTGGCCTCACCAATACGTACTGCAGCGTCTGCGATAATTAGTCAATGTCCTTATAGCTAGAGTGGTTATATTACCTAAGTAATGACTTGACGTTGCCGGTCGTTGCGCCATATGAAAGATGCTGATCAGCGCCAGTACTTGCATCACAGCAACGTCCAAACACCAATCGCGATCATCTAGATATCTCCGACCATTCTCGTACCACATGATAGCCATATCTGTTGCATCTGCATGATAACTTTGGCACCCTAGAGCGAGACAGACGCACACTATAGACGTGACCAAGTTCGGCGTCCCTAGAGTCATGTTGAGCGCAGAATCGAGATGGTTCCAGAGTTCGTCGGGATTGACAAGGTAATAAACAGAATTCACATTTCGTAAAAAGCTATCTATCATAAGTTGGAGCATTGATCTTTGCTGGAGATCAAATGGATTAATTGTCTTGACGTGGAGGCTTTGCGAAAATGCTGGACGTCGACAGGTACATGATGAAAGGTTGTCCTGATTGAGTTGTATAGGTAAGACAGCGGAATACAAAGCCTGGTCTCGCAATATGATTTTCCAAACGCTCTCGATAAGTGGCATATCGACATCTGCTTTGACACTCCCGTAGACAGATGTAGTAGGGTAGCCTTTATAGCGCGATAGCAAAACCTCGGTTTCATGGGGTGTATAAATCGTAGACGCCTAGTATTCCGCTTCAAGTCAGCATTATGCCTCTAAGTAAACCTGTCATACACGGCCATTGTTGACATACAGAAGCAGTAGGGCTGCCTTGCGCAAGCTCGGGAGGCTGGTTGGTGAACTCGAAGGAATAAGTCGAGTTCTCAGCAGCTTGCGTATTGGCTATGCTCCATGGCAGGCCGATTCGGGAGGTCTCGGGGAATGCATTATTGCACTTTACTTGAGCCTCGCGCTGGTCCTCTCCCAGTTTCCCTGAATTAGAGCAGCCACTACAGACCCAGCACTCTTCGGGTTGGCGGTGTTGCGCGGGTGGGGAGTTGTGTGTATCCTTCTGCACTGCAGCAATTTCGTTCCACATATCCTTCAATTCGCCAGATAAGTTAGACCATCGATTCCTAACGAGTCTCGCAAGCTCAATAAGTGAGAGGCTGGAGATCTTCGGATCGTGGCGCAAGAGTCTGGCGTACGCTGCATACCCAGTATCTGGTCTTGGGAGAACGTGAGGATCTCGCAGGGGTGGTCCTCCACAGCTTCTGATGCCATCTTCCCTATTATACTGTCCCATCATCTGTGGTGCAGCAGCTGGCAGATCGAACAACGGCTCGTTCGCAGGATAACCTAGCCGACGAGCGTTTTCTCGTTGCAACCTCCGTCTGTGCCCTAACTTGATGCCGAGGGCTGCCATATCCGTCTCAGTGATGCCAGCGAGGCTGTCCCAGGTATCAAAGCCATGCTCAACGAGGCGGCTGAGGTATTCCTGAAGGCCGAGGTCTTCCAAAGTCGCTTGTAGTTCCAACATTCGTGCGGCTGTCGCAATGGGACGCTATTCGGCAGGATTGTGAGGTAATATCTGAATCTCGTAGACCGTCTGCAGAGCAATTGGGGGAATAAGTTACTCGAGACATAAAAGATCGGAATTCTTTTGGTTTGCGGGACTTGTGCTCTGAATTGCCAGGTTGATACAATATCGCGGGGCTTGCCACCTAACTGTTATCTTGCGCGTTGGACCTACAAACGCAGAAAGGGACGCACATCGCCACCAGCACATTATCCCGTCTTTGCAGGCCATAGAGGGTATTTCGTTGGTATAGAGGAATCTGCCTCTAGTCAGGATCGGGGGAAAGATGCTCTGTGATCGAGACTGAAATCAACACAAGACCAAAAAATAGTAGTTTGCAAATGAGAGCCTGCAAATGGTGGCGAAATCACTCTTTCGATCGCGGAGCCGGACACGGCTCCGTTTGATGGGAGCAGAGCCAAATCATCCGCCATGCAGGGATTTGCATCATGGAGGAGCTCAGACCGATTGCCGTCTCCATTCGCGGGCCACGGACGTAAGAGGAGGTCTTCTTGCCCTTGCAGCTCCGAATCATTCCTTATCTGTTCGTTGGATAGATACGGACGAGTGAAAGCCAACTTCTTATGTGTGCAGCACCGTCCGAAAGTATTGCGAATTGTCTAGCCGCGTTGTTGACGTACTCGCACAGTCTCTAATCTGGTTCTCTCCATGGCCCTCTATTGGGACTGCGTGGTTCGGATTCGCGCAGTTAGCTTGAAAAAGGCAAGACACAGGTGAAGAAGACTTCATTTCCTCGTACCGATCGACCTTAGCGAGGGTTCTTTCTCCTGAGCCAACCAGTGTGTGGCCGTCGGTGGCCCCACCCGTTGTCTGCCCCTGCTGCCGTTGCAAAGGGGTGGTCTGGGATCCTAGAATTGCATCATCTCTCGTAGGCTCAGAAGGCTGCTCGTTCATATGAGAGTTTCTGGCCTCTGAACTTTGCTGGGCTTGGCCAGAGGAGTCATGTTGATTCTTGAAACCTTGGAGATATTGTTGGTAGCGTAGATGCTCTTCTGTTCCTGTATAAAGTCGTAATTGGTCTTGAAATCGCAACTTCGCTTTCGATGCCGATAAAAAGGTATTGCGCTCATCTGGTGACAGTATTGCCCATCTCGCACCTACCAATTTGGCAAGCTCGACAAACGTCATATTATCATCTTGCATCTGTCGACGAACTTCTCTTGCAAATAGTTGATAAGCAGTCTTGGGTCTCGCAGGCGCGTTCGAGTCTCGCTTTGGATGACGCCTATATCGCCTCTTCTGATACTGTCTTTGTGATTAATAGTAAATAGTACTTCTGTAAAGCCAAAGTAGTAGACTCACTGCTCAGAGGTTGAAGTTACTAGTAAAGGCCCATTTTCTTTGACCGAAAAGAGATTCAGCACTCGCTGAAGCTTTCTTCGGTGGCCTCGTAACATTCCTATCTGCTCTAGGTCAGACTCGGTGATGCAAACAAGATCCCGCCACGTTTCAAAGCCACAGTCTTGCGCGTATTGTACAAGGCCTATGTCTTGGAGATGAGATTGCATTGACATCTTTGTTAAAGTGATAGAATACACTGTTAGATAAAGAATGAGGGGCCAAGACAGGAAATGCCTCCGCTTTATACCTGACGCTTAAAAAGGGTTGCGCCTCGTCCGGAGATGTCTCCGGGTCAATGCCTAACGCTAAAATGGGTGACGGCACGACCTACCAAATCCAGGCTCCAAAAGGTGAAAACTTAAGCGGAGCTCGGCCTCCAGAGCCGTCCAATCACTCAAACTAATTACATCTGAATGCAATAAAATCAAAATTAGTCAAGGCGTATTTCTCACGTTACATAATAACGTAGGTTACTATGAGAAAAATGATTAGAGACGCTATCAATAGAATTTTTGCCTCGAAGCATTGAATAGTTGTTGGAATAAGTCCGCCTATCCGGATTTATATCTTCTAAACGATTAGTGGGACTAACTGCGGCTAAACCCCAAATATTTATACTTCGTAAGAATTCACAAAGGTACTTCCGAATTAACAGCGGATGAAACGGAAACCAAGGGCAATTTCTTGTTATAGAGCACTTCCTCTAGATGGAAATTGGAGAAATCCTATCCTTCTAAAAAGATTTGCAAAAATAACGCTTCTCTGTGATTAATTGAACATTTCTTACAGCATAGTTTAATCCCTCCACTTTCATCGCATTTAGATAGAATATATTCTGAGATATTATATTCACAAAGTTGTGCTCATGGTCGTCAGATCACCGTTTGCGAAAGCAGAGCGTTGAATGTGAGTGAACACTCAAGGTCTCCGAAGCTTAACTTTGAAAAGAAATTCAATTCCAAACATTTTGAGCCACCGAGCCACAGCCACAGCCGCAGTTCCCTCCCCTTCCACCCTCCCTTCACCCGCCGCGGGCTCTTTTCTTTATATCTCAGCGGGTCGTCCGACATCTGCTAGAGGCTCGACAAGAACGCATTGATAGGACGCTCAAAACTCTCGGGATCACTTTTGCTGGTTCGTCTTCAAAAGTTGAATGTTTCGAAAATCACATTCCGATCATTCAACCACTCCAATAACGTCTTTCGAAGAGCCGCTCCGGTGCACACGTACCACATTTTGATAGCAGCGTTCGGGCTATCAAAGTTCAGCTGCAGGTCATCGCACGCCATCCTACGCATTTCTACCGAGGCCTCCATAGCACCAAGCTTGGTCAAATATTGAGCACCCTCATCACCTATCTCGCCGGTTACGAACAACCGTGTGCAGCCGCATAATTCCGGTGCTTTCTCGAATGAATCCACGACCAGACCAAGGTCCTCAGCTCTCACTGTCCAGTACACCCGCGTCCGAGGCAGATGGAGACGGCCAGTCTGAGCTAGCAATGGCGTTATTCCCACGCCCCCAGCTACGAACCCAATCGTCTCCAGAGCTTTCTGCTGGAAGATGAATTCGCCGCCAAATCCTCTAATGGGGATCTCGACCCCAGTCTCCCCATCCTGACTAAACAGGTACTCTGTGGCAATGCCGACTTTGCGGATAGTAATTTCAAATCGACAATACCCTAAAAATTCGCCCGCTCCCGAGGAAATTGTAAACTTCCGAGCATAGGTATTCTCAGAGACTCTGGCGTCACTCCTTAGTTGAGGGCCGAGTAGCCTCTCGAAACCCAGCGTAACATACTGACCTGGCTCCCATTGGCTTGTCTCTTTAGCATCAACAATGTGAAACCCAAATCGGGCGACTGTCGGCGTTAATAGCTGCTTGTCAACTAGTCTTGCAAAGATCTGCTTCTTTTGGGATTTATCGTAGAGCACCTGCTCAACGGAAGAAGTACCATATGCGTTTGAGGCCCGGGGACTTCGCATAGCATAGATTGTCAAGCCGTGCTCAATATACCGCACGGACTGAACAGTGATCCTGACCGCAATGTTGCTCCGCGGTAATACTCGGATTGCATCCTCACGCGCTAGTACTTCCTTTCTTCCTGTTATAAAAACAGCGTTGCCAGTACTGAAGTCCGGAAAAAGTAGTGCGGCTGTAGGGATCTTGCCTCTATTGTCCAATGTTTGGTATAATCGAATGCCAGAGTACTCAGGGTAGGCAAGTGTACAGCCATTCTCGTCATTTGCACTGAGGTGTACAAAACCTGGAGGGCCACTTCGCTGGTCTATATCCAAGTAGAGATTATGATTTGAAGATGATATAAACAGAACTTCTGCTTTTGCAAGGACGTTGACAATTTCGGGTATCAAAGGTAGCGACTGTGATATAAGCCGAGGCAAAAAAAAGTTTGGTAACACGTGCTTCGGGCTGAACGACCCCGGACGGGTTACTAATCGCTTTAGCAAAACCCATGGCAAAGAGAGAATATAAACTAACTAAAACTTCGTTCCACTGTTATAACAAGCAGTACCTCGTTAGTGCCGTTCCCAACTTCAGCTAGAGCACCAGATACCAATCGACCATATAGCTTTACTCTTATATGTGCTTCAAGATCGATTCCAAGCATGCTAACCATTTTTGTAGGACGACCATCCAACATAACCTCTCCAATTGCTCTAGAACCAAGTAACTCCTTTGCCACCAAGTCATGCTCCCTATTCACAATAGCTCTTATGACCACGTTGGACTGCCCAATACCTTTAATAAAACCAGCTCTCCCTTCCCAGACCGTGATACATGGGTTTTGAGCGGAATCTAACGTACTCAATACAAGTATTGGCGACCGCGACAGGACGTTGGATGCACCTGGCCGGAGGTACGGCGATGCTGGGCCATCTTGAGGTGCGACTTGTAGGAATTTGTGTGCCTTCTCGTCATGTTTGTGTAGTTGCAAGTCAGCTGGGGTGAAATATGCCATGACACGCGTAGTGCAATGGAGCCGCAACGGATCACTCGACCCTAAAATGCGGAAATAGCTCTCTTTGATAAAGTCGACAACTAGCTAGGAGATCAAACCTTCCCTTGTCGAAAATATGCATGGTTCGGCATCGGAGTCGCCCCCGATCGACCTTTAAGACGCAGGCTCGATATTCGAGTATTCGGACACTAGATGACGTTCGCATGCCACGAATCGTTTTACAAGGTTCCCTTTGAGGACAGATCTGCACGGTCCAAAGGTGGGGCTTCAAGGCTCTTCACATGACTTCAGCCGAGTATTTGAATGACGTTAGGTAAGCTTACGATCACGAAGTATCCTCGTGAAAGACGGTTATTATTCGTGCGACTCAAGGTTCGAGTTGTCTCCTAACTTGCTTTTAGTGTGAATCACGTTCGAGATTCGAAATCCTCTTTTCAGCAACCCGGGGTGTCGGGATTATCACTTTTGAATTTAATATCTCGTAGAGTTGAAGCAGCACCCCTCATTCAACCCTCCTTTCTAGAACATTTCAGATTTGTATAAAGCCCTAGAAAATATCTTGTTTCTTATCAGCGACGGGTTTACTTTCTCCTGATTTGATGCCGAAATTATCCCATGCAACATGACGCAGAAATCAAAGCAGGGTCGTGCTCCACAGCGGTGCCACCCCTCGGCAGGTCTTGGCGACGCTCAGGACTGTCTGGTAGCGTTTTCAGCAACAGTTTCCTCCGAATTTTGGGGCAGCCACATCGGTGGTAGCTGTGGAGGAACCATTCCCGGTAACGGCAATATTGCGGCCTGGCTTCTGTAGCTGGCCAGTGCTGTTGCTGAACGTTGGAGACGGGTTCTAGATTTCGGAAAATGGCTTGCTAATGCTTGCAAGTCTTCCAGAAGCTGTTTTTTGCTGGACAGCTGGTCGCCAGCCCCATTCCCAGTATCATTACTAGTAAAGTTATTTTTTGAAGAAGAGGACAATTATGCGTCTGCCAAGCCCCATGTAGACTCCCAAGACCTTTGAGCCCGAGGAATCAGTGAATGCGATTGGAGAATGAACTCAGCGCTTTTACAGAGTTCACAAACCTCGAGGTGAGCTTTGCTTCTGGGTCGGATGAAGGAATTCTAGCTTCCCTCGATCGCAATTCAATATCTTTTTCCTTGCCAGAATCCACGAGGACGATCTTCCTCCATGTGACAGTATGGGAGCTTTCTCATTGGCTGAGAGCCTCGAGAATGGGATTCTCAGAATTCGATGTTTTGTCGAGTGGAGCGATCAGCGCTTCCCTGACGCTACAATCGAGAATCTGGAGCCTGATCCTTGCCTTTGAATCATGGCCTCGAGAAGTTTTACCCCCTCAGGCTAGACGCAGACCCTACCTTTGGTACAGTATACCAATTACTTCATTACAAGGGTAATAGTTGTAAAAACAGGGGTTGATTCTTTTGTGGAGACTTTACTTAAGCAAGTAACGATTCACTAATTTTCTAAATATTATTGGACAATGCCCCCATGCAATCGAAGAAGTCTCTCGAAGGCTTGGCACAACTATTACCCTTGTGATGAAGTAACTTTCTTCGCTCGGGACGCTAAGACGGCTCGTGGCCACTAGTTGACCGTTCGTTCGTTGCTGTTTAGCGGGGTGGGTAAGTTTCGCTAGTGCTGTCGAGAGCTGTCGAGAGTCGAGCTCTCAAAACACCGCAAAATCAACTCCCATCTCTTGAGCTCTTGGGCGTCAGTGCTCGAAGATATAGTACTTTTGCGCGCATGTGCCTCAGTTCAATTTATTAGGGACAGAGTGCGCAAGCCACAGCAAGTTGGCCGTGCTGGATGCCAGTTGCTAAAGGCATTCCCGGAGTCACTTCGTACATACGAGTGGCAAATGAGATCCGCAATCGGGACGTGAGGGGGAGCTCGCCGCTAGCAGTGATTCTGGGCAGAACCTCCCTGTCCAGAGGGAAAAGGCTTCCCTGAAGATACATATTGTGTATGCCTTATCTAATCGATGAGGGAAGGCATTTCAAACGGAACTACTGATCGCTGCGAGTCTGCGTCCCTAGCCGTTGTGTCCACCTCGTCGTCATTCTAGGTTTTGGCGTCCTAAGGGTCTAAATATTAGTAGTATAAGGCGTCTCTCAAAGTAACACCATTTAGGGCCCCAGATCCTCACTCTCCTCTATCTCTACCCTAACGCTGAAAAGCATCCCAAGACGTGAGGGTATAAGATAAGTTGAACCAAAAGACAGACAAGGAATTATCAGCGGAGAATATAGCCTGGCATCGCAAGGGGTGGTTTTATTCGTCCATTTCCAGTGCAGCAACTCGAAGCTAGTTTAGGCCGAACCTCCCCCCCCTCCAATTCAACCTGCCTACATCAAAACATCCTGCACCACCTGTTCCTTTGTCGACCTTGACCTTCAAACACAGGGCCAGACCAGACGACACGACAGAAACGACATTATTGCACTTCTCGATACGTACTCAATTGAGTCCCACATTATTGCAGTAAGATTCTATGCTTAAATTATAATTGTTAATAGGCGCTAAAATCTTCAAGCAGACCTGGTGATCCTTACTGCCATATTATCCAACCTGGTCTTCGACAACGACGACGATTATGTACGATTCAAAAAGCAATTCAGCTCTTAACAATGCTATACTTAACTCACCTCACCCCACGATGCAACAACAAGACAGTAACTCAGATGTAAACCGCTTCTTCAATGTTGTGGATCTTGTACTACCTACTGGTTTTTCTAACATGTCTTGGGGCACGGACCAAATATTCGACTTTAACAACGGCAGCGAGTATCCATTCCCACAAAGCCAATCCCATGCTTCCTCCTTCGACATCGCACCAGGTCAGGCTCCTGCTTTATTCATGACAGGGTTTACACTCCAGAATATGCTGCCTTTCAACAATAGTCGGGTACTACCCACGGGCTCATTTGCTGGTCGAACAGCCGCTCCTAGTGCTTTGCTCAACACTACCAGCTCAGGCTACAACACCCGTCAAGTCACAGGACCGTCAGCACAAAAGATACCATCAGACATGTCCTCCGAAAATACCGAGTCCAATGCAGATCCCGCCCCCAAGAAGCCACGAAAGCAACGAAAGAAGCGCAGTAAGGAGATGAGCCAAGCGGAAGCAGAGGAGAAGCGCCAAAAGTTTCTAGACCGAAACAAGGTTGCTGCTCACAAGTGCCGTCAACTGCTGCGTGTCATCCTCCTTCCGATGACTACGATCCAGCACACTCCGCTCTTATGAGGGGTCTAGTATCTCAGGCTGCTCAAGATGCTCCTGGTCATTGTTGCCTGACCGGAAAAAAAGTCACACCGCCAATACCTGGGATGTATTATGCAGGATTGATCTCATAGGGATAGACGAGAACGGCGGCTAGAGAAGTTATGATTCTGGGAAATGAAAATGAGCTACCATCAAAATGCTTTGATCAATATCATATTATCGCCGAATCTCGTGTCCCTAAATTTATACGCAGCAGTGCTTACGCAAGCAAGAGCGGGGAGTTCAACGAACTCGGGTAGGAACTTGATTGAAACGAAATCCCAAAGTAAGTACATGAGTACAGTGGAAGTCTATGCATGCAAGATAAAGAACACAACTAAGGCATGATCCAATCTTTTCCAATTACCCCTCTCCATCCCTTTTCAAGCGCCCCTCCCATGTTCCCGGGCTCAAATGCCGTTCAGCTCTCCTTTGGAACGATGGCAGAGCATTGCAAAAGAATTCAAGAAGGCCGTCTACGATATCTACTATACAAAATAACCAGACAACACGCAGAAATAAAGGACTGCTCTTTCTCGATATAGTTCGTATATGGTCGCGGCGCACTCGACAAATTCTGATCTCTGAAGAAGAACCGAGCTGAAGTTCAATGATAGAAGACTGAGAGTCAAAACTCATTCTTGTGAGATCATGTTTATTTGTCTATAGTCCAGATGGGTACAATGGAAATCATATCGAAAATAGCGACTTAGTAGCTCCAATGTATTTGAGTCGCTTAAATCTCAATTGTTGGTATGCCACAAGTTTGTCGGCCACTGGCGAGGTCGAATTCCTGCTAATTCAGAAACGTGAATTTTCTACCGAAACGACATAAATGCTCACGCCCGATGTTGTTGAATAGCAACTCATATTTTGGCACTCGCTTGAGGCCACGAACGAGAATGTCTTCGCTTGAAAAAGGTGTGCCGAGCAGAAAAGGGGGCAATCATTTTAAGCGAGCTCAATTTTAGCATGCCATCATTACCAGACCATGTTTTCTTGAAAGCGTCACGTCTCGAGTCGATCATTCACATGTTGGTTAAAACAGAAAATCATCATATGTGGGCTTGAAAATATTCAATTGTATTCTGGAGGCACTAACAAAAAAAAAGAAAAAAATAGAGAACGAAAATTAAACCGGCAAAATTTCTATCAAGAGAAACCCAAATTAATGGGTCTCGATCTGTTTAGAGAAACCTAACTTAATAGGTTTTTTGGGGGAAGGAGTTTCTTGGGAGCTACCAGAGCCCATTAATTTAGGAAGTCAATCACGGACCCGAACCATTACACCATCTTGGTTCTTGGAATAAGATTCGCTTATTGAAATCTATATAGGTAGATCCAGACTAATCGATAACGATAGGAACCCGCTTCTCGTCGGCCGAGCTTAAACTCTGATCGAGAACTCCATACAACGACGAGAAGCTGCCTCTGCCCTTCAAGCCATCTCTATAATCTCGTATCGTGCGTATCGTGCGTTTACTTGGAAAAAATAGTTAGTAAAGCAAACGACTCCAATATAGCTTATGATTAAACTTACTTGGCAGCACTGTTACATTTATCCATGTTAGTATCCTGCCAGCAGTTACTGACGCCTAGAACAAGGTGTAGACTTACGTCGAACTAGAATTGGGTCAGCATGCAACATCAGGAACAAATATCATGCAGGACCGCAACTTACAGTGCAAGCATCGCTAGACGAACAACCACAAGTCGAACAATCAAATTGTCGGACTTCCATCTCACCAACCACCTTTGGGCTCGCCATGGCGAATGTAGCAAGGACAGCCAAGAGGGTAATAGAGAACTTCATTTTGAATTGATTGAAAGAATTGATTGGAACGTAAGAATAAGTTCTGATTGACGAAATTTAGTTGTTGGGTGACGCAATTTGGGAGGACTTTTGTCTACTTATATACCTCACTAGTCTTGCTACTATTCTTAATCTGTTAGTCGGCCGACTTCATTTTGGATCAACAGCAGAATCATAAGAATACGGAATTGATCTACGGAAATGAGTGAGATTCTTACAACAAGGTACCACGAAAATTTTAGTTTCCAGATTCACAGAGTGGTACCGTGGTGGCACCAGTACACGCTTCCTAGAAAGCATCAAAGGATTGTAAGCACACCAAGCAACGATTGTACTGGAAACCAGTCAAGATCATGAAGTGGAGCTACTAAGCAAACGTACGAGATGCTTAGTCAGAGCTCGACGAGTTCAACCATGATCTATTGGTTTGACTGATTGATTAGCAAAGTTGATGATCAATAATGCCAGATCGGGTTTTCGCTGGTTGTGCAAGACGTACAGCAGTAACCCAAACGTCATGTAGTAGTACATGGTATAAAATCCTAACAGCTCGGGCCGATGAAATCATACTCGGTGAGCAGACCCTAATCTCGTCGGCCGACATTTGGGGTCCGTTGAGTTAGCCGGTGTAGTGTAACAATTCAAGGGCGTCAAAGGACTACATAATAGACTTTACAAAGTTTTCAGTTCTGAGTCAGCTGAGATGAGTATGTACTAGAAAGGCACGACTTTAGCTTAGAAATACGTACTCCAGGAAATTAAAACAATGGAATCGTATCATATCACTATTATAGAAACGACACCAAAGGCAGGTCCCTATGTTTACAGCCAATCTCAACAGATCGAAAGAGTGAATTATCACCTCTGAGAAAAACTTGGAGGATTCTGATAACACACCAGCCGAATATCAAAGTGGGGCTCCAGTACATATATACCCCTTTTTACCCGGAAACATCAACCCGTAAGCGAATCCTCATACAATACCGATTCCGCCAAATTTATACCTTTTCATAGCCTACTTTAGATTAACCACAGCCATGACATATCCGCATCCTAAATGTACCTGTCATGTGCCTTTTTGAAGGCAAACAGCACAGTCCTAAACAGAACTTCTCTCCTGCACAAAGCTGAATCACCACCAACATCCTACACGCGCGCGTTACCAACATGCAATCCCTGTTCATCCTCGCTCTTCTCACCTCAGCACACGCCCTCCCAAACATAACCTCCACCCCCCTCGCCCCAGGAACCTGTCAAGGCTACCCCGGCTGGGTCCCGCAACCCATCGGTACCCTCACGCAGCAATTTTTCTTCGAAGCCCGCGACACATCAAACATTTCCCTTGATGGTCTGCGATGCAGTATCTCTGCTTCGTCGTCACAGTTAGTCATCTATACGGATCCGACGGTGGCGTTTAATATCTGGTCGTGCGGAGGGAACGGGACGGTGGAGGATATTCACGGGGGAGCGCCGTTGGTTTTTGAGGGGGGTGAGGGGGAGGGGGAGTTAGGGTATGGAGGGGGAGGGACGGGGATGGGGCAGAGTCCGGAGGTTTTTACGCATGAGGTTGCGGGTGTGGCGCAGGATGGGCTGTTTTTGGGAGGGGGGAATAGCTCGACGTGGGGATTTGAGCTTGTGGAGGTAAAGAGCGGGGGGAATGATAGTGAGTATTATCGGATGAGGCTGCTGGGAGCGAAGACTGTCTTAAAAAATGGGGAACTTGCTGGATTTGTGAGGATTGTTGCTTTGTAGTGAGAGCGCGGGAAACGATAGCAAGACAAGAGCAGAGAAGAAGTGTCTTTATGGAGTTCGTTGTTGATGGCGAGACTTATGTATTTGAATCGTGCCATGATATTGTGAACATGAATCCAGTCAAAGATGTTTGAGAAAGAAAATCGATATCGGTAGAGCTGGGGGAGGCAAGAGAATGGCTGGAAAGCTTTGTCCGCAGCTATGGCTGCTTACAAGATCAAGTCCGCTATGTTCTGCCGCTTTGTGATGTATTGATTGTTGCATAATTTCGAGCCTTAATCGAAGACTCGGGCAAAATGTCGCATTAGATAGAAGAAGAAAACCGTTAACAAAGACTGCATTCATTTTGGTATAAAGCATTGTGGAATGTATTAGGATTTGAAAGAACCAAGTTTATTTGCATGGCTTCTGCTGCAGCAGCGCTGCCCCCTGCATATTGCAAAGTTGTGAGTATTTCACTCCGCTGCGAAGTTGTCTCGGTGCTAAAATCCCACCCAGATTTGAATATACTAGGATCCAGCAACAATCACTTAGAACTTGAGATTTTTCAGTCATCTCCGCTCTAAGAATGGTGCTCGCCCTCTGTCTAAGTAATCAATTACTCGCAATGGCTTACTGTATTTCTCGCATATACACGTCTTAGCACAGCACTGCTTTTCTGACGTGAGACCACTAATCATGCCGCTCTGTATTTAGGCTTAATCCTTTCTATAAGTGCCGAAGCTACAATTTAGACTCGGCTTTGGAATTTGGTTAGTCATGATAAAGCATGTGGATCCCTCGCGGCGTTGAACCCCAGCTACAGAGGCAAATCTTTCGGAGTCTCTCCATGGCCATCATTATCCGCGACGACCTGAAACAACTCTCTGTCAGCCCAGACACGTAGTGCTTCATCGATGTCGAGGGAGGAATATTGCAGGTCGTAGAACTGGTGTGGTAGCGAAGACATGCTGATCGGAACTTTCTCTTCGGCAATGGCGTGTCGAAGAACCTTTTCTAGTCTTCCTGCAGATGAATTCTCAGATGAAGTGTTCTGCATTGTAAGTGGAATGATAATACGTACGAGCAAGATACCATCGCTGACTGCACGTCTTCAATGCGTAGACAAGAAGATCAAGACTTCGAGGGGTCTCGACGGAAAGTACCTTTGCGTGCGCTGGAAAAGATCAATCTCAATGATTCTAGGGGGTTGGGGACACATACCAATGTAAAATCTCGCAGCAACAAAGATGCAAAATATGAGATGCGGGCTCATGTTCTCGAGATCGGCGTCATGCTGTGCTCGAAGAATCATACTGATATCATCACAAGAACTCAGGCATCGCTGGATTGCATGGTACCATGGTCCATGCACTTTTCCAAGTCCTTCTGGTGGTAAAGCCAGTCTTTGATATAAGGCGACCACAGCGCTATGAATTGTAAATTCGAATCAGCTCTTACACAGAATATCAGAATTCTCACTTACGTGTTGTAAGTTACTGTTATCATCACGATCGTAGAATCCGAAGCTGGATTCCTCTGACTCAGCGTCTGCGTCGTCACTACACTCGTCCTCCACTTCGTCAAGGTATCATCCACGAAGGTACATTGCGCCTGCCGCCTCACCCTATCAATCGCGCTCGTAACATCGAAACTCTGCTGCATAAACGCGTGGATCTGGTACAATTGTTCCGTGACTAGATTCAAGTACAGTGAGAAAGCCGAGCTCACTTCCGTGTCCCCGAAAGATGAAAATGCCGTAGAGGCGTTCTCGGGGAACGTCCATACCGTTTCGTTGCATGGGAATGTACTTGATTCGTGGTTTTCGGGCTGAGAGATGGAGAGGTTCCACCCGGCTCCGAGAGAGGAGATGCTATCTAACGCTTCGGTCATCCAGTACGCTCGAATCATCTCCTCTTGTTCGATCAGGGTAGTGGGAAGGGCAAGCATGCGTGGTGGAATTGTAGAGAGCTTGTTGAAGTTGTCGCATTTGTTCGCGACGAGGTCTCGTAGACCGAGTTGTGTTCCCATTTTCTTACAAAGAGCAACCAGGTTCCAGAATTCGGACAGTTTGCCAGCGCCATAGTCGAGAATCGTTGTTATCAGTAATGCTTGAAGTGACTGCAAGGACAGAGTGCTAATAGCTTGCATGATCACTTGGCTGCGAAAGTGGGCGGAGATGTGCTCTCGTTGAATCGCAGATAAAGGATTTGATAGACACCAGTGTGGCAACGTAACAGCTATCACGGCCTTCAGAACGATCGATATTGGTGAATCGACTAGGGGATTCGAGCTTTGGATGGCCGACAGGACCGACAACTTGTGGAGAATTGGAAACCATGAATGATACTTCTCGAACCAGGCATCGCAAAGATCACTTAGTGTTGAGGGAGATAGTAATTGTAAATCTCGTGCTGTAGGCTCAGGGCCTGAGGGCTCATCATGCCATGATTGGGGAGTTGGGAAGCCCCTCTCTGCGTTGGGAGAAGAGGACTGGATGCTTTCGGCTCCTGAAAATCCATCTGAGCCGCAGATATCATGCGAAAAGATTGACTGACAAGACTTACGAAGCTGCTGAGCTTTGAGAGTAGCTACTTCTTCTTCTAGCTTCTCTAGATCCGTTGTCAGCTAGTTTAATATATACAAAAGATGTAATGTTGCCGAGAAGGGAGGGATAACTCATGAAAGTTCAGATCTAGCAAACCCAAACAAAAAGATGCGCACTTACGGATTTGCTGCACTTTCAGAGACGCTACAACCTCTTCTAGTTGCTCTATTACCTAGTTCAGCATATGGGGGCTAAGAACTTTTCCATATTGACTGACCAAGTCGACTCTCTAACGCAGAAACATATCCTGCACGCAGGCCCCTCTTTCGCTGACTCGAAACATACTCACAATTCGTGCCGAGCTGGACACAAAACCCACATGTCGGACGTTGGCGGTCACACTTGACTTTTCGATGGCGGCATATGGTACAGCTATGGGCCTTTAGACGAGATCTCTTCAACAGGACTCTGATAAGGGAGCATCTTTGCGGCGCCACTTACACCACTTTGCTGAGTTCCACCTCCCCACTGTTACTCTCATAAGATCTGTCTCTGTCAACATCCATTTGCGACATTTCGGAACATGACGAGATTGAGGAGCAGACGGTCAGCTACATGGGCCGCTCATTAATAGACGACCATGAACATGGCCCGTCAGATTGGAAGTCATGGGTTCGGTAACAGGGCGGAGACAGAAACGCGGGGTCTCCACCTCCCCACATTTGAATTCAGGATGATGCCGGTGGCGTTCAAGCCCCTTTTCCACACTTTCTCGTACTTACACAGTAGAAAGCGATCGCGAGTCAGTGAAGCTCGTCTAACGGGCCATCTCACCGCCGTAAAAGAGTGAGATATTGCGCCAAGTTTTCGCGGAAAGAGATATCCGCCTGCCGAGGTACCCGAAGAAGCGACCTAGCGGCAGGGAGACCTGACGACGACGATCATCTGGCAAATTCTGAACTTGTTCACTTTCGCCGTCAACATGGAGACCCCACAACCCCAGAATCCACTTCCATTGTCACCAGATGTAGACCGCGTTCAGAATAATCATTCTGACCGACAAGGTGTTACTTTACCAAGTATCCCACGATATATATATGTTAGTGTACACATACGTGCAGAGGGAGCTGATCTGAATCTATCATCATAAGCAGTGGATGTATTTCTATCAACGTGAGGCTCAACGAAACCACGTTGGCCAGGGCTGACCCTGTGTTTGCGCTTATGCACAACCGTCTGACCTAGACATTTGGAACACTCCGGATGCAAGCGAGAAGCGATGCAGTCCTCTTTTCCCTTCTCAAGGTATGCGCGTACAGCCCTCGTCCAAATTCCAAGTGTTTGTCTAATCTTCTTAGGCCCCATACTTCCGCCTCATCTCTCCGCACCCCGCACCCCACACCCACACTGTTGGGATCACGCCGGTCTTTAGCACGACCTACCAAGTACGCTGGTCTATATAGTGCAGCTGTGCCTCCGCAAACATGATCGTCAGCTACTTCTCTACTACTGTTTGCTATTTCAACGACAATCATCATGGTGTTATCCGGCTATCCCCTCGAGGTTGCTCTCACTGTGGCCAATTCGGCTGCTCAGGCATGGTATGGATATGATCAAGGTGTCATCAGTGGCATTCTCATCAGTCCTTACTTCATCTCAACTTTCCCTCAAACGAAGAACTCCAACACTCAAGGTATCACTGCTAGTTGCTTCTCGGTATGTAACATGAGCCCTCTTTTCGCTTCAATGACTCTCGCTTACCTGCGCTCGTAGCTCGGAAATCTGGCGGGTTGCTTGTTTGCCGCCTTGTTCGGAAATCGTCTAGGTCGCAAAAACACATTGAGAACTGGAGGCACCGTCTCAGCTATTGGAGCAATACTTCAGTTCTCAGCTACGAGTTTTCCTCAGCTGATCGTGGGTCGAGTCATCAATGGCATGGGCAATGGTACGTGACTTAACCATTTCTCGACATAGGTGCAAAGCTAAAATTTGTGTTTACAGGAATGACGAGTTCGACCTGTGGCATGTATCAAGCCGAGTCTTGTCGAGGACCTCGACGAGGAAAGCTCTCTGTGATTGTCGTGCTGCATAATGTTGTCTTCTACTGCTTCGCTAGCTGGCTTACCTTGGCTTGCTCGTACATCAACAATAGCGCTCAATGGAGATTACCCCTGGCACTTCAAGTAAGTCTATATATGTTATTTGGACAACATGCATGCTTACTCTTCACCTTTAGCTCATTCCATGTCTTGCAATGTTCTCCCTGCTCCCACTCCTTCCCGAGTCTCCTCGCTGGCTCGTCATGCAAGACCGCATGGACGATGCTCAAGACGCCCTCTGTCGCTACCTCGGCAAAGACCTTTCACCAGACGACCCAGAAGTCCTCCGAGAACTAGCTTCCATCGAAGAAGCCTACAAACTCGAAGTACAATCCAGAATCTCGTTCAAAGAAGTCATCATGTGCCGCGACCGGTCTCGACATCTCCACCGTCTTCTCCTAGGAATGGGTGGTCAGTTTATGCAGCAGTTCGGTGGGATCAATGCTCTTAATTACTACTTTCCAATCATCCTTGAGGACAATATTGGTCTATCTACGCTGATGGCGAGAATTTTGACCGGGTGCAATGCTACCAGTTATATGATATCGTCAGCACTCGCTTTCTGGATGATTGAGCGAGCGGGACGTCGAACACTCATGCTGAGTGGTTTGGGTTTGCAATGTCTGGCATATGTGATGGTCGCTATTGCGATTGCTCTGCAGAGCGAGGCTCCTTTCCAGGTATGAATGTTTTCTGAGGCAGTCACTTTTTCTTATCTCTAAAGAAAAATATTTTGTTGCACATCGCGCGCTAGACAGTTTTTCCTATCAGTATTTTAGAGCTAGTCACTTTTTCTTATCTCTATACCAAAACATCTTGTACAACTCTCTTTGGAAAATCGATGCTAATACTCTACTAGTGGGGTGCCGTTGCAATCACTTTCCTCTTCTTCTACTACGCTGCATTTGGTTGCACTTGGGGAATGGTACCTTGGGTATACCAAGCAGAAATCAATTCCCTAGCCATGCGAACAAAGGGTTCTGCTGCAGCTACTGCCACAAATTGGCTCTTCGGTTTCGTTTGCACTCAATTCACTCCCACTGGTATCAAGAACATTGGGTATAGATTTTACATCAGTAAGTCCCCTATCCCCTGTAATGACAACCCTTTCTGACAATTCTCTAGTTTTCGCCGCATTCAACCTACTCTTTGTACCAATCGTCTACTCCCTGTATCCCGAGACCTCGAATCGTACTCTCGAAGATATCGACGAGTATTTTGATGTCGATTCTGGACACACGACAATCATTCCGATCGGGGACAAGGCAACGAAGTCTACGGCGAGACCGCAGGAGGCTATCGATGCAGAGGTACGACGTGTTGAGACGGCTACTACGTTGGTGGGGAAGAAGACGGATGATCCGACGAGCGTGCATGTTGAGAGATTGGGGGCGCAGTGAGATACAGAGTAGGAAAGCCTGAAGAGGGATAAATGTGGAGTCGATGGTACATGGTGTGAAGGTGTCGATTGTGATTTTTTGTGGATTATGACGAACAATGAGCAATATACTTGAATTGCATATTCTCTTAAACGAGGGCATGACAGTGAGACTACTCTTCGTATCTATACACGTTGTATACACGTTTTGTGTGGAATTCCTATTCCTTTTATTCTAATAGCACCCAGTACTACACAGCGAGGATACAGATTATTTCAAAGACCGTAAGTCCAGGTTCGATCACATGAATGGAACTCTGCTCAATTGACTTAAATTTCAATGATTCAAGAGGCTGGGGAGCAAGAAAGACACAGAATTGGAAAGTGGGAAGTGAAAGCCAGGGAGGAAGGACGTGCGAGAGTAACTTAGTAGTGAGCCAATCATGCAGAGACGCCAAGATTCTCGCGCACTGGACGGGCCATGTCGAACCCGAGCTTCACCTCGACCACGCAAACACTTGTTGGTGGGGTACATACTCATTCCTATGTTACCCCACGGAGTATGCGGCAAGACGTGTCTCTCCTACACGGGCCATCTCAATATGCTCATCATCGGCAAGTCAATTGTCCTTGTGGAGCACCTTGTGGGATGGATGGGGCGATTGCTTCATGTGATATCGCGGGGTTGTCACTTCGTACCAGTGTTGAGCTTCACATATAAAGCTTCACCAGCTTTACTCTCTCGTATCTTTCAACTCAAACCCTACCACCCTACGTCTCAACTTTCAATCCTCCCAAAATGTTTGCTGAACGCCACACCATCAAGCTCCCTCGCTTTCCAGCCGAGCCTTCGCTGCAGAAAGCGAAACCAGCAACCCCTAAAGAAGTCGCACAGCAATGGATCACCAAGCTCGAATCCGTCTTGAAAAATAAAGATGCAGCCGCTTTGTCGACTGTCATGCATACCGACTGCTGGTTGCGGGATATGCTCGCTTTTTCGTGGGACATTCGAACCATTCACGGCTTGGATAACCTCGCTGTCTACTTCGGCGACAATTGGAACCACAGCACACTATCTAACCTACGAATTCGAGAGACTGGAAAATTTTCACCTAGTACCTCATCCCCGATCGAAGGCCTGGAGTGGTTGGAATCGATGTTTGACTTCGACACAACTGTTGGCAAGGGATCGGGAATGTTGCGTCTGGTGCAGGGACCAGATGGAGTTTGGAAGGGATATATGATTTACACTGCGTTGCAGGAGTTGAAGGACTTTCAGCAGCAGGAGAAGTATTTGAGGCCGCATGGTGGCTTGGAGAAGCTTCCTGGAGGGGCGGCTAAGGGGAATTGGTTTGAGAGGAGACAGAGACAGATGGAGTTTTTGGATGAGGATCCAACTGTCCTTTGCCTTGGTGCAGGTGAATTGCAGTCGATACAGAGCATTCAACCTTTATACTGATTTTTACGTAGGTCAGTCAGGACTGAACATGGCAGCCAGACTTCAAGCGATGGGTGTATCTGCACTCATCGTAGACAAGAATAAGCGCGTGGGAGATAACTGGCGGAGTAGATATCGAGTAAGAGAGCTTGTATGAATTATCCAGGGCGAAGTATACTAACCGGCTTCCAGACATTGGTCACTCACGACCCCGTCCAATACACACACATGGCTTTCCTGCCATTTCCATCCAACTGGCCCCTCTTCACGCCCAAAGACAAGCTAGGCGACTGGTTCGAGTCGTACGCCAACTTAATGGAACTCAACGTCTGGACACAAAGCACAATCACCTCCAGCACGTACGATGACAACACCCACACCTGGACCGTTGAAATCCAACGAGGCGACGGCTCCACTCGCACCCTCCACCCAAAACACATCATCCTCTGCACCGGCCACGCCGGCGAAGCCCTAATCCCCAGCTTTCCAGGCCAAGATACTTTCCAAGGCAAAGTCTACCACGCATCCTTCCACCAAGACGCCGCGGAAACTGGTTCCGCAGCCGGCAAAAAAGTCGTCGTCGTCGGCACCGGCAACTCCGGCCACGACATCGCGCAGAATTACTACGAGAACGGCGCTCAGGTGACTATGCTGCAACGACGCGGCACCTATGTAATCTCAGCTGCCAAGGGTTTATTCATGCTTCACGAAGGCATGTACGACGAAGGTGGACCGCCAACCGAAGACGCGGATATCGCTGGACAATCGCTCCCTATTCCCGTGCAGTTTGCGCTGAACGTCGACCTCACGAAGCGGATTGCGGAGGCGGAGAAAGAGAATGTGGAGGGGTTGACGAAGGCTGGGTTTAAGATTGATTTTGGTGAAGATGGGTCGGGGATTTACCGGAAATACATCACGAGAGGAGGCGGGTATTATATCGATGTTGGGTGCAGTAAATTGATTATCGAGGGTAAGATTGCGGTGAAGCAGAGCCCCGGCGGAATTTCACATTTCGAGCCGAATAAGCTGGTTTTGGCGACTGGGGAGAGGTTGGATGCTGATGTTGTAGTGTTGGCGACCGGGTATGATAATATGAGGACGAGTGCTAGGAAGATCTTTGGGGATAAGGTCGCGGATCGGTGTAAGGATGTTTGGGACTTGGATGAGGAGGGAGAGGTTAATGCTGTGAGTACCTACCGGCCCCAATGAATATGTGGTGATTTGTGCTGATTCGTTTTTAGATGTGGCGTCCGAGTGGTCATCCTGGATTCTGGTTCATGGGCGGGAGTTTGGCGCTTGCTAGGCAGTATTCGAGATTTGTTGCCTTGCAGATCAAGGCTATTGAGGCAGGTCTTACTCAGAGGTGAAATGAGCTGGAGCTGGAGGAAATTGAACATTCGGACTAGGGATTATGGCAGACTGCATTGCATGGATATGTGTAGAGACCTTTCTTGTGTCTTGGTTGATTTTGACACTGTCAACTTTTTATCCGCTGCAATTCGATTCCAGACTATTCTCAACATCGCCAAAGTGAGATCAATCTATAGAGTCTGCAGAGTGTTCTATTCCCAGTGTCAAATGAAAACATAACTCTGATCACCCTGCTATGATATGAGATGTAATCCCTCACTGTAAAATAATCAGCAATCCCCAAAAGTTTTCCAGGGTTGCATTTCAATTAAACATCACTCTTTACATAGTTGTCATGCAGTGAAATACATAACAAACAGTTTGTCTCCCCCCTATTCTTGGAAAGCCTTGCTTTTCGAGATGAAATTTGTGGCCATCCAGCGTCTTTGAATAAGGATGCGGGGTAAATCGGGGTGCTAAATGCGGGGTACTGTAATAATTCAAGGTTGAAGATTAGGTATTCAACACGGAGGATTTTGAGGAGTTTCAGGGAATTCGACATGATGCGCAGATTGTGCGAATGGCGCAAATAGCGTAGACAGCGCAAATAGCGTAGACAGCGCGAAACGCGCAAAATGTGAGGTTCGTAGTAATCACGAAAACTGCAATAACCAGAACTTTTCTTGGTCTTTGATTTCATAGTACATTAGAAGCGAGACAAAGGTACGGATAGGACGAAGATCAACGATTAATATATCTGTGGCATTTGCTAACACTACGACGAGTATTTCGCCCCTACTTGAACGCCTTGTCAAACCCCGTGAGAGTGAATCGGTAGCGAACATCGTTCTTCTTCATCCTAGTAACTATTTCAACCTTCGTCAGCATTCGATGTCTTACAGTGAGCAACGGAATGAAAGAAAGTATACATACCAGCTTCTTTGCAACCTGCCTCCGAAATCTGGATCGTTTCTACCATAGGCTCAATCTGCTTCTCGGCCGCCAACTCCAACATCCGAATCATCTCCTTCCGACTCCCCAAATGACTCGCTCCAATGAAACATCCGTTCATCATGAAATCATGAGATCTAACCATCTGTCCCTCTCCTTCTGGTAAGCCGACCGAAACCCATTTCTTGTGGACGCCCAGTAGTGACAAGTATTTCCCCAAGTCGAACCCATCACTACTATTCGCAGTGTTGACGATCAGATCAAACGTCATGATATGGGGCTCATTCCAGTCTTTATCTTCAGTAGCAATAAAGCCGTCTGCTCCAAGAGCAAGCGCGTCCTTTTCTTTCGAGTGGGAACGCGAGATGGCCCATGCTTCGGCTCCGAGGGCTTTGGCAAAAAGGACCCCGAAGTGTCCAATGCCGCCTAGACCTACGATGCCGACTTTCTTGCCTGGTCCGCAGCCGTTGCGGACGAGGGGTGAGAAGGCTGTTAGGCCGGCACAGAGCATAGGTGCTACGAGGTTGGTTTCCAATTTTTCGGGGATGGGGAAGACCCAGTGCTAATTCAACGGCATTAGTTAGTGACACTTTGCTGTCCGTCAAATTTTCTTGAATGCTACATACCTCATGCGCCCTGATATGGCTCGAATATCCACCCGGCAGCACCGTATCCGTACCGGGCCAAATCCCACCATACGTATCAACCTGGTGTTTGCAATACGTCTCGTCGTCTTCTTTACACTGCTTGCAGTCTAAACAGGAATAGATCTGTGCTCCCACTCCAACTCGCTGTCCTTGTTTGATGAGAGTGACAGAGGGACCGACGCGGATTGCTTCTCCGACTATTTCGTGGCCGACGCAAAGGGGAAAGTTTTTGGGGCCCCAGCCGCCGGTGATGGTGTGGACGTCGGAGCCGCAGACGCCGCAGGCGAGGATTTTCACCTCGACGTCGTAGGGGCCGAAGGGTTTGGGGATGAGCTGTGAAGCGAAACGTGTTAGTGAAAAGTGAAGGTGGGGAAAATGGAGAGGGGGAAGGGAAATAAGGTGGATGTACTTCTCGTTTCTTGAACTCTGTCCATGTTTCTGCTGAATCGACTTGAAATCCTTCGAAAGTTTCTGGATACACCATCTTGAACTGAGATTTCAGTCCAGCAAGGGTTTATATGAACAGGAAAGACAAAGAATGAACGTTGAAAAAGGTGAGAATTTCTGTTATTGCTAATGAATGAAAACAGAAAGCTTCCTATTGAGAGCTGCAAAGCAAGAAAAAGCTGCCCTCTTATCCAGACACTTCTCCATATTTCGGTCCATAGGCGTCCGCCTCACCTGCACCGGTCGCGTCACTCGTCAGACGCGACTCGGAAAAGTTGAAGATGTGGTCACATGTTGGGCTTCGACGGCCCATGTCACCACCGTCATCAACATGGCCCGCTTTCCCCACAGAGAGAGTGGGCGTTGCCCCTCACGGCTTACTTTACCCCACGATGCATGAGGGCCTAAACCTTAAGTTTGGAGGAAGGAATACCTTTGGGTAAGTAAGCCGAGGAAACCAAATTTGGCAAACAGACAAGAGATGGAACACTTGCACAAATAAGAGATGCTCTCTTCATATCATTCTCCAGCTTTGGCTGCTGCTGCGAGTCGGATTATCGATGTTCCACTATCTGAGTTTTGCAGAGTTTCAAACAGCGTATGCAAATCTGCAAGTCGAATTTCATCCGACTGCGTTACACTTTTCTGTGGATTTCTCCCAGCGCAAGAGTGGGGGATGACATAAATCGCCGAGATCACACTCGTGAATGTTCAAGAAATCTCATCAGGTGAGAATACGATCAATAGATCCTATTTTTGCCCCAAAACGAGTGTTTTCCATATGATCCATCTTTCCTATTTCGATGCACTGCCCGAGTAGTGTTGAAGCTCGCTAGCCAAGCGAGGAACAGGATCACAGTCATGTGACTGCTTTACTTCTCTCAGGGGCAACACATTTAAGTCACATCGTGGGGTGGGTAAAGTATCGGGATCATTGGAAGTATTATATCATGTCTTCTTTTCTCAAGTCCGATAGATGTGTATCTGTTTCAAGCTCGAAAAGTCGTCACGGTGCTGTTCTTAGTTAGCGAGCTAGAGAAGTTGAAAAGTTTTGGGCTATAAAAGTCTCTTCGGAACTGCAAGTTGCCGTCTTTCATTACTACGATGTTCTGTTGTTGAATTTGAATTATAGTCATGGAAATCTGATAATACTTGCGCAATATAAATCAGAACCACAGACGATGTGGCAATTCGGATAGCCATATAAGGAGCTTCGAATGCAATTTATTCGTCGGCTATCGGCAGACTATCATCTCTTCATGCAGTCAATGAAAGAGGGAGGTTTCAAATGAGAAACGTTGATATCTGCAGGGCCTGGAAGCCATTGCGCAGCTGTCCTATTGAAGCGCGGAGAGTAATTATGCCATACGCGAACGATCTTGCGCAACACCATCACTAGAAACCCAATCATGATGCCTCTTCATATCAACACACAACATCGATCCATAGAAGAGACAGAGATTGAGGTTGACGTGATTTTGATGTGGAATGCGCCTTCTCTACATCGACAGTCAAATAATTGAAGGTCGAATAACATCAGGAATTGAAGGCGTGATGCCTTTTCTTGACTTTAGAGCAAATGTGGCATTGGCAGTATGTCCATAATCTCCGACTCTGAGCCCATTCTTGCATCTAGACTATAAATGGCACAATCTGCGGGGTTCATTGTGATCATGTTGGAAGAATGTATATGACAACAGTATATCCGCGATTGAAAGCTTTCATTCATCTCCGCTGTACTTTCATGAATACCACGTTTTGAAAAAAAACTACAATTGAGACCTACACCTTCACTGCAACAATCAGCGAGATATCATGGCTCCATCTGTGGCTCATGACGATGTACAGGTTCAACCTGCATCTCCCGTTTCGAACAAATCCCGCACGATCCCTGAGATCAAGAAGAGTGTCCAAGGATTGACTCAAAGTGCATCATTCCCGGCCCCTCTAACATACTCTGGCTCTCTGGACCATTATGAGTCGTTCGACGTGACATCTGTTATCGGCAGAGAGTACCCCAAGGTCCAGTTGACGGAGATCTTGAAGGACGATGCTAAGATTCGGGACCTTGCTATTACAGGTATACATACTCTGCTCCGTATTCCTGGACGAGTCAAACTTGATTTCACCTGATCATGCTAATCCAAACACAGTCTCTCAACGTGGTGTGGTGTTCTTTCGGAACCAAGACATTGGCATTGAAGACCAGAAGATTCTTGGCCAGAAGCTAGGGGAACTTACTGGAAAACCTGCGACATCTAAGGTTGGAAATTCTCATTGTTGTTTTCGATATAATTAACAATAAGCAGTTGCACAAACATGCGCTGAGCAACAGTAAGCGAGGTATTGCCGTTGACGAAAATGGAAAGCTCGATGATGAGGTATCAGTGATCTCATCTGAGGTACGATATCATGCATCTAGTCGAGTCATTCATTGCTGAGCCGTTTCATAGCAAAACAGAAAGTACTATCAAGGTCGCTTCTTTGGAGCCAAGAGAGTCGCAAGTGAAGGATGGCATGCTGAGTACGTCAGGTCTCTCAACTACGAGCATTCGATACTGACCGAAACTTAGCATCACATTTGAGCGTGTTCCATCTGACTACGCCATTTTGAAGATCATCAAGACTCCCGAAGACGTTGGGGGCGACACCCTTTGGGCATCCGGATACGAGGCATTTGACCGCTTGTCTCCAGTTTGGCAACGATTCGCAGAGACCTTGACTGCTACCCACCACCAAGTCAGTAATGGAACCATGTCCAAGTTATAGAAAAGTACTGACAAAGTACCTCTCAGCCAAACTTCAACAAAGTTGCAGCAGAGCATGACCTGGAATTAATCGACGAGGAGAGAGGTGCACCAGAGAACAAAGGATTGGACTTTACGGCTTCGCAGTAAGTGTCATTCAGTTCTATATCCGAGAAAGACCTGATCAAAGTGCAATGTAGCCCAGTCGTGCGAACCAATCCCGTGACCGGCTGGAAGAGTCTCTTCGGTGCGGGGCACCAAGTGCACGCTGGCTGGATTGACAATGTAACCGAGACCGAAAGCGAGGTCATCAAGGCTTATTGTAAGTCTTCTCTTCTCTTCTCGGGAAATCTTCATTCTAACGCAAGAATATAGTCAACAAACTTATTGCCGAGAATCATGACTTGCAGGTGCGTTTCAAATGGAATACAAACGATCTCGCAATCTGGGATAAGTGAGTTAATGACTTTCATCCTTGAAAAAAGCTCAAGTATACTGACGGTAATAGCCGCTCCGTCTTCCACACGGCTACGAATGATTATGATGGAAAGCGTCAAGGAAACAGAGTTGTGTCTTTGGGTGAGAAGCCGTACTATAACCCCGCTTCGAAGTCTCGACGAGAAGCACTCTTCGGATTGGCTTGAATCGTTGCCTGAATGGAATAGACACGAATTTGCCCTTGATGCAATGTTTCTTCTGTCCGAATGGGGGGACTCGAGCAGTCTCAATTTCAAATACAAACTTGTGATTTCCTGCATGAACTTTGTCTGGAAGTTTTCCTCTGTAATCGTCATGGACACACTTGAAACACTAACTGCAGAGAAAATGGCTTTTCGTCATGATGAGTAAAGGTTTCATAAGGTAGGATGAAATTTAGCCATCTAAAAGTGTTTGGGTGTCTGGATTGCGACTTTTGTTGCAAATCGCAATTTTTTTGGGAACATAGTAGTTGAAAACGTCTAGTTGGAAAAAAGTTTTGTTGCATGTCGCGATTCCCACTTGAATCAACGACGTTGATTTGGACGGACGTTGATTTGGACGGACGTTGATTTGGACTCTGCCACATCCAATAGCTCCTGATGAGTATCTACTACTAACTTTATCTATGCATTTCATAATTCAGATAGACTAAACGTTCTTTTCTGCTATCTGAGGGTAATTCCATTCATGGCAGTGTTAGCTACAGCACAGCATTACAGCCCGCTCCAGTCCATCCCTTCAACCGCCTCCTTCACTCCCACAAAGTCACTTTTCTCTAGCTTCAAGTTTTCCTTCGTGATAATCTCCATACCATCTAGATCAATCCAACTCTTATCTTTTTGCTCTTCCCAAAATTTAAACACAAGACCTTCAGCATCGCCCCACAGTGGGAACAATTTGTCATATTCAGCAATATTTGCAAGCTCAACATACAAACTTTCCTTGCCGGTTGCCTCGCTCCAAGATTGGAGCAGGCCGCCCATCGTTGTTGTTTCGATGGATCCAAGAACGATCTTGCTTCGCGTTTTCTCAGGCTGCGCCAAGATTGCCGACGAGAATTTCCCCAGATTCTTGCTTACGTCTCCGATGGTCTCGACTAGGGTGTTGGCCGGGACAGGGGCAAGCAAGACGTACTTTCCAGCTGTTTTCTATTTGTCATGAGTATCTTGTTTGTAGCAACATTTTGATTGTACATACCAGAAAAGTAGGAGAAAATATTGGGTACGCGAAATTCTGAGCATAGAACGCACACCACAGAAATGTCGTCTTCTCCAACAATTTTCCATGAGACTTGATATAGTCGTCAACCTGATTCTTGGCAAAGGCGTGTGGCACTTTCAGTTTTCCGCCAGTTATTTTGCCGAAGTTTGGTAAGGTACTCCAGATGTAATGTTGCAATGTCGGGGTCTTCATCGCTGCATTGGCCAAGTTGATACCTTGTTGACGTTCGATAGACATTGCTTCATCAGCTGAAGTCTGCGGCCAGTAGCCGAAGAAGTTGGTCATAGCGAAAATGGCAGTCGAGTCCTGTGTCTGTTAGTTTTATACCCAAGTATGAGATCTGATAGATCGAGTGGAGCGAAAGGCGATGAAGATACCTCGAAAGCTTTGATGAGCGAGGCTTCATCATCCAAATCAGCAGAAACAACCTCAATTCCTTGGGACAAAAGCTTCACAGCTGAAGCACTTGTTGGATTTCGAGTAATTGCTCTGACGCGGTATTGCTTGGATTCCAAAGCAGATGCAAGGACGGAGCTGCCTTGGTTACCAGTTGCTCCGATGATAGTAAGAAGTGGAAGAACCATTGCTGGGGTGTGAGTTCGGATGGACTTGAAGATGTATGAACAAGTTTGAGATATCTCCCTCGCTACCTTGAACGACGCTCCATATATATACTTCTCTCGACCATAAAGAAGAATGATATTTGGTTAAGCAGCGAGTTTAAGGAGCGGAAATCCACCTGGTGCTGAGGCAGAAGACCCACAGTACACAGACTTCTTCGTCGCGGACTTATTATCTGACTCACATTTAGGCAACAAAAACTCAGATAGCGTTATTCAGCAGGGCAACGAGCAAGGTGGAATTCCGCACGCTAGTGAAAAGATCACGTGGTCGGGTTTGACAAGCACGGTCAAATATTTGTTCTAGAGAAACTGACTACAAGGAGACGGCATACCCAAGATTTAAGCCTCTTGATAGCTGGGGAATATGTGTCCTGAAAGAATCCTTTTTGAATGCCGCAATCCAAGTCCAACATATCTTCAAAACTGTTGGAAACACAGTGTGTCATTGTTGTCACATGACCTTCGGTCACGTGCTAGATTAGTCAGCTCCTTCGGAGCCTAAAAAGCTCAGCTCCGCTGAGCCTTTCAATCAAGCCTTTTCAACCTCTTAATATCACAAGTGTACAGCTGATAAATCACGTGATTCGCTTGGTGAGACCGTCCCACTAAGAAGCTATGTTACTTCTATTAGTGGTATTCAGTCTGCTTTTAAAATCAAGGGCAGTAAGCCAGCTATATACAGAGTATCGTACGATGCCTGACTCGTACGCATAATATTCGACCCACATCACGTGGACGCTCGAAACAGTCGTCCACCCGGATACGTCTTACCCGCCGGATTGGTGCCAGCCGATCGATTCAGAGGCGCCCTGAGCTATACTCCCGACAAAAACTTTACTACGGTATCTTAAGCGAGGTTGCCCCTTTTATTAATCTGCAGCTCACTACATTGAGCAATTGAAATTGCTTTACGATGGCGCAAATGGAAGTTTTAGGATTCGGGAGCAGATGATTCACATGCTTAAAAGTGGCATGACATGACTTTCACCATGATTCCGATGCTACTATGGGAATCATTCTTGCTACACTGCGGAAATGTATATAAGCTTCAAATTCTGAGCAGACTCCGCTTCTTTTTCTTCCTCCATCAACAACGCAATTTGAATCGTTCTTCAATATTGCTTTCTCAAAGCGCAAATCGAGCCGCAAAATCAACTTCAAGTATTGTGCTGCTCGAAACATTTATACCCTGAAAAATGCCAGAATACAAGATACCCAATGGACGTTGGATGTGCTGTATTGTAAAGCTCATTGATTTATGTAGTTATGTACCCCATACTAAAACTCCGTAACAGTGTAACGGTTGGAACCCGAATCAGGACAATAATACCATCTACTGCGCGGGTAATTCGGAGTTGCCTTGCAAGCCGTCTCACCGAATTCATCAGATTCATGCTTCTGCTCACAATACGATTCCTTCCGAACGGTCAAGGGTACTATTCCTAAAAGGCCCCTTAGAAAGCGTGCTATCTAAAGCCAGAATTCAGGACAGGGATCTGGTAGCCAGGGACAATTGATCAGTCGAAGTCAAGGACAGAGCAGCTCAGGCCAAGGAGCCAGTGGAGAACAGGAAGCAAGCAGTCCAGCTGAAGCAACAAGCCAACATCTAGGAGCAAATAGTTCAAGTCAAGCAATCTACCAAGATGACGGCGATTCCAGTCAAGCAACCAACCAAAAACAAAGAACGAGCAGCAAAGGAAAAGAAACAAGTTATGGAGATCTAACGATTCGAACCCGTGGAGGCAAACACAAACATGGACACAAGCACAAGCATGGAAGAGGCTCTAAATAGATAACCACGGCGTGTGGTGATCTGCGTAGACTTTGGCGGAAGTGGCTCGGAAAGCGTGAGTTGATTTTTGGTCCTGATATTCAAAAAGCTGTCACAGAGTTGTATGATTGTTGATATTTTTTCTTGATATCTGAATTTTTGTTACCGATTTGCATGACCGTCGATTTCTTTTCATACGAATACACCTTCCGCGAGATTTGGTATTTTAGATTAGAAATATGCATGGACTTCCCTTAAACTGTACTACCCTTTCTCTTTGGCTACTTTCTGAAGATACTCAGTGTTGACCTCAACTGATGACTCTGATGACTCTGATAACTCTGATAACTCGGATAACTCTGATGACTAGTGCACATCTAAATATTGCCACTGATATGATAGCAGACCTGTAGTCTCTCTCCATTGTGTTAACTATTACGCACAGCAAATAAGACTCCAATTATTGAAAGTCTAACACATTCACGGGAAATCCCTTTAATGGAGTTGATGTGACCTTTGGGTTTGATCCATTTTACCTAAGTACTTGGAAGTTATTGAAGGAGAAAGAATGCGAGATGAATAAAGTTAAAGCCTTTTAATCGTGCGAACCAGGAGAAGTTGACAAACTAAAGCCGAATGATTCCGGCTATGGTCAACGAGCCATGACTGCTAGTCATAATTCGGAGTAATTGGTTGATTTTTATTCAATCTCTGATCATGAATCGTATAAGAACAATCATAAAAACTGTGGCAATCACTCAAGTTCTAACATGGGCATGCAGCGGGCCCTACACCGAGAAGCATAAAAGAAACCATTCTTTCCTACCTACTTCCCATTTCCATCAGCATCCTCATCAAGAATCTCCTGCCTCTACAACAACCAACTTCTATTCGATACCAAGCAAAAAAACTCAACTTCGCAGTCAAAGATCAATGCCTCAATACACTCGAGAAGAACTGGACCGTTTGGACCAAGAAGATGCAGATCGGGGAGATCTCGGACCCGGCTGGTACTGCTGCCATGTATGATAAAAAAAAACCACAGCTTTAAATTGGACCAAACTGACTCTACAACCATAGTGCGAAAGTAAGAATTACTGGAAATACGGCCAACGATGTCGTGGGAGCTGGAAAGGAATGAAATGTACACATTTTTATGGTATTGACACTCATTGCACATGTGCGGGTTAAATTGAGCCCGAGCGCAGCGAAGACATTGTCGTCATTGCCAAGCAGTATGGCTCAGGTGGATGGGAAGCGTGGAGTTTGCTCGGGAGTGGAGTTGTCTTTGATGTTCCGTTGCTTTTCAAGCCTTGTTACGGAGCTTGGTGCGATCGTTGATATTCGTTGCTGTTCACGGCTCGGTATAGAGTCACGCATGCACCTTAGAGTTATGCATGGTTTTCCTTGAGATATGAGTTCTATGGTCTCGCGTCTCAACATGACCCTCGACTCTAATATGGGTTTACTAAGGGGTTATTGAAGCGAAACTACATGAGGGGTGAGTAAGTCTTGAAACTCGGAGGCTTATGTCGTGCCGTGCAAGTGAATTGAGATTTTCTGTGAGGATTCACAGGCATATTCAGTTGTCTGGATAAGTCCAATGTTCCAAGAGAATAAATCATTTGTTGTGCAAGACTTCACAATCACTCGACTTCTCGAGTTGAGACGGCTTTGAATGATCCACTACTAAACATAAAAGATGCCGTCTCTTGCTACATAGCTAAGTATTACAATATCCACCATCCTTTCAAAACAAGCAGTACCCCTTCACAAATCCTCATATCCATCGAGACCAAACAACAACCCCGTCACTAAAACCAAGGATCGAAATATCAACAAACACTTGAACGGCATCCACGTCACACTTACCCGAACGCCTTTTCCCAGGACAGTACCGGGAATGCTGTCAGGTGTTATCTCCAACGATACCTCCACTAAGGAGTAAAAGAGTAAGCTAACTACTCAACTTAGTGCAAATGCGTCAACGATCATCATGGAGGACAGTGCCAGGACGGGAATGGTGCAGGCTGCACCCATGGGTATCGCAAAGACATAAAAGTCACGAATTATATAGGGTATACAAACATATACATTTGCGATTGTAAGATTCGAACCAAACACTTTGTTGGATTTTCCCCGGCTCGAATTATTGAAGCTTTGGAGTGCTGAGGTAGAAGACGCGTTTGCTGTTAGGGGAGGAGATCGTTGATGTTCCGTTGGCTCTGGAAGTTTGATTTCGAGCTGTGCGTGTAAGCTAGGCGTATGCATGGGTTTCCTTGAACTTTGAGAATCATAGACCTTTCCTGTGACTCCAAAAACCGACCACTACGTGCTCGTACAATGAAACAACGGTTTTTAAGAGGGTGGTGAACAAGGCCTTACGAGCCTAGTGAGATAAGTCTGGGTTTTTGTCTAGAACGCTGAAGCCGAATTTCGGATAATAATTTCGAATCGATTTTCAAACCATTCGAAATCGATACTAGCGTCTTGTGATATTGCATTTACAATGTTAAAGAGTGATTATTTGTTATTCTTGAGTAAATTAGAAGTGATGCAACCGACTTTCATATTCTTCGGTTAAGAATAGCCTGAAAAAGGCCCTATAAATTCAGACTTATCTGACCAGTCTTATTGGACTCCCCGCGCTACTCAAGGGCACAAAGCTTCTGTCCGAGAAGACGCGCATAACTTATTGACTGTAAGAGTGATGGTGGACTTCAGGCAAAGTCATGATGAAAAGCTGTTCCAAGTAACATCTCCAACAAACCCAATTCCTTCCCATCTGAGAATCCTGACCATAACCCCCCTCGGCCCCTGACTAAGCGATCCCTCAACTCATAACCTGGTAGCCGCCGTCCTTCCCACAAACAAGCTCCTCGGCAGATTACGTACCCCAATACCCCCAATGTAACCATCTCCACACAATAGCCGCCAAAAGGGACTGCGACCTTCCAAATCTAGCGATATTTATGAGAACCAGGTAATTGCGCATGTCAACGTAGATTGTATTGTGGGGCCAAAGGGCTTACTTTCTCGGTTAAGTTCCTAATCTAAACATAACTACCTACCTACTTACTACGGAGAGCACTGAGTACGAACGGAACGTCTTGTCAATGAGCATAGCAGTCGACATCTCCTGATATATGAATGTGAAGTGAAGTGAACAAAGAAAAATCGGACATGCAATCTCTAATCCACCTCTCTCTTTCCCTCCCCCTTCCCACCATCTCTCACACATTCTAATCCAAACCCGGAAGGCTCGAGATCCCTATTCACCATTAGCATTCCACCCCAAAAGGGAAAAAGAAGGGAAAACTCACAGCCATCAGCATTCTCCTGGTACAGCTTCGGCACCGTACAAGACTTCGCCGCACTAACAGCGCTAATCGGCAGACTCGCACAGCTGGCTCCCATACAAGGACCTCCATCCATAGCCCGCTGCAGCGCGTCGCCCTTCCATCCAAAGACGTAGTCGCCGTGTTGGCTGTAGCCGGTGGTGTCGCCAGTCGAGAGGACGAAGGGTTGCGAGCCGTCCGCGGGCCATTCGGCTTTGTTGTTGAAGCCGGTGGTGTCCCAGACGATCTGTTTGCGTTAGCTTGGAAGGAGAAAGGGAAGGGAGATGGGTAGGGGGAAAGGAGAGGGAAGGCTTACTTCGAGCATGATTTGCGGGATCTTGACAGGGTGGGTGGATGGGCAGGCGCCGCCGGTGGAGGAGCCGGTGAAGGCTTGGGCGCCCGTGGTGGGCAGGGCGACGTGGTCTTGGTGGTTGGGGGAGTCGAGATTCTTGCCGTCCCAGCAGCTGTATCGTTCTTTAGTACACCATCCCCTCTGCTGAATAAGGAGAAGAAGGAAGAGAAATCTTACGTTGGGAACAAAATGTTCGATCGAATACCACCCAAGCACGCATTGGCAGGGAGAGTCTCGGTATCCAAACTACGGATCACGTTAGTATAGTAAGGGAAAGGAGGACGAGGGAACTTACGAAGCGTCGGCGCAAGGAGCGTCGTTGTCGCCGCCGAAGTTGGGGCCGGAGTAACATCTGAAGCACGACTGGGACTTTCTTCCGCTTCCGACCTTGGTGCGTTGAGTGGCATTACCAACCAGCATGCGGAAACCGGGCTTGAAGGCGGTGACTTTGCCCTTTCCGTCCGAGACGTAGTACACGATGAAGCCACTGTTCATCTGAGGGCCGAACTTGTCGCTGAATTCGGATCTGTATCTCAATCAGCCTGGGATTCTTTGGTTAGGGAGAGAAGACGTACCTGTTTGGGATCTGGGGAACACGCTTATAGGTACCGTTACGAGCCTTGAAGTAAAGATTGGCTGTCCAGTAATTGGAGAAATCGTCCGCAAAGTTGCAAGACGTGCACGTGGCCAGCGAAGCGACGTCCGTCGAGGCAATGGAAGCGTTGAACGCGTTGCCGCCGATGATCTGATGCATGTGCGGACTCGGGATGGCGTCAGGGTTGACGAGGGGATCCACACGATCGATGGAGATCTGAGAGCATCCGAATCTCAACATGGTGGAGCCGCCGGCTTGAGAGTAAGGAGCAGCTTGAACGAGCGTGGCCGCCATGGCGACGAGAGTCGTGGACCACATCATCTTGGGCTGGTGAAGAGAGAAGAGCTATCTGTTAGTAGCGATACTTCCTGTTCGGAGCGCGAAGAGAGGACGACGAGGAAGATGGGAACACAGGTAGAAGGGAAACAAGACAAGGCAGAATGGGAGGACATCTTGTTTATAGCGATTTCACCAAAGTACAGACGAAGTCATCCTTCTCGCCAATGAAACTTTCACGATGTATTATCAGAGTGTGTTCTTGTGAACTGTCAACGACGGTTGATTGCTCGCGAGCCATTTCTCCCGTTTATATTGTTTATAGAGCTTGGCGACTAAGTGTATCACTTTGATACGACTGCCAGTATTAGACGGTTATTATCCAATACTTTATCTAGACCCTTGTCACGCCCCGCGCCCCACTCCCCGTTTTGTTTTGTGGCAAATGCGTGCCTTTTCCCTGAGGTTCTCGAAGTATTCAGCGGGGCCTTGAAGGCGGAGATTTGTGCTTAATTCGATGCAATACAATTCCATTGGACTTCCAGGAATCTTGCAGAGAAAGAGATAGAATGTTGCGATGACAAAAATGATCTTGTGGCAGTATCAACAAATGTCGCTCGACGATCAGGCCGTAAAGGAGCCGCAGGCAAAACTTGTGATTTGAAAATTCTTCTTCGGCACCTATTCACTTGAGTATCGGGCCTTGGGAAGTCTCTGATTTGTATATCCACGATGGAATGTATCCCTACCATTACCACTTGGCGTATGAGTCGGGATCATGTGGGGTAATACGGGGTAATAGGGCAAATGTGGGGTACGGAAACGAACACAACAAACTTCTTCATCCCCAAAAAAGAATTCGTTGAAGAGAATCATAGAATATCAACAAATGAGTCCGGAGAGATGCTCAGAAGAACGTTAGAATAGAATGACAAAACGTGACTTCGACAAACAGGTCGTTCAATCTATAGGTATCAATATAAACAAGTAAAAGCAAATCCGCCGATTTTCCTCTCAAGATACAACATCTCAAATCCCCAATGTAAACAATGAAATCACGAAATCTTCTCCTTACAAAAGTACCAGCAGGCCCACAAGCGCGACAACACCAGCGCCTAAGGACATCTCGAATCTTCCAGCTCCAGAATAAGGTCCAGAATAAGGCGTAGCGGTAGTAATCGCCGGAACACCAGTACCCGTTGCAAGGACCGTCCCGGTAACTCCAGCGCCCGTAGAATTGCCCGCGGGATACTTCAACGTAGTAACAGGAATCGGGGCAAGGTACACGGTACTCAAGACAGTCATTGGCGCTGGCTCCTCGCTCGTGGCAGGAAGAGTAAGTTGAACAGTCACGGTGGTTCCTGACAACGTGGCGGTCTTGGTTGTGGTCATCATGGGGATGGAGGCCGGGGTCGTGTTTGCGGCTGTGTTAATGGGTAAAGTCATGGTAGAAGAGGTGGTTATTGTAGTTAGACCGGTGGGACAGATGTCGACGTAGGTTGTTACAATGACGGTAGCGTACATCTCTTCTTCTTGGGTTGGTTGGGCAGGAGCTGAAGTTGGCGCCGGACTTTCCGTAACTGGGCAGACGGTCGTGTAAAGGGAGATCGTTTCTGTAGTCAGATGTCCCATTCGGAGCGGACAGTCAGTCACAGTTTGAGCGCAAGACGTAATAGTATAGATCGACGTAGCATAGACTGTGGAAGTGGTATAGGCAGGCGTTGGTGCCGGAGTGTACGGGCAGAGAGTTGTGTACAGGCTGATAGTCTCTGTGGTGAGATGTCCGATACGCAGTGGGCAATCAGTCACAGTGGCAGCACATGAGAGAATGGTGTAAGTGCTGGTAGCATAAACAGTCGATACTGTGTATACTGGGGCTGACGAGATGACTGGAGACGAGACCGGAGCAGTTGGTGTGATTGTTGAACTGGCAGAGAAGGCATAGCTTGTTGAAGTGTTGAAATATCCTGTGAATGCCCCAGTGGTAGAAGCGGGGACACTCGAGGCTCCAAGGGACGACATAGAAGAGCTAGAGACGACGCCAAGAGAGGTTGAGTTCCACAGCAACGAAGATACGCTGATCACAGAGGAAACGAGCGTCGTAGGTTGGGCAACGCTCGATGTACTCGAATTTGAAAAGATCGAAGAGCTAACAGAGGACAGAGCATATGATGATGATGATGATGATGATGATGATGATGGGACAGACGATGATACAGCCGCAGAGCTTTGGGCCGCCATAGTTGAACTTGACGCGGCTGCTTGAACGGATGAGCTCATAGCAGCAACCACTGACGAGCTCGAAGCCGCTGCTTGCACAGTGGAACTGCTGGCCCCCGAGCCACTCATGGCAGCAATAGATTGACCGCTCGAAGAAACAGCAGCTGAGGAAGTCTGTGCAGCAACTAATGTCGAAGTCTGTGCAGCGGCTGGTTCACTCGTCGACATCGCAGCCAATGTGCTACTCGCGGCAGCAAGAGTCGTCGAGCTCGAAGCGGCAGCTTGGATAGTAGTCGAAATCGCAGCTGAGCTACTCGCAGCAGCGACCACTGTCGAGCTCGAAGCAGCCGCTTGTTCACTGGTCGAAATCGCAGCCGAGCTGCTACTGGCGGCAAGAAGAACCGTTGAACTCGAGGCGGCGGCCAGCGTGCTGGACGAAGCAGCCGCAGGAATTTGCACACTCGTCGAAGACGCCGAAGCACTGCTGCTGCTGGAAACGGCAGCGGGAGCATTAACCATATAAACAGACAAACGATCCGGACCACCACACGTCTCAGTCTCGTCTCCCGAGCAAGTCATCCAGCAATCGGTCTCTGGGGCATATATAACTGGGGCCAGGAAGGAATTCCCGCAGTAACCTTTACTACAAGTCAATTATAGTGAGGGAAAGGGGAATGGGGAGGACATACACTCGTCGGAATACTCGGTGCCGAAATATTCGTATCCTGCACAGCTGGCGGCGCAGCTCTCGAGTGTCATGGGGTTGTAGACGAAATGGTCGTCGTATAGGATGCGGGTAGTGAGGCCTTCTTCGACACAGCCGTAGTAGGTGTATGCCGAGAGAGGAGACAGAGCAGTTGATGAAGCAGCAGTAGAGCTGGTGGATGACACCGCAGCTGGGATACTGGTCGACGAGGCGGCGGCGGGAACGACAGTCGACGATGAGGCGGCAGCGATTTGTGTAGATGTAGCAGCGGCAACAGAAGAAGACGAGGAACTCGCAGCGCCGAGCTGGTACACCTTGACGGAGTTGATGCCCCAGTACCTAGAAATATTCAGCAACCGAATATTCAACAACGAATCAGGTATCTTACACATCCTGAAAATCATTATAGTGCTCCAAATCCTCGGGGAAGCTTGCGATGTATTCTCGACACGTAGCAGCAAGAGAATTGCATCCATCAGCCGCCCAGTTAGCCTCTGCCAGCACGGTACAGAAATCCATGTCGAACACAATGTTGTTGTTAGCGAAGCTGCCATCAATGTTGCAGCTTCCCTGGAAATTGGCAACTGGTTCGCCCCAGAGAGTTGGATCGGGAGTGCCTGCGGTGATATCTGATGGAGTGGTGCCTTCATCGAAGAACCAGATTCTGATCGCATCGCTTTCCCACTGTGTGGCGAAGACACCGCCTCCGTTGTTGTCGAAGTTATTGCCGAAAGAAGTGGGGTCCGAGTCATAGAGAACACTGCAGCCAGAGCTGGAACTGCAGTCAGTAGATTGTGAGGTACCAATTTGTCCATCCCCTGCGACGGAGCACGTGGATTGCCTGGAAAGTCAGTTTGAACGATGATTGTAGTTCGCAGAACGTACGTGAACAATGTCATCTGATTATAAGCAGCATTGTTGACCCCGCCGATGATATCGATTTCACCTAGATACATGAGCTCCCAGTCTCAAGAAACAGCAAGGAACATACCTGAAGAAAGGGTTGCTCCAGCAAGATAATCTGTTTTCAGTCAATTCCGTCCAATTACCCACTCAAACTTCACTCACGCCTTGCTTCGACACCACAAACTCCACCAGGCATATTGTTCAAATCGGTAATGACCAACCCATGAGTCCACGACTGCTTCGACACCAGCTTCACAGAATCTCTTCCAACGCCATTAGGGTTCAGAACGGTTGTTGAATCAGGCATAAGCTCGGTGCCAGTATTATCGGACTCGATCATCCCATAGTCATACGCAGTATTATAATCGACATAACTTCATCCATCCATCAGCAAACTTCTTCAGTCGAAACCCCAGCAAAAACATACTTGACAAAGTCCCCATTCGGATCACCCTATCCTCGTCAGCACCGATCATTTCCAAAACCTCAGCAGACTTACTGTAACGAAATTAAAATTATCAAAGAAAGTAGTACCCGAAAACTCAGCCTGCAACTGATACCCCGACTGGGCCACCACAGCAGACGACAAAAAAGACAGGACGGCTAGCTTAGCCACGGGCCGCGACCTCAGAAAGAGTGATGAGACGGGCATGATGGAAAGAAAATCAGATCAAAAGAGTGTACGAAGTTAGGTGGAGGAATGCGCACCACACATAACTAGGATGGAGCAGAAGAGAGTGCGAAGAAACATCAGGGACAGACGATGCATATATCAATGGGCACACGCTCATGTCTTACGATGATATACACATCGCAAGGGTTCACATAATAAGATTTAGGGTTTTCTTCAAAACATGTGGCTACCAATGGAGCTGGGGGTGGACTGCCACCACAGCTGAGTCCAGAACTTTGGGCGTAAAGACTTCCCTATCCGGGCCCCGAATATTGGTTTTTTTCGAGTCTAAAGGGAGACGCGTAAGTATCATAAAGAATCGAGATTAAAGCAAGACAACATCTTCCCCAAGCTGGGCTGAAGAGGGTTTTTCTTTTGGTGGGCTTGGCGTTAATTCTGGCGTGGTCTCCTTTCAACGGGAGCAAAGCCTCCCAAAGGAGCTGGCGTGCGGCAGAAAAAGCTTGTGCGTGCGTGACTGTGTTATTGATGTTGCCGTTGAAGGATGATTGGAATAGGAGAAGAAAGGGCTGAAGGAGGCGGTTGTGGAAATTGGCTTCGGCCATGCAATGGCTCGGAAAATTCGCGGGGTGGCTGACTAAGTTTTTCCTCCGGCCCCCTGATCTGGTCGAGGAAAGCTTGTCGGTAGATATCCTACCTAGTTGTTGAATGAATACGTAGTTGAAAACAGAGGTACTTCTCTGATTATATGTACTTTGACTGAGGTTAGAAGGATGTAGGTACTTCAGTAAAGTTTCTGATTGTCCTTGACGAGGAGCGTGTTTGTTGCGCATTTTCGAGAAGTATCTAATATGCCACTAATACTTCCAGTTGTTAACTGATAAACAAACACAAGTACACAGCAATGAAGAGAGATATTCACGAAATTTAGCCAGCAGCTGGAGAAAATGGGTTCCAATTTCGTTGTCTCCGGCACGTGATTACTTGCCACAATAGGTAAGGGCGAGCAGGGCGAGACAGAGCCTCATTGGAGTCTCTCAAGAAACAACAAGTCCAAAAGCCTCCCGAGACAGGAAAAACTAGAATTAGGGCTTCATTTCTATACCCCTATCCATCCATGACCAAAATGCCAACCTAATCCAACGCACGCATTCTAGAGTACAATTTTACCCAACCAACCTCACCGTTACCCCAACTACAACTTCATCCCCATAACCTTCCCAACTCTCAAACTCTGCCTAATACTCAAATCAAGCATAATCTCCTCGCTTCCCCCTGGAATAGCGTACGCCCTCACATCCCTATACAACCTCTCGACCTTCCCTCCCTGCCCTCCACGGCTATAACTCAACCCCCCAAAAATCTGACTCGCTTCCCTCGCACAAAACTCAAACGTGACCGTCGCCTGCGCCTTAAGGCCCGCGATCGGACCGCCTAGTCGCAGCATCGCGAGCTGTTCTGGCATGTGCGAGATTTGGTGGATCAGCGATTCGAGCCAGGAGTACGAGGCTTCGATCTGGCGCGCCATGTGCGCGAGTTTGAGCCGGATGACTGGGTGCTCGATGAGTTTCTTGCCGAAGGTGCGGCGCTTGTGCGCGTATTTGATGGATTCTTCGTAGCAGACGCGGGAGAAGCGGAGGCATTGGATGATGATGCCTATGCGTTCGTGGTTGAAGTTTGTCATGATGACTAGAGACATGTTAGTTGTGATTGATGGGGGATAGAGGGGGATGTTACCTTTGAATCCTTGGTTTTCTTTGCCGATGAGGTTCTCAACAGGCACTTTGACATCTTCGAAGGTTATGTATGTTGTGCCGGAAGACCAGACGCCTTGGCAGTCCATCTTTCGAGTACTGACTCCTCCCATGCTTCGCTCGATGAGAAGGACTGATACACCGTTCATGCCACTCTCTTTCGTTCCTGTCCTAACTGCTGTGGTGAAGTAATCACACCAGACACCATTGGTAATCCACTTCTTCTCTCCGTTGACAATATAATGTTTCCCATCCTCACTCAAAACAGCTTCACATCCCAAATTGGCTACATCAGACCCCGCATCCGGCTCCGTAATCGCCAAACAAATCCTCTTATCTCCATTCAAAATCCCAGGTAAGATCCTCTTAACCAACTCTTTCTTTCCAAACTTCACCAAAGGCGGACACCCAATTCCAAACCCTCCAATAACATTCCACACAAATCCACCAGACGCGGAACGAGACAGCTCATCCGTGAGTAACATTTCATGGAAAAGATCCCACTTCTCTGCCGGCACGGATTTTATGCGATTCTCGGTGTAGTCCACAGGGTAATGCATGCCCATCAGTCCAGCCAGGTACCCGCGGGTCCCCATCTGCTTGTAGATCTCATCAGGCACCTTTCGAGCCTCGTCCCATTCGCCGACGAACGGCTCAATCTCGGAACTAACCCATTCGCGGACTTCTTCGCGGAGCGCGGCGTGCGTTTCGTTGAAGTAAGGGGAGTGGTACTAATCAAAGCAAGTTGTTAGTTATGCAATTGAGGTAGACCTCGGGATCTCCGCTTCCACTATGCGCGAACAGAGAGAAATGGAGACATACACCTTGATACCAACTTGGGTCTGCGAAGGGAATCAAATCCCCAAATGGATCCAACGTCTCGAACTCCTCGACAGCAGGAACGGGGACCACAGCCCCGCTCTCCGCTTTGGGCTTCACGATCTCCTTCTTTTCTTCTACCGGCGCAGGCGCTGGCTCTGCAGCAGCCTTCTTGGTGTTGAGGGAGCCGACTTGTAGTTTCGATTTGTATTTCTTGAGAATACCTTCGTTATGGTATTTCCAGAATTGCTTCGAGGCGTCCTTTCCGGCTACCCGGGTGAGGATCTTCTTTCCGCCTGCAGAAGTGCATTGTCAGCTTCCCTCTGCGGATTATGATAGAAAGAGGACTTACCTGGATGCTCATCCTGGAATTGTGTGAGGTCGTACACATCCTCGTCGACGACAATGTATAGATCATTCGGCTTATTGTGCGCCGCAACATCTTGCGTAGTGAACGTCTTGCCCATCTTTGCTGCGATTCGAAATCTAAATAATGTACAATCTCCAATCTCTAATGCGAATCTATGCGGGAATCGAAGAATGTGGTGTGGAGGAAGAGGATATTAATGTCTGACCGAGGGAAGGAAGAGAAGTTCGGTCTCACGCGCACGATTCAATCTTCGTCGCTTTCACATGCAACCCCGGATTTAGAGGTTTTGGATCAGCTGCCGTTCAGGAACCAAATTCCCCACAGAGTGTCATGTGTTGCAGTTATTTTACTATTCGGTGTTTTTTCATTGGGGGGTTAAAGAATTAGTGAGTTTTTTTTACATGTGAAGGACGATTCAAGGGCTGCATGCGACAAGTTTCGGAGATGCAACCGGCTATGACGATATTAGGGACAAGGGATAAAATGCCGAGGCTCATTTTGACAGGACGTGAGAGTCAGGTGATTGTCGTGAGATTCATCTTTTCGATGAACTTCGAGAGGCTATTTTTCTGCCTTTACCATTATATGATAGATATTCAGCAATTATACAACGTGGAAGGAGACTTATTGATGGCTGCATTGGTAGAGAGCTCCCACGTGAGAGGGCTGCTCTGTAAGACTGTCAGAAAGGGGTAATTTAAGCGAGTTAGCGCATCCCTGCATTTATTAATAGAACCGCCAAGTTCTTCTCGTGAACCGTAGATGACTTGAGAACAAAAACATTGTTATGAGCCAGTATGCCTCTATAAGGCATGCTACGAAGATCTCAATGTGGAGCGTACCATGCTCCTTGTCTTTCCAAGGGGAGACTCTGCTCTGACACTGCTCCAGCTGCAACGTCAGCTGAAATGCTGGAAATTTACAAATCCACCAATTTCACTGTGAGAGACGTCTCCAGTCACTGAGCACAGAACCTTCCACTCGAGAGACAAATAGTATTTGTTTCGATGGATTCCCTTGAGGAACAGACTAGATCAGCCGAATTGAGGTGTTCAAAACCCCACTACTCCCCCTTACACGAAGATCAAGATGAAATTCGTCTCATCAGCATTCAGCAATCGAACAGCAATTCATCTCTCGTTCGTTGTGAGGTAGTAACCGTATCTCTTGCAGCACTCACTCCCGAATACCAAGCATTTCTCTCGACATCTGTTCCGAATACTGGAAGCAAGCGAGATATCAAATCAAGATGGGCACGTTTACACGTTCAAAAACCAGAAGATACCTCGGAAGATATTATGGACAGACACATCCCCATAAAATCAAACTATAGATTCACATGGGGTGATTACGCAGCTCTTTCATACACCTGGGGAGATCCTACCCCCACTCGGCAAATCGTAGTGAATAACCAGGATGTCTCCGTAGGACAAAGTCTCGAAATTGCTCTTCGCGCTATAAGTACACGGCCGGACTTTCAAGATGGATTTATGCTGTGGGTTGATGCGATTTGTATCAATCAAGATGATTTTGAAGAGCGGGGTTGTCAAGTTGGGAAAATGCGAGAGATCTATGGTGGGGCTTGGACGGTGATTGCCTGGCTAGGAGAAGAGCAAGATGACAGTGACGAGGCTTTTAAGTTGGTCCAAACATTGTCAGAGGTGGACGTGGATCATGGCGAACAATTGGCAGCGAAGTTACTCGATCATCCGGAATATCTGGGATTTGGATGCTGGGTTGCTCTACGAGATCTCATGAGTAAACCATACTGGTATCGCTTATGGATCATCCAAGAACTTGTTCTTGGTTCCTCGTCTCTGGTTCTGCGCTGTGGGAATCACTTCATCACTTGGACATCCTTTTGCCAGGGTATTGTAATCTTGTACGACTATTTATGGACCGTCAAAAACAATCTTCTCTCTTACGAACTATGCCATCTAGATATCACGGAAAATAAACCAAGGCAATGGTTAACGACAAGCTTGCATCTTGTGCATCAAGACTTGTGGGCGTTAAGCCACTGCGAAGAGCAAGGAAGGGCACACCTCCCCTTCGACCGTCTACTGAACGTTGCCAATTCAGCCAATTCCCGAGATGCAAGAGACAAAGTCTACGGTCTAGTCGGAATGATGGACCCCATCATCGCCAAGCAGATAGTACCAAACTACGAATCACCTCCCGCAGTAATCTATGCCTCAGTTGCTAAAACTTTCATAGAAACTTACAACAATCTCGAACCATTACGAGAAGGTAATCCATGGAGTTGGTACAATACTCCTTCATGGACAGCGGACTGGACATGGGACGGCCGACTCCGTCATCGAAATCCCCAAAAGAACGACCTATGGGGTCCATTCTGGACGCGAAAAGGACCCCCAGAAATGATCGAGCCCGCCACTCCCTACCGCGCCAGCGGAAACACAGCTCCCATCATCTCATTCTCCAACAACAATCTCTACCTTACATGCCGCGGCTTCATAATCGATAAAATCGCAGCTCTCTCAGCCCGCGGAGACGGCTATTTCGACTGGGACTCAACCTCCATCTCACAACCAACCCACTCAACCAACGCCTACGGAACTCCAGAAGGCGTAGCAAAAGCCCTCTACACAGCCCTCATCCTCGACCGCGTCGCAGACGGCCGCCCCGCTGAAGCCCGCCACTCCGCTATCCTGTCCCTCCCCTCCCCTTTTTCATCCGCAGTCCCGCAATTCCGCCGCCTAGGTTGGAAATGGCTCGCAGCCCAAGAAGGATATTATTTCCGATACTCCAAATGGCGGCGAGCAAACCAACCCTTCCTCCTGTTTGGCCAACCGCTCGATTCTTACTTCAGCGAGGAGATTCCTGAGGGAGTGGAAGAGTACGATTACACGGAAGTATATAGTTGTTTCGATCGTACGTGTAAGGGAAGGAGGTTTATGACGACAGAGAAGAGACACCTTGGGTGGGCGCCTGATAATGTTTTTGCGGGCGGGGAGAGGCAGTGTTTGGTGGGTGATCAGGTGGTGGGTTTGTTTGGGTGTTCGACGCCGTTGGTTGTTAGGGAGAGGGGCGAGGGGCTTTGGCTGGTTGTGGGGGAGGCGTATGTGCAGGGGATGATGGAGGGGGAGTCGTTGGAGGGGTTGAGAGGTGGGGCGTTTGAGATGAGAGATTTTACGTTTTGTTGAAGGTGTGGTAGTGTGAGTGTTTTGAAGATATCTTGGTTCTACGGCGTGCGATTTGTTGCATTCAGCTACTATTGATATCTCAATGAGTTCTGGAGCTTTATGTTGGCTTTCGTGTTTTGTTGAAGTTATTGGGGTTTGCTACATAGCTGCAAAGTATCAGCCACATTACTTGCACTTTATTTTCAATTGGTCATACCAGCTGCTTTAAATATCGACTTTTATTTCATTCAAGCGGAGTTTTGAGCGGATAACCTTCTGTTTTGTCAAACTTTGTCAAGTAGCTTGACTCCCAAAATCAATGTGTCTGCAATCAAAATGATCTACTGTCGCATCTCATCTTCGAGAACATTTGGACCAGCTGCACTGTTATTTATCTTGGAAAGATTTCGAAATATTCAACTGTCAGTGTGCTTCATATATACACGTCTCATTACATTTATCACATTGAAACTCGCATTCTAATTGAGTTGGCATCCTCCATCCTCCAAACAGCACAGAGCGTCAATACCTTCCTCAACTTCCACATCCTGTACCACAAATTCTGGAGCCAACATCGTCAAGCCATCTACCAGCATATCAAGAAATTCACAGAGGAAGTTATCACTATTCGAAGCTTGAAACGTGAACACGGCGTTCATAAAGTCGGTCGGACCGGGCTGTGGTGCTGTCCTCCACCACGGGTCGTAGTAATTCGCCGTATGAAAGTACGCCGCATTACACATTATCATATGTTGTTCGGTTTGAAATGGATGATCTCGAGGAATGAGAGCATCATGACTCTCAAGACCGAGCAAGTTGCGTGGAACTTTCAACATCTGGTCACTCCAGCCAAGCATACCGTCACGTGGCTTAAACTGTTCGACGCCATAGCTTACATTGAAGCAGTTTGACCCAGTTGCTGAAGTCTGGATAGACAATGAGATCGAAGCAATCATAGCGTCGCGAAGAGATGTGATGTTATATGAGCTGGTCGGGACATTGATGATAAGCGCACCAGAGTTAAGCGAGTTGTCAACGTCAACGTACTCGACGCCGCTGATAGCTTCATGCCCTGTTGCGGTGCATTGCGTTGCTGAAGTTGTCTGCGTGACAGATGGACACAATGTTTCGAGGGCTTCGGACACTGCTGTGTACAGCGCTGTACCAGTCAATGCGCCTACATGCACCGGAGCACTACCCACCGTCACAGTGGCGACGGCATACTGCGGGACGCAATTCGCAATTGTGTTGCAATTGTCTTCGTTGACGGCATATGGCGTGCAAACCATACATGCATTCGTGTTCGTTGTTGCAGGAGCGAGATCTGTGGATATTGATGTTGTGGCTCCAGGCCAAGTTGTGTATTCGCAGTTCTGAGTCTGTATTGTGGGAGATGCAATGCTGAAGAGAGGTGCCGTCACGGTCGATTGACCTGAAGAGCAAACGCAATATGGTTCATCCTCGTCTTCGCTTAGACTTTGCTCGTGGTAAGTGCATGCCACGTTTGAGTTGGCTGTGATGGCGGTGGTGGCTGGGGGTGCTGTTCCATACATCGTAAGTGCTGTATAAGTCGTGGTAATGAGTGCTGAACAAAAGCCCGGGTCCTGTGTGTGTGCTGGTTCCCAGGTGCATGTTGGAGGTGCATCTCGAACTATCATGGCCGGTGCGGGTAAAGAGATAAGTCTTCCGATAGTTGTAGGAATGAGGAGAAAGAAGACAAAGAACGCGATCTCCACTTGTAGAATGGTGACGGTGAGCGTAGGACAAATTATTGAGTGGGATGTATGTTCAATCTATGGATCAGAGGTAGTGCTACACAAAGTCGTGCCATCGACGCTACTTGACGAGCACTTATATTCTCCTTCACAGAGTGAATATTCTGATGAGCCCTCCTTCTCCCCGTTCTGGCAAGTGAGTGTTTGTGAAATGGAACTGTTGCGATCCAGATACTTCGTTCCACCCGATGTCCAATCTCTGATTGTTTCAGTATTTCCATTAAGTTGCTCCTTTCGGCGACCTCAAGGGCATTCCGGCCTGACCAGCTGGGGGCCGTTGGAGATGCACCATTCTCCAACAAATACTTCACCATTTCCAAACTTTCTTGACCAATGGCGCGATGAAGCGGCGTTCCTGTGAAGCCATCTCTTCGGCGAGGTGGCCGTCGAGCCTTTGGATCCACCTCCATCTCGTTCACATCCGCGCCATACTGCAGAAGTAAATCGAGAACCTCGTATCGTGTTGGATCTGTAACGACTCCTCCTGTAATTTCTCCGTCGATAGCGGCCCAAGTGACTGCAGCGTGCATTGCTTGGGTGCCTCGTGGAGAGACGCCGTGGTCGAGAAGGAATTTTAAAGTAGAGGGTGGGAAGGATTGAGCGGCAATGGTCAGAGGATGGGCATCATTGTGACCGTAACTGCTTGGATTCCATCCATGTTCGAGCATGTATTGCATGGTATTACGGCTGCAAAGTATGCTCCTGCCCAACAATCAGTAACATGACTTTCCATACAATTTGATTCGACAGACCTGGTATCAACCGTATCTGCTCGTGGCTCCCATCCATGAGTCAGGAGTGACTGGCAAACTTTCGCATCGTTTCCGAGAAAGGCTGCAGCGGCGACTGTCTTGGTAATTGGGATTCCCTGGTCAAGCAGATAACAAATGATTGCGGTGCGCTTGAGTCGTCCTGCCTGCCACATCGACCTTTCAATCACGTCCATGGCACCAGGCATAACCCGCTTCTCAAAGGGAATTGCCTCATCGGGACTCAGAACCATAGTGGGGAAAGATTCTTTCACCAGTTCTAGGTCCCCAGCAGCACATGCTTCTTCCATTTTGATGAGAGGATGTCGTATAAGATGGGTACGTTTCAAGTTTGCAAGGAATATCAGCTGGCGTTCTCTTGATGGTACGTCGAATTGTTGACTGGTACCCAGCGTCTATGAAATGGAAGGAAAATTTGATGAAGTTAGACGCATAAGTTAGGTTAGATTCCATATATATCGTTGGTTCTAATTAAAGCGCTTGATATCGAGGATGTGAGGCCACCAGTAAGGCCGCCAACGCTAAGCGCCGACGTACAGGTAGCATCCAACGTGCGATTTAGTGGTAAGGGAACTTTCAATCAGGGTCACCAACAATGCCGCAATGAGAAGTTGATTTTCATATCCCTGCATCCTTCTGCAGTTCATAATCCACGGTTCCAACATGAATGGGGTCCAGAGATCCTGTAAACCTATCGTAACTTCCAGCGGTCCACTCCCAGCTTCCAACAGTTGCTTATAGAATATACAAACCTTTACCATACCCGTGTTTGTACACTTTGTAGCTATATGAACGTAGATCCGCATTCTGAAGTATAGGATGAAGCTCACCCCAGTAGAATTCTTCTCACACATCTCTCAACCTACCAAACGGGGCATGCGTGCTTTTATTTATTTATAGCTACTCACTCTGATCTACACTTTTATAATTTTCTGATTTCACACCACGATGCGAATACTACAATGTGCACATGTTCTTCTTTCTGTGCTCTCTTTCCTTGCTTTGTCAGACTGCAGGATCGTTGGAAGGTATGTTTCTTTTGCTTACGGGTGTCTAAAGCTGATATACTCGAAGGACAAATAATAGAGTTGGGGCGCGTCAAGAATTTCATAATGAGCTTGTTCGGCTTGAAGAGCTTGCTCGGACGAGATTGCCATGGAATCTAAATGACGCGGATCATTTGGAAAGACTCAAGCTGCGGACAGCAAATGGTTTGAAAGTGCGCGACGATGATGAGCCCCCGTTTGAGTTAACAGGCGATCAAACGGTAATCCACCTTTTCATAGACTAAATCTTTACTGCAGTTCCATACGTTTTGACAGTGTTCATATCTCCTAAAATCTGTTTAAGAAGTGGGCTAAGCACGAAATCACGACGTTTAGTCTATGGTTCTCAATCTATGGGAGAACACGCGATTCAAAGTTCCTGTCAACAACATGTTTGTCAAATACGACATCACCACAGACAATTCAATCGTGATGACAACATATTCATGCTATGGATGCACGGCAGTTGTAATGGTAAGTCTAAACAGCTGGACAGGCTCATCTTGAATTTTAGGCTGACGTATAGGAAGTGTTCGGCACCTGGAAAACTATGCATCTTTGCCCATTTTCGCCAAGAGAACGGTGGAAAAAAAGATACTTGGCCAAAGGGACAGTCTCAGGACGTTGCATTCGCTATCCACGTGCTAGAGCCCATAAACGAAGCAATTAAGTTGTACAAGGATCCGTTAGTACTTGGAGGTCCTTTGTGCATTATTTTCTCTCCCGGTATTTCTGTACCACCAAGGTCGTTCATCTATCCTTGGCGGATCAAAGGAGAAGGGAGCATTAATGAAGCGATCACTGACGCTTTTCCATCTGCATCAATTCTCAATATCGGGTACAATTATCCTACCTCGAAAGGCGATTGGGGTGATGACTGGGGATGGGGCAAACTCGTTCTGGAATGGGTAGGTGGAGCGAGCTCATGTGCTAATGGCGGTTCTTCTCTTCTCAATGTGTTTGCCGAAGAGAACTGGTGGAGGTCTCTAAGGTTTGATGACGATGGAAATCCAGTCACTGTAGATAAGACGCCATGCCAATCGCCTGTTGGCTCACAAGACGGATTTGATGGAGACGTGGAGCTTTAGGCTGCTCAATGGTTGTAACGAAACTCTTGCTCTGGCTGGTGATAGGGCAGAGGAGTTTCGGAGTCACAAGGAATTTATTCATGGTTTGGAAATGAAGTTGAGAAGACTTCATACCCTCAGAAGACATCGTACCGTATCTGGTATAAGTATCGTCTACAAGGACAATAATACGAGAGTCATGTGCTATGAGAGCACGGTTAAGCGAGTATCAAAACTCCCTATAGCCTGATGTATCAGACCACATGTCTGCGGGATGGTCACAAAGAAGGAGCTCCACGATGACTTTGAAGAAAGTGTCTCGCTCGGCTTGAGATTGCTGTTTGATGACAGCTGTCTAGACCAAGCGATGAACCGAAAGGCAAAGCGAGATTTCAGACTTCTCCACTAACGCCGCTTGCATCAAAATCTGCTCGGCGTCTAGAAGACTTATATCAGATCAGTTGCTGGTTGTGTAAAGGGTTAATCGCTCTCTACAACATACCTCATCTCCCTAGCAACGAAAGCTAATGCGTGACTATCATCTGTATCTGCTAAGACCTGGGCCCCTGAAACAAGAAACGCTTCATTAATTTCATCAGGCTGCAGAAATGCAAGAAGTCTTTGTAATTTTGCTGCCTCCCCAGATAGTTTGCTCAGAGAAACCTCCCACACAGTTCCCAGAGTGTGATTATAATCACCGGCCCTGTTGCACCCGGTTTATCGGAATCCAATTCCATGGAATTTTACCCAGTCTATGGAATCCTTTGATATTCATCGGGCTTTTTCCATGGAATTTTGACCCCTCTTTTACTTAATGAAATGTTTGTGATTTCGCATGTTTTCCCTAATCTGATACTTGGCAATCAATTATTAGGTGCTAAGCTTGAATTACTCACAATGGACTATGATCTGGACTTATATTCGTTGAGAAATAAAAATTTCAAAAAAGGGGGTGGTAATGCCGAATCGGGGAAAGTAAGGGGATTCGGCACTTTTTGGCCCATAAAATTTCCATGGAAAAAGTCCGATGAATCTCTCCTAGTTCCATGGAAATGGAAGGATTCCATGGAATTGGAAAGAATTCCGATGAAAATCAGTATCCGATGAACCGGGTGCAACAGCCGCAGTCTTCCTTCCGTCGATATCATCCTTATTTCTTTTGTACAAAGGTAGGAATTGTTGAAGTGAGAGCTTTCTGCTCAATATGAATCCACTCATTTGATTCAACGCGAGTGAAAGACCGCCGAGAATGGCATTCATCTCTTTCGCCATGAGCTTATTGGCATTATTTTTAGGAAGTCTCGTCATAGACAGGATTGCTTTGGACCCATCTTCGTCATTGAAAGTGTTGATGTGTATTCCCGTTGACGCGAATGTATGGCCGGCCGCGAAATCTCTCGGTGTAATCAAAATAGACCCCATCACCCCGCCAGGCCATCCGTACTTGAATATATCGAGATCATCGGCGTTATCGAATACCAGTAGCCAACGACAAGCTATTCTATTTAGTGTCTTCCCTTGTTAGAAGAGAGCTACTCACGGGTATCACTAAGCCATGCTTTCACGGTCGTCATCACACCTGCTGGATCGCGGACTCTTGTGTCTTTCGGTGTTAAAGACAGATGTTGGCCAACTGCAAGAAAGTTTTGTGACATAGTCAAGTGCGTGTCTGCTGGGATCCAAATTACTGCATCGAATAAATGACGACATTGATAAGTATACTGAAGAGCAATTTGGGTCTTCCCAACGCCTCTCAGCCCAAACAATGAAAGTGACTTTAACTGAGTGCTACTTGTCTTCGGATTGAGGTAGGCTTCAATCTGGCTAATGATGTTCTCACGTTTGTAAAAACGCTCATTAATTGTGAAGGGAGCGTGGAAGCAAGGTAGCTTTACAGTGCCAGGAGATTCGAGAAGCTGCCTGGTCATCATCATCGACAGGACTTCTTCGTCGACTTTACCAATTTTCAACTGAATAGCGTCTCGTTCCTGCTCTATTTCTTTAGACAGCCGTTGAAGTATCTCTAATGAACGCTCCTGCTGGTTGCTAAACTCTAGCCGGCTGTGTCGAAGTAGAATTCCTAATATCCATATCAGCTTCAAATGTCCGATTCCAGTCCTTAAGGATTCTGCTCGCCATGGCCTCGTCGAACACGAAAAAATCTGATACTTCGCGCACAGAAACAGACAATCTGAGTATACAGCTTGATTATGAGAGTATCGAAGCGCTTTGCTCCTGAGTGGCTCGCATCCAAATGATCAAAAAATTCGTTGAGTTGCGGCAGAGCCAAGTCTAGTTCTTGAAGGAGCCTAGCGACTTCCCGCATGAGATCTGTTGTTGGCAGGCAAACCTGCACAATGTTAATACTTGAGGTCACTAACTTGTAATGCGCAGTCACCATCAGTAGTAGCTGTACGCTACCCCACCATAAATTTGAAATCAACGGACTGATATTGAATGTGATTTTCAATGCAACAACAAAGGCTTCTATGTGAGAAATTGAGAGATCTGAGGAGGCTAAGGCCGAGACAAGCGGCCTTACGCGTGACACGCTAGTTAATGGGATATTAGCAGAGTCTCAGAGCTAGATTTGCTTCCTTTTAGATAGATAATTAAACTACAAGAATTCCCCCCACGACTCTACGAACCTTGAATTTTCTGGCCGCGACCTTTTCTGAGAGCCTCAGTTTTATTTTTTCTCACTCGCACACCAAGTTCAAAGCCGTCGAGCGAGATGTCTGAAGAGACCCAGTACGCGACGGCTGAGCCTCTAATCCGCCGCCTCGAAATCAAGAAGGTTTTCGAACAATTAACTCCAGATGAAAAGCTTTATGCCCACTACTCAAGTAGGTGAAGTTTGACGAACCGGAAACAAGGGCTTTAAGAATTGACACAACCAGGGCTGCGTGGGCAGCAACACGAATCATTCTTAGGCAGGTGTCGCCCGAGGCCGAACAAATTTACAAGTTCATCCTGGAGCTGCACAAAGCCTGCAATGGCAAGTGGGAATCTCTCTTGGATAGAATTGACGTCCACAGCGTCTCAGATGGGTATCAAAAGCTTCTGGAGAAATCCATCAACAAAACCAGCTCCACAGGCTCCGGCTTACAGCTGAAGCAGCTTCTGGGGTTCGCAGCCATCTTTCTGGCAAATATAGGAAACTATGTAAATATCACCAACAGAACTGGGTGGTTAATACTGATTCCATACCGTAGGGCTACGGCGACCAGAAGTTTGTACCTCGAATCTCGAGAGACTTTGCCTACTCCATCGCATCTGCTGCTTCCGAAAATGCAACCTCCCTCCTTGATCATTGTATTGGGTACAAGCTTTCGCAGGAGCCACACATGATCGGTTATACGAGCGCTACTTCTCAGAATCAGTATTTCACTGGCGATACTCCATTCACTCAGGCGGACGCCAATGCATTGGGTCACATCATGGACCAAAATCGTATTGGGAAGGAAAATACCCGAGTGCAGAGGATCATTGCGACTCAAGATGGGGAAGCCACTCTCGCCATCAACATTCTCCAGGCTTCTGTGGCACGCGATGACCAACCAAGAGATCTTGACAATATGATTGATGGACAAAGAGTCCGCCTTCTCCGTGGAGACCATTCTGACGATCTAAAGAAGATAACAGGATACCTTGAGAAAGCCAAACAATATGCCGGAAATCATCGCCAGCGGGCAATCATTGACATGCTCTTACAGAGCTTCCACACTGGCTAGCTTGAACCGTACAAGGATTCGCAGCGACTATGGGTCAAGGATAAAAGTCCTGTCGTCGAAACTATTTTTGGGTTTGTTGAGCCATACCGCGACCCGGCCGGGACAAGGGCAGAATTTGAAGGGATTGTTACTATCGTCGATAAACAAAATACCAAAGCTCTGAGGACTTTGGTGGAAAAGTCCTTGGATTTCACCTCAAAATTGCCCTGGGTGGAAATCGGAGGTAGCCACGGGGAAGCTATAACATCACTAGGACCTTTTGAGAACGCGTCTTTCGAGAGTCCAGACTTTACGTCAGTACATGGTAGGTCAAATTGCCAGTTTGGGTTGGTCCGTGACTGAACGGCATCAGCTTTAACTTACTGCTCTACGATTATCTTCCTCGGCATAAACTTGCCCAATGTAAGCATCTACCAGTGGCTTGGACTATAATTTTCACTAATTATGATACTTTCAAGTTTGAGCATATTCGCGAAAACGATGGATTCAAGAACCTTATACTTGCAAACCGTGAAATTCCCGCAGATCCAGACAGACATGATGCTTCAAGCGAGACCCCTTTCATCGATTCTGCGGAGGTCAGAACCTTCATTTCCCATCACCATTACGCATGGAACTTGCAGATCACAATCCACGAGTTACTTGGTCATGGAACGGGTAGAATGATCACTGAGGACTTCAATGGGAAGCCAAATTTCAATATCACAAGTCCGCCAATCAGTCCGCTTACCCAGAAGCCTATCAAGACATGGTATAAGAAAGGCGAAACTTGGACTAGTGTCTTCGGAAAACTTGCAACGACTATCGAAGAGTGTCGCGCGGAAGCTCTTGGCGGTTATCTCATCACTGAGAAATCGCACTGATAATCTTCGGATTCGATGATTCCAGTGAAATTTATCCAGACGAGAGTGGGTTATTCGACGAGATTTTCATCAATAGTTCTAACTTATATTATAGTCATTTACAACCAGTATCTCCATTTTGGTGTTCTTGGTGTGGAATCTCTGAAGAGTTACGATCCCCAAAGTCAGGTTAGTGAGAATGCTGTTGCGTTAGAACATACATGAATGCTTACTGCTTCTCAGTCTTGGGGTCAACCGCATGAACGTGGTCATTTTGCGATGATTCGTGTTCTCATGGCCCAGGAAGGATTCATGAAAATTGATATAGACGAGTCATTAGGCCGTCTCATTGTCAGAATCGATCGTACCAAGATTTTATCTCATGGCAAGAAGGCTTTGGGAGAACTGATTATGAGGCTGCATGTCTACAGGTGTACCGCCGATATCAATGCCGCTAGAGCATACTACGAAGGCTTGACCCATGTAGATGACTATTGGCTCACAGTCCGAGACATTGTCAAGGCTACGCCAGCAAAGACTCTCATCTTCTTACAAGCCAACACATTTATCAAGAACGGTAAAGTTCTAATCAAAGAGTACGAACCGACTGTTGAGGGCGTCATCCAGAGCTGGGCAGATAGGGAATATTGAGTTTTGAATTACGATCACATGAAGACTTGTTAACGAAGTTTGACCCAGTTTCGAAATGTAGACTGCGATTCTCCGATGTGGTTGTGACCGTCGTGTTCCTGGATTCAAAGGGAGTTCGGGTGATCTTTCCATAGTCCAACTTTATGGTTCCTTCCAACATGCATGACGCCGATCTGAATTTCTGACTCTGTCCAACCATGCACAGATAATGGATACAAGTAGCAAACAATACATATGGACCGATAATGCCCGTGTTTCTGTGATTTCTTGACATGCCCGATTTGTCTAATCACCATAATCATGCGGGCTGACCACCCTCTGCCCCCTTGACAGCTGCACCATGGATCTCATGTGCGACGTATGGAATGAAACGCGGCACGTCCAACAGATACCGAGTACAAATTATTCCCGAGAACGCAGAAATGAAACGTCCGAATGCGGGGACAGATTACCCGGACCGTGCCGCAAAGCTCAGCCCTCACTGTCGATCATGAACCCCCACGACTGTCGAATGTGATATCCGGCTAATTCGAGCTCGCAATTCTAGGATCCCGCTAATGCCTCGTGGCGTCGAATTGGAATCCACTTGGACTCCTTCTTGATACACGGTGCATGTCGGCACATCAATCGAGCAGCCTCTCCAAATTCACTCGTCATGAATGATGCGCACAGAGAGACCAGTTTTGATGTCTTGATTGTCGGAGCAGGTGCGTGGCACATTTCCAATTCAGAGCGTCCTGAGACTATCTAACGCGCCGTACACAGGATTGTCAGGCATAATTGCAGCTCAACGTTATCTCGAAGCGCATCCCAACTGCCGTCTAACAATCCTCGAGAAAGATGACTGCGTTGATGGAGTATTCAGCAAGAGTGTGTATAACTTACAAAAGATCGGAACAATTTCTTTACTGACTGCTAATCAGGAAGATTATACGATGATTTTTGGACGCAATGGACAGTTGGGCTTGCCGAGTTCTCCGACCTGCCTATGCAACGACCACCAGAAGAAGATTGTAAGCATGACTGCTTCAGGGCAAAGTATACAACAAAATACTTGGAAGAATATGTAGACAAGATGTGCCATGCAGGCCATTCTTTACGAGAAAGGGTCCAATTCGGTATTCGCGTGCAGTTTGTAGAGAAAACGGACAATGAATGGAGGATATCCTGCACGGATTCAAGCCAAACCCCAGTTGTGTTCTCTGCGACCAAACTCATGATTGCCAATGGCGAGAACTCTCTGCAAAATATGCCAAATCTGCCTGGAAAGGAGAACTTTGGTGGAATCATAATACATTCGGAAGCTTTTGGAGAGTCAAACATCATATTCGATGATACGGTCAAGGATGTTGCAGTCATCGGAGCAGGAAAATCGTCTGCTGACATGGTTTACGAAGCGGTCAAGGCAGGAAAGAACGTTTCTTGGATCATTCGGACTACTGGAACAGGCGCCGGTTTCTTTGCGCTGATCGATCTTAATACTCCTTACAAGAACGGTGTTGAGGCAGCACAAACCAGAATCATGTCATCACTGCAACCTTCACTTCTGAACGAAGATAGCTGGTGGAGTTGGTGCCTACATAGCACCCGTCCAGGTGTGATGCTTATCACTAAGATCTTCTCTATTTTAGACAAGGAGGTCCGGAAACGGGCAAACTACAAGGGGCGCAAAAGCACGAAAGGGTTTGAAAGATTGGAATACGATACAGAGTAAGAGTCCAATCTCTCTTTTACACAGAAGTTGACGGAAATAATACCACGCAACTCTACACAGCTGATCTTTTCAAGTATCTTTTGGTAGAACAACACTGGTGGAGCAGTTCACCATGATGACTTCTACCCTCTTGTTGCAGAGAATGTTCACGTGTACCGTGACAAAGTGAAATCACTTGGCAGCAGAGAACTATATCTCGGAGATGGAACTCACTTTCCTTGTGACGCTGTCTTATGCGGAACTGGCTGGAAGCCTGGAATTGAAATCTTCGGTCCAGACCTTCGCGTGAGGCTTGGTCTGCCGCATCTGAAGGATGATGAGCCATACGAGATGACAGCGAAGTGGGAGAAGCTGGCATTAGAAGCGGATGAGAAAGTGCTGAAGAAGTATTTATTGCTCGCACATCCGCCAGATCATGCTCACAGACACATTGACACAACACCATACCGGCTCTACAATAATATCGCGCCCTTAAACGACGACACAATCCTCTTCATGAACCATGTTACAGCAGGGAACAAGATTTTCGCAGCGGAAGCTCAAGCAATCTGGGCTGTGGCTTATTTTGACAAGAACATCAATCTTCCTTCCATTGAGGAACGGGAGAAGGAGGTTGCCTTGTGGAATGCTTGGTGCTTGCGACGATATCTTTCAAATGGAGAACGCGGAAACTTTGCAGCTTTCGACAGTGTTCCGTACGTCGATAAGCTGCTGATAGATATCGGGGCTACGGCACATCTGAAGGGGTGGTGGAGGGATACTTTCGAGCCGTTCATGCCTAGCGATTTGGGCAAGGCATGGAAGGAGTATCTCGAGTCGAGCGAGACCAAGACGTCGTTCAATAGTTGATGCCTCGTTCGATCACTTGCATATAGCTGAACAATGTAATGCAGTAGCAATTAATGAAAAGGCTGAAATGCACCTTATGACCATGCTGTTCTCATGAGCCAATGCGGTCAGAATTGGAAGTGGATAAAGGCTGCCGGGACTGTATGTGAGCACAGTTTTCAAAATTGGGATAGCACACCTTCTCGGCTGTACCGATCCTCTGGAGACGAGAAGCCATGGTTTCCATGTTGGTTCTGCCACATCCGTCCCTTGCACAGTGGCCAGATAACTACCTTCCTGTTATGGCACACCCTTTAGATATCATTTAGCAAGCCATATGCATATGCATATGCGACCCTCCCTTGATGATCCATCTCCATGTTAAAGGCTTACGGCGGCCCAGACACGTCGGCAAATTCTTACACGGAGACGCAAGCGCTTGGGCACAAGCGTAAAACAGAGAAATCTTCTCACCTCCAAAGTCTTGGCGAGTCGTGTCTTTTGAACGTCCCACATCACTAGCTCTGCTTTGTCCAGTATACAGTCATGTCTTCCAACGCATCTCCATTGGCGCCAGATCTCAACTTGATTCCAGCTGTTCCAGCACCGCCAGGAGTCTCGTTCAACCCTGATGATCTCGATAATTATAAACACAGGCATATTGTTATGCACTCGGTTGGTCTTTCCATTGTAACAATTGCTGTCTTGATTCGTCTCTACACGAGAGCATTTGTCAAAAAGTTTGTGGGTCTTGATGATTGTGAGTCTTTCATGATGATTTTTAAAACAAAGTCTAATAGGAACACAGACCTTTTGATATTGTCATGGGTATGAACAATGTTCAAGCGACTTGCTGGGATAGTTACTGATACGCTTCCTTCTAGATGGCATCCATTACTTTCTCAACAATCTTGGCGTACTGTGGGTGGTTTTCATTCTTGCATTTCGAAGCTGACTCTCACCTTAACAGCAACAAGATATGGCTTTGGAATGCACACCTATGATATCCCAGCCTCAAAATTCTTGATCACCTTTAAGGTAAGATGCTCATCTATTTCAATTGATTTCAAGAATAACAATTACTTTACAACAGTGGCTCACAATCTCTCAATGGTGCTATTTCCCGGCAGTACTTTCTGTCAAAGTCTGTATCCTCTTAACTTATTTGAGAATATTCCAAATCAATCGAACCGCAAAATGGATGATCTGTTTTGGGATAGCTGCAATGATAATCTTTTACATCGTTGCTTTTTTCTGCACCTTGTTTTATTGTGTCCCGGTTCAACGGGCTTGGGATCGCACCGTCCCCGGTCACTGTATATCATACTCTGCTTGGCCGTACGCTACAGGAATCTTCAACTTCTGTAGCGATTTCTTCATCTTGCTCATTCCTTTGAGACCCATTTTTACCTTGACTATGCCCTTTTGGCGCAAGGTCCGGATCTTGTGTATCTTTAGCATGGGTTTGTTGTGAGTACTTTTCTTCAACAAGCGAATCAAATACAAGACCTAAACCAGAAGAGATCTGATCATCGCAAAGCTGATTCCGTCAATAGTACATGCGTGGCAAGCATCATGCGCTTCGTTGTGACGCTGCAGAGCATCAACAATCCGGATCAAACTTATGTGGCTGCTAAAGTTCTGTATTGGGCGTACGTTTTCACTTCGAGCTTCCTCACAGAGCATCACCCAACTAACATCTGCCCATAATTAGCATCATTGAAATCAATCTCGGAATCATCTGTACGTGCGCTATCGTATTCCCAGCCTTCTTTGATACATCCGAGCCGAATTCCTTTGGTTCCCTCTTCGGCAGTTTGCTATCCTCCAGATTAAGCTCGAAGAGCGAGCTGTCACAACCTGAGATCAAGGTATAACGGTTTGAAGACAGTGGAGAGAGCAGTGAGGTTCCTATTGAGAGGGAATTTGCCCATAAGCCGAAAGTATCCAGAGTTTAAGGATATTTGCTTTCAGCGTATCATGGAAATGTCGAGTGTTGGACATTCTGACTTTGGAAACCATACTGGTTAGCTAGAGAAGTATGCACATCGATGATTTCCAACTGAATCTAGCATTTGGGAGCTTTCAACAAGGAGTACAGACATGGCGTAGCGTGATGCTGAATATATCAATACTTCGTCTGTGTAAATATAGCAGTCAGTATGCATATCATATTTTCGTCGCTTTCATGGCTCCTTTAAACGCATAACATACGGGACATGACCTAAAGGCGCAGAGTCAAACCCTGTAAGCATATTTTAGCATCATCAACGAGTGCTTCTTAGCTTCGCGGACTCGCTAGCTGGCGAGGCACTAGAAGAGAATAAGGGGTAGCGAAAAGCACGTGACTATGGAATAGAATTATAAAAATGCTTCTGTCAGACTCACTGACGCATTTGTCTAAGAAATGTGAAAGCACTGATATCATGGTCCTATATGTCTACGTGACTAAGATATGTAAGAAAGAGTGGACGCGATGCCCAAGTCTCCTTGGTCTATGGCTGTATATGACAACGCGTTGCATATTTCAGTGTATATTCCTCCACATCATCGCCGCGCCTTGTTCGAAAATAATGATGCTGTGCATAACGTGCTTTTCCCATTTCCTTCCTTTAATTAGTCAAGCTGTCGTAGTCATGTTCCTCAATCTTTTGAGAATGGACATGGAACTGAATCGGCGAATTTACAAAGTGAAAATGACAGCCTATCTTAGGAACTTGATATCAGTGCAGAGTATGTGACTAATGATATTTATAATCCCTAAAGTTTAGACTCGTTGGAATCAACCTTAGGTTCTCCTAAATAAGACGTCCATTATTTGTAGCTTGGTTCCCTCAGTATATTTTTAAATGAACGTCCAACGGTCGAGAACGCAGAGACAATCACATAGACCTACTAAAGTTGATGATGCTTTTGAAAGAACAGCAATGGTGAAATATGAGAAGCAGGGCGCGAAATATGTATCCGGTACCGGGAACTGTTGAGTGTATTGTTACCTTTGAGAGGCGCAATGATTTTAGAAGACCGGAGGTCCAAAATAATGTACTGAAAGGTTGTCGCATTCTATGTTATATTTGTTACTTTTTTCATATTAGGTCGAGGAGTTTTAAAGCAGATGAAAACAAAAACAGACAAGGGCAATTGCGTAACTGCTTCCACAAAAGCAACAAACATTTTCACTTGTATCTACAACTACCACAAGGATATAAGTGCCTGATCCCCGCTACTTGAACGGCCGAGCTGAAACCCAGTGGGAACTCCATACATCGATCAAGTAGCTCTCTCTTTCACCCTCCCTTGTCCAATCTTGCCAGCCAAGCCCCAAACGGGCAATATGTCTTCCGGCCAGCAACTTTTATGTGACCATAGACCGCATCTAGGGGCATCCAGCACAGGGACAAGATTCGATACAAAAGCAGCAGGTGCAGTTATCGGGGCAAGGATACTGTCTATCCTCAATTGCACCCAGTATTGGTGGTCCATTGCTGCCGAATGGAGATGCCGTAGTGGTAGCGAGAAGCACCGCAGAGAAGACAAACGAAAGCTTCATATTTTCGAAAGTGCAGTGTATCAAGGCTCGAGGAAGTGTTGATGACAAATTTGTGTGAGGATGAGCTTGTAGAGTTTCAGGTCGGATTATCTTGTGGATTTCAATGTGAGAGGAGAGGTCTTATTGTATCGTGTTCCAGAATATATCTTTCCGTAGGTTGTATTTGCTCGATACCTGATATAAGTTAGCGAACATTTTTGAACAAACACATAAGCCATGGTCCCATACTCAGTTCAAGGATATCATCAAAGTTTCTCTCTCCTTGTATTCCCTAGAGTGACAGCCGCCATATATACATGCCAGCTCTTCACCTGGGGAAAATTCAGCCATGTTTGGCGAGGGTAGCATGAACCAACATTTTGATGAACCCTAAGTTGCCTCCTGAGTGGTCAACCGTTACGATTTCGAATTTGTTTGTGACCCTAGAAGTAGATCGGAATCTCAGAAGCGGGGAACTTGACTTCGTGCAGCCAAACGGTCACAAAGTCCACCCTACACAAGGATCGAGCAGGGGTGCTTCTGGTCTGCTGCGGCGTCTCGCACTCTTGGGGGCCGACAAAGCTCCAAGAGCAGAGGAATTTCCTAAATCATCCTGTGTCTTGGCGGAAGTTAGAAAGGGCGATTGATTGTGGGATCTTCATTTTCGGTCTGATATCTGTTGCCTTGAGGCCAGTTTCCTCACCGAATCCAGTCCTTTCTTTCAGGTTAACATCAAAATTTATGGTTGACGAATTTCTTTGGTGTCGGGACAGGTTGCGTCCGCACGGTCACAGGCTCGAAGGATCACGGATGGAGGTCCGTGTCATGTAAGCAGTAGACCGAGAAAGGCCTTGTCGCAAATGTCAGAATGCGCCGCAGCGAAGCCTTCGGTTCGCATTAATACAGTCTGCCGAATATAAATGTCGGATCTTCATTCCGAACCGGAATTTAGTCTTTCTCTTTCTTCGTTTTTCGAGATGTTTCTGGTGAATAAACAGTTTGTAAATGCGCTGCGTTTCATTGGTTAGATGATGGTACGAATACAGATAACTCTGCAATATTAGAGTAGTGTCCGACTTGCAGATGAGACCTTTGCGCTGATAACACATCTGAGGAGAACATGGGTACCCGGCAGCTTGACATCGCGTATTTATGTCTGCATAAAGTATTCGCTCGACCCCATCCTCCTTCATTAACCCCTGAACTTGCGGATCTTGTGCTTTAGAATTAGAAGAAGGTGCATTCATGTCTGGAATTCTTAAATCCAAAGAAGCAACCACTCTAGGCTGGTACGCGTAGTCACTTGACAAGCCTAAGACAGTTAGATCAGGAGGCTTGGTTGTTTCAATAGAGACCCGCTAATTCAGATGGGGGACGGGATCAGCGCCGGAAGGAATAGACTAACTCCTTTCGAATCTTACATGAACCTCATCTCAGTATCCCATTTTGGACCGTCACTTCAATCGCATCTTCATCGCCCAAGTCATTTGCTCCCTCTATGACACCTCCATCGTCTTTCATTCCCCATCAATAGTTCATCAGCATGTGAACCAGAGGCGCAGACTTTGAAGCCCCAGCGTATTGCTACCAATGTCTGTGTCAACCAGCACGTCTCAATAATTTCTGCAACCCTTGTGCCGCATCTCTACCATAGTCGCAGGGCGCAAATCGGCACCTGTGAGAAGCTAGGTCCAGCCAGCAATCTCAAATTATATAACCGAACACTGGACACCGAAAGGATAAACTGACATTCGACCTAACCGAATTCTTGAATCTACCGCGTCATTGAAGGAAATTCCAACAGAAACCATGACGATTGAAGGTCTAGACGCTTCCTACAGGATTCGTAGGAGATGGGATTTCGGCTTGACTGCCAAAGATATTGCACACTACACCAGGATATCCACTCACTCGAAGACATGGAAGCTCTTACTCCCCAGCTTCCTGCATACTTCCTTGAGCGACGGGCGCCAAACACTGCATAAAAAGTCCTTAGATTCAGCTCTCCAAGGACTTCGAGGAATAGCAGCAGTTATTGTATTCCACAGACACCTTCTGATGTCTTTCTCGGAGTTCCCTGATTACGGGTACGGCCTCGACAAGACAGCCGAGCTCCATTTACCGAATCACTGGATCCATCAATTACCATTCCTGCGCGTACTTTATTCGGGAGGCGCCATGGTACCAATGTTCTTCATCATTTCAGGATACACACAGTCATTGAAACCATTACAGCAGATGCAAAGAGAGCAGTGGGATTCTGTGCACAAAACTCTCAGTTCGGCAAGCTTTCGACGTGGATTTCGGCTCTTCCTTCCCACATTTGCTGCCGCTATGCTTATTGCATTCTCTGTTTGGCTGGGATTATACGATTGGGGTTCGAGCTTCAGAAATACTTGGTTTGACGAGAACCCAAGTAAACTCCCACGAGAGCAAACTCTACTTGAACAGGTTTGGGTGGTCTGTCAATCATTTAAAGGTCTCCTCGACGTGTGGAATTGGGATGAATATTTTCCAGACTTCAATCCACAGATGTGGACCATTGCAGTGGAGTACCGATGCTCACTTGCTGTTCAATTTGCCTTGCTGGTTCTCTCCATGATTCGGCCTGTGCTACGAGAACTCATTTTAACGAGCATAATATGGTACTGTCATGTCCACGGTCGATGGGACATTGTGTGCTTCCTGGCTGGTCTCCTTTTGGCCAATATCAATTTGACTCTCAGATCTCGGGTTAAGAATGGGAACCTAGGTTCCGAGTATCCCGCAGAACGTGAGAGACAAGATGAATCGAAAGGTAAAACAGTCCTTAGATCATTAACGTTCCTCGTTGGTCTCTACTTCATGGGCTACCCGAAGAAAGATGGGATATTCACTCCTGGATACCAGAGGATGGGCTCTTACGTACCCGATGGATGGGTTGATCACAGGTTCTGGAGTACTTGGGGCACCTTCCTTGTCGTCGGATCAGTCACAAACTCTCCTGTCCTCGCCAATTTCTTCGAGTATAGTCTCTTCCAATACTTGGGAAAGATTAGTTATGCAATGTACTTGACGCATGGTCCAGTGCTTCACATCACAAGCCACGTATTGGTACCGATGATGTGGCGAGTCACTGGCAGGGAGAACAACTTTTGTGTTGTTTTAGGATTCGAAATGGCTACTTTTTTCGTGACTATACCTGTACTGTTATGGACTGCAGATTTGTTCTGGAGGTTTGTAGATGTACCATGCGCAAACTTTGCATTTTGGCTGAAGACAAAGGCTTTGGTAGCTTGAAATCGAAAACCTGGCTCATTATTCCACATTTCAACTGATGCAGACAGAGCTCTTAACAGAAGCAGCGTGTGCTTACAATACTTGTCCAAGGATCGAAACATATGAAACACATTGCCTCGAGAACCAAGCATTATCAGCCGAACAACAAGCAGCACCATTCATAGCCCCAACACGGGCATCGCGAAGGAGCGTATGATTCGTTGACATGCTAGCGCAAAGTAGGGTTACTGTAACCCCAATCTGCGCGAGCATGATTTCAGTTGCAAAACATTGGTCCGTGTCTTACCATTTTATATAGGTCTGCAGGGTTATTTAAGCAGTCATGTGGCGCCGGTCTAGTCGATCGGTAGAACAATACCTAAAATCGGCTCCTTACCGATCAATAGTCAGCTACTTCGTGCCACGAGGACTTTCAAAATGGGCAATCCTGCCTCTTAGCCAGCCAATAATTGACTTCTGCTCGTGAACTTCGTTTTCGTGGAACCACAATAAACTGGGTTCGACCATCTCGTGTCACTTGAGAAGTCGAGGCTGAGTGAATCCTCTCCCTTGCTAAGATGCATAAAGATAGCACTGTGTCTCGTTGATTTTCTCTTTCTTAGCTTGAAAAAATTCATCTCTTGATCCACAAATCTAAACCCCAGTGTCGCAATGCGTTTCAACACTTTGCTCGTCCCAATCCTCGTTCTTGCGAGCCGTGCTCTGGCTCAATGCCCGAAAGGCTGGTGTTCTGTTGGCCAATGTCCATTAGGTCTTCCGTGCCCAGGAAGTACCCTCACCTCTATCATAGAAAGCATACTCGCTAACATCACCTAGACTCCTGCCATCTGTATCGTAAGTATAGACTTTCTGAAATTTCTTTCAACTTATTGTTGATATCATCTTCTCTCTTAGACAACTACATGCTGTGATTCCGACGACAATGGGATATGTTAGACAATCTCACACCATTGACATGGGCTGGGTTGAGCCAACAGTCTAGTTGTATCTGCAAATGGCGGACGACTTGACTAGTGTAGTGTTCTTGGCGGCATGGGAAAGATCTCCTTGTCAGTCAGGGAATTTAGTATTTAGTATTCAATGTCAGATTGTAATTGATCATCAGATCAACTCATGTTCAAAGTCTGAAAAGTCAAATTATCGGTCACTAAGTGGAGGTGAGAATTTCTACTCAGGACTCATAGAGTATTTAGATTCCCAGGTAGGCAACGGACTCATAGAATATTTACACGTTCCCTTCCCAGGTAGATAATGATCATCGGCCCGCGAAATCCAACGAATATTTGAAGAAGTTCAAGAGTTTGATGCCTCTAAAACGTATTCATACACCTGATGACCAAGCTCTCAGCGATTGAGCAGAGACTCGTTCTGCGGATAATCTGCTAGATAGTTTTTTCTTCGGACGGTTTCCTTCTTGGTGTTGTGCAACTCAGTAGCTCTAGACCGATCCACATGGCTAGCACCCAACTTCCCCAATGAAAACACAAACCGCCCGATGATTGCATTGGAAGCTTTTCTGTGCCGTTCGGCTAATCCCTCAAGTCGGTTGTCTACCCAGCTGACTGTTGCTGCTGAGGCATGAGCAATTTGCCAATCGATAGGCTTGGTGATCCGCCAGGTACATTCGGTACTAGGTGCACCCATGCGGACGAACTGACATTCTTCATTCAATTGATGTTGATTAGCAACTTCCAAAGCGAACTTGTGCTTTGTGGCGAGGTTTGGGCCAGGTCTGTCTGAACTTCTGGAGACTAGATTCTCATAATTTAGGCCTTCGAGGTCAAAGCGATCGTGTTGGAGCGCCAGATCGGATTGGATAGTACCATCAATGCCCTCGTAAGCGGAGGTGAGGTCAAGATCAACCCTCTCGGCTCGGCGACTGAAAGGAGGATGGGCTGCGCTGTAAACAATAACTGCCCATAGCAGACTGATTTTCGCAAAATCGTGATAGTATAGCTTGTGATCAGGAGAATAGAGGCTCTTGGAAGTGGAGTTCGCGTGATAAGTACTCCATGACTTGATATAGAATGCGGGGCAACACTTTTGTTCGGGACTTGGATTCTTCAAAAGTTCAAATTTGCCGGTCTGGTGATTGGCAAGATAGATGAAGGAGCGTGCGTTGCCAAACGTGTAGGTATGATGCTGCGATTGTCCATCTCCGTTGATTTGTATCCGGATAATGCTATTCACAATCGGAATGCCCCTCGCGTATAGGATAGCTAGTGCGGTAAGGAATGTCGCTTGGATAGACAATACCGGAACGTCATCCGCTCCCTCATTCTTGATTACTGAGCGTGTCTCCTGCAGGACATCAATCAATTTTCCATTGGAGTGAACTTCCTCTGCAAACTTGATGAAAGTTGCACAAGAAAGCTTAGCTAGCCGTGCCTTAAGCGACTTTTCGTGACTTCCCCAAAGATTATTGCTCCGATGTCTGAAGTCTATATCGAATTCATCCAAACCGGCTATACCAGCGGCACAGAGGGAGTATGTAAGACCAAGAAGTTCAAAGTCTTCCTCACCCAAAAAGTCTCGAACAACGTTCACCAAATCGTCAAAATCTTTTGAGTGGTCCGCACCTTGAATTTCTGTAATTGTCTTGGTCTTGGTATCGGGTTTGTCCCCGAGGTGAGTATAATTATAGTCTTGAGAAAGTTTGACCGCATTGTCCCATATGTCGTCGAGCCACTTCTTAAGATTTTGGTGGAATATGAGAACGATGATTGCCCGAACTTGACAGCTGGCATCACCCGTGGCTGGATCGAGTTTGTGGAATTCGTGAGTCAACAGACAAGCGACAGCAGCATGCTGATGTTTGTTGAGTCTAGCTTCTACCAATGGATCTTGTTGGTAAGCAGAGGTTGCTGGCTGCATTGCTGCTGTTGCTGTCTCACTAAGTCTCGCTGTAAGAAATTTTTCTCGTCTTGTCTGGGATAATGATGAAGATAGCAGATAACAAATGGAAATCCTTGGGCCTCTGTTATATACACGTTGGACAGCCAGTGTCGTCAATCTCCTATTACTCACATAGCCGAGTGATTCAAACAATCCTTTTGCCTGCAGCTTCGAAAATCAGAGTGACGTGTGAGAGTTGCACAGCTACCAAGAATGATTCACAAATTGAGTCCTATGCTCCTGTCAACCCTCCTACAAATAAAGGGTCTCCCACCTGGTAAGTGATGACTTCAGTTTGATTCGGTAAAGATCACGTCACCGAGCTATTGGGCTTGCATTCAGGGGCGTTCAAAACCACGTGCGCATTGTAGATGTGTCAAGCGAAAACTCCTTTCTGAGCTCATCCCATTACCTAGTTTCTCAGTTTTCTAGACAATGCATTGTAGGTGATGGAAGCTTTACCAAATTGCAGGCAAACTTGCAGCTATGATATTATTGCTTCTTAGTGATCATTTCATTAGGCTATAATACTTTCGTCTTGCAGCGGAGGGTGACAAGTTTTTTGAGAGCTATTTCTGTGACATACATGTGGCATTTCAGCGAGGTCGAAGTAAGTAGTAGTTTACGGAACAGCGTTGTATTTGGAAAACTTCGGATCCCAGCCTAGCAACACGACCTCTTTGCGATACATGAGTTCCTTGCTTCCCAAAAGCGTCCAACATAAAGAATTAAGTGACGGCCATGAATTTAAACAATAAGGTAAAGAACGAAGCACACTAGAATCCTTGAGTCTTTTCTTGAGATTTGAATCTATAACCAGTGCGGATCTTCAAAATTCTCTTCATATCTCCCCAAGAATCTCTTTCGGAGCATCCACTGCAACCTCTCCAAGATCTCCCATAAGCTCAGCAACATCACAGATGAACGGAACCCAGAGCAACGCACTCTGCATAGGGTTTGCAGTAACTTCAGTACCCACGTTGTGGCAGCCACCACCCGATTGACCAAGAGATTCCGATTTCGCCACACCAGGGTTACAAGCCTCGTTGGAAAATCCCCAGACCTGCTGAGAAGGACTAGTAGCTAGGAAGACAGATTCGATAGTGAGGTCAATTGAGACGCATCCACACAGAACCTTATGTTTCCAGGTTGGGTTGTTCCCACCATTCTGGTCCAAACTTCACCTCTGTCAGTACAAGAATGGCAGTGGAGGATTGACTTGACACGATTTGAAATATCACGTACCAGTTAGGCTCGGGGTATTCGTTGGCTTTGGGATCGGCTTTTGGGATCGTCTCTGGGTAGTAGCAAAGCTGAGGATGCAGAGGCGGCGAAGCATGACAGAAGAAAGGCGCAACGAGAGCAAAGCGCATCTTGTTTGAGATGTGAAATTTGAAATTGCGAAGGAAGAAATTAATCTAAGTTTGCACCGCACCACAATATTTTTCGGGCTTGTGACGATCAAGAGGATAGATGAGGGTGTCGATATAAAGTATGAAGTTGTCGATGAAAAGCAGCAGCTCTTGAGGGGAGGAGAAATTACTATATGCCCAAATCATTATCCGCGGCAAATCTGAGCACCTTTTTAAGTGAATTTCGCAACAGAATTCGCATCCCTTGCTGCCTAAGCTAATTTTGTCGAGGCATATTGGTTCCAACAATTATTTGAAATGTGTTAACTTTTCATGAGATGCGGATTCGGAATAAAGATATCTCTTCCCTCCATTATTAGAAAATCGTGGCATACCAAAGACAACCACGCAAACACTCTTGTTTCATGCATTATTTTACAGCTAGGTAATATGCTGTAACCAGTAGGACTTGCGGTGTTGGGCAACATCATGAACAAGTCAAAGGAAGGAAGTATATGGTTGATGAGAACACTTTTTGGTGGCAAGTTTCCCTGTTGGACGTCCTCGGTATCATTACACAGATTTGAAACCGCACGATAGGGCCAATGAACATTTTCAGGAAAGTGCAGTGCCCCCCAAACAAAACTCAACGCCAAGAATTCCTTCTTGTAGGTGCGCTGAACTGGAAATGCAATTAAGCGAGCGGTAGGAATGGGAGCGAATGGGAGAGAATGGAAGCAAGTACCGGCGAAATAATTACTTGCTCAGAAATGCACTGCAATTGAAACATACACATAGATCCGAAGCAAAAGGTAATCTGAAATGTTACTGGCCTCCAGAAAGGATTCAGTGGCACTTAGAGAGCCTGGTGCCTTTTCAGAGGCCCAGCGGCAATTTGTGCCGGGGTCTACACTAAATCATGGTCCTGCGGAATATCCACCGGGGTCGAAATCCGAGTCGGACGTACTTAATTACGGGATGCGATAGGCGCTCCGCCTTTACTGTATGTTATGTTGGGCTGACTTTGGTACAGTCACGTTACTCGTACTTGAACAGGAAAATTCATGGCGCTTAGGTATATAGTTTCGTAACAACAACTTCTTTTCGTCAATCATCTCTAGCATCCGAGATGGCTGATCTTGTTACTCTCATTTCTCAATACGATATCCTCGAGCTGATGTCCCACCATCTTGCGGCACTCGACCTCCTTCGTCTGGCATCGACAAACTCGAATGTCTACAGCTTTATTCGCAAATCGGAACCCATCTTCGATCGCCTGAAACGAGTAACTTTATGCGACGGTCACGGTCTTAAAGCTCGTCAAGATTACAAAGGCATTTATGAATTGCCTATCTATGATGGCAAGAGTGCAGATGTCATGGGCAGAAAGATGCCTTTCGATGAAGAACTTGAGGTTCGGGTGTGGAACCGTACTTGTGATCCGACAAACGGGCTCCCCTGTCTCAAATGCGGCATCAATGTTTGTGAGGTTCGTTACTTTGCTGCTTTTCGCAAATCCGAGGTTCTGATTATCGTTTGACGTAGGAATGCCGATTTGTGCCCCGCGTTAAATTTATGCCCAATGAACGTGGTCGTCAGAAACAGCACTTCGCTTTCACTCCATATCCTATAACAACTTATGTTATGTGCTTCTGCACGGCCTGCGATGAGAAAGTCGAACGCGGTCTCCCATTTTCACTCTCCGAGTACTGTGACTGCGATCAGTACAAGCGCTGGATATGCCTCCCTTGCAAGGTCAAAGAAGAACAGATGAATATAGAGTATCTCAAGACAAGGACAAAGGTGATGCCTGGTGATGGTTCTCCGGAGGAAGGCACGTGGTTTAAAGAACGTTATGGGGAATACCTAGCGGTAAGCAAGATAATCATCTGATTTCGAAGGTCGAAATCCTTATTCAGCTAATAGATTTGGTGCCCTTGTGGAGAAAGAGCTCCTTATGGCGCAAATATTCGATGTTTGTGCTGCAAGAGGAGGCACAATTTAGACACGTGGAAGAGTAGTAGAGCATCCCTAACGCCATTTAATTCTGTAAACATTAACCTCCCAATTACACACTCTCAAGACCAAATCTATCTTCGGAATCTAGTTGATCTAATGTAGTTCAGGACCCTTGCTACCCTGGAATTGATTATGATGGTTGGGGAAATCAAATAATGTACCCAAGGATGGGCTATAAAGGGCCCATTGCTCCATGAGTAGCACGAGATTGAGAAATGAACAGAGCATAATGGTACTGTTCTGACCTGCGAGCCGAACAACGTCAATCTCGCAAGTGAGATGGATGGCTGGAGAAGTTAGTGTTTTATTGTTGTAGTCTCGAGTTCTGAAGCTTCAAATTCATGCAATCTACTCGCTTTGCCATCCCCTCACTCTATAGCATCCATAGAGTCCATTTCTAAATTCTTGGCACTCGCACACCCATAATCCATAATGCGGTCAAATACGGTCAAATGCGGTCAAATAGTACTGTACAACAAAGACGACACAAGCTGTTCTGCTCAGATTTTTGGCTCCAATAGTCATTTTTCGTCGAACGCTTCAAAGTTGGAATCCACTTAGGCCTTAGCATTCTTGATACTGAAATATCGAGACACCTCTAGTGATCACAACAGGCGGACTGCAAATACATCACAAGACCACGTTGTCGTTCCTTACCTTAGTACTCTTACCACTCAAGGTGGCGAGATGGAATAGCTACAAAATTCATATGTGTCTTAGTACCTTATGAAATTATCGGGTTTTATTGTGGCGGTAATTAGGAGTTGTTGCGATGAGAGTTGAGCGCCAAAGAGAAACACGCAAGATTCGCTTCAAGTCTTTTGACCTTAAAGTCAATCCCATGATGAAATCCATGCAATAAGTAAAGACTACCAGAAGCTCAAGTTTCCGAAGAAAGTTATTGCCCGTCATAGAAATTTCCTTTCTCAAAGCATGGCCCGTTCACTTCACCAACTCTCAGGCGCCCCAAAGCATCCTGCATTAAAGATCCCAATCCACCAACCATCCAGTATCAAAACCACCAACTGACTATCCATCCCCCAAAACCCATCACCAAAATCCTTGCTTCAACGTCCACCAATCCTAATTAGGCAAACAAACAATTGATCCCGTCGAATCATCACAATGCTCGCCTTCACCACACGATCCGGCTACCTCCCGATATCCACCATAAGCACAGACCCACTATTTCAATTAGCTTTAGGTTAGGTAAGAGGTAGTGAGTACTTACGAAGGAGACATCGCCTGGGGCACACTCGTATTGGCCGTAGGTGCAGGTTTGGCGGGAGGTGAGGGGGAGACTGGCTGCCGTGGTGAGGGAGGCGAAGAGGATCCAGAGGAGAGAGAGGAACAGGTGGAGGAAGTTCATTGTTGCTCTTGTTTTGGTTGAGATTGAGGTTGTTGGAAGCGTGGTTATTGGAGATGTAATTGTTTGTTGTTTGTTTGTGTTGTTGATGAAGATGGTTTTGTGTGGGAAGAGAAGTGGAGAGTTTGAGTCTTTAAGTAGCTGCTGAAGAGGGACTTGATCAAGAGCTCGTTTTGCGTGAGTTTACTTGTGGCGTGATCGCACTTGTACTAATAGCGTGAATATTTTACCGTAGTGAGAGATTCTCGTTTGAAAGATTTAATATTTTACTAAAGAAAACAAAAGTATCGTTTTGTTTGGCATGTCCACTCTGCTTTGAGCAACTTTGTGGCCAAAGTAGCCAATCAACCAGTCAGTTGGTCCGTCATCAGCTGAGGGCCATGAGCCGATCGGCCTACTTAGGAACTTTTTAGAGTCTTTTAACGGATGAGGGAAGCTCATCGGTCGTTGCTGATCGGCTGTATGGCCACTCTGAATCTCAATGTCCCAGAGTAGAAGCAATATCGTTTCCTTACCATCCTTTTCACTCGCATCCTGACACAACGAACGAAGAGCATACAATAATACATTTGAAGACATCGCTCCCATTGATTTCACCCAATTATCTGATCTTACACCTCTTTCCTTGCACAAACCGGACATCCATCTCTGATCCTATCCCGCATCAACCTCGCATGAGTGACCTTCGCACTAACGCTATGTACCGCACTCCACTCTCCATTCTCATCCAACTCAGGTGGTGTAGGCGGCCTCTCTTCCTCACCCTCATGTTCATAGCTGAGCAAATGGCTCAGATGAAAGACGTGGCCACAGGCAAATCCTACAAGAGTCTCCGTTTCATGATCCGAAAAGGCTTCGTGGCACCCTACACAGTGACCCGGTGCTGGAGGCGGCCGTTTATGAGCGTGGTCAGCGAAGTCCTTTGCAACTTGAGGTGCAGAAGTGTCTTCTGTGTTTGTTGGGACGTCTGAGGATTCGACATCTACGTGATCACCTTCTTTATGCACGACGTCGAACTTGACGCCCTTTCGTTGGCCCGAGCGAAGAGTGTTCTGTGCCAATGCTACTTCGCCCCTTAGAACTCTCGCAACACCATCGCTGATGCTGTGTTGGATTTCGTACTCTTTGATCATGCGACTCAGTCCTTCTCGTAGACCTTCGATCTCAAGACCTTCAGGGATCCGGCGGACGAGAGTTATGGGATTGATGGACGTGCCAACTTCTTCTAGCAAACCACGTATGAAGCGGGGTTTGTCCATAGAGTAGTCAAGAAGGTCTTCCCACAAGTCAGCATCGTCTTGCTCTTTAGCGAAGGCGATGGCTTGTGAGACATCAGCAAGGCGGTCGATAATGAGAGTTAGAGCCCGTTTCGTTTGACCAGTCTTGGAGTAGAGATAGACCAATTCAGGAATGTAATCTCGTTCTTCACATTCTTGGGTGGCCTACATAGCGGTTAGCAATTGCGAAATAATGAAAACATCGGCTTTACCTTTTCGAACGTGTAGAACGTCGACGACTTGAGAAAGTCCATCAGTAGCTCCCGATCATGAAGGGCAAAGAGGTGTACTGCAAGATCTGCAAAGTCGTCGACCAGAGCTTTACTCTCCGAGATCAGTTTGTCTCGATTTTCACCTTGATGCTCTTCAATACCATCCCCTCGCCACAAAGAGCTAATATAAAAGAATAGATAAAGAGTCATGTTCTTCTCCTGCAGTTGGCTCACCACAACCTGAGGGCTAACGAGGCCATGTTGTGCTTCATTTACCAGGAGAGAAATTGCTTCAAAAGTCAGTTCGCGAAGTTCTTCCTTGGGCGCTGTCCGTTTCTGCTCATTTGATACTCGAAGCATGATGAGCCCAGGAATATCATCAGCCACAGCGTCAACCAAATGATAACCTTTGATCAACGACATCGCAGTATCTGCGTCTTGAAGGCGAATGTAGCATTTCAGCGCTTCCCGGGGTCGCCCACCAGCAACGTGAAGTTTACCCAAACTCTCCATGACAATGCGCCAGTCTCTTCCGGCGACGCCGTCTTCGACGCTATCTTCACGAACATCTCGATATTTGAGCTGATTCTCAAGGACTGTTGTGACACTCTTGATATCGAACAAATCAGGAGACCATTGATCCAGCAGCTCTCGTACCCTTGGTCGATTGCGCGCGATGTAATGTCCGAGGATGACTTCGTAGATTTCCGACTTCAACGGTGGACGCATTTGTGTTGTTGGTATATAATTGGTGATCTCGTCAAATTTGCTCGCTCCAACGAAAGTGTAGACGTAGTCCTCCCACTGCTGTGGAGTTCCCAGAACTCTCCCGCAAACTTTGCCAGCAGTCGTCCAATCGTCAGCTTTGATCAGTTGCTGAATCCAGAGTTCGCCCACACGGCGTTTCTCCTTTTCCACAGCAGAATTGATTAACCTGCTGGCTGAATCCACTGTTGAAGTGCCATCGTCGTAGAAGTCATCACTGCTTGCTTGAGCTCGGTCTGGAGTAGCAGGACCAATTTCTGCGAGCTTTTCGGGTGAAGACGATATTACCTCGGGATGATTGTCAATCAGCTCCCAAGCTTCCTTGTACTTCTCTTGCTCCAAAAGCCAAGTCAAATGATCGGCAAGATCTCTCTTTGTAGCGAGAATGCAGTCATATGGACTGTGAATGAAGATTTTCATTCCTTGGGCTGACAGATGTGGGTGGACGTTGGGATTTCGCTGTCCAGGCCTCTTTCCCAAGGCACTACTCGTAGCGCTTCCTCCCGCAGGAGGATTCGAATTTCCGCTACCATTACTGCGAGTACTTGCAGCAGAACTGAGCAGTGCAGTAGCATTAATGGTCGAGTTCCACATCCCACTGCCCATTGCCGTCAAAGTCTCAAGCGTTCCACGAGACGTGTGTCGACTTGAAACTTTTCGCGGAGCAGGCAAAACTCCCAAATGATAATCTGTTGCAGACAGTCTCTCAAACCGGCTGACAGTCAATGTATCTGTATCGACTTCCTGGGAAGTATTCAAATCAATCAGTCGAAGCTCGGGTGAGAGGGCATTCTGCCGTCGACGTATGCCTCCTTGCGGTTCGCTACTGCTTGTGGAGGCTGTCGACGCCTTGGACTTGTGTTTCTTTGAGGGCTTTTTCTCCACTTCCTCTTCCTCGTCTGGGGTGATATAAGCAAGTACAAGAAGCAAAGTCGGGGTATATAATGACAATCCAGAAATAATGCAATCAACACGTAAACTGGAAACATCAGCCAAGCTCAGTCCTGGTGGCCGGTAACTTACATTTTGATGATCTCGGGCCAACCCACTGACCGTTCTCCAACGTTCTTTCCAACGCCCACTCCGCCAGGATGGACGTTGATAATCCAGATGGTGCCACCCCATCCGACCAGGAGCTTCTCAATTCGCATACTATTCTTCGATGCTTGTTGTCGCAATTTTGCCGTGGCTGGTGATGAAATGCCACTCTCGCGCAATTTGTCGTCTTCATCGGTCTCGAGACTCTTTTCATCAATCCACTCCACACGGCCTTTCCATACAGTGGCCATCTCCTCCCAGCCGTTATCTTGCGGCCGGTCAATGTGACCTATCCTCTTCCAGGCAGAGTCAGCATCAGCACTGTCCAGGTGCAAGTTTGACCGCATAATCTTGACCCCATGTTCGTTGATCCAGGCAACATATCTCCCAGACAGAGACCATTTAATGGTACTAATAGTGCCTTCGCCGGAATGAAGAACAGTGTCCTTTCCAACATTACCACTGAGACCAATCGTTCCAAGCCACCCAGATGCAGTTGCTGCTGCTGATCCAGTCGTCGTAGAAGTTGAATTAGTGCCTGCTCGCCCACCAACAGTCAGAACTAAGTTTCCTGCCAGCCCACCAGAAATATATGCTCGATCATTCTTGTAGTCAGGCGAAAGAGCCACTGCTTGAACAGGTCTGGCAAAGTTTCGCAACTGGACATCTTTTATATCCACCAGTGAGGCCACGCAGACATTGCCATCTATTGAAGAAGTTGCAATGTATATAGCATTTGAAGGCGTGTTTGGGACAACTTGCGCTTGTGGAGTTCGGGGAGATTGTTTCGAAGAGGTTGAAGCTACAGTAGGTGTCCTTTGTGGTGTCTTGGCCTGTGGTGCGACTCGCGCGACTCCTTCAGGAAGGCCATTGGGGAGAGGCGGGGGAAATGGTGATATGGAGATGGCGGAGACGGAGGCAGTGTGGGCATGGTAGACTCGCAGAGATTGGAATGATGGTAGAGACAACACATGCTATAGAGTATTAGAGCTTACTTCAAGGAAAAGGGAGCGAGGAAGCTTACAATATTGCCGTTGTGTGTCCCAATAACCTGTCTTTGGTCAGCCCTTTCTGCAGAATGCAGCTCCAGAACATACCATCTTGTCGCCGCCGACGAGGAAGGTACTTGTCGCATCTCCATTTCGATATAAAGGGCCCAGATGACTTGTTAATCGGGCGTATTTCAGCTTGGGTTCGTCCTCGGGCTCATCGTCGTCTGCCTCATCTTCTGCTTCGCTCTCTTCACTCTCCTCCTCTTCCTCCTCTTCGTTATCCTCTGTCGTTGCTTCATCGCGACTATCTTCTATATCTTTCGCGTCTTTCGTGTCGCCTTGATCCTCAGAGCCCTCAGCCATGTCGGCGTTCTGTTCTGATTACATCTGGTGTTGTTGGCAAGGGTAGCTTTATCGTCGACGACGTCAATCGGAGCTTCAGCCTAGCGAAGCTGTTGATCTCGGCTCGGCTCGGCAGGTATCATGCATCTCAATATTTTCTCTTGGGGTAACAAAGTTTATTAATCACAATGGAAATTGTTCCTGCAACGACATTTGCTTTTTTGAATCTCTAAAACTCTTCCTCGACTTTCTACGATATCATGCAGAGCTTCTCACGACAGCTAGCATGTCCTACCGCGCGTCGAATATTAAATAATGGCATTCCGCGTCCTCTGGCTTTTCGATACATCCACGCCACTCCAGCAGCTCAGGCACCACGAAAGAGGAACTTCTTCTCGTCCAATGCTGCACTTCAGCAAGAAGGTGTATCTGCCGATGCGGTCGCGGATCTGCCACCGGCTCAGAAACGAAAACCTGTGCGTTCACCAGCGGGAAAGACTTCCCTTCGAAGAGTAGCAGTCGAGGCGCAGAGATCACGAGAGAGTACACAACGTCGAAAAGATGTAGTCTCAGGAAGCGAAGGAAGCAACAAGGTCACAGCTATATCAGTGGCAGATCAATTCGACATGGACGCAGTGGTACGGACTCTGCGGGCTCACGGTTTCTTGATTGACCCTGATGAGACGGGCTTCGAGTCGGATCAGGTCATACACACCCGAGGTGCAAATAATGGAGATATTTTCGTCTTTCCTTCGGGATCTCTGGTGGCATGGTCTTTGCCTGAAGATGTTGTGGCGGACTTGGCGACCAAGACATTACTTCCTGCAGCCATCAACCCACATATGGATCAGATGGAAACGGAAAATCTTGAATATGCAGAAGATCCAAAAAGGGAGAGCAGTAACATCAAAGGAGACGTCATTTTGCTTGGCACCAAGAAGCCCTCGCATGCTGAGCAGCAAACAGAGTAAGGAATACCTAATTGCTCGCGGGGTGTATACTGATTCAGTGCTAGCTCTCAAGTAGATACCACTCTTGCCAAGATTGCCTTCTCTTCGGGCTTGGCTAGGTCGACCAAACTAGCAGTGTTAGAGACAATGCTCAGCAAATACTCCGAATCAACGCGAACGATTCCGAAGATACTTGCTCGAGGCTCGAAATTGCCATTCGATCGTCGATTTATGTTACAAAAGACTGGCGAATTGCTAGAGCTTAGAGCACAATTAAACCACTACTCCGAACTCACAGACTCCTTGCCCGATCTGTTCTGGGACAGCAAACACGAATTGGGATTGGAAGGGTACTACGACCAAGTTGGCAGAGCTCTTGATGTTGGTGTGCGAATCAAGACTTTGAATGAGAAGATGGACTATGCTCAGGAGATTGCGACCATTTTACGGCAGACTATGAGCGAGAAGCATAGCATTTATCTCGAGTGGATCATTATCGTCCTAATTGCTGTCGAGGTATTATTTGGCCTTCGACATATATGGATCGAGAAGAAGAAGGAACGTGAAGAACGTGCAGCAAAGGCACAGAAAGAATGACGATCGACGATCGACTGTAACAACACAACTCATCTGGTGGCATGGCGTCCGAGGGGACTGGCATTTTTAGTGGCGTTTATAGAGACCTCACAACGATGGTCATTCGATCTAAGCAGGTCAGAGACTTTGATACATTCTCGGCGAGCTCGGACGAGCTACAGTAGCAGAATGTCCTTAGCATACTCCACGACTACAATCAGAACCTCTTATCTGAATTACTCCTTGGGTCTGGCGCTGCGGACCTGTTTTGGCTTTCTTTCCGTGCATTAGTCCTGAATCGCTCGATGCTAACAAGACTAGAGCATACCGGAATACCGAATACCGAATAGACTCCTTGAAGATACCGTACCTCTGGCCTCAAGTTTAGACCAGCGGGAGATTTGCACTGTCAAACAGTCATCAGCAGCTGAGCGAGCATTGATCCTGTCGATCGCCAGCCCCATGGAAATTCGAGGCGAGAAATTTAGGTTTAATCTAGCTATTTGATCCGGCATGAAGCTAGTCTTTGGCTGTCCATTCCCCGCACAATGGTTCCCCGGATCTCCACTGCGGCATCCTTTTAACTGGGTATTTTCCAGAATTTCTCGGGGATATCTCCCCAAGAAGGATTTAATTTGCTTGGCAATATCGTGCAGCAAGTTACGATGCATGCTTCGTATATCTCTCTGGCGAGCACAGAGCGAGCATATCGCGGCCCTTGATTCGAGTTGACGATATCTATGCCAGGATGGGGATATATTGCTTGCATGCTGAATCATTGTGGACCGAGGAGCATCGAGGTATTTTCTCCAAGAGGCATTTTGTTCATTAATTTCACGGCCTAAATTTCCATCCTTCACAGTAGTCGAAATCTCAACCAACCTTACCTTATGCACGCAATTACCATCACGTCGGATAGTGCACCAATTCGTCAACGATTGGTATAAAGTTTAGGTCGAAAGTAGTTCTTGTGTTGAGTCCAGACCGACTCCAAAGCCACACCTCGGCCTTGGCTCTTGTGCTAATTGGAGGCGAAAGGGATAGTTCCGCTTCCCGTCACCATTATTCCTTCACTTCACACCTTTCCTGTATTCTCTAAACAGCCTCGAAGTCACGTCCAGACCAGCAAGACGTTCACTGCTTACGGGATTCTGAAGTCTGGAAAACGCCATCTTGCTAGGTCTCTTGCTTCCTCTCCTCGTTAGCATTCAGTCTATAGTTTAATTGCACGATGGAGTATCACACCATATCGTTATCGTGACGATAGATAGGCTGGCAACACAAGGAACTTGGCGTTCTTGGTATGCATGGGGAATCTTGGGGGAGGCAAGGTTGCTTGCCTGGCTCAACATTCCCCGCATTGCCCAGCCCCAGATCAATGTCTGTATTTGAATTTATATCTATATAAGCTTATTGCCCCATCCAGATCTTCCGATAGATCAAGCAGTTCTCGTCTTTTTCTCTTCTTGAATCTCCTCTCTCTCCACATTATCGCTATTCTCTTGCCCATAATGTCCACTTCCGACCTCGATAAGGGTGGAGTCCAGCATATTGAACGCACCGTTTCCGAGGATCTCAACGATGCTCAAATCGCGGAATTCACTCCCCAGGAGCAAAAGAAGATCATTCATCGTATTGATCGACGACTCGTCACTACCCTTGGCATACTATACGCGTGCAGTTTGATGGATAGAACAAACTTAGGCGCTGCCAACATTGCTGGGTGAGTTGTATCACATACTCCTGCAGAAATCCTACTGACAGTCTCACAGAATGGCAAAGGGTTTAGATTTGATAGGCGCGAGATACAGTCTCATCGTGCTCATCTTCTTCATCCCATATGTCCTCTTCCAACCCCCTGCAACCGTTGTGCTGCGCAAAGTTGGACCTCGCAGATTCCTGTCGGCAATCACCCTTCTCTGGGGTGGCTGCATGATCGTTAGTACTACCCTGTAATCGAACACTGCCCACATATTAATACAAGTTAGGGATTTGGGTTCGTTAAGAAGTGGGATCAGATGCTCGGTCTTCGTGTCATACTTGGTGTTCTCGAAGCTGGTTTCTTCCCTGGCTGTGCATACCTCCTGTCCACTTGGTACACTCGATTCGAACTACAGAAACGAAATGCAGTGTTCTATCTCATTGGGAGTATGGCATCTGCCATCTCTGGCATTCTCGCCTACGGCATCATGCAGATGAACGGGCTCGGTGGCCTCGCCGGATGGCGCTGGATCTTCATCATGGAAGGTCTCATCACCTGCGTTTTTGGCGTCGCAGGTTATTTCCTCATCGTCGACTTCCCCGAATACGCAGCCAAGTCATGGCATTTCCTCAACGCCCGCGAATCAGCCTTCATCGTCGCACGCATTGAAAAGGATCGCCACGATGCTATCCCAGAACCCTTCCACATCACCAGCTACCTCAAAAACGCCCTCGACTCCAAAGTCTGGGCCTTCGCCTCTCTTTTCGGCCTCACCACGACCAACACCTACGCAATCGCTTACTTCCTCCCCGTCATTCTCCGCGAGGGAATGGGCTTCTCTATCGCAGAAGCTCAATGCCTTGTTGCTCCTCCTTATGTGGCTGCCGCGTTCGTCATGTACGGCTGCGCCGTCCTAGGAGATAAATACCACATCCGCGGCCCTATCGTAGCATTCAACGCCATCCTCGGCCTGATCGGGCTCCCTCTTCTCGGATATGCACACAATAACGGCGTGCGTTATTTCGGCGTCTTCCTCGCTACCATAGCAGGCAACGCGAATGTCCCGGCTGTCCTCACCTACCAAGCAAATAACATCAGAGGGCAGTGGAAGAGAGCCCTTTGCTCGGCTACCCTGGTGGGTTTTGGTGGTATTGGCGGGATTGTGGGATCAACGGTGTTTAGGGAGCAGGATGCGCCCAAGTATGGACCGGGGATTATGACGGTTATGATTGCTAATGCGCTTATTTTGGTTATTACGGCGCTGTTGAGTATTAAGTTCCACTTTGCTAATAAGAGAGCGGAGAGAGGTGGTAAGGTTATCGAGGGGCAGGCGGGCTTTAGGTATACTTTGTAAAGGGGGATTTTACTTGGTAACATGGAATAATGATGAATTGAGACTTCCACTAGAGACATTTTCGTGTCAGTGCCGCTTCCTCAATTTAATAATATTTCAGCGGAAAAGGGACTCTAGTCAAACGATAAAGAAAAGCCGTACCCCATACTGCGTTGAGGATGACATAGCGGAATGGGATGACTTCGTACGCGCCATTGAGAGCGAGTTTCAAGGGCAAAGCTTGCCTGAGAAAAATGAGGCTTGAAATACTTAAGTCTCGAAAATATAAAGTAGGCGGTACTCCATGCATTTATAGCTCTACCTGGCCGAAGACGACGAAAGACTTCCAATCCCACAGGTACCTAGGTATCACGAGTAGGTGTCACGTGCCAAAGACTTTCATTCGAGACCATTAGGAAAAATCTTATACTGCTTCTGAAATCTCGTTTTCAAGAAAATTTGATCCTTAATCTCGACCGAAGATGGTCTTTTCAAGTCAATTGAAGAGCCAACACGGATCAATCAATCAGTCGTTGCTTTCCGAATCTGGCTAAGTGACACCTCGCTTAAGTGGACATTTTAATAGGTCTGTCGCTGAGAAACTTCTTGTTCTTTCTTTCAATAATGTTTCCAGATTTCGAGTCTATTTCCTCCGCTTCTCTTCTTCGGTCTGTCCTCTCTTTGCCATTACATCAAGGTGCATATATGGCTCAAGCTTGGAGTTTCATCATCCTACCAAAGGGGAAGCCCATTGTTGGAAAACACACGTTCTCCAGGGGTATTGGCTTGTGATATTGTTTCGATTTGATGGTAATTCTCCGGGATCTCCTCCCCGCAGCAGATCAGTGACTGCCGTGTACCCTGGGGTAAATCTGGGGTAAAGCCCTTGCAACCCTATTTTGCCTGAACAATTTGTCTCCGGTTCTGGAGGTTTCCCGCTGCGATACATCGGATCATCAAAGCGTTTCCAGGTTCAGATTATGTTCGCCGAAAACATAGACGATCTGCAGGTACCAAACTATAGCACAACCGTCCGCTCCGAGATTTGCATCAAGGCTAAAGTTGTATGGGTTTCGTACCTCATCTCCTCGCTATCCCCGCTACTTGGTACGACTTCAAAATCTTCAGCCAAAATATGGATTGTTTGATGTAAAGTACAACCTTGATAACCATATTGCACATATGCGTCACGTATCTTGGTATTAATTTTGTTCTTCTCTTCCAAGTGGGTACTTTGTAAACATGTGCAGCCACGTTACAGCCGCATTAATTGTTGTAGCAGAACTAAACTTATCCCAGTGGATGTGCGCGCATTTGTTCATCCGAAGAATATTAAAGTCAAGCCATCATCCCATTTCTGCTTCATTTTGCTTCACGACCACCACTTCCACCTCCAGCATCTCTCATCGTTTCGAACCCGCATCATCAACATGCTTTTCAACGCCCCAAAGCTCGCTTTGCTCGCTCTCATCTCGTCGGTCTCCGCACAAGCAGGCTTGAACTGTAGCGTCAAGGGGTACGATACTGGCAAACACCCAGCCTACTACGTCAACAGCACAATCACGACGCCCGCCGCGTGCAAAGCATACTGTGCCGCCAGCGTCGCGAGCAAATGCTCTAGCTTCGCAGTTGGAGGTGGATGCTTGCTGTATAATGTTACGGTCAACGGCAATGTCAATCCTATGAACACCAGCACGTTCACCTTTTATGACGAAGCCTGCACAGTCTAGTTCCTGTGATCTTCTTCCAACTTGGTGCGTAAATTACGCCATCGTTTCTTGCTCTGAAGTATCTTGCTAATATTAGCTACAGCTAGGATGAACAACACCAAAGATGGACACGTTAATTGAGGAAGATTGGGCGGCGCTGGCAAAATTGGTGCAGGGACGACTTGTACATAACATGCTCGGAAAAGTTGTATATACAGTCACTATGGTTTATACATTTCTGCCATTCCCAAATGCTTAAATGCTTGTGTCAAGTATTTACAACAGGACTCTGACAGCGGAATTTCCTAGGCTGGGATCTTGTGCAAGTTTCTATGACCTACAATGCTATTATCCAATTTTCCGACCTTCTTACTTTTGCAACCGTCTTTTAACTTGAAACTTTAGCAAACTACCACGCGTTTACTTTTGCTTACAATATATCGAACTTATTAATAAATCGCTTTCTTTTTTAAAAAAAAATTCTTTCTTTTTTAATATTAAATTCACATTTCATATTGAGGCTCACGCGATAAGTATTCTCCTTGAGAGAAGTCCATATCAAAAGCAGCGGAAATATGATTGCAAACACGGTGGCGGACCTCAACCTCTCTCTGACATTTCATGGTGCGGTCGTAAGGCGATTTCAGCATCCATATGATCTGTCGACAATAACAGCGCGCAAAAAAGTCGGCCAGAAATGGGGTGACGCCAAATACGAAGACCACGATGAGCACCTATCCACATGTCAAGATATACGCAGCTTTCTGTCACCTTTCTAGTCCTAAGTAATTCATCTAGTCCCGAAATAACACACTGGAGCATTCTTGTCTTGATTTCTGTGATGTTCAACGCGGTATGGCGTGTCAACCCTATCTTTTCAGCTAGACAGTGATTCTTACGGTTGAAAAAGGTGCCAAAATACTACTTAGATCAAGATGGAACAATTGAAGAACGAACTGAAGCTCGAGAAAGGTTCGTATTTTCCCCCTTAGGATGTTCGCTTAATGAAGGAACCGGATCCGAACGCTTCTATAATCGAGATGTTAGATCCGACCTCTTGCTCAGATGCACTTTAATACCGAGATCGACGCGAAGCTCTCAATCTCGTCTTAGCTTCCATCGACAAGATGAGAAGTTTGTCGCGCGAGACTGTCGCTACGATTGAAAACCGAGCTTCGCTCGCTTGGTCTTCGGTTTTCCTTCCGAGCACATATGCTTGCCGAATAAGGTGGGTCTACATTCTGGGCTCGGAATTTCCGCTGTAGGTTCCAATTCAGGATCCGAATCAAATTGCGGTTTTCGTTTCGAGGACTGTGAATGAATTGGCATTTCAGAGTTGAGATTTCAAGCTTGCGCCCGCACCTCCTTTTCTCTGTAAATACACGTACAGATAGACATAGCACTGCATGACTGGCCCATCTCGAAACCTATCAGAACCAACATTGTCGTCTTGCTACACTTCAATATGACTGCGTAAGTACAAGCTTCCTCATATATGTCCAGATCTAGTCGCTAACATCTCCTTCCCAAAGTCCCGCGGCAATCTCTGCCTCTCTCCTGGGCCGATATTCAGCGGACTCAGAGCAACCTCGAGACGCTTCTGACTATTATTGCGGCGAATATGAAAGTGAAAAGATGGACGATGACGACGGCATGAGACCTCGCAGTCAAGTGCGAGTAGCGCTTTCGATGTCTCTGAAATTCACCGTGGTCTGCTTTGCACTTTGGGGTCTGCGTGACATAGTGGAGCGTACAGTCCTCGTTCCACGGTCAAACCCCGACTTGCGCTGTTGGTGCGGAACTTCAGATGCAGAAGCTATAGCTATGGGTTGCAAATATGATCACTTGGCAGTTGATTGGCTTCCTCCTCATTGCATAGATGAGGAGCTGACAGCTGAGTTTGACCGTGCAGGTCCAGGTCCTCTTGGTGCCTGGGATTATTATGCAGATCGTAATGGTACAGTGCGACTGAGCGACACGATCATCGACCAGTACGCTATGGCAGCCACAAATTATTATACCACTGTTGAATGGCACATGGCTCACTGCATATACGTATGGCGGAAACAGTTCAGAACAAAGTTTACTGGGAAGATTGTAGAGCCATGGAATGATAAGGAGGAACATATCATGCACTGTGGAGGTTATTTCACGCGCAAAAGCAATTTATTATCAGAGATTGATACCACGATCCCCGGTACTGATAGACATCCTCGGCGCTGAAAGTTTTGTCCCGTGCGGGATGTGACATCTTCGACTGAGATGCGAATGTCGATTGTGAAGAAACGTGTACTTGAGACTCTTGTAAATAAAAGAAATGTATACCTGTATTCCTGTCTAATAGCATGGCTAGCTCTAAATTCTTTAACAAATCAGTCCTGGTAGATCTCAAGTCACTGATCGTCAGATATTTATACCCAAATGGGGAATGGTGTTTGAGGACCAAATGAAATCTTCACTTTGTGATCACCGGATTGTGCAAGACCTGTATATGATCACGATCCTGTTCGTAAGCTAACAATTCCAATTCAATACGTGCGTCCATCGGAACAGCGCATTTATGATTTTCAAGGTAGAGCAAACATTAGCATCCATCATCCACCAAGAAGCTTTCGGGTGCTGCACCGAGCCTCGATGCTATAGCAGCGGCTATAAACGACGCAAAAACGCTCCCACAAAGTGACCACCGAATCCCTTTAATCGGCGTCACATCACCCGTCTCGCCCAAGAACCAGAATAGACCCGCGTAAAAGACCATGGCAAGGATCTGAGGTGCAGCGATCGAAATGTTATTCACGCCTTGAATGATTCCGACAGCATCGATAATTCTCGTGTCCGACTCCTCAGGGCTTAAAGTTTCCAAGTTGATTAGCAAGAATGGAATCCACTGATTGACGGCAAAGCTGAATCCTGTCAAGCCAACTAGAATGATTACTTGTTCTCTTGACTCCGCAGACAGAATTCCCACAAGGCTGAATGAGTACAAAAGTTGGGATGTAACCCAGACATTTCGATAGTTCAACCACGGAAAGGTAAACTTCTGAGTAGAGCATGGCTCCCCCTGCAACGATCGATAAAGCTTGTAGCTTTGGGCGGAGTAGAGTTGAAATAACAAGGGAAGCAGAATACTCGTTAGTAGTGCGAGGGAGGCTTGAAAGAGTAGGGCACGAGAGCCATCGCGTTCTAAACTCTTGAAATTATCCTTTGGCGAGCCGATTGACTTCATCGTCTCAGCATGATAGGGTATCCCTTCAGTGTCTGCTCAGGATTAGATATGAATAATACTGGAACGCAGAGATATAGCAAATACCGAGACTACCAACGTAACTGGAGTAAATGAATTAGTAAAATGGGACGATAGCCATTATTGTTCTTGGGATTTCATACCTGCTTATGTACAACATATATGGAAACCATGCGAACCAGGAAAAGAATTGAACGGCCTGTATCTTCAAAATCTCAGGAGAAAGCGAAGCAGATAATTGCCTGGCTTGCGATATGATCTGACTTAGCAGTCTTTCTTGGGTTGCAGAATCATGCTCCGCGGGTGACTCTTCGGTGATACCAGCGCTTGTGATGCTCACTGTTGCTCTATAAAAACAGCTTGTTGTTTGTCCTTTCCCTTCGCGTACAGATTTTTCATATCTATCATCATAACTTTGCGAGAAACCTGTTTTGTAGTGGGCGAAAGAAAGGATATTAAGTCGCGAGTTTCGGGTTGATCGACAAGAGAGAAGGAGAGGTTGTTTTTTAGGATGAAAGCTAAAAGCAGTACGCGGTATCGTTCGTCATGAGATTGTTGTTCGACAGGTTTTTCGGATGGTAACTGATCGCTTTTCTTAGTGCGTTGAGTAACGTCTAAGACTTCTACAGCTGTAACAGGAACTCGAGGGTGATACTTCTTGTAGTGGGAGCGATAATTATTGGTAGACTGTAGCCCTCGATCGACTAGTTTGGGAGGAAAGTCGTGGCATCCAGGATAGCCACAACTTATCGTCATTTTGGTGTGATCAGGCTCAAAAGTCGTACGAACATAAAGAGGATTAGTTCCTTTAAACATAAACGCTCCAGAGGGCTTGAGGGGAGGGCACTTCTTCTTAGGACGCGCATGAGGTGGGAGAGTTGGTTGGTTTTCGTCCGACCTCGTAGGCGCTCTACCACGCTTTAGAGAAGTCTCTGGACGACCAGGAAAGAGCGTACGCCTTGTAGGCAGAGCTGGAAAGGATACAGAAGGTTGATACGACATGTTGAGGACGTGTAGGGCTAATATGGTTGATAAAACTATTAATGGAAGTGAGTTATAGCGTTTGAAGTTTCTGCATTATGACACCGCACTAGTAAATTTGGAGGATTTTCATTGGCTACAGGTCACATGTAGGTCACGTTTCCCGATTACTCAAGTAATCGATTAATTGAGGTTATTTTGGCCGATATATTAATCGATTATAATCGTATACTCGATACGATTCTGATTAGCGCCGATTATTTTCCGGAAATATCGACGCCCAAGCCTGATAGAAAGTACATACTGTGCTGAAGGCAAACTGGAAGGAAAATGCCATTTGCAATCGTTGATTTTGTTAGCGGGTGAGTATGGAGGGGAAGATTGAAAGAGACTTACCCACAAAGGCTGATCGTGATAGTAATGATGCGTAGTAGATTGGAATGAATATCTGGATAGATCATAGAGAGAACGCCGTGGAAGAAGTCGTGATTTCTAGCAAAGCGATTTTTTCCACGATCAAAGTTTGTGGCGATTCGAGACCTCGAATTTCGCAAGATCGTTAAACGATGTGAGATATCTTCGACATCATCTTCGGAGCGGCTGCTCATCAATTCGCTGATCTCGAACATGGGGACCTGGACTGTGATTCTCTGGGTTGAAATTCGTTTGAAGAATTGCAAACTACACTCGTACTGTCTTTTGATGGTGTCAGCTGCAGGTCTTGAATAGAAGATGGAGAGGCGGTGTGAAAACATGCAAGGGAGGGTATATTCCAACTAATTCGTCAAATTTTCCATTCATGATTGCATCGACTGCTTTTCGTCGATAAAGTATGGGCTACATGATAGGTCGACCCTCCAAATACTGATTTCGTATCAGAATCCTAGGCTTACGTCGGAACTTGAACCATGGCTTGACTTGGCATCGCCCCTGTGCTGCGGCAGCCTGGAGGGAAGTATCCACAGAATTTGCGACTTAGAGGCGTAGATTCGGATTTACATCCGCAATTGATCTTACTATAAGTCACGTTTCTTCGGAATTAATCCACTTGATCCCTAATGAGATATCCATCTAATAGCTTTTAGGTCACCCCAGGCCTCTCTACTTCTCTCTTGACATGAAATTATAAGTATCTAGCTCGGTTTCCCTCCGGAAGGAGCTCACAAAGAACTCTATATCTGTCTGATGCAAAGTCAAAATGAATGAGGCTTTTCCGTGAAATTTTTCACCTTTTTTTCCTCTTTTAGAGGACAGAAATAATACTATAAATTAACATACATGAATTCCAACAACCGATCAACAACTGTGGCTTTTCTATCTTCCTCGAAATTTGGTGACATCAGAGAAGTGTAGCACATTCGACAAGAAGCAATTGGGATACTTCCAGAAAGCTTTTGACCAGAACCCAGTTTCACCAATTCTGTCCACTCTTCCTGCAACTTTCCTGAGGCTATGTGGCGGACTGTCCATCTCGTGGGACTTTGGGCTTACGGGCGTTATTTGGGTACGTGGCGCCAGGAAAGGTGGCAGTAAAGAAACCACAATCGGGGTATTGGATTACGGCAGTGGTTCGAAGTTGTTCCGGGTCCCCTCCCATCCTTAGCACGTGCGAGCAATGCTCAGTGTGTGGCAATGGCATTTGTGAATGGACTCGCTTGTTTCCAACAAGAGCTCTGTGTAACTTTAGCCAACTGAATGCACAGTGCGCCACATGAAGCCGATTTGTCAGCCAGACTGGTACCACATCTTGTCCAAACTCCTCTTCGCTAATTTCGGCAGTCCTGTTCGCGTCCCGGTAGTATTTCCAAGGACCCGCCGCCCTGAATTGATCTGTCAGATCCTCGTCGATGCATTCTTGTGGCAACCAAGCAAATGACAAGACGTCCCATCACACCCACGAGCTTGGGCTTCAACAGACGTTTGTCCGCAAGGATTTCTCATGATTCCTGAATCATGCCCAGGGTGAAATATTGCTGGGAGGCCATGCACCAAGCAGAACATCCCCACCAAGACAAATAGATAGAAGACGATTGACTTTGAGAAGATCCAAAACGTTTGAATTCGGCGCCGATAATTTGTTTGGTGACTCTGTGTTGATGACTCGTCTTCAAGCTCGGTGGACAATAATTTGTACATAGCCACGCTCTCCAACTCACCCCGCATATCAGCCATCGAGATTATTACTAACGCACAAGTCAATGAAGGACAGAAGCAGTAAACCATCGAGCGCTACTCACAAAGCAGTTGGGTCTCAAGAGAATTGATACGTAGGTGGCGATAACCTGTAAGCTTAAGATTTTCGTTTTAAGATAGATCTTCCCATCTACCAGCTGAGTATCTAGGAGGAAGTTCGAGACAACAATGAGCAGTCGAAAAGGTGAGATGGGAAAGGACTTCCAACATACACACAGTTCAGACTTGCTTGATGAACCTTATTCTTTCCGGCTCGGACCGAAACATCGGACCGAAATCCGCAGATCAACTGTCAAGCTGTTCCTGAAACACCAGGAGACAATGTATATTCTTTTCCTTTTCCATTCAGGCGTAAACCTTGTATTTCAGACTCGGAGTTCGTAGATTTTCTTATGAATCAAAATTGGTAACCTGTTCCGAAATCAACCTAGCCAGGGGGGCTTTCATGCATCTGAACTCCGTATGAAGCCACCTCTCGAACTGGACTCGGTAAACAATTCATTAGTCCGTCCCAAGTAACCTTATTGCCGTCGGTTTTGATTCTATGTTCTCATACTATGAGTTCGGAATCTTGCGCAACAAGTCCTCTTCAATCGGAGAAACATCACGGAAAAATATCCAAATCAAAGCAACGACGGCAAAGTCTGTATGTGCAATATGCGCCTCGGAAAAGAACCCATGGTTTATTCAGAAGGTAGTTAGGGGGCGCGTCTTCAATGGATATATGAATAGAAATCCGCCAGTTGAAGGGCGAATATCGAAGCAGGCAGATCAATCTTTCAAACAGTCCAACATAGGACCGAACATACAATATACACTCAGCACTCTCTCAATAAAAACTGGCCTTTAAGCAAGAAAAATGTAAGTTATATGTCGTCCTAATATTAAGGGTTGCCAGGCTAAAGTATTACCTCCAGACTCGAAATGCATTCCTCACGATTCATTGCTGTCCTGTTGCTCGTGGCTGTCTCTTCCACAGCAGCACCAGTCCCTACACCAGGTACTGGCGTACTGATAAACGCTAAATTCCCGATGGAGATTGTCAATCGTCAATCTACAGACGACCATGCTCCACCTGCACATATCAAGGAACGTCAATCTACAGATGACCACGCTCCACCTGCACATATCAAGCGCCAATCCACAGACGACCACGCTCCTCCTGCACATATCAAGGAGCGTCAATCTACGGACGATCACGCTCCTCCCGCACATATCAAGCGCCAGTCTATATGCACCGGCCATACCAATTTACCTGCATCCACCGAAGATCACATCGAAGAGCGTCAATCCGCCTGCCTTGGCTTGATCAAGGAATGAAAAACCACTGATTATCGTCCTCGTGTGATGTCTAAGCACCAGAAAAAGAGGAGCACAAAGGGGAGGACTTTTTTAAGTTCTTCCTAACACACTCGTTTTGCGCTGATTGACTTGGTTTTGCAATCTGGGAAGATTTATCGCTTTCGTTATTGAAATTCGTATGTATGAGAGAATGAAATTGGCGAATGATTGCTTTGAGGTAATTCTGATCGTCTTTGAGATGTATTTTAGATTGTAGTTGTTTTTCTCAATGTCAAGGATGCTGCTCTGAAAAATGCTGACCCACTCATTGTCTTCATATTTGTGCCGATTAAGAATCTTGAGAAGATCACCAGAGTAGTGTTTTAAGTGATGAATCCTCCGAGGCAACTATTGCGCAGCTCTCATTAGACAGAGAAAGCAGGACTCGATAGCAAGTATTCTCTCTATGATTGGCTATCTCCGAGTTTGGGAATATTGAAAAAGGAGTTGGAAAACGTGACGTTTATTTCAGAATGATTTCGGAAGCTCAAGTTCACTAAGTTAGAAGTTTGGAACAAAAGCTTGTCAGATTGGCTGAATGTGTAATAGTTTGATACACCTGTGTCTGTTTATCGCAAGCGTGGCTCTTAATCCAATTCAACCAGGGTGTATTTGGTTGTTCGTACCGGGGAGCTCACCAACAGACTACCCGATTATTAATGATCAGTATAGTGTGATAGGCAACGGAAAAAAGTCAGACTATAGTAATTTGTCTGAAAGTCAATTTGATACACAAAGTACTGGATATCCTTTCATACTGCTACTTGACTTATAAGCCTTTTTATCCTTTCACTAAATTCTATGCAGAACTACATTTGAAGTTTAGACAGACCAATTGGTGATGAAAGCTGCAGGATGCATTTGTAATAATGTTTCTTGCTAATTATCTATTGTATTGCTCATATTTTCTCTTGTCTGCTGAGCGACATTAAATAGATACCATACCTCAGCCACTGGTAAGTTGACACTTCCACAACCATCCTTACTGAGTACAGTTGCCAGTTGGACCAAAAGTCCAGCTACCTTAGATAATGGCCATATGTCTGGACAAGTCTTTTCCATTGAGCCCACAAAGAAGACGCCCGTAGCAAGCATCACAAGCCATGTAAACTGTCTTAGGGTAACCAGTTAGCAGGATCTTCTCCGCGGAGGAATCCCATCTCAACTCACTGAGATACTATCAAGCTCCGTCCGATAGAATCCGACATACAGTCCACAATAGCTTTTGCAATTGGAATGCAGGCTAAGATGACTCGCCCACGAGCTTCCAAATCGTTCTCCGATTGCAAGAACATGAGTCTCCTCGCCTGAAGGCACAACTTCACTTCGTTGTACTGATACAAGCCACGCAGCCACCATCTGGCTTCGATGTCAAACAAATAGTTTGATTTCTTAGCTCTTTTATCAATCATGCCGCTGTTAGGCCAGAAGATGCTTCGCAGATCGTCTCTCCATGTCTCTGTGAGCTGATCTAATAGCGAGATCTTCCTGCTCAATGCCTCGAGAGGGAGTGCCTGCCCATCTCGGCTGTAAAGCTGTACCAATATGATAGAACAAATTCTTGCATATCTACATTGGATTATGAAGCAAGAAGCGCCTTTATCTTCATCGAAGATCTGTGGAAGTTGTAGATTGAAGAACCTATCATCGATGATCTGTTGACAATTGTCAAAAGAGAAGACGGGGTTGTGGTATTAAGACCTACCGAAGCACGTCCCTGGGCTATAGCGAGCGGCTTCTCCATGATGTAGATGACCCAAAATGCGTTTTGAAATTCTCGCTGCTGATCATCGCCGTCTTCTCCTTTTGACAAGGACGTATTAGCAAGTTTCAATAAATGAAAGATGTAAACTGCGTCTGCGAGGAATCGGGATAGCATCGGGTCGTTTGTGTGCCATGCAAAAAGCGCCTGCAACTCCAGTTAGTTTCACTTCCTAGGATGATTTGATGGTACAACACCATAGTTACATGGGCCTGTAGTTCAGTGTGAGCGAATCGCTAAGGATCTAGAGGGACTGTTGGGGTTGACTGGCGTATAAAGCATTTATTGAGGGCCGCCGGCAATCAATGAAGTAAGACTGACTCAGTGCAATCGAAAAAGCCTCAGCCTTGGTAAAAGCTCGCGTTTTCACCGGTTTAAAAGACTGCTGCTCGGCGTCATCCCGAAGTGCTAATCCGACAGCCAAGGCCGCAGATACAAGCGCAGTAAGGGAAGCTGTGTCCTCACGTGATTCGCTGCGAGAAATTTCCGCGATAGCAGCCTCGAGGCGTGCCCTCGAAAAATATAACTTAGGACTATATCAGAAGAGTTAGAGAGATCGAGATCTCAGATAGTATATTTTTCAACGGACCTTAAGTATTCGCGGTAACAAGCATCAAATTCCTCCTTCCAAGAGCCAAGGCTGCAGGTAAAATATGATGGGTTGTTCGCGGGGTTATCTTTGTTTGTCAACGGTGTGAAGAGAGGGTTCGCATCACCAGTAAGTTGGTCGAGAATTTGGGTGATTTTGGGACGTGAGGGTTCATCGAGTGTTTGGAGTGAAGACGGGGATATTCTCAGTAAGAGATTGGCAGGAGAAAAGCCCTTCACACTAAAATCATCTTAGAGCTGTTAGTATATGACTGGAAGTTGGATATATACTGAATACTGAGAGGTCACCTCACCATCATCATAAAATCTGTCCAAGGTTGACGACTCACTGGTTGGATCAAGGTTTACCAGACTGTCGAGACCCGAACAGCCTCTTGTCCATAAATCGTCTAGCTGTGTAGGTATAGTTGAGATTTCATTATTTATGTCTTCGTCGAACAGCCAGTTCCCTGAGATATGGGCCTGCTGAGATGAAAGAGCCGGGAATGTAGATAGCGTGGTCGCGCTACTGGTGCTGCCGTGGTACATTGATCTGTGATGATTCATGTCAATTCCAATTTTTCGAAATCACATCGGCAGGAGGTATCTAAATGTGCACCTAACTTGATGACATGAGAAGAAGTCGAAGTCAATGTTGTCCCAGTCGTAAAGAACCTCCGCGTCATTCGTGCCAAGCGAGATCGGTGTGTTGACAGCTGAATGAGCCTTGTCAGATATCTCATCGTCAGGGGAGTCACTCTTCGCCGAGGAAACCAAACTCGGAACGCTGTCCATCAGCTCCAATGTCGCGCTTCGGGCACATTTTCGCGAGGTTGAGATTTTGTATGTACAAACACGGGAGGATTTCTTCCAGTATTATTGTTAATAACCGTCCTGATCAGATGGAATGTTCTAGAGGTCTTGGACTTACTTGGCAACTGCAGCAAGGATACTGATCACAGCCTGGTATAGTTAGCACGACCACGTATGGTGTTGAGGAGGACCGCTCACATCTCACTTTGCGAGCAATGCATGGATCACAAGCTCCACGACGCCGTTTTATGGTAGAAGCTCTGTTAGCCTTGGCAAAAGACCTCATTGGTGAACGGTCCTCCGAGATGTTCGCGATCTGACATTCCGGACCTCTTGTTGTTTCTATAGTCACTGAAGACATGCTGAATTGTTGCTGTTTGTTCATGCCAAGGAAAAATGTCCATTATATCAAGAGCCGCCTGCATATGACTTTCTTCATGTTGAGGCTCGTCCGAATGAACAAGGGTGTTGAAAACGAATACGAGCTGTGCGTTCATGGGTCCGTCATGTCTCGAAAATTGACTTTACCAAGCATTGAGGAGGAAAAAGCTTATTGCAAAGCTTATGTAGTAGCTAGCTTCTTCGGGCAAAATTGGAGTAAAGAGGCCACAAAGCACTTTTCCCTACCCGTTTACAAAACTACTGCAGAGACTTTTGTATGGCTTTACCATCTTGGCGTACTTAAAGAATTTGATTACGGTATCATAAAGTTCAAGTCGCTTATACTTTGAAGAGGCTCTTGTGCCAGCGCCGCTGTCCCCGTCTTCGTGACAAAATAAATGTATTCACCGACGAATCAACGATCTAGACTCTTTGTCCTTTATGATCGTTTTCTCCAAATATCATACTCAAGGTACGAGTCGATCGTCCTGAACTCGAAATGCGTAGCTTAGCCAGATTCCCAAAACGCGCTTATCTATTCCTGATAATTATCTTGCTTTGGATCCTCTACATATACTCTGACATTCTATTCGCAGCTTCTATTTTCAGATCGATCCCCGACTCGAGCGAGTTATCCTCTATACATCATTGGAACTGGACATTCTGGCAACAGTTCGATCCCACCAGAACACTCCCTAACGGACCCCGCTGGCTGGATCTTGCAGGTTTTCGGCAGAAAGACGGGTTTGCCTGGGAACGGTTTCGAGAGTGGAAACAGAGATGTCGTGGGATCGGTGAGCGTCCTAGACAGGCTTGGCATGGCAACTTTAAGCAATTTTGGGAGACGGAGGAGAGTGATTGGGATACAGTGACGGGATCTTGGACTGGAGAGTGGGTGAAATATACAGGCGATTTGAACTTGACAGATGTGCGAAATGCCAAGCATCGAGCAAGAGACCTTCTGGGGGATGGAGGACAAGTCACAGTGCAATTTCATGATATGGTCGCCGTCGAAACGGAAGTCTTCATCACCACAGACATGGAGTCTGAACTTGGTTATTATGGCGAAATCTCACCCAACAGAGGGGTGAGACTTGTTCGAGAAGTCTCTGCCAGTATCGCAATACGAGGTGATAATACCAGCAGCGATGACGATGTCACAGTCAACGTCTACGGTGTACATTGGCCTCGGATCGGGGCCCTCCTGATGACAACCACCAGTGTGAACTTCGCTGGAATCTTTGGACTACCGCAATTAGGTTTAGATTGGGAGTATTTCGTCACAAGCCGCAAGTTACTTAATGAGACAATTGGGAAGACACCCGCAGGAATCAATGCCACTTTAAGTGAGTGGGCGGATCCGAAAAAAACATACCCAGGAGCCAAGAGTCGAACGTCGACTTGCCAGTATGTTGTCTATATACAGATGCATCCGTTCGAGAAACGGAATATGAGGATTAATATCAGTGAGATTCATGGGGATTATAGAGAGTGTTGTTTTTATGATAAGGTTACTCAGCTGGGGGAAACGGAGTCTCCAATGTCTGTTGCTGTCTTTTCGCCGGATTGTGGGGTTTATTATGGAGACGAAGGGGCAGAGGTTGTCTTACTCGTGGATTAATCGGGCTTATTATATTTGTTAGGAAGCAGGTGGGCCTCGGGAGCGTCCCTGAATCCTTTGTGAATAAGAGAAGAATGTGGTTAACGTTCTGTCAGCTCGGTAATCTGGTCCTCCATGCATTGTGCCTTTTAGTTCACTGCCTTTCCAAATTGGCTGCACAGTCTTTTTAATTCTTTGCCTTTAATTATTCAATTTATTTTCCCCTGTTCCAAAGTACTACTGCCAACTATTACCTGAAAGCGTTGCCCAGAATACATCAATCACACGGCCTCGCATTAGCCTCAATATCATCTATCCCACATTCAACTCGAGCTTTCCTTCAAGTAGAACAACTCGGCTGAGATGTAAGAGCATTATCAATCAAAGTGACCGCTGCGTTCAGCGCACAAGCAGTACCTTGGCTACTAGCACCACCTTGAAAAGCAATAGAAGCAGAAGCCAAAATGTTGCCTTGCATCTGCGACCCGCCAACAATCGTAGCAGAACTCCCAACTATAAAATACACATTGCAAGCCTGCGCACCACCAATGAGCACTACTTGCGCTGTAGCCGTCGTCGTCTGGAACGTGGTTGAGACTTGGAACACAAATTGGCCATTCGGATTCGAGGTTCCGTTCAAAGTGAGAGTTGTAGAGAGGACGGCATCCACGGTCGTGAACCCATAGACGCCAGGGCCAAGTGTTTGACCTCCAAGATCCGTGGAGAGGGTCTCAGTGGGGACAAGGGCCTCGGCGTTGTTATATGCGGTGAGGCATGCTGCTTCGGCATTGCATGAGGCGGTGGTGTCGGAATCGATACTCCCGGTGCATGTTCCTGCTCCGGCACCGAATCCAGTGATGGATGTTCCGGGACAGGTACCGCAGTCTCCAGTAATTCTGAGAGAATGAATGATTAGGAAGTATCTTTGGGGTATGTGGGTACCAGAAGAGGACTCTTGGGAACTGGAAGAGCTTACACTGTTGCTCCGGTGGAGGTTATGGTCGATGAGGCGACGGCGCCAAAGGTTGAAGCGAGTCCCATGACTATGGGAGCAGCGCGTCGCTCGAGGACTGGATGACCTAGAGAGATGCTAAAGAATTGAACAGCAAAGAATGCTAGAAGTGCAAGTTTGGAAACACCGAATATACTGGACAGCATGGTGATGATGGTTGTAGGCAAGGTTTGAAGTAGAGGAGAGCGATTTAGACTTTAGGTATAGAAGTAGAGGAGCATGCAACACTTGTGAGGAGGTGGGAGAATGACTGAAGGTAGGGCTCTGTTGAAAGGAATGAGATTTGCTTTGGATCAAACGGCTTTTTATCTACAAGATGGTAGTATCCGTTCTTTGCTCTCAACGGGTTCTGGCCCGCTTCGATGCTGGCATTATTTCTATGCGGATCATTTTCATGGTGTTACCACTTGAAAGGAATCAGCGATCCGAGAAGCCTGCAGATGCCAAATCAAGAACTGCTTGAAAAAGCTTCTGAGGGGTATGAACTGTTTAAAACTTACCTTTTAACCAAGGATCAGTTGGTTAGAACAGTACCTTGTGCTGGAAGACTTCCCACAGACTAAGTTCGGGAGCCTTGGATTTATTTTCCTAATGCGTCCATATCCATTGTTCGTCCTGTATGGGGACTTCATCCGAACTCGTCAAGATGCGCTCTAAATCATGCAAGTCGGAAAATTAGGTCTTCATATTTATGTTCGACGATCTTTACCTCATTCGAACTCGACGCAGGCTTCGTAAAAACGCATGCAACTGAAAAGCAAGAACAGATAACGTTTTGCTGGTTTCGACTTCACGGCAGTTCTCTTCCGTTTTCCTATTTCCTTCTGTTTCTTGCTGTCACGATGAAAATGATGGACTTTGAGGGGTCTTGATGCAGTCATCATCTCCATGCGTCAACTCGGTGGCCAGACATGTGCACTAACCCCAGTCAACGTTGCAGTACTTACTGCAGCCTCCCGAGATTTTCTATTGATTTCCGCTTTGGTAGGTCCCTGCATAAGCCATGCCACCTTACCCGTGTAGCACACCACAACTTTTCGAGAATGCTATGAGGTCCTGAAGGATGTTCGAGTCCTCGATGCACTGGCTGATGCGCACAGGTTCGTCATAATGTGATCATCATCATACTTTACCAAACAAGACCCTCGATCCTACACTGTAGACGCATCGAAGGGATCGTCATTGCAGGAGCTGTCGTGCATGACGGCAACGGGACCTAATTCGAGATGAGGATTGCCGAACGACATTGCTATCGAGGTGGGCATGAAGCTTTAAAATGTTGTTGGGGAACGCGGATTAGGTACATTATATTGATAAGTAGGAGCTACCACAGATCTCTCTTTGGTATCAAGAACTACATCGCTTTGACTGCTTTGGCTGCCAAGCTACAGCTATAGGCCACAACTTGGATCGGGAATCCTGAGCTTGCAGGAAAAGAAAAACGCAAAGAAAATAAAGCATGAGTAAACGGTTACTTAGTAGCCTAATTAGGCTTGTGTCGCTTGTTGTATTGAGTGGAGCACACCTTCCTCGCGATGCAGCACATTGACTGACGACGCTCAAGATAAGAGCAAGTGAACTGACAAGTAGCAACTTAAGGAGATATCCGCAAAGTTGAGCGATTGAAGATATTGTTACACTCACAAGTTCTTCGAAATAATGTGCGGTTGGCAGCTGCAAACACATAAATGGCAAACGCGAAAATACAATAACTTCGAGAAGAGCAAAACCTTACGAGTTTTGACAGTGGTATACATATATTGGTGAATACATCGCATCGCTCTTGCGAGCACAATATGACAAGTTTGAAGATTGTGCTTACGATTCAAAACAGTGGTTGCTCATGTAAGTTGGAGCCTGTTGTCATGAAGGAAGAAGTGAGGTTTCGTTTTAATCGGCACTAGCGCGATTTCCCTTGTAATTTCAAAACTTCTCTTCTTTGCTCTCGAGCTTCGCCACTCCACCACAACAATCTGCAAACCTCAATCCTTCGTTATCCTGCTTATGTGCCATGGTTATGCTCGGCCAGCACCTCGATACAGACGGTTCTGATCACCGCGACAGGGCTACGAGTGCAGGATCTCATCCACCAACGCCGCACGATCACGACAACCTTCCCACCACGTACGCAGAGGAGTTATTGAGAGTTAATCGCACACGATATACGAGAATTAGACGAGGACGGAAGTAATATTCGATACAAAGATTTAACCAGGAGCCTTTGCTCACAACTATACGAGAACGTTCGACTCGCCGATCATCGCTCCATGCCAGTCTCAACCCAAGCATCTGCGCTTTTTCCTCAGCTCTCTCTCGAGATACGGCCTCGAATCTGTCATGAATAATAGAACTTGAGAAGGGCAATGTCATTTCAGGTGCATCGCAGTACGGGCCGAGAAATCCACCGCCCTCCTTACAACTTGTATCCAAGCCAGAAACGAAGGGCTTCGTGTTCACGCAGCAGATGAGAGACGTAGGAAAGCCAATGTGGCTGCAGGGTGTTGGTGGATACGATAGGATTTTGATCTAGTACATTTGAGAGATATCGACATTGCGAGCCTTGACTCGAGATACCTTAGGGTTCGCGACTCATACGGCGTAGGCTATTGACACTCGAGTGGGTCGGCAGACTTCAATACTTCGAGCATATACAGGCTCCAGTCATCAGTCGCGATCTGATGCTTCTACAGGATCGTGATGGTTTCACCCTTCGCTCGGCACTCCTTCCCGAAAATTCGCGTCTTCATAGTGCTTGTGGATGACCAGTATCGAGTTCATGTGGACTGGATTGAGGAACAATATCGTCATGAGATCATCCACAAATCGGATTGTCACAGATGATCGGCCATTGAGATCCTCTGTATGTTCGAGAGTAACGAGAGATTTTCGAACAGACGACAGATCCTTGTACAAGAGGCGATTGGACCATTCAAGGAGGTTGAGCGCAACTGCGTCTACTTATGGCTAGTCGAGGATGCTTTAAGGCGGACTTTCGAGTCTGCTGAGCAAAGCTACCATGATTTCGTGGCTCCTCGAGTAAAGGTCATGAGCTATTCCCTACCTCGAGATGTCGATCTTGGACATTGTGGACAGCTCCCGATAGCAGATTCCGAAGAAGGGCCATCTTTCCCCTTGACATTGCCACTGCGAAGAAAGACAAGTGTCACTTGATAGCCCAGTGCAGTCATGGGTCTTTTCGGAAAGCTGCATCGCTCAACGAACCTGAAGGGTCTTTCTTCTGTCCAACAATAATACGGCAAGGTGGGTGAGCTTCAGGGGTTATACCTTCTGCTTGTCCTTGTATTCTCTTCTTATACGGTCTCCTCGGACTCGGCCAAGAAAACTCTGATCTTTGATTCACTTTGTGGGTGGAACGGGCTGTCATCGTAAGCCATAGCTTACAAAAGCGGCCAAATTATCCCATGTTTGTCGATATCCGTCTGTACCCAACCAGCGCCAGAATCATCCTACTAAGCTTGACAGGCTTCTGACTGTGAAGAGCGACGTCAGGTAGGCTGACAGCATTGTGTGTCATGACTGAACTGCAAATGATATTTTTGCTTTCTTTGATTTGACATTTTCAATGCTATGGATTTTGTGCCTTTCACAAGTGGCCAATGCGAACAGTTGGGTATGTTTTTATCGCATGATCATGATCAAACATCTGCGGAAGCTGCGCATGGAATATTCGCTTGCGAATTGCTTTTGCATAAGATCTACTAAGTCTTGCTCCTGAGACTGGTTTGAGATGCCATGGTCGTCGTCTTTCGTCATGACTTTCCCACGCGCTATCAGTGCTTAGTGCTTTCTCCTCTCCGTCAGTATCTATCCAAGTCTTCGCTCTTCTCGCTCTTATGCAAGCGCCGGCTCTTTCCGGGTACCGGAGCCCAGCCCATCAGCGCGGAAGATCGTATCCATACGGGAGATTAGATGTCAAACACTATCACGGTGATCAAGTGTCTCACAGACGAAGTTCTAGGGATTATCTCCGTTGGCGATCCCCGACTGACTGACTAATTGAATCTACAATACCTGCAAGCTGTGAATATCTATGGTCGATGGTACAACCGTGTGGGTAGCTTGCAGAGGGACAAACAATGCGTTTGGTTGACGGCATGAATGGAGGTGCGATTGGACGGATTCACACAGAACCTGGATCGAGCAAAGTTCTCTTCGGTCCAGACGGCACGCTTGCTTATGTCAACCATATCAAATCCCGAACAGTGAGCGTTATCAGCGTTGTTGAACCCGAGGTCATAGGCACGATCCCTAGCTTTGCAGATGCTTTCTCCGATATGATGATTTCAGCTGATGGCCTTCGTCTTTGGGTTGTACACAAAATGGTAGGGAAAACAAGCATTATTGGTCTCTTGACTAGAACAGTTGTGGGAGTCCTCGATACTGGAGCAGAAAGCAACCATCCCATCTTCGCGATTGTGAATGGCAGCATATATAGCTTCGTTACAGTAGCAGCAACGAATGAGACGAAAGTCTACAGCCAAGACTGTCCATCGACAATGCCGCTCTTCGTTACTTCAATCAAAGTTTCTGGGATTGAGCCTCATGGAATTTGGGGAAGTCTAGATGAGACTCGAATTTATTGGGGCAACGAGCACAGCGACACTATGGATGTAGCTGACACATCGTCTATGCGTCTTTTCGCTTCAGTGCCTGCTGGTCAAGAGAGCCAAGTACTTGTCTATGTAGCAGGTGCTGTTCCGGCTGCTTCCAATGACACCGAAAATCTCGGAACTCAAGGGCAAGAAAAAGGGGTTGAGAACCATTTGATCAACGTCACGAATTCAATAAATTCGACAGCTTTAATCACAATTGGAGGGCTGAATGGATTGGACATTTTTCACATGATTGGCCGAGATTTGGAGATTAATCAGAGACATGTTGCGACTGCGATTTGTACTGGTTGTGGTGGAAAAGATTGAAAATCGTGAGCTTCAAGGCAACGATACCGATTGAGGAGATTTTGGGCTGCGCCACTGCTCCTCAGGTGCTGGCGTTCTTGAGTTTCTTCGAGAATTACGACGTCGATAGTGTTGGAGTGAGTCTTGCTTAGCATGGCTCTTGCGTCAGCCCATATTTTGCACGTGCAACTCAGAATCTTTAGACTCGGCTGTTGATGCCGTACCTCATATTTGATTTCATGAACCGCGTCGTGATCTCATCCTATCCGGCGCAGGGCTCGAAACCTAGGATTCTCACCGAGAGCCTCGTGCTGGCGCAACGTCTTATTGGCTTCTACGTTGTGGCTTGCAGATCATGGCTTTTGCTTTTCTTTCTGCTCCGCCAAAATCAGGCTCTGTAACTGCTTTCATGGGATGAATTTGTTCTTCTCGAGCTTATCCTTTCAAGAGTGTCTTTATGCTGTATGCGATCGAGGGTTCGACAGAAACGATGGCGGCTTCGAGCGACGAACAATCATTGCCAAAGCTGGAGAGACGGCTCGGCGATCCCAATAATACTCCCTTGGTCATCGAGGAGCCTAGCATATACAAATCACTCACACCTCGATCGTCAACTACCTTGGAAGAGCCTTGCGAGCAAAAGTTTTTCAGACTTCTCACTATTCTTCCAGGCGTTGATCCTGCTATCATGGAATGCAAACTCGAAGTTGCTGTCTTCCCAGTTGACATGCCATTCGAAGCCTTGTCGTACGTCTGGGGTCAACCATAACCACGTGATTGGGTTGTGGTCAATGGAATCAAGAAGTCTATCACCCCGAATCTAGGAGCAGCACTCAGACGACTCAGATATGAGGCTGAGGAACGATTAGTCTGGGTCGATGCCCTATGTATCAATCAAGACGACCTCGCAGAGCGCTCACAACAAGTCATGTTAATGAGGGATATCTACTCTGTGGCTCACAGAGTTGTGGTGTGGCTCGGTGAAGATAATGGCCAGGCAGCAGAAGCCTTAGCCATCATCAAGAAAGCTGCCAACTTTTATTTGTTTGAAACGAACACCCCGCTTTCACGACTCAGCACCGAGCTCTGGCCAGAGTCAGACAAAATCAAATACGATCCGATGTTTCCTGAGAGAGAAGCAAACAGCATATTTCGTGGCTTTCCCACATTACCCGAGTTCAATGACACGACCACGCCATCACCGTGGAATTCCGTTGCCTGGTTTTATGATCTTGAGTGGTTCAAAAGGGTATGGATCATCCAGGAGGTCGCTTTTTCTCCAACGATCATGTAATCTTACTGCGGACGTAATGAATTCGATTTCAGACACGTTTTTATTGCTGCTTCTTGGCTACTTCGGAAGGAGTATCTACATACTGATGCTTTGATTGTTAACTATGTAAGAGCGGCCGCTATCCTCAGTACTCGCTTTGCCGAAAATCAATCAATCAGCACCTTGATCAGCATGGGATTATATTCCAGATCTACGGATCCCCGAGATAAGGTCTTTGGGCTACTAGGACTAACTGATGACAAGACTCGCAGCAATGTCTGGATGAAATCAGATTATACGAGATCGACCGCAGAGGTATATATGAACACCATTCGATACATCATACTAGCCAATGAGCCTGATGGAAGGCTCTCCGATGTCTTCGCGAACATCACGAGTTATCCTGGCGACGAGAATGATAAGTACCCGTCATGGGTACCTCGATGGGACTCGTTCACAACTCCAGATCAATTCTCGGCTCCGATCCAATTTGCACAATGGAAAGCGGGTGGAGGACGAGACGAAGAGGTCAATCTTCCACCTCATTCTGAGATCTTGAATATCAAAGGGGTCTTATTAGGAACTGTGTATCGTGTTGATGATGCGATAGCCAATGAGAAGAATTCGCTTGAGCCTATAAAACAGACTTGGGATCGATTCCATGAGGAACTCGAAGATTCCACCAGAGTCGAAACGTTAGAATGTGCGTTTATTCGTACGGTTACCGCGGGACATGCATGTCTATCTGAGCTTTCCGGATCAGCTCGCCTATTCGAGGCTGATGATTTGAAAAACTGTTTTGATTTCATCGCTGGCGTTGCCGAGGACAACGGTTCCGTCACAAGAGCTCAAAAATTGTTGAATTCGACTCGCAATCTCCCCTTTTTCACCACTACTGATAAGCATATGGGTTTGGCAGGCAACAAATCTATTTTATCTGGTGATATACTGTGTGTATTCTTTGGCCACAGGATGCCGTCTGTTCTAAGACCGGTGGGCGAGGAGTATCGATTCTTAGGACCATGCTACATCCATGGCTACATGTATGGGGGAGCGATTGAAAAGTTGGAAAGTGGGGAACTGGAAGAGAGGTGGTTTCTTCTGTGTTGATGGTTTCCTCAAGATTTCTGATACTTGGTTCTCTGAATTCAAACAGAGATCACTTGCTTATTAATGTCCTTGGACTGCTAGTGGATTCTCCTTCGATCAGACTTTCATTTCAAAGAATTGGTGCCATCAAAGATTACCATTTAATACTTTATATCCAAAAGTTCGGGTTGATTCTGGAAACTCAGCGGCACGTGACCTGTCTCGAATGTCGGTACCAAGCAGCACAGTACTGGGGCGGCAAACGGCGGTCTCTCTAAGAAGAAGTACATATGTCTCAAAGCTGTTCTGGGAAGTGTCGTCGAAGTTTAAAGGCTGCTGTGCTTGCTTTGCCAGAGTAGGTCACATTGTAGCCTGCGCCTCATAATGGATTGCACTTCTTCGTGTCTCCCTCTTTTCTCGTTTCAGTCCAGCACCATGAGAGACGAGTAAGGTGAAATTAAGTATTGGTGAATTGGTTGAGATAAGAGAGCGTTGGAGACATATTGCGTTGGCATTGGGGGACAAAGTTTTGGGGTTGACGAAGGGTAGGATGTATTCCAAACGGGGGAGGGATCGTTGATCTTAAGTGAAGCTTCATCGAATTCCTTAATGAGGTGGTAACCAAGCGAGCCCAGCGAGCCAATATAGGGAACGAGTAATATGGTACGTCTCGAGAAGGACTGGCTGGTTCTGTATGTTTATTAGCATGTGATCCACACATGTACTCTGTAGGTACCTAGGTACCTAGGTAATTGTACCAAGCAGAGTTCCTCGTCAGATACCTGAGTTTCTGAGTATGATTCGCATAAGTTAAGGCTAGAGTTGACTCGAACATATTCTGGCTGGGTATCACTTAACTGGTTCCGGGTATTCTGTTTTGAGTTTGGTACCGAGAAGAACGATATCCGAACACTAAATATGCATACCAAGTACTCATATGTCCATGTTACAACTATGGTATCGACGAGAATCCATCTGATATCACGGGCGTCAATGGTCTTGAATGTCCTTGAATTTCCAGTTCCGCCCCCACTTTTCCCCCTGGACAGTAAGCGAGGGGCGATCAGTCAGCCGAATCCATAAAAAGACACAGCCTCATTGGCCCGTTCGTTCATTATTATGCTTCACTGCGGCGGTGTAACTAGACATCATCTCTTGCTTTATCAACGCCTCGTCCGCGTTGTGGTCACATATTCTCAGTCAGCTATCCGCTACAGTGATTCTGGGAATTGTTTGAGGGATCAATCTCCGTCTGCAGCTGTTTCTCACTGGCTTGCTCGTTTATAGACTCAACGCATTTCTGAAGCCCTTCAACCGTCTTGAAGCTATTGGTTCCGTCGCTTGTCGGATATCGGGGGCTGGGCACCAAACGATCGATCGAGGGTCGTGTAACGATGGCTGAAGGTGTCGAGCCCGAAGGCGCGAAGCGAAGGAGAGCTTTCAAGCCCAAAACGAGAACTGGATGCATCACTTGCAGGTAACAACGGCCCGTCCCCTTCTAGATCCTAGCTAAGAAGCAGAATTCGGCGTATCAAATGCGATGAAGCCAAGCCGGCTTGCCTGAAATGTACCAGTACAGGACGTAAATGTGATGGATATGTCGTCTCGACGAATGATCGGACGTCGAAGAGCCCATCACCACCCAGAAGCAGCACCCCAGTTGTGAACAATACCGTCTCCAGAACATCATTGCCTCGGATGACCTTTGTACCCTTTCAAGCCAGCAAATCGGAACTTAGAGCTTTTCGGTATTTCCAACAAGAGACTATACCAGAAATCTGTGGCTTCTACCGGGAGGAGTTCTGGTTCAAGTCTGTGCTCCAGGCATGTCACCATAACCCCGCCATTCGGCATGCTGCCATCGCTCTAGGATCTTTGCATGAGAAATCCGTGGATCCAGCTGCGTCGAATCACTCTGAAGATCTGATTGAGGGCGGGTTTCCATTGCAACAGTATAATAAATCTATTCAAGCCTTGCTTAAACCTGTCCCGGGTAGTTTCCTTAAACCACAACAGAAAGTAGACGTGGCTTTGATCACTTGTATCTTGTTTGCTTGCTTCGACGTAAGTCCTGACTTGTTCTCTTCCTTTCGGACAGGGTACTAATCCGTGCTAGGCTTTACGAGGTCATCTCGGAACCGTCTTCGACCATATCGATGGCGGGGTTAAAATCCTTTCAGAATTACAAAACAAACCAAATTCAGTCATACACAACGATGAAGAGATATCCGCAACCTCTCTGTTCGCGCCGATGTCAACACTCAACGTCCTATTTACCCGACTAGACATCCAGGGCTCTTCGATGATGGGCGCAAGACGCCTCAGATTAGTCCCAGGACCCGCCCATGATCCGCTCATTGAAACAGCAGCCATACCCGCGGAATTCTACAGCTTTGAAGAAGCGCGAGAATCACAAGACAACATCTTCCGCTGTTGGCACCTCGACTTCCGGCGAACTCTCACCAATGGCGCAGAATTTCCTTTCGGCGAAGTCCCAACCAAAGAAGACGCAAAATTCCTGAAGATCACCTACAGCCAAAAACTCGAACAATGGAGCGAAACATACGAACGATTCCTGCTCGCGAACCCAGAGAAGAGAGATCTACCCGCAGATCATATGCTTCAACTACTCAACACCTTCATATGGATACACGCAGATGTCGACCACGCAGCTTCGGCGGAAGACGAAACGACATGGGATCAATACACAACACAATTCAGACAGATTGTCTACCATGCTACCGTCATTATAGCCTCCACCTCCTTCATCACACAACGAAAAACACTCTTCTCCCTAGACACAATGATCATCAGTCCGCTCTACTTTGTGGGCTCGAGGTGTCGACACCCAGAAATCAGAAGAGACGCCATAGCGTGTCTCTATACCGCGAATAGACAAGAGGGATTGTGGGAGAGCAGGACACTGGCTAGGGTTGCGCAGAGAGTTCTGGAGATTGAGGAGGAGGGGATGGGGATTTTGGTTGATGGGACGGAGATACCGGCTTGGAAGAGGATTAGTGGTGTTCAGCCAGAGCTACATTCGGATGAGAGGCAGGCGACTATACATTATACCTCGAAGCCCGCGGAGGAGGGAGGCCTCCCAGTGACAAATATGAAGGAGAAGATTGAGTGGTGAGGTGTGGTTGATAGTTAGATACCTTTTTGGATTGTATCTGGAGGAGTTGGTTTGGTTGGGGTATCTACATACATTACTGAGTTCGCTCAGTAGTAATCCGATTCATAGGCGTGATCTACAAAGCTTTCCTGGGCGATCAAAGAATTTCTCCAATCCCCTACAATCCCTAGGATTGATTTCCACCTTGCAGATATACCTCGTGTCGCCTTTTTACCATCTTTCCGACTACATAGACCTGTTAACAACAGCACCGCACTCGAATGGATGATATTCCGCGCCCTATCGCGAGGGACGAAACAATTTCCATCACTCTCCCAACGAAGACCTCGAAGGCCGTAATACTGCCAAGGCCTGCTTAGTCATCCAGCCCACCTCGCGCTTCGGAACTTACACGGAACTTAGCATCTCTCTTCAACGAGACTCTTACATTCGCTCGACGTTGCACAACATGCTGTTTTCAATGTTTGAATGTCTCAAACTCCTTTCTTTTGTATCACAGCTTCCAGATGTCGGCGACAGACTCCACACCTCACACTCTTACGTCGGACTTCCTGGCCTCGCATCTTGATGGAATGAGGGATCTGCATCGGCTGTATCGAGATGCGGATCAGCAAACAGGGTTATCTCAATATTCTGTAGGTAAGTATCGGTGCAAGTTTGGATTTTCCTGACAGACGGGACAGTGCGACCGGTGCAAACAGAGGAAGGTATGTTGATTTCCTGACTCTGGTCTCTGGGACTGATCGAGGGTCTTTCAGCTGCGGTGCTCACGAGCACTACCATCATGTGATAATTGCAAGTCATGGAATGGGGAATGCGTGTATTCCAGGCACGGCAAGATACGAAGACGGCCCCGATCGAAGTAATTCGCTATTTGTGTCTTGTCTCAAATCAGAAACTAAATCAGTGGTAGCATAGCTCGGAACACTGGGGCAGCAAAGTCCCAGCCACAAGCTGGCTCCCAGATTCCACAACCAATTTCCTTCAATCCAAATTCCTCTGCCTTTCAAGCTTCATCAAGAGACAACCCGAAAACAACGCAGTATGGGACGGGAAGCAGTGATGATGATCTCGAATCGAAGTCACGCTCTGGAAGAATACTCGAAGATGACACAGGCCAAGCTTTCTACGTCGGACCTTCTCCCATCGCAACCTTTCTTTCACAAGCTAACAGCAATATTGGAAAGGTGATGAATGATGTTCGGGATAGTGGATTGCATCAGAATGCCGAGGAGAGTCTTGCTGATCTCTCGAGCACCTTTGCTGCTGTTTCGTTTCAAGATGCTAGCGAAGTCCGAAAGAATGTTCGAAAACTCAAAAGAAGCAGCGAGGTATTCTTTATACCAGAAAAAGATGATGGGGAGTATTTGATTAACTGTACGTTGGCATTGAAGGAAACTCAAAGTTTATGCTGACCTGGGGTTGTAGTATTCGATGAAACAATGAGCAAAGGCTCCCCTTTCTTTCGAAAGCCCCCTAAGGATCTATTATCAAAGATCGTGTTTGAGCCATCCGCGGTCAAGGAAAGAGGATGGTTGCTACTTTACAACGTCGTTATGTCTACCGATCTTGCCCTCATGACGCCACCAAACTTGCGACTCAGCAAGTGTCTACAATGGAATACATGGATGCTGATTGAAGACTCAAGCATCTTTCTGGAGCCAAGCGAGATCAACATTCAAGCTCTGGTTATTCTTGCTGCTCACGGACAAGAGATCACGACTCCAAGCCTCTGCTGGACACTAATGACCCATGCTTGTCAAATGGCTCAAACTCTAGCTCTACATCTCCCAATCCCTCGACTACCGCAAAAGCACAAAGATAATCAATACAGGAACTGTTTGTTCTGGGGATTGTTTATAGTCGACAAAGCACTGGCATTGTCTGTTGGAAGGCCTCCTCTTCTCCCTACATACCTGTACAGGAATGCTCGACCGCCAGATCCAGCAACCCTCTCTCTGTATAGGCCTCATAGACATATCCTTGGAGCTGTGGAATCTCCAGAAGACTCGATTCTTTATGACTATGGAGGCTTCCACATAGCGCAGAGTCTCGAGCTTGCCAAGTTTCAAGGCCAAGTCTCTGATTTGATGTACAACGACCGCGAGACCAATGCTGCTAAAACTTTGGAGTTGAAGAGAGAACTGGATCAATGGATGGAAAGAATTCTCACTGTAAGTCAGACTGCTGTGTAGCTTTGACACGAGGACTTATTGAATTTGCAGTCAACTTATCATCAGATACAAAATTGCAAATCGCCGCAAGAAGAAGAAGTCAAGCTGGGGATTAATATCCAGAAGTTCCAATACCATCATTTGGTTGCATATCTTACAAGAGGGGACAAAGACAGCGGGGATACATGTCTGGAAGCGGCAAGAGCTGCAATTGGTCTTTTGGAATACCTGGTATCAAGCTCCCGACAAGTTTTCAATGGTATCATTTGGTGAGTTTCCTCTCCACGCGCTTCTTTCTGAAGCGAAGATTCTGATCATTCCAGGCAACTTCTCTACCAGCCCTTCACCCCATATTTTGTTCTTTTCTCGAACATAGTCTCCAATCCTACCTCCTCCACCTGCTACAAAGACATCCAATACCTACGACAAGTCGTCCTATACTTCCTACAAATGAACAACAATCACCCGTCGGCTGGAAGATTGGAAAAGGTGGCAGAGACTTTCACCAGGCTCGCAGAGACTTATGTCCGGCATGTAAGACGACGAAATGACGAGATCATACCTCCTCCCAACTTAAGCCTCTTCCCTAAAGCGGTTTACGAAAATGCTGTCTCGACTCATACAAGCGAAACTTCTACACCAGAATCACTACTCAGAACTCCCGAATACAACAACATTCCTTCCATCGATTTTTCCTCTCTACCTGCCCTCCCTCCTCTCGATCTCAATTCCACAACCAACTACAATTTCGACGACATGCCATCCGACCCAATGGCTCTCCTCAACTTCTTCTCGCCATCATACGAAATGGGCATGCCACTCAGCGACATTGCTGATGAGCAGCAGGATACTACAATGGGAGATCAGGATATACTGTTCAGGGAATTGAAGAGCTTCCAGCAGAATGGTGCACTGGATGGGACGTTTGATTGGTTCTCTTGGGATCTGTATGATAGTTCTGTGCCATGAAATTTTTGGGGTTTTCTGAGGCAAACTGAGGCTTGTGGTGTCAATAAATATCTGGTGATAGAAATGGGACTTGCGAGCTGTGAATTGAACTTTTATTAGGTTGTAATATATTTTCATATCTCCACTCATATCCGAACAGCTTTGGAGGAGGAAGTTTGCTCTTGACCGTGGGCCTGAAGAGCACCAGTAGTTTGCGACCTTCTTTTATGGAAAGATGTCACAATTTAGGGCAGCAGGATATTTAGAGCATAGTATGCAGACCTTTGAGAGACATTTGCATTTCTATTACCCCACGTTTCGCGGTCATAACGAGAGTGACAGAAAATTGAGAAAACAACCCAGAACCTCCATCGAGCAGACTATTAATCTGAATCTGATTCTGCCCAAAACCGCCTGTTCTGCTCCTCTCTCTTAGCCTCGTCGATGAACTCACTCATGTCCAGATCTGCTGCTGGGGGTTCCTGAAGTATCATCTTTCTCCGCTTGCTTCTATAAGGATCGATAGCGACATTGCCTTCAAGATCGGCAGCGATAATGGCTTCAAATCGGGCTTTCTCTACGACGCGTCGGACAACTATCTTGATAGAGCTTTTCTTCTGCTGCCATCGAGGTACCTTGATCCCTATGTGACAAGCGACTCGTCAGCAATGTGACCAATAGCTCACCATAAGGCATAGTCTTCTTAGAAGGCGAACAGCTCAACAGAGACAGAGTGGTGTAGCTAAGGCACTTACATTGCAAGATGACGGCCTGGTACGCCTCCGTGCCTTCGAATCGGTACGGGTAACGTTCAGAGCACCACTTGACGACCCTAGCCCATTCCTTGAATTCGACGATGATCTTTGGCTTGAAGAAGTGTTTCTTGAAGATCTCCTCATGTACGTCGGGGTTGAGCTTGTTGACGAACATGCTAAGTTGTCTGGCTGCGAACGAGGTTAGTTGAGAGTGAAGACGCGTTGAGAATAATAAACATACGACGCTCGACCTTGATTTGCTTTGGTGACTTTTCTTCGGTGACATCTTGCAAGATGGTTGCTGGCAAAGCGCTGGCTTGAGTTGGGTCACCCATTGTGACAGCTGGGCAAGGCGAACAGCGATTTGGTTTCGAGATTGAAGATGGAGAGGGGAAAGAGAGTTTCGAGCGAACGTTGAAAGAGTTTTGTTCACTCTAGCGCCGGGACGGAAAATGCTACACAAGCGGGTCTCACCGCGCAAAAACCGGCTACACGATTTGATGGGTTTATGCGTCTCCCTCAGTAGACAGATTTCACTGACTTGAAAGATATGAGATGCTTCCGAGGCTACTATCATGATATGTATTAGATGCGTGTATTGTACAGTTTCGATATTGCATGGTACACGCCTGTGGAGTGACTTGTAAAAGGGGGGACATTTAAATAGAAGAGCTTATATACCACAGCCGTCCAAATGATCGACTGCATATCGGTGATGTGCTAAGACTTTCACTCTGTTTTGAGGATCGGTCTGTATCATTCTTCACCAACCATTCCACTACATTTCATTTCTAGTCGCCCCTGACCGCTATCTCCGTTCGTCAATCTAACTGACTTCCCAAAGAGCTCGTTCCTAAACCGATGATTGCTGACTTCAGCGCAACAGGACACCGATCCTTGAAGAGCCATTTATGTATGAAGATCTGATACGCAGGAGTGCCGGTAAATCCTTGATTGACGGTAGCGAATTCAGATAGATGCGCTTGGATAACCTTTCCGTCGCAGTGTTCATTGAAGGTCTCGTAGAAGGAGACGCAAGTGGCACCCAAGATTCGTTGGCTGGCCGGCTCAAGTAGCTTGAAGATTCCGCAGTGGATGTTAAGAGGAAGCTCATTGACAAGTATGCTCTTTTGCTCAGCTACAATGGTAAACAATTAGCTCTTAGCAGAATGTGAAAATGGACTCGAGCTTACCTCGTTGTCTTAGAGTCTTAATATCTTCGTTTTCGGAGTTCATAGCGGCGGAACAAGTAAGCTGAGGGTGAGTACTTGTGGCCACGATTGGAAGGGTCTCTGAAGTCGAGGTAGACATGTTGAAAGAAACTGAGTAACTTTTGGACTTGAAGATTCGAGTTTCGAGCATGGGAGAACGAACTATGTCCGAGACTTCGTAGCAGGAGTTGGCCGAGGCAGTGTAAGTCTTCAGGAGCTTGGAATGTGAATAGTCACAATGGGCTGAGTGTTATGAAAGAAGTCCAGACTGTTGTGGTAAGAAGTGAATATTAAAGTGAGGTAGAAGTGAAAAATAGCAGAGAGACGACGAGATACTTGCCAAACTTTACGCGAAGCCAAAGAAAATATCACAATCGAGCACGTATATTTGATTTTCACTGGTTTATAGGTTGTTTGTGGAGGTCTTATCATTATTGTAGTCAACGATAAGTCCACAGCAGCAGATCTGGGGTTCATTGACTTATAGAAGGTGACTTGGCCTCGGAGCGAGCAGATTAAGGTTCCTCAGCAGATGAAGATTCTTCAGTAGAAGCCTGTGCCACTGCTGCTCGGCCACTCGAAGATTGCGCGACCGCACTGTGACCGCGGAGTGCTTCACCTTGAGTCATACCAGCCCAGCCGCAGCGAAGCTCTCTCCGATCCCAGGCTTGCTCTACCTCGAGATTAGCTTTCCCGCCGTAATTGATGGTCTTTCGTCCGAGCTTCTTTCCGGGTCCTGCAACCAGCTTGTACTCTTTTCCATTATTTGCCATGTTTCTCCTCTCATCAGCATCGTCAGTCCGCCTAACTATTTGAGCAAGCCATGTACGGCGATGATCTGCTTGGGACTCTGGTCGGCTGAGCCAATTGGCTACAATTGTTTGATATTCAGTCGTGCCCAACAGCATACCTCCGCCTGGCATGAGATTGAGAAGCTCGCTGTGTCGGATGATGATTGCCTCGTTGTTGAAATGCTCCTTGTAGGTTTCGTAGAAGGAAATGCATGTATCTCCCAAAAGACGGCGAGTTGCAGTGCCCAGGTACTTGAAGATCTCATAATGAATGACAAGCGGGAGTTCGTTCACAAGCGTGCTTGTTTGGAGGACTTTTATGATTAGCTAGAGCTGGCGACGAATTGAAGAGCCTTCACTTACTCCGTTGTTTCTCAATTGGTTGGCTCTCACTTTTCTGCTCCTTGTCGGCATCGCAATCGTATGAAAGCATCATCGATGAGATCGACGAGCTAGTAAGACTTGGGGACGTAACTGTCGAGGTCGCGCTGCCGCAATGAGCAAGAGGGCTTTGGCACTGCTCTATCTCAGTGTCGAGATTTGAAGACATGTTGAAAGGGCTATCTCATCGTTGTGGGGATCCGCGATGGCAATAGATTTTCAGGAAGAAGAAGTGTTCCGCGGTATATCGTCATTAAATCAACCGAAGCTCCGGCCTTGTATTGAGCGCAAAGATGGCAAGCCACGTGCTTTTCAGTGACGACAATTCAGGAAATCTTTAAATCAAAGCAAGAACAGAGGAATTCCTATGATAGCAAATGTAAACGTACTCAATTTATGTGACTCCCTAGACTTTGTACATTTGATTACAGGCGCAACGAGTATAGAGGCTCACATATAGGGTTGAGATTTATGTTTAGGCTTTATAGCCCTTCGACGTTGCACTTAAACTTTATGAATTGTCTTTAGATAGAACTGTGCACATGGGGAACTACCTTTTGGAGCAACCATAGATTGTGATAAGCTGGATTTGGAGTTAACATATTGTGAAGTCTGATTATCAGATAGTGAGCGATAGAATCTTATGCAATTCGTAGCCCTCGCTTGTTGAATTGATGTTTAAGCATCTAAAGCTTGACTTTAGGATCGCAAGAGTGGGTGGGCAAAGTTTGACGATGTAGATTTATTGACTAATTGTCTGAGGCTGCCTATCTTGCCCAACCTCAGCTAGTGACTACGTATTCAGCAGAGACCAGAGTTTAATGCTGATCGAACAGTTACAGAACATCTTGAGAAGACAAAAATATATGGACCGCATCTCGGCTTTGAAATCATCTAAAATGAGCGCCATCAAAGAAACACCATGTTTATATCTTCATCGGCCAAGCATATTCGCGGTTCACCAGATTACATGCATGTTCGAATCATACACGATGTTAGGTTGTCACTTCTTCGGGAACAGCTACTTTGCTTCCACTGTGATACTTCGACCGCTTGTGAAGCATGAAAAACGTGTGGAATTATCCCCCCCTCCCCGACTTACTCACAGTTCCCTTCCTAGGTAATGTTCTTCGTGAAAATGCTGGCATCCTGATATCCAAGGTAGATTTATCACGGTAACCATTGATAGGAGAATGACGAACGTCTTAACTGATCGCATTGGTTGCTGGAACACGTTTCTTGTGAATTGCAATTGCACAGATCATCAATATTTGATTCATGGAAAAATTCAATTGCTCTAAGTAGACTCTATGCTATATTCCGTGCTTCACGCTCAACACAGCACCAGCCAGTAAGATTCATCTTTGCACAGCATTTAGTACTCTAAAATAAGCGCGATTCTCCTCTGCCTATCTGGATGTCCACGTCTCAGAGCTTGCTCTTCCTGTTCGCGGACTGATAGCCGGGCTACCGGCCCGCATTTAATTCTTCTTTGATATTTAGCCGCACATGATACAACAATGGTGTGCAATGTCATCTTTATCTCCAGGGGGTTTTCTGCATCCGGTCTCCATGTGAGATATATCCCGAATAATCAACCCAGTTGAACATGATCTGGAGGTATGCTTGGGTGGCTCCCAGTGGGTATGTTTCGGATCCAAAGACAACAATGCCTCCTTCGGTCTTGTAATGAGCCTGGTAAATGTCTCGAAAGGTGGTGCAGGTGGCGGCGAGAAGTCGGCATGTGGCTGGACCAAGATAGTCGATGATCGCTAGCAGCATTTCGATTGGAAGATGTTTGATACGTAAGCTCATCTGTTCGACTTAGGATCAAGTTAGTTAATGTTGATATAGAAGTGTATGATTGCAATACCTCGAGCTTTCTTGTCTTGACTTGGCTGGACGGCGCTGCTGCTCGTACCAGGGATCAGCGCGAGCAGCGCAGATTGACTCTCGGCCATGGGGAAGGAGTGCTGAGAAGTCTGTGGTTGCGGATTGCAGTTTGACGCTCAAGCTATGCTCTGAACGGACAAAGGAAAAAGGTTTCTTGTGTTATGGAAAGGCGGAATCTTGGGTTGGATAGTCTACTTATATAGACAGCAAACTCACGCTAGTATTGCGAAGACCTAGTTTCATGCGGTGCACGCTAAGGAACTCTTCGATTGGCAATGTTTGAAAGTCACGTCACACTTTCAAATGTTTCCACCGCTATGATAGCACAGTTTTCCAAGATTGAAGAGACAGTGAAAAAATACATTCATATGTACTGGTACTGGAGTCGTGCTATAATGCTATTTTCCCAACTTTGCTCTCTCGCCATCTAATCCGAGTCTTTCTCCTCAGTGAACGACGGTGACGTCCTAACCGATCTCCAGAAATCCCTTGCTTCGATCGCCTCCGCCTCCAAGTCGCGTCCCAAGATGTTTTTGGAGTGATCCTGGATTGTTTTGGCAGTGGTGATATGTCAGTTTCGATGCCCCCAGGGTGAGTAGAAGGAAACTTGTGTCCTGGGAGTCGTTTCCCGTTGCACACGCGAAAGTCATCCAATTGTGTAGGATTTGTCGATACGAAGCAGTGCTATCAGGGAGACCCCATACTTCGGAGCTGGTGATGATGATATTCTTCTCGTAGTACCATGTTTTGTATATGCTGCGGAATCGGATACATGTGGCGGCAAGCAATCTACGTGTAGCATGGCCGAGGATATCGAAAATCTTCCGATGAAGCTCCGCCGGAAGCATCTAGACCAGGGCAGCTATCTGCCTGGCTAGATAAAGCATTAATTAGCCTGCAACCAAGAATGGGCTGTATCCGTACCTCTTTCTTCGAGAGAAGATTCTTTGGAAGCTGTTGCTGGTGATATGACCAGATCGCCGCCTCTAACCTCTTGTTCGTCATTCAATCCTGCCATATTGATGGTTGATTGCTGAGAATTTGTTGAGTTTGCGAATGTTTGTTGCAAATATTGTCATGTTGAACTGTATACCTGGTACCTAGAAAGTAAAACAGATGTTCGCTTATTTATAGAGCTTCCAATCGGGTTAGGCCATTTTCTCACAGGCTACGATTCAAGCCATAAACTGGTGGGCAGAATGCAAGGTTCCATATCAGTGGAAGACTATTGCCGGAATAGTACTTAGACAAAACACCCTAATAAATACAAGACAATTGAGAACAGCGGTCCACCATTCTGCCCGCTCCCGTGGACTTTGTCTCCAAGTTCCTCTAATGCATCTCAATAATCGCGCTTCCACCAGCCAAAGACACAAAGTCCAGAGTGGGAGTCACAACTCTTGTCACACCTCTTTCATCGGCAAATCGGTAGTTGTGGTGCCTTTTTGCCAGTAATTGCTTCACCTTGTAAGCGTACTGATCAACCTCCGTTTCAATCAGCAGCTGGTTGCAGCCTGGCATAAGAGGACCGATCTTAGGAGCTATTGCCCAGTTAGACAGGATTCTTCGATATTCGAGTGTTCCGATCAGAGGTGCCCAGGTTTGGGACAATGGGTCGTGGAAGATGTCGAGGACGTTGATAACGATTTCTGTCTCGTAGTAATCCTGCTTGTAGATCCTGTAGAAGGCAAGGCATGTGGCTCCAAGCAGTCGACGAGTGATAGGTGATGCATTTTCGAATATATGAAGGTGAATTTCTGTAGGGAGATCGAGAAGCTGGCCGGTTTGGACAACTGGTCAGGAAACTGATCAGCTTATTTACATATCTTCAGTGATGATTCAACTTACCTCGCTCCACTTTCCCGTCGCTACCCCAATGCCCATCACCAGACTTACCGGTACCACCCGCAATGCCTGCTGACACATTCCCCAATTGAAGTCGAGTTTCATCTCGCGGTGCCGTCTTGGAAGTTGAGTTGCCCATTTTATCTGATGTGGACGGCTCGTGTTGTCTTCAGAGGTACCTGCCGGCACTGGTTGGGGTTCACTCACGGTGTCCCCTTGAAGAAGATGGACAAGGAAGTATTTGAAGTTTCGAATTATAGAAAGGTTGAGGTTCAAAGGTTCATGTCTCTTCTTTGTCTAAAGCGCGCTGGATCTGTATTTGGAGGAAACCACAGAGTCGCTAAAGATTGACCGACGTCACACCATCATCAGTGAATTTTAGTGTATACACCTGGGGAAAGGTTCGTCAATGGCCATAGTCTAGCACGCATGACGGACATCCATCATTTGGTCAGTGAGACTTCTTCAAGAATCACATCTTGGCAACTCGCGAACAATTTTTAACTATTTTTAGTGATAGGAGGTTGATGCATGTGGAGACAAGTTATTTTAAGTGCTATCAGCCACGATGTCTGTACACCAGCCAATCTCTACTAACAGTTGCCCTAAGTTCCAATGCTGAGTCCAGCTTCTTACCTTTCAGCTTCCTCCTTGTCTGCAGCATGCCAATGCTTCACGCTCACAGATCAAGGTGGATATATAGCGATAGCCGAACCGCAAAAGAGCTGCTTTGGCTCCTGGATATGTCATCTCCTGCCAAGGTCCTCTAACGATCATGTACGGTCCGCCACTTATGGCATCGAATAACCAGTCTCTTCGATGCTGGAAAGCATATTCTGGAGTTTCACCTTTGCCAATATCCGAAGGAGCCAACCAAGCGGCCATGATATCCTGATACTGAAGTGTACCAGCAAGGGTCAGTTGATACGTATTGAAGCAGCCGGAGTTCTCCAGCTAACCTCGGAGCTCAGCAGCATCAACGATGATACCCTTTTCTTCCCCCTTATGGTCTTGCTGGCCATAGAAGTCAGATTTCCAAGCTTGATACATGGAGATGCATGTTGCGCCGAGCAATCTTTGAGTACCTGGGCCGAGATATTGGAAGATTTCGAGGATAAGCTCGACTGGGAGTTTTGGAAGGGAACCTTTCTGCTCAGCTTTGTTCTTCTTAGCTGCTACCCGTGATCTTGTATAATACTAGGATGAGCTTACCTCATTGCTTCTTGGTTTTGGATGCTTGCATTTGCGCATCTGCCAACGTGATCAAGGCGTTTATTTTGATAGCATCAACGGAGACAGGAATTGAGGAGGCCATTTTGGTAAGCTTGGTGACGTTGTTGAAGTTGTAGAAAACGTGTTCTTGCTCGAGGGTTGATGTTGGTGGTAAATGCAATGCAATGCAAGTTTTATGGGGGTGATCTAGGAGCACGAGGAAGGCGATTTTATAAGAGGGTCTAGCGCTTAGGTAGAGGTTAAAGATACTCATGAGCCAACTACAAACATCTAGTCTGATCATCTGGTGGCTTGTACTAACCCTGGATAACACGAAGTGTCAGTAGTTGAAAAGGCCTGTGTGCTGTGGTTTTAGAGATCAACGCACACCAGGCAAGCAAGGTTGAAAAAAAGTGACACCTTAGCTGGGTCTGTTAAGCTCTGAGCCTCGAATAGAGAGAGTTTAGAAGCGCTACAAGAAGGATATAATTCTCATACCAGAACCATTCAAAAATTGAGAATTTGCTATTTCCTGCTATGAATTGCGGCCACTATGATCACTCATGCTGCTTCCTCCTTAGTGTCTCGTAACAGATAGGCTTCGTACTGTGGAGGAGCTAAACCACCAGCCATCTCCGAACTCTCGACAAAGGCTCTGATCTCGGCTTCCTCCTCATCAGTGAGATTAATATCGAGAGTCTCCAAATTCTCTTTCAAATTCTTAAGCTGCTTAGTGCCAGGAATGGGGAAAATATCATCGCCTTGTTTCAAACGCCATGCCAACGCAAGCTGGGAGATTGTGCAGCCCTTCTTGTCTGCCAAAGCTTTGAAATGGGTGACAATATTGAGATTGTGCTCTCTATTACTTTCTAGAAAGCGTGGCATGCGCTTGGGACGTGCGTCGCTGCTGTCACCGACAGCTTCGCCCTTGCTGAACGTGGTAGTGAGTAATCCTCGACCGAGTGGTGCCGCGCATACAACAGCAATTCCAAGGTCGCGGCAGGTATCGAGTAGATTCGTGCCAGCAGGACCTTCGATCTCGCGAGTAAATGGAGAATATTCTGGCTGTACTGCGGTGACAGGTGCAATTTTGTATGCACGACGAAGTGTGGCGGATGTAATAGCTGACAGCCCGATGTATTTTATCTTACCGTCACTAAAGTAGACCAATCAGCTTTGTGTGATGACTCTTTATCTAATTAGTGATGAACTTACGCTTTCAATTCTGACAGAGCTCTCATAGCCTCCTCAATGGGGGTTTCCGGGTTGGCATTGTGCACATAGTCTTCAGACGACATTCAGTAATCACTCGAGACAACACTACATTGCGATTCAAGACTTCTACGAGTAACACAAAATCCGGAGAAATTAACTCACAGAGATCAATCGACTCAATGCCAAGCTGCTTCAGACTTTCTGCACATGCCTCCTTACAATAAGCACCAGATGTGTTAACTGCCAAGGTCTTGCTCCCTTTGACGAACCCGAACTTGTTTGCAAGGAAGATCTGATCTCGTTTCCCTGTTCGTTTGAACCACTTTCCCAAGAGCTCTTCACCATCTCCATAGAGACTAAGAACATAGTATGCTGCATGGGTGTAGATGGAAACTCACTCAGAGGTGTCCCAGAAAGTTGCTCCATGCTCAACAGCATAGTCAAGGATCTTGAACCGTTCTTCATCGCTTGGAACAGCGCCATAAACTAAGTGAGACAGATTCATCAAGCCGAAACCTAGAGCGGGGACCAAAGGGCCATTTCTTCCCATTTGGCGAAGAGGCATTTTGGGAGACATTGTCTAAAGCGGTCGTAGATGGAGGGATTGATGAATAGATTTCGAAAAAGAGAAAGCAAGAGAGAGATGGAATAGATCTAAATGGTCTACAGATACATAGCATAGCATTTATCACGGACATAGGATCTTTCACCATCCGTGAAGAACCCCGTTGTTGCCTCTGAGGCTACTATTTTGAGAATCACTTACTCAACTTATCTCCGGTATCTCCACTGATGGTGTGTTCTTCAAATTCGGGGGATTCTAGGAATATCGGACGAGAAGTTGTTGTAAGCCAATGTTGAAGTCAACCAATGAACATCCAGAGTTTCCGAGCCTGCTAGCGGCTCCACTTTGTCCCGGCTGCTGTGCCACATCTCACTTCCTTATGGCGACCACCAACTTCTGACCGACATCACATCATATGCGAAACGACATTGACAACTTTCGCATGCTGCCATGGGCTAAATCGATATGCAGATCAGCACGTTGCATAACAAATCTCGCCAGGGTAAAGCCAAGGTGAAGTCTGGTTGCAACACATGCAGGTAAATTACATACACCTTCTTACAGAGAAGAAAAGCTTATCCGGTGCACATCAGGACTCGCAAAGTCAAATGTGACGAGACATTTCCTGTCTGCCGCCGTTGCGTAACGGCTGGGCGTGTATGTGGCGGCTACGGAATTTGGGGAGGTGGGGGCAATGTTTCCGTTGAGAGACATAGCCACTCTGCACTTTCAAGTACCAAGGCTACGAAAACCAACAGCCCTGTGCCGAAGTGTCTCTCTATTCTCATTGCCACGATAGACGAGAAAGAATGCTTTGATTGGTTCAAATGCCGTACTGCAAACAAGCTACCAGGATCATTCATCTCCGACTTTTGGGGTACGCTTCTCATGCAGGCGAGCATTTCCGAGCCCGCCGTCCTGCACGCCGTGCTTGCATTGGGGTCTTTGCATAGAAGAGGGGTCATGCTCAAAGATCAGACCAATAGCATTCCCGACGAGCAAATGGAGCAATTTACCCTGCAGCATTATGTCGAGGCCATCAGCTATCTTCGTCCCCATTTCCAAGCCAAAGACAAAGCCACGTTTCGAGTTGTCCTTATCGTCTGTATCGTGTTTATATCCTTGGACTTTCTTAGGGGGTACTTCTCAGCTGGACAGATACATCTCCAGAATGGATTGAAGCTTCTCGAAGAGACCGAATGGCTTTCGTACGGGAAGGACGAGAAAACCATCGTTAAGCCTTCTCGCGAAGCCATTGATGACTGGATTGTCGAGGTATTTGCTAGGTTTTGCCTCCAGGTTGAGCTATTCAAGCTACCATATCCAAGACCCTGCTCCCTATTCCGACCCGAGGAAATTGGCTCAGCCTCCATCTTCAAATCTCTCAAAGATGCATGGCGAGATATGGATAGGATTATGAACCGCATTTTCTACTTGACCGAGAAAGCTCAAGATTCCAATGCTGCGGGAACATGCCCCTCCGAAGTTGTCGATCTGCTCGAATATCAGCAACGAATTCAGAAAGATCTGGACCACTGGGTAGCTACATACAATGAATGGTGGAAATCCATGAAGACGCACGTCTCAAATGACTTAGAGAAGGCGCGCCTCTTACAGCTCATGTACCACGCCATGGCAACCATCATGGCCAATACATGCCTCTTCCCGGACGATGAGTCGGTATATGACTTGCATACTGATAAGTTTGTCTGCTTGCTCCAACACTTGCTTGACTTATGGATTGTCACAATGGACTCTCCTGACAATGTTGTTGATCCTTTACCAATCAACTTGGTTAATGCCAGATCGATCATGGACATAGGCTGGATGGCACCTCTCTACTACATCGCTGTTAAGTGTCGGGTCCACCGGATAAGACTTCACGCCGTTCGATTGTTGGAAGTCACCTACCACCGGGAAGGAATATGGGATGCCTCGATTACGGCACGGGTTAGTCGGAAAGTCATAGAGCTCGAAGAGGGTGATTTCTATGAAAAGATTGAGACTGATGATGACTTCTCTCTGTCTAGCTCCCCACTGCCAGCCGATTTTGAAGTACCGACTTTGCCAATGTCCCGCAGAATCCAGGACATTGAAATGCAGTTGTCGGGGGAACCGCTAGAGAAGGTTTTTCTGTGGTGTAAGCAAGACAAGAAGGGTATGGACTGCAGGGTCTGTGTGGCAGAGTATTGTTTATCTTCTCAATGCTGGGTAGATGGGGAGATAGACCAGCACTGGTCAAATTGAAAGTGGGTGTCAGGAATTCGGAGTAAGATGAGCAGCCGGAGAGCCCAAAGCTGTCATGCATGGTATTTTATTTCGTATCAAGAAGCGCAAATAGGGAATGAAGAGGTCTCAAGGCAGAAAAGTGTCAATTAAGGTACTACCAATACTCCGAGCTCCAATCCACCCCTAATTAGCACCTGCAGCCACAACGGCAAACCAGTCCCATGCATCCTGAAGACGTTCGCAAGAATACCACCACCAATCCCATCATATCTTCTCCAGGTCGTCATCAAGCACAACATGTTGCATACGAAGAGGAAGAGGAAATTTTTTGTGCGGGGAATCCTCCGAAGGAGGACATTTCAGTATCCGGGTCCGTTCATCCCATATGATCCTACCCCATGCGATCTCTAGACTCGTAACTCCGGTGTCAGGAAACAGCCACCCGAAGAGTATGTTGCTGTACTGTGGGGTTCCACGGAGTTCCGTGAAGCTTATATAAATTTTCTCCTGGAAGAAGTCCTCCTTGTAAAGCTTGTAGAGAGTGATCGAGGTTAAACCGAGCATTCGTTGGCTTACGGGCTTCAAGTCTTTGAAAATTTGCAGGAGGAGCTCATTCGGCAGCTTGTTGATCAGGGAACTGAGTTGCTTCGCTGTGTGAGTATTAGCTTTTGGTCAACTTCAAGTCGATGGATGTGATGGTACCTCTGTTACGCTTGGTGTTGCGATTGCTTGAAGGCAATTTCATGATTGTGACCGATGCGCTCGATGTTCCGAAGAGCTGCGGGCTCGTTGTGACAAATCGAGGAGAGTAATTTGCGAAGTAGTACTCCTTGAAGATAGCGTAGAGTTTAAGGGAGGTGGTGCCTGAAATCGGCTGGCCAGCTGGTCCTAGAGGTCCGATGATCTGACGGTGGAGTTCAACTGGCAATGTGATGACGAGGGAGCCGGTCTGAATACCTTTAACAGTTGGTAGTATTGATGACCGAGATAAGCTTCTGAAGAACTGATACACACGTCTTTCTGGCTCATGAGAAACCTCCTCAATCTCCTCAGGGTCAGAATACTCAGAAGTGGCGCAGATGGCAGCATTGAGCACAAAATCATCAACGGGTGAGCACTCCGCGGATGAGGTAGATGTTGACATCGTGACATTCAATACAACTTCGTACTGTTGGACGAAGCTTGAGATGTTTTGGGTTCGTTGTTGTTGCTCCGAGTTGAAAGAGTTGTGGGAGGCGAACTTAAGGGAGACAAGATTTCATGCTCAACTTAAGTAGGCGAGAAAAGACAGCGTTCTCAATGACAGACAGTTTTAGCGTGTCCGACAAGAATTGTCCGTTGAGACTAGTGATGGTTATGAATTTACAGAATCCGTCATTTGTTAGGGTAGACATAGACATATATTTCGGGTGAATTAACCATAAGTTTGTTTATATTTGTATATAACTCGATAGAACTATTATGCTATAGATCGCAATAACATTGATTTTTGTAGTTAGACTAGTACGATTAGTGATATTTTATGCCCAAAAAGCATCCTACCTACCCAAGGACGCTGCTAAAAGATGCCAATAAAGGGTATCAAAGGCAGATTTCAGAGGCTCGGACTTTCGCATACAATCATTCCAACAAGGCTGTAAAGTCGCTTCAGTCCAAGGGCTGGATGACGATCGCTCTACGACGAGGCTAAGAGAAAAAGAAGGGCTTTAATAATGGAGTTATCATTCACGGTAAGCTTCTCAGGTAGAAATCAGATGGAAGGTCTTTGATTCAAGTACACAAATCAGCACTTAACTGTGAGCTCCTGAAGCTGGAAACGGAAACAGATGCTTGCAGTGCAATGTTTCTCCATACATGCATGGCATCAAAAGGCGACCAAAGTTTCCCTATCTCTCAAGACTCAATGATGACTTTGCCTTTACGCCAGGAATGCGCTTGAATATCGTTTTCATCAAACCATTCCAATTGTCTTCTCATGGTTCTACAGAATTCCCTGCGATCTCTGATGCTTCTCGCCGCAGAATCCTTGGGACTCATCCAATCCACCATAATCTTCTCATAAGCTGCCGACCATGTGAAACCCAGCATATCCCGACCGCTGACAATGAGTATTCCTTCCCAATTCGTGTACTCGAACCGTATGTAACTCTCGTCCGTCTTGTACTTTTGCTTGAAAACTTGGTAAAGTGTCAAGCAGGTTGCGCCTAGAAGTCGTTGTCCGGCTGGGCCAAGGTGATCGCAAATTTGACTCAACATCTCTGCGGGCAGCTTCTTGAGAAGTAGACTTTTTTGCTCTACAATTGGTGCTATTCAACCATTAGCCTTGAATTAATTGCATCAAACAAGAATTTTGTACGTCTAGGTGTGAAGACATTGGTATCTTTTTCTTCCGTCATCTTTCTCCGCGCGTCTGACTCGCTCTCTTTTGCTGTAGCTTAGGTGGAGCACCGGTTCTTATTGTCGTTGGAGGGTAATGTTAGGATTGGCTATCGAAAATGATTTGCGGAGTCGAGTCTTGGCAATATGTTGAGTCAAGTTAACACTGGATAGGTTGTGTCGAGGTCGAAGCTATGTGGTGGAGGCGCAAAGATTAAAATACAAGTCTTAGCCTGCGTCAATGCCGCTAACATCAATTTCTCGCTTCATTTTCTCCGGAAGGGATTAGCGGAGTAATTGGAACAATATTTGGAATACAATATCCAGATCCGCATGCAGATATACAGTGAATGAGAGAACATATCTCAAATAAACCTAATACATAGCCCACACATCTCACTAGACGACCAGAAGGCAAAAAGATTTATCAAAAAAGAGAGCGTAGAGAGATTTCCTTTTCCCGCGCCACTCTTACTCGCAATTACGATACAGGTTCTCTCAATCCACTTCCATTCCGGCCAATGCCTTAATCACTTGCTTTCTCACTTACTCCTCAATCTCCTCGATCTCAAATTGGACGTCGAATTTGCCTTGCTGATAATAGAATGCGCATTCTTGCTCAGTTCCAAACCACCGATTCCGTTCGGAACGCCTCCATCCGACTCTCTTGACATTCTCACCAAATTCTCTAAGAAGCTGCACATATTCACCAAGACTCGTACAGTTGGACATGATGTAATCCTCCAGGTCAGCTGTCCAGTCAAGCCAGCCAAGATTTGTCGTGGCGTACCAAGGTGAGAATTCCGGAATATCGTCCAGGTCCCTCGTGAAGCCTATCACGATCTCATCGCCGCGGCACTCCCACTTCGATCCGTTTCTAGCAAGTGTTTCCTTACGTTCTTGAGGGCTGAATCTGATGTTGTAGATATCGTGAAGCTTTAAGCAGGTTGCGCCGAAGATTCGTCGTCCGAGAGGGCCAAGCTGATCGAAAACGCCGCAGAGCATGTCTGTGGGAATCTTAGTAAGAAGTTGGCCTGTTTGCTTTGCTATAATCATAGTCAGCCCTACTCCCCACACATTATGGAATCCTTCTGTACGGCGCATAATGATGGCTTGTTCAACTTCATCAGGCTTCTCAACTTCCTCGGCTGCCTCCTTGTCGTTGGGCGCATCGCTCATTTCGATGATGTGATCTCTGTCCAAAGGAATTCGGGTAGTTCTCATTGCCATAATCGAGAGAATTTGTCTGAAATGGAAATGTTTGGTGTTGAATAGTGGAAGAAGATGTTGAGATATAGGATATTCTCTTTCGGCTATGCCAGGTGACCTAGATGACCGAAACGACTACTAGCGTGCAATATGTATTGGGAATAGAGGGGCGAATCATTCTTGGGTATGAAGGAAGTAGCGTAACTTGGATCTAATGTTATCGGAGTTTGCAAGTTTGAGGTACCTACCATGATGAATGTGCGTTTGTGAAGAAGTTAAAAAAGTAGGATCACATATAACCATATCACAAATTCAAAAACACCAAGGCAAATGAGGTCAAAAGTTACTATCTGCTGCTGACGAGTCTATGACGGCGATCCTACTCCAACAAGAAATCCACAAATCTCCTGCATCCACTCAATACTTGATGTAAGCAACATAGGACTTGATACGTGCTGACTCTTTCGCACTCTTCTTGACCTTTGGCTTCTCGGACATGACAACCTCCTGCTCCTTCTCGGTCTCCAGAACTCTAGCATCCTTCGTAGAAATTGCCTCCAATTGTTGGAAGACTTTACCCACATTGGCGATGGCGATCTTGCTCTTCTTTGACTCAGCACCCTTGACACCCTCAATCTCCTTTCCCTTCTTGGTGCCCGTGGTGGGAGCAGTGGTGCTTACTTCCTTCTCCGCAGTGAACTCTGCTCCCTTGGTCTTAGCCATCTTTCGCTTTGTTGTGTCCTCCTTATTGCTCTCGGTAACTTCAGCAACATCCTCCTCGACACGCTTTCTCTTCGACGCCGAATTGGGTGATGGGACTGGCTCAGCGCTCTTGGTAGCATCTTCAGAGTTGCCGGCCGAGTTAACCTCCTCGAATGTAACTTTCTTGCGAATCTTGACATTCTTCTTCTCGGATCCATCTGCACTCTTCTTCTCGTTGTTATTGAGAGTATCATCAACAGGCTCAACGATATGTTGAACCTTAACCTTCTTGGCGCTGCCATCGACCTCGTTATCTGGATCGTCGGCGCGCTTTCTCTTATTCTCAGGCGAAGCTTGAACAACTTGGGAGGCAGGCTCAACGCTCTTCTCAACCTTTGGAGCCTCAACCTTTGGAGCCTCAAGTGCCTTTGGTGATTCGATAGACTTTGACTTCTCGACAGCCTTTGGTTCCTCGACTGCCTTGGGTACCTCGATAGCACTGGATGCTTCGATTGCCTGCAGCTCTTCGACAACCTTGGCCGACTTGATGACATTGTAGATCACCTGGCCCTTGGCGGTCTTCTTATTCTTCTTTCCACCTCTGGCCCCACCCCGAGGCTTCTTGACCTTGGAAGCAACAACACCTCCAGAAGCAGCTGCCTTAGCATCCTTCTTAGCCTGAGCTCTCTCCTTCTTGGCAGCAGCTGCGATTCTCTTGGCCTCAGCATGCTCAGCCTCAACCAATTCTCTCTCCTGTCTCTGCTTTGCAAGAACGGCGTATTTCTCCTGTGCCTTCTGGTCCTCGTCAAGCTTCTTTAGGATCAATGGGAAGTAGGCTGCGCGCACCGCTTCATTCTCCTTCATATCGTTGCCGACTGTGTAGAGATAGGGTGGAAGGGTCCAATCGAGGATGATCTCCTTGTATGCCTTGGTACCACTGTTGCGGCCTTGGAATTTATCCTCGCGCCAGCTGACGGTGATAGCCTTATCGTAAAATTTCTTCTTGTACACGTCGTATACACCCTTGCATGTAGCGCCGAAGAGTCGTTGGGAAGCAGGTCCGAGATTCTCGAAGATGAGATTCAAGACGTTCTCCGCGAACTTCGTGCCCACAGCACTCTCGTTGGTACCTGATGTTATGTTAGCACCAATCACGATTAAACTGGGGAATTATGTACCATGGGGAGTCTTGCGCCAAACTTCATGGTAAGCCTCGAGCTCGGCTTCGGCTGCCAGCTCGTCGGCGGTCTCGAGCAACTCCAGCTCGAAGTTTCCGTCGACGGAGCCTTCTGCGTCAACATCGGTCAGAGCGGGAGAAGATGCGGAAGTTTCTGGGGAAGCTGAGCCAGATGTTTGCGAAGGGACTTCGACAGCTGCGACGGCTTGGCGAATATCGTTCTTTGAGCCAGGCACCTCGGAGTTTTCGGCAACCTCAGCAGCCTTATTTCTTGCGATGGTATCTCTGAAAGCCTTAAGTTGGTTCATGGCAGCTTCGGCGGTATCTTGGGTTGCGGCCACAATGTCATCGACCTCTACTTGGTGGATGGTAGCCTTGGTGGTATGCTTGTGTGCGATGATGGTTACATCAGCCTCTGCTTGGTTGATGGTAGCTTCAGCGACATGGGTGGCGGCAGCCTGGTCATTATTGTTGTTGACGGAAGCAGCCTCTTCAGTAGCCTTGTTCTCGGAAATGGTCTCGTTGGTGGCCTTCTTCCAGTTGCCGGACTCTTGCGCAGCTTGAGGGACATTGGCAGAGACGACTTCGTCATCATTGTTGATCGAAGCTTCATGTTGCGCAGCCTTGCTCTCTACGGCAGTGTCTTCGGTGTCCTCGCTCTCGTTGCCGGACTCTTCCACAACCTTCTTGGTCTTGGCGGAAGTGCTTCCAACCTTGAAGATCAACTTGAGCTTTCGGGCTGTAGTCTTCAAGAAAGCTTTGCCTTTGCGATGGATTAGCGATTGTTGCGCGACAGTACATTGTAAACATACCTTGTGGCGACTTGCTTCCTTGGTTCTTGGTAATGCCAACAGACGCGCCGCTGGTTGAAGGCGAAGCGCTGCGAGCGGAAGTGCTTGGGGATGTTTGTTGAGACATCGCGGGAGACGTTGTCTTGGCCATTGCAAATGATTGCGTTACGCGAGACAATGTATATTTTGCTGTATCTTGTACTGCGGTGTTGCAAAGGTAGCTTAACGAGTTGTAGTCAAAGGATGAATGTTGCGTTGCGCAGGTTGGATGGGAAAGGCTGAACTTGCGATCGAGAAAATTATATCAGGCTCTCGGAAGCGCGATTGTACGGCCGACTTCTTAGCGTACAATCCGCTAAATTTAAGCTTAAATCAATCTGTAAAGGTGAATTGCAAGTTACATTTACCAGAGCAAAGCTACCTAGGTAACTCGCGTGCAACAACACATCCTTCAACGATTGCCACGACATCCCATTTGATGCCATTGTTGATCAAAAACACTTTCTACATATTTTACTCAACTAGGAAACTATTCAGTAATAGCCAAGGGGCTTTCGTCATAACTCATGGAGTTATGAAGCTGGTTTTGGGATAGCTGCTGGCGCAATCACATGACTGGGGCTGTCTTCAATTTGCTATCACAAACAAGTAGAAGTTATTTGACATATGACTGCAGTCCAAACCTACGCTTGATCAAGTTCCTCAACCGCAGTAGTCAGATACCCAAGTCTTCCATGAGAAACCAGGCACGTGACTGGTATAGCTTTAGGCCTAAGGCAGAACGTACGAATTTCTCGATTGAGAGATCACTTGTCTCGAACATACTCTCCATCATCGAAGAACAATTCAATTGAGCTTCGTTTGCAGAGTTTTGCATCCTTCCTGGAGACTTCTCCATGTTTCTTTTGCTCTCCAAGCTCTCCACGGTCGGGTGGCAGGACTGAAGGTTAAGTTGGGCGCGCAAAATGACAACATCCACAATGCAGGTACCGTACGGTAAGCCCAAAAGTCTGGACGCTTCCTTACCTCACTCCACATGTGCTCCTTGTTGAATTCAAAGATCACCGTCGCGGTTCCACTCTGAGTCAATGAGTTTTGTGTTGTCGCGCTCTCATCCAACCATTCTCACTCGCCAGCTCAGATCTGTGGCCGCAATGCGGTCACCGTAGAGGTCGCGTAACCGTGTTGGGAAGAAAGTAAACAAAGCTTCCCATCCATGTTTACTGGACCAGGACCTCGCTTTTTCGTCCTCGCGTCAAGGGACAATTTCTTGTTTTACTCAACTTGTCGTCATACTTCACTTCTTCATTCATTCATATCACCGACAAGTGTTGGGAGAATTGTGACTCTCTTCAATTTGTTTGTATGATATATCGATAACACGGATTTACCCCGCTATATATTTCACCATGGCAGAGCTCGATCATTTTTCTAACGTCACCAACGACGAACAACCGATCGCCATTCGAAGGTCGAGGCGAAGCAGTGTTGGACCACCTGCACGATTAGGAGATACTTCGCAGACCACCATTCGACATAGCATCTTGACCCCGCCATCTACACCAAAACGAGTCAAGAAACGTGTACGATTCTCCGATCCAGGACCAGAGATACAGCTTGAGTCAGCCTCTTCTGGTTTGACTCCATTCATACGTCGAGCATCAATCTCTTCTATCCCCACCACAAGACGACATTCTACGCCATCGACGTTGTCAAATCGAGCCGAATATGATACCACGCCGATATCCGGGACATTGCAATTCGCACCTCTGAGACAAGTACTGGACGGCCGAGTCAAGCGACGACTTCGAAGACACAGATTGAGTGAGGAGATAAACGTAATTGAATGGGAAAAGAGACACGACGCCAGAGAACGAAAGTCGGAAGTCGCCAGACTACGAGAGGAATTAGCCGCCAAGGATCTGGAAGTTCAGAGCATGCGAGATGAGCATGACATCGCCAGCCAATTGGAAGGAGAATCTGGAGGCTCTTTCGCCACGAGCGATACGCTCAGTACTAAAGTCCAAGAATTAGAACAAGAGATCCAGGACCTCAAGGCCCAACTACATCGTCGAGAATCTGAGGAACCCGATGATGTGGATTGGGACATGGCTGCCAGGGATCCTTACGACAATAACTTTGACGACGACGATGATGACGATAACATGATCACGAATTATGATGATGACTTTACGATGAATGATGAGATCATGACTACACCTGCGAGACTTAATACTTCATTTCCCTCACCGCCTTCTACACTACCAAATACTCCCTGCCGATCAACCTCTTCAGTCAGTGCTGGAATCCAGGCTTCCCTTCCGATTTCTGATCCTGAGAATCAGCAATTGAAAGCTCAGCTTAAATCTCTCCAAGAAGAGATCGACAAGCTGAATTCCGCAATTGCATTCAACACTGACCACCAAGACCGCTTGACAGCCAAACTAGGAGATTTCCTCTCCAGATCCGTCTCTGTCTCTCATGATGCCAGCCAAGACCCAGACCACACTACCTTCGATGCGGCACTTGACCGTGTGCTCACTACTCTCGCACTCTCCCAATCCGCATCCCTCGAACACCAAACTACCTTCTCCGCGCTCTCAACCGAGATCTCAAGTCTCGGATTTGGCAATTCCACACCATATGAGACCATTCAGCTCATCTCCAGCCAATTCCGCCAAGCCCGTCTCGATCTCGAGTATCTCTCTCCTGGCGAGACGTCCTTTGGTTTCGAGAACGACAAATTACTCGGGATGCTGGTCGACAGAGTCAAGGTCCTCACCCAAAAGGTGAAGGAAGGCGACGAAGCCATAGACCAATATCACGAGCAGGAAGTCCTCCTTCGACAACAACTCGGCACCAGAGTCGATGCAATGGACGACCTCAGAGACCAACTCAAACTCGCCGACCAAGTCGTCAGCTCTCTCCGCGAAGAAAGCAAAGACAAAGACGTTGACAACGAACGGCTCCGCGAAGCCCTAGACGGCTATAGAACTGAAGTCAAAGGCCTCGAAGATCTAATCGAACGCATTGAGCGCGAAAACGTCCTCAAGGAAGAAGGTCTCCACTCCGAGATCTCGGAACTGGAACAGAGACTCCAGCACGAGGTTATGCGAAGCGAAGGTTTGGTAGAAGACAGCGAAAGCAAAGACGCAATCACAGTCGAGCTCCAGCGTCGTCTCAGCACCGCTCTCCAAGCAGCCGCACAAGTCCAACAACAGCTCGACGACCTGACATCCTCACACACTGCTGGCGAAGCAGAAAAAGACATCCGCATCGCCGAACTCGGGATCTCGATCGTGGACCTCAAAACCGCAGCCACGGACCGCGAACACGCGCACGGCTCAGCACTTGCATTGAGAGACGCAAAAGTCTCCGGCCTACGAGCGGAGATCGAGAAGATAAACTCAGCGTTAAAGAACGCACATGCTACGATCCTGACGCTGAGGAACGAGAATCATGGCTTAAATTTTGAGCTTAGGGCTGAGAGGGAGAAGGGACAGGTGGCGGTTAAGGCAATGTTGGATATTATGGGGTATCCAATGACAACGGCGGGTGGCCCAACGGCGGAGAGTAGTAGTCCTGTGAAGGGAGGACTGATTACGCCGATGAGTGGTGGAGTAGTGAGGAGGAGTGGGGGCATGTTTGATGGGGGGTTAGCGAGGAGGGGGAGTAATAAGGGAAAGAAGAGGAGGAGGTATGATAGTGGATTGGGGTTCTTGTCTGAGGGGGAGGAGGTCGATGGGGTGGGGGAGTTTAGTAGTGATTTGTAGGATGGGTGGAGTTACTCTCCGTTGGATATCTGCTTTTATGTTTGCTGTTTGTAGTTTGTGAGGAGTTGGGATTGTATTGAAGGAGTACGTTTGTTTCATCAGATATGTTGAGCTCGCAATCATACATCATGACTTCATGTGGTCTTCTGCTTCAGTGAGCCTAAGCCCGGGTATCTGGCAAATTGTTGAATTGCCATCTTCCTAATTGCAAAAATGGCAGAGATTCTCAGCCAGGACACTAGAGACCTCGCCGGCCTAACTCTATTTGCACTTCTTTACTATTCTCCGAAGTGAACATCTAAATGTAGTGCTTATCGATAGTCAAACGAGACTCTTCATTTGAGCTCTAGTGGCCACACGTCGCGCTAATAATCTTAATTCAAAGCTGTCGTATGCGCGCTAATCTTGTATATGATTCTTTTCCCCATTAGCACAAATCCCTCGCCGCTTACCAAACACTCACCTTCTTGACAAAGACCTTGTTAATTCCGTGCAGAATCATCGCCACACGCCAATCACCAACATCTCCTTCAAACAACAACCCAGACGCGTAACGCGAAGATGGAGCAAAAGTCCGAAATGGACGAGCAACAGTACAAGCTACAAGAGGTCAGCAAGAAAGACAAAATGGCAATGACGCTTTTCAAACGACGTAACTCCTCCACGATCCCTCAAAATGCACGATGACTAACAAACAGATCAGCAACACCAACCGGCCCCCTCCAAACGCTACCCGTCGAGGTCCAAGCAATGCTCTTTCAGCACCTCCCTCCCGCGACCCAGCGAATCCTCGGCGCAACAAGCAAAACGCTCTACGAACTCTGGAAGAAATTCCACTTCGAGCCTCTGATCCGAGTCCACATGGATGAGGTGTACCCGTACACACTTATCACCACCTTCGATTACCGCCAGATCCTCAAAGGGTGGACGGATCCTAGGCTCGTCTTGAAAAGAAATAATGAAGTGGTCACGGAATTGCAGATTGAGGAAGGTAATTACTACTTTGAATGTGCGTTCAAAACGCATGGTAAGACTACGTCGCGTTTTGGGAATTTGCCGATGGGTGCTGAACGTCCGAGGATGTATGAGGGGGAAATCGGGTATGGATTCGTGGTTATTGAGCATGAGAGTTTGGTGGAGGAGATACATGAGCATGATGAGGAGATTCTTGCTACTTTTGAGGATAATTATGAACCGTTGTTTTGAGGGTTCTTTGGGCAGGTGTAAGTGGAGGTTTTTCGGTGTAATGGGAATCCTGTAAGAATAGAACAGAGCTAGTTCTGGGAAAGAGTTGTGAGGAAGAGCTTTTTGCTCGGTTTGATGATGTTCTTTGTAATGAGTAGATGAAGCAAATATCTTAGGGTTCCTCGTCTAGAGGAGGGATTAATCAAATGAAGTGAGCCTGTTCTCTATACGATATCTCTTTCAAGGTAGACATATCTCTCGCATCGGTATAGATGCAAACTCTCCTTCATCAAGGTTTCAATTGACATTTGCACCGTTTGCCATCTTGACTATCACATCTGATGCTCACAGCTTCTATACTTGCTCAACAGTTTCCAGGGAAGCTCTTGGTGATCTACTCGCCAGAATGCAGTGTATGATCACTACTCCTTATTTCCAAAACTCCTCAACGGCGCCAATTCTATCCGCCATGCTATTTGAAAGTAAGACAATTGTAGCCTCGCCGCCTCCCATGCTGTCAATACCCCACCCAATCTATGTGTGATAGCAGTAACGGTGTGACCTTCCTGCGACAGCTACTGGTGAATGATACTGTGTGTGGTGGATTCAGTTTCAGGGCTAAGTGACGATGTAGCCTCGTCGTCGAGTAGAAGGCTAGAGGTCGTAATTACATTGAAAGTTAGGCCCAAATCCCAAAACCATATTGATGATTAAGAGAATGTAATTGCAGGATCGCTCGTGCCAATGCGGATAATTGCGAGTGTTCAGTTGAAACTGGCGGGAAAAAGGTGATGGAGATGTCTAAGGCTTTCTAAACTGTCTTGGAGGAGGGCGGTACGGGGCTTCAAGGATTGAAACAAGAGCATAGACGTGTTGTTGAAGAGCGGCAATGGTTAGTCTGTCTGGAAGGCAAGCTGAAAGCTGCACAGTATTCAAGTTGGTTCAATTTATTCAGTGGTTGGGATCTGAAGGCTATACAGCGTGTGTCTTGTTGGTGGAGAAAAGTAAGGAGAGCTGAATAATTTTCGTCTAGTTTCAAACACAATTCCAATGGAGTCTTCAAGACGAACGCATAATGAGATATATAAGGTATGCCGACATCTCCTAATCGGGCTAGTACTTGGACTAGTGGACAACACAAGGTTACCTAATATCAAATGTTCTCGAGGCGCTGAGAACCCTTCCCCATTTGAATTCGTTCCGCTCTCCACCCACCTCCTTCTTTCTCAACTTACTATCAACTTCCACACAACACAAATCTTACAACTTGCATACCTCATACAAATCGCAACGATGTCATCAATCTGTAATGACCTTCACAAATCTCTTGAAAGCAACATGGAGAGACTTGCGCTCTGTACGAAAGGTTTGCGTTCTAATCTTAGATTCTCTTCGCAATAGCTAACTGTGTCCCTCCAGATGCTGCCGACATGTCGCAAGACCTCAGCACCGAGAAGGAGTCTGCTCTCATTGAACAAAAGGGTTTGAGCTCCACAGCATCCAGTTCTAGCGACCAGGAGGATTTCACCAAGACGGAAGTTGAAGCCGTCATTCCATTTCAAAGACGTATGTTCCACACACACTCCTCTTGCTGATATAGCTAACATATCATGAAGCGGTACAGAAAGGCCATTTGGAGCTACTCCCTGTCGAACTCCAGTGCGAAATATTCAAATATCTCGGTCCTGGCGCAAAGCGAATTCTTGGCTCCATCAGCAAGCGCATGTACGACATCTGGAAGCAAGATTTCTTTGAGAAATCCATCCGGATCAATATCGCCGAGCACATGCTGAAAGCGGACAGCTTAGAGCATGTCTCAACGGTGTATAACAGCATTTTATCCAATTGGTTGAGGCCAAAAGGGGTTGCGAAAGACCAGAAGACAGAAACTGACACCACATACGGAGATGTGAATTCCTCTATACACATGAATGACTGCATTGAAGATGCAGTTGCCAGACATTATGCAGCCAAACGAATGAAGGAGCATGGCGATGAATGTCCTGTTTTCACCAAGGAGTTCAGGTACAAGAACGTCATATTAGAGTACACAGGATTTCGAAATGACGATACAGAAGCTAGTTGGTTATCATCAGCTGAATTCGGCCGCAGACACCGGAGATGGCAACTTGATATCCGGGGAGTTGATCTCCGGGACTTGTTTGCTTAGGAAAAACACCTGAGAGATACCCTCATCTTGTAGTCTTTGCACTGTATGAGAGTGAGAAAGCAAAGAGCCTCATGTAATATCAAAGTTCTTGTGACCACCTCTTCCATAGAATTTCTAAAGTGAACCATGCGTGCACAATGATCTCATAGCTCTCTCCACCTCGAGAAGATCTGAATTGCCAAGTCGGCCTGATTTCTTCATTTTCTCAAGCCATTGAGTTCTTGACTGCATCATTACCCGATGCTATGTGAGAAATAAACTAAATGCTAGCATTAAGAACGAAAGTTCGCTGACGTTGCTGTTGAATGAGATCCCGAACTCATTTGCAATTTCATAGTTTCATGGTTTCTTCGATACATGAACAATGATCTTTCCACGTGCCCTATGCGTTTTGAGCTTCTCGTACGCTTTCACTGCTTCCTCAAACTCAAACATGCTATCTATCACTGCTTTTATTTTGTCCTCCTGCATCCACTTTCCCAGCTGAACCAGCGAACTATGTTGACTTGCGAGAACAGGAAACCCTATCTTCCGCTTTCCACCACCAAGAAAGCTCGGTCGTAATAGTCGGTAAAGTGCACCGACGATTGATTCTATGTTGACCTGCGAATATGACCCACCCTGACGCAAGAAATGATGACACTCTCGGTAGAGATTCTCAGGTGTCCCAACATTGTCTATCAGCGAGCCAAAAACTGCGCCTTTCTCCTTGAGAGCTTCAACAGTGTCCATTGCAGTATAGTCGATCACCTCGTCCGCACCCAGCTCTTTGCAGAGAGAAATGTTGCGGGTGGAACAAGTAACAGTGACGTTCCATCCCAGTAGTTTTGCAATCTGAATGCAGAACAAGCCACATCCGCCAGAGCCACCGTTGATGAAGATTCGATCGCCTGCTTCGGATGGTAGCTTAATGACTTGTAATGCGGTCTGGCCAGCGACTCCAATACAGGCAGCATGATCCAGATCAACGCCTTCTGGAAGCAAAGCAATCGCCTGTGAAGAACAGACCAAATACTCTGCAAGGGGTCCAAATTGCGTTGGACGACCAAGACAACCAAACACGAGGCTTCCCGGCATGAATCCTTCCACTGAAGATCCAACATCAACGACCCGGCCAGAGAAGTCAATGCCAGGTGATGAGGGCGTCGATATGATGAGCTTGGCGAGAAGTCCTATCTCGGGCACTCTGTAGTCCGCAGGGTTCAGTGACATGGAAATGACTTGGACTAGTACTTCGCGTTTTCCTAGCTGGTGGCCGGGTCGAGTTGCAGATTCGGATAATTGTAGATTCTTCTCTAGCCCTCCTGCAGTGCTGGTCCAAAGCCAGGCTCGCATAGTATTTGGCGAGGTGGAAGGATCTCCTGCCATTTGGATTCGGTGTCATATAACCTTGGGTACTTGAAGAATTGAAAAGAAGTCACGGAGACACAGAAATCACGAAGTAGAATTTCCATTGAAGAAAAGTGTTTCAATCCCTCCTCGACCCGCATCTTCGTCCGAAGACGGCGGAGAACATGATCGCGGTGACATGTGGAAATAGTCACATGACTAGCCCCCTTTAATGAAAGAGAGAGCAAGAGGATGTCAACTTTTCAGAACCCTTCGTATGTCTGCCTGCCTCAGATCACGAATTGAAGCAAAATTCAATGTCAGCTGACACTCAGCATCTGCAAAATCCAATATCCTTGCGATGATCATGAAGATCATCAGCCCCACATTGCAGATGAGCCGTCGTCGTCATTGAAACATAGGATTCTTGCTATTCGAGTGAAACATGCAATCTGGAGGGGTAAAGAAATCCCTTAGGGTCAGAACTTTTATGCGAGCAATGTTCTTGCATTCTAGAATGTGTCACAAGCAAACCTCTTCCTGCAAGCGTGTCCAGCTGATGGCCAACTTACCGAAACCCCAGATTAATCAATCTCATCTTGTCATGCTATGTCGTGTGTGCCTTCTGAGTGTCAATTTGAACGTCATTTGAAAGTTCTGAATTTGCAGTGCCAAGCATAATATAGGGGCATTCAGGCTAAGCGAGCGGCATACCATGTGCATTATGCCGTGCTGGCTCTTGTACCCGTGTACCAACATTATCTTGTCTTGCTGCAATTAATACTTTCCTAGTCACCGTACCTTTTGCAAATTTTCATGGCCTGACTGACATGAATCGGGTCAAGTACGCAGGGATCGATTGTTGGAATTGGGATTCTCGATCCTCGCCTACCGAGCGTCGGTTACAGAAATGCACGATACAGTAACCAATCTACCGGATATGCAATGGCATTATTGGTCTAGCAAGGGAATCAGATCCTTCACGGTGTTGTGTATTTCAACATATGAAAGATCCTTCTTCCCATATCGAATCTAGCTATATCAGCTCAAATATCAACCAGCTTCTCTCTCACCACTAGTACCATACTGCATATCAAAACCACCATGCTGCGCATGTACCGCGAAGTTGTGATTGCAGTTGCGTTACTCTTGACTGGACACACAAGCGCCGCCGCACTACCTGCCCCTTCTGATCCCCTTATCGATATCTTGAACGGCGAGAGTCAGGGCTTTAATGGAACGGCAACCTTCAATAGTACCGAGATTCAAGACAACGCTTATCAATATCGGTGGTGTTAGCAACTCCTTCAATCTACCTTCTAGTCTAGATACTAACACTATGGCCACACAGATCATGGAGGAACATGCAACTGGGCAGATACCGACAAAGGCACTGTGTAAGGTCATTCGTTGTTCATGTTTTTAGTTCCAGACTAATTTAGTGCATAGGACCTGGGGTGGCTGGAGCCATTGTATCGACAAACCGGACAATACACAGTGGACCTCGCTAGAATTTGATCGTCCGACATGTGAATCTCCTTTTTGTCCTATTGTTAATTTTCATCGTGGCTGACGTTAGTATAGATGTTTGTGCGTGGTGTGGGAAAGGCTGCAATGGAGGAGGATCACGGTACTCTCAGCCTTCAAATCCTGTAACATGCATGCGCACACCGTCATATTGTAATGGCCTTGGATCTTTGTAAGTGTTGAGAACAGTCTCGAGTTCATCAATAGCTAATACGGGAAAGTGTTGCATATCAACCTTAAGCCGCAATTTCAAAGCAGAGTCAAGAGTTGGAGAATTGAGATTGAAGCTCGAATTGTTCTTTCAGGGGGAAAAAGTATTGTTAACATCGGATTACGACCTATAACGACTAACGACTTGGACTTGGGAAATCAGACCTGCAAATTAAAGCTGTAGTGAAGCGGCCAGATGAGATTGGCACTTACCACCGTCAAAAAGTTGACACTTGGGAAAGGATTTTGTGTTGCCGCTCTTAAAAAGTACTTTATCTCGAACATTCCTTCTCATCTGCTATTGATCGACTGAACACATTCCACTCACGGTGATTCAACGTTTAGTGTAAGCAAAATATGCCAAGTGGCCATTGTCTGTCTTCCAATCCTAGAGTAAGTAGGAACGCTGGTTTCGCAGTTTATGGGGAGCTGCAAAATGCTTGATTCTTTTTTTCTCAGTGAGATACAAATTCACCGTCAGACACTCACATCGTGCGCAGTCCAAACACAAATGTCCGCAGCCTGACAGCGTCCAGTACACCTCCACATCATATCCAAAAGTCCGAGGGCTAGGCAAGCGAGGATGACCCCTGATTTGCCGAAGGCGAAAGAGGCGTACCTCGGCCACACCTTACCGCATTAGGAGAAAAGTCTCTGATTGGACGAAGCTCCTAATTGGACGACATACTTGGACATGGACAATACGATCATTATTCTCCGCGCTCTCAAAAAGAAGAGCAATCCAAAGATCCCCACATTTTTAGTAGATGTCTATTTAAGGGGAGCGCAAGTCTCCTTCATAAGTCAACGAAAGCAGCTTGATTTTCCTTACCTCTCCATCTTTCCTCTCAACGCGAACCCATCTATTACAGGAACACATATATCTAGACACAAACAGACGAACAACATCATGCCGAGAGTTTTTGGTTTCATCAAAGACCAGCGCACCAACCTGCCGGTACCCAAGCCTCCGACCAATATCGCAGATGCGACCTACATCGTGACCGGTGCCAACTCAGGTTTTGGACTCGAATGTACCAAGCACCTTTTTCGCATGGACGCCAAGCGCGTAATAATGGCAGCAAGATCCCGCTGCAAAGGCGAAGCTGCCTTGACGGCAATCCGGCGCGAGACCAGCCGCCCGAATGTCGGCGAAGTCTGGGAACTGGACCTCACATCCCCCGACTCAGTTGAGGCCTTCGCCAAGCGGGTCAGAACACTCGACAGGCTCGATGCTCTGATTGCAAATGCAGGAGTTGTGATGGCGAACTTTCAGATGGCTGAGGGCATTGAGATGTCCCTTCTGGTTAATGTTGTTTCTACGATGCTGCTAGCCTTTCGCACGCTGCCCAAGCTTCAGGAGTCCGCACGCAAGTTCGGAGTCCAAACACACAATACGATTGTCACGAGCAACAGTGCCCTTGAATCTGAGATGGAACATAACATAGACTCGCTCCAGGGCGATGTATTTGATGGACTTAGCAAGGAAAAGAGCTTCAAGACAATGGTTCAGTAAGGAATACTTTCATGGGCGACAGAGGTAATTGTCTACTCACTAATACTTCGTTCCCCAGATACCCCAACACGAAGCTCCTAGAGATACTCGCAGTTCGTCAGCTGGCTTCACTTCTTCCCGTATCCGAGTTTGGCGTTATCGTCAACGCTGTGAATCCCGGCTTTTGCTACTCAGAACTGGACCGAAATGTTGGCACCATGGCCAAGGTGGGGATAACTGTGATGAGAGTATTGCTGGCAAGAACAGCAGAGGAGGGTAGCCGGAACCTTCTGCAAGCTGCTTTCGCCGGTCCCGAGAGTCATGGTGCGTATTGTTCGGAATGCCAAGTGAAAGAGTACGTCTTCCCTTCTCTTTTCTCGCATCCTATTTTTATATTGTCTTCTTCGGCTGGATAGAAAGATCAGAAAGTCTCAGTAGTGGTGATGTGCACATTCATGGGCTAATCACTCGATTGATAGACGTGATGTTCCAGCATGGATAACAAACGATGTCGGCAAGACTACACAGAAGCGTGTTTGGCTCGATCTGCTTAAGAGGCTTGACACGATCGGTCATAGTATTGACATCAAAGCCCTCACAACAAAGTAAAGGGCGATAGGAGAAATCAGTCGAGGATTGAGTGGTTTCCTGGCAATAGTTAGCATGTATAATTATCATTGATTAATCAATCAAATTACATCTCCACTATCTCATCTACAAATAACATCCCAAAGTTTCTTACTTTGGTCATCGTGGAATGCTGCTACCCATGGGTACACGCTCAAATGTGCTATAATATCATCCAATGTCTCGAGGGCGAGAGTGTTGGCCAGAACTCGGATACGCCGTGCGAAGGATGAGTCCGGATGATAGTACTGTTCAAACTCCGGCGCAGACAATACGAAGATGAACGTAAGCCAGAGATAGAATGAGCTGTACTTATGGCCTCGACCACATGCCATCTCATCGTCAAACCTATCAAGACATTTCCGGAGTAGATCAGAGAGCAGTGGAGAGCACGCAGACCGTCTCCCACGAGTATGATTGAGAACCGTGCTCATGAAGGCAAGAAGCCCTAGCTGGCAAGCATCATCTAGCAGGCGTGAGGGCCGTGCGCTGCCAAGCGGAGCATAGTCGATCAGTCGCTGAATGATGGATATGACCATGTCTAGGTACTGGAAGGCGCTGAGTTGTGCACGACCAGCATAGTCGCAAAGAGCTAGCACGTCCGTCATGGCCAAACGAACTACGGTACTGATCTCGTCCAGCGGATAGGGTAGAGTAACATATGGTCTTCGATCATGCAGCGGGACGACATGAAGAGGATCGGGTAGTGATATTGATTGGGAGCTGAAGAGAGTCGGTGTTCCCTCCAAGAGTGCGAGCTCGATATCAGCGCGGCGGATCTTATTACCCACCTCGGGAGTACCCGAATATACCGACGTCAAGCCTCCGGGGCACAGGTCCAGCATCCGCTTCAAACCCTGCAGGTGGATTCGGCTCTCACCTGTGGAGCCGTTGATGTTGGAGTACATGGCCAGTGATATGGCTACAACGATACTGGAATTTTGTAGCTTGGAATTAGTGTCCAGATCCCGACGGAGCAGGTGCAGAGCCATCACAAAATGCTGAGTAGAGGCAACGGATTTACCACCGTAACCCTGGGAGTGAGAGATGCGAGCACTTGTTACAGCCATAGTGCAGTGGAAAACTTTTGAAATATTAGTATAGATTTTGAAAGGCGGCTCTAGTCTCTTACCGCATGGGTCCTCGATCACGCGCTCGAACCAGATCGTCCTGCTTTCCTCTGGCTGGCGGCAGAACGCTCGGGGGTAAAGCTCCTTGGAGACATCATGGTGGACTAGATGCAACTTCATTAGTGAGCATTTCTTGATACTCGGACAGGAACATGAAGGGCAATGAAGGGCACCTACACTCATAGAACAAGTATCGGACTGAGGACGTAAGAGGTACCGAGATCGGAAAGTAAGCTAACTCTGCTCCGGAGAAAGGGTTTACGGGCAAGATGATGTCGTGGCTGTGGCGTACGACCTTTGGCAGGAGTGGCCGCCCCTCCGGATGTTCGCCTTCTGTAAGAGCCTTCAGCTCGGTCCGCAAGCAATCGGGACGGACTCCGTCCTTGCATTGCTGCCTCTTATACCCTCTTACTAGAATGATTCTCCCGAGATTCTTCCCTTTCATGGCATGGTTGCGAACCAGCCTTTGTGAGCGCCGATCCAGCGGCGCATTGTTGTTTATGAAGCGGAACTCCATGAATTACCCAGGTGCTGGCATTGTTTCGAACATCAAAACACTGGGGTGCGATGGTGTGCGTAGTTAAACCCCTTAACCCCGGAGGAGCTGACTAAGCTACTCCTGATCCTGATCTGGCTAACCATCAACCGCGGGGTCAACGGGAACATCAATTCAAAATCTCCAAGTCTCCCCAGCCTGCCTGGCAACAACTTTGATCATGGGAATTTTGATCATATTCAAAACCTAGATACTACAAGGATGATGTGTCATGCTCTCGAGTGAGTGGCGATCACCGCGTCGTCCGGTCATTGCCGGACGCGTGCAAGAGTGGGCTCTCGTGCTTCATTTCTGTTCTCTTCTCAATGGTCACAAAAGGGCGTACTCGTCGTGCGATTTCGTACTCCGAAGTTGGATAAATTGCATTAAGCTCTATATATATCTGATATTGCTCAATTCGAGATGACTCAAGTTAACAAGGACTCGAAGATCATCATTGTTGGTGCAGGAGTATTTGGACTTTCCACGTGAGTACTGATGAATAGTATTCCATATGTGTCTTAAAACTATTGAAAATGCAACGCTGATGGAAAATTCCTCCAAGTGCTCTATGGTTGGCCAAGTCAGGCTACAAATCAGTCACAGTCTTCGACCAACAACCATACTTCACCAACTCATACCGCGATGGTGCCGACGGTGCATCAGCAGACATCAACAAAATCATTCGTTTCAGCTACGGAAAAGAAATCGAATACCAAAGTCTTGCACTAGAAGCATCGCATATTTGGGATGAGTGGAATCAGGAATTGGCAAACCTGAAGCAGAGTGGCGAGGATGCTGGATTACCTCCGGGATTGAGCTCAGGCGACAAGCTATGGTTCAACAGTAGAATGCTGAGAATGAGTGCTTCGGAATCGTATGGAGAATTCGAGAAAGAGACTCTAAAGACCATGGAGAAAGAGGCTAGGTTGAGGGAAAAGCAGTTTGAATGTAGGAATGAGGCAGGTATGCATGCAGTCATCAAATGAACATCTTTGTGGACCAAGTCACTAACTCGCGAAAGACATTCAACGAGCACAGGAATCAGGTTGGGGTCACAAGGTCGACCCATTTCATAGGAAAGAGCTGGGACGAGCTCATAGTGCTGTTCTTGATTCAACAGCTGGATTCGTGGCAGCTGGCAGATCATGCCTCTGGGCCTTGCATCTGTGCCGAAAATCTGGGGTGAAGTTTGAGCTTGGTGCCTAAATCGGAAAACTGAAAAGATTTCTCAGTAGAACTGATGGCTCTGTCTATGGCATCGAGACTGAAGACAGCCGATCCCATTCTGCAGATCTAATTATTGTTGCGTGTGGGGGCTGGACTCCCACATTGGTTCCAGAGATCTCAAGAAGCCTGGAAACTACAGCTGGGTCTATAGTGACTGTACAGATCCCGCAAGATAACCAAGAGCTTTGGGACCGATATGCGCCAGAGAATATGCCGGTTTTCACTTGGGGTATGAGAGAGGGGAGAGGCATGTATGGATTTCCAAGAATGGAAGATGGCATAGTCAAGTTTGGATATCGAGCAACGAAGTGAGTGATCCCAGATTGGAACCACGTACTACAACATACTTAATGATCTTGCAGGTGGACGAACTATGATGATATTAATGGGAAACCTCTTTCTGTTCCAAAGACAGCTCATACTAGTAAGAGAGAAACAAATATCCCTCTCACAGCTCTTCATGCGGTTAAGGGTACGGTCCCGTTACACATGCAAGAGATCCATACTAATACTCTATAGATTTCATCTCCGAATACCTACCCGAGCTCACTCCACTGGGAATCAACTCCACGAGGCTTTGCTGGTACACAGATTCAATAGACAACTCTTTCATGATCGATCACGTTCCTTCGCGGCCTGGCTTGATGGTCTGTTCTGGTGGATCCGGTCATGGCTTCAAGTTCCTCCCTATTCTTGGTAGAGAAGTGGTAAAGATTGTCGAAGGTGGCAAGAAGAATGTTTATGGTGAGATGTGGCGTTGGAGAGATCCCAAAGAAGGGGGCAAGAATAATGGGCTGGAAGAGGGAGTCAGTGGTCCAAGAGTTCTTGCCAAGCAAAAGATGGCAAGTGAGAAAGATTGGTCATTTGGGGGTTCTTCTCGTCTGTGAAAATCTGCAAGAAATAATACCACGACGGGATAATTTTGTATGCTTCTAAGATATGAGTTGAATACCCTTCTCATCATATGTGAGGGGTAATGTGGGGTAATTGGCCACTTTCAAAACCCACCACTTTGAAGTACTCAGCTCAAACCCCTTCCAAATTTGAATCAAATACATGTCAAAATCCACAGAACGACGAAAAGCTTTGGTTTCATGGGAAAACTTCAACGATCACCTACAGCCGCTCCAATGAGATCTTTCAATTGAGATCCACAGCCTTGCATAGCCTTACATTGCCCCACCTTCCAAAACAGCCGACCCCACTACTCACATCAGGCTGAATGATCATGACAGCATCACGACAACATCCAACCTCGAACATCATGCCGTGATTTCCACCCTTCATAGTACTTCTAAGTACATGTTTTATATACCTTTTCATCTCAATCAACACCACAATAGTTCTTCCGTTTCTGCACATCTAGAAACACAATTTAGCTACCCGACGAAATCTACACCGATCACAAAATGTCGTCCTCCCCCACGCCCTTCCAATTCCTCCCCTTAGGTGCCATCATCCAATCCTTCCTCGTAGGAAAAACCAACATCGTGCAATCCTTCCCCAAACAATCTCTCTACGTGTCGCACAATGCTCCCTTCTTCGGAGAAACGATCGGACGAGTCGCGAACCGAATCTCGAATGCGAAAATCAATTCGTTGAACAATAAGTCTTATTCTCTCGCGCAGAACAATGGGGCGAATTCTCTACATGGCGGAGTCGTGGGATGGGGAAAGAGGGTGTGGGATGGTCCAACACCGGTGGGTGTGAGGAAGATTCCGGGTGTGGATGGATTGGAGGGTGGTGAGAGTGTGGAGTTTAAGCTGAGGAGTGAGGATGGCGATGAGGGATACCCAGGGACGGTGGATGTATCTGTTGTTTATACTGCAGGCACACAAACCGAGGGTGTAAAGGAAGTTCGAGTCCTAGGAATTGAGTATGAGGTCAAGATGGTTGATGATGCGAGCGGGGCACAGGAGACTGCGGTCAATGTTACAAATCACTCGTATGTCCTTTCGTCAATCCAAACAACTCGCTTGATTATTTGAACTTAGCTAATAACCGAGAAAGGTATTTCAACCTAACCGGTGCCCCGACAATCGAAGGAACAGAAGTCTCCCTCTGTACATCCGACTTCCTCCCAGTTGACGATGGAGGAATCCCAACGTCCGCAAGCACAGCATCATACCCCGGCGTAACAGCCAATAAAACCTTCACACTCGGCGCCACGGAACCAGACATCGATGACTGCTTTATTGTCGATCCCTCAAAAGCCTCTTCCATCCCTCTCGATACTCGATCTTCTCCGTTGCATAAGCTGATCACTGCTTATCATCCCGAAACAAAGATCCATCTCGAGGTTCTGAGCACAGAACCCGCGTTCCAATTCTATACGGGAAAGTATATCGAGGTCCCGGAGGTGGAGGGAGTTCCTGCGAGGGGAGCGAGAAGTGGGTTCTGTGTCGAGCCGAGTCGGTATGTGAATGCGGTTAATGTTGATGAGTGGAGGGGTCAGGTTGTGTTGAGGAGGGGAGAGGAGTATGGTAGTAGAGTTGTCTACAGAGGGTGGAGTGATGAGTAGGAAATCAATTCTTTGGAAGTTGTTCAAATATACATGATGGGAGTAGACTGATCAATGAACAACCTATGATCCATCAAGCCATCATGCTAGCTTAAATTCTTTCGCTGCTCCCATCATAAGAACCAGCACCCCATTAAAACACGGTATCCAAAGTATCGGACTTCTCCAGTTGTCCTCCATCCAGAACAGAGCTTGAGACAGCGTTGAAAAAAGCCGAATGTCTTCAGAGTAATTTGAAAATGGATCTTGGCCAAGAAGGAACACCCGCTGCTTTTCAGTTGGAGATACAGCAGATTTCGTGTTACTCCGTGGCAATGCAATTTCATCGTGGTTGCTGACTTTGGTCCCTTTATTTCTGTCAAGGGATTCCGGCTTTCTTGGTGGATTACAATCCATTTCTGAAGACTATGAGTATTGGTAGGGTCGTCAAAATACGATACACCCCTCCTTTCGCTACCCCGCACTTAAGCGAGCAGCCCCTGAAAGAAGCGATGATGCTCTATTCGGAAGACACAAGAAGATATCACATCTCAGAGCAAACTAAATCCCAAAAGAGCAAGATGATCGATTTTAAGTTATTCTAATCTGTGAGGTTCCTCTCTCAAAGTTGTAAGAAAGAATGTCATGGAGCTTGCCTGCTCCCAAAGCAACACAGCCGCACACCAATCCACATCAACCGGAAAGTCATCATAAGAAAAATGAGGAATCTTGTTCCAAAGCTCCTTCGTCTCCGTGTGTGCAGCGTTCGAGGGATTCGATTATTGACTGTCTACCTCTCTCTTTTTCTTGTCATCAACATCACTGTCTGCTGTGATGTAGCTGTACAAGCCGTTGGTGCCCGGCTCACGTGGTACGATGTCAGCTGTCTCGCGGTTTCAGCATCATCCGCCATTGTCATTGATGCTTAACAGTTGATGACTAACCGGCTCCAGAGTCAATGGGTGCCGCTAGGAGTGGCGAGATCAGAACCAGAACTGCCGTGACTTTGTAGAAATACATGTTTTGTCCGATGAGGTATTTTATTGGGAGCCCTGTGAAGTCTTCAAAGCGAGTCAGAGGGAACTAAGTACCAAAGTATAAATGTTGAAAAATGTTGAATCGACTTTCACTATCTGATAGTGGTTAGGAGTCAAGGAAGAAAGGACATCAGTAAGGTTATATGTAGTTGCTCGGGTCTCACTTTCCATATTCGCTGACCTTCTTCTTTGTCCAAGTCTAACTTACTAAATCGACTCACCTGAACACATATTTTAAATACATTTCGCTCAGGCTTATTCTCACCACTCAGAGCAATAGAAACCCCACTTTCGAGCGGGCTAAAGCTAGGAAGTCTGAGAGTCTGATCTGCAGGATCAAAACCTTGCAAAACAAGAGTTTTGTGCTAATTGCAAAGCTGTATTTAATCCGATTTTGAAGGATTAAACGAATTTTGTGAAAGGAATGTGTAAACGGTTAGTTGAAGACATCAACTTTTGGCGCTTGTATTGGCATAGGTCCTAGTCTCGTACTTCGTACTGTACAGTCAACTTCGAAATCAGTTTAGCGCCTGAAAATACCTTTGATTGCTTAAACACGATTTACAGCCAACGCCATACAGAACCGTACACCTGCATCTTGCTCGATTTATGCCTAAGGAGAAGGCCTGTGACGGGCGATGAATCGCGCCAAAACTAGAGTTTGAGCACGTGATGATATTCTGCTGACCAACTTAGCCTGACTGTGGCTTGGCAACAACTTTCAGCTCTTCGTATTTGCCTCGCTCGTCCATGATCAATTCCCTCCCGCCCATCTTCGGAGTATTATCTGCTTGACACTGGCTATCTTCACTCAAATCCTGTATGAAATATTGTGTATCGTAGAACATTCGTTGAGGTTCTTCAGCCTGTGCGCGACTGGCGAGCCTTCTGTCATTGCGAACGGCCGGGCTTCGTTTTCAGAGTTACGCCCACACCCTTGACATTCTGCTGCCATACTCATGGAAGGGCTCTACAATTTCTACGCAGACCACGGAGTACGGTACACGTCACATGCCTTCAATACCAGCTATCAAGATTTCGAGGTGACTGACGCACTTATCGATATTAAGACAAGGCGGATTCCTGTCGAGACGATCCGCGTGCTCAACTCAAATATCGACGCTTGGTTACGCACCCAAGAAGGTTCTAGCGGGCTGCATATGGTATGGATTCCTCTACTAAAAGATGCAAGGCCCTGGCGCTACGAGATTCGCGAGTCCACTTTCGATGCTATATCGAAGCATTTCCATGTTGAGAAGGCTCTTCGTTATGGATCCACAGCAGCAGCGGGCTTTGCGAATTTCCGAACTGGAAATGTAACAGGTAATTCTGCCTTCTTGCCTGACCTCCTAGTATTTGCGTGGTCCTTTGACGCTTGCACTGGCGCTACTAGAGGGATCTGCTTGGGCGATCCGTGGATATTATCAACAGCACAAAACTTGCTACAATATCAACCGGCACTTATCGGTCATCCGATGGCTGTGGGATACATAGTTATCATCATACTTGGCACTCTAATGGATAGAGACTTACTGCGCGAGAATCGAAACATTGCGGAAGTCGAAAACCGCACTGGGTACCATGGTTGGAAGAAATCGTTCGCTGGAGTCGCCAAGGGTGAATATGCCACACTTTCTGCTCGAATGAGTGGCTGTGCAACGTCACTGGCAGGCCAGCAGAGGATAGCAAAGGTATCACGAGAAGCAATAGCATTTGTCTCGACTATGTCATCCGAGCACCACATGAAAGGATATTCTCAATTTCTCCAAGAACGAATATCGCTATCAGCAAAGCAAAGACTATGAAAGATTTCGATACAATACTTGGGACGAGACTAGACGTACAGGAGTCACAATTAGAGTTTCTGAAGCAACGTACTCAGATTCAACTTACTGCAGTACGACACCTTTCACCGAAATATTTCCTCTTTACCTTGCAGAATCTCAAATTTGCGTCAAACTTTCGAGAGATTCTGAAGTATCTACATGCAATTTCTGACAAAATAGTAGCTCTTCAATCTGATTGCTCAAAAAGACGCAAAGCTCAACATCGCAATCGCAAAAGGCTCAAGAACGCTTGCATCAGCAAGCAAACGAGACTCATCCTCTATGAAGACTCTGGCCGCTGTCACCGTGGCGTTCTTGCCAGCTACCTTTGTGGCTTCATTATTCGCCATGCCTCTACTCAACTGGAATGCAAGTCAAGGCTCGCAGGTATTAAACGGCCGGTTTTGGATCTATTGGGCTGTGACTGCACCGCTGACTATCACGACTCTCGTTATCTGGCTAACATGGACACATCGTCAGTCGTTGATTCATCGAGCCCAGGATCGCAAGGATAGGGACCGACTCGTCGATGAAATGAGTGCAAGCACAGAGCCTACTCTCGATGGGCATTAACAGAATATTAAGTAGTGAGATGGCAATGAAGACTTGAATCTTGCGAAGGTGCAAGCTCATGTTTGATGATACGAACGAAGCCTTGCTCTAATTGTCTATTTGATTGTATGTATAAGTTTTCAGGCCTGACATATCTCTGTAGGAGTTATACATGCTTGAAAGTAGAAGGATTTTTCAAGTGCGTGGGTGTGCTACACGTTATTTGAGCGCTTGATACAGAGGTTTAGACCCTTGCTCAGTATGTTAAGAGTCACGTCAACGCTATAAACGGCTGGGGTGGTCTGTGCTCACAACTTTTCCTCACGAAAGGGGCGAAGCCGTTTTGCAAGCGACTGTACCTGGGCCCGTTACGGTACTGTACTGCATTAAAACGATGCATGGCTCGATGCGCTTCTAACTTTCCAGACGCGTTACGAATGGTATGGGCGAGTCACTGGAGTCGGTCATCCTGATCCAGAGCTTCCATAAATAACTCAAACTTACTGATATCAGAACCACACAGACTGATAGCAGCAGGTTAGACACCTTTAGGCTCGGAATTGAAATGTTGATTGGCCTGGGTTATAGGTCTAATCGCTCCAAAGGATGACAAGACCCGTTTGCGCGTATATACTTTGCTACTGCTTTTCTCTTTCCAAATATGACAGCACCTTCTTGCAGTAGGGCACCAGGGTTATTCGGCTGTCTCAGTCGACGACGAAGCAATGATAGAGGACCTAGTTTCCAGGCTTTTTTGATAGGATTACACTCCCCATTTCAATCCTCGAACAGTCTTGATTGTTGAGGCCGGTTCCAGACCAGTTCTCCAGTCAGTTTGTAATCCGGGAGACTTGACTGATACGTCCGAAACAACTCTTGCAGACAGAAGACTGTGCTGACAAGAAGCTCTGCGTTTGGGGGAGGCGATGCCCAGGAGCTGCAAACTCTATTCCGACTTCGATCGGGTACAATTCTTGTGAAATTAAGAGGCGTAATGTTTGAAGTCAAAGCCATGGCGAAGGCTCACGGCAGGACATCTCAACATTGCGGAGTACTGCTCGTATCGTCTTTACTGTCTATTGCAATACTTGCCACAACATTTAGATTTCTAGTCCCCGGTCACCAAGCCTTCCCTATCTCGCTATGCCACAATTCGAATCCAAGCAGCAGCACCCCTTCGTGTGCTCACCTGGAAACATTTCCAAGAACCTTCAAAAAAGCTCTAGCTTTGAAGACAGTTCCAGGACAAAATCACAACTCGTCATCAAGTGCAACCGAACTTGTCAACTCTTAAGATCCTTGGGAATCTCAACTCATTCCTCCTAATGGCGGATACATAAGTGTTCAAGAGGATGGCGGACCTGTACTGCAATACGGCATCTCCACATTTCACCAATTGCACTATCTTAGCATGATCCGGAGCATGTTCCTCTCTACCCCAATGGATATGTCTGCGGAATCAACACGGGATTCGGACTCAGCACCAGATCCGTTCTTACACCTCGCTCATTGCTTTGATTATCTCGCACAGGTATCCTCCAAACATCTCTTTGATCTCTTTTTCTTTTGTGACTCAAAGAAGGGTAGAGAAAATGGCTGATCCGACTTCTCGAAGGCTATCACATGTGCAGCAGATGACACCATCGAGCCGCCGGAAATTTCCACGGACCAGAACGGAGACAAGAAGTTCGTGATTAATGGCATTGGACACACTCACCACTGCCGAGATTCGGGCGTGCTTTGGGATATTGTTGAAAGATCGGAAGAGAAGCCGGTGCTTAAATGGGAACTCCGGGAAGGCGATGCTGTTCGCTCTTTGTTTTATGCTGATAAGTCTATGGTTGATATCACTTACGGATCACGTGGAATCTTGCTCAACGGACTGCCCAGGTAGGCTTAGTGAGGCGCTAAAACTCACAAGCGAGGCGATTTAAAAAAATATATCTTCATTCGACCTTTGTACGTTGCTCTCTAGATGTCACAACGTCATTCTTACTGTCCACAATAATTTTGATCACCATTTTTATCTAATAGAGTGTGAATGACAGGGTTTCGAGACCCTTTTCAAAGAGTCGCGAGCAGCAGGCTACGGCCGTTAAAAAATTGTCAGCATGGACGCCTTTGACTACATTTTCAAAGCGAACGTGGATCGATGCAAAACCATCACAGAAACATCGACATATCTTGAGATATTCTTATACTCGGTATGTTTGCAAAGCTAAAGTCAATGGTGTTTAACAATAGTCAGGACCCGGATTACAACACCGTGGAAGAGGATCCATTGCTCGAGGCTGAGTTCGATGACTTCCTACACGCCAAGGTAAGTATTTCTTGGCATAAACAAAACATAGAACAGTTGCTGAAGATCCGAAGGGTCGTTTTGAAACTCTTCAGATGCCCACAGGGGTTACGCGGTTAGCGGGTGTTCGCATAATGTTAGTCCTGCTCTGTTCCGTTCGATTCGATTGCTAAGCTTATTGAAAAAGACTCCAGCAGAATGCACAACATCCAGAGACGTTTTCGCCTCATTTTCTAAGCCTAAAAGCTGAAGATTATATAGCTATGACGAAAGGTTTCCATCTGTCACAGGAAGCTATAGATGGTACAAGCGCCGTCGGACCATTGTTCTTTTCTGATGTGGATGCGAATGAAGATGGTACCTATCTCCGTGAGTTTCACCTCGTAGTATGTCTCATTATCCGGTTTATTGCTGGCTAATGCACTTTCCGAACAAAGAAATCGTTTACCGCAAGAGCGATGTAAGAAAAAAAGGGAAAACAAGAGGTTGGGAATTGAATCTGAGTCATAACCTTGATACCGGTATCACAACTGGTTTCTGTAAAGGCACACCATCATCCGACATCGTGGCGTCGATCAAGCATCTCAAAGCCTTCGTCTCAGAGATTGGTCATCCGCTGCTGCTGCCTCTTGTCATCTTCGGCCACGACATGTCATCCAACACGGAACTCAAACAGCGCGCAGCAAGAGATTGGCTGCGTCGTATCGAGTTTGCGTTAAGTATGCGCGACGAAGAATATTTGAAGAACGGATTGCTAGATCTTGATGCTCTAAATCGAGACCTGGTCGAGTGCTATTCGCAGACAATATGGAGGCCCCCAAGCACGTATCTCCAGATCATCGCCCACTTCAAGGAAGCAATGGAGACATTCAAGACAAGACTGCCGGATAAAAGAAAAAATTCGGTGATGGATATGCTGCACGGTAAAATTTTATCCAGACTCACGTTTCACGAAAGGAAACTTCATGGTTTGGCTAGCTACACAAAGACCACGCAGCAAAGACTCGAGATCCAGATGGCTGCAGTAAGTCATATGAACATTCCACTGGGGCACAGGGATATTAACACTTGTTCGTAGCTGCGCATGATCGTGGCCCAAAAGGACAGTAGACTGAACTTCGAGGTAGCTGGGAATTCTCGCAGCTTAGCACACGCAACCAAACGCGACACAGGATCCATGATGGCACTCGCGCTACTCGGCACCGTTTTCCTGCCCGGGACATATATTGCCGTAAGTTCAATGCCGCTTTGAATCTCCAGCAGCTTCTGATGACTAGACACAGTCAATTTTCTCCACGACATTTTTCGACTTCCAGAACGCAACTTGGAACAGTGTCATGTCGCCCAAATTTTGGCTTTACTGGGCTACAGCTATTCCGATAACGTTGATCATTCTGGGAGCCTGGATGCTGTGGGAGAGGATGAGGAAAGCGAGGTATGAGAAGGAGGAGCTGGATTTAGCGAGGGCTGCTGAGGATATGGAGAGGGCTATATTGGCTGCGATGACCAAGAGACCACTACCGGGGCCTTGGTGAACTTTACTATCTGAGGAAGTACACACGTTAGTGATGTATGTGCTTGGATAAGCGACATTTATCCAGGATTGGAATCTTGATTGTTTGGACGAGTTTCTGCGCTGGGAAACATTATGCATTAAGAGGGTGGATTTCATTGAATTGCGATATCGTTCCGTGTCAATCAACATTGGAGAAAAAGCGAAGAAGAACCTCAAGTGGAACGAACAAAGGATAGAAATCAAAATTGTTACATTTAGCGCAATACGCACGTTCAGCGCGTTCAGCGCCACCAGCGCAACCAGCGCAGCCAGGGCATTTAGCGCAAAACGCCCAATAGGTTTTGGCCATGCTCGTGCTGTGAATGGAATTCTTCGCAGCGACTCTGATGTCCTACCGCTCACGTACCTAAAATACTCTACATCTCAACCAATACTTCGCACAAGCTTGGTTCTTTTCCGCTTACATCAATTATAGCGCGCAATACCGATTCCTTCCAATATACTGTAATCACCGACGACAATTTTGCCATGCTTCCGTCCTAAAACCTGAGCAGTAACTTGAGCTGGGCCTTGAGTCCTGAGCAAGCTAGATTTTGCTCAGGAGGATCTATCCTCTTCTGGCGCTCTAAAGAATCGGTTGTAGTTTCCATGTTATCTATATATATATAGAAGAATTTTACAGATCCTGCTGCTGCCTGTTTTATAGCTATCTCTTTATGCTTATTAATATATCGTAACGATAGCCTCTCTCACTCCCGTGTTACATTTTACAGACTTTTACTGGAGCCGATTGAAGTAAGCCCCCCTTTTTAACCGAAAATTCGCGAATCGACGGAAGCTTTGCTTAGATGGATGGCCCTCGAGACCTCTTTAACTTTCCTTAAATCGCGTAACTTGTATATGTGTGAAGGCCCGGATACTAGGACACACTAAACAAATACGTCGGAGCTGCGGTGTGCCAGTGCCGTAGCATTTCCTGTTCCTGGCTCTCTTTTACTTCCTTCGTAGAGGGGGGATATGACGTAGAGGATATTCTGGGAGATGGTGAGATGAAATAAGGACTTATCTGCAGATAAAGAACATAGGAGGATAGTATTTGGCGATTTCTATAATTGATAATCATTTCTATTATGCTTTTGTTTTATCAGCCCCTGTATCCATGTATCCATCCAACCCCAAACTCCCGAATCCGGTCCCAAGTCTGTTATACACCATATCATTTCTTCCCGCCGAAACTCCTCGCTCGCTAAATACAACAAAAATGTGGTCGGATAAGTGTGTGTAAAATAAGATGCAGGGCTAATGGCTGAAAGGACAGATATATATAATATCCTGATCGCACTCCTTTCATCACCAACCCTCTACTTGGCCGCAAACCGACTCCTCGCTCTCAACTTATCGCCATACCAGAACAGGACGTATATCCCAGCAATGCAAATAACCGTCAACCCTGCGAGGAGCCCAACTCCCCCGTCAACCCCAAGCTTCACGAACATGGGCCTCGAGAACAAGATAGCTGCCGCGGCGAGGGTACTGCGCGCGAAATCGTTGGCCGCGAAGAGGGATGCGGAGTATTGCGGGTACGTGAACGGGAGGTACAAGAATATGCTCTGGAAGACGACGTACGTTCCTCCCACGCTGAGGCCCGCGCCGATGGTGGGCACGATCCAATGGATCGATTCCCGCGATGTGAACGCGAAGATGAAGAGGCCGGCCGGGATGAGATACGTGCCGTACAGAGCGGGAATGAGGCGCCGCTCGGGAGCTCCGAATCCCCTGGTCGTGAACGGCTTCTCGACCGTGAGGTAGAAGTGGAGGAGGTAGAGCGGGAGGAAGATACCAAGCGCGACGAGGATCGAGAGGAATGGTAACGAACTCTCGCCGAGGTTAAAGTCGTACATGGAGACGAACACGAGCGGAAACGATTCAAAAAAAGAATAGTAGATCATGTACAGCAACGCTGTGTAGAAGGTCGAGAACGCGACAGCGGGATCGAGGGCGTTGATTTGCCAAGGGATGAGCAACGCATTGTATGTGACTTCGGAGAGAGACATATTGGCTTGGTCGATCTCGGATTGAGATTTCAAATTTGTATTGCTTTGGAGTTTGCGGAGGCGGTGGGCGCGGCGGAGGAGGATGTTTGCTGCTGAAGTCTCAGGCAGAGAGATGAACATGAGGAGGAAAATGGGGGCGGAGAGCCAAAGCATCTCCCATTGGGCCCAGCGCCAGTTCATGGCTTGGACGGAGAAGCCTCCGACCACTGGCCCCAAAGCCGGACCGAGAGTTGCTGCCGCCGCCCATAGGGAGAGCAAGTACGGGACTTTAAGCAGAGGAAACATATCCTGCAATGTCGCCGGTCCCGTTGCCAGACTGGGAGAGCCGAAGACTCCAAGCAAGAATCGGACGGTAATGAGGCCACCAAAGGTGGGAGTAAGCGCTCCCGGTAAAGTCAAGATGACAAAAATGGCGAATGTGGCGATATACAGTGGATTCCTCCCAACCAGTGGCATCTCACTCAGCGGAGAGAAAACCATAGGGCCGATTCCGTAACCAAACACATAGAGTGCTAGTCCAAGAGAAGCAGCTGTTTCTCCAACTCCAAAATTCTCCATTACCCCGCCGATACTAGGGGCGTAGATTGATGAGCCAATATATACTGCGAATGTATATAGTAGGATCTGAACAGCGACGAATGTCCGTTTCCCGGTACTCCAATTCATGGGATTATCGGCATCATCCGTTGCGTACCAATCCACCAATATCGTTCCATCAGAAGTCAGCGTCGGCTGGATCGCCTTACTCACTGTCTTCTCCGGCCGCACCGCTTCAGCTTGCGATGTACGCGAGAAATAGGGGCGCAGATCACGTGTTGTCGTGGTCTCCAGCTTTTCTAAATCGGCATCGGAAGATGATGATTCGCTGGTTGAGACGGATTCGCTTGTCGAGGCTGCATCGCTACCCTCGACCTTTTCCTTTGCGTGTTCAGGAATTGGTGCCGGGAATACGAAATCGGGTCGTTCTTCGGCGTAGAGGAGGTATTTGTTTCGTGTTAGGAGGCGGATGAGTTGCCCTAGGGACGAGTCGCGGATAATGTCAGCCATTGCGATTGATTATCTTCCAATTTTCCACTGCGAAGTGAGGCAGGCAGAGAGAAGATGAAGACGATTGCGAATGCTGATGAAGTGATTGACGAGTTCTTACATTGATTGGGATTTGCGATGTATTTATCTTCTCTGCATTCATTGCGTCGAAATCATAACATCGCGGGCTTAGCAATCCGAAAGCCATAAATGCGGTGCGGTGATATTGGAAATCGAGTACAATTCACAGTACAGTGCGTTTGTAACGAGGGTTCAAATGACATCATTGTTGCTGTCGAGGGACCGTGCACCAACCACCACCAGAAATGCACAGATGTACAGGCGGCTGATTATCAATCGCTGCTGACTTTACACTCACACCGTGCTTTCGGAATTATGCTGTATCGCCGATACCTTTTCCTCCGAGTCAAGGCTAGGCTTGGCGCTGGAATCTCGGCCTAATTCGGTCAAAAGAGTATTTCACCAAGAAGAATATAACCACTAATGTACAGGTGGGCTCCCAGAGCTCATAATATGGGCGAATATCCCCTATTTAGCGAGGAAGGAAGACGGGTCTGGAGGACTTGATTCTCAAATAGCTAGTGTTGCTGCCTTAGGCCACAAAGGGAGGTTCCTGTTCGAGTTTCGGACCTGAGCCTTTGCTGCTTTGACCTGAGAAGACCTATGAGTGGTGTTCTGAGCACGCTAATAAGTCAGTTGGATTTGCTTAGAGGGAGTTTAATCACAATTTCCATTTCCTATTAATTATGAGGGAACATGCTAAAGCTTAATAATCAATCAAGAAAATGCGGTTGCACTTCCTCTATTTTCACGGCGAAATTTTGTCCAATTATAGATTTATTTAGTTCAGAAGGCTGATAGGTTTTATTAACAGAATACCGGTTTAACCAAGTGGCAAAGCAACAGACGCCAGCGCGTTCTGCACTATCTTATCCGTCGGTCGATACGCAGCAGCAATTCTCAGTAACCTCCGTGCTTCGGTTTTGTCACCCAGCGCGATACACGCCATGCCCGTCCGAAAGAAAATCTTTCCAGCGCTCTCAGAACCCGGAAAGTCTAGCAGGACTGCATCATCCTGCCCTATAAATTTCCAAGGTTAGCTTCCCTTTCCAGCTTCAAGAGACGATGCGTTTGACTACACTTCATAGAAACAGTTGCTGAAGGAAACAGACATACCTGTTGAGCCGCGGAGCAAGTCAATAGTCCTCATGCCCCAAAACCTAGCCTCTTCATACTCCTCCATCTTCAGGTATGTTGCTACCACATTGGCCACAAGATTAAGCCTTAGAACAATCCGCTCTTGTAGCGCAAATTTCCCGTCATATTGGCCGCCAGATATGTACGTCTGGAACCAAGCATCACCCCAGACACTCCTCTGCCTCCCTTTGCAGACAATAAACATGGCCGCAAAGGCATTGATATACAGCCGCAGAGCCTCATCCCACCTCTTCTCCTTAAAGGCGACATTTCCTTCGTCTTTCAATCTCGTCGTTTCCTCGAGGCATTCTCTGGCAGTCTTATGGGGAACTGCCTGCTCTGCTCGTACTTTCTCTTCAATGCTCGACAAATGATTGCCAACTATAGAAAATTGCATTAATCCCTTGACGTGTCCAAATGGTTCTAAAAGCAGCCGCTGCAGCCTCTTCGATATGGCGTCATTGTCATACGCAGCGGCATATGGATTCTTGATATTCAGCGTCAGCCTCAGATGTCCATTCTGCCCCGGATTTGTAACATTTGTGTAGAACCAATGCTGTGTAAACGACTCGAGGTCGTTGAGCAAGATAATGAAGCTACTGGCAAGTGAAGCGTTGAGCTCTGCAGCACTCGGTGCGTCGATTCTGCATTCCAGGTGGTGTATACTGAATTTATGGACGTCGCCTTGAACGCGGACGACAGGTACGCCACCACGGAATGAGACCCAGTCTTCGGCTTCGGCAAAGGGAGTACATATGCGGACGAAGGTGTTCTGATGGCGGAAAACGGAGAGGGATTCGGCGTGGATTTGGGAGCAGGTAAGGAGGAAGCGGAGGTCGAATATTTTGAGCTCGCGAGAATCTTCGTTGGGGAAGACGACTGTGGTGGGGGTTGGATGGAGGAGGTAAGAGAATATTTGCTCGCGGAGCTCTCGGGGTATAGAAAGGAGGGTGGAGGTCATTCTGTGGCCTGATACTGGGAAGCCTGTCAAGAGATGTAGTAGTCGGAGGTTTGCTAGTTGATTACAAGGACAGAGATCCCACTTGGCCTGTGCATGTAGTTATGCCTGAGGCTGTAACAGCCTGAGTTATTTCTAAGCGGGTCTCCAAGCTGTTTCTATTGGTGGCCTAAACTTAATAGGTTCATTTAAATCGTTCAAAGTGTCCCTCTGAATATCGTTTGTCTGCTTGTAAATAACACCCGTGACCTAGCGCACAGAATAGACGGCAAAAAGCAGAGACGATTTACCTTATCCTTCGCTGGCGGCCTTCTAAGGGGCCTGTGTGTTGTTCGGCGTCGCAGCCGCATACCACAGGTCAAGGCCAAAACATGGCATACCGTATTAATTGTCTTCTAAAATATTATCCTACAATCAAATGATGGTAGGAAGTCTGTTGAGCCATGTTTAATAAAAAAAGTAATACGCTATACCCCATGAAATTATTTGATTCCCGAAACATATTTAAAGACGAAGAGTAAGAGTGATAGCAAGAGCTTAAGGATTGAGGTACTCTGCCATACCTTATTCGAGGTTTTCACTCAGGAGGGGCTTAGGGGGACCATCTCTTATAAAGCCTATTCCCTTATTCCAGAATCATATCTTAGAAGACAATTAATACCTACGGTATCTTTGAATATTATCGTGTAATTAGAGTTGACAACTTTCGCACAACCGTTTAGGAAGTAAATGTAAAGAAATGTCGTCTGAGACTTCCTACGCAAGGCAACACTTAATTGTTTGCACGTGACTCTCCTACCTCGTACTTTGCTTTATTGTATCTACTCCGGTAGAAAGGGTCTCGAGGAAGGAGACTACTTACTCCCTATCTCGTGCTCTTGCTCCATGTATACTGCAACGCAGATTATAGAGGCTGGGTATTTGGATAAGTATCTATTCCACATCAATGGAACTTATTTCCACTTGACAAAATTCCCATCGAGATATACATTAACGAAGATTTGACTGAATTGAGGGGCTTCACATTAAACGAGAAGAAGGAGCAGGGCCTTGGTTCCATAGAAATAATCGTACACTTTTACTTGAACGATATATCAAAATGCACTGACAACTTCCCCTAGAAGACAAAATACACGACCTGCTCAGATAGAAAATACAGCGTGGCCCCCTCTTATAAAAAGGGAAGTATATCATCTCTGAAACCAAGAACTCCCAAAATCCCAACTACTGTAACAACAACAATAAACAAAAGCGACCGACCGACACTAACCTCGCACTCGCACTCGCAACACATCAGCCGCTAACCTACCTCGACCCCAAACCACCATCTACTCTCTAATCACGAAATCCACCTCGTGCAACACGTACTCTAGATAAAAGGAGAATATAAGAAACTCATCCTCCCGCTCTTCCTCCTACAACCCCGAAACGCCGGTCGGCAAGTTTCAAGGGCCCGGAATGCAGTCAGCTGAGCTCACTCACTCACTCCCTCGGCACGGCATTTGGGGGCAGGCGGGCGTGACGACGCATGAATAGGTGAAATTACGACTCCTCACTTGAGGAGGACAAAAACGAAGAAAATCGTTTGAGGAAATTAATCAATCAATCGTGCCAAAAGAAAAGATAGAAACTCAGAAAAAGGAGAAAAGGAAGGGAACGGTGCCGGTAAGGCTGTGCAGAGGTACGCAGTACTGGCGGGCGGAGAATCGTTTCTTCTTTCTGTCTGTACTACGCCGCCACATCAGTTTATTAGAGGGGTAACGACGAATTATTTATTTATTTATTTCTCTGCTTCGGGCAGGGCGCTGTACAGATTTCCCGTTCAGTGCGAGGAAATCTCCACCCTGTATCGCATCGCATCGCATGACCACGCCAGGAAGAGCCATCTCCCTCACGGTGTGGTAATTGGCGATGAACATCGGGCGACGCGTAGGCGCTGATGAAATGAATGATGACTTGTTTTCGAGCGAGCCATGTGCCCAGATCACCTCCAGAGCAGCCAACACAAATTAGGGGCGTCTCGATACCAGCTGGGTTCAACTTCTCTCTCAGCCTCTCAAACTAGAAACTCAACTCCCCGCATTACCCATTATTGGCGGCTTCGCCACGGGGCGAGTTGGGGGGGGGGGGGTGGGAGGTCTGGGTTCTTCTCGTCACAGGGCTGGGTTCGTCTTTTATGCAGCCAGTCATTTTTAGTTTGTCGGGTGGCCCGTCAATGGGCGCCAGGGAACGCCACGGTTCACTACCTATGGACAACCGTCGGCAAACACCAACCCAATAAAATATGTAGTGTATGTATGAACCGTCTTGTGGTCTGGTTTCTGGGTTCTGGTTCTGGTTCTGGTTCTGGTTCTGGTTCTTCGGGCACTGGCGCGTCTTCCGACTCGGTGGTTCCGTCAGCAGCCACGAAAGAAAGAAAAAGTCCTTTTCCTGGCTTTAGGTCTCTGTAACCGAGGACTTGGTCACGACTGGGTGGGTAGGGGAGGTTAGGGGTGGTGGGACTAGCACGGTATGCACGCAACCACGAAACAAATCCCAGCATCTTCCAGGTTCCCTTTGGACATCCATCACTCGCACTCCCACGGTGCCACTTACCACCCACTTACCACTCCAGCACTGCTCACCATGATGGTCGAGATCCACGCCCCTCATTGATTGACTGCTTGAGCCCCCTAATCTCATTCGACCACTACTCACTACTCTATCTTTATAAGATTGGCGCTGCCGCCAGCAGGGAACACCATGGAATGCGCCGAAGAAGGATCCTCCTCCTCGCAGCAGCTGGAAACTCAAATCCCAATATCAGGGTCCGAACCTGCACCACCACAACCACTGTGAATACCTCACTTCCTTACCCCCTCTTTCTCTCTCTCACTCTTTTTCTTCTCTCCTCTATCAATCAATCAATCAATCAATCAATCAATCAATCACCAAACACAATGCCCTTCATGACCCAAACTCACGCTTCATCAAGCCTCCTCCTCATCACCGGCGTCACAGGCCACATCGGCTTCCGCGTCCTCGTCCTCGCCCTCACCGCTGGCCACACAATCCGCGCCTGTGTCCGCTCCCCCGAAAAAGCGAAACTCATCACCTCGCACCCCCTCATCCGCTCCCTCGCCCCAGGTCCCCGCCTAACATTCATCGTCGTCCCGGACCTCTGCAAGAAACACGCCTACGACGACGCCTGCCGCGGCGTCGCCGCCGTGATCCACATCGCCAGCCCGCTGATGAGCAATGGCGTGCCGGCGGGTGTCGACCAGGAGGCGTTCTTCGTGAAGCCTGCGGTGCGGGGGACGCTGAATATGCTGGAGGCGGCGAGGAAGAGCGGGACTGTGAGACGGGTTGTGATTACGAGTTCGATCACGGCGTTGATCCCGTTCGAGGAGCTGAGCGGCGCGAAGAGGTGTAAGAGGTGGATTGGGCCGAGCGATCGGATACCAGTGACCAAAGGGCCGTGGAACAATGAGTTCGAGGCGTACGCTACGTCTAAGGTAGCCGCGTTGGCGGAGGCGGAGAGCTGGATGAGGAGGCATGATGAGGTGGGGTTTGATGTCGTGCATCTACATCCTTCTTTTGTGGAGGGACGGAACGAACTCGCTGCCTCGCCGAGGGAGACGCTGAAGGGTACCAATGCGATTGTGCTCGGGATCGCGCTGGGGCAGAAATTCGAGTACTCGACTATGGGCGCGACGGTGCATCTGGAGGACGTGGCGCGGGTGCATCTCCAGGCGCTGGATACGGCCGTGGTGCCGGGGAATGCGAGTTATATCCTCAGCCAGGATACGATCTGGGATGACGTGACGGATATCACCGCGAGGCGGTTCCCGGATGAGGTCGAGAAGCGGGCGTTGCCTAATAGTGGGAGTGCGGTGACGCATACTGTGTTTGTGGATACCAGTTTGACGGAGGAGGTGTTTGGGTTCGAGCACATTGGCTTCGAGGAACAGGTTGAGAGCGTGGTGGGACATTATCTGGAGTTGAGAGCTAAGTCTGGGAAGAAGATCTCGTTGCGGAGAGCGTAGGAGAGAGTGAATTGGTACAATTAGCGATGGAGTTCAGGGACTACAGTTGAAAAAAGGCAAGGCAAATTTATGTGTTGTCCAGGCGTACTTGGGGTACTCCGAACTATAGCTAGGATCATGATACCCGTGGCTTTTGATCAGCCATCAATGAATACGAGCTTTATTTACAGGCTATATCTACATCCTCTTCATCTTTCCTTTCCATCGTGACCTTTCCACGATCTCTTTATATCCAACTTCAATTCAAATTCGAGGTGGCAAAGGGTCCAAGTAAGCATGACATAAAAAGTCCCCCAACAAAACCCCCACCAAGAAATGCACCGAAGATCCATTATCCGAGCAAAGGATTTACTGGTTAGCTGCCGTCATACACGACCCGGTGCCGACGGTAAGATAATTTACCTACCTACACGTTCGTTCCTGGAAACGATGTACATGTACAGTCCCGCAATCCTGCATATGCAAACTGCAACGCAACCCCATTGCTCACGCACATCACCAATCGGCTGCAAAGCACCCGTTTCAGGTTTCGTGTTTTGGTTGTACAGGATATCGTTTTTCGGTAGTACAGTACGGTATCATTCTCTCGTGGCACGAAATACAACCATAGAGAGATGGGGGGGGACGCGAGGAAGCCTCAAATGGTAGCCATCCTCGCAATTCCGACATCCGTCTCATCCGCCCGCGGACTCTTGCCGTTGACGTACAACCAGAGCCGACTTAGATCCTTGACCTTGAATTCTACCTTCTTCTTCTTCTTCTTCCCCTCCTCCCCATTAACACCCTCCTTCTCACCATTAATAGCGCCGATTTTTCCCCCGCTCGTCATCTCCAACCCCCTCTCCCGCACAAACTTCCGCATCGTCCCCGGACTCACGGGACTCATATCCCGCACCAAAACCTCACTCTCAGCCTCACTCAACGGCTCCCCATGCGTACCTAGATAACTCATTTCCCAGCCCTCTCTCTCGTCCCTCTTCTCATCGCCATCGATCCCCAACGACATGATACTCTCCATAAACTCATTGCCCTCCTCCATCGCTCCTGTGAACCCGCTGTCCCCGATTCCACCCGAAGGGAAAGAGCAGGGCTGGAGGGGGAACATCGAGTCGAGATAGTGCATGTTAAGCTGGTGGCCTTCGCCTTGACGCTCGAAGACCCGGCCCATGAACCGTGGCGCGGAGGGGGACAGCGAGAAATTGCACGTGAAATGCAGGACGCCCCAGCGGGCGACGAAGTCGGATGTATGGGCGTAGTGCTCTATATACCGTATCGTCTTCCCTGAGGTCGATTCCTGCTTACTTGACCGGGGAGTGGTGTTTAGGCCGGGACTTCTGATCCCGCTGTCGGTGATAGTGGTAGAAGGAGGTGCGGTGTCGTGGTAGTGCACGCTGGTGACGGTCCTGGTGAGGGACATGCGGGACGGTTCTTTCAGCGCCATGTGTTGGCTCAGGAGGTGCAGGTGCGGGTTGTTGAAGTGGTTGGCGGCGTTGCCGAAGGTGTAGACTTCTAGTTTTGCGAGGAGGTCTTGGGGCACTTCTTGCAGGAGCCAGTCGATGATCATTCCGCCTTCGATGCCGCCCTGGGAATGCAGGATGAAGACGACTTTTGTGAGAGTGGGGTTGTAGAGCGTTTCTTTGACGATGGCGTAGCAGGCGCGGATGTCGGATGTTGCGTAGTTGAAGTTGCGTTGGATGAGGCATTGTAGAACGTCGAAGAGGATTCCGTTGGTTTTGTTGTGGACGCCTAGGACTGGACGGCCAAACGTGAGGGCTAGACGGTCGACGTTGCTTTGGAGCCAATGTTTCCTGTTTCTCATCAACAATGAATCTTGGCAATCAGAATAGACAGAACTCACCCAACAGCAACACCATTCAAGAATATCCACTGCTCATGCTCATGTCCGTCCTTCTTCGCATAAGCCGGATTCGAAGGATACTCCATCCTCGACCCATTCAATAGCCACCAAATCCCCTGATTAACCACCAGAAATCCCGTCAACCCCAAAACCACCACCCAAACCGGCAAGAAGATCCAAAACGGAATAGACAGCAAAAACGGTAATTGCAACACGATCAAAAGAACATGCAAAAACATGCTCCATAAATTCGCCAATGAGGGGTATAATTCGCACAAATGACCAGAACGCAGAGGATTCATGGGATACACGATGAAGGGCAGAAACAAGGAGAATGAGAACGCGGACGCGATGTCGTGGCGGAGGAGCGTGAGGGGGCTGCCTGTATAGGAGTGCGAAATCACGGGCGAGCCTCCGACTTGGGAGCCGTAGAACTTGGTTTGTGGCATCGCGCTGGAAAGCAAGTCAAAACGAGATACAGGAGTTTGCCATCAAAAAGATGAAGAATGAAGGAGAGAAGACGAGGCTACAGCGTCAGCTAAAGATAATATAAATATGTGAAGCTGTCACACAAGCTGCCTAGCAAACAAGATGGTGTCCAGGAATGTCTCAGCGCCAATGCTCAGCCTTCCCATCCAAGGCCGGTTTGCAGCCAATCAGGATATGATTACGTGAAGCTGGATGCTGGAAAGGATGAACACCTTGACGCCATATGAAGATCGACGGCTGGGGATCTTGGTGCGGAGTTCCTTCGTAAGAAGAGAGGTGAGATTTTGGGGATGAGCGGGAGCTGAAGTCAGCGGACAGGGGCACGAGGACTCAACCTGGAAAGGAGAGCCGAGAGGCTTGGCACGTGATTGGAATAGATTGGACGATGTTTGTTGGCATTGATTGAGAGGAGAAGCGCATAGGTACTCATCGTACATCTGAGGAACTTGAATGTCACTGAGAAGTTCTTGCGCTGAACTTGATTGTGCCCCCCTCTTGATACCTAGGTACTTTGGAGTGTTTGAAGGAAGGTTAGGCGAGACAGGCTGTAAATTACCGATGGAACGCCTGGAGACCCTGTAAAGAACACAGTGAAATCCGGTAAATCGGTTCAATCTCGACAATGCTCGGATCGAAGCGCTCGGGAGCCCTTGGAATCATTGGACAACATGTAGAGTTTCACGTCATTTGCAATAATGAAATGATATATATCCTCTTGAGCTTGTCACTCTCACTCCCTTAACATTTGACTTGATGTCAAAAACTCAACTCACAAAAGAAAATGGCGGATTTTGAAAAACAGCCCCTCCATCTCAAGGAACAAGATTTAACTGGCAAGGTAGCTGTTGTAACGTATGAGCTTTCTCCCTTCAAATCAGTGACACTGGCTAACATGCTCTTCAGCGGTGCTTCCAGAGGTATCGGACGAGCAATAGCTGTCAACCTCGCCTGTCGTGGATGCAGTGTCCTGGGAACATGCTCATCAGACGCCTCCCTCCATCTCATCGACACTCTTTCTCAAAGCATCACTAAGCTTTACGAGGATAATCCTCAGACTTCACCGCCTTTATCGAAACCCAAGATATATGGCCTGGCAGCAGACATCACTGCCTCCAACCACGCAACTCTGATAGCCGATTGTCTCGAAGCAACCTTCAACAGCAAACTCAACATTCTAATTAATAGTATGTCAAACTTTGCTCTTGCTTTACATTCATTTTCGAGAGCTGCTTCAACTCAAAGAGGATGGGCTTCAACTCCTCCACTGAGCTCGTAGCCCCCAAATCTCTACCAAAAGTACATTCTGACCCCCAAATAGACGCAGCCATAACCGGCGGTACGAAAATCGGCTCCACCTCCCCCGACCAAATTCACCGCATGCTCAATGCCAACCTCCAAACGCCCATCCTCCTCGTCGACGAGCTCGTCAAACGCAAACTCTTCCTCCCAAGCAGCAGAATAGTTAACATCTCCAGCGACCGCGCTCGAAGCACATCAAACGAATCCGTAATCTACTCAGCTACTAAAGCAGGCCTGGAAAGTCTAGTGAGGACCTGGGCGAAGGTTCTAGGCGGGAATGAGCACGAGTTCGCGTTCATGGCGGGAACGACGGCGAATAGCGTTTCGGTGGGGGCGACGGAGAGTGAGGTGGCGAAGAGGTTGGGGAGGGAGAGGTTGGAGGAGAGGTTGAAAGAGGAGTTGCCGAAGCAGTGGGTTGCGCCGGGGGGGAAGGGATGGTTTGCGCAGGTTGAGGAGGTCGCGGATGTGGTGGGGATGTTGTGCTCGAGGGAGGGGAGGTGGATTACTGGGTCTGTTGTTCCGGCAAATGGGGGCGCAACTGTGATTTTGTGATTTGGATATGTAGGTCCTTAAGGGAAAAGTAGAATTGTATTATTTTATATAATTTGAAACAGATGTAGGAAATATCGACACGAAATAAACTGGCCTACTTGAAACCCACTCATATAATCTCGAACTCATCCTCCTTCTCACTACTCGACAAATTCGCAGCCGACCTCTTCCTCTTCTTACTCTGCTCAACAGCAGCATCAAAAATATACTTCGCCCCCACCCCAGCCATCCCCACCAACCCATTAGCGACCGTCTTCGCCAGCCCACCAGGCGAAAGCGGCGACGGAGGAGGTGTCTTCGGCCCCGGCGTCGTCGACCTCGAGATCCTAGCCACGAACGAACTAGGCAAAGCATCCAAAGCGGAACTCAACATCCCCTTCCTCACCGGTTCCAAATCCCGTGCATCGACAAATTCTCCCGTGGGAAGCTTCACGTGGGCAACTTTCCAGGAGGTGGGCGGCTCGGGTGGTGTGCCGCTGGAGAGGATGGGCACTTTGTCGTAGGGATCCACGATCTCGGGTTCGGTTACGCTGGCCCAGCCTGAGGGGCCGAGTTCCTTGTTCGCTTTCTGGAGGCCGAGATTAGCGTATTCGACCAGCTCGTCACATTTCGGTCTGTATTCGGGTTCTCGGAATAGACATTCTTGGATGAGCGTCAAGAGTTGGGCGGTGTAGAGATCTGTAATGACTTTGTCTTCGAGACCTTGACTGTGGTTAAGTTGGCTGCCGAGATTGATTTGTCGTTGTGCGGAGGGACTTCGAAGCTTGGAGATGTTGACTAGTGGTGGGTTGGCGTTTTTGATCTCGTCGGGGTTGAAGTCCATGTGTGCTCGTAGGATCATGGCGTTCATGATGGCGCCGACTTGCCAGATGTTGGAGCAGGTTCCTTTGCGGGCGTGGAGGAGAGGGATACCTGATTTTTGCCAGCCGCCGAAGGGCTTGTTGATTGCTTCTTCCTGGATATGTGGTTAGTGTTGGTAGCAAACGAGAAGAGAAGTACTTACAGGAGGCTTGAAGGCTGGTGCACCTCGTTCGAGGTATTTGGCACCGCTTTCATCGTCCTGCAGGTCGTAGGAATCTACGAAGAGTGCTTCTCCGAAATCCGCAATCTGTTTCACATATCAACTTGGGGGTAAATATGCGAATCTCGAGCCTCCTAACTTTGCTGATGGGAAATCTTGAATGTTCGTTATCTCGATACCCAAGGAAGACTGATCAATATATTAGCTCGGTCTTGAAAACATGATTGCTAGACTTACCGTTATCTGGCTTTAGATCGCAATGCATCAGCTCCTCGTCTCGACCAGTATATGCTGGCGCACCAGGTACGTTCATCTCCTCAGTCTCTCTTTCCATTGCATACACACCTCGAGCCAGACAATCGAAAATTTGCCACAAATCTATCTCAGGAATAGGCTTTGGGTCGTCGCTGTCCGCTTGCTTCAGAAGCGCATGCAAACTCCCACCAGGACAATACTCCAAGAAAACCCGCACCACATCCTCCATCTCGGAAAATTGATCTCCAACCCTATTCCCACCAAACTGTCGAATAAGATGCTTCGAATTAAATCCTGTTACAATCCTCCCAATCTCACCCTCATCCAAAGCGGTTCTCCCACTTTTAGGGTCAAATGCAGAAGGGTACACCTGAGCCATTTTCACGACAACTTTCGTGATGCCCGGTTTCTTCTTGCAGAGATCTGCCAGGCTACCTCCTTGGTACTCCCATAGCCCTGTGACACCGAAACATCCCATGCCGAGAAACTTTGTGCCTTTCCATCCTTCACCGAGACCTTTGCTCCATTTCGCTTGGCTGTCGAGGAACTTCTGCTTGTCTGTTTGAAGAAATGGAAGGGCCATCGTTGCGTCGGACTTCAATGGAGGAGAAATTGCAGGGAGTGACAATTTTCAAGCCTTCAAACTCACTCGAGTGTTTGCGTTTGGGACACGGCTCCAGCCATGACACTCCTTGACGAGGTGAAAGCGATTTCTTTCATGGCCGAGGGCTTTGAGCAAGTGACAACAGGGAATTTGTTTTGGGAATCCAACAAAGGACGATGATTCGCCGACAACAAAGTGAAAGGTAGCATAGATGGGACTCATAAATCTGAGAAGCAAGATCTGCCATCACTTGATGGGGCTTTGATTCTTTGTGGTGGGTACATTGAGTATGTTGGAGATGGTTTTGATGAGCTTCTAAGTGAGTCAAGCCAACACCTCCAACGAGACGAGACGAGACGATAATAAGGAGAGACATTGTCATGCTCTATGATTGTTTACCTGACACGTAGAATATGCGCTGAGTTACGCTGTGAGGGGGAGAGAAAGACTTCGAGTGATGTTAGATATTATGGTGGCCGAATGAGACCATGCTCGCACATCATGCTCAAGCCTCGGCCCCGCGTCGACATCATCATTCCTTCCTTCCCTCGATATTGATATTGAAAGCTGGCCGTGACAATTACTCGACTTCCGAGTTATTCTCCCACACATCTAATTGCTTGACGATTGTCTCAAGATGGCAACGCCCAAAGTTCTGATACCAATGGCAGATTATGGACATGACCCTACTGGTGAGCTGCCTTCCTACGAAATATCTCAATAGCTCCCTCAAAACACGGAGGAAAGTTGGCACTAAATTGAACTTGCAGAGACTGCAATCCCATATACCGCATTTAAGAAGGCAGGCTTCGAAGTCCAATTTGCAACAGAGAATGGCACAGTCCCCGAATGCGACAAGAAGATGTTGACCGGCATTACCCAAAAACTATTGGTACAAAACAAACCAACACATTGGAGAACATGTGCTAATATAGATGCAGGGTGCTACCAAAGACGCAATAGATGCTTATAAACAAATGACAACAACTCCCGAGTTCCTCAATCCCATCTCCTGGTCCTCCTCCGATTTCAACCTCGACTCCTACAACCTCGTCTTCCTTCCTGGTGGACACGAGAAAGGTGTACGACAACTCATAGATTCTCCTATAATTCATAAACATCTGGCATCCTATTTTCCAGATACAATCAAGCCTAGCATGAAGACTGTAGCTGCTGTATGCCACGGAGTGATGGTATTGTCAGAGACTATAGGTGCGGACGGGAAAAGCATAATACACGAATGCGACACGACAGCTTTACCTGCGAAGTTCGAGCAGGTAGCATTTTGGGGCACAAGAGCATTCCTGGGAGACTACTATAAAACATACGGTGCTGGAAGTGACGATGTTGAGACTTCAGTAAGTGGTTCTTTGTTGCTATTGTCCTTGCACTGACCATATCCTAGGTGAGAAAGCGACTCGATGATCCGGCAAAGCAATACAAAAACAGCTTGGGAACTAGCCCGTGAGTAATAAAGTTCCGATGGCGTCAAGTTACTCCCATCAAAGTCTGATGTTGACATTTGGTAGATTCGTTGTGGAAGATGGCACATATAACTATGTCAGCGCAAGATTTCCTCCCGATGCACAACTACTTGCGGAGAAAACAATTGCATTGGTCCAGAGCTCGATGGTATAACCTTCCATTTCCGATGCTTGTTCAACAATGGAATCTTTATTGGCAAATGCTTCCGTCTCAATGATTTCCGACTCGACGAACAAAGAATTCTTTCGGCTTCGCTACATCGGTAGGCTTGCTCCTGTTATCATTTCACGACCCCACTCCTGATTGCATGTATGCCTTTGCGACTCCTCTTGAAGATTAGAGATGTCGATACCACCGCCACTACCATTGACCGAATTTGCAAGAAAGTATGGACAATATGCAACCTACCATCGAAGCGGCTTTACACCTCATGACACGAAATTCCCATACTTTGGTCCAGACCCTCTCTCCGGGGCATGGGATGCTCGAGCTCTTCAAAAAGAACAATTTTATGGATTCACTTCAGAGGAGCTTGGGTACCTTGATTGTCTTCCAACACGAGAGCTCAAACTAAGTACCCTTAATAATGGCATAATGTCCACACTGCGACGCGACAACTGGGAGAATACACCCTCTCCTGAATATAGACGATCTTATATGTATGCGTTGGAGGATGGTAATGGTTTATGGAGCGCAGCAAATGACTTCGTTTGGAATTCCCTGCAACCCAGCTTAATACTCGCATCGCGTATTCTTATGTCAGTCCATTTGATGCCATGGGTACGTTTCTCCTATTTCAAAGTTTTACCGTCTCTTTACCTGGAATGGCCCAATCTGCTCTGTTCGACTGTTCAGTGCAATTTTCTTCTAGGGTATTTTCAGATGCTCTGCTGATCTTCCGTAGTTCGATGCGCTGATAGACGGACCACGCGAACCCATTGATCCTAATGTGAGACTAGATCGAGATGATTTGGCCAAACCAAACGCAAGATTCCTCGAGTCGTTTCGCCCCAAAGACACCTTTAATCCTGCTATTACGAATACAGATATGAGAGACAGAATGTTCGCTCTACTCGAAAACGTGTTTGAACTTCAGATTGGTTTCATGGATCCGAATGAGTCACCTACGACCGGTCTTGCCCCAGGTGAAAAGGCCTCTGGTATGTGCACTGTTAAACACAAGGATAACTTAGACTGGAAAATATTCATTTGGCTTGACATTGACATGTTGAAACCACTTCTGAGGACAGACATAAATTCAGCAGATAGAATGATGATCGACTGGCAAGTAGCTAATACTGTAAGGATGTTGTATCAGGATCTGCAACCTCACTAATTTTCCACTAGATTGCCCACGAACTTATGCATGCCCTCAACTCTACAAAAAATATATATGAGTATGACGAAGAAGAAAGTATGGAACCATTCTTCCGAGAGGAGCCAATATCTGAAGTTGGCAATAGCTTTGAGTCTGCTGTGAGCCCCCCACCAAATACTCCTGTTACAAGCACGCTAATATGTTCCATGTGCAGATCAACTTTGGTTTTACTGTTGAGTTCAACTTAAGGAAACAAATGCTTCCGCTTGGATTCTGGCATCGACGGAATTGGCCTACGGTTGATGATATCAGGCGAACAAATGACCCTTTCATTCTCACGAATCCTGGTCCCGCCATGGATGACGAATACTATCCTATACCGGTCCAGGCTTGGGAAGACATGCAACAAGAAGGTTTCTGGGATATCCTGGTCCGCAAGTTTGGTCATGGAGTTCTCCATTATCGACAAGTAAGAGAAGGAGCGAAAATAACGTACACTGTGAAAGACAAGAAGCGGAAGCTGTATGATCAGAACTTAGGGGGCAGAATCCAAGGTCTCTTTAGCGTACAGAACCAACAATACAAAAGCAACTTCCAAGCCATCCAATCAGCAGCCAGTATGACACCCGATGAGCGTGCTGCATTGCAGTTTGCTTGGTCTCTTATAGCCAGCTCAGAAGCAGAACAGGAATTTTGGGATAATTCCACAAAACAGCAAACGGCGGTAGACTTCCTCATTGGCAGCGTAAATGCATTGATGGTCAACCAATTCCAGCCCGCGCAGATCCAAACAATTGCCAGCAGCTTTCTCGGTCTGGTCAGAACAGCAATCAGCAACCACGAAGTCATGATAGCCGCCATAAAGAGCGCGGAGGCCGCGAACAACACCACATATCCCAATCGGCGGCGAACTCTCTTGATTTGGAATAGAGGGACAAGAACCTTTATGAACAGAGTTCTCGCGTCTCGCTTGCTCGCCGCGGCTGGACTAAACTGGACCCAGCAATTTCTTGATCTGGAGGCATGCAGGATGCATCTTTGGGATCCCAACATACCAGGAGACGGGATTCCAGAAGACCGATTCGAGTTGGAAAATCTCAGTACCGCTTCCGGATTTTGTGATGCGGGACAAGCCAGCGCGTGCTTAGCCACGTGCAACGGTATCCGAGCCGACGCCTCTAACTCTATAATTGCCAACATAACGTGCAAAGTCTTATTGTTCGATGCATACAGGAATGTGTTCAACCTGTGGCCAAGCCGGAAAACTGATCTGCATCAGGCGCTGGAGATGCTTGGTTATTTTGCTTGGGCAGCGCCAGCTCCGTGGCAAGCTTACCTCGGGCGTCTGAAAACGAAGGGCGAACAGCTGTATGTTCTTCCCCAGCCGCCCCAGCCGGGGGTTCCACCTCCGCCTCCTCCGCCTCCTCCGCCTGTCGTTTGACCTAGAGTTTACTCCACTTGTGATTTGTCTGGGTGGGTATGGCATCGTTGAATAGAACAATTTATCGAAGGAGCTACGTAGGTCAGATCGGTTGCATTTTGTGCATTCCATCTTCGGTCTAGTTCTAGCTTGTTGGTGCTGCTTCTTGCGGCGGCTTTGAGAGGGTAATTCCAACGAGGTGGAGAATCTGTATGCATATGTCATTGATTGCTTGGGTTTCTCGAATTTGCAGGTTCCATCCTCTTCGCTACATTTTCATTGTCTTCCTGTACTTATCTTCGAGCGTATTTGTTGTAATGTACAGCCTTTATGGATTTCCACTCTTAACTATGCATAGTTCCGCGATATTTAGCGTGGGATCTTTGATGCCATTTCATTGTCGACGAGCCAGGCCGCTGGGTTCTTTGCTCGGAATGTTATAACTGCCTACTTTAAAGCTTTCTGCTTCATGTGTTTCTCTATTTCCGTCCTTCGAAGTATTCGACTCATGATACCTGCCAAGGATGGCGGACATTATCATTGCAGATTCCAGCCCAAACAGTGGGTGACTTGCAATTTGGCTCGAGAACCGGGAGAAAACACCATTGCCGTCGTGGTACCCGAAGATCATCGAGGACGATGCTCAAGCAACGGACATTTTGAAAAGATTATTGCAGAGAATGGAAATTGGTTCGTTTGCTTCCCAATCGTCCGAGGAGAGGGAGACGTTACGCAACAATCATTACGCCAACTGGACCAAATATCTCGATTCGTTCAAACAATACGAGTCAGATGTCAAGGACGTCAAGCAGACGGTAAGAGTCTCAAACCAAACTAGCAGCCATCTCGAAGGCATGCGGACTTCCGCTCTTGCAATTGGCTCGATGAACGCCGCAGCATATCCCACCGATGATGATGACGAAGACGATGTCATCGTGAAACCTGACAAATGCCCGAAATACTCATCCGAAGTCGAGCAAATCGACAGCTCTTCACCCGACGACTGTTTCTTTCCGGGGTTCAAGGTTGTCAAGTTTGGCTCGGATTTCATTGGCAAGTGCTCAATCTGTGATAGAACTTCCATCATTGCACTTGTCCTCAAAGTCAAAGACAAAGCCAACTTCATGAATCTCAACAGAAAGACTTTCTCGAGGTTCTTGTCCTCCATGGATATCTACGACCTCTTCTACAAACGAATCTGTTGCGATGCGTGCGCTAGCTATCTCATCGAGCCGAACGCTGGTCTCTTGCCTGTGCCTGTTTCGGGGGCTGTGGCTCTCCTTTCTCCAGAGGACAATATGGATCTGTGGGTTGAGATGTTGAATGGTATTTTCTCAGGTGTTCGTGTCGATATCCCCAAGTGGTATTGGGTGGAGTATCTGAGGCGGAAAATCATCGAGCTTCCTGCAGACGACTCGACTACCATCGAGGAGAGGCTCTTCAAAGATGCCTTAACTTGGCTTGTGAGGGGCTTTAATGGTGAGATTGATGGAGATGGAGATGATGCTAGTAGCCAAGTTACTCTTGTTTGATGGATATTTAGCTTCATGGCTGGTTTGGTACAGGATGGCTTGCGAAAGGTATTGATTTGAGCGAGAACATCGTCCTCTTTCATTTCTAATTTACGATATAGATGGCAGAGACCAATTTTTCATGGAGGCTCATTTTCCTGCTCTGCAATTTCTTCAGAAATCTAATTTTATAGCTGGAACCACTCCTGATGTTCAAATCTCCTTAAATTTCCGTCATGCTGCCAGACTTCTATGAGTTCATTGTCCGTGCAAGGCCCGACTTTCTGGCCGTTGTCATTGTACTCAAGAATGTGGGCATCTCAGAAACGGACTTTGAATTTCACCCATATGCAGAGAATTGGATTTTCCGATTATATGCAGAATCTCCATTCCGCTATCAGACATTCGATATTTTTTAAACCAAAATTTGCGATCTGGGACATTGATCCTTGAGCTTGACGCGATGAAGCTTTGCCATTTCTCCAACCACCAAAAAATAACCTTCAACAACACACCATCACCACCTCGAAGAACACCTCTCCCAATCGGAACATAAAATATCATAACCTTTATGATGGAACAATCATCTCCTCAGCACGGCCAACCACAAGAGCCGTTCTATACCTGCATCGCCTCTGACTCTCTGTTTACATCAGATGGCAGCATCGTCAACGCGCAGCTTTCAGCCAAGTTGGAGATCGGACAACTCCACAACAGAGAAGGCGATAATTGTTCTTTGTTTTCAAGACGCCCTTCGCTGGACAGAGACTCGAATGGAGCAACTACAAAGTCCACATGGCAGTCTCAGGGATCTCCTCAAGCTGCACTGATCGCTATTCAAAACTGCAAGCTTTGGTTCTTGTTCACAGACGGCAAACAAGAAGATGGAGAGGACGAGAACTTCAACCGCCGCGTTGAACGTCTTGGTGTTGAGGGATACCCGTGTGTCTTTGTGCTATTTGGTTCTTCCAGCGATGGCCCTCCACCCAACACCCAATTCCATGTTTGCGCCAAGACATATTCCAGCGCTCCAAACGCCCTCTTCCTCTTCCACGATGTTGGTACAGATCAGATATACATATTTCATGCCAAAGGCTGCTTCGCGAAGCTCAGTGATGGACGACCAACCATTCAACATAACTGGGAAGGTTGTAAATGGTTTCAACTTCAACGATTTCGATACGAGAAGCTACTTGCTATCAAATTACCTTCTCCTCAACCAGGACTTGTCGCCGACCGGCTTACAATCCACAATGGAACCGTCCTTACCAATGGCGAGTATCGGGCGATGAAAGCTGCAGCAGATGTTGGCGCGCGATTCGACCTACGGAGACTCCAAGAGATAATCAACAAAGCGGGAGAGAAAGATACATTCAAGCCTCAATACTGGAAGCCATCTCAACCTTCCAGTACAGTCGAACGCGTTGATATTGATGGGCAAGCGAGCCATGCAGTCCGCGGTATCTTGATGAATCTCGACCACAAGAGTATGGGCATCGATGTCCCGGAATCAAGAATCGACGGCTATCGCGAAGACCTTCGAGCAGCTAACAAGGCAAACAGACTTGCCTTTGAACAGGCGTTGGTTAAGAAGGAGATGGAAGACCTCGAGGAGAAGCAGAAGAGTAGAGAGTCATTCCTGCTCCCAGTGGTTGATCCACACGAGATATTCTTCCCAGGATTCGTTCGGGGACCAGTTACGATTCGACAACACAGCGAGTTCAGAGGAGCTTGCATGTTCTGTCATGAAGAAGATGTCATGCTGGCCTTCCTGCTACACCGTGTCGAGCTCGTCAATGTTGATAGTCTGCGAGTCACGGGCTTGCCGTTGGTCTTCAACAACATGCTAGTCTGCGATGCGTGCGCTGTCCACTGTCGTCCCGATGGTCTGATGGAACCAAAGGTTGCTGCAGTGCTTCCGCTGGTGTCTGTGATTGACAACGAAGCAGCTTGGACCGAAGTATTTGACACTGTGATTGGAAGTGGAGTTGGGAAGGAGGATATATTGCTGTCTGTGTGGAACTGGCTTAGCACACAGCTGGGTTATGAGGTCGAAGAACTGAAGCCAGTGAGCTACAAGGAGGCTTTGGAGTGGGTGTTGAAGGATTTGGGGAAGTGGGAGGATATCACGCGGAACAGGAGATTTGATACAAAGATCATTCGCTATTAAGAGGACAGAAAGAGAGACAGACTACTGGCTATTGGCGTGCATCCCAGCTTGTACGCTGTATATTATCCGTGTACGAGGAAATTAATGCAAAAAATTTACAAAATTGTCTCGGCATCACAGAGTCATGGTTTATTATGTACAAGCCACTCGAATTCGTCGACTCGTTCCATCATATCTAGGTAGGTTGTGTTCATCATGCCCTTGACGATGCGTGGACCATTGGTAGCTGTATACGCCGACTTCCTCCTTGTTCTTTCCAGTCTTGACATCATGATATACCTGTCCTGGGAGGATGCCTATTGCTAGTACGAGAAGGTCTTCTAAAATCTGATCTCTGATCTCTGTGATATTGGTCAGCATTGCGATCGCGAAGAGGCAAGTAGATACAAACCTTAGGGAAGTTCATGAAAACAAACTTCTTCTTGGCGGTGGGCGCGTTGAAGAATTCGAGGATCGCAGCCTCTTTGACCTCCTTGATTTCCTGGGTGACGTTGACTCTGCATTTTCTGCCATCATTGTAGTACCAAAGCTCCCTGCGAGTACGCTCTGCTCGCATGAGGGCTTTTGCTTCCGCTGGAGTGTATCTTTTGACTTCTACCTCCTCTCCGAGGTCGCCTTCAATGAAATTGTCGATTTGGTCCTCCCCTTGCTCTACCATTTTGCGTTGTTAGACGATGAACGTGAGAACGCTGATTGGGGACAATCAAAGTGACAATCTGACACCTCGTCGCGTAACGAAAGGTTAAAGTTGCCAGGCTGGTATTGCAGTGAAAAGGGAGCGGTTGTGTGGATCGGTTTTGTTGACAGACAGCGTTAAGCACAATACAAGCTACCTAGACAAAACTCCTTCACATGCCTTCTGTTATCAAACCTTTCACGTGAGCATGCCACAGCTAGGCCAAGGAGGTAGCCCTTTCTTAGCCTGACCAGAATCCCATGCCCAAAACTAGGACAATGGGAGAGGACACAACGAAGGGTGTTGCAGTACTGATTCTCTTTCACCAAATCTTTTCTCCCCCAGACCAATGGCACGTGATGGTACGCAAAGCCATTGCTCGAAGCTCTCAAAGTGTCAAAGCAATCTTTGATAAGGTTTCGGGTGATCGGGACGCAGTTCCCCTCAAGTTAAACTTTTCTCAAGACTAAACATGCGAGATCCGACAATGTTGGCCACTAAGCTTCATGAACAAAGGCCTTCAAGCTTCACTATGGTTACCGAACTTTTTCAATTCAGGCCCGAGACCGCAACAATGGCCTTCGGTAACCTCGTACCGCGAAGCATTGGTTTATTTGAATTACCAAATATTCCAATAACCCCTTCATCGATACGACACGCCACTAAACCCGTCGCCAAAGCAAATCTTCGACTCTACAGGAGAGATCTCATAGCGATGACAAGGAGAAACGGAAAGCTCGATAGGACCACTTCGCCTTGGCCAGTCCACAGCCCTCATCCACGTGAAGGGAGAACCTAGCTCTAGAACGCACCCAAGTCTTGCAGCTTCGAGCGGACCTTGCGAAACATTTCCCAAGATTCTGTCTTGAATTTCCAGGGGAAGTTCATGGATAGGTGTGCGAAAAAGAGGCCGGCATGGTGAAAATACCTGGAGAAGGAGATTTATGGCAGCCGGGGAAGGCGGAGTCAGGCCATCCATGAGAGTTGTTGCTGCAGTATATGAGAAAGTCCCAGCGGAATCGACGTGGCAGACCAACATATGCCGGACAGACAAAAGTAGATATGTGCGCTGGTCTCCACGGCCTCCTGTTTTCATGCCTTTGGTACTTTGCTTTGCATCATCTCTTGCAATATCTAATGCCCTTTGAAGATCTTGGTCTAGGACAACTGTAGTTCCTCCGACGTGGAAGAGATGGCGCTCGTAGAATTCCCAGGACGGTACGTCCAGAACGGTAACGTAGTAACTCCGAAAGAAAATATGGTTGTTATGGCTGACCTCATCAATTTGAAAGTCGCATGCTGCTATACTAACGACCGCTTTCGCCAGTCTCCGAAAAGTAGAGTCTGTGTAAGAGGTTCGAAGTATGTGCCGCCACTGATCTGCGAAATCCGAAAGAATTCGAGGAGAAAAAGCGAGTCGACGTTCGGATACAGGTATTGTAGGTTTCTTGTACGGCGGGGGAAATTCAGCAAGATCGAGCTGAGGTGGAGGCGATATCTCAAAAGGGACGAAGTCGGATCGTGGTATAGCATCATAGCTGGGCTTCCGTATGCGATCTAGGGGAAGCTGGATATGGCCACTTTCGTCCGAGTACATGAGAAGGTCCCGATCGAGGTCGAGCGTACAAACAAAGCGCAAATTCTGGCGTCGGTCTCCGAATGGTCTAACCACATCGTCCCGCAAAACCCATTTCTCAGCCAGGCCTTTGTGTAAAGCATTGAATGTGGAAGCTGAGTGGATGGTCAGTGGACGAGTATTAGAGTGTTACGAACTTTCCGACCTACCCTTCGATTGCCCTCGAAGAAGTTTCTGGACTTTATCTATTGTGACCTCAAACTTGAGTTCCCGTCTGCTGAAGATGTAGACGCATCCTGTGCATCGAATAAGCTACCTCGTTCGGAATTGAGAGATGGAATGAGGGGTGAGCTTACCTTCTGAGATGATCTGGAAGGTAGTTGACATCGTGTCTAGCAGCAAGTATTATTCGGCAGCATCAAATGGAATGACTAGCACCGAAGAGGGTTTACAACTTGCAAGATCTTGTCTGGTGTGACGCTGAAGACGAGATTCGTTGTCGAGAATTTGTTGTGGGCAGAATGTCAAGGCGGTTTGATTGAGGTTTGGGCGGTGAAAAGATTGGGGCAGAATAAGCTAAAAGAGGAATGGTGCTTACCAATGCTAAACACCAACATCTCCCCACCAAATATACCAAACTGGGTACTCTGCAACGAATTTATTTCATATTGACCTTCTCCAGAAGTTAGAATACAAGTCAAGTACCCCGCTGTCTGGCTCTAAGCTTGGCACTTATCCAAGTCGAAGGCCCTCTCGTCTTACTGTCTGCGGTCTCCCCAGGCCGCAGGACGTCTGGCCCTCTTCTGCAAGTACTAATGCAGCCCAAATGATTTACAATTTTCATTGCGATGTCCCGTCACCCAATGGGTAGCCCAAAGTTGGGAAGTGATGTAAGTGATACTAGGATTCTCTTTAGCAGCGGTAACACAGTCGCTACTTCCCTTAGAAGCGAAAAAAGCTCACTAGTATATGTACAATAATTCTTTCCAATACTTCGACCCTTTTCTTTCAAACACACCGCCGTGTCTTTTCATTCAACTCCGATTGATCCTCTATTGGCGAATGGTGCCTACACGTTGCATACTAAACGCGCTTTTTACAATAGACTCATTCATTATCTGAGTCGCATTCGCTTCGTCTCAGGCGCCATGGCAAACAATTCCTACGATCTCGGATTGCTCCATGGAAATATATGGCGCCAATGGGCGGATTCGAGTGGCCACATATTCTACCAAAATCTTGTTACTCGAGTGATGAGTTATGAAATTCCCGCTGGCTGGGAAGACGCTGCAGGTGTAAGTCACCCAATCGGCTATCCTATCACGCTCCAGCTTTGCCACGACTATTGATAACTGACCCGGACCGAGTAGGACTTGTGGGCAATTGAATTAACTAAGACTTGGCCGCAATGGTAATTAAGCGCGTCTTCTGCTATTATCACATAGGTATACTTACTCTCTGGTAAGGAATAATCAACGAACTGGTCGTGCGCGCTTGACCGACCCCAATTCCCCACCGCCTGCCACTTACCTCGATGATCGCCACGTCGCAACCCGAATTTCTGTTCTGACAAGAACACCCGATTCGCCCGAGCCTTTGTATAGACGAATGATGAGTGGGATTCTGCAATGGATCTTCACGTCCAACGAGGGATTTTCAGTGCTGCAGGAAGACATGGCAGCTAACCTGCGTCCTGACTTCACTGTTTTTAAGCTGCTTGCAAGGCCTGGCGGAAGTGCGTACGAGTACGACTTCCTCTTGGGCGAGACGAAAGTCCCTGGAGAGCCTTGGGATTCATATGCAGATCATCTGCACACTGTGTGCGCTAATAATGACAACGACACGAAGAATGTTTCTCCGCAATGGCGCAAATTATTGAGTGGTGATAACTATTTTACACCAGAATACCTTCGCATTTATCCAGAAGAAAGATTTCCTAATCCATCAAGAACCTCCGAACAACACGACATCCGACCTCAAATTCAAAAACATCGGCACAAGCTTCCCTCCCGGGATCCATGAATATCTCCAAATGCATTTGGAGATAAGAGGCCCATTCCTCTAAGGACTGCAGGTATTGCGAACCAGACATTGTCGATTGGAATCCTAACATACAAACCTCCCACATGTTTTCCTCTTGTCTCATACAGCAGCGCGTAGGGACGAGCCATCCATCGACTATAACAGATTGTAAAGTTTTAGATTCATCGCGGAAACGAGAGCGGATGAAGATATTGCAGATTCGAGCCGCGTTTTGCTTTATGTATCGGCGCAAACTGTGGCAGACTTTAACAAGAGGTAAAACACAGCTCGAGGTGGGAAGGCTAGTAATAATCTCGAAGAGAATTTCGGGGTGCATCGAAGTGAGATAGTCTTTCTTTGCTATGGCTTCTATCAACTGGGTTTGCCGAGGGTTCATCGCAAGTGGCGGCCGTAAATACTAGTAGCAAATGATTTTTTTTATTAATTATACGACAAAATGGCGAGCAGTCTAAAGGGTTTCTATCCTTTGAAATCAGTTCTTGCGTCCTCAACGCTGCCCGTAACGTCACTCTAGGGTTATGATCACGTGATAAACGAGGTAAGAAACGGAGGGCAAGAGTAGGATTTTCAGCCTGAGGGACCATTTACCCTTGCTACGTAAATAGGAGAACTGGAGGCTTTTACAGCCAATTTTGAATGCTATGGCGAAACCAGCACCTGAGGGTTGACCCTTGCGCTTTCTCCGTTTCCACCGTCTGATACCCTTCCTTCAGACATGACGTCCAATAAAGCCAGCATTGCGTAAGGCTTCCTACTTCCAATTCTTGTTAACTTCCACTTCTAGCTGAAGTCTACGGCTTGTTTGGGAAGCCAGCATTAAGCATGTCCAGCATGTCCATGTGATGTCATTCAAAAGGCAAATAGCAGAGAAGCTGAGAGACATCTTACAGGCGAGACAGGAAAATTATTAAGTTAAATCCCGTGAGTTCGTTCATAAAAATTGCTGCGGAGCAATGAAGCGCATATTATATGAAAGCAAGCTTAAGTAACATTCGTGAGATTCACAATAGGCAATATAGAAGATCGAATTTCAAGGCATGGCGCGCTGTGATCGAGACCAATCGAGTTCGTCTTCGGTGCTCGAGCAAATTAAGCTATTGAAACTTGAAATCAACTAAGGCTGAGTTGAAGGTTCTTTGAAGGTCCAATCTATCACCAGTCCAAATTTTAAAACATTTCAATTATTGTTATGGTTATTCGGAGTTCGGCGAGCACCGGAGGCGGGCTTGATGTCCCTTACCCAAGCTTTGGACCAAACTTTGACCCTATCATCAACCTCCATATCTCCATCTGCCGTCTCTGGGTGGCTAGATGCTTTCTTCGGCCTCCTCCTAATTTCGGTTGATTCGTTTTGAAAAGCCTTTCCAAATTTCCTCTCGCTCCTCACTATCTTATCTTTATGGACCTCGGATGTAGCTTCGACCAAGGGCAATTGATGTTTGGTTAGAGGTGGAAACGCTGGGTTGCCGCTGTGGTCCTCTGTTGTATGTTCGGCAAGTTCGAGTTCGGACGGAGGTGGAAAAGTGAGAACGTGTCCGCGGGACCAAGATTCGATCAAGAACAGTTCATGTTCGGACAGAGGCAGATCCCTGTAGTCCTCCGTTGTATGTTCGACGAGTCTATGCTCAGACACATGCGGGGGTGAGGAAACGTTCCTATGGAACCAAGATGGAGCTCGAGCCAATTCCTGTCGAGGCGGAACTGTATGTTCGACAAGTTTTTGTTCGGGCTGTGGCGGAGGTGAGGGAATGCTCCAATGGAATTTTGGTGGATCTTTGACCGATTTCTGTTCTGGCGGAAGCGGACGGAGACCAGGCGGGGGCGTAAACGAAGAGCTTTCCAAGCCGTGCAACCCTTCCTGAGCCTGTGGAGGTGCACGACGTCTTCCCCTACTAGACTCCTTACGCCAGTGCAGTGCTTCCGGGGGTAGTAAGAATGGAGATTTCCATAGCATGGTACGTTCTGCAACCCTTTCTTCTTCTGTTCGCGGAGATGGCACCATCGAGTACAGAGCATGATCTTCGTCCTCTACGGCTGCCTTATAGCAGTCATCAAGTCCCAGGATGTTGAGCCTGCCATTGTACGGCATTATATGCATCTCGTCCCAATACTATTTCATTCTGCGGGCAAGTGTATTATGGGGGTCGCCCGTCGGTACTTCTATCTGGTCTACTTCTTTCCATTCGTGGTCTTTTGCTGGCTTGAGTGCATCGTACGTGTCCTGTACGCTTGTCCACAATCGGATGATGATCGTGTTTTTGTCGAGTATACGCGCATTGGTCGCGTTTTCCTGCGCTTGTTCTAGTAGGGCCTCGAGTGACTCGCCATCTGAATCGGGCGTTCTGTGACCTTCTAGACATTCTGTTACCTGGCGTTCCCCCCATGGCTCCTGTATAATTTCCTGAGTACTTTCGTGATCTCTCGGATCTTCCATGGCGCCTTCGGGCGTCTCGTGGATGCCCATCCCTGCTTCTCGGGTGTAATGTACATCCGGAATCAAGAACAACGTGTTTTTGTTCTCTTCTCTAGTCGCCACATTGTAGCAATGATCCGCTGGCACATACTTTTTATATCTGTCGCACGTTCTCTTGCCTTTGAGAAAGAATTCAAGGACTATTTGCTTGACGAGAGAGGCTGGGTCGCCATGGTCTACTTTCAGCTCTTGTACCTCTCCCACATGTTCCTCTACAGGGCTTAACATATCACTCTCGTCACCCTCTCGCTCCACGAAGCGTATGACTACGGTGTCGTCAGCTTCTAAGACTGCTCTCTGCGGCGTAGGCAATCTCGACACTAGACAAATTCCCATCAGCAATATAGAGACATCTCGGACGAGAAGCCTACCAAATAGCGTATCTTCCTCTTCGCCGAGTATTTGGGTGGCTACTGTTGCGGTTCTATTCATCTTTTGCTGTGCTGATTCGATTATTTCTTGTATCTGCTCCTCCATATCTAGCCCCTGTGAACCTAGCTCCTGCGTGATTTGTTCCGTCTCCTGCCCCAAGTCTCGCTGATTCAGAGTTCCCGGTTGTGCATCTCCCATGTTCACGTCTTCCTCGCCGATACGTGTGCTATGAGCTAGCAGTAGAGATGTGCTTGAGCTGTCCCTACTGGTAGCTTGGTTCGTCCAAGGAGGCGGGTTAAAAAAGGCAGCGAACCAAGACTTGAGGACAAAAAAGGAGGTAATGCCTTCGTCAGTCTCAACCATATCTTTACTCAAGTGGTGTAAGAATAGATGATTTCGGTCCTGTTCAAAAGTATCGCTATGTGGGAGCCCACATCTTTGCTTTATATCCTGACCCGGGCCGGTCGTGATGACGAGAGGAGCAGACTCTTGAGTGTCTGGGCTCACAAGTGGGCCAACCTCTCCTTTCAATGCCTCGATCTCTGGAGATTTGAAGCCCTCATCTGCAGCGAGAGAAGCAAATCGCTGCAGCACTTCCGCATCTGCCTTTACTCTTGGTTTTGTCTTCAAATTTTTCTTGACCGGCGCTTTAGGCAAGTTTTGGTGGTTACGCATAGCAAAAGCGACCAACACCAAATATCCAAGCCTCATACAATCTTCCGGACTTCCTGTCACAGGACGGAAGGCACTTTCGGTCGTCTGGACTCGCTGGATCTCTCTCTTGCTCTTATACCGGTTGTCGAACGCAGCAGATACCGTTACTTCTTCACAAGAAACTGTCACTAGCCACTTTAAACTATCAACACAGGCTTCTAAAAGATGGACATCTTGAAAAAATGTGAACAAGGAAGGTATGATGCTCTTGAATGCGAGGATGTTCTTCCATATAACCTTGCGTTCTCGAGGACTGAAGTCACTGAAAATCTTCTTCCCACTTAGAACCTGGTCGCGCAAGAAGTCAGCATCTAGGGTCGATACACCTGGTGCCCGGCGTTTCATCTCTTTGACAGTAGCTTTATCTACTCTTCTGCTCCTATCCTTGATTCCTTTCAAGAATCTATCCTAGGCACGGCCAATATGCTCGAGGTAGCACATTAATTCCTATCTACTTAAATAAGGGCAGAATTACGCTAGACGGCATACTTACTTTGTAGGACTTTGTTGCCATTATGGTATTTAGCGTAGTGATCATCATACCAGCATCGAAAAGTCCTGGGAATTTCGTGAGAGCGTCGAATCCGGCAGCAAGCGTGGATTTGAAGAGACTCCGGAGCTTGCCCTCTCTGCTTTCGTTCAGCTGAGCCCACCAACGCATCTCGAGGCTTATACAGGTAGTAGGAGAGAGTCTGCTGCCGGGAATCTTCGGCAGATCCTGATAATCACGGATCTTGCGATAGATCTCGCCTTGGCAAGGCTTCTCTTCATTTGCATACTCCTCGATGAGAAAGTTTTTCAACTCCCAGCTGATGTTCGAAAGGTACAGATCTACAATCCACCATATCTGGCTTAGTGAGAGCCATTCTTTCCCGGCTTCGATCCTGTGGAGCCCGTGAAGACACTGAATACCACCAGGAAATTCAAGTTCTGGGTATCCATCCTGCGTGTGTATGATGGCATAATTGCTCGGCAGAGTGTCCGTCTTCAATTCATTCTTTCGTCGGGAAACCTCTATCGCAGTGTCAAGCAGATCTGGTTCAACGATAGCAGGTATGTGGTGCTTCGCTGGTAGTGGACGACAACCTTCCGTTCGAAATATTCGTTTGAGGTGCTCTAGACGCTTCAGATCAGGTTTCTTCTTCGTCTCGTCCGCTTTTTGATACTCGTTCCATTTTATATATTCGAACCTGACACGAACAGAGCCTTTAGAAATGAGACGACGCTCAGTATCAAGCCTCAAATCTTCTGCATATGCTTGTACCTGCATATTAGTGGGTGTGCTGGCTCTTGGGATTTGGGGTGCATACCTCCTACATGCTCCTTAAAGGTCGAGCGCATGCTGCAGCATTTTCAGCAGCTAGAACCGGCTTAGGTGTAACTTTTGGACTCGGCATCAAGTATTAAAAGCTTATTACCCCTACGCTCATGCTTTCGAAAACCCAGATACCTGTGAAAGATGAATTTATAGAGGAGAAACACTAGGTTCGGGTTATCCCCACTTAGAGGAGCGACCCCCGACTCTGACGGCAATGAGTCGAATGAAACAGCTTCTCTTCTCGCGAGACCTGACAATGATTCCTTGAACAAGTTGAGGAAGAAGAGATGGACGAGTCCAGATGATGAAGCACCGCATAAGATCCGTCGACAACGGGAGGAAGGACATCGAGATGGTGCCGAGCTCAATCAAAACAGATACATTCAACATGAACTTTAGCTTAAGGTCAGCTTCGCTAAGAACGTGAGGATAAGCCATTCATCACCATGGGAAACTTTTACGTACTGCTTTACCCTGGACCTTGAGGATTTGGTTAAGATTGCTGCTCGAGGAAGACGTTTCTATGCTGTAAGGCAACTCTCAGGTCCAGATGCGGATCGAAAAGTTAGCATGCTACAAAGAATTCGGCGCGAGAACGTGCCGAATTTCTTAGCATATCTAGCATGTTTCAGCTATGAAGAATCCCTTTATGTTGTCTTCGAACACGAAATTGCTGAGAGAATCAGGTTCTCCATCACCCTCGCCCACTTGCCGAGAAATATGAATCCATCACGGGGCGTCCGACATGGCCTTAATATCAAAAGCAGGTTCTTGACGGCCTTAAATTCCTCGCCTCGATAGGTTTAGAGCATGGTGCACTCACGTGCAAGGATGTTCTTATTAATACTAATGGGGATGTTCGAATAGGTAGTGTATTTACTCATTTTATTACCAATTATTAATGTGGGACAGCCGGCCAAGAATGCTGCCGTGAACTGGTCTCAAACCGAGGCTCTGAGAAGGATATTAGAGCCGTTAGTTATATAACAATGGAACTTTTGCATAAAGAGCTCGAGACCGGCTACAAAGGACGTATAGGGGTCCAGGATCCCATCCGCTGGCCTCTAGACTGCATGGCAGCCAAATTTCTTTTATTGACAGCGACAATGCGAGATACGGGAGAGCGATATGGTCGGTATTTTGTCGAATGTATACACGGCTGAGTTTTCGGTTCATAGGGGACACGACATACCCGTAGCATAGGCGATAAGAACCGTAGTCACATGTTCTCAAACGATCCTGTCTCCACATTTATGAGCCTCTCGAGATCTGTGATGAAACTTTGTACATATCATTGGCGGGACTGCCGAAACCTGCCCACCGCAGACCATCATTTGTGGATGTAGGCGCTAAACTGGAACTCATCAATTATGCACAAATCCAATAGGCGGTTTTAGTCGTTGGTCTTAGCAGCTTCAAGAGCCAATTTGGAGGTCATCATCATAGAGGCTCCAGAAAGTGATTTGACGCCTTGCCATAATTGGCTTATAAGGAGGACCACCTGCGACATCCTTACCGCCACTTGAACCAAATGTGCACTTTTGACTCACCCCTCCAAATTTCTCCTTTGTGGCTTGAAGCCATATATTGCTTCTCTGCTCCGATCGTAAGAGATCCTCATCTTCTGTTCCTGAGACGAATCAACCGAATAAGAAGAGATAATCGGTCGCGTCAAACCAGCGTCTCTGCAAGCATCATTACTTCTCGTGTGCTTCTATATATACATATAAGCAGAGCTTTCGAATTCTTCCGGCAACGGGCTATCCTGGGATGGCAAACAACATCGAAGTCTATGGTGCCTACGCCAGGGCGCATCATCAGACCTGCAAGTTACATGGCATCGATAGAATGACAAAGTGCTCTGGAATCACGAGGCGGGGTGGAATCTGCGCCAATAAGGCTACAACCCCTTCAACACCTAGTGTAATCCCTACATGTCGAATTCATCGAGATCAACGGAAGGTACCGGCTTGGTGCAAAGCACCACTACCTTGCGGTTTCGAGTGCGGCCGACTCTTCGAATGGAAGCCCCATGGGTTCCAGCTTTGCGTTAGCCATCTTGAAGATTCAACAACCTGTTACTTCGTCAAGATTCCTATAGAGATTCGGTGCCGCGTCTACGGATTTCTGCTTCTAGAGAGAATTATACCGGCTCGACTTGTGGCTTCCGGCTACCGTACAGCCAACGGGGAATAAGCTTGTACAGCAATTCTCCGCATCAACCGTTAGATCCACGAGGAGGCCGCAACATTCCTCTACTGTACTAGAGTATTTACTATTGAGGTCGCTGAAAATGCTTCGAGCATGTGCAATTTGTCACAGGAACCTATGCAACACGGGTTTCACACTATCTCAATTCTGCATACTATGGCACTCGTGCGCTGCAAAACTATTCAAACCCAGCTGATGTTTTTAATTCAGCAATACAACGAGCATGCTCTCATGGCAAGACAGCTTCAAAATATCAGCAATGGAGAATTCGTTTCAAATGTCATATCAACCCCCGCGGGTTCATACAGACCCGTCGAGCCCGTCTGGGATCCGCCAATCAACGAGAGGTATTTCACAATGATTCGGTCTTTCCGGGTCGAACTGATGTTTCATCATCCCATCAATTATACTCGTTGTCAGCCTCCAGGGTCGTCAGCGTCGGATACTGAGAAGCGAAAAGCTCTCGAACTGAGACTTGCCGAGTATTGCGATAAGCTGCACAAATTGGTCGGGAGGTTCAAGCGAAGGCCCATTGCTCACTTGGAAATTGCCATGAAGTTTTCGAATGCATACGTCGAGTTAGCCAGCTTCCCGACGCCCTTGGAGGTGTTTTCCGTCGCTCAGGCTCTATTGAACCCATTTCGACGTCTTTGCAACATCGCTAGACCCTAGGTGGTCTCTGTCACGACAAACAGATTTCAGAACCATGAAATGGAATTCCTGTTCCCAAATCGAGTTTCCTCTGCAGCAATTAGGGGCTTTGCCAACTACCTTAAATGCTGGTCCAAGGATCTGTCTAGCCCGCAACCATCGTCCAAATGCAACCAGTTACTGGAGATTTACTGGAGGCTAGAGAGCCTTCTGGCCAGTATAACGGAGCACTGTAACCTTGACCAGAGATTCTTTCAATTCGGACCTCTACTCCAGGCCGCGAGAATTGCAAGAGAGGCTAGCAACCTTGAATATTTCAAAAAGAGCTGGGATCGGGTAGTTGCTATCTGGTTGGAGCGTCTGGACGACCAGAAAGTCTTCCGATCTAATGTGACACGATCAATTAATGTCATTAGTAGTATAATCCAGAAGGGTCCTTGAGCGGTTGGGCCAAGGTTGCTTAAAGTTAGTTATGTGTGACAACTTCGAGCGCCGAAGGAACAAAGTGCAAGAATTGCAGATCAAGGTGCAGGAGATGTTAGGATCATTTGCGCTCCGGGTAACAGCGCCTTCACGAAATCCAGGAAATTACCACCGCGCTGAAATACAATGGAAGTCAATGAAGGGCTCAACTCTCAATGTTAGCTTTCTATAACCAGTTCCTCAAGCTGCAAGGATTTGACGTGATCAATAACATTCAAAGTTAGGCTAGTTGCAAGTCTAGCCATTATATATAATATCATATTGTGTGTACAGAGTTTGAGATGCTTAAATTCAAAGGACTTATCATTTCTCTCGGCACGGCGTGTTTCTCGCTATGTAGGGAGGGACGTTTAACCTTCTACATGCCACTCAGCAATTAAACTTACTTTTCAAGGTAAACTTCAATCAGCACATAACGATACCTTTCCCTAAGGAACTAAACGTCGGAAAGATCTCGAGTAACGTCTGTCCCTGCGTCCAGAGACGCACCCTGTAACGAGACAAACCGTAGGTACTTCGAGTTCAAGCGACTTTAAATCTGTAAACGCATTGAAATTTCTATTTGTTTTTATTTCAATTGTATTATATACGTCTCCCGAACACTTCTGACCTATTAATTCCGAAAATTATTATTGCGTCGTCGCCGCCCCCTTAAATTTATAGAGAGCCTCCTTTTACACTATATTAGGACCCCTCGACTTGCGACACCACCATTAAGCTTTTTCACCTTTTAAACTTATAGAACGATTAGATATGGATATTCGGGTTTTATTATAATGCTAAAAAGCTATCGTCAATCTTGTGGCGGCCAGGGCGCGCCATGTCATACGACGTCGCCACATGGGCTGATACCTCCTCCAATCAGGCGATCAAGGTCCTGGTCAGTTGCGTCGTGGTTACAGTAATCTCGGTAAAATTTATTATATTTTTATGTAATAAATCCTGTGGCTACACGATATCCCCTGCGTAGCGAGAATTTCTCTCTTGTGTAGCTTCCCCTGTCGCTGAGAGCTGCCATCTCTGTAAGGCTCGATCAGACTCGAGGGTTCTATAGTGACATTGACCGAGTGTTTTCCTGCGCGAATCGCGCGCTCTTGTCATTAGTTGAAACGCAAGTTCAGCTTGGCCTTGGGATTTTCGCACGAGTGCAAGATTGTGGATGCTCAGCAGCGTTTCTTCATGTTCGCTACCTCGTACCTCCTCTTGAGCCAATATGACGTCCTCACACACTGCTGAAGCTTCATTGAGTCGCCCTTGATGATGGTAAATGAGAGCAAGGTGCGCCTTTGACCAGATCGTGTGTGGATGATTTAACGGTAGAACTGATACTCTTCCTTCAATAACTTGAATGCAAGCATCTTCTGCTTCGTCCCACATGCTCTTTTTGATATAGATGTTTGTCAAGATTAGCAAGGTGGTCAAAGTATCTCTATGACGTTCACCTAGCACCTCCTTCCTTGCTGCGACTAGTGGTACCACGAGGTCAACTGCTGTATTCAACCTCTCTTGCCTAACATAAGTCGCAGCCAAATTGGCTACAGCCATCAACGTTGCGGGGTGTTTATCGCCCTGTATCTTCTTTCTTGCCTTCAACACTTCCAGCTTCAATTTTTCTGCTTCATCTAATCGGTACAGTGCATGATACGCAGCTGCTAAACAAGCCATCGCCTCCACCGTGCTTAGGATTTCAGAACCAAGGCTGTTCTTCATCGATTGAACAACAGGCTCTAATAGAGTCGCTGCTTCTTCGCATTTGCCCAGTCCAAGGTATATTTCGCCGAGCGCCGTAGCCGATTTGATGGTGTTGCGATCGTCGTCACCCAGTTCATTAGTCTGGGTCTCAAAACCTGGAGCTGCAATTTTTTGGCGTCTTCATAGCGAGCTTGGTCGAAATAGACCATGGCCAATGAAGTCATCGACTCCAAAGTGTGTGTATGTCCCTCGCCCAGGAATTTCCGCCTGTACGCTAGCGCCTTCTGCTGCAATTTTTCAGCCCCTTCCCAGAGTCGAGTTGTCGGAGAGTCAGAGCTAGGCGAGCCATAGATTCAACCGTGCTCGGGTGGGTCTCTCCGAGGACGCCAAGTCTTTTCTTCATCACTGTCTGCCCTAATTTTTCTGCATCCTTCCAGTACTCATTCTCTTCATATAAAGTCCAAAAATAATTGGACGCATCATCATAATACTGGTCAGGAAGACCTGTTTCGACTCGGAACTGATACAAAGCATGCACGTGAGGGATCAGCTGCCGGCGGAATGTGTAATTTTCCTCGGTGCTTCGTGACCCAGCTGCAGTGGCCAAAAGGGCAGTGGCTGTACGGAAAGCATCCGCTTGCTCTTCCTTCGTCATTCGGTGTCTCGCCCAGTATTGTACCAGAGGATGGACTGAATATACACCATTCGAGACATCAATTTGGATGAACGAATGCTTCAAGAGCATTCTGATCGCTTCTTTGAATATAATTGGGTCCCAGCCGCCTTGTTCGTGGGTTGGAAGGATATGCCTTGGGAGATGGTCCCTTGCTTCTGGTAGCCCTAAGGCCGGAGAGAAATTTTCGTCTGGCGGTAGTGCATCGCCAAAGCTTGCAGCTCTTCTAAAAATGTCGTCCATTATACCGTTTGGGTGGAAGAATGAAAAAATCCGGAAAATGTGGAGTGCGCTGTTGAGAACTTGGCCTCCCTCAGTGACGGCATTCCCCTGGATTGCGACAAGAGATGTCTCCCAGGTAGCAATTAAATTGAGGTCATATTGTGATGCCCCCTTAAAGGATGGATGAGCAAGTAGTCGCAAAGGGTGCTGGTGGAACATCTCGAGGTAGTCGCGGTAGTTGCAAAATCCATGCGCAATCGCGACCCCGGCATGGCGAATGGCAAGGGGGATAAATCCAAGCTCATTGACTATCAACCTCAGCCTGGCAAGGGTCTCATCGGATGGGTTAGTAATATGAGCAACCATGCACAAGAGAGAAATCGCCTCTCCTTCTTCCATTTGTTCAACTTGTGCAAACGCTCCTTCGTGCACTAATTGACGCATATTCGGGTTTCTGCTTGTAATTAAAGTGTTTCCACGATTACTGGGGGCAAGGAACCTTTCAACAGTCTCTGGTTCCTCGTCGGCATTGTCAAAAATCACAAGCCACTCTTTGTCCTGACGAGAAAGCCACCGAACAATCGAATCTATCGAGTCTTCTACTCCATCATATGTGGCTGCTGGATCGAGAGCAATCTCCCTGAATGATAAATCTAGAGTCGTAGCGCTTGTCGCATCGATCCAGAATATCTTCCAAAACCTGAAGAAAAGAGTATAAGAGGTACAGTAAATGATGGAAAAAGGCTCTACGTGAGAGGACTTACATGTGAGTGCTTTCTTCCGCGAACTTCAGGCATATTTGCGTCTTGCCACAGCCGCCTAAACCATATAGTACGAAGTCCCTCCTGCGGAGCCGCGATGTCGTCTCGGGCCCAAAGAAATCTCTTAATCGGCTAATAAAGTCTGCACGGCCGGTAAAATTTGGGCATGAGTATTTCAGTGGCCTGTATGATGTCCCTTCTGTAATATACAATTCATGTTGTTGTTTGGGAGATGGAAGACGATCAAGTTCTGGGTCATCGGTTAGCGCTTGCTTTGATTACTATGAGATGTCAAATTGAAGTTCTGCCCTTACTCCTTGAAGATTTGTCGATCTCCTCCCTGAGCCGGATTAACACATTATCTCTCCCTTCGCCATAGATAAGCGGCATATAGACGTTAAATATACCTAGTAGCGAGTACGCCTTGTCTTCTTTGCGCGCGGTCTGCCGATTTTCTGCCCACAGCAATCGGTCATCGACTCTGAACTGGGACAGAGGGGCTCCTTGAAGTGCTAAAACAGCAATTCCTGTTATCTCATGAATTTGTTGCTCTAGAGTTTTTTTATCGCCTAGTCGCTTGCCTGCTCGGGAGAAGAGTTCAACTGAATCTGGGGCAAGCAGTTCTTGAAGGGTCCAACCCCGTGTAAACCATCTACTTGCCCGAAAGGCTGATTCCCAAGTAAACTCGGACAATGGAGTACTTGTGTTCGGTTTCGTTATCGAAACATCTGATAGATAGACGTAGCATTTAGTCGACTCGCGGTACCAGCGAAACATAGAGTTGATGGCCTCTGCAAGTTCAGTATTGTTCGATTTGTCGATACAACATGTGTCTACCCAAAAGTAGTACAAGCCGTCGCGTCTGGCCTGTTCTCCGCAAAATCGAATCTTGCCATAGCCAGCCTTGCTCTTACCTGTGCCATCCATCAGGTCTCTAAAGGTGACCTCCTCTGTATCTGCTCCCCATGTGTGCGAAAGTATGGCATACCGAAAGACGTGGTCGCCGAAGTCCTTGGTCAGGCTGAACTCGCCATCGTTGTTGCGTTCTAGAAGACGCATTTCTCAGACCAGATTTTCGAGCATTCAGGAAGAAGGGCTCAGTGAATATTTGTCGCAGAGTCGGCATGCATGCGAACTTATTTGTTGAGTTGGGAGTGGAGGTCGGATCAAGGCTGCGCTCATATCGACTCAGCGGAGTGGCAGCCTCGCGGCAATGGTAGCATCGTTGCACATCGCTGCGAGCGCGCAAAACTAGCCAATCGCTGGCCAGCTACTGTAAAAAGCCATGACCGGCTATCTAGACTTTTCGACATTCATACGCGACTCAAATATGGTTTGGTTTTGTTGCTGAGGGTATATATTAACAAGCAAGCACAAAGAGGATGACAAAATTCAGTCGACTTAATTCCTTAGACAGAAATCCTATTTCGAGGGGAAAGCCAGCTAGCCATTAGCGTCGGGAGAGCTTGACATGGGTAAGTTAGTGTGCTGAGTTTAAATGCTACTAAAAATAACGATCTCGCAAACAAAGACGAAAGCATGTTTCGTCTGAAAAGTCTACGCCACCGCGGCCTACTCGTTACCCAACGGATCAGGTTTGGGCTCTTTCGGTTCTTTCATCTCCCGATCCGTCTCGACTCTCCACTCCCTCGCTAGCTCGCGACGTCCTGCCCGTGTATGTGTCCGTACATCCGCGCGGTGCACACTCGTCTCGTACATATGCAGCCAGAAGTTAGACTTGCAAGACCAAGCGCTCCAGTACTTGGGGCACGCAGGGTCCTTACAATACCATGCCCACCGACGGGCGCTGCACAGGTCAGCGTTATCCGCGTCGGTATCGCTGTTCGTCAGGTAGTCGAAGACGGATAAATCGGCGGGGGCGTCGACGATGTTGGCGGTGTCGAGTGGCTCCGTCGTGAGCATCGCTTGGTAGTTTGGGTCAGACGTGTTAAGTACGGTGCTCGATGGAGCTGGTATTGTGGATTCTGAAGTTCTGCAAACGGTTAGAAATGAGTATTAGGAAGAGCTGCGTGAATAAGGTGGCGCTGACCTGGTGTTCGGCCTCCTAGGCCAGTTGTACGCCGCAACAGCGGGTCCCGAAATCATCCCCAAAGCTTGTACAATCCCATTAATTGTAGCAACCCCATATCCTCCCATTCCTGCACTCTGCAAATATGCAAACACGCTACGTGCGCCGACATTTCCTAGTATCGACTGAAGCCAAACCGCGACAGAGCCTAATGCGATGTAACAAAATTTTAGTCTTGATCTTACTGCGAATTCCAACTATGATCACTCACCAGCAACAGGGCCTGAAGCCCCGAAACCCATCGTTGCGAGGAGAGGGCCGGTAAGGGCAGCAGGCGTAAAGAACAGAATGCCGTTAGCAATTAGCAAAGCGCTCTGTCCTGGGTTGGCGGCAATCCATCTGTGAACGTCGGCGGGGACATTTGTGATGCTGACTCGAAACACTCTACTCTGCGCAGTATCGCTGACGGGCTGTTGGATGACTTGTAGACTCATCGCATTAACTACTTATAATGTAGTAGTACTGTACAGTACTAGGATAAGAATGGAATACGGAAAGGCCAATTCTGGTGTTTGAGAGTGCAACCAAGAAGGTTAGACGTTGGCACTGATATAGTGTTCGCTCACTATCTGTCCAACCGCAGTTTATCCTCGCGTCAGCCATAAAGTCTTGGAACAGCCACAAGCTTGGTGAGCGATTACATAAGTAAAATTCACCACTCACCAGACTAGGAAGTGCGGGGTCGTTTTGCTCTCACTTACCTTATTCGTTAAACTCGGGACAAGTGAGAATCAGGCTATGCACGTCTTTGCCAACCATATGCTTTAAATACGACATTGAGTTACCGTCTGGCAGACAAACGGGGCGAGCCGCAGATTCCAATTGCAGGTGCCAAATCAGCATGGTACACATGGCCATGCCTGGTGCGCGAGTGTGAGGGTGGTTAAAAGATAGCAGTAAGGCTCTTTATAGGTATTTCCCTTTCACGAACGTGACCAGCATATCTTAGTCCGTGGTTTGATTTCCAACTCCCTTAAACCACTTTTTCCTCAAGCAATACCAACTTTTTTTTCTAGTTCTCAATCCAAATTGGTCCATAATCAGCCTTGTAGCTTTAGATCCACAATGGCGTCTTCCTTTCCCAGCATATCGCAAGCCTTAGCCTACTTCGAGAGCTCCGATCCGGCCAAGTTGGCTGCGGAGGAAAAGGCCCGTCAAGATGCACTCGCAGAGCGTCTGCGCATTTCAGCTTTCAGTGGCCCGCCGAACGTCTCGCCCTCGCCCCACGAAGCTGAAGTTTCACAGGCCTCACGTCCTAAAATCCCGCCCAGACCTGTAAGAAGGCGAGAGGCGAGAGAAACCCCATCCATTCCAGACACGATCCTCCCTCTCACTCCTCAAGACTCCACAATCACAGTCTCAAGTCGACATCGCGACCTTCCCACTTCAGAAGCCGAAGTCACAGCCCTCCGAAACGAGATCTCGGGTATTCAGGTTGAGGTTGAAGGCTTGAAAGAGCAGCTTGGGATCAGGAATGAGGAGTTTGAGGTTTTGAATAAAAGGCTAAGGGATACGGAGCGCAGGTATGAGGAGGCGATTGTAGATATGCGGAGGAGTAGGGAACAGAAGCAGGAGTTAGAGGATATAGTGGGAAGATTGAGGAGGGAGTTGGATGGGACTAGGAATGCGAGGGACGTGGCTCAGGCGCAATTGGCAACAAGGCAGAGGGAGTTGGTTAACGCGTGGGAGACGTTGAGAGTTAGTGAGGAGCGGAGAATTGAGGAGGCTAGGCGGGTGGAAGCTAGAGCTAGGGAGGACGAGATAAGGGCTGATACGAGTAGAAGAGTGGGGGACGAGGCGGCGAGGAGGATAACTGAGCAGAGGTTGATTGAGGAGGCTAGGAGAGATGGAAGGAAAGAGGGACGGAGAGAAAGGAGGAGGAGTAATGTAACATTCGTGGTGAATGAGAGGCCCAAGAGCACCGTGGCATGGTCTCTTTTCATGGGACGGACAAACTAGAACTTGAGCCGCGCGATTGCTACAGTAATATGTCTTTCTGAAATTCCAATACTTTACTGAATTTCGAAGGCTTCGTGTGAGCTGCAGGCTAGCACCCATGTGGGATGACAGAGGTTGTCGAGGCCAGTCCGCACGGCCTTGCGTCAGCCACAGTCTTGAACAGCCACTAGCCGTTGCAAGCTTAGCAAATGATTACATAATTGAAATTACAGCATTGCCAAATACTTACTTCAAGACTAAAATGCTTAAAGTGTTATGTTTTTACCCTCACTCTGTGTGAGGTCACGTGGATTGGTATAGTGAATAAAATGAGATAAAGCAATTATATTCGAAGTTAAGAATATTAACAAAGTTGAGCACGAAGCTTTTAACTACGAGGCGTAATCGGCCGTCATATAGAACCTCCCCAGATACGGAGTCGTTGGAGTACATGGAGTCGTATGGAGTACGCGACGACTCTAAATACTTCATCACGTGACCCGAAACCTGTCTAGCCCCGTGATTCGTGACAATTAATTTTTTTTATTCGTATAAAATTATTATTTCGTTATATTATTTTTTATAGTTTTTTTTATTATAAAATAACGCAAAATTTATTTAATTTCCTAATGTATATATTTAATAACGTCCTGAGTCAGCCACCGAACTAATATCTGGCGCCCATTGTGACGGCACTGTCACGACTCTCTCCTTACCCTGGTAAGGTCACGTGGGTTGGTATGGTGAATGAAGTAAGATAAGGCAATGATATTGTAGTTAGGAAAACTTAATCAAGTTGAGCACGAAGCTCCTACCTAATGGGTGACGACCCAGAGTTATATAGACAATAAGAAACTTGGATCATGGCTGGATCAGCGATCCCACGATCCAAGGGTACTGGATCTATTAGATCCAAATGATCCAATCACATAACCCCAAGGCCCACCGCCAATCGGGGAGCCTCGCCTGCTGAGCCTATAGTCCACTAGTCCCGTGATCGTGACAGGCACGTACGAGAAAGCACAATGAAGGCGTCGTAGACTGCTCTATTCGAAGATACTAAGCTAAGGAAAGGAGAAGAGAGTCTCCCGGAGGGAGACGAAGGCTATTTATACATGATACGGGCACTGGTGGACCTATTCCACGTGCGTAGCATGTGACGAGTGGTTCAACTCGTCACACCCATACCGCCGCCTGAGTGGCCCAGCCTCTAATTTGCTAGCCGAGGTTGTCAGGGGAAATAAGGGAAACTTTAGTCAGGGTACGGGAATCCCTAACCGAAGATCAACTCTAATTTGCCAATCGTTGCAACAGACCCCTGAATGGTGGAATAATCAGATGAAGATCCTCGTATTGCAAGATTTCTATGCCCCAACGGCCCGTTAGATCGCTGGCGAACCCGTGGCTGTGGGCGCAACGGCCCAAAGAGAGTTGTTTCTCACCAGAGCGAAGCCCCATGGGGTAAGATCCGGTGTCCTGATGACCTGGGATTGCTTGCAGAAGCCAATCCCAACGTCACCGCTATTGTCAGTGCTGCACTGCATCCCGTATCCTGAGCGGCACGCAGTCAAGCCCTCTAGGTCTGCGATGCTACCCTGCCCAAGTAGTGGTAGAAATAACAGCATGTACCCCACGATTCCAAGTCTCTCTTTTGTCTTTATCCATCCAATACTCACGCTATGCAGTCACTCGTTTTCCTGCTTGCTCTGTCGGTGGCATCTGCCTCCCTGATACCAAGGACAAGTCCGAACCTACCCTCCTCGGCGTTCCCAAAATTCCATACCCTCTCACAATCTGATGCAGAGGCTGGAAAGGACCTACCCGAGGGCTTCAATACATCAGCCCCGCACACCAATGCTCTGAATGCGGCAGCTACAGTAGTGACCGCCGCAGAGGCAGCCTGCAGTGCGAGCCCCAACATGCGGTTTGAATGGCGCCAATATTCAGGTTCAGACCGACTCGCATTCATCGCTGGTATCAAATGCCTCATGAACAAACCCCCTTCTGGAAACTTCCCGCCGTCAACGAGTCGATACGAAGATTTTGTCCGCCTCCATCAATTAGATATGCCCAATGTCCATGGCAACCCCAAGTTCTTGGCCTGGCACAGATACTACCTCTGGACGTTCGAGCAAGTTATGCGAGACGAGTGCGGCTTTGATCGGGCTTGGCCATGGTGGGATGAGACGTTGGATGCTGGCAAGTTCGCGCAGTCGGATATGTTTACCAACACGGCATACTTTGGTCATCTACCGCCGCCAGATGCGAATGGGAACGGATATTGTATCGAGAGTGGTGCCTTCGCAGGCCTGACTTGCCACATTGGACCCGGATCGAGCAATACACCTCACTGTCTTTCACGCGCTGTCGACGAAACCCAGACGGCGCAGTGCAATACTGGTTTTGTCAACTACTGCAACTCGCGGACCTCGTACTCGGATATGGAGAGCTGTGCTGAGGGAGGGTAAGTCTGATTATAGCTGAGAAGAAGAAGACTCACACTAACATCCCGAATAGTCCTCATGCGTATGGACACGACGGTATTGGAGCTGTCATGTCAGATGTTTCAGCAAGTCCTAGCGATCCCATCTTCTGGATGCACCACTCTTTCGTCGACCATGGGTTCCGCATCTGGCAGAACGCTGATGTTGCAGATCGCACGACAAGTATCAATGGTAATGACCATAACGGCAATCCTTTGACGATGGATACAATGGTGTCTGTGGGCGGAATTCGTCCTGATGTTAGGATTGGTGATATTATGAATACTTTAGGTGGAGTGTCGATTGGTGGAGTACCGTTCTGCTACCGCTATACTTATTAAGTGAGCAAGTCAAATGTCCTGGTATATGTTGGTGCCTCTCAAGCTCTCTGCCTGAGGCTTGACGGACACATTATTTGATAATCATAATTGGACAACATGTAAATATGCCCAAGGAGTTCTTGTCACGAAGCAAGCATTCACATCAATCTGTCCTTGAAACAGAATGAGACTGCAAAAATTTCTGTTCAATGCAGTGTATTCTATGCTGAAATTTCCGAATAGCCTTTGAAGAGTGCCCGAAACTAGAATAGTAGGAGGGGACACGATGAAGAGACCGCTATTGCGATATGAAATTTTTTTTATTAAACTTTTTGTTTCATATTAAATTAAAACGGTACGTAATATATACAAAGTTATTAAAATCGTAGAATTATATTTATTTTACTCGCATTTTAATTTTAAGCAAATAAAAAACGAAGCTCTTTTTCTAATTTTAAATTTCACGTGGCAAAGTAATTGTACTTTTGATTCTTGTTTATAAGTCTACCAATCTTGCGACCAGATTGACAATTTGATACGATAAAGTATTTAAGTACAAATTTCGCCTTCGTAAGGTAGCCGAACGTCTTTACTTCCAAAGCCACAATGACTTGTACCATCCTCATTCACACCAACTACACCCCACTGAACGGGACCTAACTCGGCATTTTTGTCGTCAGGTTGAGCATGACATGCCGCAGATATGACCAAGCTACAGCCACCAAGCAGCGGTAGGCCTGGAGAGTAACGCATGAAAACGCCCATGCTCACACAAGTAAAGTAGAGCACTCCGCCAAGAATAATAGAAAGCATCAACGCTCCTGAGGTCCAGCCGAGTTGAGTAAATCCATAATCTGGCAGCTGCTCGCCGTCCTGGAAGAGTGCCATTCTTACTAAGAAGATACTCTGTGAGATTGCCCAGTGAAGAGTTATCATGACGGCAAGCAGAGGAATAGAGTATCGATACGGGAGCTGAAGCCAGTAGGTCGAGCGTTGCTGTCCTCTTGGCGACGACAGACGAAGTGGCTTTCTCTTGAAGGCGAAAGACGCCCACTCCGCGTTTGCAAGCATTGCCGTCATGATTGCGTTTAGCTGGAAGTATGCGATTGACACCAGGAGCTGTGGTGCGTTTGCAATGAGAACTATTTTGATAACTGATGGTGACTGCTCATCTGATATGGATACGACTTGTCCAATTGACACTGAGTTTCCAGCTCCAAATTGATTTAGCCCGGTGTTATAGCTTTGAGATGTGTTGTTGTAAACTCCAAGGGCAAGGAGGTAAATTGATACCCCCAAAGTAAGACTGACTCTATACGCAACGTGGGTCAGCGACATATCTCGGATCCACACAGTGCAATTCGGGAGTGAAAGACCTAGTTAGCATCTGGGGGAAGTTGTTTGTGGAAAGTGTATCAAGAGGATACTCACAATATTGTTAAGAAACTCCAGCGTTTCCAACTGACACTTCGGAACCATCGATTGCGCTGCCTCTTCCACCTATTTGACTCGTTTGTGCCCTCTAATCGAATATACGACCCACTTTGAACATCTTTCTTGGATAAAAGACACCTTCCCGAGGTGGTGTCGTCTTTGCTTGCGACAAACGAAGCTATTGCATCGCCAATAGTGATAAGAGGCCTATGCTGGATTCGGAATATGGTAGCCAACATACATGTGACTTTGAGCAGATTGCTAACCACAACAACTATCAAGATGGTAGTGCTGAACTGAACTGAGCATCGCATTGGCTGCTCGTCAGCCAGACAATATGATATAGGGAAGCCGTTGATAGTCCAGGGTAATATGCCGCTTTCCAAGGACTTTAGATTGCAGCCCGCGATTTCAGCAACACCGAAGGTATCAAGATCGAGGGAATCTCTGCAGACCCATAATAGCCCAAGGGTGATATCTTGCTGCGTATCGGCGTTGTATGCCTCGATCATATTGGTGTCGTTGAAAACGGATGTGAAGTTTTGAGTAGAAGTCGTAAAGTTGCTTGCCCAGAGAATATTTTGAGATGAGGATCCGAACGCAAATATAACATCGCTTGGGATATTCTCATCGGATGAGACTGCAACGACGGAACCACCGCTAGTGAGGTAAGACGCCCCGGAAAACTCCACCTGCGCAGCGGAATATTGTTTTATGCAATCGCTATTCGAGATGTTCTTGAAATTTGTAAAATCAACTTGATCGCCGCTATCGGGTTCGACAAATTGTCGATTCCCTGAAGCTATAAAAGAAGAAGACACGACAGCTGTGGTATAGAGATTACCACCCGAGGTTTCAAATGCGACAGAGTTATATCTTGTGCGCTAGTCAACACCAAAGAAAACGCAGCAAAGCTGCAAATATGTAGGAGGGGTTTCATACAGCAAATGAATGGGAAGACTGCTAAGCACCAGGATCCACCACAGTACAATTCTGTCCCAGCTCATAAAACGCATATTTCGTACACTGGACATTGACATCTTCGAGTCAGTATACTTCTTTTGGACATCAAGAGGAGCTCGGGAGTTGCTCGGCTCCATTGGGGTCTCACAGCGAGCGGAACTCATGACACGACCTAGAAAGGAATTCAAGCTCCGAAGGAGTCACATACCTGGAAACTCCGACGTCTGCCCAAGATCCTCGTTGGTGAGCTCTGTCGATCTCACTTCGAGTACACGAACTCAATCGTTGCATGTAGTAATTCGAAGCCGCAAGGAGGATTGTTGCGAGTATGTTGATTACATAATGTATTCCTTGAGACAAGCGGGAGGCACCGTCGCAGGACGAAGTTTCTATGGCTGGGTAGCCATCTGGTCCTTTCTCCCTCAAACCGAACGCAACCACGAATAGGAGAACAAAATTCAGCAGCAGAATGACTGAGGCTGCGACTGCCTGCCAAACATGTCCAGATAACGTTTTCGTTCTTGGCGATCCGGCTTGAGCTTCACGTGGATAGTCGGTCTCGGTCTGTTCAATCTGTGTATAAGTTTCTCCAAGGGGATCCCAAGTTGTACTGCTACTCTTGCTGATACTATTCTTTCTTAAGGACCTTGTTTCGGTATCATCCAGTGATAATTGTCGGGCAGGGAGGTCTGCAAGGCTGGATCTTGTCAATGCTAACTTACGCGAACAAGTTAGGTAATACTTACACGTAGCCTGGAGATTCTCCCCAGATCTCGTCCGAGAACGTGGAGTTCAAGTGATCTCGATACGTTTCCATCGTGAGCGTGATACGTGAAGAGAGTCTCCAAAGCTTGGCAGCGACATTTATGGGTGATTGTCAAACAGCCGCCATGCTGTGCCTTGCTGCGCCGCATAAGGCGGAGCCCCCTCGCTTTCGCAAGATCGATCGTGCTGACATCATCTTCACCCCTTGTAACTTACCTCTGAACCAACCACATCCATTTTGTCGTCTAAACCCCATGTCCTAGAACAAACCTCAAAATAAGTTTTAACGAACTGCCGGTCTCGCGATCGCATTTCTACACAGCCTCATAATTTTGATTTCATATGTGAACAACAACAACTTTGAAACTTTCATGTTTGTACAGATACTGCAGAAACAAATGTGATCTTAAAATTTTCTGACACATAGAAACAGGCTCGCTTAAGCTGCAGCACCAGGAGTGGCTTCATAGCTAAGCAAGCTAACGTTAGGAATGCCGAATTGGCAAAGAGCTCGACGGGCCATGCATCCTGTTATATGAAGCAAGCACGAGAGCTTGAGTGAGGAAGGATGTCACTTGATACCTTTTGGGCAATAGCAAATCGTTTGCGGTATCTGACTTTATGATGGTGCCCGAGTGGGTTTTTAAAGTAATGAATATAAAGGCTAATTTGTTGAACATGCTAGTCTTAGTATTTAGAAAGTTGATACAGCTAGTTTCAAACAATGAGTCGTCGAAGATGGGTAGTTTCGTAAAGATACAAGAATCTAAGCAGACGGGGAAAACGGGTGCATCCGGCTGTTATATATAGCTGAAGACTCATCTTTTGTTAGACGAGCTCGTCGATATCAATTTTAATAGCTTGAACGCGATTAAGAAAATGACGAATGGGTTTAGCGCTTCGAATTGGGCCCAAGAATGGCATAGCGTCACTAGACAACTTGCATATCAAGTCGCAACTTCTCGTTTCTTTGACCTTCTCCTTCTTCCTTCGACAACAAGTTGAGCCTTCCTGAGCATTCTACTTCATTCTTGCATTTCTTCTGCCTTCGACTACGAGTAAGCCAATCATTCAATCATCACATCCAAGTCATACCGTTCGACTCTGTCGCAATAGCTCGCCCAAAGTACACGCCGGCAGAGGCCCGAAAGATGGTACGAGACCAACTTCTTTAGTCAAAGCCGTTGCATTACAACTATGAGAAGGGAGCAATGCTCACCGACGCTGAGGATGTTGACGAGGTCGAGGAAGCCGAAGGCGTCAAAGTCAAAAACGAATCCTTGATCTGCAAGCTCTTTAATCTCCCACGAGGTTAGCAACATGCGCAAATCATTGGACCCAGATACTAACATACTATATTAGAGATCAGAGATAAGATCCTTCGCCATCTCCTCTATCGCCCTATTGCCATCCTGCCAGGTCCAGTTCGCGTGAAATGCAGCATCGGTTTCCGCCATAGCCCTGTAGTAGCAATCTACAGTTACCAGTGGGACGACAGGCGGCAGCGTGGCCACGACCCATTTGGTCTTCCTACATATGATGGGAGCCTGCAAGGCGTGCAGTTCGCTTGGCGCAGCAAGCCTACGAAGGAACAACTTGATCTCATCAACTCTAGCGCTATTGTCACGAATAGATTGAACAGCGACGAGAGACTTGACATGACGACCTTCGATGAAGAGCTCGGTGCTGACGTATTACATTACGTCCTTCGTCGTGGCAACAATCCGATTCGAATCATCAACCGAGCCGTGATCCGTACCTGTGGTCTTCAGCCACAAATTCTTCATACATGCAAGCAACTTTACACGGAAGGCTGCCAGATTCTATACAGCGAGAACACCTTCGTCTTCGACACCAGAGGACAATCCCCTTATACCCACCACTGCGGTGTCCACGGCCATGATGCATTCGACAAGGCTGCATGGCAGATCCCAAGTCTTCCTAACAATGGCCGCCCGCAATCTCCATACCACATGAACAACGCTCTCGACTACATGTTCGAGAAGGAGAAGTTCCATCAACCCTTCATGCAGCGTGATCCTATGTCGACCTTCTTCCGAGCCATTGGTCGGAACAACGCCTCGATGTTAACATCTGTCAAGCTGGAGGGTTACATGCGAACCGCCGAAACCAACCCCCAATATCAAACCGAGCGCCCTATCTCGTTTGCGAGGATTCTCCCTATCCACGCTACGATCCTTAGGAACATCTGTCCCAATCTCCGCAAGTTGACTATCCATCAAGGAGCCAATGACGAATTGTGGGAGGATGATGTTGACGGAGCACTTGGACTGAGCAACGAAGAGCGAGTCGATATCGCAATCGAGGGGGTCGTCAACGCACTTCCTCATCTGCAGGAGTTAGAACTGGGAAGCTATCACTTCACTCCATCCGAAGCAAATGTTAAAGTCCAGTGGGGTAAGGCCTTGAGATGGGAAGGATTGGTAGAGGAGAGAGTTCGGAACAGTGTTCGCTTGGCTCGTGAGAAGGAGGAGAGAGCTGTTCTGGACCAGTATATGTGGAAGGAGGATAAGAAGGGAGGTCGCAAGAATCGGAAGGCTACTGGAGGTGGTCAGCGAGCAGGACCCAGTGCATTCGCATCTTTGATTGATGACGCGCTTGCAGCAGCTTCTTCTTCCAGTGGCGATCAGGGTGGACATCGACCATCCTTCCGCATGGGAACGAAGAATCGGCAAGGTGGTGGGAAGTCGACGGATGCCGAGAACTGAAATTGTCTAGACGGATGACCAACTAGGTCTAGCAAAATAAACTCTTCTTTAAAGGCCATTCGGAAATTTCAGCATAGAATATACGGCACTAAATAGAAACTTTTGTAGTCTCATTCTAGCTCAAGGACAGATTGACTAAAAAAAGCCTCTCGTTTGCCCAAAACCAAAATACGATTTTTATAATTTCAATAGTAAGTTTATATATATTACGTGCCGTTTTAATTTAATGCCAAAAAAAATTTAATGAAAAAATAGAAAAAAAAAAGGTCTTACAATAGCGGTCCCTTCGTCGTGTCCCTTCCTACTATTCTAGTTTTGGGCACTATCGCTGTGTTTAATTCTTATAAGTGATTGTCTTCGTCTTCACCCATTCTTCCATACCAGGAGCGCCAAACCTCCCCCACCCACTAGACTTCACTCCCCCATGAGGCAGCGCTGGCTCATCGTGAACAGACATTGAATTGATGTGTACCGCCCCGCTCTCTATTTTCTTGGCAATTTTTAGCCCCCTTGCCAAATCTTTGGTATAGATTGAAGAGCTGAGACCGTATTCCGTGTCATTTGCAATCTTGATAGCTTCCTGTTCGTTCTCCACCTCAATGAAAGAGACAGTCGGGCCGAAGGATTCTGCGTAGTACAAATCCATGCTCTTCTTGACCCCTTTTACTACAACAGGGCGCATTCTCTCCGGAGCTGCCTCTTCAGCATTGATGTCTCCAAAAATCATATTAGCGCCCTTCTCCTTCGCATCTTTCAAGAGTTTCTTATTCTTTACGACACCGGCCGAGCTCACGTTGACCAATGCATCTCCACCACTCGGAAACATCATCTCGATAGCAGAAACCAACTCCTCTGCAAATTTCTCACTTACGCTCTCCTGCACGAGGATCCTCTCAGTTGACATGCAAATTTGTCCAGTGTGCATGAAAGCACCAAGTGCACACCCTTGAGCGGCAAGGGAGAGATCAGCATCATCGAGAACAATAGCTGGGGCCTTTCCTCCTAGCTCCATCAAGACAGGCTTCAAGTTCTCCCCAGCCGTCTTGGCAATGATCCGTCCGACTGCTGTGCTACCTGTAAAATTGATTTTCTTGATTGCAGGATGCTCAATCGAAGTTTTCGTCACAGCTGCCGCATCCTCAGGGTGAGATTGAATGATGTTCAAAACTCCGTCTGGAAGACCTGCTTCCTTGAACACAGTTCCCACCACTCCCAAGGAGCGAGGAGCAATCTCGGACGCTTTGAGTACAACAGTATTGCCAGCAGCGATAGCGAAAGAAACTGATCTGAATCCAAGAATGAAAGTAGCGTTCCTAGATTCATCAGCTTCCTTCACCGTGTTTCACGAATGAGAGCATACCAAGGGGCAATCGCCAAAATCGCGCCAAATGGCTCTTTCAGGACCATCGCACTCCTAGTCGGATCGCTCAAACACGGCACCGTCCCATGCAACAGCGAAATCTTCCCAGCGACTTCCCTCAATCCACTCACAGCAGTTGGAACATCGAATCCACTAGCATAAAACGTCGTAGCACCAGCTTCTTCTTCTTCCCACTTCCCTACTTCTTCGGTTCTTCGCTCTAGGATATCAGCTGCTTTCAAGAAGATGTTCCGCTTCTGATCGAAAGGCAATTCGGCCCAGGCAGGAAATGCGGCTTCCGCTGCTTCGACAGCTTGGATGGTCTCTGTGACGCCAGCGGACGAGGCTTTGTGGATCACTTGTCCTGTGGAAGGGTTGGTAACGTCGATGGTTTTGGACGTGAAGACGTCTTTACCATTGATTTGAAGGGGCACGGTAAGCATTTTGTCTAGGGATATGAGCTGTACGAGCAGAATTTTGAGGCAATGGCGGGAGTGAAAAGAAGTAGAATCAATGGAGCTGGAGCTGGAGGTGGAAATAAAGTTCAATATTGGGGTCGTACCAAGCTTTTCCCCGCAAGATGCTCGAGTAGTGAATATTAGGCTGTCGACTCGGCACTTTCTGCAGGTTTGCGCTGTTGTGAAATATTAGCCGTTGGGCTTCTTGTTTCTCTAGGGCATAGATAACGCTTCTATCGCGAGGGGGGGTTTTGATTGGCGATCGTCGTGATGGTGGGGATACTAGCGATGTGTAGCAGCGCAATAGTTCTGCTTTTGGGAAACTTTCTAATGAATGCAAAGTACAACGTCGCAAAAATTCCACGTTTGATAAGTTTGCGAAGGAAGCGTGCAAGTGTTGCTCTAATTCTCGTGCTCACTCAAAGGATAAATGCGGGCGAGTATCTGAAGCATTCACTTGATCGTATTGCGTCTATTAAAATCTTGGTCTTAATGTCCATTCACGGCCACCATCTTTACTTCTCCAACCAGCAGCTGCACGTGAGCAGTCCTCCTTTTGCTCATGCTCGGCTCGGGCCAGCTCAACGTCGGCTCAGGCCTCTGCACCCATAATTTAGCGACATGCTGCCAGCAAACACTAACCTAAATGTTGGCTTCTTAGGGAACGGGCCTGAAAAAGCCGCCCCCAATCTAATGGTCTTAAATCTGTGACTACTTTCGTACTGAACATATTACTCGCCAACACGGAGAAAATATTCCTCCTTCTTTACGTTACTTTGCATGCTGTATGTGTTGGAAACTGGTTATTTCGCCAAGAGATTTTGCCAGCCTCGCAGCAACATGACGTACTTGTTGCGTTTCAATTTGTGTATAAATCGACAATACTCATCAAGTCTCCACTCTCCCTCATAATTACCTGAGTTACCGTTCAATTTGTTTAAAAAATCTACTTGTGCCCCATTGCAAGTACATCTTTCAAAATAGCTCCAAGACACCTCCGCAGCCATGCCAAAGTATACCGTCTTCTTGATTGTCGCGGATCGAAGTGCCAATCGATCCGAAGAAGAGAAAAAGAAGCAATCCGATGATGTGAAGAAAGATCCGTCCTTCAACAAATTCATGAAGGAGTTCCTGGATTGGATAGGGGAAGAGACGAACGCCAAGCGTCTCAAGAGCGCAGACGTCCTAGAAGAGTCTACCGAGCAGACCAGTATCCGGGTCAATTTTCATAGCGACGAGACACCAGCTGCAGAAGCAGAGAAGGATGATGACACCAAATTCATGCCTCCAACCAAATCATTGACGACACGCGGACATCTGGAGTGTGTAAGCGCCAACATTCTGGGCTACTATACCGCTGAGTTCCCGACGATCAATGATGCAGCTACGTGGGCACAGTCCTGCCCCATTGCTTTCGATGGCTTTGCGTTGGAGATCAGGCAGCTGACGGACACGGATAAAACTATTAGTGAGGCGACGCCGGAAGTGAAAGAGTGGGCTGGAGACCAGATTGTGTCGGCGCGCAAGCAGCTAGTTGAGGAGGGGAAGTTGAAGAAGGAGGAGGATGAGACGCTGTGGGTTAAAGTGGAGGATAGTGAGGAAATTAAGGAGGTTGTTACTGAAGCTGAGAAGAGGCTGGCTGAGAAAGGAGACGATGAAAAAGGGGAGGCGGAGAAGGTGGACGCGGTGGCGGAAAAGGAGAAGGAAAAGGATTAAGAATCGTTACGAAATTATGAGACAGACTTGCATCACGGATTCTTTTGCTTTGATGAAGTGGTTTCTTTCCTTGATATATCTGAAGATTGACGCGAATTATATATCGACACTTCCTAGTTCAGTAGAATCGCATCCTCAAAACAAAAGTCTCTTGACGAACTTCCGAGTCACAATGACTCCTCACACCACACTAAACGAATACTCATAACAGCGTACCTACTGAGCTCCACTGGGCAGTGTAGCAGGTGGGAAGCAACGATCAATTGCATTAGGGTTGTTACCCCACCAAACTGGGAAAGCAGCGTTCGGCAAGTTGATACCGAACACCATAACCGTCTGCATCAGCTGGGTACCGCAATCAAGCCCAACCCCAAGAAGGTAGTTGTATTTTCTGAACCAAACTGGGTGGTAGCGATAGACGTATCCCATACTGAAAATGGCATTAGTAATGTGGTCACGCTACCATAGGGAGCGGAGACTTACAAGAACGCACTGAACGCGGAACTCGTCAAAAGGTTCGCGGTCTGATAAACCGGGAACCAGACTCCTCCAGCAAAGATCAACACAGGATTGAACCTCTCCTCCAATTTCCAATGTGGCTTTTTCCTATGCACTAACCATACAGCTAGAACACAAGCCGGACCAACAAGGAAAGCGTAGTACAGCCACGAATACTGTGAGCCCGGACCGAAGAAGACTTTTGGACCAAGAACACCCCAGAGCACAGACTGCGAGTAAAAGTTCTTAGTCTTCAGGGCATTCCAAGCAGAAGAAGCGACTTCGCCCGTCAACTTTGGACCCTCGTTGTCGATGATCCAGCGCATCATCCCATAATTGATGAACGGTCCCAGAAGCGTTCCGTATACTTGACCAATGAACATTTCCGTCTCGGGTATCTTCATGTAGAAACCGAACTTGTAGTCTGAGATCAAGTTGAGGTTCTGTTCGAGGATTTGACGACCGTAGACCATGCAGGTGAGGACGGCGAGCGGTTTGCCTGGGAACATTGCGCCTGCAAGGACTTCGCTTAGGAAGGCCATTCCTACTTGCATGTTGGCAATTCCCCAGAGGATGCCGTTGGGGAAGGTGAAGATGCAAGAAGTCACAGAGATGATGATAAAGCCCCTAAAATTGACATTAGTTGCGTCGAAGCGAATACGTGAAATAGCGCACTCACCACCATGGAAGCTGCATGCCTGCTCCATACAATTGACCAATTGATAGTGCAGCACATATAGCAAGAAGAGCACCATACCACCAGTGAGGGACACGCTTGAACTTGTCCATCATTAGAAGATAGGGATCGTCGTGCGTGTCTCGCTTGTTGAACCACCCCTCCTTCATACCTTGCCAAGCTTGGGGGCCGTAGTACAGACAAGCGTACAGCATGGCCCCAGTCGAAGCAGCAAAACCACAAAAGAAGTACATAGCGTACGAAATGGACCATTGAGGTCGAGAATACGCATCCATGGCAGCTTGATTCAATGTATGGTCAGCGTAGAGAATTCTAGAGATGTTATACGTTGCGCCAGTGTCATCGAAGGTACCAGACGACATTGGAGGATAGGTTTTGGCGCCCAGGGTGTTGGTGAAGTACATGAGTGGATAGATAAACCAGCAAAGAGCCATTGCTCCTAAGAATTGATTGGCGTTTGCCCAAAGTGGTGTATAGAGTGGGGACCAGAAGGAGATATAATTCCAGTCTAAGCTGATGTCAAGTAGTCCCTGAACATTTATCAGTAGGTTCTCTTCGTCAGAGATGAGTGACTTACAAATCCAGAGTATCCAGAACCGAGGATGTATGCGATCCAGTTACCGTGACCAAAGTAACAAAGCAATGGAAGTGAGCTCAACATGGGGAAGATGAGTTGAGGGAACCATTCCCAGATGAAAGCTGCCACGGCAACATAAGAGAAGAACTTGAGAGACTTCTTCGTCACAGATGGGTTCTTGTGCATGGCATTGAACAACGCAACGTTGGGTAGAATGCCCGGATAATAGATCTTTGGGGGTCGCACGAGGATATCGCGGAAGAGTCCTGCAAAGCCATATCCAATCATTTGTGTGGTGATCAAGAACAAGATACCCCATCCTGCATTAATTTCCTTGCCGTAGTAGAGTTCCATTGCGGACAACGGGCCGAGGCCATATGCCGTATAACACTATGGCTATTAGCAGAGTGTTCTTTTCAACGAAACATTGCCACTTACAGAACCCCAGTATGCAACAATGATAAGTGCGTGTTCCTTCGCGTTCCAAGGTCCGGGATTGAACGACCACTTGTAGCCGAAGGTTGAGAAAGTGCGTTTCGGCAAATGATTTGCCATAAAGGATCCCATACCCCAAGCCATCAATTGGATTGCATAGCTGGTGAGGTACATGTAATATGGCTTAAAGTAATAGAAGGACGAAATACCGCATCCAACGATCACCCAAAAGGTAGATAAGACCCAGAATCGAAATGTGAGGATTGGCTCCCTTTCTACTGTCAGTACGTTCATTCATCTGCTCCTTGTGATTACCTACGTGGGATCATTATGCAGATCAACGGTCTTGCTATCAGCAAATGTTAGCGACATTGGCAGCTGGAAGGGAGTGCGTACGCCACAAGAGGAATTGGGTAGTCCTTAAGGCGAGGGTCGATGAATTCGTCGTTATCATCAGGAACAAATATCTTATCAGTCGAGAGGTTGTCGAAATCTGGATCGACCGCTTCAATCTCAACATCATGTCCTTTCTTCTCAGAAGATTGATGTCCTGCTTTCTTCACGGAGAACGGATGAGGCAGGGCATCAGTCGATTCCGAGGAACCAATTTCCTCTGTCATAGGGGACGAGGTTTTCTCCATCGTACGATGTTGTCAATCAAGAGCTTTCGGCAGACTGGAATAAAACACCTCTGGACGGATTTTGGTGTGGTATATAAGGTCACCACACAAACCATGTCTGCAGACTTAAAGCATATCACAGAAGCGTCTCTATCACCAAGTATAACCGGCGATAACAGCCAGATGATCCTCGGTAGCATCTTATCAAAGTATGTTCCCACATTGGGATTTCCGTGCATTGCGACCTGATCTCGTCCCCGTCTTCCATGCCACCATTATTGACTAGTACGCGATCGTCGTACTTGCCAGATAAGACCAAACCTCGTACAACAGGACTGCTGTTCTTTCAGATTGCGGAGCTTCCTATTTCAGGAGAGAACAAGAACCCCGCTATCTTCTCCATCTTAGCAGAATCTTGGCCGAGCTCCAAAAGCGCAAATCGTCCACACCATTCGTGGCTTATCGTTTATCTGAACTTGAGGATATTCCCTTGTGAGCAAGGATCGCGGGAATTCGAACATCTAGGTGCAATCTAGAAGCGCTTGAACATGCAACTATGCACAGATCGGATCTATACCCGGAGACGATAAGAAATCATCTTCCTGCAGTAGAACCAACAGTTGGCGATATGAACTCCATACACGATATTCAATGGAAATGCCCTCGAGATGTACAAAACAGGAAGGTGTCGTTTGCATAGAACTTTCTCATTGACCGATCCCAAACAATCCACCTCGGTTGTGGACACTGCAATTGCGCGTACTGGCCGATTGACGAATCATGCCCTGGCGCCAAGGTAATGGGATTACCATAATGGGAAATGTAACCTTACGAGGACAGTGTGATAACGCCGCGATAAGACATTGTAGGGCCACGAAGAAGTTCCAAGAAGGAGGAGATACAATATCCAGACAATAAAGTCAGAAAGAAGCGATCAAGAAAGGGGGGAGAACGAAATGGTTATATGGTCGTAAGTGAGTCACGTGGAAGAGGTTCAACTGCTTCTTATTGGCTGAGAAGGAGAGATTTCCTTCCGTGCTGACCGCGCACTAAAGTTCCAGCAGCAAGGCGACCAGTAACGGTGCGCTTCCTGACCAAAAGTCTGGAACAACGCCCCAGCAACATGATCAGCCTTATCGTGATTCCTGGTCAGGCCCAACAGCTGTAGGATCTGGGAATCCAGGTTAGGTACCATGTCCATAGACGCGCAAAGCAGTCCCATAGGAACAATGTCCCAAGCAGACATCCCAACTACATGGACAAGGCCCAAGCGAGAGCGTCCATTGCTCGATCCTCAACCATGTGCAACCACATAAGGAAGGAGGAAGCCCGGAAAGCGGCAAAGGATGAGCGTTGATTCGTCCAAGGTTGACATCTTCTACTCTGTGCAACCGGATGAGCTGAACTTCAAAAATGTTTTGGCAGGTCCTCTTTTAGGAGGACTTTCGATATGGGAAACCATCATGATCGGCCGTGTTATTTGAGGGAAGTTTGGCGACTTGTACAAGAAGTTGGCCGATCTAAGCTATCTCGATACATAGCCTGATCATGTCTAATTCCATTTTCTCGCACAAAACGAACTTCATACAAGAAGTTTTTCACCGTTTGGAAGGAAGGTTGTATTCTGAGTACATCTCGCGACCGAGCTAGAGTTACTCATGCATTGCATCTGAAAAGTTGGTTAGAGCAAGAAGATCGATTAGCGAAACTACTTCGATTGGGAAAGGGGGGAGTGGCACGTGATAGGATTGAGCAAAATGTTCTGCTGAAACTGGTCATTCTGGAAATACTCTGATATTTCGATTCAAGTCTTGTGCTTGACCGAATTCGACAAGTAAAGCTAACTGAATGAATTTACATTTTCTTAGTTCCCCTTTTCCGCTTTTTTCACGGCAAAGCCGTAAAAGTATACAACAATCTCAGATAATCAGGAGTCCCCAGCCCAGTGACAGGATCCCACCCCGTAACAGCTCTGAACCCACTTGTCCCACATCTCCTGTTCCCTCCAACCTTGATATCATTCATCGCATCAAGGTTAGCATACAACACCGGATTCACAAACCCCATAGATCCTTTCCCAGCTTTGATCCGTTCCTCATTAATCAGAGTAATGAGACTTCCGACAGTTGGAGAGAGAAGAAGAAGTTCCGTACCAGAGAAAGAACTGCCCTAGAATTGTGCATGGAAATTTAGCACCGTTGGCGGAGACATCAGGGAAGCCTTGAGAGTGCTGCGTATTGCTGTATTGCGTAGAGCTGTAGTCGGGGCTATTGTGGTCGAAGTAGTATTTCAAAGCCGAAGTTTGGTAGGTAGGTGCCGAGAAAACGTTGCTAAATCCACCTTCAGAGTAAATGTATTCTTCGCAAGCTTCTTCGGGAGCAGTGACGGCTGCACCAGGGGCGATCTGGGTTGCCTGGGAAGATATTTAGTTCAGCGGCGAGAATCTGGGACAAGAAAAGGCACATACACCAACTGATGTGACATAAGGACAAGTTGATGGAAAACTTGGGTTGAAAGCACCCGATTTCCCATCGTTATATACACCTCCATCACATCCAGCGGAGGAGCAGCATTGTCCGCTATTCCCACCAACTCCAGAATCTCCACTGGAGAACAACATGGTTATACCTTGTAGACCAAGCTTCAGGTATCTGAAAGTCGAGGTCAGCCATCACATGACAGGTAGCTTGGACATTTGCACTTACTCATTACATTGCCTTATTTTATACGCCGGTGTTAGATCGGCCTCGTTGTATGTATATGAAGTGCTGATGACCGAAGCAGGGGTAACAGTCCCACACTCTTTTGTGTGATGCCAGCCTAGGCGGGCTGGGTCTGGATAAACAGAATCGCTGCTGTAGCATCAGCACACTGTCAATGGTGACAAATGAAATGCACTAACTAGTCTGGATCATCTCCTCCATCGAATGTGCAATAGGAGCCATCAATCGCATCCAGGAAGTCTCCAAACGATGCGCCTTCGTAGTTATCGCCTTGTTGATACAAAGTGACTTTTTGAGGGTATACTGAAGGCCGGTCAGTCGTTGTATTTGTTCAGAGAATGCAGTGAGAAATACCGAGAGGGACACTAATTTCAAGATCCAAGTTTGCCTCGCCATAATTCTCGAGAAGTCCCTCAGTGGTGGGTATGGAACCTCCATCAATGAGGTGGAGCTTCCCAGGTCCAGATCCTTTCGGTATCGTTTTGGCTGTTATGACCCCCCAAAGCAAATCGAGCTCGGTTTGGCCGTAGGACTGGAAGGATGTTAGCATAATACAAACCCACATATCTTGGACGTACATTGGGAGCGTATTCCGCAACAGCGAATGAAGACCTGTCTTTTGTCAGTATGTAGCTACAACACCCTTCTCCATGCTCTGAAGCACTCACTTATCCATAGTTCCAACTGGCATGTTATAGAGAGCTCGTATACACTGGGGGTATGTGATTGTTGAGCAGATTGAGTAGTTGAAGGCCGAGCTGCTGCTGGCAAGTGTAGGTGGATCAGCCATAGGAACTGCCTGAACTTGACGGCTTGGCCTCGTTCCTTGATCACTACCCCTCTTCGCCTTCTCATTTGTCATGACGGCGAAATGGACTGTTGGAGTAATGATATCGATATGATGTTTTAAGGACTTCGGGACGCTGTATTCATGGCACGCGAGAGTCGTCTTACCTGAGTCGGTGTGTTCAAATTCCTACAAGCCCGATGAATGCGAGGCATCTTGTGTGGAGTAGTCGGATGTAATTACCTTGTAGTTGGTCTTCAGCAAGTTCTCGGCCTCGTCAATTGTAGCATTGACACGAATCCAAGTCGCCCTGTTCGACAGTGAGAGGCGAGTATCTGCTATTCCACTTGCCACGAGCCATGCTTTGACTTCATCAATAGTTTCTTTCGAAGGAGCAAATGCTTCTACTACTTTTTCTGGTGTCCAATGTTTTCCGTAGTTCGAGCTACTGGGATCGGATACATCCATCAGAAAGTCATGCCCCTTGTCGAGGTTGCGCTGAGCAAGTTCGATTGAAAGAGGTATGATTGTTCGTCCATCTACCTTGATATCTCTTTCCGTCCAAGCGGTATTCCCAAGTTGGCGCCGCTCATGGATTTCATGCGTGTTGGAAGATGGAGCAGCGGATGCAAGCGAGAGTATTGTAGCGACAGTGATGAGCCAAAACCTCACGATGTAGATGATTTGACAGATGTTCCTGGAGAGTGTTCAGCCTTACATTGAGAGTGGAGATAGACTTATATATGGTAAACAAAAGTTGTGGAAGTTAGTGTCAGGTGAGATGTCACCAATGTCTTGGATCCAAGACCTTTGAAATGATGGAGACGAGAAACCGAAAACTCGTTCCAATAAGAGTCCATGATTTTGTCAAGATTGGGGGATTTCAAAAGGCGTTTAAAGGGGAATAATAGAGACATCCCATGATGTTTTCATCCAACAAGTATGACCTAATATGAATTGAGGAAGTTGTCCATTCTGAGCTTATTGACCGGAGTGGTTCTTGTGGCGTCTTTGCAGCCCTAAAGCTAACTTTCCCACTCTCCAACCCGAAGCGTGGTGTTCCAAGCCTCTGACTCTTCTTTAACGCTGAGTAATTGGTTGCTCGCCAAAAGAAATATGGTACACTTACCCCTGAGCAATCAACGGCAGCCACTCCTAGACGGGTCGAACTTCATAAAACATATCCATAGCCAAACACCCAATTGTATCTGTGAATGGTACTTCTTTTCTGGTGAGCAACAATGGCGTGGATTCGAATTAGACATCTCCATCATAGAGCCTAAAAGCCTTTCACATACTTATGATCTTCCGTTGTCTCCACTACCTCGAATTTCAGTCCTACAGAAATTGACCCTTCGTTCCTCGGAGCACTGAGCATACCAAAGCAAGGTTTCCACTTAATACCTTCGTCCACTCTTCGATAGCTGACCAATGTGTCCCAAGGTTCGTGCTGATCCTTTTCTGCGGTGTCTGGATCCACGTTTGGCACTTGACATCTTGCGCAACGTGCCTGAACATCAATTTCCAATCCTTTATTCCCAGCTCCGATCATCGAAGTAAGTCCGGTTGACTGCTCGCCATTCAATATCCGTACCGTCTTCCACGAGTCTTCTGTCCATGCTCCAGGCGCCTTGTCGTCGGTTAGAGTCTCGTCCGCACCGCGCACAATAATATTCGGTCTAAACCTCTCAATTGTAATCTCGCTGTGACCTTTCTGTTTGAGCCTTTGATTCAATTCTCGAATGCTACCCTCGTTCGCAATTTGTAATGGCATCACGTCTGGAAAATTCGTACTCTCTTCCCTTCCTAGCAACTCCGGAGCTCCATTTCCGCGTAGTATTCTCGGAGTCGGACCTTTGTAAACTAACTTCACACCTTTCTTGAAAAATTCCGTGAAAACATCATTGATGTCGTCCTTGTATACGTACCCGTCTGTCATGTTTTCCCATATATCAACTTGTCGAAGTTCAGTGTTGCCCTGCAGCCATTGATCAGTCGGCCGTGCTGGAACCATGACTTTCTTATCTGTGTGACGGATGGATATAACGAGTTGTTCGGCATCTTCCCCGCCATGAGGTGATAAAGGGGATGGAGCTGAGGAAGAACTGTCGGAGGTGGATGCAAAGGCGGTATCAATTAGGGTCATTTCTGATATATCTCGAATTGTAACGAACCTGAGAAATTGAGGTTAGTGCGCACCTTTGCTAATAAAGAAGAGAATAGGAGTTAAGGTTATCTAGCATCTTAGGCAAGCAAAGTATATGGATTTCATACTTTAGAGTCTCTGCATCCGCAAACATCCATCTTCGATCCATATCAAGCCCCTGTTTTGTAAGGTATGACTTCTTGATAGATATTCCCCGGCATGATTTTATAGGGTAGATTCGAAGCTCGGTTACCTCGCTGGTGATTGAAGAACCGGAAAATGGATTTAATCTATCCAACATAGTGAGTGCCGTGGTTGTGAATGAGATGCAATTAATGTAATCAAAATGTCCTTTTGTTTAGGAAATTGATGCAAAAATGGAGGAGCGTTTATCAATGACGTTCTTAGGTGGGGTCGAGCCCTTGCAGCATGCCGAGGCCCTGAAGCCATCCGAACCGAATACAGTTGGTCTGGATCCTGGAACGGCGATCTTCTCCACATGCTAGAGATGCCATCTTCCCCTTGGACTCCAACGACATTTCTACCTTCACCCATCATTCTTTCAATGGAGGTGCCATGTGGTCATAAAAGATTCATTCCTGGACTGTGATCAATTTCAGGAGCCCTCGACTCTGCCGAGAAGACTACTTGTTGACGAAACCAGGAGCGACGGCAGGCAGTGCGACGCGACCAGCCAAACAAGATACAGGTACGACAGACCGAGAAAGACACGCCAACCGTATTAATGAAGGAGAAGATTGAAGCAACTGTCGCAATGTTCGGTTCCGAAGACCGCCCATTAAAGGAAGAGACTGCAACGAACTCAGGTGACACGCGAGCTCACATTAACAATCAACACGGCGATGAGGATCTTCGAACTGATTCCGGATCCGAGGGTTGGGCAGGAGCGAAAGAGTGGAGTACGGTTCCCTCAGGGAACTACTTAGGCCTCGGAACAGACGAGGAGACAGGACAGGAGAGCTCTTCGCAGTGGCTTCTGCCTAAAGACTTCCACAAGATGGACGTTGAGCCTATGTCTTTTCGTAAACCAGCTCACGGACCTTGGAAGGTTGTGTTCATTCTCGCTGGAGTACTCATTGGGATAGCTCTGTCGATGTTCTGGAGGACAGCAATCGTACAGTCTAGCAAGTCTGCTTCGCAGCCGGAGTGGAGTGGATGGGAAGATATTAAGTATACCTTCATCTTGTACGTACCTAATGACTTCCAATCCCTGATCAGAGGTGGTCTTGATATGCTAGACAACGATCTGAGAGACATCAGCTGATCAATAAATAGTGGCGACTCCTGGACCGACACAGCATTCGATCCTCAAGGCACACAACCAAACCCAGGAAATCCTCTTGGAAATCCGGACTTTCCAGGTCGAAATGCTGCCAATGGGACAAATTGGGTAGGGTTTCTGTCCACCAAATACAACGAGTCTTTCCTACAGACCTACAACCTCGCCGTATCAGGTGCAACTCTGGATAACAGCATTGTTCAGGGGTATCCTAACCCTATCAGCGTACAAGTTTATCAACGCTTCATGTCACACTACGGTGATGGTCACTCTCCTCCATGGAGCGCATCCAATAGCCTTTTCATCATGTGGGCGGGCATTGTGGATTTGGTAATGATGAATGGAGTCCATGATCCCGAAGCATTGTCTCACATCAATGGCAACCTGACGATCGTCTACTCCAGATTGCTGAATACTCTGTACGGAGCTGGGGCCAGAAACTTCCTGCTCCTCAACGAACCACCTCTCGAGAGAACGTGGCAACCTGCTGAGAAAGAAAAGATTAAGGCCAAATTTGCATCCGATGTGGCTATTTACAATCAGAGGGTGAAGAATGCAGCGTTCGACTTGAAGAAGACTTTTCCTGATTCAAATGTGTTTCATCTCAACACAAATGATCTATTCAATCAGGCCTTAGACGACGCAAAAGCGTTCCCTCAGACGAGTGGAATTCTGAATACAACTGACCCGTGTCCAGAGTATCAGAGGTAGCTAACACCCTGAAAGTTGGAAGAAAGAAATTGACGATCAGCAGTGGGACCCCAACATCGGACTATTATGATCCAAAATGCCGAATTCCTGTCAACCAGTACTTCTGGCTGAACGGGTTACATCCCACTTATCCTATTCATGATGTCCTTGCAGAGCATATTGCCAAGCTGCTCAAGCAAGGGCCGAACATTATCTGAAATCTGATGATCATGTGACACCGACTGTGTCTCAATGTCCTTCGACCATCACCAATTCTGCAAAGCTACGACTATCTCAACCGAAGGCCTGTTTGAGATAAAGTTTGACATGCCTCTACAGCACCCCGCATTCCAATCTTTGGGTCATGTACGGATAATATTCCGCCTAAACACGGTAGTTATTCTTCCAGAACCCGAACCTATACAAACATTCCCAGAAAATTCCCTTCCATGAGGAGCTAAAACTTTGCAACGATCTTGGAAATTCAAAGCCCCACATATACTCAATATGTCCTCAAGACCTCAAAATTGAAGAGCGACGCGACGGGAAGATGTTGCTCACGCTACTAACTTCCCTCACACTGCTCCTGGGCTCAGCTCTTGGAGTAGTGACTCAAGTAGGCACAGCATGTACCGTAACACCTCTCTCCTCCGACTCCAGCGCGTCGGGAACCATCGACGACACGTCGCAAATCCTAGCAGCCTTCAAGTCCTGCGGCAAAGATGGCAGCATCTCATTCTCTGATGGCATCTACCACATCAACCAGGTAATGGACATAACACTCACCAACTGCGACGTCGTTCTCCGCGGGACGTGGATCTGGAGTACCGATATCCAGTACTGGCTTTCGCATTCCATTTCAGTCGTCTACGCGGGCCGCAGCACAGCGTGGAGAATCGGTGGGGATAATTTTAGTATCAGGGGCGAGGGAGTGGTGTTTGATGGGAATGGACAGAAGTGGTATGATCAGAACAAAAATCAGGGGAACCAGAATGGGAGGCCGATTTCGTTTACGCTGTGGAATGCGAAGAATGCGTTGGTGGACGGGATTACGTGGAGACAGGTCCAGTTTTGGTGAGTAATGCTCGCAAAGAGATGGGATATTAAGGGCTGATGGGGAGGTAGGCATACATTTATTGCGCACTCGCAGAATATAACGATGACAAATTTGGATATGAATGCGACTTCGAATTCGCAATACAAAACGGTGAATACCGATGGGACCGATACTTGGAACTCGAAGGATATTGTGATTTCCAACTGGACTGTGACATGTGGAGACGTAAGCATAAGCTACCCACCTTTGAACTTAAGACTGACATAGTCAAACAGGATTGCATCTCAATCAAGGGAAACAGCAGCAATGTCCATGTGAGCAACGTCGTGTGCCACGAATCTGGTGGGATGTGCGTCGGCAGCATCGGTAAAGATGCCGGGACGCCAGATTTCGTCGATGATATTGTATTCGACAACATAACACTCATCCACAGCAGCAACGCTGCGTGGATCAAGACGTATCCCAGCGGAGGAGGACATGTCCGCAACGTGCTGTTCAAGAACATCCAGTTCACTGACGTCAATCAACCAATCTATATCTCGCCCTGTATCTATTCGTATTCCAACTGTGATGCCTCGAGGCTGCAGATCTCGGATGTGAGGTGGGAGAATATTTCGGGGACGGCGAGGTATAATGTCGGTGCTGGGATTCATTGCAGTGCTGCTGCTGTTTGTCAGAACCTGACTTTTGAGAATATTGATATCAAGCAGAAGAGTGGTGCTGCGGTGGAGTATCTGTGTTCGAATATTGCGAACCAGAAGACGTCTGGGCTGGCGTGTACGGGCTCTTGTCCTGGGAATCAACCCCAGCAGCTGAATCATAATTGAGGGGCGTGATTCGGTATGTACTGATCATTTTGGTAGCTAGGAATCGAAAAGTTGAAAGCTTCGGGTTGCCAAATTGCGTGATCAATCTTCGACAGGACAGTATGCCAGGACATGTGGAGAGATCCCCATAATAGACCTGACCGAGGGACTCTAGATTCATAGAATATGTGCAGGTACGAGTAATGCAATGCGGGAGAATGACCAGCGTGATCACAGGCCATTAGTTGCAACATGACGGGCACAACCTTCGCGGGGTTGGGTCTGTCTCATTGGAAGGCCGTGTGGTTGTCGGGCAGCTACGCGAGCATGGCGTGAACTCTAAGTTATCAGATGCAGCATGAAATCCCGAAGCATCACCTTCTATCCTATAACCGCCCTGACACAGATACCAAGTTTGGAAGGACGCTCCCGTGACTGTTGTTTCCGGGCAAGTTCCTTGAATTGAGAATGGAACGAAATAGGTTTTCGTTTTGTTGCAGAATTCGTTTGCGTTGAGATATTTTATGGGAATTCTCCTGGAACCCAGTCACGAACCTGGGCACATCCATGCTGACGGCGTTGTGCCGCTTTGCATATTTCTTTTGCGGCTCAATGGAACACGAGATCACTGGACCATGGCTCGGTTTGACGAATTCAGCTTTCCGGCTTAGGAGCTATTAGAAAGAAAATCGTGAGAATACAAAGACTACACAAAGACTCGATTAACTAAGGAGAAATCGCAAAGTCAGCAAGAACAGCATGACAGATATCCCCAACTCGCATGAAGCACGTACAAGAAGACCATCCAACATTCGAACTCTTCCGAAATCACTTCCTTTTAAATTCCCAGCCATGGACCTTGGCCATTTACAGCAAGCCATCGACATGAGCGACATGCTGCTGCTTGCTTGGACTTTGCTGGAGCGCCGTCACAGCTCTGAAGACGATGTTCATTTCGCTTGGGGATATGGAAAGGCCAAAGAAGGTTCGTTGTCGCGACGAAAGGTAGCTGTTGGGAGAGGAAACACCGTGCAGGACATCTTGCGGGAGATCCAAATACTTCGAAAGCAAGCATTAATTCCAGAGGAGGTTTCTGGAGACCCGGAAGGAAATCATATGGTTATCAATAACTCGTCTGGAGCTCCCACCTCGGGGTCATCCGTAGGTAAGCCATTTGAACGGTGAAGAGTTGAATCTAATTCTCGCAGTGGACATTCCAAATCGAGATACATGAAAGTGAGGAGACTATTTGGCTGAACCCTTCGTGGGACGCGAGCGTTATGGGACAGGATACTGCTATCTCGAATGTGCATTGCTTCATGGACATTCTGAACTCTGTTTTGCTGGACCAAACACAATTTGTCACAACATTCTTTTAAGGTTGCGCGGCCCCAGAAGGAAAGGAAATGGTAGTGACGTCTTTCAACGAGATGGAAGAGGAGGATAGAATCAGTGTTCAATTTTGAAGAGGGAGATATGAGAGAACAGGACATTTGTGTGCCAGAATTGTAAAACATGGACAAGGGTCTCACTAGGAGCTCGACGTAAGAGGCTGAGTAAATAAATCCTGCCAAGGATAAGATAGCTTAGATAGCGTCTAGGGCAGGTACCTTGAAACATGACAGTGGTTTGGGCTGTTGGTTGAGGTGGGAGGCAAAGTCGGACAGAGCGTGACTCGAAGCAGAAAAAGCAAACAAAACGCGGGTCGGAGGCTATTCGGGATCTCGGCCGTCATGGGGATTCATTTGTGCTTGGCTTTGGGACTGACCTTGGTTTAAAGAAGTTTGATTGAAGTGGAGCGCATCAAAACTCGCTCTATGGGCTTTAATAGAAGGTTTTGCAAGAGGCAAGAAAATAATTATCCTACTTGTTTCAACAAAGGGTTCCAAGCGGAGGGAGATGTTTTAGTGCGGAAGATCCACATCCACTTTATGTGGGGCTGAGCGCACAATATTTGTAAAAAGTCGTATATTTTAGATAAGCAAATCCGAGCTCATAAAACAACAAAACGGCCGGATGGTGTAGTTGGTTATCACGTGTCCTTAACATTTTCCAATGTTCGGACAAGGTCCTGGGATCGAGCCCCAGTCTGGTCAATTCTTTTTGCATTTTATCCAAGTTGTATCAACTTCTGTTGCATCTAGCTCAAGTCATCTATCTTTTGTCATTTTTTGCAATAGAAATGGCGCGAGGAAGCGAGCGCTACCGTGGTAGTATCAAAGCGGCTAAATATTTCAGCAGACGGACCCCACTCTTCAACACATGGCGAGTACTCGAGTATTAAAAGCATCACAATTTGATTGACCATACTTGTTTCTTTGCTGCTCTTCAATTTCGAATCCCATTTTTGAAGCCTAGTTGTAATCTGGTTGTTCTTTTCCCAGTTGTGTTGATACCAGCAAACCCCAGTTTTCGACCGCACAACAAAATTGTTCGGTGATTTTGTGTACCCACATAAAGCACATGAAAGAGCATGCTATCAAATCAATATCTGTCTGGGATCCGATTATCGGAAGATCTGATAAGATAATCAGGATATTAGGTTATCAGATCCGTTGATGGCGTGGCCGGCAGGGGTCTGAGAGGGGCTAGAGGGGCCACATCCCTCCAAGATAGCTTCTGCCACAGGCTTTGATAGCTTGAAAGGTCGAAACTTGTCTTCGTCTCCGTCTTGACTTGTAGATGTACATCTTAGATGATGGGATTCTGTCCCCCTGGACTTTGACCCTTCATGGATCCATGAAGAAGAGTTCGCAATGCCTGGCACTCTTCGCAGGTCAAACATCCTGATGGAGTCAACCCTTGATCTCGGAAGTCCTGGAAGTTTAGTTCCTCCTGCCAAGATTCCAGTATTCCGAACACGCAGCACGCTTACACATGCCCCGCGATTCTTCTTCACCGTTGGTGCCTTCTCCTCATTCTCATATTTCTTCTTTCACTGCCGCCTTTTCGAATGGACGTCGATCGATCTCTACATATAATACTCAAAATGGGATCAATTGAAGGAGAGTTGGCTGTCAAGGAAACTCCAACCAAGATCTTGGTTATTGGTGGCTGCTATGGAGGACTATCGGCTGCCTTGAACCTTCATGACTTGTGCAGTGGAAAACAGTCAAGAGCCACGCTACACCTGCCAAGCGAAGAAACTGGCCCTCGTCCGAAATTACCTGTCGATATCAAGGTTGTGGATGAACGAGATGGCTATTGTATGTTGCGAAACTCAAACAATAGCATTCTTACTGATGAGAATTGCAGATCACTTAATCGGATCTCCTCTCGCCCTAGCCTCCGAAGACTTCGCAGAGAAAGCATGGAAGAAGTACGAAGAACTACCGACGTTGAAAGCTCCGGGAATAAGCTTCATTCAAGGGCGAGCGTCTAGCGTGGATTGTGAGAAGAAGGTTGCGGTGCTCACAGACACACTTTCTGGAAAGAAGTCGGAAGAACATTACGATTATCTGGTGGTCAGCACTGGTCTACGACGAGAGTGGCCGACGGTGCCTCAAGCCCTGAGAAGGAAAGAGTATCTGGCAGAAGTCACTGCACACATTAGAGCTGCCAGAAGTGCGCGAGAATGCGTTGCAGTCATTGGTGGAGGTGTGTTCATTCTCCTATTTGTTATAAAATTAATTGACACCAAGCAGGAGCTGTTGGAATTGAGATGGCAGCCGAACTCAAGCTGGTGAAACCTACATTGGATGTCAAGCTCATCCATTCCCGTGAAAGACTTCTTTCCACCGAACCTTTACCAGACGAATTCAAAGACCGAACTGCATCCGTACTTCGAGAGAGTGGTGTAGATCTCATTCTCGGTCATCGTGTCTACGAGATAAATCCAGTGAACAACAAAGACGAGAAACCTCTCTTCAGATTGAAATTGTCTGATGGGAGTGAGATGCTGGCTGGACATGTTATCCCCGCCATCTCACATGGAGTACCTTCAACAGACTTTCTACCAGCAAACTCTTTGAATCAAGAAGGGTACGTTAACATTGATGGAACGTAAGTAAAACTGTCCCACCTTAAAGTACATCGACATACCGTAATCCCCACAGGCTTAACTTCAAGAACTCAACACCAAACTCCTCTTCCCACTTCGCGGTCGGCGATATCGCAAATTGGTCAGGAATCAAGCGTTGCGGAGCAGCAATGGCCATGGGTCACGTTACAGCAGTCAATATCCACCAACAACTACTCCAAGCCAGATTCGGGACGGAACCAATGTTCGCTGAGTTTCCTGAAGTGCCGCCGATGATTGCATTAGCTGCTGGAAAGCAGGCTGTGCTTTATGGTGAGAAGGAGGGTACGACTTGGGGAGAGGATAAGATGCAGATGATGTTTGGGGATGATCTTGGGTATAGTAGTAAGTTGATGGTCGGAGTGAGAGTGGAGATTTGGCTAACTGTTGTTTAGTATGCTGGAACTATCTGGGTTTGGGAAACGATGGATCAGTTGAGCAGAAGTGAGGTGATCCAGCGGTCTGTATGTATGAGGAGACGGGGTACGAATGTTGTGCTAGTGAAGATGTGCGCAAGCTTGAAGTTCAATGATGTCACGTGATCGACGCTTTCATACCTGGATCTTGTCTGGGGGTTCTTCAGTAAGCTCGATTACTATGTATATCGTAAAACACCGTTCTTAACAGCAATGGTGGTGGTGAGAAGCCTTACTCGCTAGTATGTAGCCCTACGGTGTGCCTAATCGAGGGTCAAATCCCAGCGGTTACTCGGCGGCTGCACAGCCTCATTACAACAAAGTCCTTCTCAGCAAGACCAGAGCCTTTCTTTTCAAGAGTCTGCGACTATTTCAATTGTTGCTTTCGTGATACGCTTTCCATCAATTTAAAGAGCCCCAAAGGGTCGCAATTATGGCTGATGGTCTTGCAATAATTGGAGTTGTGTTGCCGCTGGCGGGGCTAGCGACCACAGGAATAAGGGAGCTGTGTGAGCTCTATGCGGCGAAGAAAGAGATCTCAGAGACGATTCAAAATGTCTCCAAGCAGCTTCCACTCCTCATCGACACGCTAACGGAAATCGAAAAGAGACTTCAGGTAGAATTGCTGAAGCCTACAGCGCAGAAGATTTTTGTCGCTAAGCACCAGAACAATATCGCGCGTCTTGTGGAGGGCTGTCGAACTGATATCACGAAACTCAACAGCCTGATTGTTAAAGTGAAGCCTTCGGGCTCGGCAAAACGCTCTAGAGCCTTTCAAGTCTCGAAAAAGGCTGTTGCTTGGCGTCTGAGGTATGGAAACGAGTTCAAAGAGATTATGAGCAGGCTTCGCAACCTCACATCAACACTCACTGACTACCTTACGGTAAGAAGCGGGATTATTGTAGATGGTAAGTGCAGCTCTTGAGGTCGCTCTTCAGTCCCCTCTAATTGAAATTAGAGTCGCTCTCGCTGGCTCTGAAAGGAAGAGAGCACCGGTATACCGACTGGTTGCAGCCATGCGATGTTGAATTCATCGGAAAGAAACTGGACGGAACCTGTGACTGGATTTGGAGCGAAGAACAGTTTGTTATATGGACAGATCTCCAGCGCCTCCGGATTCTGATCGACTGCTCTGTATATATGGAGTTCATGGATCAGGAAAATCAGTTCTGGCTTCATCCATCGTCAGCGGTCTGAAAGATAGACAGCAAAAAACGCTCTTCTTTTCATTCTCTGGACTAGAAAGCACCAGGAAGAGTGTAGAACATCTTCTTCGCACTATACTGTGGCAGCTCATACAAATCGCTCCTCCCGAGGTTGGCCACAAGACCATGCAAGATCTGATGGCAGCAGGAGCTATCGCAACTGCCGGATTACTGCAATCTTTGGTAAAGATTGGAAAATCATTGACAACACGAGTATATTGCATTATCGATGGCGTGGATGAATCAGACGCCGAGTGGAACGACTCCTTCGACGGTGGCCTCAAAATCGTTCTCGACCTTCGAAAAGCTCTCCCTGGGTTTCATTTCCTTCTGATTGGACGACCAGCAGCATTATGGCAGGCTCTCCGCCATACGGATTTGAAGATCGAAATGACCCCTCAAGCTGTCAAGGGAGATATTGCGAAGTTCATCCAAGCTGAAATAGAAAAACTGGACATAGTCAACAACGACAACCTTCGAACGCATGTCTACAAGACCCTGGAAGAGAAATCTGATGGAATGTTTCTCTGGGTGAAGATGATGCTGAGTGAATTACGAAAGGCTTCCACTGCCGATGAGGTCGAGAAAATGCTTTCGGACTTGCCACGAGGACTTCATAAAGCATATCACTTCGTCTTTGCGAGCCTTTTGGGGAGGCTGGGGAAATTAGAGTTAAGTCGCGCTCAAAGACTTCTCCAAATTGTAGTGACAGCATGCCGTCCAATGAAGATTGGTGAGCTATGCTACACCTATGCCATCATGTCGGAACATGGAGCCAAGTTTGAAAAACATTTAATGCCTCAACCAGATCAAGGCGTGTTGAATGTTTGCGGGGACTTTATCACCATTTCTGGCGGGGTTGTGCGCCTGGGACACACATCCGTGAAGGAGTTTTTGACTCGTTCTGAGGAGCAGTTCAGACTTGATGACCCAGAGCTTCTCTGCTTCAATATAAATATCACCAAAGCAAACCACATGATGGCGCTCACCTGGATCGAATACTTAGCCACTTGCGAATATGGGTTTCCGTTACGGGATGCAGATGCCATGACAACACTTGACACGCGATACCCACTGCTCCATTATGCGTCAAGATATGGAGTGTTCCACTTGATGAGATCTGGTACGGCTTCTCCAGAACTAATTGCTCGCATGGACAGATTTTTGGCGTCTCGAGAGAGCGCAGTCTGGGCGGAGTACCTCATTGCTTTTAGTACACGATGTCTCTAACGCAGATCTGGTACAAGAGCTTGACTTGCTCCAGGAATGGTACGACCAAGCAATTGATAAACCACGTCATTTGCGACGCAAGTTTCATGGGCGCATGGAAGAAGAGCTTGAATATCGACGAAAACTCTTCGGAGATGAAGATGAGCGTACCGAAACATGTAGAAGTGCCGTTTTGTGGCTGATAGATGACGTCGAGAAGTACTTGCCGGATAACTCCCAGAGCCAAAGCCTTATAGTGTCAGCTAAAGCCTCGAGCCCAGCTGATAAAGTTTCTCAGATGATGAACATTCTTAGTTCAGGGTCGATGTTCTCAATACAGAAGCAAGCCGGCGTATTGTTAGGCCTAGGAAAAATTTGGAAAGGACCCAAAGGCCTCACGGATCCGCTAGATATTCTATTTAACATGTTACTTTCGACGGCAGATAGACTCCCGATCTATGCACTATCGGGCTTAGGATACTACTACGAACGGTTGGGGAAAATGGATCAAGCTCTGAAGATCTACAGGGCAGCACTGGTCAAGCTGGAGGACAAGGAAAACGTGATGGAATGTGTAACACTAGGTCAAATTGGATACATACTCAACACGATGGAAAGGTATGACGAATCCGAGGAAGCTTTCAGGCAAGAAGTTCGCAAGAGACAACGGATATTCGGAGAAACTCATTCCACGACTCTTGCTGCACAGGTCTGGCTCGCTCAGTCACTGTACGATCAGGATAAATTAGATGAGAGCAAAGATGTCGTGCTTGAGGTGCAAGAGAAGAGTGAAAGAGCGCTTGGCAAAAACAACGCAGTAACACTCGATAACTTGAAGCTTCTTGGACAAATCCAGTTGGAAGATGATGATCTCGAAGAGGCGGAACTCACTCTGCGGGAGATAGCCAAAAGAAAGGAGCAGAAGTATGGAAAAGACAACACGAATACCCTCCAGGCTCTCTATAACGTCGCTGACTTCCTCTACAATCGGACAAGGAACAATGAGGCTGAAATGATATCTCGGCCTGTTTTGGAAATTCAAGGAAAGAAGCTGGGCTTGGAGCACAGCCAAACTCTCGACACACTTGATCTTCTTGCTTTCAGCTTGTACTACCAAGAACAACTGGAAGAAGCCTTAGAGCTGTTTCAAAAACAAACCACTGTCTATGAGAAGATTTCTGGTAGGACTCATTCCAGAACTTTGGAAACCCTTCAGTGGTTATTTCAAGCGCACCTGGATATGAGAAATTACACCGAGGCAGAGAATACTATTCGTGACCTCATCGGTAGACACGAAACTGAATATGGAAGAGATAACTTCAAGACGATGAAAGTGGTGTACCAGCTAGGTCTAGTCCTCGAACTACAGGGTAGAGACGAAGAAGCGGAGATTCAATTTCGAGACACTGTGAATCAAATTGACGCTGCTCTTCAAGTTGGATATCACGAAGCGTTGTCGTGGTTTGCTGCTCTCGCTGGAGTGCATGGCACAAAAGACGGAAGCAGCGTGCAGTTCGAGAAGACTAGGAAAGGGCTTCTTGGTTTGGAAAAGAGCTATGCCGGCATGATGCGCGATATATTCTTAATTGCCACCAAAAATGTCTGTACATGCGGCAAAGACTTGGACCCTGAAGAGATTATAGCGCAGCCTGTTGCAAGTGACGATGAAACGAGGAAGAGAATCACATCATTGCGTTCATTATTCTGCGAACTAACCTTTGGACCGGACGTGGAAAGGAATTGCGTCAAGGCAGAGGAACTATATCAGGCTGCCTTGAAAGATCTTAAAGACCAAAAGGAGGTCAAACTTGAAGACCTGATTCGGATTACTTGCGGTACATAGGTAGGACCCAAAAGCGTTGAGCTCCGCTTACCTTGAGTAAATTGTCGCTTTGTTTCAGGTTTGCCTCGTTTGAGTCGATAGCTAGTAGGATACTCGGTATGCTAGCTTCTCTCTGCACTTAAATGATGAAAATAAAGTTACAGAGAATTCTCGACAAGTTGACAACGACCGTTGTCTCAATTCTATCTATTATCTTCCCATACCTCAATGCAATACCCCTCCAAATCCTCTTTCTCGCGCTCTCTAAATCAAGGAAGCCGGCGGCGGCTGCTGAGACTCCGTAATATTATCCGCAATCGCCTGCTGTATATCCTGTCTCAACTTCACCACCGCCTGATCCCCCGGATTCGCCCCCTCCAAAAGCAAGACATCAGCCAGCGCCATATTCAAAAAGGCCCTCCGCGCACTAATCGAGGTTCCCATTCTCGGGACCCCTTCACCCATTGTAAAGCACGACTTAATCCTGATGATTAAGAAATCAGATAACCGCAGTGCGTTGAGAAGATCGTAAGCGTCGGTTGCGACGCTGTATCGTGCTGGCCGGGCCGCCATGGTGCAAGCTTCATTGTAGAATTCGATCTGGGCTTTGAAATCTGCTGCTTGAAGTGCTGTTATGTTTGTATATAGTCTTGCCTTTCTGAATAGCTCGTCGAAGACTAGTTGTGTCCTCTTCAGATCCGCGTCGACTTGCGCTTTGAAGTAGGAAGCTTGCCGCGCTACTTCCTCCGTAACCTGCGACGCTGACATTCCTGCTCTATAGACCGTTGGATAACTTGCTGCTTGTATGTACCTGGGGTACGGAGATGGGTAGTCCATTTCGTACCATTTCCCCAGAACACGAGGTGTGAGAAGTGCATCAGGCCCGTACTTGGTTACGTGGGCTTGCCAGAAAGATTCTTGCTGTAAGTTCTCGATATAAATACCTGAAAGTGGCCAATAAGCGGCTGTTGCTCCTGCGCCCAATTTAAAATTTTGGTGGTTTCGTTTCCGCTTTCCGCTCAAGTCGTATTGACCATTTCCAAAACTCGCAAACGAAGGATAATCTCCTACTACGCTTCCTAACGCTAGCTCGTGAAATTGGCTGGCTATTTTATCGTGGATCTGAGTCAATTTCCCGCCGAAGGTCTGATATGCTTGTCAGCTCGGAACCAGTGCATCGGGCCCGAGATCTAGACCTACGTTGGCCTCCCAAGAATTACCCAGTTCTGAAATAGCCTCATCCTCGAAAAACTGAAGTATTCGTAAGCTACGCACAGGAACTACGGCAAGGAAATGGCTCGTACAGGTTCCGCGCCAGTAAGTGGCATTGACGCCACGGTTGTCCTGATATACGATCCAAAAGCGTGCTGAAAGTGTTCAGTCTTTACCCAATTACCACAACGTTTAAATCTCGTACCATTGTTTCATGACAGATAGTCTTAGCGACGTTGAATTGTTGTGCGAGGCGCTCTGAGACGGTAAGGTCCTGCCGCAATAACGGCAAACAAGCCTCTGCAGAAAGAGTCAAGAATCCCGATCCCCATTTCCTAGGGTTTTCTGGTGGAGGGTTATGCAGCTCGAAACCTTGCCACCATCCAAAAGCAAGCGTTTGGCTCGTGCTGTTTGCGATGTAAGCAACCCTAGATATGATACGAATGCCGATATTCGCGTTAACAAAGGCTGGAATGTGTTGGGTTTGGAGAATCTTAGCAGCCTCCTCTGCTGAGATGACCCGCTGGTTTTTCCGGAGATGGAAGGAATGAACAGAGTATACTGGACTTGTTGTTGGACATCCATCAGGACAATCGGCTGCTGCAACCGGAAGGTAGTCACCCAGATATAGAGAATCGAACCTATCATTGTCAGCAAGTGTTGAGGGTTGGCATCTCTGCATACCAAGGCCATGGCATCACACGAGTCATGATCATGGTTGCCAGATGTAATACTGGAAGCATAGCATCCGCGACAATCTGATTATCGTTGATATCCCATTTCCCTGGGAATCCATGGCCAATGTCTTCGAGAAAGTTCTTTGGCATGTCCCAGTGATGAAGTTCGTAAAATGGATGAACGACCCTAGGAAGGTTCATTGGTCTATCGTTCGGGTTCCCAAAGCATCCTGCTGCTTGAAGTTGCTCGATTGTGAAGCCATGAAGCTTCAAACGCTGGTAGGCTTCATGAACCCTTTCTAAAGCTTTAAACTTCTCTGTAGTCTCTAGGCCGAGGCCGGGTGGTGGACGTGGAATTGTGTTGATGCCAAGTCGGATTTTGGCATTGAGTGTCGCAATAGTAGGGAGTGACGGGAGTGTCACCGGTGGAGGCGATGGTGGAGGACTGGCTGCCATGACATCGAATCGGTGAGATGTAAGAAATGCAACAGGTCGATGGGAGAAGAAATTGCCGAGGCCGCGTTGTTGAAACGTGGAAAGTGCATTCCTGGCTGTGGAATGAATCGCCTGCAGAAGTGAGCACCTGCTCTTGGTTTAGGTATCTGTAATGTAAACATCATTCAACGATGATACGAGTTACTTGAATGAGATACATCTGCACTGCACAAACATTTGCTCTCACGAGCCTAGAACAAAAGAACGCTCTAGAATTCCAAGTACCATTCAAAGGATTCAAACAAGATAGTACATATTCCATTGCTGATTTGCTTGCTAAATGAAGACAAAAGAACGTATCGTAGACAGGGTATCATATATCCAAGACCGAGAAATTTGCTCCAACATCCGATATCCAACACAAACTCCCAATGTCCCTACTTGGAACCCCACAATTCCCATCGAGAATGTCCCACGCCTGGAGGGACATTTAAGTATCCTACACCAATAACGTATAATCAAGCCATGATTCCAGCAAGTACAGTCATTACACCGCCATAGATACCGAAACACATCACAGATTCACGCCCCAGGAGGACTTTTCTGCTTAAGATCTGGGCTTGGATCAAAGCAGCGACTGTAAACAAAGCTACGAGTAGAGTAACAGTCAATCTTCCAATAAAGCCAGGAATGACAGTGAATGTAAGGACTGGAAGCAAGATCGAGGTTGCGATCGCTGCTGCGAGCGCTGGGAAGATAGATTGGACGGTATCTTTCGTTGGGTTCTGTAGCTCAGGTAGTTTGGACTCAGCGGATGGGGCAGAAGCAGAAGCTAAATGTCGCGATGAAATGTCTGAGGATGAAACCTCTGAAGAAGGAGATTCGGAATGATGACGGCGATAAGGAGACCTGTGATGCAGTGGCTGAGAAGAAAGCGATACCAGATCGTCTTCTGGGTCGAGGAAATGCGTCTCTGCTTCATGAATGGGTTGTTCCACCTCGAGATATTCCCGATACTGGTCGATATCGTCTATTGTAGGAGGTGCAAGCGATTGTGTTTCGTTGAACGAAGTGAGGGCTTGGTCTGTGACATGTCAGTGTTGAGGAAGAAGTAACGAGCCAATGCCATACTGTATTGAGCCAATTTAAATCCAATCCTCCCTAATACATCAGTCTTATGCCATTGGAGCTCGCCACCAGCCATGGCTGCTGCTCTTCTCGATGCGGGAACAATATGACGGTCAGTTCTTCGTGACTGAGTGTCGGCATGATCCAATCGATGAAGTTGTTCTTCAAGCTCGCTAAGCTCATCCTGGAGATGTAGCAGTAATCTGTGATTCAACGCTTCGAACTTTCGATACAGAGGCTTGATACGTGTTCCATCCTCGATATCAGCTCTGGTCGACAGTTGTGAAGCAAGAAGTTCGTAACCAGTCACTGGCAGTTTTTCTGCTCGTGGTAATGGTCTCTGGGCCATTGGTTGTGGGTAGCGAGCACTCAGTGCCGATGGAGGGACCACAGGTAATTGAGCATTGCCACGGGGCATATTTGGTGTTCCAAATTGATTCATGGATCCATATTGACTTTGTCGTTGTTGAGCAGCTGCCATCTGTGATGCCATTCTAGCGGAGGCTCGGTCCGCTGAGGATGGTGTTAGCGGAGGAGAAGCTGGAGCTCCTGGAACTTCAGGAATCTCTGGTATCGTCTCTAATGGTCTTGGCTCGTTGACATCGTGTCCTTTGACACTCCTTTCTGGACTTGTACTACGATCAGTATCGTTATCCGCAGGTGGATCGGAAAAGTCGTCTCCATGAAAGCTGCTTGATGCAGACGATGATGCGCTGCCCGGATGTTCAGATGGCATGTTTGATAGATCTTCGGCTGGTGGAGCTTCAATTTGCTTTTGAGTCCATGGGTGAGGTTCATCGTCACTCTCCTCTTCCTCTTCTTTATCCTCATCAGAATCGGGACGCTCTTCCACCACCCCTTGTTGATTGTGCTCCTCCTCCTTCTCCTGCTCATGGTGTGATTCATCGTCTGTGGGACTCTCATTTCGTCCTTCACCCATGAACGTAAATACATCTGGAGGATCCGGTACTGCAGGTGATAGTGGTGCTTCTCCAGCCGGTCTTTTGCCAAGACTTGATCGTTTGGATACGGACATCTGCGTGACGGTAGAATTACTACCACTTGAGCTACTGGAAGTATTGGTAGCTGTAGTCTGTGTTGTAAAAGTTGACATCATGGACGGCGAGGTCAACCGTGCTCTAGCAGCAGCCAGCACTGCTCTATGATCTGGGATTGGCTCGTCGTCGTCCGAGGAAGATGTTGAGCTTGTGCTTCGATGGGACAATGAACGGCGGTGTCGATAACGAGGACCTTCTGAGGTATTATCCCTTGCAGATGTCCCACCATTCCTCCTATTGTCGGACTTTGGTTTCGTCTTGGAATATTTGCTGCCTTCATTGCTTCGATGTTTCCTCCTTCGTCTCTCTTTCCTACTATTCACGATCATGACTGATTCATGCGACGACTTCGAGTGGCGATGTGAACTCTCGTTGTTCGACCCCTCCTCGGTACCCCTTACTTCCTCCCTTTCCTCTCTTTCCTCGTCGTCCGAATCTCCCAGCATTGACTCGACTGTTGGATTGCTGTATTTGGTGGTCATGATGGGCAAAGGAGGAACTGGTTATCGTCAGGCCAGACCTATAATGGAAAAAGCAAAGGATATAAAAGCGCAATGGGATCTGCAGGATATCTGGCAGGGCATACCTGGATCGAGTTGGGCACTTATGGCGGTGTGTGGTGTTGAGAATGCAGACTAAGTATGCGCGAGGACCATAATTGTTTGCTGCTGGTTGATGCAGAGGATGAGAAGGGGATGAAGACGACGAAGAGCATGATCGTGGGGTAAACAGGAGGTTTGAGTTTCGAGTATATGGGGAGATATAGGGAGATATAACTATAGCACTGTTGAACTGGTCAGATATGACGGCGGCGGGATACGAGAAAGAAGGCCTCAGATGCGGGTTGGAGTTCCAGGCCTGTTTCGAGTTCGTCAGGGCTGCTGGAGGGGTGGAATGAGGGACGACTAGCGGGTGAACGAATCCCGCCCGAGCGCTATAAAAAGGCAGTTCAGGCCGCTAGTTCAGGCCGTCAGGCAGCACAGCACCGTCCGCGGCTCCTTCTTCCCCAGGCTGAGAGAAGGGAAGCCAGGCCACCACCAACACCAGGAACCAACAGCCGAGGCGGAACAGAGCTCAAAGATATTTTGGACTCGAAAATATCCAACCCAACAACAACAAATAACAACGACATTCGAACATCAGAGAAAAGGGAGGAGCACCACATACATACATAGATACGCCCACTAACGTGCAGCAGCTCGCCTTCACGCCCACGCCCCCATCATCAGATCCCAATGCATATGCTTTCGCAATCCATCCTCTGATTCCGGGCGACGTGCCACTCTTCTACTCGGTCACTACACAAGCACGTCGCCGTTGCGCGGAGTCGAGGACCAATACACGACAGACACATGCACCCACTATCTGCTCGCCACCAAGATTTCTCCAGCAGATAGATTGCATGTGTGTATGACCAGACAGCTTCATGCGACACAGCACTTGAGCCAACCCATTTTGCAACATCTGCAGTGCTTCTCGAATCGGGTGAAAGGTCTGCGAAGTGATCGAGATTCTCTGCAGACGCCCGACATTCAACCCATCTGCCAGCCTCCTAATCCTGTTTCTTGACGTATATAGCTCTCCAACGACTGGAGCTACTCGTGCCACAGACGACCAACAATCTTGCTCCATAGGGCTTCGAGCTCCAATGGCGCGATTCGCCCCAGCCGTTCTTCAAAGATACCTGTTTGGAGGCCAACTTCTAGTCAGGGGATGTCTTCGACATATGAGACATGCTCCGCAGACTGCACCATCTTTGTATTCCCAGAGATATCACACAACTCAAATCGAGAACACAAGCTCTGCCAACGCCCCAGACATTACGATTCCGTTTCGAAAACAGTTGAAGGACGAGGCAAAGCAGCGGAAAGCGGATGAGATTGGAAAGAAACCGAAGAGAGATAACCAGAGATTGGACAATTGGGAATTGACGGTCGGAATCGAAATACACGCCCAATTGAACACAGAACGCAAACTATTCTCCCCTGCCACATCGACAATCAACGATGCCCCCAATACTCATGTCGCACTCTTCGATGTTGCCATACCCGGCTCCCAACCGACATTTCAGAAAGAGACATTGATACCCGCAGTGAGAGCTGCTTTGGCGTTGAATTGTCACATCAATAAGACAAGTCGCTTCGATCGCAAACATTACTTCCACTGGGATCAACCTACGGGATACCAGATTACACAGTACTACGAACCGTTTGCGAAGGATGGCTACGTTACTTTGTACGCCCAGGATGGGCTTGCTAGGGAAGATGGCGAAAAGATACAGATTGGCATCAAGCAAATACAGATGGAACAGGACACAGCTAAGACAATGTCTCAACCTGGAGATGTTCACCTGCTGGACTTCAATAGGGTCGGCCTGCCATTGATCGAGATTATCACACTCCCAGAAATACACCATCCTAGCACCGCTGCTGCATTGGTCCGGAAAGTGCAAACCATTCTTGGAGCTGTCGATGCTTGTGTCTTGGGTATGCAATCAGGAGGGCTACGAGCTGACGTCAATGTCTCAGTGCGAAGGCGTGATGCTGTTGGAGGTCACGAATATGGTGGTGTACACGGCCTCGGTCAGCGTACCGAGATCAAGAATCTGAGCAGTTTCAAAGCTGTCGAAGATGCCATCATCGCAGAGCGCGACCGTCAAATCGATGCACTTGAAGCCGGAGAGGTTATCGAAGGCGAGACACGAGGATGGACTATTGGAAGCACTGAAACGAAAAGGTTGCGAGGTAAAGAAGGAGAAGTTGATTACAGGTACATGCCAGACCCAGATCTAGCCCCAGTTGTTATTGGAGATGATCTCATCGACCATCTGAAGGAAACTATGGGCGTCCTTCCAGACCAGGAGATCGAGACTTTGGTCGAGCAATATGGCCTCACAGCCAAGGATGCTATGTCATTGATTTCTCTCAATGATGGAGGCCGCGCTGAGTACTTCTACAACACCGTTGAGTCATATCTTCGGAACAATCCCGATGAGGATATGAGCAAAGTAGGCAGGTTGTGTGGAAACTGGGTATTGCATGAAATGGGCGGTCTATCTCATCTTGATGCAAGTGAGGAAAATCCTCTGAATTTTACAGAGGCAGGAAGATGCTTGATCACAACAGGCAAGTTGGCTCACCTATTAGATCTTCTGGGCAAGAGCAAGATTACTGGGAGGACGGCTAAGAAAGTCCTCAACGAAGTGTTTGAGAGCGCTCTCCGCAAAGTTGACGAGACTCCCCAAGAGATCATTGACAGACTTGGATTGTGGTTTCAGCCACTATCTGATCAAGAGTACGATGAATTGGCAAAGAGTGTACTTGATATCGATATCGTCAACCAGATCTTGGCAGGCAAGATTGGGAAGATCAATTTTTTGGTTGGCCAAATGATGAGGAAGGACGCTGATGGTAGAGTCGATGCACAACAAGCCACAGCGGTTCTTCAGAGGCTTATCGAAGAATATAGGACGAATTAAATGCGTTTTCTCGCTCAGCAGTTGCCCTGTCCACTTCTACATCAAACCAGACCAGCTTATATGTGTCATCCTTCATGGTTAGGCAAGCGAATCCATGCCCAGCTCTGGGGGCCGCATGAAACCACGCCTCGCAGCTGCAGCAGAACCAGGGTTCGAGTCAAGCGGCTACTGGAACTGCTTCTCTTTTGCTGTCAATTTGTTTTCCTTATCCTTTGTGTCAATCACCATACAGCAATGGATTTCAGCAAATTGAGCTTAGGCGACGACAGAATCTCGACTTCTGGTGACGTTTCGGCTCAATCCTTAGTGGTTGCAAGTGCTGCGGCTGAAGATTTATGTAGCCGATGCAAAGCAATCGATTTCAACGACGTCTTCTTTGGCCAAAGGAAACCTCCAAGTTATGATGGAGAATGCCAAGACGTGATTGAATGTCTGGGACCGGTAGAGAATTGGAGTGTTGATGCGTGTGTCTTGTGTAAAGCCTTGGCAGATATGATCCCAGCAGAGAACCGAGCCAAACCGTCCGACAAGTACAGGTTGCAATCATTTGAATCTGAAAATTCATCATGGATACGGTACTACTATCCTTTGCTTGCAGATATCTCGCCTAGGATTTTGCTCCAGATGGATGATTATGGCCGTACTGATCATTCAGGCAAAGTCCTCATCCCACGAAATGTTGGTACGGAGTCTGTTCGACTCTTGAATCCTTCTGTAGTCGATTATGATCTGCTCAAAAGCTGGTTGTCAGTATGTAGAAGCATGCATACGCAAAGATGCTGTTCTGGAATTCGGAAAACGGTGAACTATCTGAAGTTTCTTGACTGCGAAACTCGCAAGCTTGTTCCTGCGAAATCTCTCCCGTATATCACTCTCAGCTACATGTGGGGTGCGGATGAGCGCCCACCGCTATACACCGAACAGCTAGGCTATAACTTGCCTCCAACCATCGAGGATTCGATAACAGTTACCCTCAAACTCGGGTACAGATATTTGTGGATTGACCGTTACTGCATCAATCAACAAAATAAGGAGCAGGCAATGTCTCAGATCCAGCAAATGGACACCATCTATGAAGATTCAGAAATGACCATCGTAGCAGCTGCGGGAGTTGGGCCTACCTATGGTCTCCCTGGAGTAAGCCGCACTCGCCGCCCTCAGCCCGTTGCCAATATCGGACAGCTTCAACTTGTCAGTCCTGGCTCGGTCGCAAGAGAGGTCTTGAAAGAGTCCCGTTGGTCGACTCGAGGCTGGACATTCCAGGAAGCTTATCTATCGAGGAGGCGTCTGACATTCACCGATGAACAGGTGTACTATGAGTGTCGTGGAATGTATAGTTACGAATCTCTCGATGTCCCATTGACCAAGATGCACACTGAAGATGGTCAGACTCTGGATGCGAAATACTTCAATACCCTGGATGGGAAGATTGTTGTTTTCCCTGGCGGTGTAGGTCACGAGGCACTTAATATCTTCGATCGTATTATCGATTTCTCCGTCAGATCATTGACGTATACTTCGGATAAGCTCAATGGGTTCTTGGGAATATCGAAAGCTTTTGAGACTGGTCCTCATCGTGTTCGCAGTCTTTGGGGCTCGCCAATCCTGCCAAAGCCAGATGGCGAAGCTGAACCGGGCCCAAAGGATTACCACGTTACCGAGCTCTTTTCCTCGATGTGCTGGCTGTATGGCGATGCTGAAAGAGTTTCTTCACTGCCGAGCTGGTCCTGGGTTGGCTGGGATGGAGATCTCTTCTTCAGCTACATGGGAGCCTTCCATGGACTGGAGCAATCTCCCAAGGCCACTGTCAGCATTGAGCTCCTCGACGGACATATCTTAGATTGGCATACCTTCCACGAAACATACACCCAAGTCAACAGTCTTACTAACATCAGCCAATACATCCACATCTCTGCCTGGGCGTTTCCAGTTCAAATCACGAAAAGAAAAAGATTGTCCTGCCATGCTCAAATCGCAATGCGTGATGGATGCTATCTTTCTTGGAAATTCGATGCCCATGACAGCCGTTTCCAGGCCGATACATGCATTGGTCTTCTCACAGTCGACAACAGGGATCCGAGTATCGATCGGATGCTCTTCATACTCCTGATTGCGGAGGTAGATGGGAAGATGGAACGAGTTGGAGGGAGTTGGTTACCGATGGAATGTGTTTTGTACGACGGGGATGGAGAGCCGGTGTTGAGGAAGGGTGCTAAGTATGGGAATCAACATGCGAAGTTTAGTGATCTTGTCGAGAGATATGGGGAGGCTTGGTATCAGCAGATGGTCTGTAGTTACGAGACTTTCCGTTTGGGATGATGTCTGTCCTTTTCATCAACATTTGAGTTAGGTTCTTGAAGGTTCGTCCAAAAACGCGCCATCACGTGCAACCTCAGTTGGCCGATCTCATCCCACTCTTCTCCTTCTTCACCCCGTCCTCTGCAACGGCAGTTAACTTCCTTTTCCAACGGCTCTATTTCGAACCCCTATCATCAATTATCATAAGTCCGTGCCATTCCAACATCAAATCCACCTATACGGTGCTTAACATGCGTGAAGTTGCCCGTGATCTGCATGAAGTCGAGATGTCACTGCGTCCTTATCAGTTCACGTCATGACGCCGATCAGGGAATAATGTCAGATTTCTGAATGATGATAAGTACCACATAACATACCTGGTAAGTCTTCTACATGGGTGGTGAGTAAGAGGTTTGTGTTATCTAGGTACTTGCCTATCTTGAATAAAGATGATGCATATATCATGCTTCCCCAGTTTCTTGCTTTCTCGCTGTTTCGTATTGCCACATCCTTCAGCGCAAGGTGATTCAAGATGGCCACATCAGACGGGATTCAAGTACTTGACAGCGGGGTAGGATATGGCATCGTTGTGGGAATTGGAGCGTTCTTCGCTCTGCTCATGTAAGATCCCTTTCTAATTCACACCCGTAGAATTATTAACAGATTATAGGCTAGCAATAACCTACCTCCAAAATCGCTACACAAGCTACAGCACCCACCAGGCAGAAGAATTCAACACCGCTTCCCGCAGCGTCAAGCCCGGCCTCATAGCAGCGGGAATTGTTTCATCATGGACTTGGTCTGCTACCCTGCTCACGTCGTCCACTTTCGCATACACTTATGGTATCTCTGGTCCTATGTGGTACGGTGCAATGGGGACATGGCAAATCCTCCTCTTTGCTCTCATCGCCATCAAAATAAAAGCCAACTGTCCTGGTGCTCACACGTTCCCCGAGATTGTCCTTAGTCGTCATGGGACAGTCGCTCATCTTACGTACCTATTCTATGGCTTCGCGACAAACATGCTAGTCGGTGCATGTCTCGTCCTAGGAGGAAGTCAAGTCGTCGCCGCGTTATCCGGAGTCAACGTCTACGCAGCCTGTTTCCTGATTCCCTTGGTCGTAGCAGCATATGTCATTGCGGGCGGTCTTCGCAGCACTTTCATCGCAGATTATACCCACACGGCTATCCTATTTGTATCCATCTTTGTCTTCGGTTTCTCAATCTACAGCACCAATCCCGCAGTCGGTTCCCCGTCAAAGTTCTACGACCTCCTCCTCGAAGCTAGCATCAAGATGCCCATAGACCATAACCACAACGGCTCCTACCTGACCTTCAAATCGAACGGTGGTCTCGTCTTCGCTGTCGATCTTTTCGTAGCAGGTTTTTCGACCGTGTGGCTAGATCAAGCGTACTGGCAACGAGCGATCGCTTCACGCCCAGAAACGAGTGTTAAAGCATATATCTTCGGCGGCATGGCTTGGTATGGAATCCCCTTCGGCTTCGCTACCGCTATGGGTCTCGGTTGCGCTGCTCTCACATCCTCGCCCTCCTTCCCAACTTACCCGAATCCCCTGACAGCAGCTCAAAATGGGGCAGGATTGTCTAGCCCAGCGACGGCTATTGCGTTATTGGGGAAAGGAGGAGCGGGTTTGATGCTTCTGCTACTGTTTATGGCGGTCACAAGCTCGACCTCCGCGGAACTCATTGCAGTAAGCAGTCTACTAACATTCGATGTCTATAAAACGTATATCAAACCCCGCGCCACCTCAACAGAACTGGTCAAAATCTCCCACTACGGCATCATCCTCTACGCAGTAGTCCTAGCGGCATTCTGCTGTATCTTGAACGCAGCGAGCATCAACCTTACCTGGTTACTAACGGTGCTGGGCATCATTGTGGGAGGAGCAAGTATTCCGGTGGGCTTGATACTTCTTTGGAAGAGGATGAGCACCGTAGCTGTACTAGCGAGTCCGTGGATTGGGTTCGGGTCCGGGCTTGTGGCTTGGTTTGTGGTTACGCATCTTAGGAGTGGGGAGATTGATGTGGCGAATACGGGGGATGCTACGAATGCCGTGGCGGGGAATGTTACTAGTAAGTACTTGCTCTTCTCTACTGTCTTCTGGGCTATCTACTCAAGCTGGGACCGTCAAACCCTGTGATGAGAGATGTGCTAATGGAGATAGGCTGGGGAATGGGTTTCCTAATGGCAGTCCTCCTCTCCCTCCTCTTCCCCAAGAAATTCCAAAGCGTAGACGAAAACCACATCGCCCGCGCCAACAAAATCAACGGCATCTCCCCCACTAAAGGGACGAGTCCCCAAACCACCACTCCTCCAAACGAAAATTCCGATCCAGAGAAAATCGGAAAGGAAGAACCAGCCTCAGATCCTGCTCCGGACACCATTGTTCGAACGGGCAATGAGATTGTCGATTTCTTGGAAACGTCCCATGTCGAACCTATGGATCCTATGGAGGTTAAGAAAGCGACGCGGCTAGCGGTTGGCTTCAATCTTTTGTTTTTGGCGGTTGCGATTCTTTTTGTGCCGTTCTTGTTGTTTGGGGGAGAGTGGATTTTTAGTCGGAATGCGTTTGTGGGGTGGTGTGTGGTGAGTTTTATCTGGGTTTGGTGCAGTATGATTATTTGTGTTGTTTGGCCGGTGTGGGAGAGTAGGAGGACGATTTGGAGGATTATGAGGGGAGTTATGGGGGATGCTGGGGGAAGGGGGAAGGGGAATGGTAGTGGGGAAACTTGATGTAAAGGCAAATGGCGTGCTGGTTGAAGATTGATCTTTTGAGAGAACTTGATAATGGGTTTGAAGAGGATTAGAAGCTGTTGTAGGACAGACATGCTACACTCTGAATAAATAGACTAGTCTGTGAGAGGATTCATGAAGTGGGATTTGCAACATTTAATCTTGGGAGATAAGAAATCTTATATTTTATAAATAGAACGATGTCTTAAATCGCAGCCTCACTTTACATGTGGTGCCTTCACGCTAGCCCTTTTTGGGCCACCATGCATATGGCTGTTCACAACATGAACTGAGACACGGCTAGGTAACAACATCTTCCATCAAACTTTAATTGCTCATTCAAAAGATCGATTCCTCGTTCCTTGGGTCGGTGCATGTTATATAAGAACGGACTCCATACGCTGATATTCCAATCCCAGAGCTGTTTGATCAGGCTGAGCCTTGCCACGTAGACGCTGCATCATTTCTTTCGCTATGGAACCTACGAGACCAATATGGGCAGAATTCATGAATGGATCTTCTCAGAGAGACGATTCATTCCTAAACGAAGATTTAATACTTCCCGACGACGATCCAGAAGTATCTTGGGCCTTGTCAGTGGTTCAATACGGCGCTGAAACGCGCGCTTCTACATCTGTTCTAGAACCTCATGATGGAGATTACGAGGATATCATACATCGCTTAGATCCAGGACTTTCGGAGCCAGGAAGTAGTATCGAGGAGAGTTGCGAAGCGGCTCTCTCTTGGCAGACTCAAGACTATGGAGACGAGGAGCACGGTCTTCAACAGACTGTCGACGCAGACCCATCCACCACTAGAGCAGGCAATGCCCAAACCCTAAGGCAGACCGAGTTATTTCGACAAGTTCAAGCCCAGGCCCAGACCATTCAATATTTGAGACAAGCCCTTGCTGAACAAAGTAAGACATTTGAGAAAGCATCCGATGTCTCCCGGTATCGACAAACTCGGGACTTCGAAGACGACCGTCGAAGGTTTCAACAGATTCTTCCCGGGCTGGGGGGTATTGCCGAGGAAACAAATGCGCGGATCCAAGATACGGAAGCTGCCGATGAAGAGCCAAGAGAAGCATCATCCCAAGGAACAAGCGCTACCGAAACGGAACATGCTGCCTGTCAGTCTGTACAATGCCAAGATTGCATGGAAACCATCCAAAGTCTACGAAAAATGCTTGCTGAGCAAGTTAGTAACGCCGAGGAAGCCAACCATCAGGCACTTTCCAAGTCTGTCGCGTATTGGCAGATCCAAGAACACGAGAGGACCATTCAACGACTCAAACAGACACTGGCGGAACAAACAAGCGCTGCTGAGAAGTCACAGGAGAATTTTCATTCGGAGCTCTATGCACGAAATCGAGAACACCAGAATGAATTGCCACAGTTGAGAGACATGATTCCTGAAGAAGGACCCCCAGTCTCAGAACTTCCAGAGACTGCGCAACGGCAAGGAGATTTTGATCCAGAGCTGCATGTCCAGCTGCACGGCGCCAATACTAAGGAAGACAAGTTCTTGATCCTCAGTTCAGACCAAGAAGGCTCTCAGGAGTCTGCTATACAGCTTTTGCGAAAGCAAATGAAGGCAAAAGACGCAAAGTTCTCGACTCTAGCAGCTTGCTTTAACGAGAAAGACCAGGAGCTATTTGCAAGCCTTGAGAAGAACAAAGTACTTACCAACCACAACAAGGATCTTCAGGCACGAGTGACTGAATTGGAAAGTGCTCTTCTGCCGTCTGTCCAGCACGCAAGTCAAGATACTAAAATACTGCTCGAAGACCTCGAGAAATTGAAAGCCGAACGCGTTGAAATGATTGAAACGCTCCAAGAGGTACAAGAGGTGTTGGAAATGAGAGAATTTGAAGTTGAACATCTCGGAGAAGTGCTGGAAGAGCAGAAACAGAAGCTAGAAAAATTCGACGTCTGTCACCCCGCAACACTCCGCTCGCTTCTGATGATGAGACACGTGGAGCAAGCCTCAGTGGAAGACGTGGACGAAGAGGCGTCGGATTATTATGGGAGCATGCTAACCTGGGTCCCTACTGGACTTCCTCAAGACCAATTGGACAAGAGATGCTCTTCAAATGAGATCCAGCGTCTCGCAAAACTCTTACCTCAAGGTGCTTCGTTCAATAACTTTTACGAACGCTTGAAGCTTGATATCTGCTCTGTGTGTTCGAAGGCAAAGTTCAAGGTCAGACTCGATACCCACCCTAGACATCAATCACTCAAATGGCTTCATGAGTATGTTGTGCCGTCCCGATATTTCACCTGCTGCGAAGATAAAGTCTGTAAAAAGTGCTTCGAGAAACACATTCTCGAGACTGTTGAATTCAAATGGTGGAATAGACTTGATACATTGCAGTGGTTCAAATGCCCCAGGGCTGGCTGTGAAGAGGCACTTGGCATTCGATGCGAAGCAGATATGTACATCTGTCTAGAACGGATCTTGGGACGGGATGCTGACAATTCGGTTAAGATGTGAGTTGACATGTTTCTATTCCTTATTTCTGATTTCCATCAATTCAAATTTAGGTTGCTGACACAAGTCGTAGGTACACCAAAGCATTAGCTTTCAGGCGAGCTCTAAAGGCTCTCGAACCTCAGCCCAGTGAAGAAGCACTCACAAAAGCATCCAATTTAACTCGAGCCCTGGTTGCATCAGGACACATGTACAGTCCTTTCGACAGCAGATTCGACTCAAAAGATCCCGATGAGACAGGCTGCATCCCCGATTTCAACCCAGGCACTGTTTACCTCGCGGCTGTGGATCATGTCTCATCGCCTATCCCTCTCTTTCCAAAACTGTTCCGTCGCAAATCCAGTCCCCAAGAGTGTATGACATGTAGTAAAAGGTTCTTTGACATCGACTACGGCAGTACCCATAGCTGGAAATCGATGTGTTCGAATTTCCCAGGACCTTGGGTGTTGGGCATCCTTCTATTCCCCACCAGCGAAAATCAGAAATGCAATCATGATTTCGAAGTCTGTCGCGTTTGTACAGCGGAGTATATCCGCAATGTCCTTGTCTCTGGCGGGCCGTCAGCCTGCGAAAATGTCACTTGTCCGCAATGCAATCGGAAACTTATGTACGAAGAGATCATTCAGCTTACAGATTCTAAAACAGCTGCTAAGTACACACTCCCGTTGATAGCTTCTCGAGAACCACACATTGACAAATCTGCAGATACGAGAAGTTCCTCATCCAATCTTATCTTTCGAAAGAAGAGAATTTTCGTTGGTGTCTCAACCCCATCTGTACCAATGGACAATTGTATGACCACTCTCCTTTCGATCCTCAGATAACATGTGAAGAGTGCGACTTTGAGATGTGCTATCAGCATTCCATGCCGTGGCACGAAGGTTTAACGTGCGCCGAATACGATTCCCAGAGAGATCATGGTGATCCGAGTTATGCTCAGACACGAGAATGGATCAGGACAAATACGAAGCCATGCCCGAATGGCGACTGTCGTACAGATATTCAGAAAGGAGAGGCTTGCTTCCATATGACTTGTGAGCTTTTACAGCATGATCTTGTGCCTGATGTTGACAAGAAATAGGTACCCAATGTCGTCACGAGTTTTGCTGGCAGTGCCTGGCAAGCTGGTCTGATATTAATGTTCGTGGTCAACAAGGTCATAATGAAGGGTGCTTCTTTCGGACGAGTGATATAGGGCCTATGGGATTGAGAGGAGAGAATCTTGAAGCTGCACTGGGAGACTAGCTACCTGAGTTTTTGGAGAACTTCGAATTATAGCTGAAAGAATGCCTTAATCAATTCCGAATTTTGACCAGGGGTAGAAGATAAACGTGTGCTCAAACTGCCCTAGCTAGCAGATCTCTTACATGGACTCGAGATAAAAAAGAAACGCGAGGCTGTTGCACGAGATCCCAAACTCTCTGACACTCATTCGCTGGGTCCCGCACTGCTCTGGGTGTCCGACGTCCTTGCTTTCAGCATCTGTTCGATGCTGGAGTCCGTGAATAGAGGAATCAATATCCTGGCATGAGACAAAAGCCACTGCTAGGTTGGAAATGTTGTTCATCACCGAACAATTTCGAGAGGCCATGAGACTAAATCGCTTTCCTTTTATCTGCACAGGTCATGAGGTTAGACGGTACGAGGTGTCAAGTGTCTGCCTACTCTGTTATACTAAACAGTGTGATCTTTCGACGTAAAGACGGCCGGCACTCATTGTAAAAGGAAAACTGCAGTGCTTATTCAAATTCCATGACGTTAACACTAGCGGCTTTGTCGATCCATCACAGTATAGCTCGAATGCCGAATGGGGATATGTACACTAACATAGCACGCTAGTTCTGTTGACGCTGTTGAGCTCGGGTCGATAGGTTATAAATTCCCTCCACTTCGCAACTTGACTCCTGAACTTCCACGACAACTTCAACGTCAGCAAATTCCTCTTTCAACAACCTCAACCTTTACCTCTTTGATAATTAGTGTAGAAGCGGTCACATATCTTGTGGTATCGCTCTACTCGCCTTCGATTTCGGCAACCTTCATCGATTGGAATACTTGAGGCGCAACTCGTCCTCTCGCAACATCTTGACGACAGACTCAAAGTCTCTTCTTACATACTTACGACTGATATTACACAAGTTGGTCGACATGTCTAAGTTTGGTCAAGACGAGAAGAAGGCTATGCTTCGTCGCGAAAAGCGAGCAGCGGGAAACTGGGTTTGAGATGACGAGAAGCAGACAATGGTCAACTTGAGCGATCTATCGATCAGTAACGACCCTCCGAATGACAATATGCAACTCAAGGGTTGTCTCCTTTTGACTCTCCTCCCTATTGGTAAACCCATCTCTATCTCTTGATGATCAATCTGTACTAACTAGAAATTCAGAGATTCGTCAGAAGATCTACCGGGAGCTGTTCCTAAGACCAGTTGGCATTGTCCCAGGACCCATTCGATACAAGCCAAAGATTTGCTATCGCAATACAACTATCAACATATACTCCTACCAATGGGAGAGCCATCGACAGAGCTACTATGATGAGTGGGGTCTTCCGCATTACGATGGTTCCCCAGAGAGCTTCACCAAGGAGTGGATTACGAAGCCAACTGAGGAGGAAGTCCGCTTGATGGAAGATGGGATCTTGGAGTCGGCGCATGAAACCGGTGTTTGGAAGCTGCCTGACATTAAAGATGAGGAGGGTACGACCATCTACCGCGAGATTCGCAACCATGGAGGTCGACCGGAAGTCCTCAATTGCACTCGAGTCATGTCCACCGGCTTGTATGGTGTCGAGCTCCTCCGAACCAACAAACAAATCTCTTGGAGGCATCGGAGATCCTGTATAGCGAAAATACATTCGTCTTCAACACTCGAGGCAACTCCCCCTTCACCCATCATCAAGGCGTCCACGTCCACGATGTCTTTAGCAAGAATCGAGCTCTTGTGCCTGGCCTTCCTTTTCCCGATGGTCGACCTGTTTCTCAACGCCAGATCCAAACTGCGATTGAGAAGATGTTCGACAAGGACAAGTATCAACCTCTCTTCGTTGCTAGAGATCCCCTAGCCAAGTTCTTCAACATCATTGGTCGCGAGAACGCATCCAAGATCCGCAAGATCGTGATCGAGGGTTTCTTCAAGACCGCTGAAGAGAATGAGCGATACAAGTTCGAGCGTCCCAATGGTCTTGGACAGATCTTGCCGATCCATACCACGATCCTGAGAAACGTTTGCATCGACTTGCAACAACTTACCATTTTTCTGGGTGAAGATGATGAACTGTGGAATGACGACCTCGAGAAGCAGAGCGGGCTCACAGACGAAGATAGAATTGACAAAATCATTGCAGGTGTTGTCCATGGGCTCTCGAACCTTCAACAACTCCGTCTAGAGAACAGAACTCGACTTAGAGGGGTTGAGGGCCAGCCACATGTATATGTAGAGATACCAGCTTGGGGCAAGGCGATACGTTAGGAGGGAATGGTCTTGCAGGCCTACAACAAACAGAAGGAAGATGTAGCTGCGATAAAGGCTAAGAAGGACGAGCGGATGGAACTCGATCAGTACATCTGGAAGGAAGAGGGTTTCTCCAAGCGCGGACGTGGTGGACGAGGAGGCGGTCGAGGAGGTAGAGGTCGTGAACGTGGGGGATATGCTGGTATTGGTAGACCAGTTCAGAACTCCTTTGCAGCTCTGATTGACCAAGCTGTTGCAGCTGCAGGTAACGGCGAGTGTAGTTCGACAAGCAGACCATCCTTCCGCAAAGGATAGCATCGCTCTTGCCACAGAGATTATGGAGCCAATGGTGGTGGCAGTCAAGCTTAGGCCTGAATTCCAGTCCTATGATGACAAGTCCATGGATCAAGGCGGGGTCAGAGTAGCATAGCCTTTAGATCTGCCAACATTCAAATTCCATATGACTCCTGAGCATCATGAATATTAATGTCAGGAGCACTGCACTCCCATTGGGACAACTTGTTGACTTTCAGTGAAAATTCTAACCTAGACTATGGAAATATGGATCGTATTTGAATTATTTGACGTGTTGTTATCGCCAGTGAACGTCTATGGTCTTGGCGTGGTGGCCGCTGAATTGCTGCCAGCTATATCAGAGCAGGAAATATGATTGGCCTTCGTTGATCCCCGGTCGAAAATAAGTTGGTATGACTGCATCGAAGTAGCCGACCACCAACTCGACCCATGGCAAAGCATGCGTGGAGAGCTACACCCCGAAAGAGTTTGCTGCAGTCGACTGCATCGAGTCCCAGGTACCAGTATGGCTGCGGCACGTAGCTTGTCGAGCCCTTCCGGGATGGATTTTTGGTCAGTGCTTTTAGGCCTCGCACTGCCCGATATGATCGATCGCTTTATGTAGGTTGGTTTAATTCTCGGCTAAGTAGTTGTTCTCCTCGCTGTTAAAGACATTGCGGCCACCTTACTCAAACACCCAACACGCTTCAACTACTTCCATTGCAATCCACACCAGAATTATAATGAGCAACAATATGAATCCAAAGAACCAAGATGGGACATTGATTGTCCCAATGTGGATCAACGGCAAAGAAGAAATTACTTCCTCAACATTCGAGGTGACGTCCCCAAAGACAGACCGGACTTGCTGGAAGGCAGTTTCTGCCACGACTGAGGACGCGCTACGTGCCATTTCCTCTGCCCAGGCAGCTTTCCCAAGCTGGTCCCAGACCAAGCCAACCACTCGTCGAGACATTCTACTCAAAGTAGCAGACTTACTCCAAGAGCGCACTCAATGCAACTGAGAGTTCATGGAGACAGAAATAGGTGCCGACATGGGAGTTGCAATGTATTTCGTTATTCCTTTGGCAATTAAGATGTGTAAGGACATTGCTGGGCGTATCACCTCCATTTGCGGTCATGTTCCTATCTGTCAAGGCGATGGCACAAGTGCTATTGTCTATAAAGAACCATATAGAATCACACTTAACATTATACCTTAGTAACCTATTTCAGTTTTAACTTTGAACATAAGTTACTTGCAGCGTAACTTCGGACATAAGTTTCAGTGCGGGAAACAATCTACCGATGTGAGCTTGCATCTGGTCTTTGCGTACAGGTGTTTCGTCCTTGTCATCGCAGACACCATGCGCATAGCCATTTGCCAATCGCAGCTCGAAGGAGTCTCCAAAGTCAATTGTGCTGTTGACTTTTGAGCCTTTTAGCTTTTCAAGGTCAATCCCAAGATCCAACATCCTTTGAGCGACATCAATTTTAAACTCGATAAAACTTGCAATGGCGCCAATTGGCCCACTTACTCCGGGTATCGCTGAAATACTGCTGGCTAGACTCGATATTTCTGTTCTGACAGCATCAAATCCAATGTTAATCATGGCTTTGAAAACTTTGCAGGCTACCGCGGCCTCACTGCTGAGCTGAGGTGTGTAAGATTTCACCAACTTAGAAATTTCGATAGAGAGTTGATTTTTCGCTACAGTACCTCCAAGCTTTTCTGATAGTTGTTAGCGTTGTATGATGGGAAGATGAGGGTAGATACTGATACGTAGCTGACGCTGTGACAAGCTTCTCCATCCGTTCGAACACAAAATTTACCCTTCGGCTGTTCTCCATGATCTCCTTAAGAGTCGCTGTTTCATTTGAACTAAAATATTCCACGATATGTTCAAGTGCGGGTTTCTCATCACATCCATTATGGACAATTGCACAGTCAAACAGCTCGGTAGTATTCAAGATTTTGACTGCAAAGAATCGCGATTCTCCCAAACTCTTGTAATCGTCTGGAAATTGTTTGGCCGTATTGTACATCCAGCTGTTGTACCACTTGAGAGTGCCAGACTCCTCAAAATTGTTTCCTTTGTCATCGAAGTAGTTTGGCAATGGGATGTGATAATGATTCCAATGCTCGATCGCCGCAGCTACATCGCTTGTCGTTGAATTTGCACGGATCGAGGATATGGATATGGCACGACTGGAACCTAGGAAGGCAAAGATTGGCAGAGCTGTTAGAGCTCTGGCACAGATATTGCAACGCATGGCTGTATGGAGCGTTTGTCGCGTTCTCGTGTTTGCCGTGTATCAAAATATCAAAGGACAAACCGCATACAGTAGCAAGAGAAACGTCGCGGAGGAAGTCAACAATAAATAGTTGATCACTTGGGAATTACCCATGATGACGAACTCAATGAAGAAACCACTGCATGTTGACATCTTCTATACCGTCATGCTTTGTGCGAAAAACAAATATGTAATCGCTGGATGTTCGCATACAGGTGTTTTGAAAATCTGGGGACTGATGTCCGTCGCGCAGCGGAGCTTTCCTAATTTATTTCAACAACAGTTTCTTCCTAGACTTGTTGCCTTGGCACTGGTTCACTTGACCCAAAATGGTATGGTCTAACGGTCAAGGACCCGTGCCATCCGTCACCATTTCACCATCTCCGTTCAAAAGATATCATGAACGTTGACTCCAGCGTCTTTCAGCGGGTACCTACGGCATTTTACCCATTAGTTTCTAGATGCGGGAAGGTCGGCGAATCGTTGCCAATAGTTGGTGATTGTAGACCAATGCTAAAATTACGGATTCAGCCTCAAATGAGCTTTGAAAAGTTACCCACTCATTCAGTGACAGCACGGGACCGTCAAGTTTTGGCAGGTCATTGGGTAATTGGCTAACAACAAGCTCGCTGAAAGCGGAACTAGATTCAAGACTCTTAAGATAAGGAAGGTTCTGGATGTTACGAGTATTCAGAAGCATGTCTGTCTATCGTATAAAGTCCCTAGTCTCAAAGTACCCAATTGATCCTCCCTGACGGCCATATATATGAGGAAGAACGGTACGATAAAATATTGCACCTGGGTATGCATATCATACCATCGAACCAGTATATCAAAAGACCAGTACAAGACCCCATTCAGAAGATAACACTTCAATAGGCGATAAAACAATCGAGCGGGTGTTGTACCCCACCAGATATTCCTCTGCGGGTTTTGGTTCGGAGCCTGATAGGTCCCTAGCCCTCCGCCCGGCGCCTGCTGCGAGAAGTGGATGTGTTCCGTCGATGTCTGGCCATTATTGTTCGAATCTATTCCCCTGAGGCGCCTGAGTCTCAGATTGGCAATAAGGAATTCAGACACCAGGAAACATTGTAGCCCCCAGAGAAACCAAACAGCTAACCAAAAATTGACGATTTTTATGTTTCCACCATCTGCATTGACATAGTGCTCGAAGAAAAAAAGTATCTGGATTGTTAATAACCTTTAACAAGAGACAAAAGGATGAACGGGCTGCTCACTTGAAATGTATGTATCATGCTGGGAAGTACGCCGGCCAGAATGAAAGCGCAGTTACTCCATCTGATGAAATCGTCTCTCCTTCTAAGGATTCTTCGTCTCTCCTCCATGCCGTCGGCTTCGTCTCTATTGTCGATATCCTCCTTGTGTGTCAGACCATCGTCACACGCGATATCGTTTTCTCCGTCGGTGTCGCTGTCCTCTTCAATAATGCTGTTCATCTGCATATGCATCGGTATTTTGGGCTTGAGTGGCATCGTATACTGTTTGTCAAACGAAGAATGGACGAATGAATCGAATACATTGAAGGAAATTCCTGGTATATAGTGTCCTGACAGCTGGTGTTACCAAATATTTTTACAGTCCGGTGATATTAGTGCCTCGCTAATTTTCATTGGCTTAGTGATGCCGTCACACTTTTCCACTCCATACTTTCGGCTTATCTCATGAGCTTTACCCGAAAGAAAAATCCAAGTAGTAATAATAAATCTAAAAGGGGAACTGTTAAGTGATTAATGGTCAATTTCCATTGCTAAATCAGGGGTTAAACGAGGATTTAAGCGAGTTTACGTATCTCTTGATTATATGCCAACATCTTCAGTTGTTATCTCATTCACTCATCATTCAAGTCAAAACTTCGTACATGCGATGATCATTTGCCTTGGTGAGGGTAGCTCAAGCCTGTCTGAGAAAACTGGCATTACAATTCCAAGTTTCTGATGACGTCCCAAAACAACCCTCAAATTCAGTTTGCTTCTCCTTCGACAATGTCTCATATGCAACTCGGTTCCTAAAATATCGATTCCTTTTGGCAGAGCAGATTCACGATCATTACCTATGTTATGGAAGAGTGCGGAATATTTCGCTTAAACCCCTGGATTAAGCGAGATGCTTGCCCCTGTCTTTGGAACCTCTGCACAATCACAAGGAGCTGATATTATATCGTCCTTCTCTCGATCTTGTTTTCAGTTTATGCGAAAAGAGTGTATGGTTTGTCAAATGTTATAGAAGCGTGGGCATTAAAGATTGTGTGAGTCGTCGTAGCTATGAGGAGAGGTAGAAGCGGGACTTTTCTTGTAATACCTCGAGTAGCACCCATCCTAGGCTTCGGTATCACAGAATATTTGGACAGCTTCTGGCTAGTGCACGTGCTTCACAGAACTTCCCGTGGAGCAGAGCTAGAGGGAAGACTTTCCTATCTCATATTTTGGTGCAGGCGATTCTGTTGAGTTGAAGTGGGGTCATTATGCACGTGGGTGAGTGATGACCGAGGTTCTGTTTCTGACTGTCCAAAATAATCATTTTACGGAAGTAAATGTCACCAAACCTGGTTTCACAAAGTCTCAGCCGAGCTAAACACGGGTCGTGGATAAATTGTTGCTATGACAAGGCATCTCGCGAGTGCGGTCGTTCTACAGTTGCTGTGCCACACCACTGCATGTCTTTCGAGATAAGATCGCAGTCTTTTCCGGATGGGGGATTTCCACGGCGTCGGACACTTGCCTCTTGCTGAGACTAAGACTGCAAACGGCATGTCCAAAGCGCTGGCTTTTGGACCCCATCTGAAGCCCCGCATGCTGGTGAAATGTGGATGTCCCTGTAACTGCCGCGCTAACGCCACGAGCCCATCCTCGCTTAATTTACGGGAACGACCCCTGAAGCTGACTGCAGGTACCTGGAGAGCGCCAATTGTCTAGTCTATGCACTGCGCCTCAAAGCTAATTTATTGCCTTATCAACACAGAGACTCTGATGTGGTCATCAAAATAGAAACCCGACAGATGCTTTACTGATGTGGGTCTTGGCTGTGTTCAGTATCTCGCGTCGGGCGTCCTCCCGCCTTGGTAAGCGCCATCTGGGGGCTTAGTCCTGGTCTCCTCAACCCTACAGCTAGCTAGCCAGAGTTTGGAGGTCCGCATACCTTTCCATCTAGCTATCACATTCAAGCACTGTAGAGCTTCTGTCCCTGGGGTCTTATCCAGTGAGGACTTCTTTTCCACATCAGAAAATCCCCACCACAAGTCAATATGCCACATTCAATTCATGACCAAGAGACTGTTGTGACTGGAGTCGCCAGCCCTCAATTAGACCAGTTCAAGTCGATCCTCTGCGAAAAGGGTCTCTTGTCATCTGAAGCTCATGGCCGAAGCTTTCCACATGATGATGAAAGTCTCAGGTACGAATGTCGCAATCCGCTTCGGAAATTCATGACTGAGCAAATTTCTAGTCGTTTTCTGTCAGCCAACAAGTTCGATCTGAAAAAGTCCGTTGCACAATTCACGAAGACATCGAAATGGCTTTCCGACGAACGAGTCCAAGAGCTCTACTCATCCATTGACGTGGATTACTATGAACGAGCTCGTAGAATGGTAGGGCACATCGAATCTTGCTTTACCAAAATCGTGCTAATGTTCTCAGTATGGAGCATGGACAGGCCGCAGAGACCGACAAGGCAATCCAGTTTACGTTCTTCAAGTCAGCAAGCTGAAAGCCGAAGACATACAACAATGCTACGAAGAGGCGAAAACTGTCAAGCAGAACCTTGAAAGTCACAAAGATCTGGCTACGCTGCCCAAGATGCTACCCATATACGCAGTAGTGCATAGCGGCCCCGCCTTTGTACTTCCTTTATGCTCTGCAGTTCAGCCTGCGAGCTCCAACAAACCTCTCACGAAAATGACGAACATAATCGATATATCTGGGGTTGGTTTGAGACAGTGGTGGTTCCTGAAAGATCATCTGCAGATAGCCAGTATGATTACTACTGAGTACTATCCAGATGTGTTGGACAAGACCATTGTGGTAGGGGCACCGTCCTTCTTCCCTGTGGTCTGGGGATGGTTCAAGCGTTGGTTCAATGCAGCCATGCTGGAGAAGACTTTCATCGTCAACAAATCTCAGATGCGAGATACACTTGCCGAACACATTGATCCAGATCATTTTCCCACAACTTATGGGGGCAACCTAGAGTGGGAATATGGGAAGATCAATTTGGATGATGTTCTTTTGTCTGAAGTCCAGAAAGACGGAGGGAAAGGGTGGATCAAGGGGCCTTGCATTTGGAGCAATGGAAGGAGAGTAGGAGTTGGGAGTGTAAATGGCGTAAAGAGGTGATTCATTTTGATTAGCTGGAATGTGGAGCTCTGCAACATTGAGATTCTTCTGTTTGTAACAATTATACAAGAAATAAATACCAGTTTTCTCCAAGAACTTTGTGCGACTGCAATGCCTGATGATTGTGCTTCCGAAAATTTACAAACGACATGCTCTTACACTTTTCTTCCTGATGTCTTGACAAAGAAGTTCAAGGTCCCGTGAACTTCCTTCGGACTGCTCACATCTGCATTACCCTCCGGTGTGTGCCCAGAGCGGAAGCTCAACAACAGCACCATGAAGGACCTCGGTAAAAGGGCTTCATTCCTCTCCCCTCTCCCCGCACCCGTGAAGTTATAACCTTGGCAGCGGTATTAGCGCTTAATTCTCACATGCTGAGCAAGATCCTCTTCTTGCACTTTGACAACTTGGCATGCTAGTATGTACGACTCGGTGGGTATGTCATTGCAAAACGGGAAGGTTTCAGCCCACGGCAGTCAGTGACTGAAATAACATGGATCAGCGAAATCGTTCAGCTGTTCCTTAGCGTAAGACCCTTTATCGCCAATCGATCTGCATGCGTCACTAGGTAGTAAGACTCCGCAGCAAGGCTGAGAGTTATGCCAACTATCCACTCGGCGGAATTTAATGCACGGTATGGTGTTTCGAATGCTTGCATCCGGTGATGTGTGATTATGTCATGTAGCACAAGAGTACTAGTCCGCGTAAGATGCACATAGAGTTGAGAAAAGTGGCCGTGCCGTGGTATAAAAACCCGCCGAAGGCGTGGGGGCGGGCTACCGGCTGGGCGCACATGCAGGGTGCGGCACGTAGGGTATTCAGTGCCGTACCGTGCGAACATCTTTCTAGAAACCACAAAGAAAGATGCCACGTTCAGGATCGGCACATAGAGATCGACATAGTCAGGCACGACGTAGTGATGCAGCTTTCGGGCTTGAGGTTGAGGAGGGAGTCGGGTATGCTGCTCGACAGTGAAGTCGCACAGTATTGAACTCACGATGTAGTTTGGACGGCGAATTATGGATCAATGATAGAATATACAGAGCATTGATTGAGTCCTGTTCCCATAACACCTAATTTTGCATACCCAATTAGCAGTCAAAATCTACACTTGCTCATCTCTACTTGAGGAAGAATCCGTTAACCCATGCGTATTGAGTTCTTGACATCTCCCCATTCTTGATTGTTCAACAGCCTTGATATTCTTATGCTCCATTCCACAAGCGAAAACCAATCCAAGACAAGCTGCTGTCACCGCATATATCAATGGATCTCGAATCGCGAGAGCATAAGCTTCTCTGAGGAGGTGTAAAAGTGCAGGTGTCGGCGCAAGACTGCGAAGATCATAGGCGCCAGCCGCAACCACTGCTGAGACAGGAATTGATGGTGTCTTTTGGGGGACGACCTCAATCAACTTGTTGAGGAAGATGTTCTGTCCTATGGAAAGACTTATGGCACTACATTATTTTGTCAATTTATGTCTTCGAATCAAGTGTGCCTGAACTTACGCTCCAAGTTGAAATGCGAACTGTGAGATTGCTGTAGCTCAGATTAGACATGTTGTAAATGAACCGTTTGTTAAACTTACCGTTTCCTATTGGTGCATCTTCTTTGCTGCCTTTGGTCAGTGACTGTAGTGATAGAATTTGGGATGCGGAGATTTACCTCAGTACAACCTGTACAGCCGTGTAGGGTAAGTTGATTGCAAGGCCAGTGCCTATTCCACATATGACCATGAACAACGCCCACTCCCATGTGGGAGTATCAACTTTCAGCATTGTCAGTAAGCCTGAGCCCACTGCACTGATTGCAGTTCCAACTACCATATATGGAGCCTGCAAATATCAGCCATCATTCTGAATCGAATCAAGTCAAACCTACGTAATATCCCCACTTTGTTGCAACAGCACCCGAGATCACGACGAAGAATATCTGGGAGACAGCAAGTGCCATGAATTGGGCCCCACTGTAAGTCGCAGAAGACCCCTTCGAAGTTTGAAAGTAGATCGGCAAATAATATCCGTACTTCGAGAGATCAGCTTCAGAGTCTCCTTATCAGGTAGTGAACTTACGATATACGAAGGAACTGCCATGAAGAAAAGAAACAGCGAGCCACACAAGATGGAACGTTGCTTGAGTACACGAATAGGTATCGTTGCGTCCTCACCCAGGATGACCTGTGTAAAGCAGAAGAGAGCGATCAAGACACCAAATCCAGCAAATAATCCAATAACCTTGGAGGAGTTCCATGGCAGTGATTGTCCTCCCCACTGTAAAGCCAAGAAGAGGCAACAGATTGCCGAGATCAGTAATGAGGCTCCCAATGGATCAAGTTCCTTGACACGGTCGATGACTCGCATCAATCTATATCGTTCTTGCTCCTCAGACCTCTTGAGTCGAAGGAAGATGGCGATCAGGAGAAGGGCTGTTCCTCCGATCGGGACGTTGCTATGAGATTTCAGCATACTGAGTTTAGATCTGTAATGTCTAGACGCAAAAGGATAGACTTACATCCAGAAGCACCATCTCCACGTTATGTGTTGAGTAAAAGCCCCTCCGAGGACAGGTCCGATGCAAACACTAATCCCAAAGACGCTGATGACAATCCCCATGTAGATAGGTCTTTTCGCAAGTGGAACCGTATTTGCAATGATTGCAAGAGCACCCTGAAGCAGTCCAGCTGCTCCGCATCCAGCAATCGCTCGTCCAACAATGAATACAGCAGAGCTTGGTGCAGCTGCACAAATGATCGATCCAACTGATTGTGTCAATCCCTAGATTTTGAATTTGGGAAATTGAACGTACCTTCAAACACAACCACACACAACAAATATATCATCTTAATCCTGAATAACTTATACAATTTGCCGAAACTGGGTTGCAATGCCGTGTTGGTGAGAAGATATGCACTCCCGTACCATGATATGTCTTCCAGTGAGTGGAACTGAGAAGTGATGCTTGGAATTGCTGTCCCTATGATCATAGTGTCCAGAGCGACAAGAAAGGTACCAAGGCATAGCGAAAAGGTTACGATAGCCAATGTCCATTTGTTTTGCGAGGGTAATTCTTCAGGGCCTCGTATGTGGTGCGTCGAAGGAGGGTAGAAAGGCTCGTTACTATTTTGAGTCGTGACTTCAATTTTCAGAGAAGTGTTTTTCCAGATTTCTCGTCCAGACAAAGCCCGTGCTGGAAATGTAGGGTATGGGATGCCTTTCTCTGAAGCATTCTCCGAAGAAGTCCCTGAGGAATTTCCAGAAGAGTTTCCTGCATGAGGGAGTATCTCTTCACTACTGTCATGACTCTGAGGCGTTCTAAACATCGTGAGGCTCGTCGTGGGACGTCTGAATTTCGATTGGCAGCGACGAATTCTCAGCTGAGAATATGTACAGATAATGGAGCAAGGCTCCGCAGAATCGAAGATTAGAAGCTTATTGCCAAAGAAAAAGTGATCGTCAGGCTGCATTCACCTTACTTAAACGTGCCTGGAAAACTAGTAGCATGGCACAGAACACCGATTTGGCCGGATCCTGGGCGCCGAACCTGCAGGTAATATTGCGGCGTAGGGGCGTGTTTGCTAGTGATTGTCAGCCCCGCCGCCGTGCTACCAAAGCTCGTATGCGAGTGCTGCACCCGGATTGGTAGTGATGCGCGAAAATACACCAGGCTGTCCAACCTACCACCGTACGCTGAAAGCGATACCGAATGCGACGCTCACCAATCTGCACGATGTCTTCACTCTCCGAACTCTGCATTATCGTCATAGGAAGAATGGTCCGCTTTCCGTGGAATTGAAGTTAAATACTAAATTTGAGAATTATCGCTTCGCAGCAAGTGTTTTCGATGGGCAAATGATGGTGGTCCTGATCTTAACTTCTAATATTTCATGTGCTCGTGAAAGATCATGAGTGAGCGACAAGAGTGTTCAAGCACGCGAATCTCAACAAAGACCAATTGAACGCTCTCCAGCTTTGAGTCTCCTCAACAGCCACAACCAACTGCTAAGTTTCCACTGCAAGGCTCTCGGATCTCGTATTCTGCGAGGTGACATCTGAAGCTTCTAGACATTCAGGATGGAGAAGAGCGTTTTGATTTCACGGCCAAGTCATCAAAAACATTTTCAGACTTCGGTTCATCATATGTGGTTATACATTTAGATATCTGAACAGCAGTATTTCCTAGCCTGCTTGCAATTTGAAACCCATGGACTCCACAATTCAGTATATTGCCCACTCATAAGCATAAAAGCTGAGCTTGTATAACGCTTCGTCAAATTCATTCTCTTCCCCTCAGACATCACAGCACAGGTGACGACCCAGCAGTACTCTGCCTAATAACAGGAGCTTTGAACTGCGCATGATACTCATCAGAAATAGACTCCAACTCCGAATTCGAGTACGACTCGACATGACTCGGTTCCAGCTGTGAGCGATTCCTGCTCCCCGAAATGAACGTCCTCAAACCCGTCATGATTGGGCGCGGGAAGTTTGAGAACTTGACATTGGGGGCGTCCTGGTTGTCGGACGGCGTTCCTGGTACCATTTTTTGGTCTTTCTCTTCCGAGGAGCGGCGGTTGCGGGAGCGGAGGTATCTCATTGAGGGCATGGAGAAGAGTTTCTTGCTGCATTCTTTGAAGAGGACGAATACGACCGGCATGCAGCTGCAGATGATTCCTGCGTTGAGTTCTGCTGCTCTGTTGGGTATTAGCAGAGTAAAGGGGGGAGATGCTGGAGAGCTTACGCAAGAGAGTAAACAGGGATGGATGACCAAGTAAAATCGGGGTTGTTCATTTCTCGGAAGCGGTATACTGCGCTAAGAATTGAACAAGCGCATGCCCTGATATTGTTAGATATAAACTCAGTGTTTAATAGCAAGTAACTTACAAAAGTCCTGTCATAAAGACGGCACTGACACCAATCTTCCTACCGAGTGGGAGTCTCATCTCCCAGACGAGCTGCAGCGGAATGCACAGCACATACAGATCGCTGACAGCGCTGAATACACCCTGAGTTGAGGAGAGCTTCAGAGATGGCTGTCCACAGCGAGTTTGCGACTTAACAGATAACCATCCACCATCGCCCTTGTGCGGAGAGCAGAGAACGATGTTGGCAATCAAGCTTGCAAGATAGAAGAGTGTGATGAGAGCAATTCCCACCCAGATCATTACTACTGTGCGCTGACTAGGATGGAACAACCTCAAGTAAAATACGAGCAGGGTGACTTTGACGAAGATGGCCGCAACTGGGTATAAACAGATTCCCGTGAGAGAATTCTGGAAGACTGTCAATGGAAGTGATGATAGACAGCAACGGGGAGTCTAACCCTTAGGAAATGATCAGTGATCTTGATGAGAGGAACATTCCACTGGTGAGGACCAAGTGGGTCTCCAAGGACTGGGAATGGTTAGTGAATGGGTATTTGGAAGAGTTGGAGCATACATACTCGTCAACACGAGTGCAGACCAACAAACAACACTGATCTGAGTTGCTCGTCAACAATTGACTTCAAAGACGGGGCACGGACTAAGCCTTACTGCAGCTACTATACAAAGATCTTGTTTGAATTAGCCATGGGCAAACTGATGCTCGGGAGAGAAACATACAATCATCTGCGCTGAACTGACGAACTCGTAGTCTAGTCCATACTCGCAAGGACACAAACGAGAGCATGAGAGGAAGAGTAACATAGATCACAACTCTCGTGATCATCTGCCTTGACTCGGGGTCGACGAAGTTCGGTATCACACCAGCAGGTGGTGCCAGTGCAGGCAACTCTGCGAGAAGAGCTGGATTGATACCTGCTGAAGCCATGATTCTCCTTCTGTGTTGAATAACTTGATTGAGATCTTGGTGCTGTGCAAAATATGAAGTGTCTTCACAGGTGAAGCCCGAAAGATAAGCAAGGACACAAGCGAGTAAGCAGCTTGTCTATATAAGAGGGGCACAGCCTCGCCTGGAAAGATACCTGTGGTGTGGGTGGGATAGTTTGCCTAGCACAATCTCTTCGGCGCTGGATTGCAGAGCATGGAGGGACGATCTTGTATGCAAAGTATATCTTTGCACCAGCAAACATCTAATATCAACCGGATCCAGATCGACAATATGGGAAATTCCGCTCGAATGGAAGGTTCCGTGCCTCACCTGGTCGAAATACCGACGATAATCGGCAGCAGCCAACGAGAGACTGACTCTCTGCATCTAAGCCTGTCCCGTGAAAGCTGTTGTATTCCACCAACAAGCTCCAAAGTATAAGAAGTCGCCGAACGGCCGCGGGACACGTCTTGCTCTCATGCAGGCTGACGGCGTGGTGGTGGCTTCTCACGACATTCTTTAGTACGGGTGTGTATGGGACCGTCTGCGAGGAAAACCAGTATCGAAGAGGATGCCGTGCCACATCTGCATTCGCCCTTCGCATTACAGTAGATCTACTGGGTTCGCTAGCGGGCGCTGTAGCACAGGGGTGTGCTAGCCGCCGGGATCTCCACCCCATTTTTGCTTTTCTCGGGCTTACCAGGCTACCCTGCGGCCCCCAAGTTGGCGGGTCAGAGCTGTTAGCCGTGTCGTATTTTCCGCGAATAGATTGTTTTACCATTCTCTGGCCTCCCTGGCGAGGCTGAGTAGCCATGTGTTGTCCACGAACCTCGGGTCACACTCGACGGGGATGAAATGCTGCCCTGCACGACAAGGTTACACATGCGGCCAACAAAGAATTCACAGTCTTTCATGTGTATTGATGTTCTAGGGTGAAGTGATCGTAGTAAAACTTCAGATTCTGTCTATCTGTATTGGTATCCCGATGTGAAAGTAACACAAATGAAAATCAACCATCTACTAATACAATATACAAGAAATCTAAGTCCGCTTCCGAATGCGAAAAGGAAATTTCTCCATCGGTGGTAATCCTCCCATAGGATACCATCTCATATCAGGCTTCGGCTCGCCCAACCCATTATCAATCATCTCAATCTCATACTTGGAGAAAAGCAGTGCAAATGAACCAATGATCTCATGCTTTGCCAGATGACGGCCAGGACACATGCGTTGTCCGCCGCCGAATGGAAGCCAGCAGCCTGCCAGTCCTTCAATAGAGAAATTTGACTCCTTCTCGCTGCCAGCCATGGTTTGTTCTGCGGAACCTTGGGCTTTTGCGTAGGATAGTTCTGGATCTGTCTTTGAGATCTTCTGGCCGGGTTTGACGAGGAAGCGTTCAGCCCAGAACTTCTCGAGTGGGACAACGGGTTCTCTTCCAGCGTTTGTCCATCCCTCAGCGTTGAGTGCTGCTGTGCGGCTGAAGATTACGAGGGGAATGTCTTTCTTGATCTTGTAGGATCCGAGTTGATAGTCCGAATACTCGGCTGTTCGTGTCATGGTGATGGCCACGCGCAGACGAAGTGTTTCTGCGAAGACGGATTGTAATAACGGCTGGCTTGTCACTTGAACAATGTCCAGTTGGCCTTGCTCTGAGATGCATGGAGAGACTTCTTTCATCAGACGGTCTTGGAGGGTCCTGTCTTTCAATGCCTCGTAGATGTACCAGAATAGAGATGGGATCACGTTGGCATTTCCACTGTCGAATTCTATTAGTGAAATTCAGATGAAGGTAAATTGGAAGAGACTCACGCCAAGATAAGTCCCACATCCTCAGAGGCACGAGATGCAGCATTCGTGTGCTTGTTGTTCATACCGTAGAAGAGTCTCGCCTTGACGAGTTTCGTGCCAAAGTAAGGGTCCCAATCTGGATCATCTGGTGCAATCTTGGAGACATCCGAATGTTCATGAGCGAACAGGTGCCACTTCTTCATGCTTGCAATCATTCGATCACGGACTTTGAAGGCTGAAGGAACCAACCAGCGCGGAAGACCACGAACATAATTTGGCATGTTATAGTCGAACTCCCAGAAATCTTGAACGAGTGTGGGATTCAATCTCAGAACATGAGAGCCCATGAGAGCTTCGATGGTGGAACTGGTAATTTCATCTTGAAGGAATTTCAAGAGATCGGGAACTTCTACCCAGTCGTTTCCGATGTTGAGAGCTTCCAGATTGCGGTCTAGAGTGGAGATGTATCTCTCTGATACGCTCAGAAGAGTTTGGCCAGAGAGATACTTTTGTGCTGTGTGAGCAGCCCAGAAGTGCATTCTCTCTTCTTGTTTGGTGACCACACTGCCCTTTCGGATCTTGTTGGCCATTCCAGAGTCGTCAGCAGCATAGTATGGGAGGACCTCAGGTGGGGTATCAATGATGTTCTTCAGGCAATACAGCGTAGATGGTTTGCTGCTCAAAGATTTTGAGTCCTTGAAGATGGTCTGGATTTGCTCAGGGCTGGAGACGAAACAAAGTTTCATGAGTCCAGCTTGGATGGACAAAGGGATGTTATATCCATATTTCTTCCTGAAAAAAGTCAGCTATGATATTGCACTACTAGAGCTTGGACTTACATTAAATCATCTGCAAAGGGCGCCGGGGTTCTCATCAGAGATATCATATGGCACACAAAAGGCGTCCAGTAAGGGACTTTTGGTGGGACTTTCTTGGGGTCTTGGCTTTCCAATGATTTTTGGAATCTAATGGTAGATACCAGATGTGTCAAGCTCATGAGTAAGACAGTGCCGAAAACGACCAAGAGAAGTGATGTAATGTAGTAATAGACATCTTGTATCACTCTGTCAGGAATGGTAAACCGAGCCTGTGAAGTCTGGAGTTCATAATCAGCTTACATTCCTGAGAAGTGAAATTAGATAAGTTAGACTTACGCTGTCGACGAGTTCAGTACGAGTGGTGTTGGACATGATTACAGTACGGTTGCTGTCCATCTGAAAACTCTCCACTATGCTCATGAGGTTTTTCATCCCACCAACTTGGGGAAAGATAGTGTGGCTTGCCATCTTGATCTTTGGTGTTTGATTCTTGAGAGCGAGCGGAGAGGAAAGTGAGGAGTGAGAGACGGAGGTGAAAGTAAAGGTAGAAGTGGGTAAGTTGTGGGAGGATAAGTGAAGGGAAAGTGTTCAATAAGAGATGGAGGTAGAATCAAAGCCGAGCCGTGAGTACCTGCCTGCATGACGGGGTGGCAGAACTATAATCAGCTCCCACTCATAATCAACTCACACTCCCTCATCAGGATGTCCCATAGGGTTCCTGGTTCCTGGCAAGTTCCTGGCAAGTTCGAACCAGATCTGGCCGCAAGTCCGTAAGTCTGCCAGCAAAAAGGTCCAGAATAGGAAATTCCGTGGCTACCATTTCATTGGTGGCCTCGTCCGGTGAGATTTCAGCTCCAAGCGCATTCTTACCCCTCCATGCAGCCCACTGCTAGCTCAAGGATGAAGGCTTATCTGTGGAGGATGAGGTGGTGGTGGCTGATAATTAGAGTAGCGTGACTGCACCAACTGTGCCACTGGGCTTCTTGTTCCGACGGCAGCGGGTACCGTGTGGGGGCTATTCGTTCTCAGCTTCCAGATCGCCAGTTGTTGCAGACATGCCACGATTGACTTTGACATGGTTGGAAGGCTGATCGAACGGGAGAAAATAGATCTACCATGTGGCATGTGAACCATTCGGTGGGTTTTTTTTCTCGAGCATAAGTATAGTGTCATTTCACCTCCTACAGCCGTCACATACCACACTTCATCATCTCGCCGAAACAAGAAGGACCATATTTGCATTTCTCTGCTCGCGGCACAATCCAATCAACTATCCAACTGAACCATCATGTCGGGAACCATCGATCACAGCGTCAGCACCCTCATTGCTCCCCTCCTCTCTACACAAGATCTCTCAACCAGCGTCTCCCTCATATTTTGTCTCATTTTGCTGTGGGGTGTCTCTTTGAGAGCGAAGGCGTGGTACGGAGCGATCAAGATGGTTTGCCAGCTTCTTAGTATTTCGATACCAGGTCAGCTCAACCTCCAACTCCAAGTAGGTCTCCTCTTCTCACGTGAAAAAGCAGATTCCTTATATCATTAGCATTCGTTCTAGAACGACTCGGAGAAACTGGTCCCAAGCTGCTGGACAACGATCAACAAGGCCCTTTGTTGGGTGGGATATCAAAGAGGCACGGTGTGGGGAAGGCTGCGCCGTCTGCACAGATCTTGGGAAGATCTAACTATACTATACCACCTTCCCAAATAAATGTACTGTAATGCAGATCCGGATCTGCCAGGGTGATCCATGATATACCTATGAAACCCAAATAAATATATTTAGCCCCCAGCTCCGTAGCGAGTGTGTCGCCTGAGTCAGCTTTCTATTAGGCATTCCTAGCAGTACCCCGACAATTCCGTTGGTCTTGTGAGTGCAGCAGCTTGTGCCTCTCCTCTCTCTGTAAACCGGGTCGGACCGCATTCTGATCCTTTGACTCCTGGTTCCTCTGAAACTGTTCAGCCTCGACCATTCTCCACCTGCAGATACGAAAATACGAAAATCACGATACCCTCGTACATTTTGTAGAGTGGGGTAAACGATAATCCTTCTGTCGTAAATATTCTCTGCGGCACAGTCTGCGAAGGCGCTGATTATTCAGTGGTCTTGCAGTTCAGCCGGCGCTCTCACCCTCACTGCAGGCGCCCACCGGCAGCTTGTGAAACCAACGCTAACGGCAATGCAACACGCCACGACCAGTAGCAACACCACAAACAAATCTGACGGTCATCATCACATAACACAAGACTGTCGATTAGTTCCATCCGCTCAGCTCCAGGCTAACCAAACATCAGTGTGTTGCTGCTCCTGAATAATCAGATCGGTCACGATTAGAACGGCTCGGCTTCGATGTTTACACTCGGCGCCATCATGAACGGAGGTGCGCTTTCTTGGATCATTGGTGCCGTCGGTCTGTGGGCATCATGGTGGATTTACAGATTCGTCGTGACCCCAAGACTGTACCCAGACAGACCTCGAGAATTGCCCTATTGGATCCCGTGTAAGCCTCCTTTTGCCATTGTTCTAGACCTTGCTGACCAACGAAACAGTCTTCGGTCATGTCAGGCCAATGTCGATGGATATGGACGGCCTCTTCTCATACGCCCGGTAATACTCACCAATTCATTTTGGGTTCTGTTTACTGCAATTTTCAAAGAACCCAAAATATGAGAAGACAAGAGAAGAAATGCTGATAACGTTGGTGATAGTGCATATTTTAATGATGATCGTACTGTCTTCTCCATCACGGTTATGGGTGCCGAGATTTACGTCGTGACCTCCCCTGATGATGTCCTCACCGTTTACAAAAACACTAACACGACGGTATTCGACTACAATGCTCAAATTAAGGACATCCTCGGCATCTTCGGATTCACTTCTCGGACAATGAATCTCCTATTCGACGAAGAGAAGTTCGGTGGCAAATCTTGGATGGATCTTTGTCACGAGAAATTCAAGCTACAGATGCACCCTGGCGAGAAGCTCGACGAACTCCAAGCCAACCTACTTTCAAATCTGGACCATTCCCTGACTTTCAATTTACTTTCAGGTGATATGATTCAACCTGGCTCTACCGAAAAGGAGAAAGTCGTGTCCTTGTATGCTTGGTGTTCTGAGGTTCTCGTCGATGCAGCAACCAAAGCATTCTACGGAAAGGCTCTTTACGAAGTCGCTCCTAATCTCCTACCTGAGTTCTTGATCTTTGATGACGAAGCATGGAAACTGTACTCGAAATACCCCGAATTCGCTGCAAAGAAGATGTTCAGGTACAAGGCTAAAGTTCAATCCGCGTTTGAGAGATATGTCGACCTTCCAAAAGAACAAAGACAGGACGCTTCTTGGTTGATAAAGAACATCGAGGAGTCTCTGGTTGAACTTGATGTCACTGAGACTTCCCAATTAGCACCAAACCTCTTTCTACTTCACAGATTGTAAGTTGCGTTTTCTCTTCCGGAGCTCGCAAGCTAATATGGCGCATTAGACTCAACACCAATGCCTACAAGCAATGCTTCTGGTGTCTCGCCTACCTCTTACACGACCAGCAACTCCTCCAAGCCGTCAAAGCCGAGATCCAACCAGCCTTCCAAGCCGATGGCCAACTCAACCTAGACTACCTCCTCGACAACGGCCCACTAATCAACTCTCTCTACGAAGAAAATCTCCGTCTCTGCAATGCCCCCATCGGCGCCCGTCAAGTGATGTCCAAATTCGCCCTCGGCGGCAAGGTTCTTAAGACCGGCAACATGCTCCTCATGCCCTATCGCCAGCTCCATTTCAACGAGCAAGTATTCGGCACCAACGCCACCGAATTCGACGCAAAGCGCTTTTTGAAAGACAAAAACCTCTTGAGAAGCACGAGTTACCGTCCCTTTGGAGGCGGATCGACGTATTGTCCTGGTCGGTTCTTGGCGAAGAGGGAGGTGCTTATGTTTGTGGCACTGGTGCTGTTCCGTTTCGACATCAGTTTGGTGGGTAAGGATGGTGAGAAGGCGAAGTTTCCGAGGATGGATGTTACAATTCCGTTAGGTGGTGTGATGGGGCCGGTTGTGGGTGATGATATTATCATGGAGGTGAGACCGGTTAAGAGCTGAGCTGGGGATGAGGGTTGCCATGGTTCATGCTTTGCGTGACGGGGGTGTATTGTAGATTAGTTCTAGATTAGCACAGGCATGGAAAACCTTGCAGTACGCTCTTCCAAACTGTACTCTTCCATTTGGTTTTGCAGACGCAATTATGAAGGCTTTGTCTGCAAGGTATTTCAAGAACTACTTCATTTTAATCATCACTTCGGCTTCAGAGAGTGCCGTGGTCGATGACCCTTTCCCGCACACTCGCTTAGATCTCGCTTGAGCCCCCTTCTTGATCAACACCAGGAAATAAATTGAAAGGAACTGATTTCGTAGTGGTTGGGAACTGCGCGTGACGAATTAGATTATTGGGGGCTTCCAATTGACTCACACGGCACTAGCAGTTCATATTCTGGGTAGTTGTCTAGATCTGATTAGTCCAGAGCGTAACATTCTCACCAAGGTGATTTCTGAGACTCATCAAAGGGGTGGGCGTATCCGTGTACAGATATCCTCTGGATCTGACAGCCCAGCAGATAAGCTGAGTGCCCTCAAGTATATCTACGAGGTCAACCGAGTCAGAGTACTTCCACGTCTTCTCCTCTCACTGAACTGCTCTCATGGACTGAAGCAGCGGGCTGTATTGAAGTACGAAAGTACCGAAGCGTAGACGGACATTGAGGATATTCTGAAGTATGCGTTTCAGATTCGGAGATTCCTACCTCGACCATCCTCCGGACTTTGTAAATGTTCCGAGATGGGACGCGACATTCGAATTGTCTTTGTTCATTGGCTAACCCACGCATTAGGAAATATAACATCGAAGTTGAACATCAAGATCTCGAGCTCCGTCACATCGACGCACTGCCTTCGGAAACGGAAATCGTCACCCCTTTGTGCATCCAGACTGGCAAGAGACACGATTCCACGCCACCAAGCCGCGGAACTCCACGAACTTCTTCCAAAGAGAGATAACAGGCGGGATAATCGGATACGAGCTCTGGGTCCGGAGGAGAATTTTCCACCTTGAGGTCGACCACTCGCGTGGGAGAATCATCTGCGACGGATAGTTATAGACATGACTGTTGCATCGACGCATCTGGACTGATTTTGGTCAATAAATCTGGTCCGTCTAGGGTTCGATTGAAAACATGCGTCTGGACATCCAGTTGTCGTAAATTGAAGTGTTGATCTGCCGGACTGTGGAGATGTCAAGGCTGGAATGATTCGGCACTCCAGGATGCAACTTTATCAGATGTTCAGCTCCAGTTTGAGAGTGGAGGAAATTATTCGTATCTTCTTCTTGATTGACAAGGGGTATGTTGAGCGGGGGATGATGAAGCCAAGTCAGGTTGAGTTCACCAATGTTCGTCCAAGCTGTAATATTTCCACCCAAAGTCTGGACATTGCTAAGCCATTCGCGACATCTGGAGTCGTCCAGGAGCTTGTGGACATTGCTTCATCAAAACTAAGGCTCGTCCGTTAAAAAGATCGAATAGACTGATAAGATATTTTGGAATGGTGAAGTAGTGTGATTTACCATCAAAGTCGACAGCATCGGAGTTGCAAAGGGCTGCTGCAGTAGCGACCTCACTTCGAAACAGATCTTCAATGTCATTCTCGGAAGATATGAAAGATAGAAATCATTGGACGTACGGATTCAAGATATCTGGTCATGGAGTTGTGGACGGGATCCATTCGAGCGGCGATTCTGGTGTAGTTATTCAGCCTCGCTTGGTATATGGCGGTCAAACAAAACTCGACACTTGTCAAGCATTAACCCACCACATCCCTGCTTATGCTTACACCATTCTTGAGGGCATCGAAAACCTTCCAAGCGGCAAGCTCGAATGTCAGTTGATGACTTGGGCGTGAGATTCTGGGTTAGAGGAGGTCGACAAAAACTTATCGGGAGGATGGATCAGGTGTGCTAGCGATGTTGGGACATTGAGATGGCAAGAACCTCTATTCCACCTTGTGCAGCGTAATTACCAGGCGCGCGAATAAATCACAACATTATCATATCCTCTCTGGAAACTTGTCCCGGATCATACAAACGAAATCGCTTTTGACTTCGAACTAGCAGAAGTCGACAGCGATGCGGCTAACAGATATTCAGAGGGGCCTCAGACACCTCATACCTCGTCACATCACTATCAAACATTCCAAGGCCCTGACTTGAGCATTTTCCCCCTCGCTTCAAACGCCCAAGCCACCTTCGCATTTTGTTCCTGGAAGACAGATTAGCACGCACGTACATACGTAAGAGCTGAGGCCACCGGGAATGGCCCACTTAAGCGAAACTCAACAAATGAGACCTTATTTACCAAAAGTCATAATTTTTTAGTCTTCTTATGAATCTCTGTGAAAATGGAACTTATTATTAATTAATAGTAGCCATACCCTTGTACTTAATTACATCCTCAATCTTACAAGTCAATTGCTTAGTGTAGTGGCGAAAGTCACGTGGGTTAACTCGGTCCTATAGCTTTTGCAGCTCCTTTTTCAAATCCACTTTATTTTTGGGCATATAGTCCAAGTTTTTCAATTTCTCCTTCATCCACCTCTAGACTTTCTCAATAGGGTTCAAATCTGGTGAAGAAGGAGGCCAATTAAACCCTCGGATATTGTGCTGTAGTCTAGGTAATTTGGCATGCCCTTTATGCACCTTAGACCCGTCTTCCATGAAGATATACTCCGGCCCTAGATCATCAAAGAGAGGGAAGATTATAGGCTGAAGAACTTGCTGTAGATAGGCTTTAGAACATATGCCCTTGCGTTCTGGAAGCTTCTCTAGGAAGACTAATGGCGACTTGTAATCCCAACTTAATGCCCCCCATATCATGACCGTTGTCCTCCCTGACTTGTAGACTGATTTAATGCAGTCAGGGTACCTCCTCTCATCTACCCTCCTAGTCACATATATCCTGCCATTCTTCCTAGTCTCAAATATAGCCTCATCAGACCATACAACCTTCCTCTAGTCCCCTCCTTGCTTGCCATCATCTCTATGAGCTGCATAGTCTGATGTTCCCTACTATTTATGCTCCTTGGCAAATACATATCTCTTCCTAGCTTGTTTGAGGGTAATATATGGTCGAGGGCATGTAATGCAGCGGCGGTAGCCAGCCCGGGCTAATTCTCGACGAATGGTACGCACCGAGGGTAGGTAGGGTAGCTGCTTTTTGAGAGCCTCAAAAGTCATGCGCCTAGAGCTCCAGTTTTTGGAAATGGTTCGAATGCAATAACGTATGTCGCGTATAGACATGAGATGGTGTCTAGAGAGCTTTCTTTTGCGCTCTCTCCGACTAGATTCCTGCTTAAGAATGCGGCGTACTGTTCTTCGAGGGATATGGGTCTCTGAGACAATCTCGCGTTGCGACTTTCCCTGGCGCTATAGGGATCGAATGACTGCACGTGCAGGGGTAGGCCATTCATTATTCTCTTTCTCGATAGGATCACTTAGGATAAGAGGTGTCTCCATCTTGAATTATGGACTGATTCCTAAGAGGGTTGTTGTGTAGTAAGGGTTTTAAAATGGGGTGTAGAATTTTTACGCGTTACCGCGTCTCGCTTAAGTGGGCCATTCCCGGTGGCCTCAGCTCTTACATGACAACATGATGAGACAACTCACTTCGGAATCCATACGGAGTACAGTCTCCAAACGACACTCAGTAATTCACTTGGGCTTCCCAGTTGTACCCCTTCTTATCCGGGTTCTTCAAAAACTGCGCACATCGTTTTGTAAGATCAGGAAGCTGAGTCAACGTAGCGTCTGCATCTCCCCATTGTCGCTTACAGAAGCTGAGGTTGGCTGCTTTCTCGTTGATCCTGTTATTTCTGATGTGATCGCGCAAAGGCTGGCAGAACGCATGCGTTGTTAATTGCCCATCCTCCTTTACGCCAAGTCCACACAAGGCGAAGTACCAGGTGAGTGGAGGGAGAGAATCGATATTCTGTCACCGAGTATCAGCAAGCCATGCGACGTTGTTAGGGTTACGATTTAAGATCGTCTACAGCATACCCGCATGCAAGTACCAGTCAAGGTTTCTTTCAGCCAGCCATGTTTATATGCCATCGACTGTCTGCCCATTGATATCACGTCAAGGAACTGGGAGGTCTCATTAGACATCCAGCCCCCGCACGTACAACCAAAGTTTTTGATGTTTTCATCAGGGTGTTCCAACGGCTGCACGATCAAGTTTCGACTCCGACACACAGGAATTTGTACCTTGGACGTAAACGGGTCGGGAAAATCTCTCATCCAGTCAGAGACAGTTGCTTGTGGCGCAGGCTTCTCGAGGAAGTTTCCAAAGATATCGTAACTATGACGAGACCCATTCATTACGGCCTCGACAGATGTCCCCCATTTCCCCAGCTTGTCGTACCCGTACAGGGGGACTTCGTGATTTCCTGTTGTCAGGGTAGACCAGCACTGGACCTGACAGACCTCATTGTTCGTAGGGCAACATCGCATATCTTCGTTGGTGTTGTTGCAGGTAGCCCGGATTCCTCCAACTTGGCACGTCAGGTAGCAGATGCTACCTCTCCACGCAGCCGACGTGAGATATACTTGCATTCTTTTCTCCATCGCACTGAAAAGGCAGTAAGCCACAAGATCCTTCATACCAAACTTTAGATGTAGTTACTTACTCTGAGCTATCCGTGGTGTATTCATTTTTCCTTCACCAAGAACTGACAGAGGAATCAATCGTTTCTAACCAATGTGCCGTCTTCAGTCCCATTTCGATCGTATTCGGTCGACTGCTTGCCTCCCAGATGGATGAAGTATAATCTCTGTATTTGCCGAACTGTTTCTCAGTGACTTCTTTGAGATCGGCGGCAGTCTTGAAATTGGCGTCCTTCTTACTTTGGTGACAAACATCAGTGTGGTACGACTGGCTAATATTTGGATCATCCCCGGTGCTCCCCTCCTTTGCTTCCGCTTGATTTGCTTCGGCCTGTTCTTTCTAGAATTCCCATTCATGGTATTCGTTCATAGCATTAACGAGGTTTGTTGCGTACTGCGCCATTTGAATCCTCGATTTCACAGCATCCATAGCTATCTCCGCAACTGCTTGTACTCCTTTCACAATAGGTGCTGCTTCTGGCGCTCCCGCCATAACGAGGGTTGCCGTACCCTTTTCCGTTTCGTTCAAGAGATCTATTCCAGCAAAGACGGCTTGAAAAAACATGCTAGTCTCGAGTTTGGACATCTCACAATGAGCATCCTGGACCATATCAGGCTGACGAGTAAAGTCCAGAGCGAGACTATCGGCCACCAAAGCAATATGCGTACGGGCTGAATCCATGGCATCCTACAAATGAATTACTGGATGTGGTGTAAAGGAGGAAGCAATACTTACATAATTCCTTTTCAGAAGTACATGGAATACCTGGTATTTTAGTCTGAGCAAAAAGAGCATCTCAGAGTGTCGCTCAATTTCCTCGTCGGTCCTGTTCCCACGAATCCCAAGCTGGAATTGTTTAATAGTGGAACAGCTTGGCAAGTCTCCGCAATCTTCATTAAGCTTGCAATACATACTCTTCGCTTCTGTTCCCCAATTTTCCTCCCCAAAAAAAGACATAAGAGGCTTCTCGCTAGCCTTGTATTTCGCGAGGCGATAGGGATCTTTCCATAGAGTTTCCACCCAATTTTTGAAGAAGTTATCAGCTGCGGCATGCACTTCATCGGGAACCGAAAGGTCGGGCGGGTTCATACATTGCGCAGAGCCTGGGGCCGGTGATTGAAGACTGGTTGATGAGACTGCAGCCAGAAACGGCTCATTCCTGGGGAGATGGAGTACCGAGGCAATTGTCATGCCATAGCTGGCGAGTATTCCAAGGAACAAACGGAGGCGTGAGTTCGAGAATAACATGACGACAAACCCTAAATACCTATTAGGGTTCTGAGTGATGCCGTGTGAATGACGCAGATATAGCTGTTTGCGAAGATGATGAGGGGATTGATGTAAGAATGAAGAACAATAATTCTAGAAGATAAAATGAGTATCGTGAAGTGTTTGACGAACATCCATCAACAAAGAGGAGTATTTGAGGGAGCTGAAAATATCATGAGGGGACATGACCAACGCAGGAACAGAGGCTAGTCCCAGACTTGGCATCATTGAAAGTTTGACCATTTGAAAATGAAAAGGGAAACATCGTCATGACACATGCAGAGACTAGCACCGAACTTGATTACGAGCAGTGACAATGTGGTTCAGCCAGAGCTAAGACATAGCTAACTACAGCCATGATACGTCCATATCATCGGTCCCTATGACCTACTCTTCCAGGAAACTAGATAGTGCCTTCATAAAGTAAGGAAAGTTGATCCTGTGTGGTATTTGTGCTGGAACATAGACTAGTGCCTGCACTGAGGATGTAGTAACTGGCATCCATCCTGAACCGCATTCTTGCACCAAGCTCTCATCAGAACAGATTTTCATCTTGAAAACTCGTCGATTTGTTTGGTAGCGAGATCTCGGCGTCTCTCTTCGGCGTCCTGTCACTTGATATAGCGCTGATCTAGACCACGAATGACATAACGCTAGCGGAGAAGGGGTCTGCGTTCACAAGCCTTTCACACGCGCGCAGAAATGATGCAGCCACTCCCGCAATATACTGTCATGCCGTACATTTATTCTCCCCACACAGGCAAGTCGATGTCAACAACTATGGGCTTATTGTACCTCTTGCCGCCACCGGAACCATGAGGCCAGCTTGATGTCATGATGGCTGCATTGATTATGCATGTTTCTCGACGTCCAAGTCTTCCGGACAGAGCTTCCAGATCACACCTCAACGATGGTGGGCAGCCTCCGTGGCCTCGAGTTGCTGCAGGAAGAGTCTCGGCGGGAAGAGCCAGTAGATTCGTTGCGATCCGCGATATTGCGACGTTCGAAGAACGTTGCTGTAAATTGACAACGGGAACAATCGGGGCTTGCGAGGTCGAGAGCGTTGGCGAAGACTCAACAATCTCTCCATTGGACCCATCATTGTCAAGTGCGTTGCTCCCTTTCGAGGTGAGGTCGATTAAGGACATTTTCTTGTTATCTCGGCCAGGATCTTCCCACCGTTGAACACTCTCCTCTTTGTATTTGAGATTGGAAGACCTAAGATCCCAGCGCACACGGTCTGCCCCTCTGCCCTCATGAACATGTCCGCAGATCGCCAATCGAGGTCGTACACGCCATAAAGCATTACGTAGACTCTCACAACCAGCAGATCGACGTTGCCCAGTTTCGTCGCAATGATATTTTGGCGGTGTATGTGTCATAACAATGTCCGAATCGAGGGGGATCTGATCCCAGACATGAACCGCTTCCTCTGGTCTGTATCTGAATGCCCACATGCCATTCTCTGGTGACAATGGAGAACCAAAGATCTTGAAGGTAGTCCGCGGTCCAGTAGGTGAATCGAGCTTGATCGTGGCAGATTCATGCCTGAGCCAACGGATGGAGGCCGATTGTTCGAGGAGTTGTTGGCATTCTGCGGGATCTTGAGGGTGTTGATTATGAAAGTAGGATCCATATTGAGCATAGAATCCTGAATCGAGGGTAATATCATGGTTTCCTATAGGCATCAGAGAAAATTCTGTGGCTCCTGCAGGGAACATACCAGCAATGACTATCTTAGCCTCAAAGTCTGCTTCTTCTACCCATTTGACTGTCTTTCTCAACTCCGATATTGAACCCTGATTCGTCATATCTCCAGCATGTATTAAGACATCACCCTTTGGTAATTTGAATGCTCCGTTGGGAGAGGCATTGTGCGTATCGGAGACGCAGACGAAGCGTGTCTTGCGCATAGTTGGCTGCTGTTCAGTCATTGTGATGTATATTGCAGAGAATGATTTGAAGAATAATTCAGAGAATAAGCTGGTAAAAAGCGAAGGAGGTATGAGTCTTCGCTGGGAAGTAACGACTGTTGCCTACCTTTCCTTACCTGAACCTAACGTTCCAATCTCTGTCAATGCGTAAGGTTAGAAAGACCGTCGTGAGGCTATTGCTGTTGTCCGTCCATCTCCACCGAGACAACACACATCTATATCAGATCTCGAATATGCAATCTGGATAAAATGCCGCCGTTGCAGCTGGGAGGTGGGTTATATGGATCCCCTTTTTCGCCGCTCGGTTTCCCTCCCCGATTTGCTAGTTTCGCCGTCGCTTATTGTTTCCAGGTGCCGACGACGAACTTGGCTTGGGAGCTCTCCTTTCGCATCACGAAGGGGAACACGAATGACAAAGCCATCCGATTCTCTCCATTGCGATCCCGAGCTTGACACAGCCCTCATATCTCGACCTCGACGACCTTCCTCTCTGCCACGGTAACAGCATTCCTTCAATTGACTACCGTGTCGCGTCCGCTGCGTAGTCTGCGCACGTCCACAAAACTAATTCCCCAGCCGCCGTGCCGTCTTCTCAATTGCCTATTCTCGACCTCAGCGAGGGGACTGTACTTTGCAGATATCGTGGGAGAAGAAGAACGTGAAGATTACATCTCGACGTCGGTCGCCTTGGGGATTTCAGGTGTGGTTCAGACACCGAGAGACATTCAAATATCAACAAACCGACTAGCCCAAGCCACAGGCGATCCTTGTTTGCAGCCGATCCTCCTGATTAACAATTCCTCTCGATCCTGAGCAACATCGAGATACCTTCGTCCAACAGGTTGATCGTCAATATCCAGAGGGAGATATGGCTGCGGTCTCCGCGCCGCAAGCCCCAAGTGCGTTGACACCTCCAAGCAGTTCGCATGGTGGCCAAAGTTCTTGGAACTATTCTGTGCCTGCACCAACAGAGGTCAGTGTCCGAAACCTGACCTACTAGACTGTGACTATGAATAAGAGCTGATACAAGATCTCTGCAGAACATCTCCCAGAAATCCAACGAAGTCAATAAACCTCCTCTATCCCACATGAACGGCAACTCGCTGAGCCAGTCCAATTCTCGCACCAACCTCTCGCAACGAAACAATACCCAATCTTCAGACCCTGTATACCTGGCACCAGCGAGGGTGAATGCTTTGACTCGAAAGGATAGCAGTATCAGCGAGACTGGCAGTGCACCAGATAGTCTACTCGATCTCTACGGGACGAATAGAAGTGGGCTCAATATTATAGATTATGGAGATCGGAAGACGATTAATGGAGACGGATATGATGACGAGGATGACCCAGAGCATTCGAGATGGATTCATAGGGACAAACTCGCGCGTATTGAGAGCCAGGAGCTCCAAGCTGCCGGCATTATTCTTCCTCGAGCCCGAGCGCCAAGCAAATCAAGTCGACGAGAACAAAGTAGAGACCAACAAGGGAATGGAGTCAGGAGCGAGCAGGCGCAAAAACGACAACGCGTTGGATCAATCCCAACGGAAGAAGAAGAGGCACCAGAGAGTAATGCATGGGATTTGAGAACACCTGAAGAGGCTGCTGAGGATCAGGGGGATATGTTCCGGGATGTTAGTGGGGGCGTCAAGGGTGTATCACGCATACCAGTCTGCAAAACAAGTCCGCTTCCTATACCACTCGAACACCTCGAAAGAGATACACCAATGAAGAGAAAGCTTAGCGTTGGAAACATTGGAGGTGACGATTCATTAACATATCCCAAATCTCGTGGCAGGAGTCAGAGCATCAAGGTCCTCGAGGACTCGAATGCTACACCTAGCCCAGTGAAGCGTGTCGGACCCGAGAACTCCCCCACGAAGAAAGCTGGAACTCGAAAAGCTTCCACGCCTAGCAATCGTGGACCATCAGGGCAGAGACCAAAGACCCGTTCTGGACCACGCGATGTAACTGGGAATCAACGGCCAACTACTCGTTCGGGTGAGTTAGGCAAAACCAATAGCATAGGAAAGTCCCCAGAAGGAGATCCGCCGTGGCTTGCCTCCATGTATAAACCAGACCCTCGACTTCCACCTGATCAACAGCTTCTGCCTACAGTCGCAAGACGTCTACAACAAGAACAATGGGAAAAGGAAGGGAAATTTGGCAATGTATACGATACCTCTTTCCGACCTCTGAACGATGATGAATATCCTCGATCGCCTGAACCTCCTCTGCAACCTGCCGATGAGGAGGAGCAGAAACCAGAAGAAGAGCGTGGTTCGGAATGGCCATTGCGAGGACCCAAGAGTCCTGCTTTGAGCACAGGTCGACCAGGTACAGCAGGTGGACAAGGCAGCTACTCTACCATGCCAAAGATTGCAGGCACAGCACAAGGCGTAGGGCCCCAAGCGAGTCCGAAACCTCCAACCAGGATGCCGGAGCCACCTGAAGACACCAAGCAGAAAGGCGGATGCGGTTGCTGCGTTATCATGTAATTTTGCTCGAGGATGAGCAGACAGAAAGAAACTTTCTTTTGTGTACACTTGACTTGGCGTTGAGCGATAGTTCTTGTACTTTTGCTGCGAACACCCACATACTTTGCCCTTCGATTTCCTTCCCGCCTTAGTCATGACTTACGACTCTCTTCCCTTTCTTGTTGTTCTTTGAAGTTGCTGATGGATTGGTTGATTCCCCGGTTGCGAAGCCGAAGAGGCTTACTTTTCTTTGGTCGGAAGTATCGATGGATGTTGAGAGGGAGGTGAAGCTCATGTGGGAGGTTTGGATGATACCAGGTGCTTTCCGGTGGGAGATGTGTGGAGAAGTGTATGAGCCGTGTGAGGAGATGGGAGGAGAAGACAGTTGTATTATATTATTTTAATCCAGCTTTGGTCTGGATTGGGGATGCTAGTACATACCAAGGAGTAGACAGTTTCTGCGCAAGCCAGCAGAACACAATTGAGAATTGAAAGTTGACCTTGGCTGTTTTTGCATTCATGATTGTGCTCGCGAAAGATGCGATGGTCTTCAGTCAATGACATTGAATTTGACTTTATATTTTGACCCAGTGAAGTTTGAAGCCATATCAGTGAGCATTTTTACTGATACTCCCCAGCAACAGCCCATGCCAGCATCAATGTCAAGTTATGAATGCAGATTTTACACCTAGTTGCTCAATCCGTCAAGTTCGCAAATCCGAGAATCTCGACTAGGGACACTCGTACAGGTATCACTATCTACATCCAAAACAACATACCACCCTCTTTCCCCTTTTCTCCCAAATCCTAATTTCCCCCCAACTAACCCTCAACCCAAACTTCCATCTCACCTTCCACGCATTCCCGGCTTTATAAGCACTTTCTCCTCCTGAAGCTCTGCATGGATAACAGCAAAGTAAAGTGGGGCGTCAGATAGTGGAGTAAGCAACGTGCAGAGAAGAGCGGGAGAAGGATGCGTGGAACACGGGATGTGGGAACGAGGACCGAGTTCCCGTTTGTGGTAGAGAGGAGATGGGGTTATTTGGGAAGGGAGGTGGTTTGTGGGAACGTGGCTTGATTTTCTCTTGCAAATGCGGATATTTTGGGTTTGCCGTCTGCAGAATCCTTGTGCTCGCCTGCTTTGGGGAAAAGGGTCCAACCTCGAGAGATCTCAGCAAGACACAACTCACCTCATAGGTAGCCCAAACAAAGATCCCAAATCTGCACAGTAAGAAACGCACTCCCCACCTTCGGTCCTTCTTCCCATTCCCTCGCATGTCCCAAAATGCACAACATCGAGATCTCAACCCCGGCCCACGGGAATGCAGAGAAATTCTGTCAGCCTTCTAGCTGACGATCTATGCATCTGCGAGGTCGGAGGAGGGAAACGTTGCATCTCTTCTCTATCTATGTCTCTTCTGAAAGAATGCGCCGCAGGAGAAAGGAATCAACACTAAGCAACGCACTTCCCAACTCCCGAAATTAAGCTTGATGGTGGTTCGGCAATAACCGAACTATCTAGTTCGTCTCGGCACTTGTACCGACGGAGGAGGCCGGTTCTAAATTCGGTCCCAAGGATAGAAAAGCTTGGGGTTTGGAGGAATTTGGTTGGAATGGATGATGCCGTGACTCGGCGCTGGGGGGGATGGATGATTAGTAAACGCTTTGAGGGAGACGGGTGTTTGGGGGTAGGTGAGATCATGAGAGGAAGAGGAGAGGGACTGGAGGTAATGATTGGCGTGCCCATGTGGTCTCACTGTTCACTCGACAGGCAATCTTTCTCATGGAAGCCGAAAAATCAGTTTTAGAAAGACTGGAGTTTCAATCCAGGTGTGGAAAAAGCACCCTAACAGTTGCTCTTGCGCATGAAAAGAGTTAAAATTCTGCACATCAAGCAATCGAGAACTTTTGAATTTGACTCCGAAATCTCACCATCCTTTGCTCGGCCGATACAAATCCCATCCTCCATAGCCGTAGAACACCAAAGAGCGTACATATTCAGCACTCACCAAATGTTCGGAACTCGGCAAGCGGTCTAGATGAGGCTCAACACCAACCGTCCCTACAATGACGATCACCCGCATAATCCATGTTCCAGACCATCCCATCTCCTAGGCTTAACCTTCAGAGTAGTGAGAACCAAACTGTTGGGCCCTTAAACGGGAACACCCTTAGCTTTGAGCATATCTCTCTGTTTTGTTTATAAATCAAGAGCTGGTGGATTTCCCGTCCGAGATTTGCGACTATTGAGCGGGTGAGATTCTAACATGACGAGCGCTTGCATGTTCTGGAAAGTCTGAGACTCAAGATGCACCATAACCCTCAGGGAAAAGGCTGTTTGAAATGAACCCGATCTGAGGGTTTTCAAACATGGATGCTCGGATCAACAGCTAATTATCGTACGAGGTCTTTCGGTTAGGGGATGAGGCTCCAAAGAGACCATTATGACGAGTCCCTGCAGGAGCCATTGTTCTAGAAGGCTTCGGAAAGATTTTTTTAGGAAGAAATCCATATTGTCGGGTCGTTTCTTCCATGTATATGGGACTAACCTCACGAAGCAACCACTGAGGCTGGCTCCTGTTGTTGGCAATGATGAGGCTCAAACAAGGACCATGATGACGGGGCGACATTCCAGAAACTCTCCGGAGCAACCATTAGAGAAGGAATAGGCGGGAGCGGACAGTGACCTTTTTCCAATCTGAGGGAAGACCTCGCTATTGTCACATTCGGCGTCGAATCACTTCAACAACTGGATGAACTTCCCAGCTCCGCTGTTGGAGATGTGGGATTGTACGAAGCCATCCATTCTCCTACGATCCGGAAAGTCTCCGGAAGCATACGGAAAGACTGGGCCATCGGGACTCTTTTCTGAACTGGCACTTTCTCTGCTGAAACAAATATCAACGCCTGATGATCGGATGAGGCTCAAGGAAAGTCCGGCATGACGATAAGCCGCATATATTTCAGAAAGTCTCCGACTGCTCCTACTCGTGGATGCTTGGAGTGTGATCCAAACTTCTGGAACAGCCTCTTTTCTCGGGATTGAGAAACGTTTTGCTTTAGCTTGAAGGCGAGGAGAGAAGATATCTAGCACTCGGAGGAAAGCCCGGCGGAACACCTAGCGGAAGGCGTGAACCCTATATTGTCCGTCTCGAGGCTCGTGATACGAGGAAGGACGTTTCCTTTTCACGATCAATACTTCGTAGACCAATATGCACTAGTGCTCCATTGCTGTGCCGTGAAACGCAAACATCACCGCATCATCCATAAACAGTGCCGCACATGGAATTTCGGACTCATCGAATGAAATGCCATCCCAAGATTCCCATCTCATCTCATCTCATGACTCCCGTCGCAGATGATCTTCCGGAGGAAAGCTCCTGGGCAGGAATCAATGCAGATGTGCCTGCTTAGTTCCATCGAGATTTCAACGCTTGTTGGGGAGAAGATGAGATCTTGGATCATGATAGGAAGAGAGCAGGAAACTAGACAAGCGCTGAAGGCCAAGCTTTGCCCGTCAATTCGGGAACAACGTATCGTGATCGAAGTGTGGTAGCAAAGAGGGGCCAACAGTAGTAGTTTAAGTTGCTTCGGAGTTTAAAAGCTGGGTTCAGATCGAGATTTGAAGAGGGGAAATGCGAAACGGACGGCGATTGGGGGCTCGTGATCTCGCGATCAGAAGCAGATACATGAACATCGAAACATCGACGCGAAAGGTTAAAAAATTACAGTAATTGATTTGGCATGTGCATGGATAGGAAAAAGAGTCCGAGAGAGACAGAAAGGAAGACTCTAATCCGCTATCCGCTATCCGCTATCCGCACACTTAGTCCCTGATCCGAGGTGGCTTTCGACGATGCATTTTCTCGACCCAGAAAAGCAAAGCGTTCCTGGATCGAAACGAGTTTGTTTGTCTTTCTTCTCGACGTGAGTAATTCTGGTGGCTTGCAGCCTTGGTCTTGATGAGGCGTCCTCCGTTGCGGTTCTTGCGGATGGCTGTTTTTGTGGCTTGCTCCCTTGCGTTCGTCGTACTCGGGATACCCACTGCCGTGCAACGGTGAAGAGAATGTGTATCTACACGAAGAAATATGAGGTTATTTCGAGACTGAGACTGAGACTGACCTGGCTTGAGTTGAGTTGAGTTGAGTTGAGTAAGCAAGTATGGAGAAGCTGCTGTTGAATGGAGAGAACTCGGAATGCACGATATGAAGATCACCGAGTTGGTGACAGTGCGCCGTTCCGCATGCCGAGTAACCTTAAGACCCAAGAATGAAACCCAAGCTCCAAGATCTTTTGACTCATCACCATCACCTCCGCACCAAGTATGTGCCCGAACTCAAATATGAGGAATCTCACTTGGCAACAAGGCATTGGCGGAATTTCATCTGCTGGGTTGCTGACTGTCTTTAATTTTTCTTTTACTTTTTTTCTCTTCTGCGGAGACTTGAGACATGCCGTACTGTACCGCAACCGGCTTCCCTTTTCATCAGCGCCATGGCTGATGACTGTGTGACTGTGCGTCGCAACCTACTGTACGATGAACTGCTGCAGGGCAACGCAAGACATGATCCGCAGTTACGAATGTGCGTACTCGTACCTGTACGAGTATAGTGTTGATTTATTCCTACGATGGATGTGCCAATGGGCTGATGGGAGGGACGATATGGTTGATCGTCCAACCGCCCCCTCATTTTGATCTTCATGAAACATGATAGAATTTCATGATCTGAGTGAGGGGGGTGGAGAACTGATTCGCATCGAACATATCCCCCGCCAAGCCCCATATGTTTGTGAGGCCAACGAGAATCAACTCAGAGATAGAGTTCCCTCGCGCCCGCTCTTCGCGACTTCACACGGTTACGCGTCGACATTTCAAGGCTGCCAAGAAAAGGAATATCCTTGTACAGCTGTTACGCCAATCGAGGGTGCCCTGCTGCATCGGATCTGTGTGGATGTAATTCTTGGGCGCAGCACAAAGGAAAATAATACGTACAGTAAATGCCAATCACTTTGACAAGTCTTGGCGGGTGCCTTTGGTGCCCAGCGAGTCGGAGGCCGTCTGCCCAGAAGTCCAAGTGAAGTAGGTTTTCTTAACAGAAATGCGCGTCTAATAATATTGGGCATCTGTTGGGTGGAGTGTGAGTGGTTGCAGAGACAACATGCCATCCGCTTCATCTACTCGGAGTCAAGTCCGATAAACTCGGGAAAAGGGAGGGCATCTCGTGGCTTGTGCTGGTGAGTGAGTGAGTGAGTGAGTTTGCTAGAGATGCTGTGTGCATGCGTGAACTTACAGTAAAGACTAAGTAAGCTGTTGACTGACTGCGCGGCCTGAGTAATCCTGACTGTAGGCGGAACATCCGAACCATCACAACAGACTACACATAGATATAGACCTGTCACCCCCTTCAAGACCAGTTTCTTGGATGATGTTTCCATATCGAAAGATTCAGATACGCAACGCAACACTTCACTGACGTCCCCCGCATCCACCATTCCGCAGCTCACGTACCACAACATACTGTACTGCACTCTGCCGTCGGCGCCCTGTGGCTTCTCCCTTCTCCTCTCTTACCGTCGGTCAAACTACGCCATCATCACACAATCCGTTCTGCTCCCCCAACTTTCTGTTTCCATTCAGACCCTCCAGACCCTGATATTTACATGCATTGCAGAAATCAGGGCTCAATCCAGAATTCATTCGTACCCTGACCCACGCCTACTACCCTGCGAATCAGGTGCCTCACTCCATCTCACACGCCACGCCTCGACTTTCTCTCGCCTGCGTCCCAGCTGCCTGTCCAGCGTGCCCATTGACAGCTGCTGCTTCACCCCTCGTTTACCTCACTTTGCATAGCCGAGTTGCCCAGAGTGACCGGTTTGAGCAGCGATCCGCGACCCCTCGCTCGCGCTCTCCCAAGTGTCCACCAAGCCAGCCAAGGTCCTCGCCCCATCGTCGCCCCCCCCAGACCAGCCCCAGCCAGGCTAGGTAGAGCCAGCCTAGAACTCCCTGATCGGCCCCACTGGGACAGAGAGATCGGATTTTCAAAGTCTCATCGACGCATACAAATATTACCGCCTGATCTCCCAAGATTCTTCCCTTTTCCTGCTACGTACTGAACATCCCTGAGTCTCCTCTTCGACAGTCCTCTCCTACCCTACCCAACTGTACTCGCGCCTTGGATCGTGAGCAACGCAACTGGGTGCACGCAACTGAAACATTCGCCGGCACATTTTTCAGGAATACCTCACCGGACATCACCGCGTTGCTTCCAAGGAGATTTAATCCTTCAACACCACACCCACCATCACCACCAAAAAGACATTCCTCACCGAAACCACCTCCGAAACATGTCTTCAAGATTCTTCCAACTGCAGACCGAAGCTGCTTATAGTTCACGCTCTGCGTCGCCTTCACCTCACAGACCGCAACCAACGGCCACTCAAGGATACCACAGTCGAGCATCGACCTCCTCCGACTCGTCTTCCTACTCCAGTTCTTCGTCCAGTTCCTCGTCCTACTCTTCCTCTTACACCGAACCAAAACGATACAGCATGGACTCCCAAGTTCAACCCCGAGTCGAGATTCTACGATGCTCACGCTGTGCCAAGTGTGTGGAAACAATTGTCACTTCGCGGGGTGGTGAAGATGCGAGCTCAAGTGGCATGGTGAAGTTTGGACACAACCTCTACTACTGCGACCGATGCGCACGGATGGTCGGATACAAATGAATGAACCATCGACATCAGATGAACGGATTACGATACTGAATGGAAGAAGAGGAGGATCACCACAATACCGAGTCTTCGCAATACACGAGCGGATCATTCCCTTCGACGCAATTTCGAAATACCCTCACCAAAAACGCATCGTCACTCCACCCCAGAATCCCATCCCCAACACACATCACAATCAATATTCACGATACTACACCTCACACCTCCTCGGTCGCACACCTTCCAGCCTAATTTCCATATCGGCACCACACCTCCGCAATCTGCAGTTCTCGCCTACCCCTCCTGCAGAAAGCCACAGCGTTTGACGTCCACTCACAAGCCGCCACACCACCCACTTCTGCCCTCGAATTGGTGGAAGTCCCAGGTCGAGAACCATCCTGGGAAGCAGACGTTGGAATCTGGAACATGATGTCATTGTGCCTATTCAGGTCTTCGGTGAATTGGGTATCGAAGAACCTGCGGCATTTTGATGCCTTGATTGCTGCATACATGCAATGCAAGAGAATGGACATGCAGATACGTTCAACATCCGACACGACATCTATTCTGGTCGGTGTAACAAGAGATGAGACAGTCTTGCGTTACGTTTATTGTGGAGGCGGAGTATTGATACGAGTTCAAACTGGAACGGATGGACCTTCCCTATTGTTCTTTCTCATGACGATCATGGAGACATTTTTCTATTTTCAGTTCTGATGTATAACGATTTGCAGCGACCAGCGAGCGAGCGAGCATTTGCTTTTGGGGAGATTTTTTTTGGAGGAGCGCATACGTTTCCTTGCTGCTGCAGCAAACTCCAAATGAGTCGAGATGTATGATATGGTGGCTTTAGATGAGAAGGGGGAGGAGTCAGCTGGTCTGTACCGAATGTCTAATGAATCGAGCGAGAATTATCACCCAACTCAACTTCTTGATTACGAATGTGAAATGTATCCGGTCTCAACATGACTCCTGCCCAATAAGCCAATGACCTGCTAACCTACTTCTTTGTTTCTTACCCCAATCTATCCCTCCCCAAAATACGCCCTAACAATTCCAGCAAACACAAAAATCATGGATGGATGTGGATGTGGTCACGGTGCTGCAGGCTGAATTGTTTGTTCGTCTGATTTAATTGATCACATTTCTTTTGATGATAGACGCTCGCTGCTGTGTCACGGTGGCTGATCTTATCTGATTGATTTTCTTCTTCGGAGACGCAGTGTCACGATCGTGGTGTAACCAACCTCCCTTCTTATTTGATCTTTTCTTTTGCTTTCTCTCATTCATTCCATTCTTCATTTTCATTCCCATCTCTCATGCAAGTCCCTCGACGCCAAAGTTCTAGACCTGACGATCACCTCGGCTGGCCCCGAGGCTTTTTCCTCACTACAGTGCTGACTGCAAATCTGCATATCCTTTCCATTTTCATTTCCGCCTCTCTCTCTCTATCGACTCCCTGTGTCGTGTGGAAACCCTCCACCTCCAACTCCACATCTATCTGTCCTTATCCTCTCCTCGAGTCCCAGCAACGAAACAGCCGGGCGGGCTAAGCACCTCGGACATCGAAGACCCTGAGCGCTAAGGTCTAGACTCGCACCCTTGGATAGCTGGACGTCAACCTGCAGCTTAGCGTCCAAGTTCTTACCGTTGCCTTGCGGACCCTTGGGGCTAAAGGGACGTGTCTGCAGACCTTGTTCATGCGTAAAGGGTTGACGGTTGACGGGAATGGCTGGCTTCGGTGGCTTGAGAGGGATGGAAAGCTTTACTCACCGCACTTATGAGGTATGTAGGGTCTAGGGTCTTGGGGTCTAGACTTTCGGGGACTTTGGAGGGAAGTGGAGGAAGATATCATCGTGCTTTTGATGGTTTGAGTTGGCATTTAGTTTGGATGCATGGCTGCTGTGTTGTGTTTATCCTGCGTTTGTTGTGACGCGAGGTTCTGTTCCAGTGGTCATTCTTCCGAGTGATGGAAGGTTGAAACGTTGCAGACTGCAGGGACGTGTTGTTCACTCCGCTTGTATTGAGAATTTGAAGATATATTTCTGGCAGAGTTTATTGTTCTCCCACTTTATAATGCTATTATCGTGTTTTAACGCTCGGAAATCCCGAGCAAAATGTAACAGAACGTTCTCCTGCCATCGCAGGACAGTAGATTCCTCAATTTCTAGTCTCAAGTACTCGTCACGTGAATACATTCTAGTTGCAATCACGTCTTCTTTTTGGAAATATTCAAGTCATGTTTGTTGCTACTTGTACCCTCAGCTACATAAATTTGGCGCAAGCAGGAACAAAACTAACTTACACGAGCGAATATTAGCTATATACAATATCATTCCTCAAAATACGACCCTCCAATCAGGGCTTCGCCTGAAACCTAGTCTGCGAGGTGAGTCTCGCAAATATCCTTCACGAAGGATATTTGCTTTCACGTTGGCCTCCAATCTTTGGGGTGAAAGCAAAATTTGCTTTCGCTTTTTCAGCTTGCGCATGCAAGCCAGTGGGCTTTCAGCCAATGGGATCTGCTGTTTTCCCTCGTCCATCAACGTAAGATCTTACATTTCCAGAATTTCGACACCCGATTAGCCAATGAGCTCACGTCAAATCCTCGACCATAACAAGCCCGGCGTATTTGGCCTCCAAATTACCCTAAATGGACGTGCGATGCCGGTACCGGTACCGTAGCCTTGCACAATCTCTCAAGTCTTGTCTTTTCAGGAGTTTATTTTCTCGTTCCAAGTTTGGAGGCCGTGTGTGGGTATTGCTGTTTGTTCGTGCCGGGATTAATTTCTCATAACCACCTTCAACAACTGAACCCGAGTGGGAATTGGTTGGCTCGGCTCCTGAAGAGTCTGACTGACTGCTCAGGCTTCCATTTTCCAGTGCCTCAAGAACTCCTGATCAAACCTCCTCGCCAATTCATCAACAGACCTGTCCTGTAGAGATGGCTTGGACAATGCACAGGCTCGTGTATGAACCAAGAAATGGAAAAGTACTCGACTAAGAAGCGCTGGACTGGGGCTCGTCTGAGAGGTGTGCTTAGCACTTAAGTTGAAATATCTCGCAGAACATTCACGATTGTATGGAGTCAAATAATCGCTTTTGAGAGAGTGTGTTCATTATCTGTTGCTTGTTTGATATGAATCGTCATTGCAAATCCGTTCAAGGCAGCACTCACCCAATTGCTAATAGCCCTATACTCCAACCGCACCGTATGTCCATCCAATTCGTGGCGCCTGCAAATGAAAACCTCTGTACACCCTCAAATCATCTAGCCTGTGACTGGACGACGTCTTAAGGGTAAGTGATAGCGCTTTTCCAACTCTTCTGCGAACTTTCCCATAGATAATTCCACAGTCTCAAAAGCCCAGCGACGGAAACTGAAGACCAGACCAGGAAAGAAACCTTGGATAAGGATTGGCAAAGGGGTGTATTTGCCGAATTCGTCAGGTCCGAAGAACTCATCTAGAGGGACACCATTTTTCCAAGTTTCCCGATACACTGGATAGAGCGTATTGCATGTAAGCCCAAGACACACAGATGAGACACGATCGAGGTGTTGGAAGATCAAGAAGTGGATTTCGGTAGGCAAGGTAATAAGGGTTGTGGCGTTGACGGCGTTTGAGTATTCAATGACCTTGGGTTCGACTTGTTGATCGTCAACTTGGGTTTGCGCCTTCGTCTTGGTGATCTTGTTGAGATTGATTGTGGCCGAGGAATTGGTTTTCGAAGCAGAACCCATGGCGAACATTGCTTTGCTTCGGGATTGTGTTCTAAGGTAGTCGTCTATCGGGAGATTTTGTAGTTTGAGAATGTCATGATCGAAGACTGTGGAGATACAAACCACGCAAACAGCGTATGGAGACGCTATAGCGGCTTCCTTCAAGGCGCTACCGTCCAACTTAAACTTCTCAAAGGTGAATCCCTTGTGCGTTCCCATTTCTGTCTTTACACTCAAATCCATAGTAACCTTTCCAGGATCAGACATTCGTACAATATTCTCGGCTACGTTTAATATGGATCGGTAAGGAAACTGCTCAGGCTGTTAACATGAATTGAACTTGAAATCACAGTCGTGCCGTGTCTAGCAAGGAAGTAGTAGAGATAGTATTTGCATTGACTAAGTAGAAGCTTGAGGTAAAAGATTGCTTGATCTGTCACTCCACCTTCCTTCCCCATCTCACTCACAATATGTTCCACCAAGAAGTGGAAAATCAAGAGCTTCACTGATATTGTGGCCTATTCCAAAATAGCGAAAGAACAAGCCGCAATTGCCAGACTCAAGATTCGCTCCTAATCGCAGTAGGATCACCCAATTCGTGGCATCCGCAATTGCAATAACCTCTATAATGTCGAAGGTATCAACTCATTCGATCTTAGTCCGAGCACCCCAGCCGTAGGAAGGGAGCTCCCACTAGCTCCTCTCCATTTGCATGAACCGTAGCGTCTTATTTCGTGAGCCCTTATGACCCCTATGCCCCCAAACCGAAAGATAGACATGGCCAGGAAGGAAATCCCTTAAAAGAGCTCCCAAACAGAATTCCCATCCTTCCCTGTATTGGCCATCCGGGTAACACTTGTTGATGCCTATGATGTATGCACTCAGACCAACTGTTCCATGGATAGCTCGGTGGATCGGATAGAAATTCTTGCACGTAACTCCAAGGCAAGTGGATGACACTGGATCAAGGTGATCGAAGATCATTAAGAGGATCTCGGGAGGCAAGGAAATGATTGCTGCGGTGTGGGCAGCGTTCGTGAAGATTTCAGTTTCAATTGCAGTTCGCGCCTCTGAATTGGTAATATCGTCGATGATGTCGCCTGAGTCGTCGCTCTGTGAAGAGGGAGCCATCCCGAACAGTGACATGGCTCGGGGCTATGATCTTGTGTTCAAGAGTCTGTGACGGCAATATTGTCAGTCGAGTTGCGCACACAAGCAAGTCAAGGCGGCTGGGATCTTACAGGGAAAGAAGTTTTCCAGGTGCACAAGGAGCCGAGCCGAATATTGTGAAGGTGGTATTCTGAAGAGATTGCGCAAGCCTCCAATGGATGTTGTCTGGCTCGAACACAGCAGTTGCGTGCGCTGGCGTTGCAGAACACTTTGAAAAAGTGAAATCCCAAGCCTTAAAATGAATAGTTCCGGGTCATGATCAACGCCTCAGATTCACTTGGAAGCGTCAGCTCAAGCCGATGTGATCAATTTTTTGTAGACGAATATCTTTGTGCTGAGCTTTATTCTTAGCTATAATATTAGCTATACACACAAGCCCTATACTCCACTCAACCTTCGAAACTTTTCATCAAACCTCCTCGCCCAACATAAACTTCACTCCTGCCCTCACAATCGTTTCGGCAATCCTCATCTCCTCTTCATCTCTCGGCGCATACACCATAGTATAAGTAACCGGAAGAATCGATCCACTCAATCCAAATCTCTCTCCCCATCCTCTCTCAATAATCAACTTCGCATCGCTCGGAGCTAGGGAAACGTGCATGCTCCCATCACTTTCATGCAAATGGGCGATCTCATTCCTGGTTCCGCCTGCCCCAAGATGCTTTATGATCGACGGGTGAATAAACAGTGCTGGACCAGTGCGTTCCAGGACCGAGATTGAGACTTGAAGTTGTGATGGCTGGGAACTAGCCAGGGAGGTGATTAGGGTTTGGAAATACTATAAGTGTAAATACTTGGTCATGAAGGTGGAAAGGGAACAAACCTCTCTAAAATCCTCGGTTGCCTTTTGATTCAATTGACGCTGAGGTAAAATCCATCCACAGACTTCAGGTCTCTCTCCCTTTCTTCTCGGTATGTCATCCTCGCTCAAATGAGCTTTCTCTCCTGCAGGGCCGCTTTTCTCCAAGATCCGAGGATTTGATATGAATGAGGTATCGAAACGAGCTGCCTTTAATGGTCGAAGAAGGGTGGCGATTAGGTAGCCGAAAGGGTTGTGAGGGAGACCGCCTCGGCCGACTGACAGCCAGGCACGGTAGTCTGTGTATGCGAGGTAGAGGATGGGCAGGGAGATGGTAGTTAGGAGGGCGTTGCGGGGGTTGATGAGGTGTTGAATGTTAGGGGGGAGAGTGGATGTCATCTTGCGGGGAGACGAGAAGCACGTTTACGTGGTGACAACAATGATGTGAACTACCGATGAATGTCTCACTTCTCAGGATGTATTGAGATGGATGAAGGTATCGTGGAGATGCCGTTTGAATTTCAGGTGATAAGGCCACACCTCTTGCATTGCGAACCGAGCCGCTCAGTCCGAGCGGGGTTTATGCTTACTTCACTGGTGTGACACAAGACATAGGCAACTTCGTAGTCTTCCACGAAATGAACTTTTCGGTTCCCATTGGATCTCGTGGAATTCTTCCCTGGAGCACAATTACCTAGGTAAGGAGGATCTCTCCGGCTTGTGGCTGTCGCCCTCGCTTAGACCCTTATCTGCTTGGAGCCGAGCTTGAGGAGTCGTGGAGCGTTGGGACAATTAACTCTTGCATCAACATAACGTAACCTTACCCGCATCTTTACTTTCAGAGCGCCATTCTCACTTCATTTGATTTCTCAACTGACTCTCGCGCTCTTCTGTCCAGTATCACAACCCTCCTAGTGCTCCTTGCGTTCACTAATTGCCCCCTTCTATCCAAAGAACTTGTCCATCTCCTCTTGAAGAACATCAACTTTGAACTACGAGACGCTCTTGTTTAATGACAGGAATCTAACCCTTGATGCATTTTTCCCACAGTTGTTCCAGACTGGCTACACCTGATCCTCTGGTTCAGGAGGTGGCCTCGAAGTGTTCCATTATTTCACCTCCATTATCAGAGTTGCTGTGCCTTAAGTAGATGAGAGCTATGTAGTTTGCGATGCCACACATTCGAAGACTCGCAGATGTGGAGGAAGGATCGCGTGTACGGTACTCGATAGTATGGTTGGCTGCTTGGCTTTCGGACTCCAATAGGGTGGAGATCTGGGAGAAGTGTTAGTACACGCCCAGTCCGCGGAGATTGATGGACACACTCATGGATTCACCTTGTTCAAGTTATTTCCCACTCGTAGAATCGAAACTACATGCTCTTTAGTCCGAACAACGGTTGGGGGAGGGAGATCAGTACACACGGGCGCGACAATAGTCCCTGTCAACACTCTGCAAAGGATGAACCGTATGGTGATTCGGAATCCACGAAGTGATTGTTCGTTCTCTGATTACAGCATATCGTCTTGTCTCCGCGGGGCGGAGAGGCGTCTTGTGATAATGCAAGCGACATTGTTAGAAACGGTGTTGGACTTTACGCGGAAGAGGTTGTTCGTAAGTGGGACGGCGCGAGGCTGTTATGAGGCTGAAAAGTTAGCTCAGATTAGCTAGTGTGGAGTTAGGGGTTCTGTTAAGCCACGACATCTCAACTCGCGAGCATCATCAACGCCAGCTTCACAAAGTACCAGCTCATTATGGGTGTTCCATTCTCACAAGAAGTCAAGACAGCCGTCGACCTCGCCAGTGATCTCGCAACCGACCTGAGATCCCATGCCACAGTCGTACTTTATGCCGTCGTGATTGTTTCTGTGATTCACACAGTCCTCCTCAGTCTATTCCTTCTGGCTGTCATTGGGCTTATCGTCAGCGTGAATCCGGATCTTGCTGAAGAGAGGAAGGCGTTTGTAACGCCTGCGGTGAGGTGGATTTTGTTTCCATTGCGAGGGTGGAAAGCTGTGTTTGCTGGGACGGCCGGGAGGGAGCGGCCCCGTGGTCAGGAATTTGAGAATGAGAGCAGGAGCTCGAATGAGAGTGCGAGAGGTCAGAGGCGGAGAAAAATGTTTTCTGGCGGTGGAGAATAAGAGGTGGCCGATCACCTCTCGCATGAGATTCGTCTTCGCCTTCTGGGGAAGAGCTTCTGGAAAAGTTTTCTCTCCTCGACATACCCTTTCGCGTTGTTGAAGCCACTTAACTCATTACTCGCCTTCACTGTCTCCTTGGAGCGTGGATTGATTAAGAGTATTCGGGAAGGTCGCCGCGTACCATCTGAATTATCGAAGGCATCGCATCATTTCAAAACACAATCATTCACCAGGACTCAACATTCAAAAGCCAGTGAGTCATCCCCCGAAGATCACCGTGACACGGTTATCCGTTGGAGACCAAATATCTGACTATAGTCTCTAAAGCTTCACACTTAATTTTCAACAAAAATTTCCATCAGAATTTACCTCTTTTACCATAATACGTCACCTTTAAAGTCGGCATCATGCGTACAAAGCAAACAAAAACAACATCTAAGCGTACCGAACCATCGAAATCCAAGAAGCCATTCAAGTCAACGGTGAAACCCACCCAGGAAGTTGCACCATCAGATCAAAAAGCTCACCTCTGGGAGATCAAAAGCCCTTGTGCCGAGCCTACAGGGCAGTGGCCTAAAGGCGTGTCCTCATGCAACGATGGGTCATGGCGGAAGACGATTACATGGCTCTTGACCAAGGTCAAGGATTTCATTTCAAAGCGCAAAGGAGGCTGCGTGTTAGATATCCCCCCTGGGAACTGTGTTAAGTTCGGCGCCCAAGTGCATCTCTCGGAAGCGTTCGCACTGCGGCTAGTCGCGGAGAAGACAACAATCCCTGTTCCCCGGGTTCTCAGTGCGTTCATAAAAGATGGATCCACTTACATCGTCATGGAAAAGATCAATGGTATTACTTTGGAGGATGCTTGGGGGAAGATGCCAGATGCTGAGCGTCGCCTTGTTATGGCCGAGTTGAAGGATTATTTTGAACAGCTTCGCAAGATCCCACACCCAAGGCCCGGCACTATATGTACAGCCGCTGCAGATGATCATGCGCTGTATGATCTTCGAATTTTCCATGGCGATCGGGGGTTTGGGCCTTTCAGAGCGAGGAGGACTTCAATCTATTCCTTCGGAACGGTAATCAGAGCGGGCAACCAGCTAGAACGAACGACCTGGAGACTCTGATCCAAATGCAAAGCAAGACCCAACACAAAATGTGTTTCACTCACGGTGATGTCACTCCTAGTAATATCATGGTGAAGAGGTCTTGGTTGGGAAAGTACCACGTGGTTGCCCTGCTCGACTTCGAGAGGTCTGGTTTCTTTCCAGAATACTGGGAGTATGTTTCAGCCAAAGTTCCCGAGACCGATTTGAAGTCGAAACAATGGAACGATGAGGTTGAAAACTTCTTGGAGCCATATCCAGCAGAATTGGAGATGGATCGAATCCGTTTGAAGTACTTCGGCCCTTATGGCTGTTGGCTCTGACACTTGAATCGAGCTCGCTTGTCACATACTTGTACAATCAAAGCGCAGATCTTTAAAATATCACGAATAGAAATAAGAAGAACACTTGTGACTTATTTTTGACAGTATCTCGAGCAGTTTCATGTCTATTCTCGAGGGATGAGCTGTATCAGTTCTCACTGCATTTTTTTTTTTTTTGAAATCCATCGATAATTGGTTCAACATCTATGTCTCGCATATACATTCCTACTCGACCAAGTGGCTCATTTTCATCATGCTCATACGGAAAAGCCAAATATACTAACGTTCCCCTCGATACTGGCCCCATTGACGTTCTTATTGACGACTTGTGTTCCGTTAATACTCACGTCAAAGATCGAACGCCGGCCTGTCGTACTAGTATTATCGTCGAGGCCGCATTTAAAAGGATCGAACATAGGGACCGCGTCCATAGATGGGACCACGGCAATATCTCCATTAAGGACCTTTTCACGAGTGAACTCTCCAGCCTTCTTGAACAGCTTCTCCAGGTTTTCCAAGCAGATCATAGACTTGTTGAAAATCTTGTCTTTCTCTTGAGCATTGTAAAGGTGCATGAAAATGTTTCGCATCCAGAGTGTTGCATCTTCGTCCCTTCGACTCGATGTCACCTTCGCAATCTCGTTCTCAAACCTCTCGTTATCATAGAAGCTTTCAAATGAGGGCTTTTTATACCTTTTGCACCTTTGATTGTGAGTAATTCTCTGGTAGATTTCATGCTGTCGCTGAATGATCTAGTTAGAAGTGAGAATCAGAAGCGCCTATGTTGTGCCATTTCGAGTCAGTAGTGAGCAAAACAGCTGATAATTTTGAATCAGTGCTCTTTTCACTCGTCATGGCACAACAAGAACACTCACTGCTTCTTAGAACATTGTCGAATCACTTGTTGTATGCGCCCAGGCCGCATCAGCTATAAAATACCCTTCTCACATCCCTCAACCTTTTTCTGCTTTCCAACCAAACATATCAAAAGCTATCACATCTCAACACAACTCTCGACAGCCAGCGCACCATACTTCATCTCACAAAACCATACTATCCCAAAGAATACACGACATCTCAAGCAATGGCGACCGACCACGCAGAGATCGTTCAAGGCTCTAATAATCTCTTCATCGCTGCCGCAGAGACACCGCTGAAAGAGCAGAAAATCATCTGGGTTCTCATGACGGGAGACAACGAAACCTGGGTCGACAACCTCGCCACCGATAAGATTGAAGAATGTCAAATTTGACGCTCACCCGAGTGGCCTATATCAAAGACATGGAGAAATTCGAAGAGGCTGCCATTAAAGTCGGCATGCCACCCAAGCAGGAAATAGGAGGGATCTACGACCCTGACGATGTCATGCCACACCCTTTGAGGGAGCATGGTCTGCTATACATAGCTAAGTTCTTCCGAGCTTTGAGTTGGGAAAATCGATTTGGGGAGATCTTTACCAAAGGCAATTTGACCGATGCCGACGGAATACTAGAGCGCTCAGTTGAATATACCCAGAGGATGATTGGTGAGGGCAAGCTTATTCGTGAAAGTGCTTTTGGGACTACGGCGATCCCAACCTTGGACTTGCTCGCTGGCAATCAGATGGACAAGAGCATCTCGTCCAAAAGTGATGCATAGAGAGAGGGACAGACAGGTATCACAATCATCATATCTTGCATGCGTTGATGTTAACGAAGGGAAGTCTTGAAGAATAGAGGAAAGGGTTGATAATTGCATGTTTGATACATGCCATCGCTGGTCGATGTTAGCTAGTCGAACTGAAACGTTGCTTTACTCCATGTGTAACTGATAGCAAACCTGGGAGAAAGCCGTACTCGAAATAGTGAAAATATCAGATGACCCACAACCTAAACTAAGTTGGGTTACGCCATGTGCCAACATTTCTCTTTTCTCCAAATCATATATACCAGAGCAGACATAATCCAAGGAGTTGTTACTCGGCCATGAGCATCGCTGTAGCCAGTTGTTTCGTCCTCTTCGTCAACGAACAACAGAACGAGCGATAGAACGAACTAACAGCCGCGATCAATCTTTTCAGACCAGATGTCTAAACCACTCTATTGGCTAGGAAATGGCTCGCTGGAGTCTGTTGGCAAAGGAAGCAGGTTTGAACGCAAATCACACAGCATATCTCCATACTGCAAGAACGATTCATTCATTGTTGAATCTTTCTCTACGCAAACCAACGCATAGAATTCAGATTAACGCCACCTATCAAAACACCACACCTTTCATGACACAACACCCATATACCAGCCATATTCGATCCTGCCCATCGACCAATGGAGCTGATCAAACAAGCATGCACGCCAGTACGCATCGAAATCGTGAAGATAACCTCTCGTCAGTACCGTGAGAGAGAAACCAAACACCACCCCGCCGATGATACAGGAACAAAGAGATTCCCTATGCTAGTCGAAAGCTTTCCTTCCCTTCCAGCATTATTTGTGCATTTCAAAGCAGAGCCCATCAATGACCACGAACTCCAGTACTACTCCTTTTCAAAGCGACCTAGTTTCTCCTTCGATCACCATTCCGACTCGAAGGACCAAAATCGGGCTCGGTAATTGCTTTCTTTGTCTTGGTGCCTTTCATTGAGAACTCTGCCATCAGTGCTATGTGGTCACTGGGGAAATGGTAGTTGGGAAATCCAGGGACCGTCGCCATGTAGTCCTCATCTACTTTACCCAACAGAGCAACGTTCTCTAACGCATTGGTCGAATACCAGATATGATCGATCACACCTCGGAATCCTGGAGTGTAGTTGGTGTAGGGTACGGCTTCGGGCGTCTTGTCCAGATTCGTGTATGCGGATCGCAATGAAAAGGGGTGCTCAATTCCATCCTTCGTAAAGTTTCCATATGCGCGGTCTTTGAATTCAGGGATATCAGGCTTGACGGTACCCTTGGCAAACAATTCCGATACCGTCGAGTCTATCTCGGAGTTTTGATCGGCACAAATGACCAGTGGCAAGAAGGTTTTGTTTAGATACTCCTTGGAAGGCCCAGGCACAACTTCTGTTTCGACTTCCGAGTTGTCCTCATCTGCCAGTACAATCCTTCTCTTGTCCTTGTCCTTCTGAGGTGGATGATTGATCCATTTATCCGCTAATCTGCTGACCTCGCCGAGAAGCATTGCAGCCTGGATCAGCTTTACATCACTGTATGCAGGATCCCAGAAGAAGTGAGTATTGGCAAGAATCAAACGAGACCCAGTGACGATGTTCTCAAAGAAAGTCACCACACCAATATGATCCCTGGGCATGACGCGGTTGAAAATATCGGCCTGTTTGCTCATGTCTGGACGATTGATGGCGAGGTTGGCAAAGTCTACCAAAGTCTTGTCGAGGCAGATGTACTTCCTGTATTTATAGAAAGTCGCACATCCATCAACGTTCTGCCGTTCCGTTGGACCCATGGTCCGAGATCGAGTTCGTGCCCAGAAAATGCCTTTGTACCCATTATGTGCAAGCTCCACGCAGAAATATTCCTTGAAGGTATTGTCGTCGACTTCTTGGAGGCAGATAAAATCGGCATTCTGAAGTCGGATATCTTCCAGCACAGTTGCTCTCCGATGTTCCCATGCCAGTGCGGCTGTCGGTGAATGACCGTATAACCGTGTCGTACATGCTGGGGCGGAGAGGATATTGTACGAGAAGACCTTGAACTTGTCTTGATTCGGAGATGCCTTTTCGTCGTCTAGGAGACTGATGATATCACGAGGTGGGGGAGGATCGGGGACTATTCGATGTCAATACCGCTTAGTTCTTCCTCGCCGAAGGAAACTTACTTGGAGCAGTTTCTCGAAGCTCAGTGATGAAAGCCTTTGTTCCTTCATTCATGACCATTTGCTTGATCTTGTGGTTCAGAGGGTTTCCTTCGATGCCAAGTACTTCCAAATTGAACAAGGAGCCCATTTGATAAGGAAATTCCTGGATCTGGTTGTGGAATACAAGAACTTGCTTCAAATATACGCACATACCCAGCTCCGTCGGCAGTTCCGTCAACTCGTTATGCGATGCGTCAAAGTGCGTCAAATATCTTAGCTGTGCAATTCCAGAAGGTATACAGGTGAGCTTGTTCGAAGCCACGTATAGTTCCTTCAGAAATGTGTACTTGAAGACTGGGGTCGTTAGTACCCTTAAACCTTGACCACTGACGTCCAAGTTATGCCAATCTTGTCGCTTGGAGGGATTGTTATCTGCCATTCGACCGAGATTGTTCTCTCCATCCTCTTGGTTCTCAGCGGTCTCGGTCGAGCTCGGGACATGCGCTATGCCCTTGTTCTCACCAGCCTTCAGTCTTGCAAAGTGGTTCGGAGCTCCTTCCATCATGCGGGTGTGGGCATTCTCCGACTCTTTGTGCAGCTCTAATTGTAACCCCCAATGCTCATTGATCGCCTGGGCCTGCCCTCCCCTTGTAACCGCACTTTGCCCATTCTGCAGGGCCGCTGGTGTGAACGTTGGTGTTGAGTTTGACAGGACGGTCGAAGAGAATGTCGCATGGTGGCTGAGCACAGCACCATTGGTCGTGTGGGAAGATTGGTCTTGCTGCATGCTCGGATGATGTTGTCCATGCTGTTGATTTGGATTTTGGTGTTGTTGGTAGTTATACATCATCTGCATTTGTCCACGCCCATTAGCTCCGTTGACACGGCCATGCTGCCCTTGCTGGTGACTGAACATTCCGTATAGACCCTGAGCGGGAGAATTAGGGTCCGGGGATCGAGAAGGGGAAGGAGTATCGACGCTGAAAGCAGATCGGATGTTATTGGGTGGAGTGCCGTTTCGAGGTATCTGGTGCCGGGGATGATGAGCTTGTGTGTGTTGTGGAAAATAGTAATTGCCAGCGCCTTGCTGTGGGAATCTGTAACCATCGGCCATCTAAAGCCACCGCGGACAGATTGAGCGGCAGAATGGGCTCCAGTTCTCGAGCGCAGTCGGTACTGAGATGTGTGGTTTAGGTAGGGGGATTCGAGAGCGGAGAGCGACTCTTTCTTCGTTGGCACATAGGTCTGCGGAAGGTCTGCTAGGGAATCCAAGATACGGCGCGTCTGCCAATGGTCCTGGCGCGTTCAACTGTGGATTCGGACGCAGTGGTGTTGATGCGGGCAGAACGAGTCGTTGTTCGCAGATGGCGGATCTTTATTATTTCTGGAAGATGAATACTTGAGAATATCACTATTTTTAGAAGTGAATGTCCAACTATCGAGGTACATTCAACTGGATATACACACTGGTAAGCAAGATGCTGTATCAATCGATTGACGATCAGAAAGAGTACGGAACCGGCGACCAACGTACCTTGAAGGAGTACAAGCGGATGAGTACGAGTACGCCGAGTAATCAAGTAATCTCTAGGGGCAGATTGACTGTCTTTGCGCTGCTTTGTCTTGATCGCATGCAAGTGGTGTTCACAAGCTTCAAGTCAAGAGTCGAAGGCTCGGCACCAGACACGTGACTAGTGCCCAACTAACGAGCCTGGTGAGTTAGGTCTGTGCGCTTCAAGGCCATTTGCTCCCTAAAGATATTTCTATAATAATTCCTTAAATTACTATTTAACAATACACTTTAACTTCTTCTTAATCATAGTACCCAAGCACAAATAATAACACTTTGAGATTGTCTGGCTTTATTTAAGTAAAGTAGGTGAGTTTGGTTTTTGGATGCCTGAAAAGCAGCCTGAAGCGCACAAACCTAACTCACCAGGCTTGTAATGACTGAGGCAGCAATGCTAGTGATAGAAGCAGGAACGAAGCAAAGTGATTCAGACAGGATTCAACAGCGGCAGGAACGATCTAATACATATCAAATTTAAAAACTTCTTCTGGTCTGAAATGGAACATCAATTGACGAAAGACTGCTTTATGACAGATCTTACCTTCGGCTCTTCCTTAATAAAGCAAGATACGGGAGCGCTGGGTCTCTGGCATCCTTCACGTCAATCACTATTTAGCGTGGTGTTTTGCAGAAGTTCATTGCTATTGCTCAATTCTCGGACACCAGGTCACCATTCTTTCAACAAATTCAGCTGGACTGAGATTCTTCTGAAACGGGAAGGATCCTGTTCCAGTATTATACACCTATCCTTTCAAGCAGCCAGAACCCTATCTCGTTTATGTCCTGACAATGCTAAACTTGCTGCAAGCCCTTCAGCTACCGCCTCACCTACTCCTCAACACAGAGATCTAGACAAAATTGTTGGCAGCTCAGGTAGTCTCGGGAGAAGGCAGTCTCTGAGATTCGTCTAATATTATGAGATTTGGGTGGAAATCCATCGCGGCTATCAAGCAGCAATCCGATGCGGTCTCAGCGAGTGCTCCCAGAATACGATATGTCTGTTGCAAGTATCTCACATTCAAACGCGGGTATCATTTGACTCGGCAACTCCGTACGGATCGATGATGAGTGCAAGGAGTCTTTCATATTAGATATCTCAAGGGTGTGCTTTGACAATTGTATCATTTCCAACATACAGAAGTCTTTCCACGCGGGTGTCTTCGATTATTTATCTGTTCCTGGATATCTCACCTGCGGTCATGCTGTAATTGAAAGCAAAGTTAATCTGGGGAAGCCAAAAAGTGGTCAGCTTGCCGCGAAACCCCGACCCGGCCTGCTTATAGGTCTTAGACAGCAGCTCGAATCACCGGAGAGGCCTGGACTTGGCGCCATATCTGGCTGCTTGCATGCCCCATTCATTTGAGATATCACGGAGAAACTCCCAAGTCACCAATCACAACCAAAAAGAGCGTTTCGCGTGTTCTCACAAACAGTATTTGGATTGCTTGTCTCCGAATGCTGGGATATCTCTGTCAACTAGGGCGGGGAAAGAGACGTAGCAAAACCTCTCCACACGCATCCCTTCCCCTTCCCCTTCCCCAGCTTCGGCAGGTTGCCCGCTCGAGTGAACAGACCCGACTTCTTACGACACAAACAGGAATGCAATTGGGCTGCTGCGACGTCCCGAGTTCTCCCCCGGCGTTTTTTAACCCATGAATCACATTAAATCTGAGACAATGATGCGCTGAGAAACCTGATCCATGGCCGATGGTCTTCTGCTGCTGAGATATAAGGCTGACGGCCCCGCGAAGATCTCTACTCACCCCGTATACTTACATCAACTGCTGGCCATCCTTTGCCTAACGGATATGATGATTCCCCACGTTGACTGATCTCCTTCTTTTGCCGGACTTCAATCGCATGTTCGATTTCCAGATGCGGAGCAGGCTCGTTGGCCTAGATTTTCACGTGTCCATGTTCCGCTGGCTCTCTACCCATGGTTATAGCGTTTGGATCTTGGTAACGAGTATCATATATCCCCAATGCGGATGATCGAAATTGGCAGGCTGTATTATTATTGATTATTGCGCTGCGGTATTGGTGCAGCGGTGCTGGGAACTTCCCCTCGTGCTACTTGGGGAGAGCAGCCAGCAGCAGCAGCGGAAGCCCCTTCTCCAGATTTTTCATTAGGCAAAATCGCTACCGAGGGACAGGGGGTTGCGCTAGACTCGACCCCTAAGTCGAGATCTCAGGAATCATGTCTGAAGCCGCCTTCTTTTACAACACCACCACCCAGAGACCCGATCGAACAAAACCTCCTTCCGCCCACACGAATATCTCTCAGGTCTCCCAAGCACAGCCGGTGAAGCCAATCTTCAAGAAGTCGCATCCTCACTCGGCCAAGGACACGAAACAGTCGACGCGTCAACGTGCATCGCCCAGTTCAACGTCCACAGACAGCCACTCGTCACACTCTGCACGAACGACACCTCACCATCTAGAGTACGAGCAGGTTGATCCCGATTCTATGCTCTCTACGCCGCTTCCGGACTACAAACACGCAGCAAATCAGACCAACAAGGCAAGAGCCGCTGCTCAGGTTGCCCAAGCAAACCGGAAATCGTCGAGCACATCGGGGAACAGTGCAGAACGCAAACATGCCCTCCAGGTCGCGGCCGCAGAGGCACGAGCTGCGGCGACCGCGAGGTTCGAAAGTGGAGGCAGATCCAGCAGCCTTTCGAGCACAACAGGTTCCAGTGGTCTCACAGCGGTAACCTCGAGTGATCCTCCTTCAGTCGACGAATTTCTCGCACGGCCTTTTTCTCGCCGCAACGGTCGACGATGTTTACGAGACATGACTCTCCCGTATCCGCTCCCTTGCGACCTGGCCGAAATCCATCGCCAAATCCTTCGCACAATGCTGTTATGCCAGGTGTTCAATGGACCTGTCTGCTCGCCAGCCTTCCATACCAAGCCACCCAAGCGGGTGCTTGAAGTGGGTTGTGGCACCGGGTTCTGGAGCATAATGTGCCACAAGCATTTTTCACGACTGGGATTTTCCTCCATCTCCTTTACGGGCGTGGATATTGCGCCGCTCGCTCCGCGCATGGAATCCGACGATGACATGAACTGGCGTTTTGTGCAACATGATTTACGGCGGGTTCCGTTTCCATTCCGCGACGACGAATTCAACTTGATCATGATCAAGGATATGAGTTTGACGACTCCAACGACCGACATGCAGCAGACATACATGGACGAATATCTACGAATCTTGAAACCAGGTGGGACATTGGAGATTTGGGATGGCGATCACTCTCTACGAATGCTGCTACCACATGCGCCTCCATCTATCAGCGCCGACGACGAAGAAAGCGAAGACGAAGAACAGGTGCATACAAATGCCATGGGCACATATACGTTGACACCGCAAACGCCTTTGGCGGCACCGCAGAGTACCTATTTGAATGACTACAATACATGGGTGTCAAAAGCTCTTGAAGCTCGGAAATTGAATCCAATGCCCTGTACGACCATACGACCCATGCTTCTCCAGGAATCGGATCTAACCGAGATTGACAGCCGGCGGCTAGCAATCCCTCTTGGTGAAGTTCGTTGGGAGCGTGAAGGCGTGGGTGGAGCAGTAACACAGGGTACAAATGGCCATGCTATTTCTTCCAAAGGTAAATCTCGAGAAGGTGACCGGAAAACTTTGACGGCAGGTCAAGCTGCATTGCGGAGGACAGCTCTCATGACCGTTGTGCAGATGATCGAAAGTTTGGAGCCTCTCTTGCGTGAAGCTAGTGGTAAGGGCCAGGATGAGTGGGATCGCTGGCAGGGAAATATGATGAATGACTTGCTAAAGCAGAACGGCACATCTTGGGGAGAATGTTTGGAAGTCGGAGCTTGGTGGGCACGGAAGAAGAAGCCACCGGGTTGAAGATTTGTTCATGTAAAGTTGTTTGTGGCGTCTGAAGTCCATGAGTGGTCGAGAGCCAATTTACCCGGCGTGGCAGATTATCACGCGCCACATGAATCCTTTGTGGCATTGCATCTCCATTTGGTTTTTCCGGACCGTGACGCCCGGTTGTACATTTGGCGGGGTTGGGCTCCGAGGCAAGGAGCGAGAGACAAAGCATGGTTCAAATCTTGTCATATCTTTGACGCAATGCTCGATATCTTTTCAGATAGTACCTAGATATACCCATTAGCAATTACCCGTAGCATTGTGAAAGGAATAGTGTTCATGTCAGAACTAGATAGACCTTACAGTGCCTCAATTTCTGTAAGTTGTTAGTTGGGCTGAGACTGGTTATGAGAAAAGACCAACCTTTCTTAACGAACTCTGCTCGCTTGATAGCTTGACGAATCTCTTCGTCGTCCGTCAAACTAGCATTGCTGATGAATGCTTTGTGTAGTCTGGGGCGGAAGTAGTTATACCCCAAAGGATACTCTCGACCGAGGTATAGAAGCTCTGAAAGGTTGAGCACTTGGATACATTCTTCGAGGGTACACAACGAGTATAAGCACACCTTTGTATATGTTGATCACTTCCCTCCTCAATGCTGGGTTTGTAGTAGCCATTGTGAGAAGTAAGGACGATAGTGAGCAGCTTCTTGTTCTTGTCAGATGTTCTGAGGTCGTGTCGGAGATTCAGCTGTCCAGAAGCACGAGCTGTGGTGTGGAGAGCCGGGTCTGCAAAGTCGGAATCGACAAGCAATTAAGAGCCTCAAGTATTCTCTCATGTCCAGTAGAATATCGATGATGAGACCAAGCTCGAGCATAAAACCTCGGAATGCCACGCGGCCGCCTCGGCCCGAGATTTGATCTGAAAGCTCAAGCTACCCCACATTCCACCACTTCTTCTTTTCCTGGCATCTCATTCCGTTCCTGGACATCTGAAGCAGGATGAAAGTCCGACTTCCTCGCCTAGGTCGGAGACCTTGCTTTTCTCTCAGAGCTTTCCACCATCCCGAAGTACTCTCGGAATGCCGGCCCTTCTCTCCCCGCCAATATTCCACGAACAAACCCACACCTTCGAATAACAACGCAAGATGGCTTTCGGAGATCAAGGCAAGGATAGGGAAGTGCATAATGTTTGGGATGGATAAGGAGCAGACGGGGCAAGCTGCTGCCGTGTGCAAGATTCTGGGTGAGGATTGGAGGAACTTGGTTGCGGGGCGGGAAGGGTTCTTGGTGGACAGGAAGAGGGCCGGATTGCTTAGGCAGGAGGTTGTTTGGGGAGAGATGGACTCAATGGTTCGTAATCTCTTCTCTGGAGGCACTTCTCTGTTTGTTTAAGACAATGGTGCCCGAGAAGTGCTGCGGGACCCTCAAGTTATCCAGGAAGAATCTGACAAAGCACAGGGTCATGTCAACAACGTTACCTATGTTCGATATGCTGAAAGTGCAAGGATTGGCTGGGCATACAATTACGCTTTACATATTGACCCAGAGAATAAAGATCGTTGGACCGAGCTTTGGACACCTCGGGGTGATGGTTTAATTTTGAGGTCTATCAGGACGGCTTACAAATTTGTACGTCTCTTGCAGTCACACCAATCTTTACAAGGAGCAACACACTAATCCCCAATAGCCAATGACATGGCCAGACTCCATCTCCGTCTTTCACAAGCTCGCTCAACGTCCTTCACCTTCCGATTCCCATTTTATACTCGATGTTATGATTGTTTCGGAATTACATCAACGTCCAGCAGCAAGATGTGTTGAGGATATCGTTGTATATGATTATAAAGCCGGGAAGAAAGTAGAGATACGGCCATTCATGATGAAAGCGTTCGAGCATGCTTGGGAAGAACAGGAAGATACAAAGCGGAAAGTGGAGCAGAGAATACGTGATATTGAGGAAAAGGTTGCGGATTTGGAGGCAGGGACTTGGAATAAAGTCGGGGCTGTTGAGGATATGGGAAGTGGGACATAGACTTTGGGGAAGAGGTAGATGATTGTGCATTTGTCGGTGTTGAAGGTATGTTTGAAATCCCGAGAATGGTCAACATTTGGAAAATCAATGCTCAAGGTTGGGACCTTCAATTTATGCAGTTCAGTTGAGCCTGTAAGAAGGCTGCGCCAAAGAAAGCAGTTGCTGCCTCGAAGTCTACTACCGCAATGACAACTGAATCCAAGGCTCCCGCCAAGAAGGTTTCTCCTCCAGCAAAGGCTGTTGCCCTAAAGACCAAAGGTGTGAAACGAAAGGCTGATGCTTCAGGCGATGCACTACCTGCAGCAAAGAAGACCAAGACCGGTAATATTTCGGAGAGTGAAGCGTGCTTTTGTTGTTGCATAGAACCAAGTTCAGTGTTGGAAAATTCGCGGAATATTTTGGTCTGTTTAAGTTGGTAAGAGGTGAAAGAGATTCTTTTCTAGAGGCGCAATACAAGACGCCCTCAGCCGGCGAGACAATCAATCGACACCACATATCAGATCAGAGATGCAACATTGCAACTATACTGTCTTCAATCCCTCTTCCAACATTCAGTTGTTGACCTCAACTTCCAGAAATCCTCAGTTGGCAGAAGTTTGATCGAGGAAGCCAGTCATCTTTTGTTTGTACGAATCTGTTTCCATTCACTGTCCCACATTCAATTCATCTTCTCTCGCGGAGATATCCTATCAGCTTCAAGGAAGCTTGCATGAGTCTGATCCCCGCACTGTCGATATTTTTAGTCTTTCTCAGCCGCATTGTGGCGTCAGGTACCCTCTTGTTCCGAAGCCACATACAAATTGCAATCTCCCACTTGCCTTGAACTTGCATTCAGCTTCTCGTTCTCGAGTATTCTAACCCGTCCAAGCATTCTTACGCCTCCTTGGTGTGAAGGTGTTTACTGGGTTCTCCTTCGTCTGAAGTTTGCTGGTCCTTTTTCCTTCTTCGGATCTTTTCAGCGCCAAGGCTCGTGCGCTGCATGAGGAGCGATTAGCGGGGTGCTTAATATTGAACATAGCTCTCTCCTTGACCCATCAGAGCGGGATTGAATGACTTTGGGTTGACGGACCTCCGGTAGTGCGCTCATGCCAACAAGAAATTTGACTTGATTAACGTATTGTTCTGTTAGTGCCAGGGGTATGTTGGTCCCCGAGCAAGAGGATTGGGTAATGGATGAGGGGACATGCAGTGAGACGATGTTTTCGGGACCTGATCGTCAAAGACACGAGGGTCAGGGCGATGTGTAAGGTAGCACTGACACCGTCAGGCGAGGCTGATGGAGTTGGAATTCAAAGGTATATGAGCTCCCGTCCTGTTTTCCACAAGTTGTGTTTTCCTCAACTGCAGATGCTGCGAATCCAAATTCACTGCAAGCATCTCAAGATGAAGAGCATCATCGCAGCCTCGTCCCTCCTTCTTGGCCTCACAGCTGCCAACCCTGTAGCTATGCCACTAGAAGTAGTCAGCGAGCGCAATGGAACCCAACTTGTCCCCCGAATGGCACTTTACCAAAGGACTTCATCTCACCATCCCTAATCGTTCCGGTTTCTGCCAAGTAAGTTGCTTCTGTTCTGTCTCCAAAATGAATCGCACCTAACAACTCTTAGACTCCCCAACGTCGCCTTCGGACCTACAAACTTCCCCATCATAACTCCCAATGACTTCTGCAGCATTTTCAACCAGATAATTCCACCCTCCGCCGTGAACAAGACCTGCACCTTGGAATTCCTCTTTCCCTCACACTCCCAGACACTGGCTCCTTACGCCTATTCCGGCGGCGGCCACTTCACCTTCACTGGCTATGCTTTCGGCTCGGGAGCCACGCCTCAAACGACGTATAATCATCAACCACCTGCGGGACCAAGTCCGCCACAACCACCAGCCGTGCTGAAGCCTGGAATGCGTACACGATTAACGTGGGTGGGTGTGCGATTCAGGAGGGTATGAGCGGACTGGAGGTTAGTGGGTTGCTTTGCAGTGATGATACTACCTTTTTATTTGAGCAGAGTAGTAGCGAGTGTCCACTCGGGTTTTTTGTTGGGATCAGTTAAATGTAATCTTTTGAGGGGCACAATGAGTGAGGTATGATAGATGTTGAGGAGAATAGCTGGTGAGGTGAAGTAATCTAATTTATATTCAATGCTTGAGGTGATCTTGTTTGCTTCGAAAATTTAAGAATGCATTACTTAGGTTCTTTTCTGCCACTTTGGTAAGCTGATCTCTGTCTTTTCCCAGACTTGGTCTTGAAACGAACATCCCTCTTTGGTATGTGTGGATGTTACGTTCTAGCTTTGGGGCTGCAGACTTCCAATGACTTCTGCGAAATATCCAAGAGAGAATTATACAAAAAAGTGACACAACCAATGCTGCAACTACTCCACAGCAGCATCCTCAAGACCTGCTCAACCAGCAGGTCCAAAATCTTCACACTTGTGGATCACCTTAGATCACCATCTTTGTGATAGATCTAACAGAAATATTTCCAATGTGGGCAATGTGAATGATCCTCAGTAACCAACATACACATGGCAAGGAGAGTAGAGAACAAACATATCTCAGTAACTCAATTGAAAACCTTGCTGATTCAGCAAAATTTTGGAACATGGGACATGGAACAAGGAAGTTTGGGAGATTTTGAACTACTAATCACTCATATCACGTCCAGCTCCTAGGCCCAACTCGCGATGAACAGAAAGAAATGCTGTGGAGAAACATGTGCTCACGTGAGGTCGGAGGAGGTACCTAGGTACTTCCGCTTATGAGTCAACCTTTTCTGAAGGTCTGGAACAAAGTAAGCAAGCCAACCTCTTCTCTTTAATGGACGTATCAGAAAATTCTGACATGCAAGATCCTTCATCCAGCTATGCGTTGGACAAATAAGGACGAAGTTCGTCCTTGGCGGGTATTTCTCAACCACTCGTCACCGCCATCAAGGCAGGTTTCTCCTCGCTGGCGTTTGCGGTGAGTCGATGATTCAGCCATCCTCTGCCACTGTTTCAGCTTCCGTCTATGTCGTATGTTGACTTGGACTCATACCCGTCACATCCTGTTGATCCGATGTCGCCGGTATCTTCGGCTTCAACGATGCGGGGGAAGTGGAAGCCAAGACCACCATCGAAAACAGAAACACACACGCACAGATCGACATCGATATCATGTCAAAAAGAGAACTACCACTGACTGTGACACCAGCGGAAAGGGGAAAGTAAACATGCGATACGATCATCCACTGAGAGTTCTGCCCACACCTCCATTACCGGGAGTCGAGCGAGTGAAGGCTTTTCTCAAGTGCCGACGGCTTCGGAAATGCAGGGTGACATGTGCTGAGTTGTCGAATCTTGAGTTGACGGACAGGGGGAAGAGGAGAAAATACTGCTTTCCTGTCTCCTTCGCACACGAGACTGGAATTCCTGGATGCAAGAGTGGGAATAATGCAGAGCCGTGCCAGCAAAGAGTACAAGGCGTAACCCTACGGCGCAAAGACGCAACCTGCTTATCTCTTCATATTAGATAAGGATCGACGACGCAACCTTATCCTTATTGTCGCGAATGGAGACGAGAAGACGCTATTCCACCACGGGGGCTGAAAGTGCGGAAAATCTCTTCTTCCTGGTGGTTGAAGGATTTTACTTACTTGACTCGCGCTTGCTGAGTGGCGGAGGGTTCATGCGGTGAGTAGGTAAGCCGGCAACCGTGCATCTGAGTTTGATGAATATGAGGCAATCGATATAGCTTTTCGGTGCCTTTTAAATGGGTCTCAGGTAATTCGTGGCTAATTGCGAGGCATCTCTGCATGGCTACATGGTGGGCGGCATGCTGATTCGAGGCTGGTGTTCATTAAAGATATACTAGACGTATACTAGACTCGAGCTATAGAACCGTTTGGTTTTCGGTCCAAGTGGACCGAGGAAGCAACCCACTCTTGCGGAGGGACGAATGGAGTCTTGACACAGAGAAATATTGAGAGGCAGGGAAGAAGAACTGAGTTTCAAGACGGAAGGATGCAGACATGGAGAGAACAGAAAATAGAGAAGAGACGAGGCGGACACTGTAATCAGATATGTATGTTTGGCCTTTGAGGTGATGCATCTCGAAGAATTCAGATCGTTGACCCCGCAAAAGCTTCATACCTAACCTTGCATCTTGCTTGCATTGGCATGTCGTGAGGACTTTATTCCCGGTGTGGTTCTGATATTGGACCCTGGACTCTGCAACTGTTGATATATACCTACAGCTCTGATGTGCGCGCTTGCCTCGTCTGTGCCGGTCTGCCTCCGGTCGGAGGATTTCTCGCGGGTGTGAGCATCGGCATGAGTACTAACTCAGGATGCTGTACGCCGTGTTGCATGGCATGGGGTGTGATGAGATGGGAACATGCGATCTGTTGCAGCAAAGCCTTGGGTGGACTGGACTTTGCGGGTGGCTTGAGTGGATTCGTTAGGGACATTTGGCGGCGAGGGAGTTTGTTTCTTCCAGGTCGAGTACATACCGATTCGTAATCCAACTTGGGAGGGAAAAAGAGCCTGGAAGATGTTGTTCTGGTAATTTGCATGCAGCATGAGAGTAGAGTGAAGTTTGGCAGTTGTAACTGGTGTAATATGTATATGTCTCTGCTTTGAACTGCTGATTCAGACTCATTCATGCTCGACATGCACACCACGGCAACTCAGCCGCGGCTACACCACTTCAGGCCTGCTCCAACTCGACTACCGTAGTCGCCAAAACAAGCATCAGTCAGTGCAGCAGCGCAGAGTGCAGTGCAGTGAGTCCAGCGTCAACCTTCAACTTCCTTCTTTCTGTCCCACAATACGGAACGAACGAAATCCAACAACCTCCACCTGCACCACCACCCACGGCTCGTCAGCAATTCTTCGAATGAAGGCACGACGACCACATCCCATCATCATCCACCGTCCACGACGTTTCGCATTCCCTCATCATTGCTAGAGGGAGGTCCTGGGACGCACCTTCCATCTTCCAGGCTGAGGTCCGCGCAAAGGCTTCTATTTAGCTGACTCGGAAGTCGCTCTGGGTCAGCATAATCGCATGCCTCGCGGACCCAACACAAGCAAGCGACAGCAGGGTGCTGCGAATCAACGAGACACCAGGCACGAGAATGGTCTTGTAGGTCCAGGCAAGCGGGTACAGAAGCAGAAGAGTAACGGTCATCTCAATGGGCATGCCAAGTCTCCTGACAGCAACTCGTCAACACCACCGCTTCCTGGAACTCCTCCACCGACAACGAATGGACATGCGCGGCATCCGATCCTTGGAGAGCACACGGTTGATCCAAAGGTGGTAGGAGAAGCTGTAAGGAGAACGTCGGTCAGTGGGTACTCGGATTCTTCTGCATCAGAGGTCTTCCAGCACACACCCGGCACCGCTGCAATGCAGGAGAATCACCGCCAGATCGACGTTGGCGCCCTTAAGAACCCTTCTGTACATCGAGACTCGATCAATCTCGTCTTGACTGTTCTTCAATCATGTCCTCTGCGCGACACGCTTGCCATTCTCATCGTCCTACTCCAGATTCCACCTACCTTTCTCTCGATCGTACACTTCCTCTTTGCAACCTTGACATTCGTCCCTCCTTCGACTGCGACGTCTTCTGGCTTGAGCTTCACGGACATTCTACAAGGAACGTTGGGTACACCCTCTATTGGCACAATCTTTCTCATTGATATGGTTGTGTTGCTGGTGTGGTTGTTCTTGGCAAGCCCTCTTCAGGATATCGCGTTGGATCTAGCACAGACTGTAATTGCATTGACGCTGGGAGGAGGGACAAGTGGGAAGGAAGCAGGGACGAAGAACGTGTTATGGTGCATCTGTATCATATGGGTCTCTCACCTTTTCCGAAACGGGAGTATCAAGCAAGGCGGCCTGCGAGCAATCATTGAGTCAAATCTCCGTTCACCAGATCCCGATGATCCTCTCGAGCCAAGTTCGCCAAATGGGAACAAGAGGCATGGTTTGATTCGCAGCATTTTAGCAATTCATATTCTTACACAGGGAGTTGTTCGATACATACGGGATTGGTATGTTAGGAGGGAGAAACGGGATCATTCAGCATCCATAGGAGATCCGGAAGCGGGCAAACCGACGGCTGATGCGAGCGATTCGGCGTTGACGACGGGTGCTGAGACCGATTCATCGATCTCTCTGGGCACCGCGGCGACATCGAAGAAAAAGAAGAAGCACAGCGCGCAAGTTCGTATACGGCAGCCTCTATGGGCTGCTCTAGCGAGTACAAAAATAGTCATGGTAAAAGAGTACGAAACATCACATACAGCGGCCGAGTCTGCGGGCACAAACGCGACAGATATGAACAATCTTGGAAATGCACCTTTCAATGCTGAAGCAGACAGGATCTGGGTGACTTATGTTGGGTCCGATGAAGTCTACTTCAGTACCAGTTTTTTCCCCATTCATACACCACAACCGCCGGAGGAGAGGAGCAGCGGGGGAGTTGATAGGTCGAAACCGTTTTATGTCAGGGTGAATAGGGCGCTATGGCAGCTAACACGGATTAATGTCATCAACGATCCCGCATCACCATCAGGGCAAGAAACGAGATGGAATGGTGAAATCTTTGGACTTGCACCGACGTCCAATTACCAGTGTGACTTTCACAGCTCGGTAGACGATTCTATCATCTTTTCTACCAGCGTCCGCACTTTACAATCCCTCACCACCGATTTGGCGATTTCACCAAACCCACAAATCACAGGCCGTCCTGGATCCCCCATCACGACGCTTAAGACATCCATTGCCAGCGCTGAACTCAGACTGACTGAAGAACGGAATCGTCAGAAACGTGAGAAGCGAGATCAGCAGAAGAAGCTTGGTGGTCTGAAGAAGGAAATTGATAGGCTTACCACTGGAATTTCATCAACTGGCGGTAATGATGACAAGTTGAGACAGAAAGCTCAACAAAGTCAGTTGCATATGAAACAAGCAGAAGAAGCGACTGCTGCCCTCGAGTCTCAAATCGAGAGACTCGAAGCAGTTCCCACTGATGATACTTCTCTCTACATGGATTCGAAGGGCAAGATCCAGTCTGCACGCGATCAACACAAAAGACTCCTGGGCGAGCTGAATGCTGCCAAGCAAAAAGCCGAGCGCCACCTCCACGGTCTGAAGAATGAGCTCACTAGCATTCAGCAGAAGTGCGAGAGCAAGCAAACTCGTGTATCCCAGCTCAATACCAAGCACGAAAGTCTCACTGATGCGAATGCCAAAGGTCTCGACGAGGTTCAACGCAAGGAATCCGAACGGGAAGCCCAACGAAAGAGACGAGAGCAGATTCTCACTTTTTACAGAGAGCGTCTTCAAGCCAAACTTACCGAGGTCCAGGAAGGGAGCACCGCTCTCTCTGCACTCGATTCGGCCATTGAAATCGTCCAGCAACAGGTTGCAGAAAAGGAGGCATCATATATGCAGAGTCCTGCGGCTAGCAACCAGAATCTGAGCATTGGCTTCGGCTCTGATGTGATTGCTGAAGGCGTCTCGAGCAGCTATCCTTGGAATCCCATGCCTGCAACTTCCGGTCCGTACTATGGAAGCCCTTACGGGCCGATGATGAGCATTGCAGCAACAGGATCACCCCATGGGAGCAGGACTCGAGGACGAAGCTCTAGTATGCTGAGCAATGTCTCTGGCTTTACTCAAAGTGATGATGGCAACAGTGTTGGTCCAATTGGTCCTGGTAGAGGTCTTTCGTGGGAGGATGCTCGTGAAGAGAGGAAAGGTAGCAGTGGAAGCGGCAGCGGTAGTGGCAGCAAGTCTGGTTCTGTCAGTGATCCTCGAAGTCCTGTCATGGGTGAGGCAAAGGTTGCTAGGTGGTGAATGGTTGTTTGTTCTGTCTACAGTCGAAAACGCAATGTGATGTGTTCGTTACTCCTACATGCGTCTATGCCTGAATCGTGAAGTCCATGCCGAGGTAGGTGATGAGACGGACCTCTTTTTGAACTTGTGGTCAACTGAAAGAGGAGATGATATTCATTGACCCACAGACTCGAGTTCTGCGGGGCTCTGGTAGCTGAAGAGGGCTTTTTTTTGCGTTTCTTGCGGTCATAGTATATTGAATTGAGGTAGGACATCAAGAAGTGGTGATGTCGAGGTGAACATCAAGCCAAGCGGTGATGCAGGAGAGCACAGAATTCTGAAATTATCCAAATGAAGCCGAACGGGCGCTATCTATCGAATTTTCAGAACAGCTTCTATCAGCTCGTCCCGTCCCGAAATCTGATCTTCCTCTAGGATTCAGATTAAAGCCACAAGGTTGATGATCGCTTTGTTGCATGTCGGAACCTTTCAGCCCCCAAGGACAAGAAGAGGGAGGAGGTTGTGATCTCCCCCTGACTCGGCTCGGGTTGTACAGATCTCGCTAGAGGTTTTAGCGGGCCGGGTCTTCGGAACGCGCTCGCCTGAATTGATTTTTGGCACGTCGTCGCGTCTGAACGCGTCGTCCTCAATTTCGCGATTCAACAACATTTTGCAACAACGACGATATTCGCAACAATGATCAGACAGGACTTTTCGCGTATCGATCCGAAGAGGAGGACGGGACTGGATCATAGGAAGAAACAGTTTGCAACACCAGTGTACCAGAATTTGGAGTACAAGCACAGGTTGAACTTCTACGTTACGCCTCCAACGGCGGACATCACTCTCGAGCAATTCGAGCAATGGGCCATTGATCGTCTGCGAGGTATGCTGTTCTCGTGCGAAAAGCTATTAGATGCTAATATTCGCAGTTCTGGCCGAGCTTGAAGCATGCTCGTTCAGGAATAAATCTCCCGCCGAAACTGCAGAGCACATGAAGCCACTGCTCCAAAAATACCTCCCTCTCGCATCCTCGAGCTCAGGATCCTCGACTCTGCAAGCCGAAAGACAGAAGGATCACTACAGCCACTTCATCCTTCGACTCGCATTCGCATCAACGGAGGACCTGCGACGGCGATTCTCCCGTGTCGAGTCGATGTTGTTTCGTCTCAGGTTCCAAGCGGATGATTTGAAGGACCGACAGGCGTTTGTCGAGAGTCTAAATTTGGATTGGGAGACTGTTAGTAGCGAGGAGAGAGCGATGTATGCGCCACAATTGCAGGCTGCCGGTGGCGGATATCCGAAGAATATTGAGGAGGAGAGCTTTTTCAAGGTAGATTGGGAGAGAGTGCCCGAATTGGTGGAGAATCGAAGGGTATTTCTGAATGCTGGGATGGCGTATGTTCCAGGGAGAGAACAACTTTCTATGGTTGTAGCAGAGTTTACCAGTCGATTGGATAAAGCTCTTGAGGTTTGTGGATTGCTTTTCCAAACAGAATGCTCCGCTAATGATTGCAGCTTACTTCTCGTGCATTACCCCGCCTCGATGAGGACGATCGATTGACTCCAATTCTCAACCATCTCTCCCAGAATTTCACTACTCCAGATGCAAACTATTCCAACTCTACGACTGCATTGCCTGGAGCTGATATCTCGGCACGGAATGTCGATGCTCTTTCTGCCTCATTCCCACTATGCATGCAACACCTGCATCGCTCACTTCGCCGAGATGCACATCTCAAGCATTATGGACGTCTACAATACACATTGTTTCTCAAGGGAATTGGACTCAATCTGGAAGAGTGTCTGGTGTTCTGGAGGTCATCATTCAGCAAGATCACAGACGATGTTTTCAACAAGGAGTACAGATACAATGTTCGACATGCTTATGGAGATGTGGGTGGTGATTCGAATAGAAGAGGGAATGGATACAGCCCATTTTCCTGTCAGAAAATTTTGACAGAACATCCACCAGGACCAGGAGAAGCACATGGATGTCCATACAGGCATTTCAGTGTGGATAACTTGACTGCTCTTCTACAGCAAGTGGGCGTGAAAGATCATGAGGTGTTGCGAGGTGTGAAGGAGGACAAGGAGAAGATGAAATATCATTTGGCTTGCAATAGGTATGTTCCACCTCCAGTCTTTTGATGCGATGCTGACTCAGATAGGGTGTTTGATTATGTCCACAAGCAGGAGATCAAGAAAGTCAAGGATGATGGAACCTGGACAAGTGCACAATTGGAAACACTGGTACATCCAAACGAGTACTTCAAAAGGAGTTACCTTCTCAAGAATCTTGGCAAGAATCCTGTAGAAGTAAAGGAGGAAGAGAAACCGGATGTAGCTATGGAGGATTGAATGTCATTACAGGGACGGAAATAGGCTGGCTTGGCGTTTGGCGTTCAAGGGGGTCAACTGGTGGAATGAGTAATGATGTATTGAGCCGTAAGTATCATGCAACTGGGTGCACAACTGCAGAATCCCGAGCATTGCTTCCAACTTCGCCTTCGAAAGGAGATGTAAACACGTGAGCATAAATATCAAATGGCGCTAGTGTGCCATTCAAGGAGTTTCTTTTCATACACCAACCTTCTTTCTAGCCCTCTTTTGCAAATTTTGCGATTACTTGTTTCCACATCTTTCACCATCAAATCCTGATTCTTGCCAAAAGCGCAACAGTCTTTGGAGCTTTTTGTTGAGAGGGGAAAAGCGCGAAAGCGAAGATGGCACCAACGACAGCGGAAGTCGAGAAAGCAGATCGGCTGAGGCTGGAGGGTAATGAGTTGTATAAAGAGAATAAGTTGCTTAAAGGTCAGTCTCTCTTTGTTGATGTTCAAACTTGCGGCGCTCTGGGAATATGGTTTTCTGGCCCGCTTTACTTGCTCGTTCGAGGCTTGCGAATTTCGTTTGCTGGCTGTCAGGAGCGCAATGGAAAGGGACTCCTCCCGTTACAAGAGCGATTTCGGACAATCTTCGTTACCAGTCATCATCACTTTTATGTTACTAACACCGACAGCCATCCAAAAGTATCGCGAATCCGCGAAACTGGTACCCAACGACGCCGTTCCGCTCGGTAATCTCTCAGCAGCCTACTACGAGGTGGGAAAATACAAGCAATGCATCACGAGAATATATGCGAGAGCTGGTTTGTCAATACTACCTTGATCGACATGGACTATTACAATCATCTCCTGGACAAGGACACCTACCAGCTTGCCACATGTTACTTTGTACGCAGATCATGGATAAAGATATGCCAACTCAGCCGGACTTTCCAAATGGCTTGCTGGAGTACCTCACTCCAATATTCATCGATACCGCAAAAGCCATGAAGAAACTTAAAGGCAGGTTCCAGATTGAGGCAATGGTTGGCGATGCCCTTGATCTCTGTGAGAGCCTTCGTTTTATATTATACCATGATGCTGCAGACCCTAGCGCTACTGCCGCTATCGGTACCCGCCCCAAAGAGTTCCCAGTCTTGTTTGACAGAGTTCACTTGAGCAATATTCCGTAAGAACAGTTGCCCAATCTCATGATTCGAAGCTAATAGTTGATAGGGATTATATGTGTGGCAATCTCTCAGCTTGTCTGTTCGTTCCACCACTACCTAAAAGTATATCGTCGAGCCATTGGCAGCAATGTTGTCTGCGAAAGGGAAACTTATTCGATAGTTACGAGACATATCTGGCCGAGTACCAACGCATCACCGACCCCACAATGCTCAAGCAGCTTACTCAGGTGAAGATGATATCCGAATTCGACGATTATCAGCCTATGGTAGAATATCTGACGTATAAGGTTGCTGATATCTTACCTATGAGCCACGGAAAGCTTCTTCCCAAGGCACCATTTTTCAGATGGTTCTATGCCCTCTTCTTTCGACTGGCCCTGCCATTTGAATATGATGGTTCAGGGGTGAATCTAATCATCTACACTCCTTTGAATCTCACAGTACTCTTCCACCTCCTAGCTCACTTGAAGACTCTTGGCTACCCCGCACACTGTCTTTCAGATGTCCTCCTCGCGATCATCGAGAACAAAGTCGTCACTACCAGCCGATCCCCACGAAGTTCTCCAGCACTTCCGGAAGACGTTGAATACGACAATCCTGAACGAAAGCTCTCCACTGCTCCTTTCTCCTATGAAATGAAAACTTTGGCAGTGATGTTTCAAAATCAGCACCTCCATTCTCATTGCCATCGCTCTCCCTACTTCCTGAAGGCATTCACAGATACACATTCTCCTTGCCTCACGATGGAGCATACGTCTTCAATCATACCACCGCGACCTTAGGTCTAACCTTCTTCAAGACCTCTGCTCTCGATGCACTTCGAAAAGGCAGTATTCAGACCATGCGAACATTTGCTACCTCATCTACTCGTGACCTCCTTGATACGAGTGTCGATGAATATACTAGGGCAAACTACGAAGACCCAGCATTTGAAGGTCTCAGAGAGCAAGGTGCGATACTCTGGATCACATTTGATTGGGACATGAAGACTTTCAAGGCGACAGCATGGATGCCTGATGCTGTTCTCCACATGATGAAAGCTTCGAAGTGGGAATGTGGGCTCACGAGAATGGATACGTGGGAATGTCTGTACAATGATTCGCCCTTCGTCAGAGGTGTTGTAGGAAAGGGTGAGTGCTGGATCTGATTGGGCTCGGATAGCATCAAGTGTCCACTTGGTCGTGGTTTTGGAGCTATTGAGCAGATCTTTGTTCAGCACTTGAATTAACCCATCACTTGCGCCTTTCTTGATGTCCTTCGAATTATTGAAGCTGTGTTCACTGTGAAGTTTGCTTCTCGCTAACGATATTGCAAATATTTATTCCATAATGTCCTGCATTATCTATTGTTTTGCTGCAGCTTCCTCATTGGACATTTATTAATGCCTCTAACGTCCATCCCTGCGTGCCGGAAAACCCTACGTGCCGGAAAAATTAGCCGGTACTTTGACTTCAAGCATTTAAAAATCTATGCACACCGCAATATCTCCTTTTAAAATTTATAAGTTATGTTCCGTGGCCACTCCCGAACACCCTGAATGCCTCCGAATGAAACAATCAAGTTTGCGTTGTCACCCTCACGCCTGATTTGCAAATAGTATCCTTTTATAGCGTAATAGACTTTTTCTATTATAGCTGCATTACCGAGCTCATGCTATCTCCAAAACTTATAAAAGGGTCTTAGCTGGGCTCTCAGGCCTCCCTACTAGACAGGAAATCGTGAACAACTTTGTGGCGGCTGTGGCGTGCAGATTCATGCAAGATCACCACGCGGGTCGGTACCTCGGATCAAAGCGAGTGACGATCTTTGTGGGGAGCAGCCCCACATGCCCGATTCCGGACCTGCATTTCGAAGCCTTGATCCAAACGATCACGTGATATTTTGCCTGGAACTAGTCGATGTCAGCAGAGGTGCCTTATTTTAAAGCTCAAATACTCACGCTGAGTACTTATAAATTACGAACCGTCAGTTCTATTATACATATTCATGAGACTGTAATACGCTTCAAATTCTATCAAGTTTATCCATCTTCAGTACTTCAGATTAACAGTGCAACATCCTCTTGCTCAGCCTTCCATGTATTTAAAGCTGTGCAAAATGAAATAGAATCTGGATAATTAACTCCCAAGATACGTTTCCGTAACTGTACACATTCTTCCATAAGTCTTACAGCTTCAATTTCTTTACCGCTTCCTTTCCACGTAAACGCCAAGTTGTTCATACTGGTCAGCGTGTCAGGGTGGTCCACTCCGAGCTTCGTCTTGCGAGTCTCCATGACTTGCACGTCCAGCTTTTCAGCATCATCCCACCGGCCTTGGTTCC